CCCCCGTGATCTAAAATGCGATAATCACCGCCGCCCGGACCATGTCTTTACGAGGCCCCATGAAGCGATCGCATCTGAGGCAGGTGAGCGCCGCCAGTATAGAGACCCTCTCTACCGCCCGGTCGTTGGAGGTCCCTCATGCTGGCGGTGTCCCGGAGCACCAGTCACACCAGTCATCTATCCCAGATGACCGGACCATTCGATTGGCCTCCTCCGGTCTAGATCGCCGGCAATGCTCCCTCTGGGTTCACGATGAGACCTTCTCCAAGGAAGAGATCCTGTTCAATCAGGCCGCCTTCAGCGACACCGGGGTGCAGGTCGGCGATGTCATCGAGATACTGCCCGCTCGCTTCATCGGCGACACCGCGGCCCATTCGTTTAAGGCAGATCTAGGGGCCAGATCGTTACGCGACATTCACGTGGAGCCCGACACAACGCTTCGCTCGGACCCCATGTCCAAGTTCAAGACTCCATTACAGGGCCGATGTCTCTTCGTTGTCAAACCGCTGCCACAGGAGATCAAGGCCCGCCATCCGAAGCTCGAGATCTCCGTAACCAGTGCCGTGGCCAACATCTTCGGTTTCAAGAACCGGGCCACGGTGCATATCTCGATCGTGGAGCGTGCGCAGTGTTCCGCGTCGCATATAGACATCTCCTTCCGCGATCAGTACCTGGTCCGCTCGGACATGTGGCGGTTGGTCATGTCCGAGATGGCCGATAAGATCGTCTATAAGGGCCAGAAGATCGTCTTCATGGGTAGTATCAAGGCGACTGTAAAGAATATCTTCATCCGCGGCAAGAAGGTCCTCTCGGGCTTCTTCTCCCCACAGACCATCCCCGTCTTCCGCAGTGAGTCCGCCAAGTATGTGCTCTTCATCCAGATGTCCAGGGAGATGTGGGACTTTGACTCGGAAGGCACGGGTGATATCTTGTTCAGCAGAGTCATCAACGGCTTCCTGCCGGAGCTCTTCAAGCGCTGGGCCAGTTCCGATGCGAGGCATCTCGTCACCATCGTGCTCTTCACCCGCGTGGAATACGATGCGACGGCCATTGGACCCTCCTCGAGCATCAACCTGGAGAGCTGGAAGACGGACTTCTCGACCAACGCCGTCCCGACCAGGGATTTCTATCGCGTGGTCGTCAATGATATGGCCAGCGGGCACTGGACTGCGATCTTGGATGAGCTGAAGAAGGACTTCAGGACTTTCTTAAGGGATGTCTCCATCCTCAAATCCCCCGAAGAGATGCAGACGCCCACCATTGATGGCATCAAGGTCGCCCCCAAAGCGCAATCCGCAACTATTGCAGGACGACCCAGCACTGCTCTTCGTGGCAACATCCTGGAGGCAATTCACCTTGCGTCCTCTCATTTGGCGTATGATCACATAGATCGTGATATGCTGCACACAGGGACCTCGATCATCGTAATTACTCCCGGAAGCGGCGTATTCGAGGTATCCTACGAGTCGTTGGCTTCGACAACGGAGGCTCTCACCAATCGTGGTATTGCCATTGACCTGGTCTGTCTGAGCCCCATGCCTCTTCACTCGGTGCCTTTGTTTAAATACCGTGAGCTGGCCAAGCGCCCTCAGACGGCCTCGTATGGAGATATTCGTAATGGCGGCTATTCCCCAGAGGCTCGCCCGTCGTTTGCAAGCTTTGCCAGTCGATCATCGCATCTCTCGCCGAAGTCGGTCATGCAGGGGTCATATCCTGGGATGGGTAATCGGCAGCCCTGGTCGTCCCATTCGAACAACTGGAACTATGGCATCCCTCATTGGCTTGATATTTCTTACTGGAACCCGGAGACATACCGAGAGGCTCGGCGTATCCTGAAGAAAGATCCGAACGCGCCAATCCCTTTCACTGTCACAAAACAGTCGAAAGTCTTCGTACCCCGCGTACGCATGTACGAGATTCAAATGATGGGTGTGATGGAGAGCGAGCAATCAAATATCTCCATCCCTTACCTGCTTGAAGGGCAGGGTGTCACCCGAGGGGCCAGTCCAGCTTCTGGTCTGAGTCCCTCTAGTATCAGTCCTTCGAAGACGCCTTTAAAACGCAACTCCCCCTTCAGATATCAGCTTAGTGACAGTCTGCGACCGGAGCCGTTCCTCCAGAACATGTCCCACCCCAAGGATGCCCTTCTTCCTAGGTCGAAGAAGTCATCGAACTCGGTCATTGCTTGGATGGACAATTATGACGACGCTGTGTTCCATGCCTTGCCAAAGCGCCGTCAACCTCGCAAGACTATGAAGAAGAAGCGAACTAGCGAACCGGAGGTGCAGGTTTCCAATGCGCACGAACGGCTCTCCGCTCGGTCCGTGACGCGACTACGCGAGAACGAGAACAATGCCAGCGAACGTGTACATTCCGTTGACTCTGCACCTTGGATGATCAAACCACCAATTCCTCTGCAGAAGAGTCTGGCTGCGACAAAGGCCCCTTCGCCCAAGAAGCCGGCGCTGAAAGTCCCATCTGCCACCAGAATGCCTCGAATATCGCGAACGATCAGTTTCGCTCTGCGGGGGCTGACCTCTATCGCGCCGAGGGCTCAAGCGAGTACGGAAGTCAATGTGGAGCATGCTAGAGGCCAGCCGACTCAGAATGCGAAAAAAGTCTCCGGGATGCTCGCAGAATCGAGGAGTGTGGAATCATTGAGCACGTCGGACTCAGCATCTACGAAAACCGTGATCGACTTGTCCGTAACGCCTAGCTCGTCGAACACACCGCAAAAGTCGGCACAGGGCTCAACAGCCACGCCAACAAAGCCGATCTCGATCAAGGCCCCTCAGAAACAATCCTCTGAAGATGCAGCGCACCAGGAGCGCTCTGTGGTCCCGGAGTCTTACTCGACCACAGCAACCGAGATCCCGATCATCGACGATTCACGCCATGAGAGTCAGGTTCGACGGTCGAATCCCCGGGTCACTTTGACGGTGAACGGGGGCTTGCGCGACACTCCTCCTAAAAACCCATTAAGCACGGCACTGGCTCCTTGGGTCCGCTCTATCAACCCGTGCAACACCTCAAAAGAGGTCATGCGAGACACCAGTTGGTTCGGGCGCTGGCAACATGCATATCCCCGCCCTCCTCATGTGGCCGTCGTTAAATGGAAGAGTTTGAAATCCCCTGCCATTCTGCCTCTGACCACGGAAGAATTCCCCACGGCGAGCGAGCTGGCCTCGGACTACTTCCAAACGCCGTATCGTGTCTTCCCGAACGAGGATGCGGAAGGCATCGAGCCCCCGAAGACACGAGGTGTGCTTCTTCGAGAGATGATCTCCTTGCGTCTTTCGCATGGCTTTCAGATCGTTGTTGGGAAAGCGGTTGTCGAAGCGTCGGGACACTATGCTCTTGATTCGCCCAATGTCTTTGACACGCGTGGACTGGAACGAGATGGCGCTACTGTCTTTCTGTCTAAGGGAAATATGATCCATCGGTTGATTTGTGTGGAAGGCGCAGAAATCGAAGTCACGCGCTACACACATCGTAACTCTTCCATTCTGGCATCGGAACAATCAGATGACTTCAGCATGTACTCACCGGCAATGCGGACAATTTTAAGTCCCCAGTACGAAGTCAAGAACATCAGACTGGATTCGAAGCTCGAGGAGTACAACTGGAACTACGCGGACAACTACGTGGCCGGCCATCGGGATTACCTCCTCAACCCGTCTCAACAGCTCCACTTCTGGCGTGTCCGCTATGTCCTGATTCCAATGCACATGCATGTGAACTGCCGACGTCACATACAGTCTTTCAACGAGGACAATGAGGAAGAGATTCACCTGCTGGGGATCAATCAGCTCACGCGGATATGGCAACGCCACAAGTACATCCCACCGGAGGAGAAGCTGTTCGATGCTTCGAATGGGAAAAAGGCCGAGAACCCGCTCAACATCATCTACCATACCCAGAACTCGTCGGAGGTTGTCGCCGCAGAACTGGACCGGATACAACTCACAGACCCCAGTGTAGACAGCGTGCCTGCCCAGCTGTTGCCCGAGTCAGAGCAGTTCGAGCGTTCCAGCATCACGTTGTCGACCTTGGCCCAGGCTATTCAGGGTGAAAAGGGCATACGGATGCAGGATCGACGGTGGCACTGGCGCCTGCACTACAGTTGCTTCATCGGGTTTGAACTCACCACCTGGCTCATTCAAACTTTCCGGGATATCGACACCCGCGAAGAAGCCGTGGAGTTTGGTAACGAGCTGTTGAAGCACGGACTCTTCAATCATGTCGAGCGGAGACACAACTTCCGGGATGGGAACTATTTCTATCAGCTCTCGAGCGATTACCGCCCGCATCGCCCGGAGTCTCGGGGCGGTTGGTTCCCGCAGATCCGACCGGACAAAGCGACGCCCTCGACCATTGCTGCCGACCACTCGAGCAATCATTCTCGCGCGGAGTCTCGTTCCGAATCTCGCTCCGAGTCGCGGTCAGAGAGCGTGGATGAAGGCATACCTCAAGTGCCCAACATGCCGTCCAAAGCGAAGAACAAGGCCACGATTATGCTGTCGAAGAAGATGAAGTACGACGTAGACCCCCGTCGTCGATCGAATCGCCCCGAAGTGATTGACCTCCACTACGACCGACTGCATAACCCGGACAACTGCTTCCACATCGAGCTCAGCTGGATGGGCACGACCGCCAAACTGATCGAAGACACGGTGTTATCGTGGGCTGCGACCGCGGAGAAGTTCGGCCTCAAGCTCGTCCAGGTCCCGATCGCCGAAGTTTGCGCGATCGACCAGATGCAGCCATTCCGCAAACCATACCGCGTGCGACTCAAGGTACCGCCCCCGCGAGGCCCGGTCCCGGTCCCCTACAACCCCAACCCCTCGGCGTCTTTGTCGATGCAGACTCCCGGGCCCGACCCCCTCTACTTCCAGAAAGCGCTGCTGCGCAAATTCGATTTCGTCCTCGACTTCGAAGCCCGGTCGGCATTCCCCGCGGACGTCGAAGTTTCCTACTCCTGGGGCATCCCGGACTACCGGTACCCGCAATTCATCCACCGTTCCGGCAGCCTCCTGGCTCAGATCACCGACGACGGCGACTTCCTGTTCCTGGCCAACCGCCTGGTCAGCACGCGCAGCACCGCCAGCCGCGACCTGCCGCGCATGGAGCGGATCGAGCGCGCGGAACAGTACCGGGCGCGCGCCGGCACGTACGACCCGATGAGCGCCGACCGCGGCGCATCCTGCTCCCCGCGTCTCTCGCCCATGGTCCGTCCGATCCACGACCTGAGTGCCTTGAACCTCAGCAGCAGCAACATCAACGCCAACGTCAACGGCAGCGCCGTCATTGGTAACGGCAGCAGCAGCATGAGCACCAGCAACGGGGTAGTGAACGGCAGCGGCAGCATCAATCCCCCCACCACCACCACCGTCCCGAGTAATCCGCTCGGCCCGCCAGGCCAGCAGCCTAACATCGACTCATCCAACCTCTACCGCGCGCCCGAGCACATCCTCAACAGCCTCGTCGAGTTCTGTCATGATCCGATCCGCCTGCAGCAGTTCTACAAGGAGTCGCACGCCCGCCCGGTTTCGACGCGCGTCGCGCCCACCAACCCCCCGATTGAGATCCCCTCGCTCGAGCTGCCCGATAGCGTCGTCGGCCAGCCGCAGCACCATCTCCCTCCGGGCTTGCCGCAGCGCATTCACTCCAGTACGGTGTTGTTGACGTCGACAGAGGCGCGGGCGCGGTCGCGCGATGAGGGCAGTAATTTGGTGAGGGGGAGTCCACGGAGTGGGAGTTTGAGGCCGTTGATGTGAGCGACTGAGGGAGCTTGATATGATGTAATTTGATGGATATGCTAATGTAGATGCCTATTGTAATGAGTACTATGTATGTGGTCGTGATGTACGATGAGTACTGGGCAGGATGGATGAATACCCTAACAGCGATGTAATAATACTAATGCAATAATGACTCAAAGTACCCCATTCCCTACTTAGCCCTATCTCAAAACTAATCACAGAATCCGAGTAACCTTCACCCCCTCGACATCAGCACTAACCTCCCCATCCGCAGCCCCCTTAAGATTCACGACCTTCAGCACCTCATGCGCGCGTACGGGATCCACAACCTCAACCTGCACCTCTTCCTTCAAGGGCCCATTAACAAGCACCTCAAGCCCAACCAAGGGATCATCCTCAGGCCTCTTGAGAGAGAAGTTGACCGGGACGACAGCGCCAGGACGGATAAGCAAGGGCAGGGAATCGAAACCATGCGTTTCAGTATACCAGCGACCGCCCTCATACGTTTTCGCATGATCGAACCAAGAGACCCATTTCGCATCATGCCCCTCACTCTCCTCCTCGGCAGCAGCCCGAGGAACATAAAACGTCACCTCGCCATCGGCACTAAACACGGGGGCAACAAGCAACGCATCACCAAGCATATAGACCGTATCCACCGCCCAAGCATTCAAATCCTCCGGAAACTCAAGCAACAGCGGGCGCATAACAGGGGTTCCCCTCCTTCCACCCTGTATCGCATTCGCCAGCAAGTAAGGCGTAAGCGCGATCTTCCTCCGCACACACTCCCTCAACACCTCGGAGCAATCCTCGCCGTAGATCCAGGGCACGCGGAACGAGTGGCTGCCGTGGAGACGGGAGTGCGTGGAGAGCAGCCCGAACTGCACCCAGCGCTTGTAGACGTCCGGTGGCGGGGTGCCCTCGAAGCCGCCGATGTCCGAGGCCCAGAAGACGAACCCCGAGAGCGACAGCGACAGGCACCCGCGCAGCGACTCCGCCATCGCTTCGTACGTCGACTCGCAGTCGCCGCCCCAGTGGATTGGGAACTTCTGCCCGCCTGCTGCGGTGGACCGGGCGAAGAGGACCGCGGCGCTGCGGTTGGTGGGGTCGTGCGATTGGAGGGTCGTGTAGCAGAGTTCGTTGAAGAGGAGCGTGTAGTAGTTATGCATTCGGCTCGGGTCGACGGAGGTGTCGTGGTAGCTGATGTTGCGGTAGGGGATGCGTTCGCCGAAGTCCGTCTTGAAGCTGTCGATTCCGAGGTCCAGGAGGCGTTGTAGGTGGCGCTGGAACCATTCCCGTGCTGACGGGTTCGTGAAGTCTACGATTGCCATTCCGGCTTGCCAGTAGTCCCATTGCCAGACGCTGCCGTCCGTGCGCTGCGGTGGGAGGAGGTGGGGGGTTAGTTGGAGCTATTTAGGGAGGTGGGGGGGGAAGAGCCGGGCGTACATACCTTGATGAAGTAGCCTTTCTCTTTGCCTTCTTTGAAGAGCGGCGATGCTTGGCCCACGTACGGGTTCAGCCATACGCTGATCCGCAGCCCTCGCTCCTTCAACCGCTTGATGTACCCTGCTGCGTCCGGGAACATGGCCGAGTCGAACTCGAAGTCGCACCATTGGTACGACTTCATCCAGAAGCAGTCGAAGTGGAACACGCCCAGGGGGATGTCTCGGTCGCGGAACCCGTCAAGGAAGCCGGTGACGGTCTTCTCGTCATAGTTGGTCGTAAAGCCTGTTGATCACAACCGTCCGTCCGTCAGTCAGTCACTGCGAGGACAAAAACAATACCAGAAGTGAAAAGCACGTACTGGTCGTCAACCACAGATTATAACTCCAAGCAGGCACCAAACTAGGCCGGCCCGTCAACGCAGTGTAGCGGTCCAGAATATCCTTAGGCGTATCGCCATAGATAACGAAATACTCGAGCTCCTCGCCAGGCACGGAGATGTTCACGCGGGTGGTGCGCTCCGACTGCAGCTCCAGACTGACTTTCCCGGGGTGGTTGACGAACACGCCGTAACCCGCCGAGCTCAAGTAGAAGGGGATGTTCTTGTAGGCCAGCTCGGACGAGGTGCCGCCGTCCTCGTTCCAGATGTCGACCGTCTGCCCGTTCTTGATGAACGGGCCGAACCGCTCACCCAGCCCGTACACCTTCTCACCGACGCCCAGGTCCAGCGCCGCGAGCATGTACCCCTGTCGCTCGAAGAAGATGCCATCGTCCCACCGGGACTTCTCCGTCGTTTGGTCGCCGATGTAGCCGATCGACCGCCACGAGTGGCCTGTCAGCTTCTTTTTCTTGTTGTTGGTGGCGGACGAGAACACGAAGTCCAGTTCGTTCTGCACCGTCCGCACCGCCAGATCGAGCGACCCGCTGTTGTACCGTAGTGCTTCGTTCTCCTGGTGCTCGATCTTGACGTGTCCGGTTGACTGGTTGAGCTCATAGTGCGGGCCCTTGCCGATGCCGCCGGCCCTACGTGAATGTGAGCATGGGAATGGTGGCAGATGATACCCACTCAAAGGTCTTGGAGGGAGGAGACACTTACCAGTGAACAAGCTTCACGCCAATAATCCCCTCTAGTGGAGACGTAACCTGTGCCGAGATCGTAGCTGGACGTGTCCATCATCAGTCAGACTTATTCTTCCTCTCTTCTGAACGGAATAGACAGAACTCACCCGAGTTGAGAGTATCACCGCGATGACGCTGGAACTTGTTCAACAGCAGATCCACGGTCTCATTCTCGATGTTCAATCGCTCGACATTGTTCATCCAGTCGATCCGGATCCCCTCCTAGAAGTGCAATGTTGCGCGTTAGTTCTTGTTCGCCTTCGTCCGCCGGCATAGCAGCGACACGACTCACCCGGATCCGCCACATGCCCTCTGTGAACTTCATGATGATGGCTGAGACTGTCGATTGACGCTAAGAGCACTGGATTCGTTGGTGGGGAATCGCCTGGACCCTGAGAAGAGGCTGAGGGGCAGCGTTCAGTTGCGGTTTAAGTAAATGTGGAATCCCCATCATGGCCAAACAAAACACCCCGCACCACCAGCAAACTAAGACAAGGATTCCAGCCGGATGAATAGACACAGAGCGTACAGTTGCATCACCGGGTTGATTGGAAGAGGGGTAAAGAAGGAAGTGGTGGCTAAATGCAGTGGTCAAGTCGCAGTGAAATGAAAAGCAATTTATCCTTAGTGCATTTGTCCACCAATCGCTTGTCAACCAGAGGAAGAAGTCTCCGATGGGCTGATCAGCCAAAACAGGGATGTCAATCCTGCTCCTCCAGGCTCTCTCTCTCTTTCTCGCTAACTCTAAGGAGAAAAAAACTCTACAATTCAGCTTCATCGTTCTGACGGACAAAATCCACATTCATTCAACAGCCGTCATCTCATGTAAACTCAAGGCGAGGTCGAGTTTAGAAATTACTCAACATGGGTATCATGTTAACACATCAGAAGCATCAGAAGCATCAGAAGAAAGAAAAGGGTCACGAAAACAACAAGTCACTACCACGCCTCCTCAACATCGAGAAGCCACTTCCGAACTCCCTCACGCAGCGCGTTATCCGTCCCAGCCAACGTACGCTTGCGCTCTCTATCAGCCAGGCCAAGCTCCCCGTCAACATCCTCGCGGCAATGCTCGGCTGTCACGCTGCGAACCACCTCCTCCAGGGCACCGAGGACAAGCTTGCGACATTCAGTGCGAGGCACTTCGACTGGTCGAATTTCTTCGCGCGTGGTTGCACTGGTGTCGGACGACTGCTTGTCTTCCCCACGACGACCACGAGACGGCGAGGGCGCACGCGAATGCACCATCGAGGACGGTCCACTTTGCGCAAGCACGCGTTCGAGTGCGTCGACAAGGGTGCCATCCAGATCCATCACAGGCTCTTCCACGAAGCGCTCCTCAACTTCAGTAGGATAGAAATCATCTGAAGAAGAATTGTTGGATGTCTTGCTCGACCCCGTGGCGTGTGAGAAGAAACTGGTGAGCTGCGACGCTGAAGCAGAGCCATTGGACACGTAACGTGGAGTGCCCGGTTGCGAAGGCACAAAAGGAGTATATGCCCGGCGCGACGAACCAGGTCCCACAAGTTTACGTCTCAAACGCAGTCGCTTCACCGTGAAGGTCCGGACGTCCGCGATCACTGTGGTCGCAACATCCACCCATCGTTCCGAACCATCTGCATTAAGACAGAGGGCTTGACTTGGTGTCGGCTCAGCCTGCATGGCACGTCTAATTTCCGCTTCCAGCGAAGCGTAGGGTCTCACGGCTTGAAGGAGAAAATCATCATGGAACGTTCGCAGCCAGCCAGCAACGTTGGTGTTAGGTCCATCGCTGTCCTTGACGCTGCCATGGAACCCAGACACACTGCTCTGTGTCGACGCCATTGCATCCATACTAGTAACCGACGTACGTGTCTTCTTCGGGGACGCCAGCGTGGAATCCCCGGACGACGAAAGCGACAGGAAACCAGGGAGCGGCAAGTCCACATCCACCACTCCGTCGTCTCCACGAACAGCCATTTTCAAGGACGATTCCTTGGCCTGATCCGTGGTTGATGATAAGTCCGGCGTGTCCTCTTCAAATGAGATATGACCGTTTGAGGCTGGAGGAATGGAGATGTTACCACTCGTGGTAGCCCGAGGTGCGGCTGCCAGGGGTTCCTCCGCCGCTTCTTTGACCATCTGCGCAAGTGTCGGGGGGTTCCGTCTGGGTGGATTGGTAAGAGCAGAGACCGATCGCTTACGCGCTTCAGGCGGTGCGGGGGTATCAGAAGCGGTTGATGACTCCTGACGTGAGCTCCACAACCCAGAGAACAAAGTTCCCCATCGACCCCCAGCGGGAGGAATACTACCGTGGCCACTGGTCGCCGAGGTTTCTGACCGCCGCAGGTTCTTCAACAAATTCTCCGACGCCAGGCTATCACGTCCATCGTTGACGCTCGGATCCGATCCCATTCGCTCAGACCGGCTCTGCGAAGCAAAGTGCGGGACGGGAACGGTACTACTCGGCGTGGTGGTCGAAGTCGTGGCTGCACTCGTATTTCTGGGGCGCATCTCTCTGGTATGGATGGGGACACCCAACGCTCGGATGGAGCGGGCATCTGAGCCTCTGCGCTTGGCACCAAAATCAGGCGGCATCAAAGGATCAGGTTCTTCTGTGGAGCGATGGGCCGTTTCATTCGACGAAGCGCTCACAGAACGCTGGTGCTGCTCTCTTTCATTGATGTTGAGGCGCTGTGCACGAGACCGCCGTTCCATCACTCTCCGCAATGCCTCCTGTCGTAGGATAGGGACGGTAGGCGGACTCTGGGAAACGGCACGGGTGGAAGCCGCAGTGCCCGGGCGGATTGGAGACGGCAGGGGCTCGAAGCGCTGCTTAGGAGGCAGGAATGCCGCCAACAGGAAAATCAGTCTTCTAGCAGTCATTTTATCTGGAGAGATAATCACTGTGCGATTGGCGAGGAACGGGTCTGCGTCTTGCTGAGCCTTCTGTTGCAGAAAGTGTCGCCTTCTGTACCACTCCGGGCCTAGAGCATTGAGCCACTCCGTGTGGTTTCCTAAGAACGCAGTGACTAAGACTAGGAAAAAGAAGCTGTGGTCCTTATCACCGAGACTGCGAATGATCGACCGGCCTTCTTCACGCCAGACGCCCCAACGGCTCTGGCCCGTAACAACATACGGCATCTGCAGGGCCGTGCTGATGCGGCGAGTGCTGCGGATGGCTTCTTCCCGGAGTTTTGAATTGATGGACAGCACATTGACCGGCAGATGAACAAAAGTCTGGTTCGTCCGCTGCATATTAGGAGGTTTAGCCGGCTTCGGATATGGCCCTGCCGAAGCGTCTACCCTCTTCAGCAAGAACAAGATCTCGTTCCGAGACAGCCTCTCCAAATGGGACAAAGTACGATTAATGATATCCCAGTGGTCCACTAACAAATCGATCCGCTCATCGAGACTCGCAGGAGGTGATGCAAGCGACAGACTGTCATCGAAGAAGCCTCCGCGCCAACGGTAGTCCGAGTCCAGGGAGCAGGAAAGTCCTGGTTTGGGGGAGTCTGGACCTTGCGCGAACCGCGAAACTGGCCGCCCACCACTTCGGGACAGAAGCGGGATCTGGATCGTAATAGCAACAGCATACATCGGGGTCTTCTTTTCCTTGATCTTCTTGCGCTTCGAGACATCCGGGAATGGAAATCCTGGGCTCGGGAGAGCGTCTTGAGAGATTGAAGCTGCCAAATCAGCTCTATCCGGCGGGGTGTCATCATCCCCGCTTTCAGGCAGGTGAACGCTGAACATCCTCGTCAACAAAATAGTGACCTTGGCAGGTGGGGCAGGTGGTTTGGAGTCATTGCCCCGATCGGAGCTCCCGAATGCCGCATCACTTCCCGTAGTATAGGCTCGCGACAGAGAACTGCGTGCCGCCGGAGAGGCTGGAGAGGTTTGGCCCGGTTCATCATCCGTCGAAATGATATGCATCTTAGTGGAGGAACCTTTATAGCTGAATGCGCTGCTCCCAAATATGCAGTTCAGCAGACCGGAATCATGTGAATCGGCCGACCCGCGCGAATGGCCTCCTTCGGAGAAATTTCCACCAGGTGCCAGTGTAGAGCTACGAACCCGTGCCCTCGTGAACGCGCCGGAAGACATGGGTGGGGACCGACGTGTTTCTGTAGCCGCAGCCAGCGGGCTTGACTCGATGACGGAAGACTGAGACAGGTACCCCCGTCGCGGGCCGCGAGTCAACGTTGAGACCGTGCGGGCATGCCGTGCACCAGTATTCTCAAACACCTGTGGCTCCAATCCCAGTCCATGCGAGCCTTGGCCCGGCGGAGTCGCCCGGGTATCCAGTAACACACATGCATCCCGATCTCCCAGCGCGTTCTGAGCGATAATCACACGGAAATCTTTGTGATAATCTAATTCCACGCCGCCACCACGATCATCATAACCACCGGCTGTAGAAGTATTCGGGGAATTGAAAGCCGTATGAAGGGGGTACGCGTGCGTATTGGAACGGCGAAGGAGACTAGCGTCAGGATATAGCAGGCCCGATGTGTGCTCCTCCTCTGTGACCGATTCCAGTTGCGGTGGGTTCTTGGCGGAGTACGCCGTCGGATTGAGGGTGGCCGCTGCAGTATTCAAAAGTCGACCCAGCATGATGATGAATCGACTCCGAGCAGAAAATGGGCGGGGACCGTTGAATGAAGGAATTGAAGAACAAGATCGATCACACAGAGAAGTTCGAATAGAATGCGCCGACGAAACACCCTCGAAGCAGGAAACCCACAGTCAGACCAATCAACTAGACTGAGCTGCAGTGCCCCATCGTTCAATTTCGCGAGGGGACGACCATGATCAGGCCGTGAAGGAAGAACGGGCGCGTTTCCTAGGAATGTTGGAAGGATCACGGGGTGACTTGTCCGGAAAGTCTCGCGAAGGAGGGGGAAATGTGAGGTGGGATCCGTTCACAGCAATTGAGAGTGAGTGGGTGGTGGAGGGTGGCGGTGAATCTCGATGCAGAGAAGCGGAAGAACACCGAAACAGGTCAGATCCCGATTAGTAAGGTTGAGGAGAGAAATTGAAGTTGAAGAAAGGCAAGAGAGGCAGAGAGAGGGGGGAAGAGGAAGGAAGTAAGAGGAAAGGAAAATGAAGAAGTGGTGGTGGTGGTTGAGGTGGAGATAGCAGTGGAAGTGGAAGTGGGTGGAGGGAGGGAATGGAAGGAAGAGTGGTGTGTCCTACTACTACTAACTAGTTAACTAAGGAAGTTACTCGTAATTAATCTACTACTACTTGACTAGAGAGAGAGAGAGAGAGAGGGGAGGGACGGGAAGAAGGAAAGGGCGGTGAAGGGACAATCAACAACAACATTAATTATTAGTCTACTGAGTGGAAAAGAAAAGAGAGCACATGATCTCAGCCTCATCGCAGATCTACTCTTTTCCTCCTGTCGATTCTCTCTGGTTGCCCTGCAGACGGCCGAAAGAAGTCACACAAACACCTCATCTTACATCGTCTTACATTCACCAGGCTTCTCTTTGTGCCCCCGACATCACGGTCCAACGGGTCTGATTCCTCCATTCTCTCCGTGATGACGGCAACTTACAGGTCTTACTTGCAGCCAGCAACATGGCCGCCTGCTTATCTATCTGGCAGGGTCAGGGCATGCTTCCTGAAATTCTACTTATGACGGAGTAGGATGTGTTGACCAGGAATCAGGCAGTAAACTCAAATAATTGGTCACCAGAAAATACCCAGTGCAAATAATAAAAAAGAAAAAAGTAAGAAACATGCTAAATCATCCATGGTATATTTTGTCCTCAGCCCAATAAAACAGGAAGTAGTACGATACTTTTCACAAGCAACTCAGCGCGGTTGCGTCTTACGCTTCACCTTGTCCACCAGCTTTTTCAAATCATCCGACCCCGCGTCTTTCGAAGCCTGCTTCTTCTGCTTCTTTGCCCGATCCTGGTTGCTAGGCGCGTCCTCCGCATGGTCGTCCCGATCGCGCCGACGCTTGCGACCTTCCTCGAGCAGGGCCTTCATACCAGAAGTAGCCTTGAACTTGGGGTTGGTGGGATCGATGGCGAACTCGTGGCTCTCGAACAGTCGCGAGAAACGCGGGTCGGCAACCTCCATCTTGAAGTCATCCACAAGAGGCTCGGCCTGCTTGCCCTTGCCTTTACCCTTCTTGCCCTTCTTGCGAGCCTGCTTCTCGGCCTTCTCGATCTCGTTCATGTCGAAGTGCTTCATACCCTTGTTGTTCTCGTCCACCATGAGCAGCTCCAGCTCGGCGCGCTTAGCCGCGGCGGCGGCTTCCTCGGCCGCACGCTCTTCCCGTCTCTTACGCTTCTCTTCCTTGCGACGAGCAGCGGCGGTAGCCTTTCCATCGGGGTCGTCGAAGAAAGGATCGTCGAAGCCCAGGTCTTCCTGCTGGGGCTGCTCCTCGGCAGTGGGCTTGGCGTCATCCTTCTCCGCCTCACTCGCGTCGGGATCGTCGTCGTGCTTGTTACCCTTGAGTTTCTCCTTTCTGCGCTTCTTCCTCTCCCGCTCCTTGCGAATGTATCTCTCGATCGTAGTCTCTTCAATCTGGGGTTCGTTCTCAAAGACGCTGTCGCGGTTCGGACCGCCAGCAAGACCCGAGGTGAAGGTAACTTCCATCTCGCCAACGGGGCCGTCGGATTTGGAGGATTTCGTAGGTTCTGCGCCCAGCCCTAAGAGCGCGCGCATCCGCTGCCTCTCCTCCTCCTTCTTGGAAATGTGCTTGCTCGTACCTTCACCCTGCGTAGCGTCCATGACCTCGACGCCGCCCTCTTCCTCATCGTCCGAGCTATCACTCGCCAGGTAAGCCTTCAGATCGTTCTCATCGATATCCTTCCGACTACCGCGGAAAGCCCGAGCCTGCGCTTCCTTGCGCGACTTGTCCTCCATGTCCCAGGTCAACTTGACCTTACTGTGCTGCAGGGCATCGGTAACGAACTCGTTGGGCTGGTAACCGTCCGGGATGCGCTTGCACTCATCGCGGGGTCTGTCGTCGGAGAAATCGGTGTCGTCCGGCACGAAGCGGAGGTCGAAGAAGTTGGCGCTAGACAGATACTCGGCGCCATCAACCAGGTCGTAGACATGCTTGGCGACCTCCCTGGAGGAGAAGGTCAAGATAGCGTAGAAGTAGCGGAGACGCTCGAGCTGATACTTGCGGAGCTTGGTCGAGTTGAACTCCTCGCCTTTGTCCTCCTTGAGCATCGACTTTTTAATCTTCTCCTCTTCCTCATCGGAATCAAACTCCTCCTCATCCTCATCCTCAAACCCCTCAAACCCTTCCTCCTCGTCATCATCATCACTCCCCTTATCCGCACTCGCGAAGATCTCCTTCGGAGGCCCCTCCGTCTCCTCACGCTCCATCCTCTCCTTCCCAAACTCACTCGGATAAACCGAAACCTTCAACACACGTCCACCAGCAGGCACAAAGCTCGAGAAAACAGCCATCAGATCCTCAGCACGGATATTATCCCAATCAAGATTCACCACAGCGATACGATCCGTGACCTCACCGGTGGGCACATCACGCTGCTGCTTATCCGGGAACTCCAATTCCTCGCCACCGAGCTGCGCATCATCATCATCCTCACCCTCACCCTCACTATCCCCACTCTCATCCTCCTCATCACTCTCACTCTCACTCTCGTCCTCCGAAGAAGAGGAACCAAACCCGCCATCCCTCGCAGGATCATAAGCATCCGCCTTCCGCAACTCGGCCAAAACCTCTTCATCATCCGCCACACTACCCTCCACCTCCTCCCCTTCCTCATCTTCATCCCCATTCTCCTCCTCCAGCCGATAAAATCGCTCAAGCTGCTTCTTGGTGTCATCGCGCGCAAGCTTCCGCCCGTACCGATCCACCGCCGCGTTCCGCGAGAAGTCCTTGTCGCGCAACATGTGCGCGAACCGCTTGTCGAGCTTCACGTGCGTGTGTCGCTTGCTGGGCAGTCGGTAGCGCGGGTCGTTTTGGATGTTGGCGAAGCGTGGGTCGGCTGTGCATTCGTAGGGCGTGGTTAGCTTGGTATCATTCTGGTTGTCTGGACTTTCATATTTATGTTTCCCCCTGGGCTGGTGAAGGTGGGTATGGTGTTGTGAATGGGGAGGGGAGGGGGGACGTACTGATCACCGCGGCGTCGGTCTTCGCGCCGGGCTTTTTGCTTTTCTTTTTCTGGTCCGGCATTGTGTGTTTCGATGTGAGATTGTTATATAAGAATAGGAGTGTCGTTACTGTATGGAGGAAGTGGTAGGTATGAGTAGAGAGGAGCTGTGAGTCGGGTTGTGCTTTTCGTATGAGGAAAAGTTGTTGTAGTTGGTCGGAGTAGAGCGATCAGGATAATTTTTTGGCGGCGGAAAGCAGGACCAAAGATTCTTCGGTCGCCGGCCGGCGCTCTAGATGTGGTCCGTGCGGGGCTGGCCTTTTCTCCGACGTAAACTCCGGTCACTGTAGATCAGAGCATAGGCTTTTTGTTGGAGATTATGGTGCATCTGTTCGAATTGGGTTTGGGGGGGACTACTCGGAGAATAACTGTGACTTGATAAAGGGTATTGTCGAGTGTAATAATTACTTTTTTAGTTGTCTCATTTTTCCAGGCAGAGAAACTGGTGCCTCTAGGTATATATCCAGTAGAGATCCGAACTTAATTATCATTTTATGCTACTAGTACCTGCAGTGAAAATAATAATCAATTGAAGTCGTCAATCATTAGATAGTCCCAAGCTTCCTTCAAACTACATAAGCAGGCGCAGGATGCTCAAGCGTGTCGTAGCATGGCGCAGGCCCCAACCCGTTCAGTTCGCGACATTCATTCAGAGCCTGCTCAATATCCGTATACCCACCAGTCTCTCCATCCCCAGAAGACCCCAGGAGCTTAGGATGAAGTACATGATCCTGATACAACGGGGGTGGCTCTCTGATGTCATGAATCGTCTTATTGCAAATCGATCCATCCTGTCCGATCACGGAGGGTGTCATATATATGCAAAAAGGGATGGGCTTTGCAGTCTGTGCCGGAATCAGTACATGTTTCTCAAGCCAGTACTCTTCGTCAGTCACATACCTCGGTGAATATTTCTCCGCTGGCATCCTGGAACTCGGCACTAACAACCAGTTTATGGCTGATTTTGATCCGTTTCGTCGCGATTGTTTGCGAACATGAATCGAAACTCGGCGGTAAGCAAGCCAGCTTGCTGATGCACCATTCGGTGGATGCCGAGTCGCACTGAGTCTCGTCCGCACAAGGTGCAGGTAATTCAAACCGCTCAGTGAAGATCGTATGATTCTTCAACGATGTGATCGAGTAGATATTGTCCCGCGCCGATTGAGCAGCCGTGGCGTCCAAGCGGATGAAATGTTTCTCAGCGACCTTGATGGAGACGGCAAGGAGTTTTGTATCTTTTGTCAACGCCGTGAATTGGCAATCTATGGGAAACCGGGAGCCGAATGGGATATAATGACTGGGCATCGAGACTGAGTACTGCATCTTCTGATTGAAGCTTCCTCCCACTGTCTTCAGGCGTTGTTAGCCATATTTTACTCTGTTTCACACCCAACCAGAAACGAAAGGACCTACGTACCGGCGAAAAGTCTGACGTGAGATAGTTCGTCTCCAAGTCCGAATAGTGGTATATCCGGACTGGTTTCGACACCACGACATTCCTTCTGTAACGAAACGCGACAGTCGCCTCGACCTTGTACGAATGATAATTGTGCTTCACTCCCGTCACCGTCTCGAGAAACTTGCGTGTCAATGGGATATCAAATGGAAACTCGTACTGCCCTTCCGGCATGGGAAAAGAGCCGAGCGTCTTGGATGAGGCCAGCACTTGCTTCTGTTCGCATGTGCTTTGCACGCGGTCTTCGGCGATCATGAAGCCATCGCGAGGTCTGACAGTACAAGTAAGCATCTGACTGCACACCCACCAAAAAAAAAGTCCGGATCAGATAACGTACACATGGAGCATTCCTTTCAGTTTCACTTTGATGCTCTTGATGCGCACGCCTGGAGGGAAAGAAACGTTAAATGAGCCGGTTATCGAAGGACTCGTCGGTGAATTCCGTGTCTCGGGCATGAATATGCATGATTGGTCAAGCCTATAGAGCAGAAAAATCGATCTCATGTTAGTCTCCATGCAACGCAACGATATAAGCCCGGGTAAAAAATCATACTTGAGATCATAGCTGGTTATCTTCTGACGAAACATCAACAAGGATTTCTCTGAGCGAACTCGTATGGAACAATCTTGGTGTCGGAGCGAGAAGCAAGTACGCGCGACGATTATAAAGAATGAAGCGTTGGAGGAGATGCATTCTTGAACCCTGGCTTCTATACTTCTCCTTGCATTGATGGTAGCATCCCGCAAGCACGCGGACTACCCCAATCGGGGATAAAGCTCTGATCTTTTTCAACGCCATTACATCATGTTCCAATGAGGGCTGGAAAAATTCGTCACCGGAGCCATCCCTAGGAAGTTGTCGGGACAGGAACTGCTGAGAAAGGGTGGTGGTGTTCCTGGGTTCTGCGGCATCTCGACGGTTGAGAGGGATTTGTATGTACTGTGTGGATGCGTACTATGCCTGCTTGGCTCGCTAAGCGATCAATCAACTGTTGTATGCAGAGATAAGTCACGCAAGAGGGGCAAGCCACCAGATGACTCTGGGATGTAACTATGAAAAATGATGCCTGAGGATGCCAAGGCATGACTGGAAGGGCAGGTATTAGAGTGCTGATCACATGAGACCAGTGGGTTTGCGAGGCTTCCGTAGTCTGTCTCTCTTTCCCGCCTTTCTTCTTCCCCTTCCATCCCCCACTCCAACTACTACTGCAGCAGTACATCACACACACACATCCCGCAACCAATTAAGTTGAATCGTACATGTTTGAAGCTATTCTGATCTTGGTGGTCCGCTTCTTTACTTACGTACCTCTGACTGTCATGGCTCCCTAGCATGGTTAGTAAATCATTGGACCTGCCCGAATCAACTACAACCGGCATAGTCCTAGCCCTGTATCCCACAACACCTCAATTTAACATCAATTTGAAGACCCTTCAACAAAGGATCCGGATCAAGCCTTACGGGACCCGCGCGTAACCAAGATTCTCCGCCATGATGTAGAAGAACTAGGTGATGGTACGATCTGAACGACAGCAAACGTCATTCTGCGAGAGGACAGTACCGTCTCCATCACCGAATAGCGTAGTTTAATAAGCGGGCTCTCCACTCAGTATATATCATCAGACTCGGCAGATGATGCGGACTTCGCCAATTATACCACCTTTCTGCTTGGTAAGATCATCAATCGATGCCTGTCGATCAAATCTCCAGCCTTGAGTATGGATGAATGGGAGACCATAAAGTCCAAGCTGGACGATCGCAAGCCTCGCTTCCATCATCTTTCAATCCAATCCAGACCCCTGCTCTGAACGAGCAAAATAGCTTTCCACTCTCTGGGCCCTTCGAGATAGGCATGCTGAGAACATTCAACGGACCTTACTCCATGCTGTCCAACCGATTCAGCTTCAAGCCTTCAGTACTGCCACACGGCAATGATCATTATACGACTAGCAGAGCCAATACATCGGCCATTGAACGCCTAACGCGCATGCGCAACATGCATCTCCTCCGTGACAAACTAGATCACCACGCTACTGAGATCTGTGCTCTGGCACTGCCAAGCGACTCGGTCACAGTATGGGTCAGCGCCTTTGGCCCAATAGTGGTCGAGGGGCGAGTTGAGGTAGGATAGCTTCTGAGACTACTGAATGAGTGCTTGTCCAGCATAGGTACTCTTATAGCGGTTTGATTCATTGTGTTATTGTTGTTGATAGAGCTTGAAATTGATTGAGAAAAGAAGAGCAAACCACTACATCGTCGGCCTTCGACTTATTCATACCATCTTGCTCCCTCTTATGATGCAATTGAAACCCGGATCGACCAGAAAATAAGACAAGAGGTGGCTTCGTTCTTCGCTTTTCGTAGTCACTGCACATTCACAATACTATGAACTATACCAAGAAGGATGCTATTTGAACCGGGAAAAGCTACCCTAGAAGAAAAGGCTATATAGACCCAGAATAAAGCGAGAAGCGAGAAGCGAAGTATCCTGGCCGTGCTCCGTAAGGACAATTCCGTCATTGGCCAAGGTACAGACGTGCCAAATCGGCCGACATGCTAGTTCTGGATAGGCTACTTAAGCCGTGGAGTAGACAGATAGATCACAGTACATATCTCCCACCATACCTAGTACTGAAAAGACAATAGCCAACGAAGACAGAATTCGATCCCCAGAATCGTACGTCCATCCTTTTTCGCTGCCTCTTCAAAGATGCAGAACTAATCTGTATTGTGAAACAGCCGATTATTCGACGTCTCATGCTTCTAGCTTTGCGTACGTGTCTGTTCGTGACCGGTGGCCGACTATCTTGGTAAGCAGTTCATACTACCGCTGGGCAACTAGGCTATATCAACATATGCTCTCGCTCTGATAACTTTACTAGACAGCGATCATCGAACCTGTCCGCCAGACATTAACTGAGCTAGCTGATGATGTCGCCCAGGAAGAAGAAACGTCGAGCATCGAGAGATTGGAAGCGCTTAAGTCTGAGATCCACGCCGATAGACAGTTGAAGTATGATGCTGAGCCAAAGCACCCTGCCCCGGCCCTCTGGCTCTCTAATAACCAATAACCTTAACCTACAGCACCCACCCTCCCTCCTAACAGCCACGACGACATTGCAGTCTACAATACCGAGCTCACGCAGCGTAGATACCAGACCTGGAAGAACAAAGGTTGATGCCGACATTTTATGCGCACTGGGATACGGCAACAAGCTTTGAGACGGCCACAGGGCCTCTGGGTCTCGGATCCGGGATTTGCAGTCTGGCGTTGCGGACTTGTAAGCCGATGTCGTGGTTGGGCTTGCCTCTTGGGAAGATGAGCGGCCGAGGGAGACAGTCGAAGGGGCGTTGGATGCTAAGGCTCGTCGGTGGGCGTGAACGGGGAATTATGGCGTTGCATCGTTTTGTGATGGGAATGCTTAGATCGTTTTATACAATGGGGAGTTATTGTTGTTTTGACTCTTGTATTATTTTTTCCCGCTGTTTCCACTTTCATGCATCTCGTCATTATCCGTATGACTATGGACATGTATAGGACATTATGTAAAGGGTGATGAGCCGAAATAGCTGAGACATCTTCACACGCCAAATGTTAAGCCAAGGTGTTTTCTTTTGTAAATTGTCGATATATACTCTCCAGAACTAGGCCTAGCAGCCAAAGTACCTCTTCTCGATCCAGCGTGGCTCGCGCTCCTCTTCGATCCGGCCGACAACCACCCGGGCGTTGGGGTAGACGGCACTGAGTCGCTTGAGGCCGATCTTGCCGGCCGCACAGGTGACAAACACAATCCGCTCCTCGCGCACGCCGTGGTCGATCAGCACACGGACGGCCATCAGGGCGGCGCCTCCGCTCGACATTTGCGGGTCCAGGAGCATGACATTCTCGTGCTCCTCGATTCCAGGGGGTAGTTTGAGGTAGTGGAGCTCTGGCTCTTCGTTCTTCTCGTTCGTCTGAATGAGGACGCGGCCCGTGATGCAGTCGGGAATGGTCCGCTTGAGAGCGGTCTCGAGACACGATCCGCCGCGCAGAATGGCGACGGCGGAGACGGTGCCGGCCTGGTTCAAGCCGTGGTAGGAAGTTTCTTGCGGGGTGTTTACTTGCTTGGGAATATAGGAGGTTACATCCAAAGCCCTGTAGGGTGGCAGACTATTAGTCGTGTGTCTTGAATGGAAGCAGAAGGCTCACTTACTTCTCGATCAGGAGAGCGGCGAGGCGGTCAAAGTAGAAGACAAAGTCGACGTGCTCTGTGGCAGGGTCCTGCAGGATCGTGTTCATGCCGATGAACTGTGGCGTTTCTTGCATGACGACGACGTTGGGGGACAGCGTCTCTTCCGAGGCAATCAGCCCGAGGCGAGTGAGCTCTGCACTGTGCTTCTCAGACTTCTCGTCGAGATTGCGCTGGATGTGTTTCACAACCATGTCTGTGCGGTTAGTGGGGAGACAGTGAGGAATGACGGCTCGCGCTTACCAATGGCTGTTCTGTTTTCAATTCCACGAGGAATAATGAGATCTACTATATGTCAGCTCCGGTTTAAATAGACCCAACGATCATGAGCTCACCTGATACTGCTCGTTGAGGTTCAACATATTTCTTATACGAAGGCTTGACATAGGTGAACCACTGCTTGATGATTCCCTCAATGTCTCTTCCTCGCTCCCGGACATCACGCATGACTAGCAACGTTTAGCATTTGTACGATTATGCAGGGAGTTGAGGGCTTACTTCTGCGACCCAGGCAGATATCCATGTCGGCCTCTACGAAAATCTGCCAAAGAATTAGCGTAAATACGGACAGATGCGCACCCATGACCTACCTTGACATCCAACAACTCCATGATGCGGGGGTCATGCAAAGCCAAGATTCCCTCCAAGATGATCACGTGCGGGGAATAAAGTGTCGTTGTTTGGGGTTCCCGCTGGTGTTTGGCAAATGAATATACAGGAATATCTGCCTTCTTCCTAGTGGATTCGAAGGGAAATAGTCAGCTTCCAGAGCAGCGTGGGACTGGCGAGTGATGACCCCCAGAGGCGGTCACTGTACCCTTGTTTCAAGTCCCGCAGGGTCTGCACCAGCACGTCGAAATCCAAGGATTCGGGACAATCAAAGTCATAGTCATTGGCATGTGCTCTGGCATGCTCCTCCGGGGTTAAGCTTTTGTAGAAAGAGTCCTGTGCCACATAATTGTCAGAAACCAATCATATCGCACGTAAATTGAAGGCCCCGAGAACTGGATCGGTAGACTAAGTATCTAGTCGGGTAAAGTGATAGGTGGAAATGTACCATTACGAGGATCACCACCCATGGGAGGTTCAACGACTTGACGATCTCCATGGCCACGGAAGTCTTGCCTGAGCCTGAACTGCCCGCGATACCGATGATACTCAGATCGGCCCATGGTGGAGAGTACTTCGTATTCTTGTCCGTGGCGGACGAGAACACCGGCGAGATGGACTGCATGATATGAGTGTTCCTCCCCAAGGAATGGAGATCAGATAAGTGCAGAACCCCTGGATATCATAACAGGGGGAGGGGAGAGGAGGGGTGAGAGGGAGAGGGAGGAGGACCAGAGGAAGCGATAAGAAAAAGGAAAAAAATAGAGAGATTGAGGCAAACTGATTGTAGCGGGCGGAGGAGGATAAGCCTTAAGCAGCAGCTGATAAGAACGAGCGATACACGATAGACTGCCAAATCCGTCCAGTGATCGCCGCTTACCTTCTTCGGGATTAGCCGTGGTCCGTGACCTTCGCTTGCGGTGGTGGTTTAGTTAGACTGCGCTTAGTCAACACAACAACGTGACCTGAATTTCTTCCGCCGCTTTTCCTTATTTTCGTTCCCTCCGCCGCAATTCTTCTTCTTCTTCCTCTCTTCTCTTCTCACTCATCGCTCTCCTTCACTCCCCCTCAGAAGGACTTTCCCACCCCATGGCTAGCGTCTGCGAAGCTCTCCATCTTCACAGACCGCCGGTGGCTCAGGACCAGAGAACTTGATTTACTCAGACTCTAACTGCTATAATGTCATCAGCAAATTACGTATGCGTCCTGACGTGCCGTGCATGCGTCGTTGCCTGGTTTTAACAACGGGAAACAGATGTCTCCCTCTTCCCCAACAACAACGCCAACATGGCATCGGTTCGAGCGGAAGATCGATGAGGTGAAACCGTCAAAAACGTGAGTTCTTTCTTTTTTTTTTCTGTGCTGTCCCCTTTTACATGATGATCTTGAAAATCAAGTTGGGAATCTCTCTGAATCAATGTGAGGAGAAAATATTTAACTTGTGTTACTGAACCCTTATCAATACGCGATCTTTCTCATGACGTACTGCTATTGGTCTGTTGCTAACATGCTTCTGCTAAAGTGATATCAATTATCTGGTTATGGACTACCTCATCACCAATGGCTACCCGGCTGCGGCGAAGAAATTCGCGCTCGAGGCCAACATCCAACCTAGAGCAGATATCGAGTCGATTCAGGAAAGAGTTGAGATTCGTACTGCGATTCATTCTGGGCATATTCAAACTGCCATTGAGAAGATCAATGAGCTCAACCCTCAGGTAAGAACTATCTCATCTCCACCCCTGCCGTCCCTCGTATGATTAAATCAGTTTCATGCACCACTCGGAACAATCCTTCGGGATTTGGTCGATAAACACTCATCATCATCAAGAACTTTATATGACTTGAATTCACTTGCTGCCATATTGCTTCGCCTATCAGTCATTTGAGCATTTCGGCTGACTTGCACTGATTTAGATCTTGGATGAGAATCCGCCCTTGCACTTTGCCCTGTTGCGTCTGCAACTGGTTGAGCTTATTCGCTCGTGCACTTCCACTCCTGATGGAGACATCAGTCCAGCCCTTGAGTTCGCGACCTCGCAACTCGCTCCCCGGGCGCCCACCAACCCCGAGTTCTTGGAAGATCTCGAGAGGACCCTCGCCCTCCTGATCTTCCCTGCGGATAATCTCAGCCCGTCCCTAGCCCATCTACTCCAGCCCGACCTCCGTAAAGATATTGCCAACCGTGTGAACGAGGCCATCCTGCAGAACCAGGGAGAATGTAAAGAAGCCCGCCTGCGCAACCTGGTTAAGCTACGCGCGTGGGCGGAGCAAAAAGCCCGCGAAGCCAAACTGAACATCCCCGACAAGCTGAGCCTTGGCTTGGGGGAGAATAGCTCCACCTCGTCCAGCCACCCGAACGAGAGTAATGCCGGTACCAGTCAGAATGGCTCGTCCAACGACACCGTAATGACCAATAATGGGGACGTGGACCCTATGATTTCGTGATCACCCCGGCGGTGATTTTCGTCTTGTTGCTTGTTAGCATGGAGTTTGGGGATTTCTTCGGTTACTTGGGGCTTTCTCATCCAGCTTTATACTGTACCAAGGTCTTGGTCTTGCGATGTAGCTTGGAAGAGTGGTTCGGCAGCCTTTGACGTGCGGCTCTACAAATATACGTTATGACAACAGCTTTATGCTCTGATGGGGGTTAGTCATCGTGTTTCAAGGCCAAGCATCATCCTGCATATACTCCTAGCTTGGTGTTCTACATCCCGTTCAGTAGGAATGATACCATCTTCTGTGAAGTAGAAGCCAAGCATGTGCAGCTCCAGCTCAGCCCAGCTCCCAGCAACTCCGGACCTGATAGAAGACACGATCATCTCCAACTCAACTACTACATCCGATAAATAAACCAAGCAAACAGAAACCCGTAACAACGACCATCAGATTCAAAGACCAACGCCTCATCATGCTAAAACCGAGTAAACAAGCGACGCAAACCCGCAAACATCATTATCAACAACCGCGACAGCGACAGCATCCATCACAGTCATACAACCCAGACCGCAAGAACATATATACACTCTCCCAACCACCTTCACCACTCTGATACCCCAAAGACAGATCCCCTCCCCTCCCCTCCCCTTCACAGGTCCAAAATCCAAAAAAACCCCCCTACCGCCTCTTCGACCCCCGCAAGACAATCCCCCCAACCACACCAGCAGCCAACGCCAACCCACCCACAATCGCAATCCCCAGCAACCCCTCCTTGGAGACCTTCTCCTCAATCAGGGTCCCCAGACTGGCCGCCTGCAGGTTGGCCGGCTCCTTCTCGAGCAGCAGGTCGTTGTACCGGCGCGCCTCGCCGTAGTTGCCGAGCTTGTAGTTGCCCAGCGCCAGGTAATACAGGCATTCCCGGCGGCGCTCGGGCGCGGCCCGGAAGATTTCCGATAGGAGGCGCACGCCTTCTTGTTGGTCGGTGCGGGAGGAGGATTTGATTAGGCCCTGTTCATTTTTTTGGTGTCTGTGTTAGCTGGGTTGGCTGTTTGGGACTGGGGGAGGTGGATGGCGGGGGCAACATACCCAGGCGAAGTTGAATTTAGTCTGGATGCCGACGTAGTCGCCTTCTTTCTCGTACTGCGCGCGCAGGACCTGTAGTTCGGCGGGTTTGAGCGGGCTAGTGTCTCAGGAGTTAGTTTAGCAGTGATGAGTGGTTCGGGGCGAGGCTGTACCTCTCTGCGTCCGCAGCATCTGTGAGGAGAGTTGGTGGTTAGATTGCACTGTCCTGCGGGGAAGTTTGTTTTGATGGTGTGGTAGAGGACGAACTTACATGGTAGGTTGGAACCCATGTTTGTTTCTTTCTTTGTTGCGTTGTGTGTACGGTCAAGCGGATAAATATGATAGCGAAGCACGAGATGAGGAAAGAGTGGAATGCGCAAGCAGGCTTGAAAGATGCGAGCGAGCAAGCAAGCAGCAGGCTACTATCTCGAAATGAAGGTCCTCCCGTGACGGGCAGGCGGCGGCAGCGGGCAGTGTCGTCAGGTCTGTGGCGGTGCCGCCTTCCCACGCCCGCCGCTAGGCCGCATTCGGGCGTGGCGGTTGCTCCACCAACAATTCGCTGGTCCGTTCGTCAACATTGACTTGATATCAACTTCGGTATCGTCATCAAGGTTAGAATCACACTCAAACACAGTCACAGATACACAGTCAATACAGATACATCTCAGCAAAATGTTGCTCGACGAGAGCCCCGCTACCGTATGCTCTTCCCATCGCTGTTTTCCAAAGTAACAGAAACTGATTCCTCCCCTCGTACAGCTCATCCACCACACGATCGGCAACTTCAACATCCACCCAGACAGACAAGCCGTCACACGCATCAATGACTCCCTCGCAACGCTGCAGCAGTCGCGCGAGCTGCGCATGCGCGAGGCCGAGTCCGCGCTCCGCAAGCTATCGCGCCACCTCTCAGCCCTAAACAACCAGCACGAAGAGGCGATGGCGGCGCACGACGCCGGGCGCCACGCGGCCGAGATGGTCGAGCTGGACACGAAGAAGTTCCGGGTCGCGAAGGCAGCCACGGAGCTTGAGATTGAGAGCGAGCGATTGGAGACCGAGCTGGAAATGCTGAAGGAGCGGCTCGCGGAGCTGGAGGCGCAGGGCGTGGAGGGCGATGAGCCGACGCGTCGGGAGCGGGAGATGGACGATGCTACGCTGTGAGTTGATCCTCCTTTCTCTGCGGTGTAACTGCTGGAGGGGCAGAGTTGCTAATCGGTGATTCACCTGAACTAGGCTGCGGTTGAAGATCTACCGATCTCTCGGCGTCGATATTGAAGCGGACGAAACCGGCAACTTCAATAAAGCGATTATCCGGAATAGTCGCAAGGGCGACGTGCATGTGGTCAACATCGACCCCAAGTTCTCCCGGTTCTTCTACTCGAACTACTTCTGGTCGACGATGCAGGGTTGAAATGCTTGGTTTCTTGTTTCTTTCGTTATGGCGTTATTTTTGTGGGTGGTCCACTCGTGTCTATGGTTGCGGGCTGTGGGCGTTCCTTGCTGTATCTTACATGATTAATATACCCCCCCAATGATCTTATGTTACTGTTATATGTACCCTTCACGTAGCGTCTGTGACTGCCGCCGACTCTCCCTCCCCTAGCGGGCCCTCACTATACCCCATCAGCGCCAACTCGCGCAGCAAACCCAGCCGGTCCTTCTCGCACATAAGACTAGGGGTCCCGCCCTTAGCCCAGAGAAGGGGTTTCTCATCGGGGAACCGACTCTGGATGACGGCGAGGGCCTCGTAGCGGGTCTCCTGGTCGTTGGGGTGGAGATTCCAGAGACGCCACCACTTCTCCTCCTGGCGAGCCATATGGGCCTCGATGTAGTCCATGCCGTACAAGTCATGTCCATCCCAGGTCAAACGAATAGGCGGGGGGCCTTCCTCATCAGCGGTTGTGGCGTGTATCTTCGAATCAAGCAGCGCGGTATTCGTATCCTCCGGTAGAAACGGCGACAAGCTGTCCCCGCGAAACTCCTCCAGCAACGGGTCGCGGCCGTGCACGACCTCGACACCGAGCGGGGTAAGGCCGAGGCCTTCGACGGCCTCGTTCCAGAGTGCCTGGCGCAGGGAGCCGCGCAGGTCCATCATGAAGTAGACGAGGGGCACGGGGCTGTCGCGGAGGGCGGAGCGCACGCCCGGGGTGGCCTCTGCGCGGCCGACGAGCACGCCGACGCGCGGCCGACCGTCGGAGCGCCAGTGCTGCGGCATGCGGCGTGAGATCGTGCCCTCCAGCTCGCGAATGTGCTGCGGCCCCAGCCGGCGCCGGTGCGCCTTGCACTGCATCGCGACGTGGATTGGCAGCTCGTGGCCCGGTAGGTGCCAGGTGCCCAGCAGGTCCATGCCTTTGTCATCACGGCCGCCGGTGCGGTGCAGCAGGAGCGCGGCTCCGTTGCGGAGCTGTGCTTGCGCTGTGTATTCGTATAGGTTGCCGAGATATGTCGTTGAGGTTGGGGGCAGGTTGTGGCGGCGCGCGTATTCGAGGAAGCTGGGGAGGTTGTAGTGTTTGTTGCTGTGTGGGATTGGGACCATCGGGAGCTGATGGACCCGCCGCGAGAAGAAGGAGAGGGTCGATGTCATTGTGGTGGTTGTTTCATGTTTCTTTTTTTCTTGTTTCTGGGGAGCGGAAAAGTGAAGAGAGAGCGGAGGGCGGAGGGCGGAGCAAACGCCGAGCACGGAGGTTCTTATCCTTTCCTTATCGCGATTTGCATCTGATCTCTCCGCTTCCTTCACCTTCACCTTCACCTTCACCTTCTACACTCCACCTCTACTCTCCTTTTTACTTACCGCCATCCCTTTAAATCTCACAGATTAACCTCATCCTCTCACCTTACAATCCAAGAAATAATCAAAATGGCCGACATCCTAACCCAACTCCAAACCTGCCTAGACCAAGTACATCCTCCTCCCTTCCCCCCCCCCGAATCCATGAATCTCGAACTAACGCCGCCAAAGCTCGCAACCCAATTCTACGCAACACTAGGCTACCTTACAACCTACCACGACAACAGCCCGGCAACCTTACCCCCCAACAACGCCACCGCCGCGCCCGCCCTCGCGAAGATCCCCAAGAACTCGACCGCGCCGCCAGTCCCAGCCTCGGCACCGCTCGCCGCACAACAACAGAACCTCCAGCAGAACCAAAACCAGTCGCCGGCGCTCATCTCCGCGGCCCCGACAACAGCAGGCGAAGCGGGCAATACCGCGCAAGGGCAAGGGCCAGGGCAGGGGGCGGACCCGAGCCAGCCGCCGGCGCCGGACTCGCCGCGGACGTTTGCGGCGCGGCAGCGCGAGCTGGCGCGGGATCTGGTGATCAAGGAGCAGCAGATCGAGTATTTGATTTCCGTGCTGCCGGGGATTGGGGCCAGTGAGGCGCAGCAGGAGGCGCGGATACGCGAGTTGGAGGGGGAGTTGAGGGATGCTGAGGGGGTGAGGGAGGCGCGGATGCGCGAGTTGAGGGCTCTTAGGGGGCGGTTGGATCGTGTGCTTTCTGTTATGCAGGTTGGGATCTATGGTAATCGAGAATAGGGCAAGGTGAAAGGAGGGGGGTCCGGGGTTATCCCCCGGATGTCTTTATCTCTGGTATTAAAATGAGGTGGGGCCAGGGAGCTGAAAGAAAGGGGGGTTCGGGGGTTCTCCCCCGGGATGCTTATACCTCTGGAATAGAGATAGCATTGAACCAGGAAGTTGAAAGAAAGGGGGGTCCGGGGGTCCTCCCCCGGGACGTTTTACTCCAGTCTGTGTATGAGTGTGTGTGTGTGTGGAAAGAGAAGCATGATGAAACTAGTATTAGTTGGTGTTTTTGCCTAATCTAATGCTGTGTTAGAGATCATGTGCATCCAGACCTTCTATATGCTCGAAACCGCCCATATGGTCCAGCCCGTCCCTCGCTGTGTAGCTTTCTCTTGTGTGTCTCTGTATATGGATGCCGTTTAGATCCGACCCACCTTATTGCATAACCCATAACGAAATAACCACGGAATAGAAAAACGCCAGATTAGATAGATGTCCTTCCCTCTTTGCAAAGCCAGCCAATAATGAACAAACCCCGGGTATAGAACAGACACAAAAAAGAAGAAATAAATCACTTGAATAAACTCCGGTATTCACGCATGCGCTGCTCCTGCACCTCTTTCTTATCGAGCTTGCCGCGGTTCATACTCAGGTCGGCCAGCTGCTGCTTTTTCTTAGCCAGCTCGAAGATCTTCTCCTCGATGCTGCCGGTCATGATGAACTGCACGGTGGTGACGGGGCGGGTTTGGCCGATGCGGTGCACGCGGTCGACGGCCTGCGCCACGGCCGCCGGGTTGTACTGCGGCTCCATGATGTAGACCTTGGACGCGGCGGTGAGGTTCAGGCCCACGCCGCCGGCGCCGATGGTAGCCAGCAGCACGGTGATGGCGTCGTTGTGCTGAAACTCCTCAAGGGCTTTGTGCCGCGCCGACAGCGTCATGGTGCCGTCCAGGCGCGTGAAGCCGGTCAGCCCGTTGTCGCGCAGCGCGATCTCAATCAGGTCCAGGTGCGACGTCCAGGCCGAGAAAACCACGCTCTTGTAGGGGCGCGCCTGGCCCTGGGTCTGGCTCTGACTCTCCTCCGCCGTGGCCAGCAGCTGCGAGATCAGCGCGTTGGTCTTGGTGTGCGGGCCCTCGTACTCGCCCAGCGTCTTCGCGTGCTTGCGACTCTGCTTGGCGTGCGCTTGCTCCACCAGGTAGTCGTGTAGCCCGCCCACGGTGATGAGCGAGTACGCCGCCGGGATCCAGCCGTCGCACACCTGGCACCGGATGTTTGGGATGCGGCTCGTCTGCGCTTGCTCGAATGCAGGGGTCCACCCCGCGAAGCAGTCCGGGCAGAGCACGTCGAAGCAAGGGAGCACAATGGCCACGGCCGCCTGGCGGTCGACCGCGCCGTTGTCCGCGCTGGGCTCCTCGAGGCGTTTCCCGCACGTGGCACACGTGTCCGCTGAGGATTCCTGCATGAGCGTGAACATCTCGTATGCCTTCTTGTCGGTGGCGCCGCTGCTATCGCCCGCCCCTTCTTCTAGATCGATCGCGTCGTGCACGCTCATCCCCTTGATCCGCTGGCGGTCGTCCGGGTCCAGAAGCTCTTTGCCGTGCGCGCTGATTTGACGCAGGATCATCATCGCTTTCAGGATGTGGTGGTACATGCGGCCCTTCATCTTCGACTTCTCCTCGCCCGCGATCACCCGCATCATCACGTTCGACTCCTTGCGGAAGAACTCGTGCAGCTGCCGCTCCTTCTCGGAGAAGTTCAACATGATGATCATATCTTGCCGCGGGGGAAGGTCGATCTTATCCTTGACTCGCCGCAGCGTGAACGAATCAACAAGTACTCGCAGACTGGCTAGGACCGTAGCATCGCCCGTCTTGAAACGACTCAGGATGTGCATGCCGAAACGGGCGCGGTCGTCGTACGGATAGAGACCCAGGAATTTCGTGACGGAGAGCAGATCCTCGAGACGGTTTTGGATCGGAGTTCCGGTGACGGACCAGCGACGCTGCGAGTTCAGCTTGAAGATCGCCTGGGTCTGGGCCGCGCTCTGCTCGCGGATGGTGTGGGCCTCGTCCAGAACAATGCGGAACATGTTCATCTTGGTCAACGGGCTCACTCCGCGTTTCGCTCCTCTCCCTGATAGTTCGCTGAGGACAATGCTGTAGGTCGTGATGACTAGGTCGTACTTAGACAACTCTTCCACATCGTTAGTCCGGGACGAGCCATGGAACACGTAGTATGAAATCGCATCCTCTTTGAGATGCTCCTTGATCTGCGCCACCCAGTTGTTGACCGCGCTGAGGGGCGCCACCAGAAGCGTAGTCCTGGTATTGCGAATGCCCGGAAAGCTTTTGACCAGCGCCGGGTCGGGGGCCTGCTTGATCCATTCGCGGGATTCGTCCAACGAGGTCACGACCAGCGAGAGAATGCTCAACGTCTTTCCGAGACCCATCATGTCCGCCAATAGTCCACCCAGGCTTTGCGGAGGCTCTTCTTCAAGGACTGTGCCACTGATTATCTCACGGTACCTCCTCTTTCCGCCGGACCGGTAATCCCTCCGCCATAGAGAATTGTTGTCCGCCTCGTTGGGACCAAACTTGCGCGGCTTTTCCTTCTCAGTCATGAACCAGAGCGCCTGTTTCTGATGGCGAAGCAGCGGGGTCAGCAGCACAGAAGGGGGCTCCATTTCAGGCAGGTTATCATTACTCTGGAGTTGGTCGAACATCTTCATCACAGCATCATTGACCTCCTCGGCAGTGCGCACTTCATAGTTGACGCCCACACGACCCCGGGCGGCCACGGACGGCAGGAACGCAGCCTGAGCCCGTCGCATCTCGGCGTGAGGATTGAGCGTGGGCACACCCTGTTCCACCGAGATCGGCGACGCAAGCCAGACGTTATGCTGACCGAGGTGCTTGCCGACCAGCACAGCATCTTTTCGGAGGCCGTAAAGATTGATAGACGCTCGGTAGATCTCCGAGCACGGCGTCCATGGCCATTCGTTCTCTTTCCTACGCCTGAAATCCAGCCGCGCCGTGAGATCCACCTTCAGAGCGGACGAGTCGAGGAGCGGTGCCACAACCGCCGCTACCCTGGCATCAATCACGCCGAAAATCTTCCCATTCGGATCTGAGACTTCGATGCGGGCGTTCTGGCGCGATGGCCGATGCACCCCCAGTTTCATGGACGGCCAGTCGTGCGTCGAGTCCGCGAAGATGGAGTGCGACGAGGGCTTAGGGACCAACTGCGCATGGACAGTAGCCCCGTCGATCTTCCCATAGCAAACCCTCTGTTGACTGAGATTATTGGACCCGGTGACCTGGATTTCATCATCGTCGGTTGCTGCAGCTGACACATCTGCCGCGGAGGTTGGGTTAGTTAGCCTGTAATGCAGCACGGTCGCAGTCAACTCTCGCCCATACCTGTAGTAGTCAAGTCCACGACGTTCGCAGTGGACGAGGACGAGTCCGCCTGGTCGCGCCCTTCCTTCATCCAACCCCCCAGTCCAGTGTCTCCACCACCGGCAAAGTTCGTATTATTCTGCCCAGGCTTCCCTTCTTGATCTTTGTCTACCTTCACCCTCTTGACCGGCTGGCTGACACGTCTCTCGACCCCGTACATATTCTCAATGAGACTCCCATGACGCGCGTCAACGGCCCCGTCGTCAAGATGCTCCGAGCCGCGCTTCATGTTCATCCGATCATCGTCGACGTCCGAACTCGCGCTCGCGAACTCCACATCGATCGTAGGCGCCGCCTGGTATACCTGCGACGAAGCGCTCAACGCATTCCCCGATAGGGAAGGAGTCTGCGTACCAGATCGTGACGTCATGTTCGATGCCGAGTTCGAGGTCGCGGTCGAGGTGCCCGCCCTCTGATGCCGTCGACGCGGGCTGTTGAGGAGTCGATGTGCTGCGGAGGCGGTCCCCGCCGGCGCGATGGAAGAAGCGGGACTGCGCGGGGAGGCGGGCGTGGAGGAAGGGTCCGGGGGGTTCGCTGACAATCCTGGGGGAGATGAGTCTTCCGGGTCTGATCCATTGGTATTAGGGGAGAGAGGAGGGGGAGGGCAAGGGCAGTGCAAACTCGAGGGGAGGATCGAGGACTGCGGTCCTTCGTCGTCGTGCGGGGGCTCCACCTCGGGTGAGGGGTCTGGGTGAGGAGAGGAGGAGGAGGATGATGATGATGCGGGTTCTTCCGGGAGAGAGTTACCGTTCTTGTTATGCAATCGCTTTCTGTACGCCCGGGGGTCCAGCAGCATGGCGGCGTTGGAGGAGTCCATGGCTGTCAGATCGAGTCTCCTTCAATGGTAACCAGCGGAACACGCGCGCGGGCGTAAGGTAGATCCTTGAGGGGAAGTATCAAGATCGCAGAAGGTACAGTCGATAAGGGAGTACTGAAATCATCCAGGGTAGCTGTGCGATGGGATTCTGGTACAAAGTTGAGGGCAGGCTAGGTTGGTGATGGTGGTCAGGCTGAGCATACACCCCGGGGAGTGGGAGTCCGGTGGCGTCAAAACGAGGGACAAGTAAGGGCAGGCGACAACATCAGATTGCTTTTATCGCGTGAAGACGTTGGTAACGAAGACCGAAAAGTAAGAGGAGAGAGCAGTGAGACGAAGGTGGTAGTGAAGTGAGAGATGAGAGACGGAGGGTTGGATCCTCGACGGTGACGATGGTGGGCGATGCCAAGAAGTCGGCGATAGATAAGATTGCGGGCGAGTCACGAGTGATGTATAGAAATTAGTGTGCATGTGTTAACAGCAGGACTCGAGATGATTGCAGAGAAACATTAACTCTATTCTTCATTTTCTTGTTCTGGGAACTATATACTCAAAATAAAAGATTATATACGGAGTGTAAGTCTGAAATATGATTAAGTCTCACTCAGTATCCCCCGGTGAAGATCAACTTCCATTGTCTATGACACTAACCCGCCCGATGAGATTTTTTCAACAGCCATACCCTGCGAATCAACATAAAAGGAACTCCTCATGCCAGATTATCATAATACACGCTAAATGGGGTGATGAAGAAGAGGAAGAGGAAGAGGAGGAGAGGAGGAAGGAGATGATGAGAATATAGGAAGCGTAGTAGAGAGAACGTGCAGGAAATCCAGGTTTAACACCAGGTAAACACCGGATTCTTGCTCTTAACGGCCTCGAGCCGTTCGACAATCACTTTACGTTGATTGCCTTCCATGCCCTCCGCGGCGGCATATCCGAGATCACCTTCGAGATCATCGCTGCTCCAGAGCAGATGGGCTTGGCCGCGGTTACTAGAGATTGAACTGTGTTTCTGGTGTCGAGGACCTGACCGGGGAGGGAGCGTCGCCCAGCTGCGTTCCAGGTTTCTGCCATGGCTCAGCTCGTCAATACTGTCACGGCCATATCTGTCATCCATAGTGACTGGACTTCCGGACATCGCCCTGCCATGGCCGGATGCGGAGCCACGGCCTCTGGAGAGTTCGAACCGGTTGGGGTTTGGCAGCTCGTTCGGAGGGGAACTGAGCCCGAGAAGATCGACCTCGGGACCTGAGCCCAGGGACATGGAGGCACCAATGTCCATTTCCTCGTTATCGGGGTCATAAGTGCTATGTTTATCGTAAGTTTCGTAGCTCTTCACTTTTCGTCTCTGTGCCTCCGTTGAGGGGCCACGGAGGGGGATGGCAACCGGCACATCCACAAGATCATCCCAGACACAGACACGCGTTCTTCTCGTCAGTTCGAGTGGGCCGTGGTCTGAGTGCTTCAAGGTCTCTACCACATTCCATGCCTGGCCTTTCATTACAGCAATTTGTCTCGCAAACATGCTCTCCTTGAAGTCGTCATCCTGCGAAAATACCCGCCGCAAGGCCATCTGCGTGCCACTCCACCAGGCGGTCGAGGTCAAGAGAGGTAGGAAATGATCACGAGTCTTCTGCGAAAAAGGTTGACCGATCAAGGATACGGGAAGGAACAGCCAGCCGAAAGGGAAGCTCCGCCACTGAGGGAATATTAGCACAAGTCGGAAAGGCACCAAGTATCACAGTTCGAGATAGAACTTACTGCATCAGGATGTTTCCATGGCCACGACAAACTATTGTCAATGGCACCGATTTGGATGGTTGCATGAGGCTCGGTTGTGTTCAAGGGAGTGCCCGTGCGACTCACGGCGAGCATTGTCTCACGTCTTCGGTAGGGGTGAGGCGCAGTTGTCGCCCCGTCCGCATTGACCGGTACTGGGCGCGCAGGAGGCATGTCATCGTCATCATCTTGCTGCTGCTGTTGCACTCCATTGGGCTTTGGTGGGTCGGCGACGATAGAGACTTCCTCGGTTCTCCAATCGATCTTGATCATCCAGTTATCTAAACCTCGGTCGGTGTTGCGCATGATATAGTCCAGGATAACGAGCTTCTCCAGCTCTTCCCTAAATGACTGCTTCAAAGTTTCCGTCCAGTAGAAACGCCGCTCTCTGCTTTCCTCGCGTGGCGATGGAGTGCGCGTTTGACCATCGTGGTATTCTTCTTCATCTTCATCATCCGAATGCATCCCAGAAGGGCGACACGCTTCATTCCAAGGCCGCTTCTTCCGCTTGGGAGCGTCCTCTGCTCGGAAGCCAGTGTTTGTCTGATCAGGCCAGGGATGGTCACGCAAGAAAAGATTCGCATCCTTGTAGCCCTTAAGAAAGACCTGAAAACTGCCGGCCTTGGGCGGGAGGGACTTCTTGCCCATCCAAGCTTTTCTGCGATCCCAAAAGTCGTAAAAGAATGACTTGGAGGACAGCCAGACGATATCGGTGTAAGGGACGAGATTCGTTTGTAGTCGGGAATCGAGGACATATGCCGCGGCCTCGGAGACATAGGACAAGTTGGGGATGAGACAAGCGCGACCAAAGAAGCATGGGAACAAGTTGCGGTGAATCCATTTGGTCCACTTGGGGTTGCGGGAGGCATATGGTTCTTCATCCTTGGGTTTGAAGACTCCGACGACCTTGCCTTCGCTATTGCGAGCGAAGTAACTGCCGGAACTGCCCTGGGAAATCATCCGGGGATGGACGCCCATCTCAATGGCGATGCGGACACTCTCCACAACCTCTTCGAACTCCTCTCGAGCTCTCCGCGCAGCGCCTTCGACTTCGTCTGATTCGAGAACCTCGGCAGTGACCGGTCGCACGCCATCGGGCGCTTGGAAGACTGAGTGGTAGATCTCTAGCTTCTCCTCCTCAAGTGTCTTCCCCTTGACCCGATGGATCTTGAACTTGGAGGCAATCTCTTCCGCCCACCGCTCTAGGCGCGCATTGATGGCTTTGATGTCGACGCCTGAGTTCCTCCGTCCCCGGCGGTGATATTGTCCACTAAGTCTGCGTCGCGGTTCGGGAGGCGAGGCCAAGCCGGTTCGAGCGGAAATGGGGGCATATCGAGGGGCGGATTGGGAAATGGTGTTGGAGTCGTGTTGTAGGTCGTCATCGTCAGAATAGTCGTACGGATCGTGGGCTCGGTCTTCTTCTTCCTGCGCCAAGCGGGCATACCCCGAAGTAGCGGGTCGATTCTTTGGCATGGTGGAAGGCGACTCTGTTCTGGGAGGGGGCGGAGGGGAGAGGGTGGGTTTAGGAGTGCAAGGACCGGAAGGCAACCACCATTCAATTCATGTGAGAGGTCAGTCAGGAAGGGAAAGAATTATAAATAACCAGGCATGAAATGAACGAAGAGAAAGAAACAATCAATTAATAAGAAGATGAGCAGCGGAGGACAGAGTCAAGGCATTAGTGAGGACGGACAGCAACAGAAACGCAAATGAAACTGGCGGGTGGTGGAAATGGGAGGTGGAGGTAAAGTAATGGAAAGCGGGTGAGGGAATGATTGGGAATGAATGGCTGTCATCTTCTTCTTCGTCGTCGTCTTCTGTTCCGGAGAAGCAATACGGCTGTGGCTTGTCTGGCTCAATTTACGGAGATACTGTACCAATACCATCCCCGGTCTACCATCCCCATCCCCAATTGGGTCTGAAGCCAGCCAGGGTCTTGCGCCCGCCACATATCTGACAGTACGATACAACACCGCCACGACACACTTAAACTGATAGACCAGGCCAATTGCCCGGGCTCCACCTAAGCTTCATGAACTTCGAAGAGCCCCTGAATGATGAGCATCGAAGATGACGCATTGGGAGGAGACACAAGAGGATTGCTGCGGAGTCCAGAACAGCAGCAGCAGCAGTAGTAGGAGCATCAAAGGACCAACCCCGCCGGGGCCCCAATGTAGGCCAATTGATGTGGTGGGATAGATACTTCCAGTCACCAGTCAAACTATTCTGTCGAAAAGGAAGAAAGAGCACACGTGTTCATGTAGATATAAAGTGCCCGCCACTGATCTGAAGCCCTACTGGGCCATAGGTACTGTAAGTTCAATTGACCACACATTTGGTTATCGTGCTGTGCGGGAAACCGGTTTCATCGAGCCCCGAAGCCAAGTAGCGATCCATTTAGGGTACAAAACACCTAAACCTTTGTTGAAAGCTTCGGGGGACCAGATGGACTTCCAAACTGCAAAGGGGCATGCAGGGGCACGGCAACAACATTGCCAGGACTCATTCCGGGCCACGCTTATTAGTGGTCATGGTGGTAGTAGTTAATCGATATTTTGAGATAAGACACGAAACCTGAGACAGGGAAATCGATTGTTTGAAAGTACTGTACCAGTAGTTACACTAAGTAACCCATGACGGCATCATTTAATGGCCAAAATCAAGAAGGAGACTGAAAAGCATAAGTTAATAAGTACTAAAAAGAGTGATTAAGAAAAAAAGAAAACCAGATTGGGTCCAGCCCCAGCCCAGCCGCCGTAAAAGGGCATTTCCTCACTCACTCAGTCTGCAACAATCGATAGCCTCTCCGGCCCAGGCGCGATAAGTAGGCAATCAATCAATCTCGTTCCCGACCACCCCCAATCCCATCGTCACGCTTCCCTCAATCTCACCTTCACCACCTCGTCCTCTCCCATTCGGCTCCGTTCCTCCTCCATATGATCACCTCAGAGGTCTCTCAATCAACCTAATTGATGGTCTCTCTTGCGCTACCCTCTCTTTCTCGTCACTCTTTTCAGTTGTCGTTCTTTGGGTCGAGTCTCATCGTTGTGTCTCTCGGACAGCCTCGCTGAGATCTTTCGCTCCTTATCCGATATACTTGCTCTGTACGTCGCCAGTTCAATCCGATCGCGATAAACCCTAGATCACGCGGGGAAAGGATCTTTTAGATCTTGGATCGGACAATTCATTTCGGCGGGCGGGACATTACAGGAAGACATTCCAGATTATTCCTCCCTTTTTTTTCCCGTGGCTGGTCTTCTTCCACAGCGGCGCGAATCCTCCCTCATCCATACAACCCTCTACGTCCTCGACGCGAAACGGCTACACTTGCTCGCAATTCGGTCAATTGAGGCCGGATTTATAGTCAACCCTCGACGACAACCTCCACGGTGGCTTCACTCCTCTTCCGGGCGTCGCCCATCGACCCAGCCCTTCGACCTCCGTCGCCGTCGAGTTCTCAGTCCCACGAACCGGCCTACAATCAAAGCTCATCCTCGGGGGACAGTCAACTGGAATCGCGTCAATCCACATCGGATGCTGTGACCGGGACTTCTTCCGCATCGTCGCAGTACTCAGGAGCTCTTCCGGAACTTAGCTCGTTAGACAAATTCACCCATAGTCCCGGTAGTAGCAGCAGCAACGGCAGCGCCTTCCCCAGCTCACTCGGTCCTTCACTGCCTGGATTGTCTGCGCTGGCATCGGTCGCGTCTGCGCCCACCTCTAATCTGCGGTACGTATCCTTGCAGCTTTCCTTCGCCAGGCAGATCTCGAGACCTTGAAACTATGAAACCGGGTGTGTTGAACAGGTTCGTGGGGTCTCTGGTCACAGTCTCTACAGGAGGGGGAAAGGGAGCGCTTCATCGCGTTGTAAGCACGGTCTTGTTTTTTTTTATTTTTTGCTGACGGATCTTACGTGTTCAGAGCGTCGAGTAGCAATGCGAATCACGGGATGGCCAATATGACCTACGCGACATCATCCCCAGCGGCCACCACTGGTGGGCAAGGCAATAACCCTGTAAGTAACTACTATTGGAGTGTTGGGCTTATCGCGACGGGGAACGTTCTTATCTTCGCACTGCTGAGGAATTTTCCCGACCTCTTTCCACTTTGACCCGGAATCCCCTCGTTTCTTTTTCGCTCCCAATCTGCTGTTATCAGCAGCCGCTGGGGTCTTGGCGCCGCACCACCTGTGCCTTATCGCTCCAGCCCATCAAATCTCTCCCGATCTTATCAACCCAGCGCTCTTCCTCCTCCATCCACTATCAGCGCCGTCTCCTCATCTTCCTTATCCCCTTCCTTTTCTCTACCGCCCCGTTCGCTGTCTTGAAGACCATGGCGACCACATTGGCTGATCAGAAACATTCTCAATCACAGCCTGTGTGCCAGAATTGCGGCACTTCCACCACCCCCCTCTGGCGCCGAGACGAACTGGGCTCCGTGCTCTGCAACGCCTGTGGTCTCTTCCTGAAACTACATGGGAGGCCTCGGCCGATAAGCCTAAAGACTGATGTGATCAAAAGTCGCAACCGCGTCAAGACCGCCGGGCAAGGCACCAAGCGTAAGGTGAGTACTGGACTCGAAAATTTTTCTTATCCTTGACGTTGCTTCCAAGATAACGGTCGCTAACCTTCCTCGTCTTCTCTATTCTTTAGTCCGGCGGGGCGATCGATACCAATGGCCTCTCTGCCTCCAGGTCCGAAGCAGGGACCCCTCCTCTGGGAGCGCATGGCAATCGTCGCGCATCGCGGAAGACGTCACCGGGTCATTCCGACCGATCCAACTCGCCGGTGCCGCGCACGGAAACGCCTGGTCTTCCCCAAGTGCAACAACCACACACTCAATCGCTGCACAATTCCAATATCGCCCCGCAACACATGTTTGACAGTGTGACCATTGGGGATCATGGCATGAATCCGCCCAATTCGATGCCCTCAGTCCAATTGCGGCAGCCCTCCCCTACCGCGACCTCCGCGGCTGGCGAACGTCATCCCGAGTCTCCCCAGACTTATGAGGGCCTTCTAGCGGCCAACACATCCCTGAAGACGCGCGTGAGTGAGTTGGAGTTTATCAACGAACTCTTCCGTGGTCGCGTTGCCGAACTCGAGCGGAGCGATGCCACTGCTCGCCGGTCCGAAATGATCGTTCGCGACTCGGAAGTCCGGCTGCGACGGTCTCTCGAAGAGGCCCAGCGACGCGAGGACGATCTCAAACAGCGCGTGGCCGATCTCGAGCGGCAGCTGGTTGACAAGGCCACCATCAATTCCACGAACAGCGACAGCCCGGGTGAACCTCTAGCCAAGAGAATGCGATTGTCAGACGTGGTTGAACAACCAGCCGAGTCCCCGACCAAATCGCCCAAGAGCGTCTAATCCCTGGAGGAAGGTTCAGTATGTTGGACGGAAGCGTCTGTGCTGTCAATCACAACGTGTCTCTGCGCGTTGCTGAGATCTCTGATCTGATCTTCCTTGGTCTTTTTGATACCCTTTACGAGTCTTGTCATTGGCTGGTTGTATATCGGATTAACTAATTGTACCCTTCTCTTTGGATTGATGTTTTATTTTCATTCTCTGTCTCACACCCTTTCATCCATTTTCTCTCTGCTATATTCTTAATTCCGATATGGGACGGGGAAAGATCGGTTGGAACTCATCAGCACGACGTTGGCACGCAGTACAGAATCTGCAGGCAAGTCACAAAACACAAAAGCGAGAGAATTTTCTGCCACGACCAAAAAAAGGAGAACGAATTGACCCTGTAAAGTGCCCGGGGGACTCTTTCTCAATTGCTGTAACTTGTTGTTATCTTATATTCCCTGCAATCACAATGTGCTTTTAACATTTTTGACCTGAGGGTCTATTTTTTATACTGTCTTAGTCAATAACCTGTTCCCCCGTCTGCGATCAGGATATGATTATTTTTCTCGGCCGAGGGTTATCAAACTCGAAGTTTCCGCATGCATCATTCTTCCTTTCTCAACACCAATACTATAGGCCACCCGACCATCAAACCTCCATCTCACCACATTCCACACTAAGTCTAACTGCCATATCCAGAAGGCATTTTGAACAATTTCCAAGGGCTAATGAGTGGACCACGAATGCGCCGTGGATGCACCCATCAATGATCCCAAATACTAGCCCGACTATACGACCCCTGGGAACGAGAAAGCTTCAGACGAGCACGAGACGAGTTTTTCAAATCATCCACCTTACACTTAGCGACATCTGAGTCACTGAGGGCGAGTGGTCATCAGGTGCTTGCTTATATCTGTAGGTGTCTTGGTAAGTCTACCCATTCAAATAGATCTCCTGCTATTTCTGTTTCTCTGATCATTCGAATTCCCTTCACCTCCACTGTTACACATTCTGAATATGGATCGCATCTCTGCCAATCAAGAAAGGCCCGCGCCGGTCATACCTCACACCACACAGTATTGACTGAGTCTTGTAGGTCAATATCCCTACGGCAGGTGCTTCACCTAGCTAGGACGAGATGAAAGCCTCGATCATAAGCCAAAACAGTACCTCGTCTCGAGCAGCTTCTGGTGGAATGTCTGTGTACCAGCAAAATGTACCGACGGCTATTCGTGGGCGTTGCGCCCGACCATTACGATATATATCAGATATGGTCCCTAGCCCTTTTTCCCTTTGCATGTTTTCGCAGAAACCCCCCGTTGCCTCCTTTTCGGACCATCTACATCGATTGTAAATTGACAACATGGATTTGATCATCGCAAGGGCCCTTTTGCTTAACTACCTGCAATATCCGGTTTTGTTTGGGCTTCTCTACGTCGTGACGCTCGTCGTCTACCGCCTGACTCTGAGCCCGCTGGCTCGCTTCCCTGGGCCTCGTCTGGCAGCAGCTACAGGCTTGTACGAGGCATACTACCAAGTTGTTAAGGACGGCATCTTCACCTGGAAGATCAACAGTCTCCATGGCCAGTACGGCCCGATAGTGCGAATCAAGCCCAACGAGCTCCACATCCGAGACCCCGACTATTACGACACGCTGTACTCCGGCCCAGGCACGCACCGCAACAAAGATGCCGGGTTCAGCTTCATCGCGTTCCCCAAGTCACTCTTCTCGACCGAGGAGCACGAGCTCCACCGAGACCGAAGACGGGTCTTGGGGCAATTCTTGAAGAAGAACGCCATTCAACAGATCGAGCCGGCGATACACGCTAACATCGAGCTCTTGGGACGACACTTCTCGTCCCTGGTGGGCAGCACGAAGTCCCTGGAGCTTCACACGGCGTTCGAGTGCTTCACCGCGGACACCCTCTCGCAATACTGCTTCGGGAAACAGGAAGGCTTCCATTACCTCGAGCAGCCGGAGCTATCGACAACCTGGAAATTGCGCATCAACTGGATGTTCGAGTTCTGTCGAATGAACCGACAATTCCCATTCTTGGTCTTCTTCGCACGCGTTTTGCCGTGGCTGGCGACGAAGGTCTGTCCTCCCTATGGATACATCCTGGGCTTGGAGCAGGTAAGCAGCGCACACCACCACCACCACAACCCAGAAGCAGGAAAGAGTAACCACCTGGAATGAACCAGGACATCAAAGGCCTCGTCCGCCAGGCGATCGACCGCCACCAAACCTCCTCCAAGACCAACCGGGGCAGCTCCCTCCCTGGCGCCTCAACAGCCATCTACCCAACCATCCTAGCAGACCCGACCGTACCACGCAGCGAGAAAGAGCTGTCGCGTCTCGAAGATGACGCCATCTTCCTAATGATGGCCGGCACCGACGCCCCGTCCCAAGCCCTAGCGATCACCATGTTTCATATCCTCAACAACCCGGACGCGCACCAGAAGCTCAAAGCCGAGCTATTCGCCAGCATGCCAGAGGCGAGCTCAATAGCTCCGCTGGAGACTCTAGAACAACTTCCATTCTTAGTGAATACTCCGTCTCCAAAAATCCTACAACCACCACTAACCCAATCGCACTCAAACCCAGAGCGCAACAATAAAAGAAGGCCTCCGCCTCTCCTCAATCGTAACCACCCGTCTCCCACGCATCGCACCCCACGAAACCCTTCAGTACAAACAATGGTCCATCCCCGCCGGCGTACGCTCCTCCCCTTCACGCTCTTCCCACCCGCTCACCCCCACTCCCCACCACTAACCTGATACATACTGTACATATACATAAAGACCCCAGTAAGCATGTCCACCTACTTCATCCTCCGCGACAGCACCATCTTCCCGGACCCCACGCGCTTCCTCCCGGAGCGCTGGCTCCTCGACCCCGAGACCCTTCAGCGCCAGCAGCGATACCTCGTACCAGCGTCGAAGGGCACGCTAGGTTGTCTGGGGCAGAAGTATGTCCCCCTTCCCTCTTCCCCCCATCTGAACCAGAACCAGAACCCCGGGGATGCGAATTGACTGACCCGCTACCCTCAGTCTAAACTCGGCCCTCATGTACCTGGTCCTCGGCACGCTTTTCCGGCGGTATGACCTTGCGCTTTTCGAGACGACGGAGGAGAATGTGCGGATGGTGAAGGATAATTTTATTGGGCAGACGGGGTTGGGGTTGAATAATGTGCGGGTGAGGGTTTTGAGCCGGTTTCTTTGAATCTTTTGGAGGAGGCGGATGGGTGGCTGTGAATATATCCATAAGGTGGGTAGGTAGGGTTGGTTTCTGGTTTGCTTGTGATGGAAGATGGGGATATGTTTCTGAGTTTACCCATCGCTATCATATGAGGGTATCTATTCAGTGGATGGTCTTTGTCTGAAAGGGAATTGTGTAGGTGATTCTTAGCAGTGAGGGAGAGAGGGGATTTTCGTGGTGGGAATGGGATACCGTAACAAGTTGAATGTCTAAAACATATGTAGGCGTTGAAGAGCGCGCAGTTAACTGTCACCACTTCCTTGATTTTAGCGTCCTCTCAAATAACTCCAGGCTTGTCTGAGGTTTTATTGCGGGAGACTCGGGAGTGTTAAGGGATAACTACTAATACTAGGTTATTGCCCTTGGGCTACCAGACAATCAAGTATGGCTGTCTTGGTAAGTTACTTGTACTACTGACCTATGTGCTGCGTTTCTTGAACGCCCGGGTAGGGGGAAATCAAATCAAAGACAATACTACTTAGTTAACATGTCGAATGCCCGAAGGGTCAGTTGCTGCTTACAGAATCTATATCGGAAACCGTCGAAGCAAAATCTAGTCTATACTGCACGGCAACTCTATGGTGAACACCCTATTCAAAAGTTCATCGAACCTGGACCTGCCTCGACAATCATACTATAAACTTGAATTTACCGTATAGAAAAAGAACAGACATACTTGACTCCTGGGTATTATATACGCAAAAAGTGAAGGATTGGCAGCTGTGACAGTGGATGAAACGAGCGGTGTAAATAGCTTTGTCAAAAAGCTATTACGGTCAATTTGGGTGCCTGGGATGTGACGGGGGCGGCAGGGGTAGTACAACACGGTTGATCACTCAAGCAAGTCGATCATGCTCGAGCTTCTTCCGCATTGCGCCGTGGATGCGTTTCTCGCGCAGAATAGTCCACAGGCACACGGCTAGTCCGGCCACACCTGAGACAAAGGTAGTGTAGTAGGCAGCCTGATAGCAGGCCAGTCCATCAGGACATTCCCGGTCGCCGTCTGGACCAACGACAGAGTGACGGTCGTACGTGTGGCCGTAGAGAAGGTTGAACACGTTACCGCTGAAAACCGGGGCAAGAGTCATGACGCCCCAGTTCTGCGAGAGGCCGTTGATGCCAAAATTGTGGGCGACAAGGGAGGGGAACACGCCAAAGAGAAAGCCGTAGGCGATCCCCGTGAACCCCGAGACGATGGCCAGCTGGCGGGGATTGGAGATCGATGACCCGGCGAGCTGGGTGATTGTGAAGACCAGAGCCGATATGAACAAGCACCAAAATCGGGACATGTTCAGTTTCTTGACAAGCAGGTCGGAGCCGATCCCTGTAGGTAACATGAGGGTTTGAGTTTGAGCCAAGGCGAAGATCCGGAGTCAGCACTCACCACTCAAAAGACGACCGATGAAGTTGCCGAAAGACAAGATCGAAACATGCATCACCTGTCGCTGCTGAATAAACTTCGAACTTGCGCTGTCATCGTAATATTTCCAAAGCGCCTTGGCCTGCGTAGGTTAGCATTTACCGGACCGCATGGAAATAAGATCTTACGCTGTTTCCGATGTTACTGGCAGACGGTTAGTCAACAAACACAGCCAACGGAGTCACCAATTACTAACTTGATGGTCATCAGGCCAATGCCAGACAAGAGCGCCATTGTGAGGAAGAGCTGCCAGAACTCGACCCTCGATAGCATCGCCAAGCCTCTAACGTCTGGATGAGGTGAGTCAGGGGTAACATCAGACATGGCATCATCCTCAATCTCCTCCCCTTCATGCTCAGGTACGGATTCGTGCGATGTTCTGAAAGGGTCTTTGGGTACCAGGGAAGACGTCTCGTTAACATCGGGGTTGTGGCTGGGGGCTGGAGGGTTCGACGCGTTCGATTGCGACCTGGAATGGACCGGGGGGTGGGGTCCAGAGATGTTATATCTTTGCGTACCTGCTTCATCAGAATCTTCATGGCCCGGTGGCAGCTCGGTGGACCTCGTGTTGCGCAGTCGACGTGATTCCACCCCAGGTGATCGGTCTCGGCCGAGCGGCATGTACGGGTCGGCGGGGGAAAGTATTCGGAGGAAGGGAATGGAGATGAAGTTCAGGATACATGTTCCCAAAGCCAACAGAAGAAGGAAACGACCGGTGTCATCCTTGAAGAGAACGGTAGATATTGTCGACCAGAAAAAGGCGCTTAGGCCAAAGGCGGCCAAAGGAAACGCAGTTGCCGTTCCCCGGTGCTCGGGGAAGTTCGACGCGGCTGCAATCCGGGATCTTAGCGCAAAGGTCAACATCATTCAGTCGAGGTGGACGCACAAGTTTTGATAGAGGCCGAAAACGCGGAACAACTGCCGAGGCCTGTCAAGAAGCTGAAGAAGGACAAGAAAAAGGTGCCGAGAGAGCCTGGTCCCCCCTCATAAGCTGTGCGCGTCGGCTGCAAGTTAGCGGGAGATCTTCTTCACCAGCTGATGACACCAGCACCTACCCAGATAGATGGGATAATAGCCCAAGCCCAGGGCGATGGCTCCCAGGAAAGTTGTCAGACGGGGGCCCCGAGCATCGGTCAACAGGCCTAACGGGATGCCTGACGCATACATGCCCAGATTTCCTGCAGCACCCTGGAGGTGGTCAATTTCACGATCAACAACGGCTGGAGAGCCGCAGACAGCTTGCTTACAATGAAGTTGCTTTCGGTTGCTGAGATCTTCATCCGTTGCGCGAACTGAGGCGCCCATGCGGAGTATGCATACTAGGTCTAATTAGAATCCGCCTGATCGGGTACCAGATATTTGATCAAGGGAGTCGATACATACATTTGTGCCACAGGCGAGCGCAACCAAAGTGGCTGCTATCACGGAGATGAATCGTTTCGATTGATGAGACGAGGGCGCCATATTGGGGGGGGGGGATTAGGGTGCGATTTGCACCAGGAAACAGCAACGAGCAGCCTTCACATGCAAGAAAAGGCGGGGAAGGGAGTCGCGAGAAAGCGAGTGTCTATTTGTAGCCTCGACTCGGGGGTTCCACGGATGGATGGTGCAGGGGAGAAACGTTATCACGTCACGATAATCGACAGGAGGGCCGACTGCAAGGGGACGGACTAGTACCTTTAGGTGGTTAGTATTCAGATAGGTCAACAAGTATATGACAGCGCCAATTGTAAGGCAAACGAGTGTAGATAATGGTGCAACCGAATGAGAACGAAGAGAGTCGAGGAAGGAGTGAAAAGAGGAAAAGTAGGAAAAGGGAAAAAAAAAAGAGAGCACGAGATGATACACCACAAGGAGCGAATAGAAAGAGGAGCAGGAGCAGGAAGAAAAGGACTCCAAGTGTCTTCTTCACCTAAGAGGAGAGAGGAGAGGGACTCGTCATCGGGTGGGTTTGAAGATGGCCGCCGCGGCGATTTCGGCCATACTCCGCAATGTCACTACAAACTGGCCAGTCGCTTATCGCCGATAAGCCCCCGACAACGCCTGTCTGCTCTAGGCAAGTTCCTCCGGTGCCGGCGGTGTGCCTCACATGACGAAGGCGGCGGCGACGAGCGCTGCTTCATCTCCACTTGCTGCCTGCCTTGGCTGGAATAACCTGCAGTCACCCATTATTCCGCCTCTCGTCGCGTATCTGCTACTGCCCACTATCCACCACTATTCATATCAAGTCACACCTCGACACGATCTGGAGGCATTGAAGGGGTAACATCATGGGCGCCCTTCTCTCTCTGCCATTGTTGGCAATCCCGAGCGCCAGCACGGTATGTACTCCCTCGAGCCCCAGCCCGTCCACCGACTTATCGCGACACAGCTCATCACCCTTGCGACCTCTTGTTGCGGCGCTGCGACCTGCTCAGCAGTATGTAGCGCATGCGGCAAGTTCCAGAATAGGTGAGACTCGACCGCGCATGGCCCATGGATGAAAGCTTGGACTGATAGCTGACCTGGCACTCATTTTTACAGCATGGCGACGAGAATTGCTTACGCTTTCATCCTTCTCTTCAACTCAATCGTATCGTGGATCATGCTCACTCCTTGGGCGCTCAGGAAACTGCAGCACATGACCCTGGACTACATGGAAATTCGATGTGATGGCAAGGACTGCCATGGTTGGGTAGCGGTTCATCGGATTAACTTCGGACTCGGTCTCTTCCATCTGATCCTCGCCTTCGCATTACTCGGAGTGAGATCCTCCAAAGATGGCCGTGCCGTCCTTCAAAATGGGTTCTGGGGCCCCAAGATCATCCTGTGGCTCGCGCTCGTGGTTGCATCATTCTTCATCCCGGAGTCGTTCTTCTTCGTCTATGGACACTACATCGCCTTCTTCTGCGCCATGCTTTTCTTGCTGCTCGGATTGATCCTCCTCGTGGACCTGGCCCACTCTTGGGCCGAGATCTGCCTGCAGAAGATCGAAGACCATGACTCTCGGACTTGGCGGGGTCTGCTCATCGGCTCCACGGTGGGCATGTACCTTGCGTCCCTCGTCATGACGATCTTGATGTATGTCTTCTTCGCCCACAGCGGGTGCTCCATGAATCAGGCGGCCATTACTGTAAGTGACATGCATCCTCTGTCTTGATCGTTCTCCTTGCTTACATGGGTGACTGGGGTGATTAGATCAACCTCGTCATTTTCCTCATCATCTCGATCATATCCGTGCAGCCCATCGTGCAGGAGTCCAACTCGAGAGCCGGCTTGGCCCAGGCCGCGATGGTGACGGTCTACTGTACGTACCTGACCATGTCAGCTGTGTCCATGGAGCCGGATGACCGGCACTGCAACCCGTTGATTCGCGCCAAGGGCACCCGCACCGCGAGCATCGTTTTGGGGGCTATTGTCACGATGGCCACGATCGCATACACCACCACCCGCGCGGCCACGCAGGGCATTGCGCTGGGCTCCAAGGGCGGTCACAGCTACTCGCAGCTGCAGTCAGATGACAACGAGCACGGTCTCGTGACCCAACAGCCCACTAGCCGCCGCGAGATGCGGGCCGAGGTTCTCCGTGCGGCGGTTGCCAGCGGCAGTCTGCCGGCCAGCGCCCTCGACGAGAGCGACGATGAGAGCGACGAGTACGATACCAAGGACGACGAGAAGGGCTCGACCCAGTATAATTACTCCTTGTTCCACATCATTTTCTTCCTCGCGACAACCTGGGTCGCGACCTTGCTGACCCAGAACCTGGACCCGGAGGCTGCGGATGACTTTGCGCCCGTGGGGCGGACCTACTGGGCCAGTTGGGTGAAGATCATCAGCGCGTGGGTGTGTTACGCGATCTACCTGTGGACCTTGATTGCGCCGGTGGTTCTCCCCGACCGCTTCGACGGCTATTAGGGGGGGTAGTATAGCCGTGTATCCTTTGGAGTTGAGCATGATTAGCGATTATCGTTCGTTTGTTGGTTGTTGTATATAGTTGTGCCACCATCCTGCAATGACTTGGTTTGATGACTCTGATATCTATCTGAAGATGCCTGTAGCTGGTCGCGTGCCACCGGTAGGAAGTAGTATATACCTAGTGTAAACAGCGGGGGCGGCTGATTAGGTTATCGGGACGGGCTCGCGTAAAGTGGGCGGCAGACGCGCAACACCGCGTTGACTGGCCGACCTCCGAGCATGCATCACCATGGCACGAACATGGCGACCATCAAGGCCATCGAGGCCCGCTCGGTGCGTCCCCCACTTGATACGGTGTTTACAACTGATTAACGGTGACAGGTCCACCAAATCCAATCCGGCCAGGTGATCACGGACCTGTGCTCCGTGGCGAAGGAGCTGGTAGAAAACAGTCTCGATGCGGGAGCGACATCGATCGGTAGGTAAGCCTTTTACATCTCCACCAAATGCCAGTCCCTAACTTTTCCGGTGGGCATAGAAATCCGCTTCAAGAACAACGGTCTGGACCTCATCGAAGTCCAAGATAACGGCGGCGGGATCGCGCCCGAGAACTACGAGAGTTTGGGTACGGATCCATTCCCCCCAGCCCGGTTATCCAAGCACAACACCACACAGATCAATACTAACATTGAGCGATTCAACGCAAGCCCTAAAACACCATACCTCAAAACTAACCACCTTCACCGACCTCTCAACGCTCCAAACCTTCGGCTTCAGAGGCGAAGCGCTCTCATCGCTCTGCGCAGTCTCAACCTTCCGCGTGACAACCGCCCAAGCCCACCAAGTCCCGAAAGCAACACGACTGGAGTTCGCAACCTCAGGCCGTTTGCAAAATACACAGATCGTAGCGGGACAGAAGGGCACAACGGCGACAGTGGAGCAGATCTTCCGCACGCTACCGGTGCGACGGCGCGAGCTGGAGAAGAACATCAAGCGCGAGTACACGAAGGTCTTGAACCTTCTACACGCATATGCGTGCATCAGCACGGGGGTGCGGTTCTGCGTGCGCAATATCACCACCGCCACCCAGAAACAGCAGAAAGTATCAGCGCAGCGCAACGTGGTCGTCTTCAGCACGAACGGGAATGCAACCACCAAGGCGAATTTGGCGAATGTGTATGGCGCGAAGACGCTGACGGCGTTGATGGAGTTGGGGTTGGAGTTGGAGTTTGGCGGGCACAGTAAAGAGAGGATTAGGGTGAGTGGGTTTGTGTCCAGGCCGGTGGTCGGCGAGGGGAGGCAGACGCCCGATCGGCAGATGTTCTTTGTGAATGCGCGGCCCTGCGCGCTGCCGCAGATTGCTCGGGCGTTTAATGAGGTCTATCGCTCGTATAATGTGGCGCAGGCGCCGTTTGTGTTTGCGAATCTGGAGTTGGATACCGCGGCGTATGATGTTAATGTGTCGCCGGATAAGAGGACAATTCTGTTGCATGAGGCGGGCAGCTTGATTGAGGAGTTAAAGGTTGCGCTTGCGGGGCTGTTTGGGGCTGCTGAGCAGTCAGTGCCGCAGGTGGTTCTGGGCAGGCAGTCCCGGTTGCTGGGGATGGGGTCGGGGCGGTCGATGAGTGGGGATGGTGCTGGGGTTGGGGGGGAGGGGGAGAAGGATGAAAAGGAGAAGCCACAGGCCAGTGCCCAGGACCGCATGAAGAGTTTCTTGAGCGGTCTTGGGGCTGGCGACAGCCGTGTCGATACGGTGGACGAGCCCCAGGAAGCAATCCCACAAGCACCGCAGACTCAGCCCGACTCGCCCGAAGCAGAAGAAGACAACGAGCTCTTCGTCCGGCAGACCAGCACGCCACCAAAGACTCGGCAGGAGCCCCATTCGCAGGACGAAACAGTTCCCACACAAGACAGACAGGCTGATGCGCCGTCGAGCCAGCCAATCGCTTCTACGCAGGGCTCGCTGCCTTCGGAGGAAACACCGAACATTATACAAAACGCCTTTGATCGGATGCGCCCTAGACGCATGCCGGCCGAGATCGCTACGATAACAATCGGGGATCGGACTGTCACGTCCGTGGTCGGAAGCGGCGTCCCGAAGAAGAGATTCAGTGACACCACCGCCAGCAGCGGGTCTACGAGGAAGAGGCGCATACACACGCCGTCCCGGCCGAGTATATTCGGCAAGCATATGCGGGACTTCGCCGCCCCGGGATCCCAACTGGCGCAGGATGAGAGTGAGCAAGAGGAAGAGATCGAAGATGATGGGTGCTCCGACGAGCTCGAAGAGGAACCGGAGGACATGGAAGAAGAAGCAGACGAGGGGGACATTGAGGGTGATGAAGCAGAAGAAATGAAAGCGGCTAGCTCCCAGCCGTCTCTACACTCTGACCATGAAAGTGTCTCAGAAGCGGGCGACGTCGATGAAGCAGCCGCCGAGGAAACTGCCCCGCAAACCATCTCTGAAAACATGAGCGAGGAGGAAAAGAAACAACACGAAGAAGCCGAAGTGCAACGACTGATCCGCCAAGCGGAGGAAAAGGCCGCGTTACCGCACAACAGCGAGCAGCGCGCCAATAAGATGAACAAGGGCGCAGCCCACCGCGACTCCACCGTCCAACTTGTGGCCACCGTCGACGGCTCGCTGTCTAAGATTCAATCACAATTCCGCCAACTGCAGCACTGTTTCCGTCGCGCAGACGCCGCATCCTCAGGAGCCCAGGCTGAGGTCGCGGCCTCGCAGGAGACAGCCGAGGAACGACTGTCCCTGACGGTCAGCAAGGATGACTTTGCCGGCATGCGGATCATCGGCCAGTTCAACCTGGGATTCATCCTGGCGACGCGATCCCGCGGCACGGCGTCCGGCGCCCAGGACGAGCTGTTCATCATCGACCAGCACGCGTCGGACGAGAAGTACAATTTCGAGCGGCTGCAGGCGGAGACGGTGGTGCAGAACCAGCGGCTGGTGCGGCCCAAGCAGCTGGATCTGACGGCCGTGGAGGAGGAGATCGTCATCGAGAACCAGGCCGCGCTGGAGAAGAACGGGTTCGTGGTGGAGGTGGACGACAGCGGGGACGAGCCCATCGGCCGCCGCTGTAAGCTGGTGTCCCTGCCGCTCAGCAAAGAGGTGGTCTTCGGCGAGCGCGATCTGGAGGAGCTGATCGTGCTGCTGTCGGAGATGCCCTCGACCAGCGGGGGCGGGGGCGCGGACGGGGCGAGGTATATCCCGCGTCCGACCAAGGTGCGCAAGATGTTCGCCATGCGCGCTTGCCGGTCCAGTATTATGATCGGCAAGAACCTTACGACGAAGCAGATGCAGAGGGTGGTGCGTAACATGGGCACGATCGACAAGCCGTGGAACTGTCCTCATGGCCGGCCTACCATGCGGCATTTGATGAGTCTGGGGGAGTGGGACGAGTGGGACGAATGGGGGGACGAGGCCGACGATGGACGGGATCGTCTGGATATCTGGCGGGACTTCTTCGGGGCAGTCGAAGATGAAGAGGAAGAATAACTGGAAACAATCTCTGGATATCGTTGCTGGTACATGTACAGTACAATACAGTTGGTATATATATACCTTGGTCCACACCTCCACCTCTATCGGACAATATCTACATATCTACATACATACATACATACAGACACAGATGGTAAAGCGTCCCGGGGGAGAACCCCCGGACCCCCCTTCCTTTCAGCTCCCTGAGCACCTCAGTCCTTTGACTGGGGGCATAAGTGTTTCCGGGGGTTCTCCCCCGGACCCCCCTTTCCTTCAGCTTCCTGGCCCACCGACACCTCCCCAATCTAACTACTTAAGAATCAACCCCAATGGAATGCGCAATCTCCCTAGTCTGCACCAACGTATCCCGCAGCCCCTCGACCTTGGCCTCAAACCGCCGATAACAATCCTCACCCAGCGGCAACCGCAACAAGCCCTCCAACCCAGCCCCCAGCCCCGTCCCATCAACAACCTCCACAACACGCTGCGCCGCCTTCCCCGGATCCCCACCACCAGCCTGCCGCAAGCGATTCTCCCTGAACCTCCGCAGCGTCATCTCCAAGGCCGGCCCCGCATAATCCGGGTTCATCCCCGCCGCAGGCTCCACACAGGCCGACCAGAAGTTCGTGCGCAGAGTGCCCGGCTCGACAAGCAGCACGCGGATATTGAACGGCGCGAGCTCGCGCGCAAGACTCTCCGACATCCCTAGTTACCAGCAAACCCATCAGCACATCCCCCCCCCCCCCCCAACCCAAAGGGAAAAACATACCCTCAAGAGCAAATTTACTCCCGGCATACCCAGCACAAGCAGCCAACCCATCCAACCCCGCGCTACTACTAACATTAACCACGACACCGTGCCGCCTCGCCCGCATCAAAGGCAAAACAGCCTTCAGCACGCGCACAACCCCAAACACATTCGTCTCGAACTGCGCCCGCACCTCGGAATCCGTCATGTCCTCGAGCGCGCCCAGCACCGCGTACCCCGCGTTGTTGATCACCACGTCGACGGCGCGGTCGCCGAGGGCAGCGCGCAGGTGCGCCGTCGCGTCCGGCGAGGTCACGTCCAGCGGGAGCCAGATCCCGCCTTGTGCGGTGATCTGCGGGTTGTGTTGCGCCGCCAGCAGCGGGTTGCGCGCGGTGGCCAGGACGGTGTGTCCGGCTTTTAGGGCTGCGAGAGCCAGTGAGCGCCCTAGGCCGGACGAGGCGCCGGTTATTAGGTAGGTTTTTGGCATTTTTGGGGGGGGGGATTATCCGGGGTTTGAATGGGGGTATTCGGGGTATTATGGTGGGTGGTCTTGGGGGGAAACTATATGTTGTTGATAATGTTGGTGTGGAACGGAGTTTACGCTTAAGGCCGTCTCTACTTCCGGTGCTCTGGTCATGTATAGTGATTGAGGGATATAGTATGTGAGGAGTTGTTGCGCCAGATCCTTCGTCTGATGGTATCCTGGTATGGTAGTGCAGTCATACTACTACTACTACTACTACTAAGTAGACTATAAGTTATGGTAACTTAAGCGGCAGCGGGGGGCGGGGCGGAGTGGATTAGTTACTGCGTGGTTCCATGGGTAGAATCGTTAAATCAACAGACAAATAGTCGAGTATACTGGTAGTTGCTACTGCATCAAGCAGTGGACTATATACAAGATAGAACAAAGATCACGGTATGTACTCCCGCTGCAGTAGACATACATAGTCTTAGACATAGTACAGTGCAGTAGTGTATATCACATGCACTAGTTGGAGCAGGGATATATACACCATGAACCTCTTACCCCTCCACATCAACCTCACCCACAACGACCAACCTCACCACCACACCATCACTACACCACCCAAACCAATCACACACAGAGAAACAACAACCAAGATGTCCCCTCAACCAACGCAAACAAACCCAAACACAAAAGAAGAAGCCAAAACCGCCTTCACAGCAACGCTCCGCAGCGTCGCCCAGAACCACGAGGCGGCGCTGCGCGATCGCGCCCGCACACTCAACGAAAACGCGCGCGCGCTCGACGCCCAGGAGACGGCGCTGGCGCAGTCGACGGCCGAGCTGGCGAAGCAGAACGACCAGTGGGATAAGGTGGCGGACACGGCGCGCACTGCCCTCAAGGAGATCGGCGACGTGCAGAATTGGGCGGAGGTGATTGAGAGGGAGCTTTTGGTCGTTGAGGAGGCTTTGCTTCTTGTTGAATCTAAATCTAAGGATCGGGGGGGTTCGGGGGGGTTCGAAGGGGAGGAGGAGGGGGAGGGGTTTGTTGAGGAGGAGGAGGGTATTGGGAATGGGAATGGGAATGGGAATGGGAAATATCCAAGGGGAATGGTTGGAGGGGATGTGGAAAGTAGAGATGGAAGGGGGGAGGTGGATGAAAACGAAGATACTCAAGGGAAGCAGGGTGGGTGGTTTCGGTGGTGGTGATTTCGATTTTGATCGTAAGTTACCTTTCTGGTATCGATTGTCTCAATGCAAATACAAAAATACTGCTGCTACATCTTCTTTGCACGTAAACTGATTACATCACATTCACATATCGCTAGATGTCAAACAAACACCCAACACCTTGCATGCCCGAAAAGAAAAAGAACTATGTATGTATGTATGTGGTAAATATGATGGCACAATTACAAGTAAGATCTGAAGTAGACCCAAATCTACATGTTGGCCAGCTCGTGGTCAATCTGCTTGTCGAGGAAGGCCCGCTTATCGCCCGTCAACGTCGTTTGCAGTCGTTGCTCAACCAAAGCGCGCACTGGTACAAATTAGCTTTTGCTGAATAAATCCCAATCGACCACTTACCCTGCTTCTTCGTCACCGTGTCCAAGTCCACCTCCGCCAGACAGCTGCGAATAGCCTCCGTGATCGACGCCTCATCCGGCCCGCTGCCGCCGCGGAAGTCAAACGCACTCATCGGCCGCGAGGAATACCCCCCAACCGGACTGCGCGAGTTGGGCCGTGGCCCACCCAGCAGGTTCTCCGTGCTCTGCATCAGCCCCACGCTGTGGCGGTTGGTCGCCATGCCGCTGTCCTGGAACTGACTCAGGTTGCCCATCGACATGTGGCGCGACACGTTGTGGCTGCTCTGATGCGGGTTATCCGTGTACCGCGTGAAACTAGACAGATGAGACTGCCGGTTACCGGGGGTGGTGAGGAACGGTGCCGGCGACTGAGGGGGCATGTAAGGGCTCAAGTGACGGCCCTGTTGCGGGAAGCCCGTCAGGATCGTGGACGCAGGCTTGACCGACGAGTACTGCGAGTGCATGTCGTCCATTTCCATCGCCATCTCGTCCCCAAAGCGCCCAGAGTACAATTTCTCCTGGCTCATGCCATAGTCGCCGCGACGGCCGGGCAGATTGTTGGCCAGCGCATAGTCGTCCCAGCGCTGCAGCGGAATACTGCGCGGGTCGAATTTCTCGTCCTCCACCGCAACGACCTTCTTGTCACCCTTCTCGCCAATGACGATACGCGTGTTACCCCAACTGAAATCGTCCTGCTTCCAGAAAGAGTACAGAGGCAGAACGAAGTTGTAGATGGGGTACGCACACAGATAGATGATCATCCATCCGATGTGTTGCCACTGCCGTTTGAGGAGGAAGATAATCGCCTGGAGACCGTACACACCAGCCAAGATAATGATTGAGATGATCGGGAACTGGCCCGTGTGACTGCCCACCAGGTACAACAGGTATCCCAAGTAGACACACGTGGCCGGAAGGATAAGTGTTCCAACCAGATCCACCAACACCACGAACCGCATACTGAACAAACAGAAGCCGCACATATCCTTCAAGGCAGCAATTTCGACCAGGTTGTGAATGGTGGAGTTGATCCAGCGACGTCGCTGGGAAAGAAGGACGGACCAGGTCTCGGGCGCGGCAGTACTAGCATAGGCGTCGGGAATGAACTTGTACGACATGTGAGGGAAATGCTTCGTCATAAGCGTGGTCAAGAAACGATCCTCTCCCAGGGACAGAAGGTTCTTCTTGTGAAGCGTGTCCACATCATTGTCGGCATACTCGGTGATGATCGCATCGGCAATAATGAGAGGGCGGCCCTTGTCGGCGGTGCGCAAGCGATACATGCAGAAACTGGGCACTGTCAGCAGCTTATCAACCTAATATCAGATCTACCAACTTACCATCCCGGAAGACAGGTGACGGTGCCGAAAAGCGATTCGAATGCCTTGGCCAAATGGTGGGAAATGTAGTACTCGTAGACCTGAATCATCGTCCACCAACTCCGCTCCTCGTTCTGCAGACTGGTCTCACCACAGATACCAGCAATCCGCGCATCGTTAGCACATGCTGCAACCAGTCGATTCAACGAATCTTCTCGCACACTGGTATCGGCGTCCACCATCAGGCAGTATTCATATAGCTCAGGGTCAACTCCAATCACGTTGTTGATCTGATGGAAGATCTCAAGCTCGAGTGGCGACATGGGGGAGCGGTGGTGCACACGGTTCAGGAACTGCATCAGAAGAATCTGCGAGTCACGCTTGCCACGGTTTCCGGGTTTCGGCTTGCTTTGCTCCGATTCTTTACCCACCTTCACCACGACGATGTACGGAACCACGTTGCCCTCGTATTCGTACAGACCAGAGTAAACCTTTCCGTAGTTCAACTGTTCACTGCCCTGCCCGATAGACTTGCAAGGCAAGGCAGGAGGGTCAATCTTAGGATCCACTCCGAGAATATCCAAAACGATCTTGGGAGTGGGCCGGTCATTACCACCACCAACGATCATACCGTCACAGATCACGAAGATGAGCTTCCGCTTGTTATCATATTCGAGAGCCGTAAGCGAGTCGAGGCCTTGACGCAGCGCATCCTCACCTTCCGTATACGCAGGGACCAGGCAGATAACGAACTTGTCTTGCGGAGCGGGGCGACGCTTGGTACCGAACTGCAGCGCGGCAAGGAACTTGACCACAATCACAGCACAGATCATGACCGTGAATGCCAGCAGAATCCAGTTGTTTACCGTACATCTCGGGCTGCTGCGGAAATCGACCTCGCCCTTGTAGAAGACGTAGTCCAGGCAGGTCTGGGCGTTGCGGAAGTCCGTCGTGTTCTTCCACTTCGAGGTGACATCGGTGCCGGCATAGTTCTTGAACAGCGTGGTTACACTGCTGGGCAGATAGTCATAACCGTCGGCGTTGTTGAACATGTCGGCCGTATAGAAATAATCCGTGAGATCGTAGATCTTTTCATTGACAATGACCCAGTACCGCGAACTGGACTCGGCCTCCTCCTTGACCTTCTCCCGGGTCCAAACCAGAGGTCCTTTGTAGTACCCCTTCATCTTGGGCAGGAAGATATCCTCGTACCATGTGATGTTGTGCAGCGCGGTGGTCGTGCTGGGTGTGACATATGGACCGGACTTGTGTTGCGCGTTAGGATATTCGATGGCGCTGGTGTCGTTATATTGCATCTGAATGGACTGCTCCGTGACAAAGTGACCACAAAACCGAGTCAGCGGGGGAGGGAAGTACGGATCCAGGATCTCTCCGGCGAATGGCTTCATATTGGACGGGGTCGTGTCAAAGTTGTTATCACTGTGTTGGATCCGCCAGAACTTGCTGATGTCATATACGTTTCCATGAACACTGACAAAGAAGTCGTCGTCGGCCACATGCCAACTGACCTCCTTCTCGTTCCAGGCTTTGTTCTTGTTGGGACACAGAAGGTCGCCGAAAGCAATAATATAGAAGCAGACAATACCGTTGAACAGCAGGATGAGGAAGACAAGAACGAACTTTTCTCTCCAGGCCATCCGAACATCAGGACGTTTCATTCGACCAAACCAGCGCAGGGCAAAGGAAGGGATCCAGAAGGTCAGAGCCCACACAAAGGCGACCCAGGCACGTCGCATCTTCGTGATCTGTTTCTTCTCGATGTGCTTGCCATCGCCGAACTCCGGATCCAGCTCGCCTTCGTAGCGGGCATAATCCTCGGTGTCCCACTTTCTCGCATCACCTTTGTTGCCGAGGCCGTAGTCACCTCCGCTCATGTGGAGCGTATTAGGGACACTGGGAGCGATGGATTTAGCCAAGCCGCCGTGAACACTGGGCACTAGAGTGCTTTGCCGCTGAAGCAGGTCGTCCCGGCTTCCCAGGAGACTAGTCGATTCTGCAACGGGAGTGCCCCCGTAATGCGGATCGAGCATGGTGCTACCATAGATGAACGGGTTGACTGCCGGCGATTCGTCAGGTTTGAGATCGAGCATCGTCTCAGCCTCCCACCAGGCGCTCTCGCGCATCCAGATCCGCTGGTGGCCGACGAACGCATCGCCATTGGCCCATCCTCGTTCCATCAGCCAACTCTCCACACCATCTCTGCCGTCGGCGCAGCCGAGTCGATGGTAACGGCTGACGAACTCGTCTACATCGAAGTCCGCAGTGAAGTCGAGCTGCTTGAGCCGCCGGTTGGCCCACTCGGCTAGTCTCCATTCGCGCAATTGACGGGAAACCGCCGCCGCGGACCAGCCGGCAGCCGGAAGGGTAGGGTTCAGCGTCTGGGGAAGGTCGTCCGTGGGGTGCAAAGAGATATGATGCCACACTCTGCTGCTCCCCAGGGTGTTGATGAGATCGAAGCGACCCTTTTGACCAACCGTGATACCTTCGCTTTCGACCGGCAGCAAGAGGCGTCGGAGGAACGAGTCACCGTCAACTTCGAAGCCGACCTTCTCCAGCACTTCCTGTCGTCGTGCGACCTCATATTCACGCTCGCGCCAGGCATTTCCGGTGGTAATGCCAAGGTCGGGCTCGACCTGTGCGACCGCCGCACTCACGTCATTAGAAATCGCATGTCCGACGGCAGGAACGTTGACGCCATCCTCCTTCATTTCCGCATTGATACCAACGCTGTCGTCGAAGACTTCTCTCATGGCCAGTGCTTTACCCAGGGCCGGGCGAGGGATATCCACCACTGTGATGGCAACCGTATCGTCGTCAGTCCATTGGCCTCCGGGCCCGGAGCCGCCACTCATGCTGGGGCTACTTTCCAACATCGCTTGAAGCTCGCTCGAGATGGCTTCGTTCGCCTTGTTGATGACCCAGTCAACCAAGGCCTCGTAGATTCCGGAAATGAGCACCTCCCGTTCATCAGTAGAGCACTTGCGGGCCAGAATCTCCGGGTCAAGGCCTAGCAGGCCGCCGACCTCATCGCATGCCTCTTCTAGGTCTTCCTGATCGACGAGCAAGCCTGCCGCGTCGCCTAGCTTCAGCAACCCCGCAAGTGTTGCCAGTAGACCCCGCAGAGAAGCACCCTTGATGCCGATGGTCTTGAGCGCGGCCCGGAAATCCTCCGCAGCAGCGGCATCGTCCGCGGTCGGAAGGTAGGATGGCGGTGTGTAGGTCCCGGACTTTTTCAGCAGGGAATATTCCGATGCGTCCTTCAAGTTCAAGAACTCCCGCTCGGCGGGGCTGGATACCGAGGCAAGAAGGTAGTAGAACACGTCAAACGCACGATAGCCGGGCTCCGGAGCAATATCGAGAAGTCCCTTGCGTACATTGATTCCGGACGTTGACAGCGACAGCGACAATCCTACGATGTCCCCTTTCAGGTTGAAGGAGTAGCGAGCGGCCAACGCGGAGTAGAGAGAATACGAGGGGTTGAACGATGTTACGGCGGACACGAACGGTCGAAGAGCCGTCAACGCCGTGAAGGTTACACTTGGGGTCGAAAGCGGCAGGGCGGCGAGGAACGGCTCCAGAATGGAGGGGGTCGACTGGTGTGCTGAACTGTTGACCTGTTAGTTTACCGGAAAGTTTTGTGCATAGTGGGTTCTTGCATACCAAAGCAAAATACAACCATCCTCCGCTCGTCGTCGCGCATGCTCCCACGCTCGAAGCGCGAGCTCACGATCTATCGTGCCTCCATCCTGTCCATTCGAATTAGCCCGCGTGGCGGTCACCCATGTGTTCACCACCAAGCTGGTTGCTGCGTCGAGTTGATAAGGTTGGCCCGAGTTGTGGTAGGCATGCAGCGCATTTAGAAGTGTGGTTGTCGTTACAGGGCTCGGAGAGTGTGCACCTGGCCGTGAGGTCGATAAGCCAGCTGAATGGCTGGAGTAGACGGAGAAGCGAGTGGACATGGTTGTTGTTCCTGTGCACAGCAGCTAACAACGGTTAGGAAGAAAAGAAGCTTTCTAATAAATGAGTCGCCCAAACAGCTCAGATCCAGCGTCCAATAAATGTATAGGCTGGGTGGCTGGTTATAGCATGGGTCTTAGGTTGGCTGACTCGATGGCGGGCGATCAAGCCATGAGCATTTCTCTTTGAGGTTATGGGTTCAAGCACGTCGCTTGTGATGAAATGATGTTGAGTGGTATGAAAGACCGAAAGTCCGACCGAAAGGTTCTATTCAATCTCGAGTATGGAGAGGGTGGTTGTCTTCTGAGCGAGTGTCAGGGACGGTAGCCAGTAGCGAATGTTGGGAGGATCGATCGATTAAGATTAGAATGTTTGGGGAGGGGAGGGGAGGAATGAATAGCTCGAGAAAGCGAAGGACTCCAGGAAGATAGGGAGATAGGATAGCGACAGAGATGAAGAAGTGCCAATAAAGAACCAAACAAATGCAGGACAAGCAGCAATGGAGGGAACAAAAGCCAAGTTGAAGACGCAAAGCAACAACGCAGGAGAGAGAAAGTAGCAAAGAGGAGAGTTGATCGAATGTTGTTTGTACCGATACTCAGTGGCCAGCCAGAGCTTAGCTGGATCGGGATAGTCAGGTATGGGTCCGGACGGGTTGGAAGGGTTTGAAAATTACCACCAGATTCTTACCGCTTAGCGCTCTACGGAGCAGTCGGTCTGCCCTTACCGCGGATCCCAGTACGATGCGGTCGACACCCGCTACCAAACCTGTGGGAAGCAGTTTCAGTTTCAACGTTGTCATAGGTAATTTGCAAGGTGTACCAGCATTACTAGCCGCTCACACTATCTAACTCTAAATGGACAAGTGCAGGAGACAGATACTAGTTAGTAAGTGACTAAAGGTAAGCAGCAGAACTTATCCATGGGTTAACTAGTCAACGTACCCAGTCTCCGTATTCGGGCCAGGAGACCTTACTCAGGTGGTAGAATGGTCAGAATATAGAGACTGAACTAGTGACCTCCCCTTCTTGCGCCCCCCCTTCCCTTGGTGTCTCCATTCTTCCATAACTAACTCTTCTCTTCTCTTCGTCTCTTCACCGGTAAGGAAAGTCACTGAATGTGTCTCTCTTCAAGCGAGGTCTGAACCATCAATGTCATGTGGCGTGCTTAACGTACTTTGGACGGAGCCAATCGGTGAGGCGGAGTAGGAATGATCCATGGACGATGGCCCCAGACCCTGGAGAGATACCCTATAATTGGCAACACACTGTGTTGTCTCACCCCATAAATCCACTGGAAAGAAGACTCTTCTTCATCAACAACGATAACAACATCCTGTCTCAGACCTAGGCCAATAAGGGGGGCTAACCCTGCCTTGCCACCCTTTTTGCCGTCTCGCCGCCCTGCTATTTCTGGATCTGCTCAGCATGGAGGGGTAGCTGTCATATGCTGTTCAAGAAAGCAGTCCTGCATCCATTCATCGCGGATTGGCTGCAGACGTAGATTTATTTTTGTCGTCGCGGGACACCTTCATACCTATCTCTGCCCCAGTGCTCAAGATGCTGAGTCTGTTCGTGTGTGCGATAGTTAGTTACCCACACCACAGGCTGACTACTGACACACGGGCAACTGTTCAAAACCATGGTGATACGTGTAAGAAAGTTAAGTCTGACTCGAATGCGGTAAGTTTTGTAATGCTATCAAGACACCATGCGATGAATCCGACTCTCGCCTTCTGGCCACCTCGCCTTGATTGCCTCCTCCCATTCATTAATATCAATAGATTGCTGTTGCAGAAGTTAGTGTCGGGGGAAGGGGGGGGAGAAGGGTGCATTGGCTGACTAAGGAACCCTTTGTTGAAAACGAAAGGGGGTTTTTCTTCTCCAACGGGGTCGGGCAAAGAGAAAGAAAAAGATTTCTACTCCGTACCCTTTTCTATGTGGTGGTCAGGAAAACTGCCCCCCTAGTTTCATGCTTGGCTCAATTGGGGGATGAGATCGAATGATCGCTCCACTCCGCCCGAATTCTTCCTCTCGAAGTTTTGGGTTGGGTAGGGATTCTATGGCTAACTGCTCAGGGTCTCCCGGATGATCGTGATCACCAACCACAGACGGCACAGAATGCGGTGCGCCAAACTTGGCATCACCGTCAGAATGGATCGAGTCTGACTACTTATGATCTCAATGTTTCTCTTTTCTGGAGGATCTCCATATCAGATCCTGTCTGTTTTTCGAGTTCCCCCCATCATCATGACTGCACGTCTACGCTGCATGCCGCATGGGTTTATTGCGTCCACACCGTATACAGTGCGATGCGTGGAAGAATCCGCGCGTCGTCCGAGCCCGCCCTGACTGCATCGGCCAGGCGAGGGAAGTGAGAACTTCCCTTCCTTCCTCCCTCCCCCCTTTTCGACCCTGCGCAGGTGGCGCTGAATGATTGACATGGAATTGTCTCTGTTGCGCCAGCATTGGACGGGCGTTTCTCGTCTCACATTCTCAGCCGGGTGATTCTAATTCTGACTCGGGGGGGCGCAGAACAGAAGAGAGAGGTATTCTATCTGAGACCGGTGGGCGAAGCCAAATAGCAGGGGAAAAAAAAAGCCATTAAACAACCCAACCCAACCAGTTCAATGGTAATTATGGGTCGACGGTACAGTCAGTGGAGAAGATAGTACTTAGTACTATGCTTCTTCGTCTCCTAGATTGATTATCGATGGAAATGATTGGTACCTCCAGGCCCGGCCCCCCCGACCCTAAGTCACCTTTGGAGCCAGAGCCAGACCATCACGGACGCTTTGCCCAACCGGTTTGGAAAATTCGGATCCGCGGACCCTCGGCTGTCAGGTGCAGGTTGCAGCCTCCAAAAATAATTCTCCCCTAACAGCTGGGAATGGTTGGTCCTTGATGGCCAGCCAGCATGTACAGTATTTACGAGTACTTACTTCGAGTAGTTAAACTAAACCTTTTATGCTCTGCTGACCAAGTAATTTGTGGTCATTAGGACCACTGTAACACCGTAAGAGCAGGTTGCCCGGTGTGATGATGATGATGATGATGATGATATTGATGATTGCAAAATGACCATATCCAATAAATACCAGTTTACTAGTATCTTTCAAATTCCCAAACCGCCAGTCCCCTCTTTTTCTCGCTGCTGTTTCTTCACCCCCCCGCCGCCCGTAAAAAGGTTCCATACGAACTTACCTCATACGGTAATCTACTTACCAGACTAGGGACGGTTCCCTTTATCAACATTGTCCGATGCGTTTGTCTGGTCTGTCTGGTCTGTCTGTCCCCAGAAAAAGCTACCCGTTTTGTTCAACTTGTGTTGCTCCTCCTCCTCTACAATCTCTCTTCGATTTCCCATCTCTTCGTTGGTCTTTCGCTGTTGTTGTGGTTGTTGTGCGTCTCGTTGTTTTTGGCTTACGATTATCCTAATCCTAATCTCCTCCTCATCTCCCATCCCCTCCTCATCGACTCTCGCTTTATCTCACTTGGCGCCCGCCATATACGATCACTTCGAATCAACTTGGCCCCTCCCCAACTCCCCTGGCCGCCTGCTCCTGTCGTTTGCTTCAACCTTGGACCATTTGTGGTCTCATTCGATTCTTGGTTAGCCGCTACGATCAATGCAGGAAATGTACCCATCTGACTTTGACTGCTAAGCATTGTCCATTCGAGGTACATCGCAGCATTCCTGGGCCTGGAACAACACGCGTTTTTACTCCGGCCGAGCATAGCAAAAGGAACTTCCACTCCATTCGACATTGAACCCACTACTCGCTCTGCTACGACCGCTCCGAGGTCGCCTGGCGATCAGCTTCAATATCCGTCAGCCCTGACCCACGACCTGGGTCAAGATGGTGGGAAACACCTCGGCGGGACACTCCCCGTCCCATGCGCAGTCCTCACTACCGTCGTTACCTTCGCATCTGCAATCCGACACACATCTGACGGCACATTTGGCCAGCCGGTAATCAACCCCCTCTGAGCTCTGCAAAGACACGCCAGTCGCTAACGGTGGGACAATGTAGCTTCCATGTCGGCTTACCAACCGCCCGCTTGTCCTCGCAAGCTTTAATCAGTCTCAACACATACACCTCGTCTGCTAAGGGCCCCGATGGCGACAAAGAGGGTAGTGCGATGGGAGAGGCGGAGGACCTTGCGAGACGTGCATTCACTCGTCTGGGTGCACGGGCAGAAAACCAGGCTATCGTTTTTCTGTGAGCCCCTTTGTGATTGGGACGCTTGGGACGAATGCTGACTCGAGTAAATTAGTGGCGAGAGTGGCTCCGGAAAGACCACCCTTCGTTCTCATATCGTATCCGCCTTCCTCTCGTTCTCCTCGACCCCTCTATCTTCGAAACTTTCGTACGCCACTTTCGTTTTTGACACCCTGACGACGACCAAGTCCCTAACCACGCCGACGGCATCCAAAGCGGGTCTCTTCTTGGAGCTTCAGTACGATGGCTCATCGTCGGTGAATCCCACCCTGATCGGTGGTAAGATTATCGACCACAGACTGGAGCGCAGTCGCATTGCCTCGGTTCCCACTGGAGAACGGAGCTTTCACGTCCTCTATTATCTCCTGGCCGGAACGAGTGCGGCCGAAAAGGCTCATCTCGGATTCGATAACTCGGTTCATGTCTCGACCGCTGCCGGAAAACTGTCCTCGGCCTCGATCGGACACAAACGATGGAGATACTTGGGTCATCCCACCCAGCTCAAGGTGGGCATCAACGACGCCGATGGATTCCAGCACTTCAAGACCGCATTGAGAAAGTTGGAGTTCCCGCGCAGCGAAATCGCGGAACTGTGTCAGATGTTGGCGACAATCCTTCATCTGGGACAGCTGGATTTCGTGAGCGGGCAGACCACGACGACCGGCGCCGAAGAATCTGGCGGATACTCCCACGAGGGTGGCGAGAGGGTCACTGTCGTGAGAAACAAGGATGTTCTGTCCATCATTGCAGCATTCTTGGGCTTGGGCGTCGAGCAACTCGAGACCAGTTTCGGCTACAAGACCAAGACCATCCGTCGGGAGCGCGTCACTGTGATGTTGGATCCCAAGGGAGCCCGCCAGAATGCGGATGACCTGGCCCGAACCCTCTACTCTCTCCTGGTAGCGTATGTGATCGAAACCATCAATCAGAAGATCTGCGCTGCGGAGGATAGTGTCGCCAATACTGTCTCGATCGTCGACTTCCCGGGTTTCTCTCAAGTCAGTGCGACCGGCTCGACGTTGGACCAGCTGCTCAGCAACGCGGCAACGGAATCCTTGTATAATTTCTGCTTGCAATCCTTCTTTGACCGGAAGGCGGAGATGCTGGAGCGGGAGGAGGTTTCCGTGCCGGCGACGAGCTATTTCGATAATATCGACACCGTTCGGGGGCTGTTGAAACCCGGAAACGGGTTATTGAGTATTCTTGATGATCAGACCCGACGTGGAAGGACTGACCACCAATTTCTCGAATCGGTGAGAAGACGTTTCGAGAACAAAAATCCGGCCATCACCGTTGGCTCAGGCCAAGCCACCGGAGTGGTCTCGCAGCATGCTCGCACTTCGTTCACCGTGAAGCATTTCGCTGGGGAAGTTGAATACCCCGTACACGGCCTTCTCGAAGAGAACGGTGATATGATCTCTGGGGACTTGATGAACCTCATGAAGTCGACCAGCAGCGAGTTTGTGAGGGATTTGTTTGGCCAGGAGGCTCTCCACACGGTCACCCATCCTCAGGAGAAATCCGCCATTGTCCAAGCGCAAGTCAGCTCCAAGCCCCTACGGATGCCCAGTATGGCCCGGCGCAAAGGTGGCCCGTCTCCCCGGCCCATTTTCGACGCGCCTCCGCCTATAGACGACAGGGATGAGAATGAGAGCCAGGCTGATAGCGCATCGAAGAGTTCGGGAAGACGCAAGAGTGCCATGATCGCCAGTGGCATTCAAGGCGCTGCGGGACAGTTCTTGTCGTCACTGGACATTGTTAACAAATGTCTGAGCTCTCCGAACTTGAACCCGTACTTCATTTTCTGTCTGAAGCCCAACGATCGACGCATCGCCAACCAATTTGACAGTAAATGTGTGCGCGCGCAAGTGCAGACCTTCGGCATCACTGAAATCAGCCAGCGATTGAGGAATGCCGACTTTAGTGTCTTCCTCCCCTTTGCCGAATTCCTGGGCTTAGCGGAAATTGGCAATGTCGTGGTGGGAAGCGATAGGGAGAAGGCGGAGGTTGTTCTTGACGAAAAGCGATGGCCCGGTAATGAAGCGCGGGTCGGTAGCACAGGTGTCTTCCTTAGCGAACGCTGCTGGGCAGACCTTGCAAAGGTCGGGGAGCGCGTCGTCCCTGTCTATGCTCCAGGTGAAGGTTCCGACGAAGGTGGAGACGGTCTGCTACACCCGCAGACCCCCGGCTATCATGATTCCAAAGTCCGACTTCTTGGCCCAGCTGACCAGTCACCGGGAGGTTTCATCTACGGTGAGGAAGGAAAGCAAGGGTATTTCGGTAGCCGTGATCTCGATGGGCGCTCGGAGGCCGGTGCCTCTGCCTTCAATTCGGGTGACATGTTCCGGAATTTGGACACCCGCGAGCAGATGCTGGAGAAGGGCAATGAGAAGAACATGGAGGAGATCGACGATGTGGTTGTGTCTGGTAGTCGCAAGCGGTGGATGGCCTTGGTCTATCTCCTAACCTGGTACATCCCCGACTTCACTATCAAATGGCTCGGTCGCATGAAACGCAAGGATGTGCGAATCGCCTGGCGTGAAAAGTTTGCGATCAATTTGATCATTTGGTTTTGCTGTCTCGTCGCCATCTTCTTCATTGTCGTCTTTCCTTCCTTGATTTGTCCTACCCAGCACGTTTACTCGTCCGCGGAACTGTCTTCACACAACGGCAAGGATGGGCACAACTCTTTCGTCGCTGTCCGTGGTGTGGTCTTCAACCTGGGTAAATTTATGCCAGCCCACTACCCCGATATCGTGCCCGAATCTGCCTTGAAGAAATACGCAGGAACCGATGCTACCGGTTTGTTCCCAGTCCAGGTGTCAGCTCTATGCCCCGGCACGACTGGAAAAGTTGATCCTACGGTGCTCCTGGACTACTCAGCGACAAACGTCTCGGGATCCGCCACTACCGTCAGTACCACAGATACCAACAAGCAGTATCACGATTTCCGCTACTTCACCAACGACTACCGGCCGGATTGGTTCCAGGAACAAATGATTATGCTAAGAGCCAATTACTTCAAGGGCTGGGTCGGCTACACCCCAGAGTACATCAAGACGCTAGGAGACAAATCTCAATACATCGGTAGTATCAACAACAAAGTCTATGATATGACAACGTACGTTGCAGGAGGTCGGAGAGTGGAAGCTCCCGAAGGTGAGACAGTTCCTGCCGACGTCGATCGCGATTTCATGAATCCCCTGGTCGTCTCTCTTTTCCAAGACCTTCCAGGTCGGGATCTGACGAAGTATTGGGAGAACCTCAAAATTTCCGACGTCATGCGCCAGCGTATGCAACTGTGCTTGGACAATCTCTTCTTCGTGGGACATCTTGATACCCGTAACTCAGCTCAATGTCAGTTTGCGCGGTACTTCATTCTCGCAATCTCCATTTTCATCGTTTCGGTCGTCGTTTTCAAGTTCCTTGCTGCGCTGCAATTCACCAAGAAGAACCTTCCGGAAAATCTCGACAAGTTCATCATCTGCCAAGTTCCAGTCTACACCGAAGACGAAGATTCTCTGCGCCGTGCCATTGATTCCATGGCTCGCATGCGTTACGACGATAAGCGCAAACTCCTCGTTGTCATCTGTGATGGTATGATTATCGGACAGGGTAACGACCGTCCTACCCCAAGGATGGTCCTGGATATTCTGGGAGTTCCGGAATCTGTCGATCCCGAGCCTCTCAGTTTCGAAAGTTTGGGCGAAGGTATGAAACAGCACAACATGGGTAAGATCTATTCGGGCTTGTACGAGGTTCAGGGACACATTGTCCCTTTCCTTGTCGTTGTCAAGGTTGGAAAGCCTTCTGAGGTGGCTCGCCCCGGTAACCGAGGAAAGCGTGATTCTCAGATGGTACTGATGCGTTTCTTGAACCGCGTTCATTACAACTTGCCCATGAGTCCGATGGAATTGGAAATATATCACCAGATCCGCAACATCATCGGCGTGAATCCTACCTTCTACGAGTTCATTCTGCAGGTGGATGCCGATACCGTCGTCGCTCCGGATTCTGCAACCCGCTTCGTCTCTACACTGCTGGCTGATACTCAAATCATTGGTCTGTGCGGTGAAACAGCCTTGTCCAATGCTAAACATTCGGCCATCACCATGATGCAGGTCTACGAATACTACATCTCTCACAACATGATCAAGGCTTTTGAGAGTCTGTTCGGATCGGTTACTTGTTTACCGGGTTGTTTCACAATGTACCGCATTCGCTCTGCAGAAAGTGGAAAGCCTCTGTTCGTCAGCAAGGAGGTTATCGAAGCCTACTCAGAGATCCGCGTCGATACACTGCATATGAAAAATCTTCTGCACCTGGGTGAGGATCGTTATCTGACGACCCTTTTGATGAAGTTCCATCCCAAGTTCAAGACCAAGTATATCATCGCTGCCAAGGCCTGGACCATCGCACCGGAGAGCTTCGCTGTGTTCTTGTCGCAGCGTCGTCGTTGGATCAACTCTACAGTCCACAACCTGATGGAGCTGGTGCCCCTTCAGCAGCTCTGTGGTTTCTGTTGTTTCAGTATGCGTTTCATTGTCTTCGTCGATTTGCTCAGTACCGTTATTCAGCCAGTCACCTTGGCTTATATCGCTTATTTGATCTATTACCTGGTCACCGACACGTCCACTATTCCTTGGACGACCTTTGTCCTTCTCGCTGCCATCTACGGTCTCCAGGCACTGATCTTCATCTTCCGTCGCAAGTGGGACATGCTTGGATGGATGGTTATTTATCTTCTGGGACTTCCGATCTCCTCCTTGGCTCTGCCCTTGTACTCTTTCTGGCACATGGACGACTTCTCCTGGGGTAACACTCGTGTCATCACTGGAGAAAAAGGTCGCAAGGTCGTCATATCAGACGAAGGCAAGTTCGACCCGTCTTCTATCCCGAAGAAGACCTGGGACGAGTACCAGGCCGAACTGTGGGAGGCGCAGACTTCCCGAGACGATCGGTCCGAAGCATCCGGCATCTCTTATGCCACTAAGTCCTACCACCCGATGCAGTCTGAGTACGGATTCCCGCCCTCGCGGCCGATGTCCCAATTCGGCATGCCTCGTTACTCCTCGCGGATGTCCCTAGCTCAATCGGAGAGTATGAGTCGGCACATGGACATGGAGATGGAAGATCTGTCTCACTTGCCCAGCGACGATGCTCTCCTCGCCGAGATCCGGGACATTCTCCGCACCGCGGACTTGATGACGGTCACAAAGAAGAGCATCAAGCAGGAGCTGGAGCGACGATTCGGCGTCGCGCTGGATGCCAAGCGTCCTTACATCAATTCTGGTAAGCAATGCTGCCGTTTCCTCTCAGTCAAAGATGGTGTCGCTAACTTTCTGCTTCTTTCACAGCTACTGAGGCTATTCTCGCTGGTCACCTTTAAGAAGCCGGTCACTTTCTGACCTGATTCAGATGAGGGAGTCCTCTCTCCCTTCTTCCACGACGCTGTATTATTCTTCGTCTTTCATGATCAACACGCCCGCCCCCTTCCCCCCCCCACCCCTGACCCCTCAAGCATTCACACACATACATCCGTCTGACGAAGCTACTTCTACTGCTCGTCTCAGCGATCAATCCGCCCTAAAACCACCCTAGACATTCATGTTTCCAACCCATTCAAAACGGTTGCCAATGAAATGTCCTCTCTATTTCTTGTCTTTTCCACAAACTCTATTGTCTTATTTCCGCACCATCCATCTCCGGCATCGGCGTTGTCTGTACATTACCACATGCGTGGCATATTTGTTTTCCTGTCTTTCATCCCTGCGCCTAAGGATGTATTATTTGAGCGGACGAGCTTTTCTCTTTTGATATTCTTGTCATCGTTTTCGATCCCCTATTTTATCTAGACATATTTCCTATCCATTTTAGATAAGGGTTATTTTTATTTAGTTTTGGGATGGAATGCTAGTTCGAAATATTTGAGCAATTATTGAATACATACACACATACATTTACTGAGCTGAAACATGAGTACTCTTTTGTTTTGTTGACCACTGCCTTAGGGATGAGGACTGGAGTGATTAGTGCACTGTACCGTAAGGTGATTGGAGAAAACCGGGGCTGGAATTAGGACTTATTGTGTCCGTCCATGTATGTATGTAGGTATTTATGTACAGCGTAGTACGCTCAGAATCAAGCAATTGAATAGATACATGAGGATGGTGGTATGTATACATGCATATTCACATTCATATCGTACATCAATGTACACATTTCTGAAGGGCTGAGGCCGGTTGGCGGGTTATAGACACCAAATGCGCGGGTGGGTGGTGGGATTTCGAGGCAGATTGGCTTCGAGCTCGGCGGCGCCGTCATGCTTGTAGTGCATGTATTGATCACTGTGCTTGAACCTGCAAGACAGGCTCCTCACATACACACAAGCAGGGCCCGAATTGAGTCAACGCTGGTCAGTTCCTCCTCAGTGGATAATGTCCACTCGAGGTAAGGGGGTGGACTGTGGCGTTGCCCGAAATAGCGCAGTTTCACATCAGTCAGTCTGAATAAGGTTCGGACATAATCGGGATGCTTCCTGCTTTCACGAGGCGAGAAAAGAAGTGCCCATGCCCATTTCCAGCGTTCCTACTGCTCCTCTCTCACCACCCGCCTTCCTACCACCGGCTCCATCATGCTCCATGCCCAGGATCTGCCACGCTGGCCCCATCATGCCATGGCCCAAGGCCTGGGGGAATCCAGCCGCAGCGCCGTAGACCGAGCTTGCCGTGGTGGCGTGATGTCTTCGCGCGAGTCGTTCCCTCTTGGCTGCGGCGACGCGTTCTTGTTCGCGCTCGTGGCTGATGATCTCGTCGCGCCAGTCGGCCCAGTGTTCGAAGTTCTCACGCTGCTGGAGAACGTGGTAGCGGAGCTTGGTCTTGCGGGGCCGCCAGGCGACGCGTGTGGTGGTAGGGTCTGCGGCGTCGTTGGTTCTCGGAGCGGTGGACTTCAGATCGCAGATGCGTGAATCCTGGGTTAGTTTGAGGAGGTGGGTGAAGACGTCGCGACTTTCGGAAGCAGTGTGCTGAATCATCTCGCGGTGTGGGGAGGAGACACAACTCTGCGTGAGGGGAACATCGAGCCAGGAGTGCAGGTCCGCAGAGCGTTGGATGGAGTACGGGTCGAGCATGTTGGCGCGACGGTGCTCCTCACGGAAGTAGCGTACAGCGGCTTGGAGGCTTTCGACCTCGGCGCGGAGGGCTTCGTTCTCCCGCATGGTGGCGAGCGAGAGACCAGCATCAATGACTACGCCGCCTTCAGCGGTCGTCGTGGCACCCGTCGTGCCCGAGATGCGCTTAACCTTGTCGAGGCGAACCTTTAGCTCGTCGCGTTCGGCCTCAAGGGCTTCGATGCCCGCACGCTGCTGGTGCAGGGTTGATTCCAGATCCGAGTGTGCCGCTTGGAGCTCCTCGATTTTCGCCTCGAGGTCTTTCACCATTGACGCCTTCTTGCTGGCTTCGCGCATCCGGGACTCGATCAGCTCGACTTTGATGGCCTGCTCTTCGATAGTCTTGTCCTTAACGCCAAGGGCAGTAGAGGCTTCATGAATTTCGTTCTTCAGCCGTCGGATTTCTTCGTCCGCATCAGGAGAGTTTTGTTTGTTAGATTTGAGCTCTGCAGCGCGGATTGTCCACGGGGATGGTCGCTTCTCGAATTCAGAAGCGATCGAGAGATCGGACGTGATGGAATCGAGTTCCTCGAGGAAGCCGCCCAGGCTGCGCAGTCGGTTGGAGATAAGAGAAGTCGCGTCGCTGCTTTCACTGCCTGTTTCTGATGGTTGTGCATAAAGTGTGGAGATCTGGGACATCGTTTTGAGTGCTTCTTCCAGGGTTAGTGGTTCAGTGCGGCTTTCGTCAATTATAATCTGCACAATCGTCTCTCCGAGTTGCCGAGTCAGGGCAGAGAGATCCTTAGCTGCTTCTTCGGCTTGTTTAAAAGGACCGACCACATCGGGTGAAAGCGCAAGGGATCTGGAACGGAGTTCTTCCAAGGAGCGGTTGATCTTTCCCATGGCGACTTTCAATCCACGGGCTTGCGTCACAATCCCGTCCATTTTGTTGTAGAGAAAGGCGCTTTCTTCATCACCTCCTTCCGGTACCGCGAGCTTGGACTGCAGTAAGGTTCTCAATCGCGAGATGGTCGAGGCGCTGTGGTCGATGTAAGACTGGGCCAGCATTGAGCGCATGCAGAGCTCGTCTGCAAATGTTTCGAGAGACGTTGGCAGAAGGGTCTCGGCAAGATGGGCAAGTAAGGCAATAGATCGCTGTAATTCCACTGCACACTTCTTCATATTGACCTCGTTCTTCTTCAAACTCTCAATCCAAAAGTTCAACGTGCGTTCCACGGGTTCTAGCTCGAACAGGGCGCCTGTGATGCCACCAAAGCTTTCAGCTGAGCAGGTATTGATATAGTTGACGAAACGATCACAAAGAGCAGCAATCCATTGCAGCTTCTCCATCACTTCACTCGCCACAAAGACTTCTTCGAGAGCGGTAGATATTGACGCTTGCTCTGCAACCTTTTCACGGATGGTGTTGTTCATTAGGGAGGCCTTGAAGTTCACACGCTTGAACCGGAGAAGTGCAAGGATGGCATTGCGCTCGCTGTCGAAGTACTCTGGGAGATACAACTTCAGAATGGCCAGGTGCTGGGTGGCTTCCTCTGCATCCATACGACCAAGTTCAATATCAATTGTCTTGGTTTGCGCCTTGGAGACGGATGCCTGAAGCTTCAAGTTGAGGTCCATCATAGCACGAGACCGCGTGGTAAGATCGCTAGCCTCCGCTTCAGAAATCTGCTGTGATGCGCGCATGTCCTCCAAATCGCCTTGTAGAGTCGAGACCAGCTCTCGAAAGCGAATGAGGGTGTATTCTAGATCTTCGATGACTTCGTCCTGCTGCGTTATCCTCCGGGTTTGTTCGTTGTATAGGCTCTCTCGGTAATCGATTTCCTCCTGCAGCTGTTTCTCTGTTTCGATATGGTTGAACTCGAGTTCATCATTTATCTCCTTCAATGCTTCCAGATCCTCAATGGCAGCCTTGAGTTCGTTGATATCTTCCTGGTAGCGCATGTTCTTGTCTGCCAGCTCTTCGATCATCTCCTCGGCGCCCAGTGCAGTTTCAAGCTGCTGCTTGAGGTCCTCTACGTTGTTTTCGGACACGAGTAACTTCTCCTTCGTTGACTCATACTGAGACTTGATAGTCGCATAGTCCTCAAGGTCTTGCTGGAGCTCTTTGACTTGATCTCGCAGCTCCGCCTCCTGCTGCTGGGTCATGTCGCGGAGGCGGATAAGCGCCTCGCGGAGACGCTCATTCGTCTTTTCCATCTGCAGCCATCCGTGACTCGACTTCTCTTCAGGGGACATGGCCTGTCCGAGCTCCTCGTTTTCTTCCCGAAGGATCTCAACCTCCAATGAGAGCTCTTCAACCCTAAGTCGCAAGGTTTCACATTCATGTTTGAACATGTCAGAGGTCTCTTCCGCCATCTCGCGATCCAATGTAGCCATTTCCAGAATCGTCTCATGTTCGCTCTGGAGGCGCTCGACTTCCTCCAAGCGGGCTTCCGACTCCTTCAATTTCTTGCGCAGTTCGCCGATCTCAAGCTGTTGGGGTTGATACTTTGCTTGCAGCTTCTGAATGATACCCTCGAACTTGTCCCGGTCCGACTGCAATTGTTCCAGATTTTTGAGCTTTTCTCGATCATCGGCCCGCTTCTTTTCCATCACTCGGAGCTTGGTCTTCAATTCATCGAGCTCCCGCGTCACAGCTCCGCCCGTCGAGAGACGCTGCGACGAAGGTTGCAGCTGTTTCTGGCTAGCGCTCACCGTCCGTGAGGCGCTCGGGCTAGGCCTGGTGGATGCGAGACCCGGCTCCTCCTGATCTGCATCACCCGTTACATCCGGCGTCTCAACCTCCGGGTCCTCCGACAAAGGACTCGTTTCACCCTCCACGTCTTCCGATGCTCTGCTAGAAGGTGCCGGTCGCAACGCGGGGCGTTTCGCCAGCCCCGTGGGCGCAGACGCTGTGGCATGCAGACTGGGTCTCCTCGTATTGGATGCGGGTGTCGATATCGATGAGCGGGCAGCGCGAGCGCTTGTTGATGGGAGCGGTGGAGGAGGCATGGAGGTCTTCGAGCTAATAGAGGGACGAGCTCTGGGCGTGGTTGCGGCCGGTCGCGGAGTGCTGCTGAGGGAAGAGCGGTTGGAGGAAAGCGCAGAACCAGATAATTGTTTCGTCGGGGATTTCGTAGGAGACTATGGCGGGCCCTCCACCGTTAGTTTTGCGTTCACCAGCGCCTCTAGATTTGTGAACGCATGTCCGTTGCATACCTTTGTTGACAAGCGCTGAGCGGCGCCTCGCAGCGCCGAAGTCGGGCTAGACGCGCCGGCACTGTGTCGTTTGGTGTTGGCGGCAGCAAGCGCATTGGGCTTTTTGAGGCCAGCGGCGATGCCGCTCTGGGCTCGGCTTCGGGTCGCAGTAGGTTGAGTGATGGTGGTTGCTTTCGGAGCAACGGGTTTGGGAGGTGGTTGTGCGGGCATGATCTTCTCGACGGCCGTGGGACGAATAAACATACCAAACCCTGGTTCACAGTCGAAATATCGCTCGCCTTGCACGGCTCCATCGTTCTTTCCTGTGGCTTCGTCCAGCTCAATGCCTATCCAGTCACCGGGCGCGAAATGTGTTGTGCCAACGAACCGAACGGTGGCCTGCCGACCGTCGGTGAGAATGACCACATGGCCGGGAGTCAGTTCAACCATGTTGCAGCATTCGTCAGGATAGAAACCCTGTGCAGTCGCTCAATTATTCCGAGCCGGAGAGGGGGAGGGAAATGAGGAAGAGGAGGGAAGGGGGAGAGGAAGGAGGGGAGTGTGAAAGAGAGAGAAGTTGGAGCTGGTATTGTTGTTGACGGAGAGTGCATTGTCGGGGAAAGAGGCCTGAGGACGCGACAGGGGTAGGGGGCCTAAGGCATTCACTGGCCTCTCTCTCCGCATTAGGGCTCGGGGCCTAACAACCAGAACAACAACAGCTGAAGATCCATTACTGTTGCTGCTCTTTTGTCCATCCCTTACTGGACTTACATTCTTGAACCTCACTGATTAGGCTACCTTGATGTTCAAATGGTATGTGTGCACGTCTGTCTCAGTCTGAAGGTGAGGGGTGAACCCAAACGTCATGCTCTCATCAAAACAAGTCCTCTATGCTTAAAGCTGAACAGCAAGGGCTTGACCACCAGATCCAGACTATATAAACATGCGTTGCCCAGCGATACAGACACAGCCAGAGGGCTTTTTCCTCCCACCTTGGTCAATTGCTGCTTACCTTGGCATTCGACACACTATCCTCGAGACTATTTCATACACCTAGGGTCCTCCACCCTACACCTCAAGGGTCTCGTCATCTCTACAAGTAGACTTTCAAGATGGCCCGCCTCATCTACAAAGGTGGACTCTTAACCACCATAGCCAGCATAGCGCTGGCAACTCCATCAATCGACGACTGGACACAGCGCTCAATCTACGTACGCCCCTTCCCCTGCCCTCTGGAGTCCCAGACAACCCAACTAACCCCAACCAGCAAGTCCTAACGGACAGGTTCGCACGCCCAAACAGCGCACCAGACACAGCGTGCGACACGAGCAAATACTGCGGCGGGACCTGGGCCGGGATTAAGGAGAACCTCGACTACATCCAAGACCTCGGCTTCACGGCGATCCAGATCTCGCCGGTGGTGGAGAACATCGCCGAGACGACAACAGCCGGAGAGGCATGGCACGGCCACTGGCCGCAGGACCTGTACGCGCTGAACGGGCACTTCGGGAGCGCGGACGACCTGCGCGCACTGGCCGACGAGCTCCACCGACGGGACATGTACCTGATGGTGGAGGTGGTGCTCAACAACATGGCGCAAGCCGTCAGCACGAGGGACGACGAGCCGGTGGTGATCGACTATACACGGCTGCACCCGTTCGACAAGGAGGACTACTACCACCCCTACTGCAACATCAGTGATGACGCAGCAGGAGACGGGGCCGCGACACAGAACTGCTGGCTTGCCAGCGGACCCGTCGCGCTGCCCGACCTCAAGACCGAGGACGCGCAGGTGTCCGCCACCCTGCAGAGCTGGGTGCAAGAGCTGGTGCGTGAGTACTCGATCGACGGGCTCCGCATCGCCGCGACCGAGCACATGGACCGCGGGTTCCTGCGGGAGTTCACGCAGGCGGCGGGCGTGTTCACGCTGGGGGAGGTGGACTCGGTCGACGCGACGACGATGTGCGAGTACGACGACGCGGTCTCGGGCCTGCTCAACTACGCGGTCTATAAGCCCATCACGATGGCGTTCGCGCCCGGCGGCGACATGCCGGGGTTGGTGAACAGTCTGCAGACGGCGATCGAGAAGTGCGACAACTACACGCATCTGGCAACGTTCCTCGAGAACCACGATGTGCCGCGGTTTGCGTCGCTTCAGAATGATACTGCTGTAAGTTGCCCTTTGTTCTAACACAGACGCCATCAATATAGATCCTGTGCTACGCGCAGCCCTCCCTTCCCCCACTCAGAACCTACCCCCTCACAACCACATGATAGATAACTAACCAGAACCACAACAGCTCGCGCAAAACGCATTAGCATTCACCCTGCTCACGGACGGCATCCCCATCGGTAAGTCCAGCAACCCCCCCCCTCTTCCTTCCCTTCCACCTCAGCCTCAAGCCAGCCGCAAATCCCATGAGCCCCCAATAACACGCAAACGAAAATAGTATACCAAGGCAGCGAACGCACGCAAGAAACCGCCAACGCACCCCTGTGGATGCTCCCGGCCCCTGCCCCGGAAACCCAAACCACCACACAAACAATAACCCAAACCCTCAACCACCTCCGCGCGCACGCCCTGAAAATTGACGCGGGGTATCCGACCAACCACAGCGAGACGCTGTACCTGGACGGCTCGACGTACATCACGCGGAAGGGGACGGAGGGGATGCAGATCGTGTCGGCGTTCTCGAACCGCGGCGGCGGCAGCGAAGGGAACTACCAGGTCAACGTGACGCGGATGTACCACCCTGAAACGGAGGTGATGGAGATGCTAGGCTGCGAGCGGCATGTTTCGGCGACGGGCGGGGTGATTCCCGTGGAGTTTGTGGCGGGGGCGCCGCGGGTGTTTTATCCTGTGAAGTACCTCAATGGGTCTGGACTTTGTGGGTTCTAGGGGTATTCGGTTCTTTCTGGTAGACTAGGGCTGGGAAGCTGAAAGAGAAGGGGGGTCCGGGGGTTCTCCCCCGGAACGCTTATCTCTGGGAGTGAAAGGAGTGTTAGAAGGAGAGAGAGAGAGTCTTTTTAAGCCGGACTCTAGCTGGGCATCTTGTTACAGGCAGGCCCAGGGAGGGAGGGGATGTCACTTTGGTGACAATGGGGCGTTTCCTTCCAGGTATACTACTACATTATTGATCTACAGGAGAGAGGGAGAAAGAGCACATCCAAATGAAACAAGTCATACTTTGCTGCCCCTACAAGCAAACCACTGGATATCTTCAGGTATATAACGATCCAACGCAAACACAAACACGAGCAGAACACAACAATACTGGCAAAGGGCAGAATGGCAATCCGTGCATACACCTTCGTTTCACTTGGTATCATATCTGGGAAATGTTTCAATAAAGAAGGAATTCGGGCAAAATCCACCAGCCGTGTGTTTGGTTCCCGTATGATATCTCACTCCAAGACCCCCGATGGATATCCCTCACCATGGCTTAACTCAACAAGATCGAGAAAGAACAACAAACATCTGGCAGAAACACAACTAATGACAGAGAGGAGAATATCACCGGGAGGCAAGATCCAACAAAACCAGGAATAGGTGATCTCAACACAACAATCCCTTGTTCTTTTGTCTTTCCTCCGTTTCCTGTTATATATCTTTTTTTCCTGTGGCGTCTTGATTGCATGCATGCACTCTGTGGTATCAAGTAGAATCCGAAAACACGAATCGCTGACAACAAATCTCAAAAATATGGAGAGAAAAAAAAACGGCAGAAAAAAAACACTAAAAGTCTCTTGGGGTATACTGCTGCAAATTGACATTGATTTTAACGCGGTGGCCCGATTGGGGCCGGGTATCCAGAAGTAGAATTGGAAGTACTAGGACGACCACTGTCAAAAGAGGCGCGCGGGTCATGCTTGGGTGTCATGTCCCCTGGCGCGGTACCGAATGGAAATTTCGTGTCAAAGCGCGCGGGCCAGCCATTGCTGCTGCTGTGGCTGTGAGAGCTTCCGAGGACCGGCAGGTCGTCCTCGGCAAGGTTCACGCCGGAGTCGTTCCATGGGTTGCGATAGCCACTGTCTCGGGACTCCATAGAGACCAAGGATGCCTTCGACGCATTGCTGGACGCATGCTTGAAGAATGATCCAGGAGAGGCCGAATGGTTCTTGCGACCAATGAACGAGGAGAAGGAAGAGATGCTACCAGGCTTGCGCAGTCGCTCAAAAATGGACCCGCGCTCGCTGGTTTCGTCGGAGAAGTTAGGTCGGGTGGGAGAATCGGTGGCGATGGGCGCAGGCGCATGCTGCAACAACTTCGAGTCGAAAAAGGGCAGGGACTCTTCGAAAGAGTCAGACTTGGGTCGCGGGATGGCGCCCTTGACGGTAGTCGCATCGAGTCCGTGACCCACCAGACGTGAGATCAGGAAATCAATGGCATCCTTCAGTCCACCCGCATTGTTGCGGGTGTATCCAAGCACTACGCGGTCTTCAGGCCCGAAAGTGGGCGAAGAGGAGCCCGAGGCACTGTCAGATGTCGGAAGGTCCGAAGTTGTATCCACAGTGGTATCAACCTCGTATTGTTCCTTCAACTTGGCACAGACATCCTCACGGAAATCAGGCGATTTGAAAAAGTCGCGCAGTTCGGCAGAACTTTGGAAGAGGAGTTCGTGACTCTCAGGAACCATTCCCTGCCAAATCTGTTAGCGCTGTGCCCGGAGTAATGGCGGGATATGACATACCAACAAGGCGTCAACCGCCTGCGGAACCTGGTACTCTGGTCCAGAGATGTTCACGACATCGCTAGCAAGCTCGGTGCTGGGAAACTCGATCTTGCAATTCCACTTCTTCTCAAGTTCATCGATTTCCGAGATGCGGGCGAGCAGTTCACGGTGATACAAACGGTTGATAACCACTCGTTCGGAGACGTACTCGGCATCCTATCGAAGCATTAGATGAAAGTCATCGGCGAACTGGGAAAATTTTGACTTACAACTTTCTCGACCATGTCCATGATCTCCTGCTTCACCAAGTCGAGACTTTGCGCATTGCGTGCAGGAGTCCGGCAGATGACGTTGTCGACCTTGATATCATCATCTTCCTTGCCCATGCCGCCGCGGTCCATGGCATTCGAGAACTTGACGAAAACCGAATATTTCTTCATGATGCGCTGAATATGCTGCCCACCAATCCCGATGATTCGCTTGTGGTATTGGTCAGGCACATGGAAGGAGATCGAAGCGGGCATCTCCTGTTCAACAAGATCCAGACCATTTTTAGTGGACTCGTACTGGTTGCCGCATACATCGATATAGAAGTTGTACTCGTTGAAGCCATCGAAGATGATTTGCACATTGCCTAGCCTGGATCAGTACTTCACTCCATGCAAGCAGATCCATTCGGAAAACTCACTCTGTCCCATGATCTTGTTAATCTTGCCGTTCTTCTTGCCACTGACGAACTCCTTGTGCTCGTTCGCGAGCTCAATCTTCACGCGCATCTGATACTGACTCCGCTGGACGAATGGGATCTGGTTGATTACCATCATCGCTGCCTTGACAGCGTCGTCGGAACCATTGATGGTAAAAGTCAAGTTGTCGAAGCTGACCTCAGCACCCGAGTTACTGCAGATGTCGGAGAGCATGGTACGGACGTCGGTAGCGGAAGGGGCCCGAAATCCACCTTGAGAAGGATCTGGCATGATGATCCACCACGAGGCACTGTAGAATTGGCCAGCCTATAGCGGTCAGTTAGTCACTCCCACAGCATGAACCCCACCCAATGAATGCACCACATACCAGAGCCATGATCTCGCGAACCGTGCGCTCGACGTGCAGAACCTCAGTGCCTTGAATGCGAACCACACCCCGCTGGATTCCCAGCTGGGGGAAGTGAACGTAGGATCCATTCATCTCCATCACCTTCCGGACTTTGTCGAGACGATCGAGCAAGATGTTGTCGATCTTGTTGGAGTTGACAATGACGTCCTTCACGTAGATCTTGACTCCCATAACCAACTCTCGCAACTTCTGCTTGGCGCGAGCGATCTGCTCTTGAGTATCACCCGTGATATAAACCTCATCCTCACTGCGACGGTGAGTACCGGGGGGCGTATATCCAAAAATGCGCGGGAATGGCGGAGGAAAGTAAATGGCGGTTCCGGTTGCCGCTTCGATCAGCTTGATGTTCTTCCGAGTGCGACCGCAGACCAAGGTGTGCATGGTGAGCTCCAGCTTCATGGCATCCACGTGACGTTTGAGCTAAAAAAAAAACTGTTAGTAAGTTCAACTGTCCCCTTCGCCACCAGAAGCACGTACTATTTGATCGATCATGATCAAGACCCGAGTCTTGGCATGCTCCGCACTCTCCATGTCACCGTAGATAGACACTCGGAACCGCTGGTCCAGCCCATTGTCCGACGCATAGCCATAAGACGAGATCACGGCGCTATCATTGTCGCGAATCTTCGGATTGAGGAGGAAAATATCGGTACCGGTGTAGGCAGCCAAGGTGTCCAGATGCTCCAGAACACTCGACCGAATATTCTTGGTCGACCCATCAATGATGAGATGCACATCGACATCCACGGTCGCACAACGCTATTGAGCCAGAATTATCAGTATTGAGCACGCAAGCACAAGTCGCCGTGGCGAGAGAGGTCCATCATCGGGGCCGTACCAGCAAGATTGGAGTCTCGTTCAGAACTCTCGCCCGCATTTTGCGCACTGTCTCCCCATCACCGGTAATACAGACATTCGTCGCCAACCCCTGGGGTCGTCGTTGTAGGGAGGGAACCGTTTTGGGCTCGGAAGATGTCACAACCGCTTCGACTCGTCCGTTACTGCTCTCAGTGATCTGCCGACATAACCTCCGCAGGGCTTCCACATTGCTGGCATGAACGGGGAGCTGATGGACAGGGGTACCCTCCGGGGTGCCTTCGGGAAAAGACCAGCGCTGCAGGGCACCAGGACTCGCATGCAGGACATCGTCGGCGTCGGGACCTGCCAAGGTGGAGGAGAAGGGTACGTTGAAGGAGAGGTTGACGGTGGGATCGATGCCGGTGGGAGGAGTCATTGGCGGTGCGCCATGCGGTCGACGGAGGGAGTGGGAGCTCATATCGGTGTGCGGTCGAGACATGCCGAAGGTAGGCGTCATTCGCTCCCAGCCATGACGGGCTTGGCCCGTAAAATTGGAGATCTTGTGCATGGCAAGGGCGGGTTGAGTCTCTGGCCCCTTGAACGAGTCGAGGGGAGAGGAGGGGAAGGGTCGAGCAGCGGAGGGAAGAGAATGGCGAACGAACCGGAGGAGGGGCAGGAGAGAAAAGAGAGGGTGAGTAAAGAAGTCGGGCAAATAAAGAAAGAGTGAGAAGACGGGGTGGGTGCAGAAGGGAAGATCGAGACGGGCAGACAAGGGTTGTTGTCGCCGTTCTCGACAGGGATGGGGGTGGGTGGTGGGCGCAGGAGGAGGAAAAAGGAAGAAGAAGAGGTGGTGGTGGTGGTGGTGTTGAGACGGTAGGTTAAGGTAGTTTGGGTTTGGGGGGGGGAGGGGAGGAGGGAGTGTGAGGGAGGGAGTGTGGGAGGGAAGAGGGAGACTGAAGAGAGACTTGTGAGAGAGACTTAGAGGAACTGAGGGAGTGGAGGACTGAGGCAGTCAACGACGAAAGGGCGCCTTTTTGGGTAATCCGGAATGGGTGGGAAAATGGGAAAAAGGCAATCAAGCACGTCCACAGGCCAAAACGGGTATCGAGGACAGTGCCCGGTGGATTTGAGTGGACAGCGGAAGAACACCAACAAGAGAAAAGATAGAGAGAGAGAGAGAGAGAGAGAGACAGAAAGCGGGAAAGAAAGAAATACGATAAGGTAAATATACCGACTGGAACCAATCTAGGTTCCAATTGTACGGGCAAAAGAGGACAGACGATAAGATGAAGTGTAGGAAGAAGAAAACGAGAATAGGAAAAGGGAATGGGAAGGGGAAGGGGAAAACGAGGAAAAAGCAGTCGATCGATCAACAAAAACGGGTTGGGTTTTTTGGACTGCGCGAACTTGCCAATCGATTCAGCTTTTAGTCAGTCGTTCAGAAGGGAGGAGGAGGAATGAATCAGAAGAACGGGGGGAGGAGAGGGAGGAATTCCTCTGGCTGAATTCAGGCAGACAGGCAAGAGAGAGAGAGAATAATTGAAAAGAGTCCGGAGTCCAACAAGCAAGCAAGCAAGCAAGCAGTAACCTTGAAGCAAGCAAGTAGAGTTGAATGAATCCATCCATCCATCCATTCATCACAAGAAGTAAAAAGAAAAGAAAGGGCATTGATAGAATGGGTTGAGGAAAGAAGAGTCTTCCTCAGGCATCCTACCGACCGTCTACAAGACAGCCAACTCAATCAATCAATCCACAATCCAATCCGTCAATCAATTCTGTCAATTAATCGATCAATCAATCAACCAGTCAGTCCGTCTAGCAATCCAATGGAGAAACTCATTCTCGGAGCTACCTCGTGCTTATTCTTAGGATTGATTACTTGTGCTATAAATGACCCTCTCTCCTCGACACTCTCGACGAGGTGTCTGCATTTTGCTCCTGTCTCCCTCCCCTTCTTCTTCATCTTCTTCATTGATCTAGCGGGACAAAGGCGGGTACTCAGCCCAGTGTCTAGGCCCAATGTTGGCATCGTCTAGCCAAAGTACGATCGTGACCAGAAGCAGACTAACCTTTACTAGAGTCCTCCATACTATAATAGTCATCGTCATCCTGACTAGTCCAACTAGAGATCAGTCCATCATCCCTCTCCCACACCCCCTTCTTTCTCATCCCAAAAATAATACACTCCCCCGTTGTGGATGGCAGGATATACTTAGGACGGACCGAATTGACGCCTGATTTACTGAAGGTCAGTCAACATTCCATCCCGTCCGTCCCAAACATACTGGGGAAACGGGCTGGGATTCCCCTGTTGACAAGGAAGCCAAACCGTCTCTTGTGCGTGCCCAGCAATTCAAAAGGAAACTTAATTCCTGCCCAAAGACCCTCCCTCACTCTCACTGCTCTTGTGTTCTACATTGAAAGAGGAGCCGGGGATGCGCAGCCTTTCGGGTCAAGGCATTCATCGTCTTCTGAGCAGAAGAACGATTGATTTGCGTTCATCATCGATTGCTCAGCACGGGCCACGCGCCTTGCCTCTTTGGGCGTTACAAGCGACTCTAAACAGTCACGTGTGGTCTTAGCGGTGCTGGACGGCCGGCCAACTGGTTTCCCTCCGAGTGGTTGTATATGCATGCTTGCTGTCAACCTGGATCTATCATACTATGGAATGCGGAGAGAGAAGGGAGGGAGGTTGAAGAAGAATTGTCTTCTGGCTTGCAGTGACACCACCAGACTAAGGGCGAGGGTCATTGGTCAGAAAGAATCCCTCACCCGGTTGAGCCGGAGATCCAAGCTCGGAAGTGCAAGGAAAGGGCAGATCAGTCTGGCTTATCCAGCTCTTTTTGCCTGACTTTCCTTGATCGAACAGAACAGCATGAGGGGGCGCTCTCCTTGCCCCAACGAATGGTCTGGACTGGACCGTTTCCTACTGGATGCACCTCGAGTCCATTATGGGCAGATCAATTGGGGCTGAACAATCACAGGGAGAGTTGCGTTCGAATTTGCCACGCGTAAGAATCAACCCATTCGAGCTTCTGCTGGTGCTGCATCAATCCACACAAACATAACAACAGGAGGATAGGTAGTACTACTGTACATACCAGTCTGGATCCCGATTCTCCCAGGAAACGGGCTGGAATTTACAACTTATCCACCAGTTCAACTAAGTATTGCAAGGGCGAATACCCCAGGCTCTTTGTCTATGGTCTAACTGGGACCGACCACAAATTAACCACCAACACCACCACCATTTGCACAGGTATAAACCGGATTGAGCGTGGTGAAACACCCCCCCGAGCTTGCGTCACCGTGTATCATGACTGTCTCCGCCCGGCAAACCCAGGAAGAAACACGACTAGTCAGAGTGTCAGACACTTTTCTCTTCACCAGAGGAGAGCCACCTGCAATCGCCCCCTCCTCCCTTCCCTCTCCGCTCGCCTCTCCTCCTTCCACATCCCCCTCCCTGCACCAAGTCATTGCTCCGCAGCCAGCCTACAGAGTCACCGTTATCATCAAAAGATCAGCAATCTCGACCTATCCAGATCATCGACACAACGGGCTCAACGGCGTACCCATCCATAGAAACCACCATAATCCTCACCCCATCCAACCACCACCAACCACCACCACCACCACCCAAGCAAATCAACATAAGAATTCCCCAGCACAACCAACCAAAGGTCAACCCAAGTAACACAGCATAGTCATAATCACCAAAAGCTCAACCCATCAATGCATCCCCCGAGTCCCAAAAACCCCCATCCCATCCCCTCTCATCCGATTTACCACACCCCAGGTAAAACCAGGAAATCTCCGGAATGTCCATGGATCCAAGATGACCCTTCGACTCTCAATTAACCTCGTATAAACAGGAAGTAATCGATACCTGATCTGACAATCACTCGTAAATAGATAGGTCGTACCCGACGGATCGATCTCGACACGCGAACCGTGCAACGACGTCATTCACTATATACCTTGGGTGGGTCGACTACGGTAAGTAAAGTAGGTGAAGCAGGTGTAAGTGTTGTCTATCTATCAATCATTCTGTGTCTTGCAGTACTGCTCCTACCGGGTGGATAGGCAGATGTGACAGGTGTTGTAACTGTTGACTACTTGTACTGCCTGTACTGGCAATGGATCTACGACTCGGAGTAGGAACAGGTTCCGACGGTGCTTCCACGCACTGATTCAATACATCCTGCCATCACTTGAGCCAGCAACAAAATCAGGATGACCCTGCTATAAGCCAGATATTGAAGAAGAAAACAAGAGAGTGTAAGTCAATAGTAATCACATAAAGGATACGTGTTTAGCTCAGGCAGGGGTCGAATTTGCCCGGGGCCAGAGCCGTATTCTGGGGGGCCGGGGGCTGTCGTTGTAGAACACTCCGCCCTACCAACACACAGCGTTGAGGTTCTATGGATCTCGATTGGTCAAGGCTTGTCTCCTTGTATTGAGCATTAGGCTCAAAAGATATAAGGACTATATTCGGGGAGATTGGCTGGCAGATAGGGAGACGCGTCTGTGGGATGTTTGCGATTGCAATATTAATATATTCTATGCTCGGGGAGGTGTAACCCCACTACCAGAAACAATGCAAACCACTAGTCTACCAGAAAAGGTGTCCCGTGTCGGTTGAGGATATATCCTCGTCCAACATAATTTAGCAGCTTTGGAGGGTGTAGTTATAGTCATGCCTGTAAGGTCCATAGAAGGAACCCAGAACTAAGCCTTTGGCACCCATGAGTGCGGAGCGCACCGACAAGCATTGACTATCACGATAATGTAGGCCACCGGGGCCTCTATCCTTGTACTACAATTAGAAATCGAGAATAATACCAGTAGTTAGAACTAATGTCGAGGCCTCTTCCGTGTCATTGAACGCTGCTCGACATGATTTAGATTATACACCACCACCATGCTAATAAAGTGGCATGGGCCCCCGAGCATCTTGCTTGCTTGCTTTTGTAAGTACAATGAGATAGGCCCAAGAACGAGTCGGGATTTGAAAATCAATAAAATATATGGCTTTGTTCATCGGTTGAAATCATCGGACGAAATCACCAGACGGAAAATGCGAAAGTAAAAAGTATTTAGTACCGCGGAGGAACTCGATGAACTACATCCGCCCGCGGTGCTCCCTCCAAAACGACTCGCTCGGGATTCGGAACACCCCCCTCATAGTAGCGAACAGGCTCCTCGCGCGCCAGAGGTCGCGTTGCAACATACACGGGCCGCTCCACGTATTCGCGCGGCTGCCGGGTTCCATCGTCCAGATACACACTCGCGTCGCGCGCGCCACCCGGGCGGACGCTCTCCACGCGCTGGATGACCTCGCGCGGCTCCTCGTACCGTCCCGACGGGGGACGCACGCTCGGCATCCGTACGATTCGCTCCCGGGGCAGTTCGGCCTCGTCAAGGTTGAGGTACGGCGGAGGCCGGCGGGCGGCATATTCTGTCACTTGGACGCTGGCGCTACGCGGTGGATAGACGTCCCGGTCCTCCGGGCCGGCGGCAACGGTTGCAGCAGCGGCGCCCGCGTAAGGTCGCCGTTCACCCGGGACCGGCCGACCGTAGTCGGTGACGCGTCGGTAAGCCGCCGGCGGAGGGGGCATCTCCTGTACGTACCTCCGACCGCCATAGGGATCTTCAACGACAGACGCCGCCCGCAGGCTCGCGTGGCGTAATGACACCGCACGGTCATCATATACATCGCCCCGCGGGGTTCTGCTAGCGGAAAGAGGCATCGCTTGCATTCGCGGAGCGGGAACCGTCTCATAGTACTGATTACCGTGCTCGTCGACCACGATCCGCCGCGGAGGCGGTGCCATCATGCGACCCGGGGCCTCCTCGTAGTATGCCTCCCGGAGTCTGGGCGACATCGGCACTTCTCCCGCAGGAACGTAGTGTCGAGCGGACGACGGGGCTAGCTCGTCATAATACCGGATTCGGTCCTGTGGCGGACGTTCCACGATAGCGTAGGATCCTGCACGCAAAGAATGAGGGCTAGCTTGGTCAATATACTCCCGAGCGTATTCTGGTTGCCGAGCTTGGTGCTGTAGACTGGCGACTCGTCGTAGATCTTGATCGTCGCGCATCGGACGTCTCACACTGAGTCTGGAGACAGTCCTTTGGGCGCTAGGATCTGCGTGAGCGTCATAGAGTTCATACTCGTATCCCGGCTCCCTCAGAGGCGGCTCTCTTCTCTCCACCACCGGAGTATACTGTGGAGAGGCGATGTCTATGTACACAGGTCGTTCCTGAGGCTGACGGGTTCTGTATGTCTGGGGGGTATCTGTAAACGGTGGAGGCGAGACGGGCTCTTCTTTGATGTATGCCTCATCGGCAGCTCCGGTGGCTTGTGCCTTATACGATGGACGAGATCGAACTCGATCCTCATGCAGTCTCCTACGCTTTCTGGACGTCAAAGGATAGGCAGGAACATCAGGGCTGGTGTGACGCTCCGGAGCGAAGTCCGCACGCGACTGTGGGACGGAAGACACCTTGGTAATCGCCAACGGGGAGACTCTCGATGGTTGTGGAGCGGCAGGCGACGTGATGTGGTTTCGTACGATCCGCATATCGTCGCCCGGTGATACCGATCGTCGAGCGTAGCGGCCTCGGTCGGCCGGTCGGCCCTCGGGCGCACGTCGTTTGGTTCCGCTCGGATATTCCCTATGAATCTCATAATTGTCTTCCCTCTCCATGGGCGCAATTCCAGGCGCAGGCGGCGAGTATTCCGGCTCTTCGAACGCGTCGGTCGCTTGGTTGGGGTCCTGGTATTTGCGGGATGCGTAGTCAACTTCGCCATGGTGCGGCTGCCTCTGACCATAGGGTAATCGATGGCCTGCCACTGGGTAAGTATCTTGCATATCCTGATCCGATCCAGTTCTGTTGAGGGCCTCGAGCCGTTGCAACTCATCTGAATAGTTCTCTACTGGGCCTTCAGTAGCCAGCTCCTCAGAGTTAGATTGAGGGGCCGGAGATGGTTTATGCGGTTCTCCCTGCTGAGGAGAGTCAGGAGCTCTACTGGAATAGAACGAATTCTCGTCAAACGAGTCGCCGGGCTCTCCGTTGCCACGGCCGTCGGCCGACGGAGATGGTTTGACCATCTCGAAGGCCTTGACCAGCACATCGGACACGTCAAAGTCCGGCTTCGCGTCCTGGAGCGCGGCCTTCTGCCTTGTTTCTTGTCTTCTTTGATCCAGCTGCTCCCGCAGCGCCCGCTCCACCCTCTGCCGCTGCAGCTGTAGCTCTGCTCGAACGAGATCATCCGACTTGGTCAGGAAGATCGGATCGATTTCCGAGGTAGGGTTGGGGATGATACGCGACGCCCCGGTCGCCGCCCCCGACGAGCTACTCCCAACACCGCCGCTCTGGGTGTGGGCTGATTTGGCAGTCGAAGGGGCGGTCGGGGCCTGGTTCTTGGGGGAGGCCCTGTGCTGTTCTCCTGTCTTTACCTGGGATGGGGTTGAGGAGGCAGGGGGATTGCGCGAGGCAGTCTTGCGCACAAACTGCTGAGGAACCTTCAATCTAGGGTGAGTTCCAGAAAAGATATCGTCACTTATTCTCAGAATCTTCTCATATTCCTGCACCTCCTGACCTGTAGATAGCCTAGTAGGCACACTACCGCCTGATGCTGAGAGCTGGGCTGTTGCCATGATCTAGGAAATTGTTCTCCAAGGCGAGATCTATGCTGGCCGTGAGAGTTGATGAATCAGACCAGGTTTAGAGCGAGCAGGTTTTCCTGCATTGCCCGTCCAGGTTGCAATCTTAGATGAGGATTAAGTTTGACTGCCTCGCCAGTACACTGAGACCAGTCACTGTCTTCTCTTTTTCACTTCTCTTCTTGTTTCTTTGTTTCTTTTTCTTCTTTTGTGAAAGGTATAAGGGGGAAAGGGGGGGAAGACAAGTGCCGACCAAAAGGTGGCAGACACGAGGTAATTGATTCGGGAAGTAAGAGAAACAAAGTGAAGTTGCGGAGAGGAAAAGTGCTTGGATTATATTACTTGGACCGAGACTCGAAGAACCGCCGAACGCGCTAAACTCGCCGGGGAAATGCCGTGCCGACTGACTGACGAGTCATCATCGCCATTCCTAATGATTCCATGTATTGTTCCCTCTTCAAGGTTCCTTTGGTGAGTCCACCACGCTGCCAATTACGTTGGACCTGATCCACTGCACATAAGCCTTCGGCTATGAATCATCCCATTCTACGGGCCTGTTCTCGATCTTCCTTGACTTTTGGCGCATATCGCGCCGTGCAAACCCCTTCATATACCCCGCGATTCCTGCCTTCCCTCCGCGCTGCTCCATTCCCTCGGTATCACCGCCAGATCCCTCCATTCCGACGAGCAATGACGACCGCCAACCACTCGGCCAGCGCGCCGCTGGACCCGCGACCAGTGTTCTTCTTCGACATTGACAACTGCGTATGTATTCCTCTAAGACCATGATCGAACCTCTGTGACTAACCGGTTTACCACCATCCGCAGTTATACTCCCGAGGTATACACCGCGAAACCCTCCTCCCATCCATATTAGACCACCCATCACGCAACGACCACAGACTAACCACCGGCCACCCGCGGCGATCCGGCGGCGCACAGGATGCAACATCCACGATGAGATGCAAAAACTGATCAGTGAGCCACCAACCCCAACCCCAACCTCAATCTGCCAGAGAAACAACCCAAACTAAAGCGCAATGTCAACCCGCGCGAACAGACGAGTTCTTCATCAAGCACCTCTCGCTCAACACGGAAGATGCGCACCACCTGCACATGAAATACTACAAGGAGTACGGGCTGGCGATCGAGGGGCTGACGCGGCACCACAAGATCGACCCGCTGGAGTTCAACCGCGAGGTCGACGACGCGCTGCCGCTGGACGAGATCCTGAAGCCGGATGCGCAGCTGCGGCGGCTGCTCGAGGACATCGACCGGAGCAAGGTGCGGCTGTGGCTGCTGACGAACGCGTACGTCACGCACGCGCGCCGCGTCGTGCGGCTGCTGCAGGTGGAGGACCTGTTCGAGGGCGTCACCTTCTGCGACTACTCGCAGACGCCGCTGGTGTGCAAGCCCAGCCAGGTGATGTACGAGAAGGCGGAGCGGGAGGCGGCGGCATCGAGTCGGGAGGAGTGCTATTTTGTCGGTAGGTCTTCCTTTTCCCCGCCTTGTCACTTCTGCATTAGGATCGTCGCTGCTCGGGTTTGTTTCACGACGCACGCAAATGCTAATGAGACGCTGGTACCAGATGATTCGGGCCTGAACTCCAAACACGCCGCAGAGCGCGGCTGGGCCGTCGCCCACCTCGTCGAGCCGGGATTACCCGCGCCCCCGGAGCCGGTCTCGCAATTCCAGATCTCGAGTCTGGAGGAGCTGCGGACCTGTTTCCCTCACTTGTTCAAGTCGCAACAACAGTCCTAAGACGGTAGTTTTTTTTTGGTGTTCGTGCTTATAGATGCATGCTCCGCTTTCTTTCCCCCATTATATAGACCTTCTCTTTCCTTCCCGTATAGTTATACATACAGCCTTGGCATGAAGACGCTACGAAGAATACGAGTGACGCTTGTCTGTCCTTTTGGAATCCTTGTTGCTGGTATTTGGGGTATATAGATAAATCAACCAGTCATGATGAGGGGCGAGAATCTTTCTCTACTTTACCCCTCAAGTTGGGATTAGCAACGGGAGCCTGGAACTGAATCCTAGTAGTACGCTTCCCTTCTACCTCACTGTCCAAAATAGGCCGATGGTTATTTAGAGCGTTAGAAACGAGCGTAAGACATGAATAATCTATATAAGCTAATACCTAACGCGATGCATCGCCGGTGTGGAGTCTCAAACGAATGACCATGGAACGAGGGGTATCGACATATTAGCAGCCGCGACGGGCTGAAACGAGTGGTGAACAGAGTGCAGAGCTTCGGAGCATATGCGGTGGCAGGGGTATATCAGAGCATTAAGGCATTGGCGGGCATTAAATTGAGTTTAGGCAGCATGGATTTGCAGGTCGGAGGGGGCTAGTGTATAAGTATTGTGCAGGAGGTCGGAAGAGAATGTGGTGAGAGAGTGTTCGAGCGTAGGGGAGCTAGGGCTTAGATCTCATGAAAGGCGGATCTGTCGCTTCAATGAGGGACACAAACCGAGAGAGGAGGTGGCTGGGTTCCAACGACGGAAGCAAGATTCAGAAGGCTAGTCCAACGGCGGAGTGACGGTAGTTCTCGTAGTACTGGGGGTGGAAATCCTCGTAGTCCTGTTGCTGCTGTCGGGAGTGCCGCTGGGGTTGCTCGCTTTCGAAGATGGTGGGGTAGATGCGGTCTTCGGTCAGGCGGGAGGTGAATGGGCTGGCCAGGCTGGGGCCAGTACCTTCTTTCTCTGGACGGTCCATGGAAGTCTGCGTGGCATGGGCTGTAACAGCAGGAGGAAGAGGAGTGGTGGCCGTCGTGTTGCTTGATAAAGACGGGGTGGGCGGGCTCTTGAAGCCGCCGGTCAGACCCGTGATGGACGAAGCCAGGGTCGATCCGCTGAGGGTACGCGAGCGGATGCGGAACGGGCCCTTCTCGCTGGTGGGAGAGAGTTTCAGCCAAGAGGTACCGGGGGAGTGCTGCTTGCTGGGGCTGTTGTTGTTTGCGCCGTGCGAACTGTTGGCTTGGAATAGCCACTGCGTTACGCGGCCTGAGCGAGAGGGGGTCTGCTCGGGTTGCTCTGAGGGGGTCGTTGGAGGGCGACCTGCGTTCTCGCATGGTGTTGACGGGGGATGAGATGTTGTGCTCCTGGATGAAGAGGGGCTCTCCTCAGTTGGTATCGAAGGTAAGGGCCTGTCCTGCAGGTTGGGCCTGGTGGGTGTTCTTGGAGGCTCGTGGAATGCAGAAGTAGCTTCATTATGGTGCTGCCGGCGCTGAGGGCGGGAGTCTGTGTTGAAGTGTGGCACTGGGATGGGGGATGGTAAGCTTGTACTAGGGCCAGTGGTGACGGAGCTCTGCCCACGGCTCGAGAAATGAGGGATGAAGGGGCTGGGGGAGGTGGTCTGTTTCTCTCCAAGATTGAGATATTCGTGGGCAGCGAGAGAGGAACGACGAGAACCAGAGCCGACGGGCTTGCGGGGCAACTGGAACGATGAAGTCGGTCGATGTTGGGCTCTCGCCTGGGGTAGACGACTGTTCTCGGCTGGTAGGACGCGCGAAGGCCGTTTGATCGGTGAGCGACGATCTGTCTCAAGTGGGAATTCGTCAAAGTGAGGAAGATCGGGGAGCTGACGGCCTGGCACATTGAAGCTCAGCTCCAACGGGGAAAACCCATCTGCGTCAGGCAGAGAGGTCGACACTCGTCGGAAATCCGACGGTGCGCTGATGCGGATGGGTGCTGTAGACTTTCTCTTCAGCGACATGCTCGCACGGTTCTTGCTCTCAATCATCCAGGACGGTAAGGATGGGGCCCGGGGTAGAGGGCGTGGGATGGGAGCTTCATCGTAGACGAGTGGCTTCATGGGAGGGATCAGACGGGGCTGTTGCGTATGGCATATCTTCATCTCCCGTTCAGCACCTGCAGGGAGAGGAATCTCAGTCAGTTCTATCAGGTTGTATTGTGTTGTGTTGGCTGTTAGCCGACTTAGGGCTCTGCTGAGTATGTATATGCCAAACCAGAGGCTAGACCGACGGAGACAGACCTTTACGCTGCATGGCTTGTTGATGATAGAAACTCTCGTCATCCCCGGAGTGCAGACAGGAGGAGCAGGAGGATATCCAGCCAGTGAATATAGATCCTGCTTGTGCAATTGCCTGCTTCATGGCTGCCAGCGCATTACCAGTGTTGATCCATCATCCAGTGGGGATCGGGCGAACAGACAGTGGGGGGAGGGGACCAAACAGAGACACAGGCCAAATAAAACACGAGACGTCAGGCCAGGCTGCTGACGACTTTTGAGAGAAACAGAGCCGGCGAAGAATTGAATAATAGAGTTGAGAGCTACAACAGAGGAGGAAAAGGGAAAGTCAAAAAGCACACCCACTCAGGCCTCCAAGGAGAGAGGAGAGAGAACGGCTAGGGAGGAGAAAGAGACAGACAACAGGAAGACGGACAAACAGACAAAGAGCCAGCAAGATAAAGACTTGATGACCAAAACTACACGAGGGAGCTAAAGACACAAAGAGACTAACACTACTCCGTAAAAACTACGACATGCCTCAGATTGAAGCTCGAGCATCAGCCATTTCCGGGTGGACTAATGAGGGGGAAGCATAAGGGCGAAGATGTGACAGTCGTGGTGCCATTCCTGTTGCCCTAATCAATGAGGCACACCAATAGCGGGGAAGCAGAGACCCCCTCCTCGCCAGCGTGTCGGGCTATCGATCAGCCTTCTGCATCTCTGGCGTTGGTCCTCCCATCATCTTTGACCATGTCAGTCCTCCTATCATTCCTGCTTCCCCCCTTGGAGGAGCGTGGTGGGCGCGTAATGGCTGGCCGTCATTTGCCGGGCGACCAACCACCAGCCCGAGCGACGGCCATCCGTCACATCGTCACTCCTCGTTGCGCACATGCCCCTGACGGTCTCGATCCAGATGATGGTGGGTTAATCAAAAGCACATGGCTCGGGTACTAGCTTCCAGTTCAATCATCACCATCATCGTACGAACCCCCGGCCCCGTGTATTGCCTCATGACTATATGTATGTTTGAGATCAGGGGATCTCAAATCTTCAATCTACCCAGGTGCATTCGATATACATGCAACTTCATTGATTCTAAAGCTCGCCTCTCACTTCCTACCGACCCCAAACATTGTCTTCTTCCAAATCCCCGTAGGCCCAGCCCTGTCTCCTGGGTTCTTCCTCTTCATCATGCATATGTGGGTGAAGTGCGTGGACATCATCCCCATGCCGTTCATCGACCGGTTCGCCCGATGGTCTCCTAGCGTGGAGGGTTAGCGTCATTTACCTTCACCTGGACTGAAAGGGACATACTGGAAATGCCTGTGTTCGGGCTCAATCGCTGATGAGCCAAATGCCCTCTGTACAAGCTGTCGTTCTTCTTCCTCGGCCTTCTGGTCCTCAACAACAAGATCCACGATCTGACTTGGGTGAGAAGCATAGGAAGCTGCGGAGTTGGCCCTCTGCTCAGCATAGCTACTACGCGGACTGCGAGAGGCTCCTGCGCTACGGGGAATGTCCTCGCCGCTGGAGGCGCGCGATTTTTTGTGCTTGCGGGACTTCTTCATGACACCTGATGCCTGTCGCTGTGGCGAGCTTCGTTGAAGCGCTAGACGTTGCTCTGCTGGCACCTCGTTTGCGGTGATTACAGGATACTGCTTCAATCAGCCCATCGCATCTCGTCAGTAAGAGAATGAAGGTAACCTACGTTCCAATCGCCAAATTCCAATGCTCGGGCGTTCGTGAATAGCCTTTCGTCATCTTCATCTAGGGTGGTTTCTTCCATCTCACTATGAGAATGCATGCGACTCAGCGTGCTGCTGCGTCGGTCCCGGCTGCTGCCTTCGGACCCCACCAACAACGGTGTCCGACTGTTAATCTCCCCGGGTGTCGGAATCCAGTACTTGGCTTTCCCGCCACGTTCATACCGCAGACCATGCATCACACGCCGAACGCGCGAGTTGGATTCTGCGTGCGCGATAATATGGTCGCCGGAATCGAACAGTCTATACTCGTATTTATCACCTCGTATAGTCATCTTTGTATCCTCGATGAGATCGCGGATGCCAAACGAGTCACGGAGCGCGTATTTGACAGGCAGTCGGGCGGCAGAGATCGTTGAGTCAGCATAATCATGCCAGGAAAAGGCATACCAATGCGTGAGTGCAAAGAAAGGCATCTCAAAGCAGATCAAGCTGTCCTGAATGGCGGCCGCGAGATTATCGGGAGTGTAGCCGGCAACGCCATTAGATAACGCCCCCAGCCATTGCAGGATTGACAGGAAAAACCCTTGCCAATATGATGCGAAAATGATAAGCTTGACACACAAGAACTTGGGCACCGGACGGAATGGCGCCAGGTCATTGTGCAAGCAGACCCAGAATATCGCTAGCGAATAGAGACTGACGGTAACGCTGATGTTGTACACAATGCCTGTCCAAAGATATCCGGAGTTCAAGCCCAAATAGCCCTCTTGATAGGTATCGGTCGCTTTCATTACAATGGATATGATGGCTAGAATGGGCTTGAGCCATGTATACTGGAGGATGCCGCGTTTCACGGTCAAAAATGTTTGGGGGTCGGATATGTCGACTTTGGGCAGTATGTGGTTGAGGGGCCAGGCATGCTGAATGGGAGGTCGTCCATGGGTCATGATGATCAATGCCCGTTCGCCGCCGAGAAAGTTGATAAGTAACTGGAAGAAGGTATAGATGGTAAATGCCTAGAAAGGTAATCTGTCAACCCGTGGCGAACGCAATCACCAGAACACAGAAAGCTACCTCATAAACATCACGAATAGGGTCCAGCCACATTGCCGCTTGTGAAGATATAATACTAGCCCATGATGACACTGCGTATATGGGAACCCTGCGCCATCAGTGTCAGCTCCACTCGGATCCGAAGAGCATGTGGGTACGAACATCAACAATATACGGACAACATAGCGTTGGAGTAACGGTTTTCGGTAATTCTTGCTAACGACCGATCAGCGCATGATCTGACTATACGAGCGGATATATAGACGTACGTTTGAAGCCATATGGACCTATGCGAGCGAAGCGATTAGTGTCAAAATCATGGTGATGATAACTGTCTGCCTGGGAATCAAAGGGGGGAGGGGGGCGTGCGGAGAGAGGAGGGGTTTCATAATGGGACATCTTCATACAAAAGGGAGAGCAAAGAAGCGACCAGCGAGGATACACCTGCGACTATCACTACAGCTCGAGCTAGACTCGAGCCTGTGCCACCGAAGGAGGAAGTGGTGATGCTCATCGTTAACAAAAGTCGCGGTTGATCGTCCGCGTACGCTTATGTATGCGACCACCGGCAAAGCATTCCGCAAGTCAATCGCAATAGAGTTCTGAACAGGGCATGATCCGGTCAACGGGCGAAGATAGACAATAATAGGAAATCTTCCAGCGATTCCTCAAAGCCGTCTAACAAGCGGCCCCTCGCATGCCTGGTGGTCAGCCAACAGTGTCGTGTGCGTGTGTGTGTGCGGTGTGAGAGTTGCGTAGACGATGGGGACATTCCTTATCCACCAACAAGCCCCGTCCGTCATCGCTCCCGTCTCGAAGACACCGTCCACCGCCTAGTTTAGCCCACTTCGGGCCAAGTTCCTCTTCCCCCTACATTTACTACTGGTAAACTAACTGCAGTGGTGACCACTAACCTGCTCCATATTAGGAGTCCCAACTATCAAACGCATTGGAGCAGGACGACCTTCCGGCACTTCCCTCTTGATGGACATCCCTAGCTAGCTGAAGACCACTCTTTTCATCAGCCCTGAGACAATTGTGTCTGCTTGAGATCTCTCGCGCGCGCATCGCTTTGCCTGTTTTGCGGCGTCACCATGTCCACACGCCCCGCTGGTGGTGAACGTTCTCGGTTACTGCTAATATGGCCAGCACAAGCTTAACTGCTTTATCCTTGACCCCGAATCCGAGCTTCAATTGGTTTGTCTTAGTGTCGCGACAACCTCTGCTTGACTAATATCAGTGTAGGTTTTTCCTTCTTGAACTCATTGTCTCCTGTATTCTGTGAGTATCCGTGATGCGTGACCGCAGTGAACGGGCTACTAACTACTACGCCAAGCGTGCTCTTCTTCCTGCTCTACTTCAACCGGCTGTTCGCAACCCTCCTCTCCTACGGAATCCGCGCGTATACCTGGCATTATTACCGCGCCTATGTCGACATTCGGGCCCTCCAAATCTCACCCTTAGGTGGGAGGATTTTCTTCAAAGGCATTCGTTATCACGGCGTGAACGAGACTATATTTGTACACGGAGGCTTCATAACATGGCATTACTGGAAACGTACCGTGAGGCGAACGGATGTGGCAGGTCTGAAGTCCGATGATCGAGCAGCAGAAAGAGCACATGAGTCTGGCGTCGCGGGCGATGCGGATTCCAAGACCGGAGACAGAGGAGAGCAAGGCGGACTGAAGCATGCGGACTCGCTCCCTTGCCGCATTACAGCAAAGGTCTATGGCCTCGAATGGTTCATATACAATCGGACCCCAGCCTACGAGGGCATCTTGGCTGGGTTCAATCCATCGGACCCATCATCCTCAGCTACCAAACCACAATACCCTGAGAGTGACACGCTGGATCCGAGCTTGAAGAATGGCGAGTCGGGTGTGCCCGTGGCCGGATCCGCTCGCGGTGAAGGTCAAGGCAGACCGAACACGACTGAATCGCAGGGCATGACTGGCCCAGAGCAGGAATTGGGGGACGGCATATCTAGGTTCCTTCGTCTCCTTCCTATGAGACTGGAATGTGATAAAGGGGCCATCGTCATGGGAAATGAAAATACGAGATCGGTTTTGACGACCACTTTCGACAGTGCTACCGGTTTGATCGAGGCCTGCAATGCCGGTCCGCTTGACTTATACAGACAGGTGTTTTCTTTCAGCTTCAGCCACCCAGTCATTCAAATGCGCCCAAACCCGGATTTCAAACAAAATCAGCTTACCGCCGCAAAGAGCCTCGGAACAACCCATGAAGACCAAGATGGAACGAAGCGCAAGCGAGGTGCACTCTTCAACTATAAGTTGCAGAAGCGCAGAGTCTGGCACAGTATCCGCGATCTGATTCCTTATTTTCAGAAATCGGTGGAATCATTTCATGTGAATGAGAAACATGCAGACTCTGGACCTAGGAACTCGATTGATTTGAGCAGTGATACCCGCTGGGTAGGACTCTCGCGGTACCTGGATGAGAGCGCGCAGGATGACCATGAAGAGTGGAGTCCGGTGGAATACGGCAGATACTCGACGATTCTCGACAGCCCTGAAATGTCTGTGGCTTATTACTGGGACATTCCTGGGAATGTCAAAGTAATTCCACCTTCAGAGAACTCGTCGCCTCCAGATGCGACATGGAGAATCAACAGCGCTCCACCTCCAGAATGGGGAATAGATATCAAGGTCAACGGCGGCACTATCAACTATGGTCCCTGGGCTGATAGAGAACGAGTCGGATTGCAAAATGTGTTCTTTCCCAACGCTTTTCGAAACTCGGAGCCGTCGGAGCCTCTGAATCCTGGACAGCCAAGACAGACCTCGGCCTTTACCCTACGAGTCGAGATCAGTGATGAACTTACGCTGCGGATCCCCACTCGGGAGCCATCGAAAGATTGGCAGTGGAAAGGCCGTGCAGATACAATAAGAGGTGTCTCTAAATTAAAGAAACAGAACAGCAGAAGACAGTCGCATGTTGCAGAAGGAGACAAGGGTCATATCGGTCCCGATAGAAGGCCTTTTGGGTGGCTGTCGCTCCGTGTGGCTGGCGACTCGACGATTCGCTACAACATGGACATGCTAGCATCTGCATCGGGATTTCAAAGCCAGCTTGATCTTGATCTCCGAGACACCAAGCTGTTATCCAGTGTCAATCACGCATTACTGTGGCAGTGCCCAAGGCAACTGATCACTTGTGACTTGTCTGTCCCTCTTTCCTGGAATAGCATGCGTACCTGGAAATTTGATGTTGAAAGCCATGATTTGGAGCTCTTCCTTCTACGGGACCATATTTTCCTCCTGACCGACCTTGTCTCCGACTGGGCATCGGGCCCCCCTCCGGAGTATAGCACTTTTGTTCCTTTCATTTACAAGCTCAATTTGTCCTTCTCGAACCTCCAGCTGTTTCTGAATGTCAATGATATGAATATCGTGAACAACCCGTCTGACCTGGACGACAATCGCACATTAGCCATCAAGGGCAAACGTTTGTCCTCCGACGTTACTATTCCTCTGAATAAGTATAGGCCCGAGGAAAATGCTATTTCTTTCATTGTCAATCTCCAAGATGCTGGTATTGACTACTTGACCCCCGTCTGGGATACAATGCATGCTTTCCTATCGAACAATTCAATTGCTACGCTCGAAAAGCTAACAATTGACGGCGTTTACAACTATTATCTAACTACATCTTCCGACCTGGTTGATACCCTGGTATTGAACGTCGACGGCTTTTCTCCCAAGCTTTACCTCTTCGGGTTTTTGATTCGGTCCTTCATGACCATTAAAGAGAACTATTTCGGCGAGGAGATGCACTTCAAGACACTTGAGGAATACCAGGAACTCGCGTACCCACAAGAAGATGCCAAAACTCAGACTGGGATCAATCCCACCAGCAAGTCCAATGACCTTGACGTGATTGTGCACGTCACCGTCGACAACCCCTACGCTTTGCTGCCGGAGAATATTTATGATAATTCAAATTGCATAAAACTGACTGCTGCATCCTTGGAGGCAGACTTGCGATTTACAAATTATTATATGGATCTGTATTTCTCAATCGCCCCGCTGAAAGCGGCCTTAGAATCTAGCAGGTCGGGGTATCCGCCAGCAATCTCAGAGACCCAGCTGTTCATTGACGGCGTCTGTGTTTATGGCCATCGTCTATTCGGCCTACCGCCTTTAGAGCCAACCTATGTCTGCAACTGGGATTTTGACATAGGTCGTATAATTGGAGAATGCTCGACAGACTTCCTCAGCTGTTTGACCGGAGGGCTTAAGAGCTTCGACTTTTCCTTTGACAATGAAGAGAACGCCCTTCCTCTATTGAATCCGTTACAGCTTCATGATGTTACTTTCTTGCGCGCTAGGATTGACTCAGTTCATGTCTCCGTCCTCTTGGAGAAGGCAGCACTCATATTAAGTACTGGTATCGTGACTACCAGGTTCAATGATTGGGCCAACACGAAGTTCTCGAAGCGGATGAGCCTGCTTGTCCCTGACCTTTCTGTTGCTGCCATTGATTACAAGACTCTGGGGCGATCTGGGAGCCTGTTTCACCAGACTGTTACTCCTCTTGCTCTTCTCGAGTCGACTCTAAGCTTGAGAATGGTGCAACAGAAAGGTGATTTCAACGAGAGCCGAAAATTACAACAGGAACATGTTAAGCTTCATGACCGAAGAACACAGCGGACACCTTGGCTGATCTTTGATTGGGAGGACATTGAACCTCAGCCACTACAGGTGGGCGGAGAAGATTTGTCTCCCCCTACCATTGCTATACCCACCATGCCTGAACCAGTTGCAAGGTATGGCAGTGTCAGTGGCAGCTCACCTTCCATGCGCCGATTTTCGGCAACCGGAAGCAATCGCAGCTTCGGGAGCTTCTTCGTAACGTCGGAAGTATCGAGTGTGAAGAGCGGTCGCAAAAGGCGACCTTACAACGCTGATTACATGAAGTTCCCGCTTGGAGATAGAAAAGATTTGAATTCCTCCCAATCAACGGTACGTGGTCGGGATATCAGTCAGCAGAATGAAGGCCGCGATTGCTCGGAGGTTGCTTCGCTTGATCACAATGATGTCTCAAGCACCTGGTCCATGCCAGCTTTCTCTCTTTACAAGGTAAAGATGGATACTTCCCAGTTACCTCTAGGCCCGGCTTCGCGTGATAACTCGGTCCAAGGTGACAACGAGGTTAAGATTGAGCATCCCTTTTCACACGAAAGTGACGGAGCGACCCATTCGAACTTTGCCATAGAGTTGCCGCTGGGCATTAGGAGCTTTTGCTCTCCCGGATTTCTTCATGTCGTGTCTGCTCTAGTTGAGAAACTGCAGCCGAGCCATCCCAGTGATATCATTGACTCCCTCCAAAAAGACATCATTTCAGACATTGTGGCGTACGAGAAGTCGATGAGCAGCCCTCGAAAATGCACTGGAATTGCCATTAGGGCCCCTTGCATGCTTGTTAAGCTGATCAATCCCGATCCTGCTGTCACTGATGAGTTCAGCTTCCGAGATGAATACAGCATAGAGGTCTCGCATTTGAAAGCAGAAATCAAATCCAGGGTCGAGAGGCGAAAGGGAGATCTTCTAACGGGGGTCAAAAAGAGCTCGACTGTGCACGCTGCAACAGAAGGCCTTTCAATCTCAGTCCAAGGTCGTCGCGCTGATGCATACCAGGAGAAGACTGAACTGCGCTGTGTCCTGGGCGACATGAACTTTTGGCTTGTGGCAGGACCCATGCAGAGGTCCAACCTTCAAATCAGATCCTTTGAGACTGTGACTTCAACCAAATCTGTGGAACACCTCGCTTCCTTAGTCCGCAGAACTACAACCATGATTGACTCCATTGCATCGTCCTTCAAGCATAGCCTCTCTATCGGCGAGAAGCGATTGCGTTTCCTCGTCTACTCTCTCACCCAACAAGCTGCCAATATTCCTGATCCCTCTTTTCTCATTCGTATCTCTTATGTGCTTAGAGTTGCGCGCACTCATCTACGGCAGCATGACTCATGGAAGATCATCTCGCGCCTACGGAACGTTTATAAGCACTTGTCGCCCGATCAAACGCGTGAGTTGATTGCGAAATGCATGCATGGCGATTTTGAGCTTCCACCCAATGCTAAAGAGCTGGTGCTGACAAGTTTCGACCAATGGCGAGCCTGGGATTTGGCGCACGTCGAGAAGAGTTATGTGATGCGAAGTGTCTGGAACAGCTTTGAGCCTCAAACCGCAGGGACATCAGCTTCCATGCTCTTCTCTTCTACAGTGAAACTGTTCCGTATCTCTATTGACCCCGGCCCTAGGGAAAGTGATTTCGTGATACAAGATTTATCGACTGCTATCTCGCTGAATGCTCCGAAAGATAGTCTAAAGCTTGAAAACCACGACCAAAAGGACTTAATAGTCGTGCAGTCTTACTGCGCCTCTGTCAGTCTTCGACTACGATGGGAGATCCTCGATCTTGTTGAAGGGGTCTTAAAAACTATGTCCACAGTAACCCTTGAGTCGGCACCACCGGCATCCAAGCAACAAGGCGGCCCAGAGAAACCTATTGAATTGCAGCTTGTTCTCGGGGCTGACCTCGGGTCGATAACGCTCGATGGCATTAACGTCAAGCTAGCGTTAGCTGGTAAGGCGCTCAGAAGCTCGCTTGTTCACAAGTCTCAGGACTCAGAGACTGCTGGAACATCAAGTTTGTTGCTGAGTTCTAGCGCTTGCTACTCGGAATTATCCAGCAACTCAAAGTTACTGATGATGTGGAGACTTTCAGACCCACATATCTACGGCTCTCGTGTGTCCGATGAAACGAACTCTGAACTGATTAACGAATGGATGATCGCCGCATCTTGCAGAAAGCTTCGCTATGATATGAAAGAGGAGCCGCTAAGCCTTGCACACATAGCTGATCGACTCATAGAGGATGAAGTTCGATTCATCTACGAACTTATCAACAGCGTGGAGTTTCCGGCTCGAGAACAGGGTCCTGTAACCCCTACGAAGCTGGTACACAACAAGTTTCATGTCGCGGTATTCCTGGACGACTACCGTTTAAGTTTCTGTATCCTACCGTCGCTGACTTATATCATCTCTGGCGAGGTGGCGCGGACCTCAATAACGCCCAGACCGGGATCCAAAGTTGAGATAGACTTCGATTTAAAGAAGAACCTTCACACATTTCTCTCAAATGAAGGCGGCCGATGGCACTCTTTATCAGTACTCGAGATTCCCCCAATCAATGGCCGGATCATCGCCGATCTTTCACCCAGCCGCACGGAAATGGAAGTGGACATAACGATTGAAGTCATTCACCTCGAGGCCAGCGCCGTGCGGAGCCTTCTAGGCGCGTTGACAAGGCCGGAAGTCTCACATTTGATGGGCGATCTCAAGCAGAATCTGGACATCTTACAACTGCATCTTGACCACGTCCTTGCGCATAAGAAAACTCCACCGCAGCGAAAAGACTCTTCAAATGACCACATTATTCTCTACAAGGCGCGCATGACAATGGCGGGAACCATTATTCATGCGACAGCACCAGCGCTTGACGGAAATCACTACTCGGCAGATCTAGACATTAAACTCGGAATGGTTCGCCTCCGCCTGGATAACGGTCTGGATGTTGGACACCCAATGGAATATCCTGAATTCCACGTCGACTCGTCGAATCTAAGCTTGGATCTAAAGAGGAAAGATGTTTCAAGAAGTCGCTCATACTGCAGCTTTGTTGTCGACGCTAAGCTGCAAGGAACGTCTATGAAGCGTAACAATGGCGAATTGAGACGAGTGTTCCACTTGAGTAGCACGAAGTTCACCGTTGATTTGTTCCCTGAGAGTGCCGCACTGCTAATCGACTTGGCTGCTCATCTTCAGGAGCGCATAAAGACCCTGGACCTTTCACATGAAGTGAAACGGTTCAAGAAGCTACGGCGTCGGGGGCATACAGAAACGGAACGAAAGTCCTTAGAAGTTCCCCGGATACAGGTCGACGATGCCGACTCCGCCGATGAACTCTTCAATGCTGTATATTCCTTGGACTTCCACAACATCCAACTCGGATGGAACATGATGACGATGTCTTCTGGATTACCGGACAATAAGTTGGCTGATTTGGTATTCTCTATCAAACGCGTTGAATTGTCAAACAAGAAGACAAATGCCGCTAAACTTCGAATCGAAGATATGCAGTTACAGATGGTGCCAATCCATGGCAACCGACACAGGCGCTCACTCAACTCGGCTTTATTGCCAGAAGTGGTCTTCAATGTTGCATATGCATCCGCAGGCAAAGAAGTTCGATTGGCCTTCCAAGCGGCTGGAAAGTCTCTGGATTTACGAGCTACCTCGGAGTTCATTCTTCCGGCAAGCATGATCCGAGATTCAATTGCTTCTGCTGTCCGGACCATCAGGGAGGCCAATAATATCCTGGTTTCGAAACCTTCCGGAGACAGCGTGAAACTACGCCCTATCTTTGGGAACAAGCGCTTCCGCTCTGTACTGATTGATGTTGACTTTGCTGGAGCCACTGTATCCCTTCAGGGAAGACATACGGATGATCATCAGACGATGCCGACTGCGTCTTTGAAGGGAAACCAGCTTCCTCAGGCAACATACGGTCAGTATGTTCATGGGGATGGGGTAGCCACTGCGACTTTCAAGGCCCCAGGAGTGGCATTGAAAGTGCTATTCGAGGACAATGGTCGCGAAGACCCAGCTCTCAATGCGGAACTGAAAATCGATGCCTCCACCAATGTGCTCTATCCTAGCCTTGTTCCCTTGATCAAGCAGGTAACAACGACGATCAAAGAGGTCATGGGCGACCATCCAAGGGCCAGACGGCCTTCAAATGCGGTAATGCTTCAATCACAGAAGCTGATGTCGGAGACACCGCTTGCCAACACGGCCCCGGGATCAATCCTGGGCCGTTGCAAATTGAATGTTGGGATCCTGATTTGCAGGCAGGAGTTTAGCTTGAGCTGCCAGCCCATAGCTCGAGTGGCAGCCACCACGCAATTTGACAGTGTCTATGTCACGATCAATACGGTGCAGTCTGACGAGCAGGAGCGGTTCCTAGCTCTTCTGGTGGCTTTTAACTCATTACAGGCCTCAGTGAAGCATGTCTACTCAAATGAGTCGACTGCGAGCTTCGAAGTGAAGTCTATGGTTATGTCCATCATGAACAGCAAGCACTTGGGCAGCTCAAAGGGCATCTCAGTCGCTCTTCGAGTTAGTCCCATGAATGTTGTCTTGAACGCAAAGCAGGTGCAAGATCTTTTGCTGTTCCGTGAAATTTGGTTCCCTTCAAACGAGGATATTAGCCCCGGACCGGCTTTCCAGTCGCAATCTCAAGATACGCAGGCTTATATCGTACAAAGGTACCAGCAAGTTGCAGCGACCCCGGCCTTCCCTTGGAATACAACGATCTCAATTGAAAAGCTAGAGATACAGCTTGACTTGGGATCTACTCTAGGCAAAGCTCAATTTGCAATTCACGATCTCTGGCTCTCGACCAAAAAGACATCGGATTGGGAACAGATACTCTGCGTCAGCTTCAATACTGTGGGTATTGAGAGCAAAGGCCGGATGAGTGGCCTGGTTGAACTGCAGACCTTCAAAGTCCATACCTCAATCAATTGGCCTCATGACCAGCAGGAGAACCGGACTCCGCTCATCCAAGCATCCATTTCCTTCGGCAAACTGGATGTGAAGGTCTCATTCGACTACCAGCCTTTCCTAATCGCCCACATCTCTCGGTTTGCATTCTTGATGTACAATGTTCGACCTACAGCGGATGCGCCCAGCGAGCGGCTTTTCAGTATTCTCGATGGAGACCAGGTCCAGGTGTATTGCACCAGTATGACTGCTTCTCAAGCCTTGGCTCTGTTCCAGGCCTGGAAACGACTTGTACAAGATAAGCAAGCCGCGTACGAAGCATCCTTGCAAGACATTGAGCGGTATCTACGCCGGAAGACCTCCGTTTTCTCGGAGAAGACCGAGGCAAGCTCAAAGGAAATCTCCAAGCCTGCGAAAGATGAGGCGGAAGACACGCCCATCTCACTACACACCGGGGTTGTTGTTAGTATCAACGCGGTCACCATAGGCGTGTTCCCGCGCTCGTTCTTCGACAACCATGTCTTCAAACTCGAGGCACGGGATGCGCAGGCGCGATTTGACGTCTCACTCGACAATGGCAAGATTCACAGCGCGCTAGGTCTTACCCTGGGCCAGCTGAGGGTTGCTCTATCCAACATTGTTCGGTCCGGATCCATGGAGGCAGAAGAAATGCTACTGGTCAGTGAGGTTGGCAACCGTGTCACTGGATCCCGCGGGGGCACGATTCTCAAAGTGCCGCGACTTGTGGCTCGGATGGAGACCTGGCAGGTGCCTGGTTCTCACCAGATCGAGTACATCTTCCAAAGCACGTTCGAGGGCAAGGTGGACGTTGGATGGAACTACTCCCGCATCAGCTTCATCCGGGACATGTGGGAATCGCACTCTCGCGCGTTGGCCTCCCGGCTCGGGAAGCCGCTGCCCCCGTCCGCGGTCCGCATCACGGGGGCACTGAATGCCGAGGGGGGCAGCGGCGGCGGCGGCGGTGCCAAGAGTGAGTCGCAGGAGAAGATCACGGCGGTGGTCAATGTGCCGCAGTCGAAGTATAGCTATGTGGCGTTGGAAACGCCGGTGATCGAGACGCCGCAACTGCGCGACATGGGCGAGGCTACCCCACCACTGGAATGGATTGGGCTTCAACGCGACAAGCTGCCCAACATTACTCATCAGATCATCATTGTTACCCTGCTGGAGATTGCGAAAGAGGTGGAAGATGCATATGCAAAGATCTTGGGATCATCGTGATGCGATGCAGCACTTTACTGCTGCGATGTCGATGTCGAGTCTGTGCATGGGGCGGCGTGAACCAGCAGTGATTGTTGCTGGATCATTTTAGATTGTATATAGATTCTCTATCGTATCTCTAGCGTATAAGTACTTAATGTATATAATTAACTTTCTTGTTGACCACATGCAGACGAAACAGTTCACTACAGGTTCAATAACCACCCGTACTCGTACCTGCTGTTTGGCAGCGGGGTTGTCAGGTGGTGTGGGAAGGCTGCCTAAGGCAGACCTAAGCACGAGTCGGAGAAATGCGGCAGGAGACTGAAGGGCAGTGGGCAGTGGAACCGCCGGCTGAGTACAGTACATGTATGTATGTACGGTAATGCACTCCCCGCCATCCTTAACTCCGGAAGTCCAGGAAGCCCAATGATCAGCGAGGCGGTGAGCATGGAGGGGAACTTTGCCTGTCAGTGGCCACGAGGGCTTTACCATACCGATACTGTCTGTTCAACTACACCTTCCAATGCCGAAAGAACATGCAAGGTAAGAGTGAAAAGATAATGGATGGAAGCATAAGAATAGTCTAGCTGGAGTCCACCTCTTCGCCTCCATGGACTCCCCGACCAACCACACACCAGTGACCTGATACAAGATGGAGTTTTTCCCTCCGTGTTATACGTCAGACACGCAGTGAGCGGCAAATCAGGAGCTCCATATCGGCCCAGACAACCACGGTCCAACCAGCGTCGACAGCCTCCGAAATCATGATATCAACCCAGCCCGGGTTTCTTGCCACCTGGTTTGACCGATGGGTAGGCGGGTGGAAGGGCAAGAAAGGAGGAAGTGCGGATGAAAGCAATGAAGCTGAGCTATAGCTCAAGCACTAATAGCTGATTTGTAGACGGGAAGTAGGAACCATGGTCTGTCAGACGGAGGTTTCTTGTCCACTGTCGAGCTTTGCATGAAGGATTGATACTGGGAGTAAGGTGGCCCGTTCTAGCTTGTCGGAAGAGGTTGTTCAGCAAGGTTACCAGGGTTGACTGCCTGATTCCTCCGGCCAAACCTACCCACGGTCTGCTGCTGTCAATGTGCCCGTGATCGACGTGTTTTCTCTGTGTCATTGGAATAATGGCAAGAGAGAGAGAGAGAGCAAAGCGGGCACCCAAATGGGATGAGCGGAGAGGAAAGCTAATGAATGTGGTATTAAGGATGTACGATGTACGATGCATTACCAACCGGAGGGGGAATATTACCCCCTCGTGGCGGGGGAATCCTCCCACGCTACTCGGATAAAACGGTCAGAAAACGAGGGGCCGGGCAACCAGAACAGTAAGAAGCAGTAAGAAAAAACGCACATCCCAGATTTCAAATCGGCCACAAAAAATTCCCAGCAAGTAATGAAGAGAAAAAAAAATCACAGCCCCACCAGCCGCCCTCTCGCTTTCTTTCCCTCTTCATTTCCCCTCTTTTCCCTCTCTCTCCTCTTCCCTTCCTCTCTCTTTCTCTTTTCCTTTCTTCACCTTCCGCCGTGAAGCCATCATTCTCTCCCTGTTAAAGGAGTTCTTCGCACATAGGTCTTTTTTGTCCTATATTTTCACAGGTCGAGCTAGCTCTCGATCGTGACCCTTGTGTGTCGTTTCTTCTTTTTCCCTTTCTTCACCCACATTCAACCCCGCCTCTACGGCCTTGACCTGAAAAATCAGTCAAGATGGTTAAGTATGTTGGTCCTGCTTATCCTATCCTCCCCGTCCTCGACATGTATCCATCATGAGGATGGAAAGACTTGAAGAGTGATCGGGTGATGGTTCATTGAAGTTGGAATCTCTTGCTAACCATGTGTTCTATAGCTTCACTATCGAAGAGGTCCGTTCTCACAAGACAACCCACCCCGCACCCGCGGGCATGATGTTGGCCTGCAGTTGGGGAAGAAGATGGGAAAAGTCTGTGCAAGAGTACTGACAGGAAGCAGATCCGGTCTCTGATGGACCGTCCGACCAACATTCGGAACATGTCCGTCATTGCCCACGGTATGTATCCGTCCACAGACGCTCAATGGCCTGAATAGATGCTGACATTCTCTCCCCCCCCCCTCCAGTCGATCACGGAAAGTCCACCCTTTCCGATGCCCTGGTCCACCGTGCCGGTATTATCTCTGCCGCCAAGGCTGGTGAGGGTCGTTACATGGACACCCGTCCCGACGAGCAGGAGCGTGGTATCACCATCAAGTCCACTGCCATCTCCCTGTATGCCAAGTTCGACGATGAGGAGGACCTCAAGGAGATCCCCGGCTCCAACGGTGGCGAGTTCTTGATCAACTTGATCGATTCCCCCGGTCACGTTGATTTCTCCTCCGAAGTCACTGCTGCCCTCCGTGTCACTGACGGTGCCCTGGTCGTCGTCGACTGTGTCTCCGGTGTCTGTGTCCAGACCGAGACCGTCCTGCGTCAGGCCCTCACTGAGCGTATCAAGCCCGTCCTGATCATCAACAAGGTCGACCGCTCCATGCTCGAGCTTCAGATCTCCAAGGAGGACCTGTACCAGTCCTTCTCTCGTACCATCGAGTCCGTTAACGTCATCATCTCCACCTACCACGACCCTGCTCTCGGTGACGTCCAGGTCTACCCCGACCGCGGTACCGTTGCTTTCGGTTCCGGTCTCCACGGCTGGGCTTTCACTGTCCGCCAGTTCGCCGTCAAGTTCGCCCGTAAGTTCGGTGTCGACCGCAAGAAGATGCTCGAGCGTCTGTGGGGTGACAACTACTTCAACGCCAAGACCAAGAAGTGGACCAACAAGGCCCCCGAGGGTGGTGAGCGTGCCTTCAACCAGTTCATCTTGGACCCCATCTTCAAGATCTTCGCTGCCATCAACAACGACAAGAAGGACCAGATCCCCACTCTCCTCGAGAAGCTCGAGATCAAGCTTGCCAACGACGAGAAGGATCTCCAGGGCAAGCAGCTCCTCAAGGCTGTCATGCGCAAGTTCCTCCCCGCCGCCGACGCCATGTTGGAGATGGTCTGTATCCACTTGCCTTCCCCCGCCCAGGCTCAGAAGTACCGTGCCGAGACCTTGTACGAGGGTCCCAAGGACGACGCTGCCTGCGTTGGTATCCGCGACTGTGACCCCAAGGCTCCTCTGATGCTGTACGTCTCCAAGATGGTGCCCACCTCCGATAAGGGTCGTTTCTACGCTTTCGGTCGTGTCTACGCCGGTACCGTCCGCTCCGGTCTCAAGGTCCGCATCCAGGGTCCCAACTACGTCCCTGGCCAGAAGACCGATCTCTTCATCAAGAGCATCCAGCGTACCATCCTGATGATGGGACGTTTCGTCGAGCCCATTGAGGATGTTCCCGCCGGTAACATCGTCGGTCTGGTCGGTGTTGACCAGTTCTTGCTCAAGTCTGGTACCCTTACCACCGATGAGACCGCCCACAACCTCAAGGTCATGAAGTTCTCCGTCTCCCCCGTCGTTCAGCGCTCCGTTGAGGTCAAGAACGCCCAGGATCTGCCCAAGCTGGTCGAGGGTCTCAAGCGTCTGTCCAAGTCCGACCCCTGTGTCCTGACCTACATCTCCGAGTCCGGTGAGCACGTCGTTGCCGGTGCTGGTGAGCTCCACCTCGAGATTTGCTTGAAGGATCTTGAGGAGGACCACGCTGGTGTTCCCCTCCGTATCTCCGACCCTGTCGTCCAGTACCGTGAGACCGTCAGCGGCACCTCCAGCATGACTGCCCTGTCCAAGTCCCCCAACAAGCACAACCGTCTCTACCTGACTGCTCAGCCTCTTGACGAGGAGGTCTCCCTCGCCATCGAGGCCGGCAAGATCACTCCCCGTGACGATTTCAAGGCTCGTGCCCGTATCTTGGCTGACGACTTCGGATGGGATGTCACCGATGCCCGTAAGATTTGGTGTTTCGGTCCCGACACCACCGGTGCCAACTTGCTGGTTGACCAGACCAAGGCCGTCCAGTACCTCAACGAAATCAAGGATTCCGTTGTCTCCGGTTTCCAGTGGGCCACCCGTGAGGGTCCCGTTGCTGAGGAGCCCATGCGCTCTATCCGCTTCAACATCCTTGATGTTACTCTGCACGCTGATGCTATTCACCGTGGTGGTGGTCAGATCATCCCCACTGCTCGTCGTGTCCTGTATGCTGCTACCATGCTTGCCGACCCCGGTATCCTGGAGCCCATCTTCAACGTCGAGATCCAGGTTCCCGAGCAGGCCATGGGTGGTATCTACGGTGTCCTTACCCGCCGCCGTGGTCACGTCTACACCGAGGAGCAGCGCCCTGGTACTCCTCTCTTCAACGTCAAGGCCTACCTGCCCGTCAACGAGTCCTTCGGTTTCCCCGGAGAGCTCCGTCAGGCCACCGGTGGCCAGGCCTTCCCCCAGTCTGTCTTCGACCACTGGGCTGTCCTCCCTGGTGGATCTCCTCTTGATGCCTCCACCAAGCCTGGTCAGATCGTTGCTGAGATGCGTAAGCGCAAGGGTCTCAAGGAGCAGGTCCCCGGCTACGAGAACGTAAGCTTATCCTTTTCGTCCGTTCATTTTACACCGATGCTAACTCTTTCTGCAGTACTACGACAAGCTGTAAACACGTTCCAAGCAAGCCGACTAGGTTTCAAGTCTGTGATGGTTGGAATCCTATTATGAGATTGACGAACGCAATACCCTGTCTACGTTGAGGGGAAAGGAAAAGGAAAATGAGGTGAAACAGCTTAATGTCGTATGTGGATTGTCGAAATACCTAGAAGTAGAATTCAGGTGTGCACGAGCATTTGCTTTGGCTTTATTATTACGTTTACGACTGCGAGGGCTTTTCCATAGTTTACATGCTGTCCCATAGTTGGACATTGAAATATGAGATGGCAGTTCAAGTTCATGCTTTTGCTTGTAGAGCATTTTTTTTTGTAAAAAATGGGGCTCAGGTCACTACTGTAGTTGTCGAAGAAGACGACTTGCACGTAAAGAAGGGAAGAAAGAGCGATAAGCCCCAAAATCCCATGAGCAACTGGCGAGCTCGGGATCGAGTCACGTGGGATTCTGTCATCCGCGTCGCTCGCGTTTCCCCGGCTTCTCGAACCGCCAGGCTTTGTTGAATCTTTATCGTGACTTTTTTTTCACGGCCATGGTCTGAGTTGTTGTCGCATCATCTTGGCTTCTTCAATTTCTCGGTCGCCCCATATCATATATCATTTCTAACACATTTCTGTACCCTTCGGTTCCAACTTCCGGTGTCAAACGGCGAGTACAGACGACTGCCTGCTTGACCCGTGCAGAGTTCTTGAGCAACAAGCTCTCTTCCGGTGACAATCGGGGTTATAAGGTTGCTCCGATCTTCCCGGCCATCATGCAACTGACAGAGAACGAGGCAGGGGAGGTGAAGAAATGGGTGGTGAGAAAGCTGGAAGACATGTAAGGTGCCCGCGAGACAGCACCGCACATTCGGGCGGGCGCTGGCTGGCAAGCCCTGGCCCCGCCGCGCCTTTGCTCCCTTTGCTCGCTCGGAGGCTAATCTCTTCGTCGCCTGACAGTTCGGATGCCGATTCTGATGTGCTTGCCGACTATGTTCTGGCGCTGATCAGGACCGATGCTCCCGACGAGGACATCCGGAAGGCCTCGGTGGATAACTTGGAGGATTTCTTGCGTGAACGTCAGTATTGCGCCCGCCGCTCCGACCGGGATGATTGATCCCCTGCGCACAATTATTTGGCGTTACAGCTTACTGACGTGATTACCGTTCTTTGGGGGTGGCTTAGACACTGTAAAATTTGTTGACGAGCTCTTCACGACGTTTGCTTCTAAACCGCAGCCCGCTGCTGCTGCTGGTGCCGCTGCTGCCCAACCATCCTCTTATGCGCAGGGACAGTCGCAGGATTCCCAGACCGCTGCAGCGACTGGATCTGCGCCTCAAAACCAGCAACACCAGCAACAGAATGCCTTTAACCCTTCGACCGGTCCGTCCAAGGGTCCGTACGGAGCACCGCAGATGGGCAACTTCCCCCAACAACAGGCGCCGGGTGACAACCAGCACAACTTCAACCGCAAGCGCACGTTCCAGGAAGGCTTCCAGATGGACGTTGACCGCGACGACGTCCCGCAGAATCGCAACTACAAGACCCCCCGCCGAGGACGTGGTGGCGGTAGAGGGGACTGGATGGGTGGCAGGGATGGTCGCGCAGGCCCTGGCGGCCCCGGACCGCAACAAGCGTTCAACCCCCAGGCCGCACCATTCATGCCCCCTACGTTTCCGCCGTTCGACCAGAACGATCCCATGGCCGCGATGATGGCGCTGCAGAGCATGGGCTTCCCTCAGATGCCGGGCATGCCGCCGATGCCGATGCCGCCTCCGGGCGCTGGGCAGCAGCCCGGCGAGATGCCGAAGAGCTCGGAGCGGTGTCCGTTCTATGAGACGCAGGGGATCTGCTACCTTGGGAATACGTGTCCGTACCAGCATGATAACATGGGTGGTGCTTCGAAGGAGGATGGTATGTATTCGGCTGTCATCTTGCGCGTGGTATGGGAGGGCTCTACGACTAACTTTTGTGAGGCGCAGAATATGATCCTAAGTCTTCGAGTATCGTCACGGACTACCAGCGACGCTCGGATGGGCCGCCTATGCGCGGCGGTGATCGAGGTCGCGGACGTGGCCGTGGCGGCGATAGAGGCGGGTTCGGCGGCAGAGGACGTCGGTCTGAGTTCTCCTCCGCTGGTCCTAATGAGGATACGTCTATCACGACGATCGTCGTGGAGCAGATCCCCGATGACAAGCTCGACGAGGCGACGGTCCGGGATTTCTTCTCGCAGTACGGTGAAATCGTGGACATCTCGCTGCAGCCTCACCGCCGACTCGCCCTGATTAACTACGAGAATCACGCTGCGGCTAAGAGCGCCTGGTCCAGTCCGAAGGTGATCTTCGATAACCGCTTCGTCAAGGTCTACTGGCACAAGCCCAAGGGCGAGCGGAACGGGGACTCACGGCCTCACCACCATCACGCCGCCGGCGGAGGTGACTCGGAGGGTCCGGCTTTCAACCGGGAAGAGTTTGAGAAGCAGCAGGAGGAAGCGCAACGCACCTATGAGGAGAAACTCAAGAAACGGAAGGAGACCGAAGAGGCCAAGCAGGCTCTGGAACGACAGCGCGACGAACTGCTCAAGAAACAGCAGGAGGAAAGACAACGACTGATGCAGAGACTCGGCGGCGGCGCTAGCAGCAGCAATGGCGATGCCAGTGCCGGTGGGGGTGGTAGTGGTGGTGGTGCTGCCTCGGACGGAGGCGACGGCCGATCCCCGTCCGCGCAACCGGAACACGTCAGCGAGCAGACCAAACAGCTTCGGGCGCAGCTGGCCGCCCTCGAAGCCGAGGCCAAGAGTTTGGGGATCGATCCCAGCGCGTCTGCTGGTCCCGGGGGTTATCGCGGCCGCGGCCGAGGAGGATTCGGTCGAGGCGGATACGCACCCCGTGGTCGAGGCGGTGGCTATGATGCGTCGTCGTCGTCGTCGTCGTATTATCGGGGCGGCGGAGGCGGGTATCGTGGCCGTGGCGGGATGGCTGGTCGTGGTGGTGTTCTCAGGTTGGATAACCGGCCCAAGCGCGTCGCTGTCTCCGGGGTGGAGTTCAACTCGGAGAAGGATGAAGCGTTGCGACAGTTCTTGATTGTGAGTTTGCCCTTCCCCTCCCTCATCTTTTGGATGGTATCTGCACAAATAGACGAATCCCCCTGCCTTTCCACCTCCGACCCCATCTTCTAGTCCAAGATCCTAACGAAGAAACCCAGGGCGTCGGCGAATACTCCTCCATCGAACCCAACCCCGACCAACCCGACTCCCTGATCGTGGCCTTCAAGGAACGCTACCAGGCCGAAAAGTTTATGTTCGGACCCCGCGACATCCCGTCCGTGGGCCAGGTCGAGCTCGCCTGGGTGCCCAACCCGCCCATCTCCCTCCCCCAGCAGTCTGCCGCTGGAAGCACCGGAGGCCCAGGCTCCGATACCAAGACCGGCTCGGACGAGGATACCTTGATGGACACCCCGCCTGCGCCTTCGGAGCAGAACTCCGGCCGGAAGGATGGTGGTGGTGGTGGTGGACATGATGTCGATTACGATGTTGCGGAGATGGACGATAGTTGGGGGGTGGAGTGAGTGGGCACAGTGCTTAGTAGTCGCTTCGATATGGTAGTTGTGGGAGACGGGTGGTTAGGTGTTTCTTAGACAGGCGGTGATGGCTGATATATCCATCCATCTCTGGAATAAGGTGGGTGGTTGGTATGAGCAATGTCAGTGCTTGCACTAGAGGAGGGAGAAAGTCAGCCAACCATATCAGGAGCTTTCAGGGAAATACCTATCTTTGTTTGTTGTGAACAGATACAATTTGGGAAGGCAGAGAGAAAAAAAAAAGAACCGTTCAATTGAACTTAAGAGAGGGAGTAAAAGAACAAGAAGCGTGCGCACCTACCATGATTGATATTTACAACCTGAGGAGCGGTAACTTCACATTTGGGACCGGATGGTGTTTGATCTAAGATCTGAGGTTATGTATGATAGAACTTGATGTTGATGTTGATGGTGTTGGTGTTCGTTTCGTGTGCATATATAAACCTATCTCTTTTTCTTCGTAAGTATGTAGTTGCTAGTTATGCATCGCGTGGTTCTCTTTCTTCGGGAAAAGGTAGGGTTTCACTGTTGCCCTTGGCCTGTGTGGCCTTTGGGTATAGTCTAGTGTTTTCTTGGGGGTTTGGATTTGGGTATATATAGTTAGATTTGCTAGGTTTGTTGTATGGAGTGCTGGTGCTTGTTGGTTCTTGGGATGTATGTACCGTACTAGTAGTTATAGAAGTCTGAGGGCTTCTTGTTCGTTGCTTGCGTGTGGGATTATGTGCTAAGGGGGGTTTCAGAGGTCCAGGTATTGAGTTGAGATGGAGTAGATGGGCGGTATACTTGCTGCCTGATGCAGGTGCTGCAGGTTCTATTGTAACTGAGTGCTTTCTGTAAGCATCTGGCACCTCCCAGGCTGCTTGACTACCATTAGCTAGTTACTTGTTGGGCGGTCAGAGACGACGAGCGTTTCGGGGGCCGTTTCCAACCACACGTGATGTGCCACATGGACATCCATGAGAGAAACCTGATACTAGATGATCGGGGAGGTGTATGATTAATAGATTGGGAATTCGCAAAGATGTACCCCGTCTATTTCGAGTCTGCTTCGATTCTAAGACATGGCAGACAGACATACTTTTGTCATCTATTGGATTTACTAGGTGACAACAGGTATAAAGAGCAGGCGGATTGCCTGTTTGCTCTATCTTTTGCATTGACCACTGGAGCACTGTGCAAGCCGTCTCGACCACTTTCTGCAGAAAGTGAAAGTGGGTCTGGATCCTGTTCATGATGAATCAAGCCGCGTCTCTGCAATGGCCTATGTGATTGATTGTTGATTGGGGTTTGTGTCGGTATTGGTGGAGGGAAGGTATAGGGGTTAGGGCTGAGGTGGTCTGGGAAGCTGAAAGAAAGGGGGGCCCGGGGGTTCTCCCCCGGAATACCTGATGGCCCAGTTCATTAAAGATTGAGGTGGTCTGGGAAGATGAAAAGAAAGGGGGGTCCGGAGGTTTCTCCCCCGGAGCACTTAATTCTAATTTATATAAGATTGAGGTGGGCTGGCGGACACGGAGCTGCCTGATGCCCCAGGCCCCGTTGCTTATGAGATCGGGGAGAGTCGGTACGATATGTGAGGGGTGTGTTTATTTGTTGGCTTTTCCATATAATTCCTATGATAGATGCGCACACAATGCTAGAGGCTCCTGGTGTGCATACCGACGAGTTGGTGTGTTTAGTTAGAGACTCTGATGGCTTAGTAGATCATTAGTCCATACTTGAAAGGGACTGGAAACTAGTCTCAATTTCCGCAGGAGCCGGTTCGGCAGTGCTTGTTTCTATTCAAGAAAATGATCGAAACTCCTCCCAATTAGCCGGGAATATCTATACAAGACTACCTGCGTCTATGCATGATTCTGCACGAGCCGATCTAGAACCCAAGCTCAACCGCCACATTCCCAAGACGCACGACCAAAGTGAATGGACACTAATGCTGAGATTTGTGAGATCGGCTGGGCTCCGCGGAACTCCCCCCCTGCCGTGACCGGCCGGAGACCCTGTCCATCTCACCGTCACCCTCGCTGTCGCTGTCCATCTGGTCCAGCAATCGGTCGATTTCGTCCCCGGCTTGGGCTTCTAACCCGGTAAGTTCCTCGGCAGACTGACCCTGGGTACTGCCGCGATGTGAGGGCTGGCCCCATGGCACCCGCAGACTCGATTCCTGCGACCCGTTGCTGCTGCGAGGGACGTTCTGGGGTCGCTGGGAGTGTTGCGAGTTCGAGTGGTACCCCGTGTGCCCGGGGCTGGACATGAAAAGCAGCGTCTCGATCGCGTCTTGCTCCATTGTGCTATTTCGGGAGTGGCCCTGTTCGCTGCCCAGCCCGCCGTAGCGCGCGGAACTGGCTGAGTTGGATGCATGAAGCGGAGGGGTCCCTGGTACTAGGATTCTTTCGGAGTGTGTACTATTTGATTGAGACAGATCGAGCTCCTGGTGTGAATGATGTCTGCGGTGCGAAAAGGGTCGGTGGATGAACTCGTTTGGGTTCGGACGTCGACGTCGAGTGTGACTGCTTCCCCCCATCGGGATGATATCTACAGGCGGGGCGAGTCTAGGCCGCGTGGACCGATCCATAAGAGATTGATGATGGTGGTGGTGGTGGTGGTGGTGGTGTCTCGATGGTACCATGTGGGGGGATGCAGCTTCTGACCACGCCGCTGGAGACAAACGTGCAGAGCCGCTCGGATGATTGTACCCGGCCGTTGTATGCATGTCCGGCGATGACATTGTCGTACTGGCAGGCGAACTTACTCTTACTGCATGTTGGGCATCGGTCTGACCGGGGTAAGGAAGGTGCCCTGATCGCAGCAGATAGTCGATGCGGGCCGTCGGCGGGAGATCCTGGGCCTTCTGTATTTGTCGGCTCTTTTCGATCTTCGCGGCCGCATACGCAAGGCGAGTGCGCAGGTGCACCGACAACTGGGCTCATATCAGCACTGTGGGGGGTGGATCAATGGGAACAAAAGAGGCAAATTACCGCTGCGATTCGGCTTTCGCGTGAGAGTGACCCGATGCTTTTGGACCGGAGTCTCCCCATACCTCTTTCCGCCGTTTGCGAGAGCTCCGCAGGAACCCCGGCCACACGCTCCTTCCCCGCCGAGCCCTTGCCAGAAGGACTGCGTGATGCTGATAATGGTCTGGGAGTGGCCTGCTGCCCGGCGATCGCTTCTTCTATGCTCATCTGTCTACCTCCAGACTCAGTTTGAAACAAACTGGATGTCTTCGAATGCTGCGATCCGCTTGATGACTTCCCTTGTGAAGCGGGCGCATTGGAAGCGAATGATGAACGGTGGCTGTCATTATACAAGGGGAATTCCGGCGTCAACTCCGATGAAGATCGTACCAACATGGAGGATCGCTCCGGCGATGACGGTCCCCGCAAGGTATTCCTTTGCGATTCTGGATGATTGGCAGCTTTACTGAAACCTAAAGAACTCTCGTGTAGCACACCCCTTGCATCATGCCGAGAGTCAATCGGGCGCGACGGAGATTGTGTGGTGCGCACGTGTTGGCGCCTGTCCAAGCGAGGCGATCCGCTCATCTTGGGACCGGACTATAAGCGAGCGAAACTAGAGGAACTCGCGATTGGGGTTTCTTGTTTGGTATGGACGAAAAGGCGATTTACTTTCCAAAGCACACGGCGGGCAGACGACCCACCAAGCCCTCCCAGCCCCAAATGACGGCGAATTCCCGGAGTTTAAGAAGTACAGCAGTCCGCTGAAGTGGCCCACCGCATGAAACGATCTATGTCGGCGCCGTCGTCCAGATCGATGTCCGGATAATCTGGCGCGGGAATGTTTGCTGCCGACCCAATATCCACACTGGAATGATAAGTGTCCACCACGGGACGTACTCACAGTGGAGGGATGTACGGGTTCGTCTGCAGGGTGCAGATGATGCAAGGAGGGAACTGCTGTGGAATCTTCGGACGCAAAGTGAGACAGGCTATGCGGCAAGACGCAGTCTCGCTCCTCTCCACGCGAGCCTCAATCCGAACGCCAGGTCGAGTGGCGGAGGGAGGACGAGACGAGGGAAGTGAAGTGAAGGAAGGCCATAAGATGAAATTCCCGGCCTGCTAAGTAGATCAATTGACTGACAGGCCAACAATCTATCAAGCTTGTCCATGGGAAACAACGAGATTCCCTGTCGTGGGGACTCGAACTCCGCCGTCGCCAGGCGACGAGTCGGAGGACGACGCGTTCGCGGCGCGGTCACGTGGTGATAATGGATGTTGTGGCCTGCAGAATCAGGCATACACCATCCAGGCAGGATCCACTACAACAACAATAAACAATAGGAAAACGTCATGATCCAAAAGACATCCAAGTCAATCTATTTCTTCCTGGTATAGAGCAAGCATCAACCAAAGAACAAGTAACAATGATATATGTTCAACATGTCAAGAAGAAATAGAGTCCAATCAACAAATTCAACGCCTTCCATCCCATGCAGCGTGCACATAGATACACTTGGACATTATTCACAGAATAACTTTTTTTGAGACAAAAAACCTGTATATGACCCCAGAAGCAAGATGATAGGACAAACACCCACCTAGGTGCTTCACCTGCGCTTCTTGCCTCCTCCACCGCCTTCTCCGTCTTGGTTCTTCCGCTTCTTACCTTCGCGACGCCAGTAGTCGTCGCGCTCTCTCTTTTCCCGCTCGGCCTTCTTCTCCAGATTTTCAGCCACCTTGGCGCGGTAGACCTTGCGACGCTCCTCTTGCTTCGCCGCACGCTTGGCCTGCTTCTCGTTGCGCATGGTGTTGAGCTTCTGCATGAGGTCACGCGCCTTCTTCTCCTCGCCGCCAAGGACCACAGCCCGTTTCTGCATGTAGGTCTTGTCCTTGTTGTGCTTCATCTTGGTGATCTGGGACTTGAAGGGGAGATCGGTGGCTAGCTGCCGGGGCACCCGAAGAGGATTGAAGTGACGCTCGGGACGCTCGATCTTGTGGTACGCCGAGTTCTTTTCGAGGGGAGTAGGGATGCCCTTCTCCCGACGGACTTCACCGGTGAGACGCATGCCCTGCCAGCCACTGTCGGCCGCACCCTCTTCGGCCAGATCCAGCAAGTTGGTGACCGGGTTGTAGAAGCGGTGCGGCTTGATCGGATACCAGGCACGCAGGAAGACGATGTCACTCATGAGGATCTTGTCCTCGAAGGTGGCACGGAAGTATCCTTCCGGCTTGCTCAGTGCGCGCTTGATCTGACCACGGATGCCGGATACCGTACGGATCGAGGCGCCTTCGAACTTGGCAATCTCCAGGGACGAGTTGAACATGTCCTTGATGAAGGCCGTGTTCTTGAAGATCTTGTACGGAACACCAGTCAGCTTGAGCTTCTTGACGATCTCCGTGTGCTCGTCGACGTTCAACACCACACCAGTGGCGGCGATGCGGAACCCGGGCGCCTTGTTGGAGAAGGATTGGAGACAGCAGAAACCGGTGTTGGGCGCCACGAGGGGCCCGTAGAAGGTACCGGAGCAGTGCATGTGTTCCGGAGTGTACTTGAGCATGCGGTTACGCGTCCGACTGTCGGAGGTGCTGTAGATAGGCAGCGACTGGAAGCGACGCCAACCGAGGGAGAAGATGAGAGGGTCACCGCTCTTGAGGATCTTCTTGTGCCAACGGTGTCTCTTGATGCGGACCTGGACGTAGCCGAATCGGTCCTCGGTAGGTGCAAGTCCACCGACGATCACCGGATAACGGGGGTTGAACTTCGTAGCGAACTCGCAGGGCACCTTCTCGAGAACGATACGTGCGTATGTTCCGGCCTTGAAGCCTTCAGCTCTGGCTCGCGACGCCGGGTCGAGCATATCGAACTCGGCGCGGTTGATGTCGAGCTGCTTCTGTAGCTTGGCCTTCTGCATGTCGTACCACTCGTCCTCCCCGAACTCCTCATCACCTCCGCCGTCCTTTCGTGAATTGTCCTTGGAGTTTGCAAATCCTTCGCGGTCCTCTTCCTCGAAACGAAGTCGCAGCTCTTCCTTCTTCTTCGCATTGCGTTCACGCTCAGCGTCCAGATCCACGGGGCCCTCTTCTTTCTTGTTGTCATCCTCGCCACCCTCTTCGTCGTCAGAAAGACCGTTGAAGGCTTCTCCCGTCTCCAGGTCTTCAAATTCACCATCTCCTTCGTCGTCCGATTCGAACGCATCGTCAACATCCGAATCGTCGTCATCGTCCCCTCCGGACAACTTGGCTGTGACGAACCTGCTCCTTAGAGATTCAATAAGTTCTTCATCCTGCCACTTTTCTTCCAGCTTGGTGTAGTCAAACTCCGGGACGTGACGGTACTCCTCCTCCTCCTTCTGCTCAGCATTCGTCTTCTTGAAGAAGGTGTCTTCCTCTTCATCGCCTGCTTCCTGCTCCTCGTCCTCGTCGTCCTCGTTCTCGTCACGACCACTCCATCGTGGCATCACATCCTCGGGCGCAATAGAATCGTCATACAGCATACGAGACAAATCAGTGATGCGGAATGCCGGGCGCTTCGAGTGGAGTGCCTTCGCATTGGCAAGCATGTTCTCTTTCCATCGGCCGTTACCCTCATCGTCAGAGTCCTCATCCTCATCGCTTTCGAGAATCTGATCCTCCACCGACGAGATAGAGCCGAGATCAGAGTCGCTGTCGGCGAATTCTAGATCACCTTCGGTCTGGCGAACGTTGCCGTTTTGCCTCTCCTTGAAGCTGGCTTCGAAATCTGCGGGTGCAGAGGCATCAATCTCCTCATCCTCGCTGAGGTCTTCGTCCAGGTCATCCTCATCAATATCCTCGGCTTCATCCTCATTCTCTGCGCTCTCGAAACCTTCATCTTCTTCGCCGGCCACATCGGCATTGTTGTTTTCACCCTCCAGGAATCGAGCGTGACGCTTGTGTTTTCTTCCAGCAGCACCATCCTCGTCATCTGCTTTTGCAATGGCTTCGCCACCGCGGAAGAGGCGGACACCGCCGTCAGCCTCACCGAGAAGCTTGCGCTCACCCTGCAGGCCAACAACCAGTTGCTCGCCAAGGCCGCGCTCTTCATCATCGGACTCGTCTTCATTTCGCTCAAAATTCGAGGTCTTGACATCAATGTAAACGGCATCCTTGTCCACCAAAACACCACCAACATCAGACATGGGCGCGAAAAGCAGTTTCTGCTTGTCTCCTAATCGGCGCCTGTTCGACTTTCCAGTAGCTTTTGCTGTTTGCTGCTCAATGAACGGGGTCGGGCACGGGTCCGGCAGGGACTCGATACCGGAGACCGTCAAATCGCCAACACCTGGGACATGTACACGCGCACCCTGGGCCGAAAAATTGGTACCACGCAGGTAACCGTAAAGGGCTATCGTTCTGTCGCACTTCGGGTCTTCCTCAATCTGGGTGGGTGGCGTGATATCCAAGAACCGATCTGCGAGGGCGTACGGGTGGGAGTTACGCCATACGAGGGGTCTGGGGTTTTTCATGACGGACAGGAAGCGGGAAAGATTGTGAACCTCGCGATCAGGATAGCGACCGTTGACGACTCCGGACAAGTAGAACAGTTTGGCGCCGTTGTAGAGTTCGCTCCAGAAACGGTGCTTGAGGCGCTTCTTGGCGGCCTGCAGCGTGCTCTGCTTCTTGAAGAGATCGAGATGGGTGAGGATACCGAAAACGTTTCCGGGCATACCGTGGGAGCCAAGGACGTTCAAGAACTCCATCGTCTCCATCTCGAATCCGTAGTTCCCGTCAATCATCAACAGCACAATATCGGCGATCTTGGCGACATCGATCATGCTGGCGAGGGAGTCGGAGGGGGATTCGAGGAATGTAAGACGGCGTTTCTTGGAGGTCACCACGGTCAACGGGCCTTTCGGTGTGCTGAGAGTTTGTTTTGTGTATCGGCGAATCAGGGACTTGATGAGAGTCGTTTTGCCCACCTAGTTAAAACCCAAGTTAGTCAGACCTTTCTTGGTTCATGCCTCAGATCCCAACATGACACTTACTCCAGGCGGTCCGACGACGGCGACGATGAGAGGAGGCGCCTCCTCGGGCAGGCGATCAACGAGGGGCACATGGAGTCTTTTCTCTTTGATCTAAGTAGTGGGTAGCAGGTTAGTGGCGACGTCAAAACTCGTATCGTTGCGGAGGGTGGTAGCGCATACATCGTGCGATCTTGCGCCGGCCTTGTTCAACTTTCCAGGATTCGAGAAAGCAAAAGCTTTCGGATTAGGACCTGCAGCCAGCAAACAGTCTCGTTAGTACATTGGTCGCCACGATAGCGTCGAAGCAATATTGAGGAAGCCGATAACTTCATCTCGGCCATGCGCAGAGATCCATACATACCATCATACTTTTTCTTCTCCTTCGCGGGCCGATGCGCCCTGTGTGATTGTTGCTCCATTGTGGGAAAAGTAAGAGGTCCCGGAGACCTCTAAAATAAATCCTTTCCCCGCTTGCTTTGAGACTGTAACAGCAAGGTTGAGCGCAAATCTGCAGACTGCTCCGAATGTCTAGAAGCTTGGCCCCAAAATTATTATTCCCATTTTCTTTTGCCGGAGAAAGCTTTTCTCCGGGGCCGGGATCTTTCCCGCCCTGGGCCATTGAGCCAGGCATCCATCAGGCCAGCAAAGTAGTGACTAATTGATTATCGTTCTTATCGGACGGCCCGGGGCAAGATCCGATAAGGGTTGAACCCCCGCCATATCGGCCCGGTTCTTGCCAGGCGGTCGTCGCCATAACCAGATGGGGTCACGACCGTGAGATATGAGCGGGGTAGTACGGGGTCGAATATGATGGGAGAAATGCGATTATCGGCGAGGAGTAGTCCAAGGAGCCATGGATAAAAGGCACCGGTCTTCTTTTGCGAAGTTGCCCTCTACTATCACTATTTTCCACTCCTGAGACTTTACTTCCATCTTCCAGAACTATAGTACAGACTCAAGTAAATCCCCAGAACGAGGAAAACAGAAAATGGCTTCTGCTCGTCGGCCTCCACCCGCATACACGGCTCCCCCAGATTCAGGGGTTTATGCAATTTCGCAAGTTTATAGATCCATCTCCGAGACAGCAGCCGACCCTTCCCAGCGCGTCCTGGAGTCATCGTTCACGATCCGGCCATGCTCCGGCCAAGCCTGGGTCGTCCCGGCCGGCCACATCTGTCGTCTCACCACACCAAAGGGACCCCAAGTGGGTGACCTGAACATCTGGAACGCAAACAACCCTCGTGAGCGTCTGTGGGCCGCACGTACCCGTCAGATCCACGCCTCGCACGTGTCCGTCGGCGACCGTCTCTGGTCCAACCTGCCGTACCTGCGTCCTCTGGTGTCAATTACCGGCGACTCCCTTGCTGGCGGACAGCTCCATGAGGTCCTGGACGAAGATGGCAAGAAGAAGGAAGGGAAGGGCTTCGGAACAACGCAGTTTGGCGGACGCGTCCACGACCTCCTGGGCACCCGCTGCGATCCCTACGTCAACCTCGTGATGGGCGGGGAGAGCTTCGACTTCCACTGTCATTCGAACCTCACTCGCGCGGTGGTGCCGTATGGACTGAATGAGCTCGATGTTCATGATGTGCTCAACGTGTTCCAGGTGACGGGGCTGGATGAGGACGGCAAATATTTCATGGAGACCTCGCCCGCCAAGCCGGGAGAGTACTTTGAGTTCTTCGCGGAGGTTGATGTTCTGTGCGCGCTTTCGGCGTGTCCGGGGGGTAAGTGACAGTCTTGAAGGGAACGAGAATTGGGATTTGTTCACTGCTAATGCGGCCTATAGGTGACTTGTCGGAATGGGGCTGGGAGGAGAAGGCGGATATGGGAGCCACCACTCGTCCTCTCGGGGTGGAAGTGTACAGAATGGCTGATTCCACTGCGTTGGATGGATGGAAACCACCCCAGTGTCCGAAATATCTGGGTGCACATGGCATGAAGATGCCACAGAGAGAGGATGACGGAACCGGGTATGTTGGGCTGTGATTGGGGAGAAAATCTCGCAACATAGATTATTGCCCTGTATGTTTAGAGTGTGACTTTTGCACTTCTCACATATATCATAGAAAAACTAATATATACTGTTATGAACCCATGGTGCAGAATACATCCGATATGGGATAGCCCGAGAGTTGCCAAGTGACTGTTGAGCAGATGTGGCCAGGACGGAAAGTCCAACCCACGTAAATGATCTATTCCTCAGACACGGTTCATTCTTATCGATATCCCTGCACAATTCTACTTTGACCCTGGGCTTGCCTACCGAGTAGGGTGAGGTGCTTGACTTCATGTGCTAGGATGCTTGTTCGGCTTATCGCGCGGGGGGAAACTGCCATTGGTGTCAACAAATCCTCCACCGGGAGTGTCGAGACAGTCGCTGGTCATGAAAAAAAGCCTCGTACATGCGAGCTCGTTCGACTAACCTCCTTATCTTCTCTTTATATCTTCGATAAGAGCTTCGAAGATAAGAATACAAAAACTTGAGTAATTGCAGTTGGTAGAAATATGGCATCGCGACAGATCTGCCCGCGCGACGAGATAGCCTGGGACCATAGGTTCGTTAAGCCAGCCGACGATGAGGCTTACATGATACAAATATCAGGAGCCCTGCCATAAGCTCGACCGTGTTCGATTTTCAGCTAGTGCAACTACCTCGAAGCTGGCTTTCGAACATCGGCTGAATGAGCTTTTGCGAATGTTCTCTGATCTCTAACATTCTCGAGCGGGTTCCGTGCTGCCAAGATCCCACTTTACCGATATGGACTCAGATATCGAGGTTGAGAAAGTGCCTTCTGCAGGCGACAAATCTTACGAGTCTCAAGAGCCAGACGATTCAATCTGCAATGTTTGTCCCTGGTACAGTTGTCTGAACCAGTCTAAGAAGAGACTGAGTACGGCCGAGGAAGAGGATGGCGACCCCGGTCTTCGCAAACCTGGCGATTATAAGCAGAAGCAGGTATTGTTGATGCCCTTTAGGGTATTGAGGCCAGTTAGAGCTGACTCGACCAGGTGTTCAAAGGCAAGATGCTTCTATGGCTTGCGTATCAGTCCATCGGTGTGATTTATGGCGACATCGGAACCAGCCCTCTTTACGTCTACTCGTCGACGTTCAGTGCACCACCTGCTCGAGACGATCTTATCGGCGTTCTCTCCATCATCATTTGGTCCTTGACTTTGATGGTGACTGTCAAATACATCTTCAACGTTACTCCATGCTGACAACGATGGCGAGGGGGTTACTTTCAGCACATACTCACTACTAAGTCGCTATGTACGTCCTTCCATTTGAGAGACTATAGGCGGTGGACTAACAATCATGGCATCAGATGAATATCACTCATCGCGAGGGCAGACTAGCAGCATCGCCCGATATGCCGACCCATTGAATAAGCTTGATCAAGCATGTGCGCATAATATACTTTATATCACCGGCAAGGAACAAATGAGGGTCAAGAAAGGCACCAACTGGTTCCGTGGGATAGCGTTGTGGATATTCCTATGGAGACGGGACAACACCAGGGCTAAGATTGCATCCTTGAGGCTTGAGGCTGAAAGGGTAATTGAGGTTGGGTTTCTGAAGGGTATATGAGGCTGTGCCCTGGAGCCCAGTGGTGGAGCACGTACCCGACTGAGCATTTTTGAATATAAATGTAAAAAGATCACGAATAGCGAGTAATATCTGATGAGGCAATAGTCTTCTGCCAGACGTATTGATTATATTTCAGACAATGACAGTCCAAATTCTCTGTTGGAACAAGTTTCTCTGTCGGCCCGGCGTCCTCATCGTCACCGTGCATGACAGCCGAATAAGATTGTTGATCATCGCAAACGAACCCAATCGGGACAAGACAAGAAGAAGAAGAAACGAGGGGCAATCAACCAGGCCTCCACGTGACACCCCTCTCAAATAGCGTCATCGCACATGCGTCATGGCTGGCGGTGGGGGATAAACAGCCGTCTTATTGAGATGTGACTTTACGCCGCTCTGTCTATGGTCAGAATAAATAACCCTTGGCAATTCAAAGTCAGCCAAGTGACACATATCTGGTCAATCCTGGCGCAAGTGGTAAGAAAGGGAAAGATTGAAAATTGATCTTTGAGACAGCCACCAGTAGAATGAGTAGATTGTGGCTGTAACCACCACTCCTTATCAGCCGTGCGGGCGACTCACCCCCGCAGAAAGGTTGCCTTTTTGGCCCAACGCAACAGGAGCACTCAAGAGTATAAATCCTTCGCTCGTCCCACCCCCGGGCAACCTCTTCCCTTCTCCTACAACCACATTCCACAATCCACGCACATATACACACACACTTTCGCACCTTTTCAGCCATCATTCTCGTCACCAGATCTCTACGGCTCTCTGCCTTTCATCACACCGCAACCAGAATGCCTCTCTACAACGTTCGTTGCGCCCCACTCCAGCCCCATTCTACCCTTCGCTGATCCCCCTCCGGATACTAACCATTGTTTCAGGTCACCCTGAAGAAGGACTCTCCTCCCGAGGAGTTGGATAAGTGAGTTAATCCGTCCCTATCGCTGGTTCACCCATCAAAGAAGACTGACACATCTTGTTTTTCTCACCAGGGCCAAGCAGCAGGCCACCGAGAAGGGCGGTACCATCAAGCACGAGTACACTCTCATCAAGGGTTTCACGTAAGGCAGCCACCCTCCCCACTGCCTACCGAAAACATTCCACCACCAACCGCACTTCCAATACCCAAGAATCAGACTGGCTAACTAGTGCCTAGTGTCGAGTACCCGGAGGGTAACGTTGCCGCTCTCGACTTCAACGAGCACCTGCACGTCGAAGAGGACGGTGAGGTGCGCACTCAATCCTAGAGAGTCCCACGCTATTCCTTCCCTGGACTCATGAACACAAACGAGAAACATGGAGGGGGAATACTTGACGGTCGCGAGTCATGTACGAGTTACGAATCATCTTAGTTACTGTATAGCAGGAGACCAGCATCGTCGGCGTGAGGACCGGTTCCGCTGTGCGGTGACTCTGGACTGAGCGTGATATTTGCCTCTTGTGTCTGTTTTATAGTCAATGGTAACATACATCTGTTTTACCTATTCTCATCTTTGTGTATCTATTATATAGTATCTCCATTTGTCATTCGGATCTACCCGATGTCTGGCCCGCTCTTAACACGAGCGTCAGGGCGATGGATGCACCGGGTGACTTCACTCAGGGCGCGTGACCAGGAGAAACAGGATTGTAACTTGTAGTAGCTTTGCAGTGACAGTGATAAGCAGTGCTTTTTGCAACAGTCGGGGAGATAAGAGACTGTTGTCGGTTACTTGCGGAGTAAGGGTAGCTGGCTCAGCTGCGATGGAGCACCTCCTAAAAGGGACGTACACTTAACCATCTCCCTCTGGCAACTGGCGAGTCTCGGGCCCCCCGCCGATGTCCCTCGGTTTGATTCGGAGGCTCTTACCGCCTTCCGGCAGAATCGGATCTCACTCCCTTGGCCAGGCGGCAGTGAGGTCATTGATAACCTCCGCGAGTTGATGTCGAAGGATGGCTAGAATCCGAGATGGCATTATCACGGGCTTTGCGGACGTTGTCTGCGGGTGCCAGACTCTACTCTACAAGCTTACGCTCCCTCCCTAAGACATGCTCTTTGCGGCCGTCATTTCACCGACCCGTCTCCACATCACAACACCCCTTCGCTTATGGGGCTAACGATGAAGTCGCCCGTCTTGCAGCCAGCCGTCGACGACCCTTGACTCTGGCAGACCTGCTCAAGTGAGCTCTTCACCTCTTGTAATACACAATCGCTGTGAAATCGCTCACTAACCATGCTGCTTGCAGGCACGGAAGACCGCCGCTATCAAAAGATACCCTGCTTGCCTCGGCCAACTTCACGCTATCCCTACTCCCAGCACGACTCGCATCACGGATCGAAGCCCTCCGCAACCTCCCATTCATCGTTGTGTCGAACCCCCATGTCACGCAGATCTACAACAATTACCTACACTCCTTATCAACGCTCCTCCCGTACCAACAGCGACAGGTCACCACCCTCGAAGAGGAGAACCAGTTTGCCGAAGTGCTCGCCGACCTCGTGCACACGCACACCAACACGATCCCGATCCTCGCGCGCGGCTTCCTCGAATGCAGACGCTACATCGACCCTGCCGAAGTCACGCGCTTCCTAGACACGCACCTCCGCGCGCGCATCGGCACGCGCCTCATCGCCGAGCAACACCTGGCACTACATTTCGCCTCTCAGCCGGTCCGCGACAACACCAGCCCGGGAAATGACAAACACCAGCCAGCAGCCGCAGCAGCAGGAGGAGGAGGCAAGAACGCCCCGCCGTCCAACTACATCGGGGTAATCGACACGGCGCTACAGCCCGCGCGCATCGTCAAGCTATGCGAGGACTTCGTCGGCGAGATCTGCGAGCTGAAGTACGGCGTGCGGCCGCGGCTGGTGATCGGCGGACAGCCGGACGCCTCGTTCGCGCACGTCCCCGTGCACGTCGAATACATCCTCACGGAGCTGCTGAAGAATGCTTTCCGCGCGACCGTCGAGTCCGGAAACGGCCACGAGCCCATCGAGGTCACCATCGCCGCTGCGCCAGACGTGCCCACCTCCCACCACGACCATCACCACCACCACCATAATCACGACCATTTCCCCCAGACCAATCCTATCACCAGCACAACCAACAACAAGAACTGGCCAAACCAACAAGACCAAAACCACCGCCCCCCACCCTCCAACACCGACACCGACATCGGCATCCACATGGACACGGATCACACCAACACAGTAGCCGGCACCGCCGACGCCAACGAGTCCCTGAAATTCTGGCCCACCACCCCAGCCGCGCAATGCATCACGATCCGCATCCGCGACCGCGGCGGCGGCATCCCGCCCGAAGTGCTGCCCAACATCTGGTCCTACAGCTTCACGACCTTCTCGGAGTACGATAACGGCGGCTCCGAAACCGAGGGCATGGAGGCGCTGAACACCATCGCGTCCAGTGGCGGCGGCGGCGGGCATCTCAGCAGTATTGCTGGGTTGGGGTACGGATTGCCGTTGAGTCGCGCGTATGCGGAGTATTTTGGGGGTAGTATTGCGATCCAGAGTCTCTGGGGGTGGGGGACGGATGTGTATTTGACGTTGCAGGGGGTTGGGAATGTTAAGTGATTTTTTTTGGAGGTATGCTTTGGGGCAGAAGGGGTGAAGGGGTTATAATGCCACTTCAAATGGAGGTTGGTTGGTTTGATGGTTCCTGCGCATCGGGGGTTTAGGGAGAGCTAAGTTGGAGGTAGTGCTATTTGCTTGGGGCCGGGCACTGGACTGGGCTCAATCTGTCTTGGAGGCTGCCGTCGGTTTCGTTTCGAGTCTCCGTCCTTGGCCTAAGATAATGCTTATAGCACTATTTGGACCTTTTCTGGTTCCTGTTTCTGGAGACTCGGCGTTGCGTCCACGAATCTAGTAGAGGTCACGGTGTATACCTTACGGTCTCAGGGCTGAATAGGTAGTACGGTGAGCCTCAGACACAGGGTCCAATCCTCGAGGGGCAGCCGGCCTAGCTGAAATCCAGGTTTGATGCAACCATGTAAGAGAAGGAAAGACAAGCCCAACTTGGAACCTTTATGAGACTTCGGAAGAATCTCATACACAAGTGCAGCATCTACTGTCCACGTCAATTATACTACCAACATCTCAAAAATCAGATATATACAACACAGCTGAACTCCCAAGATTAGAAGTTCAATATATATAACAAGAAAAAAGGATCGTAACGTAAGCTACCACCACTCAAACGGGATCTAAAACCCTCCGGCACCGCGCACTCGCTGCACGGCGCCAACCACACCCTTCGCCCAACTGAACCGACCAGGATCGGTGCCGATGGACCCCTCCGGGATCTGGTTGGTGGTGGGATCATGCCAGCAGCCGTCTGCGGGGCTGACAGCACCGTAGAGAGCCGTGTTCTGGTTGCGGTCGATAGCCTCCCGCCATGCCCGGCAGACGATCGGAGATTCGAGGAGGAGGTTGACTTCTTGGCTGTGGTAGAAGGATTGGGTGTCGAGGTTGCCGTTACCTGATGGATGGCATCTTGTGAGTCGACCATGGCCTAAATGAGCGCGGAGATGTGCAACGAACCTTGAATAGCCACCTTCTCGTCGATGATCATGAGCTTGATGTGGCAGCTGCGGCGCTTGAATTTGTTGTGGATGGGTTTCGTCTGGTCCTTCGCGACGTAGTTGTAGATTCGGAGGCGGGAGCGGAGTTCATCCGTCTCCAGCGCTTTGTACATCCGATGCGCGATCATCTCGTTCGTACCATTCTGGAAAGGGAGGAGCTCGCCGGCGTCGTTGTAGCCCAGGCATAAGTATGCCGTGACTGTTACGCCGCGGGTTTTGATGGCCTCCAGCAGGGCCTGCACGATGGGCTCGGCGTTCATATTTGGGGTTTGGATGAAGATTGATTCCTGAGCGTTGCTGATGGCGGCAAGGAAGCTGCTGTTCTGGGGAGTATGAACGCTCGTGTGGTTCGGTGCTATTGTTCGTCTGGTCAGCGGCACAGCTATTGCTAATAGCATGGAGCCCAAACTTACCTCCCCAAGGTTCACGGTTAACTACGGCCATCGGGAAAGGATCATGGGGCGGAAGAACGATATAAGGCTGCATCTGGAGTTCTTGGTCCCGTTCTGAAGCGTCGCCTGTTGTGCTGGGCTGGATGGTGGTGTCTGGATCGTGGTCAGTGATAGGCGCCAAAAGCAGCGCGGGGTAAACCTACTGAGACGACGGGTTACAGCTGCGGTTTTGTTTTCTCCCTCTCGGGGCTCGAGTAGCCCGTTCATACGCTCCGCCTCATGCTTCAGATTCGTATCATAATGGGACTCTTGTGTGGTGAGCTCAGGAAGGGGGCCGGGCGCCGGTGCTGCATGGTCCAGCTCCACGGTCGACTGGCAGGGGATCGCAGCACCCGTGGCCGGCGAGGCGAGCATGGGGAGAGTAGGCTCGAGGGGGCGGCCCCACGAGATCAATGCCGTATCGTACAGACCGTCGACGATGGGCCCCTCGACGTGGATCATCATTTCCAGGTTGTCGTTGTCCTGCACGTTACTGCTCTGTAGCAGCGCCAGGCGACGATCCACGACCATAAATTTGGCATGGAAGGTGCCAAAGACTGGTCGGTGGTAATTGATGACCTGCAGGTCGATATTGGGGATCTCCTCAGACGAGGGAAGTTTCACTTTCCCTCCGCTGTACTTCTTCTCCGGCACCGGCAGATGATTCTCGAACAGCTGCTGCGGGTCACCGCGATCGTACACCATCTTCACTATCACCTTCTCCCCGCGCTCCCCGGCCCTCTTGGAGAGCTCGCGAAACGCATTGGTGATCAGTGTGGATGCGTCGGAGTGGATCCAGAAGTTGGTTGCCAGGAAGACCTCCTTCTCGGCGCGGACGATGCAATTCGCCATGTGTCGACACAGATCCGGCAAGGGAGCGATGATGGTCAAGGGGACCACTCCATGGCTTCCCATCAACGGCGGGGAGACGACGCCCGCCATCGGGTTCTTGTCGAGCGCACAGAGAGCATCATGGTAGATCTGGAGCCACAATCGTCAGCGCTCGTTTCCCACTTTCTCGAACTGTTTCATTTTCCGTCATGCAAACTGTCAGTAGTACCTTGAGGAACAACTCGCTGGGCCGGGAATTTCCCCAGTTCCCGCACTCAGCCACCCTCTGCAATTCATCTGCATCTGTCACCGACTCCTTCGAGTCAGAATGCTGTTTGGATTTGTGGTCGTGATAAAGGCGGCGAAAGACCTTTGGGGGGGACTGGGATGGATCGCGCAGCAGCTCGGAGGTGACAGTCTCCTCTTCACGACAGAGCCGGTAGACACTGTCCGGTAGCATGGTGGTACGAAATTGATTGGGACTTGACGGTTGACGGACAAACCAGAAAACGGCGGAACTCAAACATATGGAGAAAAGGGCCCCGGATAGTTTAATATAGAGTGGTAAAGTGGATGTGGATGTGGATGAAAACCCCTCGTCCGGTCGCAAAAGCGCCGCCATTATTTTTTAATCTCCGAAGAACCGGGAATTTGTGACGTAGTGGGAGTCGGAAGTCTGAGAAGAATTGTGATGCCTACTAGTATGCGGCGCCTCAGCTACTATAGTTCAGTTTTGAATGGTAGACCAAGACCGATTAAAGTGCCTCCTGGGATGTAATTTAGCCAGGTAATGCAGCCGCTATGTTTGGCAAATAGCCGTGTGATTCATCCGTTCTTTTCTGCATGGTAGATGGGTTGATGCAACAGGAAATGTCATAACGCTGGAATGACGAAAAAGTGAGCCTTGTTGGGCTGAGGGAGAATCACCACGTCATCGGCCCTAGTCGCAGAGCTTGGCGAGGAAAACAAGCTCCAGGAAACAGCGGGTTCCGGAAAAGAACGTGCATAGGGCTGACTGAACGAACTCCTTCAATTTCTCGCTCCTCTTCCCTCTCCTGCTCCTCATCGCTCGGAAAATCTAGAAAAATAATACAAGATGGTGTGAGATTGCATGAAAAGGCGATTGCTTCACATGGCTACTAGACGGTCAAAATTCCCCACTTCGCTTCTGTCCGAGATATGCACCCAGACATTGTCACGCAGAAGGAATCCACCATTCTGTAATTTCTGAAATAGGCCCTCCGGGCCGTACTTGGCTGCCACCTCCTGCGTCCGCTTAGAATTATCGGTCCTGTAGCTGCTCAGCACCTTCTGCGAGGCGGCAGCGAAGCTCGTACACTTGAAGTCCAGGAGGACTCCTTGGGCCTTCGCTAGGACTGCACCGTTTCGGACATGGTATCTACAGCCTCTTGGGCCGCGACATCGTCATTCCCGCCTTTAAGCCACTCACAGGCGGAAACCTACCCTGTTGGGATTTTGCGACATTACATTAGCATTATGACCTGATATGATAAGCAAGGCAGAAAGAGAAGGGGTGGAAGGGGGCTATCCAGCACCGGGCGACGTCCTCATGACCCATGCTATTCTCTCCGCGGTCTTTGCCAGCCTGGATACCAGTCTTGCCCAATGAATGAATGGTGTAATGCAAGACGGCACCAGGCGGGAGAGTCTTGCAAGCCCCGAACCAGGCCTTGCACACCTCTTCATAAAGGTCGCGCGAAACCTGGCTAGTAATAGTGCAATCGGATCGCCTGTATATCGCGCACAACGTTAGCGACTGTTATCGATATGCGCATTTCGCCATTCTAGGTAGTTCTTGGTCACTAGTACTCACTTCAGGGACGTTTGGGCATGACCCATGGCTTGGGTCAGCGACAAGTGTGCCGTTTGTGAAAGGCAGGACCGTAGTCACCAGGCTCTTGATGAGGCTGTGAAACCCTTCGGTGACTCAGCTGGGTGGTCTGCGTAGAACAAGCCTACCCCGACAGAATCATTGTTAAAATTAGTGAACAGTTCAATGTTCCAGTCCCCTTCATGACATATTGGACCGCTACAGTAGCCTGGTTTATTGCAACGTGATCTTTAGGGCTATAGAGGTTGATAGTGTATTGGACCTTGATCAAAGTATAAGTTGCGAGGTCGGACCGCGTCACAATGTCTGTTCTGAGATGTTAGAGGGCATGTTCAAACTTCATATTCTGGACGCAAGCCACACATACCAGAGTTAGAGCCACCGCTCTTCAGGGCACGACATAGATCGCAATTGTCATTCGCGTCGGCATTGACGAGACGGCCATCTGCAAGCAGTACCTGGCGAATTTGAAAAATGCGAAACCCGATCTTGAGAAAGATAAGAAAAGAAAGGAAAATCTGAGAGTCATCTCAGTTTCTCATCCCGGCAGCACCTAGTTCATAAAGACGAGGCAAAGCCCCCATGCCTTCTATTGCATTGTTATTGTTATTGTTGTTGGGGGAACAGGTTATCATAACCTCTTCTATCTTCTTGTAACTCGACAGGAGTTCAAGTTCTGAATTTTGTCTGGTCCTGTCTGTGCCATGTGTCCGTCGACTTTCTTAAATCGGAAGGAAATCCTACCCTCAGCTCGGTATTCACTGCATCCACAACCTCTATCTCCAAGCGTAAATGTGAGCCCATCCATACAGTTGTTAACTCACTCAATGTTGGACGACAAGGATCCAGTTGTGTTGATTTGATCCCCACCCTTTGTCTACAAGACCCACACCTACTGGTGAGGAGGCAGGGGCAGTAAGCACTAAAGCACTCCAGGCTAACAACCCTGCAGCTCCACCACTCGCCGGCCGGCTATCGAACCAGACTAGTAATCGCGTTAGGTGATTCGATATAAGTTATGGGCGCAAGTACGAGTTTCTGGAGCTGACGGTAAAGCGGCTACACTTACAGATCCGCATGGTTGGCATGGGGGGTCTTTCGTGCCGGGTCGCATCTCAAGATCCTTCTCAATTGCCACGCCTCTTGATCAAATCCTGGAGACATGAGCCTCCAAAAAGGCATCCAACGAGGTAAGAACCTCAGCTTGCGCCCCGAAATCACGTTGACAATTGCCCACTGCATCACCGCCAGGACCTTGATTCGCCAATCGCTGCGCAGCGGCCACCGAATCCCCCAACCAAATCAGCTCGTCCTCTTCGTCCTCCGATCGATACTGCACTTGCACTTGACCAAACTTTCTAGCCGACTACTCCACCGTGAGCGCCTCAATCGCGAGATTGATGACCCGATGCGAGTAGTGCTCGGAACCCGCAACTGTTGCTGCGACCACAATCCCCACGTCGCCCGCGTCCACCCGCAGGACCCGGTCTCGCTCAAATCCGAGGAACACAGAGCGTTCACAGGAGGCAGCAGGTTCTGCAGGAGTTGACCCAGGCTCACAATCGTCCAGTGCCGGATGAAGCCGTCTGATGTTGCTACTGCTGCTATTACACGGACACGGGTCTGAGGGCGTGCTTGTTCAACCACTATTGTCCCATCGGATGAGCATGAGCAACGTCATGGGGGTCGGATTCTCCCCATCCCGGAAAAGAAGCATGCTGACCCGTTCTGATCGCTGTCGACACAATCACATGGAATACACTGGCTGCTGCCTTCTGCGCCGCGATTACTGCTTCGCTGCAGCTCCACCGCGCAGTCGCCGGTTTGCACCTCGAACACGGCGTTCATGCCATGAGTCGCAGTGCGCAAGGTCTCCAGATCGTCCAGATCACCCCGCACAAGAGCGGAACCCCATTGCGCGAGTTGAGTGGCGGCGGGGATTGTCGGATCTAGGACATAGGCAGAAACTTGGAGGCCAGCGGCGAAACAATGCTGCACCACGCCGCGGCCTTGGGCACCCGTGGCGCAGGTGACCAGAACCCTCTTCGGGAGAGATCTTTCTTCTTTGGAAGAGGAATTGATTTAACGTTTCAGCAACAGAGAGGAGGGTGTGAAGGAAACATCGGCTGCGTCTAGCCACTTGCTTCGAAACCAGTCGCATCCTTTTCAGCGCGGGGAAAGTGCTTACCTCAGAAAGTCAATTCTCCAATGCAACCTAATGCTGTCTATATCTTAACCTCGGTCTTTTTCTCCACCGCTCGGACTTCAGCCCGAATTCATGCTTTATGAAAAGCTTCTCCCTGATGATGGTGTGGGACTGCACGCCGCTACATTCCTATCCTCCCAGCTTCTCAATACTGAAAATATCACTGCCGACTCCTCAAACCCCATACCGTGATCGACATTGTTACTACTTATCATGTACGTGCAATATGATATTTGAGCTTAAGACTGCATCAAGGCAGTGTATCGCTGACTATGACTGATGCAAGGGTTTATACTGCATCTTTTGCCTTCTTCGAGGCCCTATGGGAGGTATGATGCTTGATCCCTGTTGACCAATTGATCACAGCAAAAAGCTAACTGGACAGGCCGGGGTCACCCATGTGTTCGTGAATCTGGGCTCCGATCACCCTTCCATTCTAGAAGCCATGGTCAAAGGCCAAAAGGAAAAGCCCCAGGAATTTCCGAAGATTGTAACATGTCCCAACGAGGTGGGTTGCTCTTCTGCAGCGTCCTTCATGCCGGCAGCTCCGCATTAACCCCGCATTCCTCCGTTCTTGGCAGATGGTTGCCCTCTCCATGGCCGATGGCTACGCTCGTCTAACCGGCAAGCCGCAATGTGTGATCGTTCATGTCGATGTCGGCACGCAGGGTCTCGCTGCTGCCATCCACAATGCCTCCTGTGGTCGTGCTCCGGTGCTGATTTTCGCCGGTCTCTCCCCTTACACAATTGAAGGGGAGATGCGTGGTTCCCGCACGGAGTACATCCACTGGATCCAAGACGTTCCAGATCAGAAGCAAATTGTCTCCCAGTATTGCCGCTATGCTGGCGAGATCCGCTCAGGCAAGAACATCAAGCAGATGGTAAATCGAGCCCTCCAATTCGCCACCAGCGACCCTCAGGGTCCTGTCTACCTGGCTGGTGCTCGAGAAGTTATGGAGGAGGAGATCACGCCATACTCTATCAACCAGAATCAGTGGGTCCGAGTTGCTCCGCCAGCACTACCTTCGGAAGGAGTTGAGTTAATTGCCGCCGAGCTTGCGGCAGCCAAAGAGCCACTGGCGATTGTAGGCTATTCAGGTCGCAATCCCCAGGCAGTGAAAGAATTGGTCACCCTAGCCAACACCTTTCAAGGCCTGCGAGTTCTGGATACTGGTGGATGCGACATGTGCTTTCCAGAAGACCATCCCGCCTCTTTGGGAATGCGTTTTGGAATCCACGATGCGATAAAAACGGCAGACTTCATTCTCGTTGCGGATTGCGATGTACCATGGATCCCGACCATCTGCAGGCCGTCCGACTCCGCTAAAATTGTTCACATTGATGTAGACCCTCTCAAGCAGCAGATTCCCGTGCACTATATCAACTCGAGTGCAACCTTCAGGGCGGAGTCGGCCACGGCTTTTAACCAGATCAACAAGTACATTGCATCCAGTCATAAGTTGCAACAGTCCATCAGCACGGCCGAGAATCGGGCACGTGGAGAGCGTCGAGAACAAGAGTTCCGAAAGACACGCAAAGCGATCGCTGACATGGCTCTAGTCCCAGCAGGTGGTGACAATGCTCCACTAAACGCGTCGTATCTCATCTCCCAGATCCGCGGTGGGTGCCCTACCGACACCATCTGGGCGATCGAGTCCGTGACGCTTACCGCTATCGTTTCTGATCAAATAGCGGCTACTCTGCCCAAATCATGGATCAACTGCGGCGGCGGCGGTCTGGGATGGTCCGGTGGCGGTGCGTTAGGCATCAAGCTTGCCAGTGACTTTGAACACGGGGGCAATAACAAGGGCAAGTTCGTCTGCCAGATAGTCGGCGACGGAACGTACCTCTTCTCTGTGCCTGGCTCCGTGTATTGGGTTGCGCGGCGGTACAACATCCCAATCCTCACCATTGTTCTGAATAACAAAGGCTGGAATGCGCCGCGCAGGAGTATGCTTCTGGTTCATCCCAACGGCGATGGCTCACGTGCCACCAACGAGGACCTCAACATCTCATTTGCGCCCACGCCTGACTATCCTGGTATTGCGAAGGCTGCATCAGGAGGCCAATTCTGGGCGGCGCAGGCGTCCACCGTCGCGGAGCTGCGTCGGTTACTGCCGGAGGCCATCAAGAGCGTGCAGAATGGCACCACGGCTGTCTTGGAAGCGCAATTGGACGGAACGGAGGGTAAATATATTGCAAAGTCTGTGCTATGAGCTTTTGGATTCTGGGTTGATATTCGTTCGATGTAATCAGTTGGTCCGTAGCATGTAACACCGAAGACATGCAATACTTTCCATACAACCTCATGAGAACTTCGAATTGGGTAGCTTAACAGCAGGCAGATGGTAACTTGAATGAGTATATCGTAAATATTTGATTGCTGATCAGCATTCTGCGACCCAATAGTTGATAGACTAGATGCATCTATATCCAGGTGAGCAAGATGAGGTGTGTCGTAACCTGAGCAGCTAGAAATGGTAAAAAAGGAACCGTGCCAGATCCCCGCCCAGCTCTTTGTTCTTTCCCTTTTTCCTTCCCTCCAACGCGCTTTCCCCTACCCTTCCTTTGAGCGAACCTCAGTTGCTAAGCTTGCTTCACATCGGTATGAGATCCTAGAACATAAAAACCGACGTATGCCCACAACATAAATCTCATAACAAAAGCCCCATCCTGATGCTACTCTGCAAGCATCGATCCGAAGTGTAAAGATGTTGACAGCCCATAAAGGGTAGCAAGCCGGACAGTAGTCCCCAAGTCACTATGCCGCTGAATCGTGTCTTCGGGGACTGTAGCAGTGTAGCAGCTTCTACTGTTATACGAAGCCTGTACGAGGCCTGTGGTTCAACCTCTCTGATACATCATAGGACAATTATTGTTCTCGGACAACCAAGCAAGCAAGCAAGCGATGCATTATCCTACTAGTAAATTAAGTTACCTAAGTAAGGAGTGCTGGCAATCTTATCTCTCCTCCTGTGTTTTCAGCCTTGTAAAACACATACGAACGATGAAGGACACATGAAATCCAAAAATCAGCCGAGGAAGACGACCAAGTCAATGACAGTCAACATCAGAATCAGACGGGAGCGTCGGAGTCCTTGAACTTGCTCAGCTTCAGCACGTTCTTGGCATTGTCCCTGCCCACGCGGAGATAGCCGTCGCGGCCGCCGAGGATCTTCTTGAGCTCCTCGGAGTTCTTGTCGAACCAGCCGCAGCCGTCCTCGAGCTTCTCGTACGGATAGTCAACGCTGAACATGATGCGGTCGACGCCGATCTCGTCCGCCACAAAGCGCAGGGTGTTGGTGCTGAAGTGGCCGCTAGTGGTGACGTAGATGTTGTTCTTGAAGTAGTGCAGAACGTCGTGCTCGCACATGGTGTCGCCGTTCTTCTTGGCCAGAGGCCGCTCGACGTCGTTGATCCAGTGGTTGGCGCGCCAGAAGTCGAAGGGGATGCGCTCACCCAGGTGGCCGACGATCAGCTTGAGGTTGGGGAAGCGGTCGAAGACGCCGTTAGTGATGATGCCCATCAGGTGGCGGCCCACGGAGTTGCAGAAGCTCTGCGGCGGACCGACTAGGTACTTGCGGGCCTCGTAGTGCTCCTTGTAGTTGTCGCCCGTGGGGGCCGCCGGGTGGAGGTAGATCGGCACGTCGAGCTCGACGGCCACGCGCCAGAACTCGTCGTACTCGGGCTGGTCGTAGTACAGGCAGCGGCCGCGGTCGTTGGTGTGCTGCACATCGTTGAGCAAAGCGCCGTGGAAGCCTAGCTCCTTGACGCAGCGGCGCAGCTCCTTGCCCGCCTGCGAGGGGTCGTGCATCGACAACGCCGCGAATGCGCCCAGTCGGTCGCGATTGTCCTTGATCTTCTCAGCCACGTAGTTGTTGACCTCCCGCGCGTGCGCTTCGGCCTTCTCCCGCTCTCGGATGCCTTGGATGCCGGGCACGGTCAGCGAGAGAATGGTGTAGCCGATGCCATTCTCATCGGAGATCTTTAGGCGCTCGCCGGTGATCGACTTGATCTGGCGGAGGTAGCGCTCCAGGTCATCGGGCGCCACGTACAGGGCGGCCTGGTCGCGGCTCTGATCCGCCTCGGAGGGGATCTCAAAGGCTTCTTCAATTGTGACCTTTCCACGCATATTGGTTGTTTTGGAGGGATGGATGAACTGATGAGAGAAGAGTAGTGTTTGTTTGGATGTCGCAAGGAGAACTTGGATAAATGTGATAGGTGCTTGAGACGCTGGTGTCTTCAAGTCCAAGAAACTTCATGCTTGAAGTGGCATTATATAGATCAACTTGGACTCATAACCATGGTAGACTTAATATGATTGTGCATGACGCAGAACTGCCGGCCTGCTATTCCATTCCTCAACATTGGGGTCGGCGAAGTCAAGGTTGCGCTGTTCACTTGATGTTGAGGGGTTTGGTGGTTCCAGATCCAATTTCGACTTTCGGTCAATTCTTCCCAGGCCGTTCTCTTTGCGGGGTAGCCCATTGCTCCCTCTTTGAGGCGTTTGTTGAGGCGAGTAAATGCATGTGATGGTGATCGCGATGTGATGGTTGTTTTAGGTCGGATTGACTGATGTGGCTTTGTGAGAGGGGAAGATTTGAGGGGAAGATTCGAGGGGAAGAGGAGGGGCTGGCCGCGCGGTCAGCATAAATAGGCAGGTGCCTCAGTGCTCAGGCTACCTAGTACACTTGAGCTCTTCCCTATCCAGTCCATGACTATCAAGCGGTGGACTCGGGCTTAAAATTGCGTCCGGGATTCTCGATACATTTTCCGACCACGAACCTTTTGAACCAAAGACTGACTGCAAGAAACAGACAACCAGTACAGTCCAGAAAGTTTCCCCGGATAGCCATCAAGTGCATGCACTTAGTACAAATCATCTTTCTCATGTTTTCTCAAGATGGTAACATCAACATCACCTCCGTTTTCGGTTGGATTTCCTCATCTGGAACGGTGGCTTATCGGATCTCGATAAGCCAAGCTCCGATGCCGGCGATAGCCTTATCTAGGCGCGGGGCTGTCATACCGCAGATATGCACCGTTACCAACTTTCCAGCTCGCCTCCAGTTGTTTTAATGCTCTACTCAGGGAAGATCCCTGCTTGAAGATCCAGAACTCCCCGACATATGATAGAGAAGCTGCATATGATGCAATCATCGTATTCACCCCACGATTTAGCAGATGCGGGGGAAAGATTTGAGGTTCGAACCCCTCTCGGGGAAGAACAATGGTCTGCACTGTGGTATTGGAAATACCGTACCGTACGCCATCTCCGCCGCGCCCTACAATTGACTAGAGTTGCATTCGCAATCTGATAGAACAATTCTACCACGCGAGGCTGTTTCTCGCTCCCATGCAGTCGATCCACTTGCTCCATAGATAATGCAATTGCTTTCCAATCATAATCGCCAGCTCAAAAAGCTCCCGTAGTCCTGCAGCGCAGGTTGCAATCGTGGACTAATCGCTGTTGCAGTCCACGACGCTTGCCGACGGAACCGGTCCGCCCGAGCTTTGCTAAGGCGGAAAAAGCGGACGGGCCTGTTGAAAGTGTGACTCGATTCCTGCATTCCTCATTCTCTTTATCTCTTTATTCTCCCCCTTGCCCACTTATCCTCTGGTCTGCGGCATCATTTCTCTTGATTTATACTGTTCTTCCTGAACTTCTGCTGGACGAAGAGTGCAACACCTACAATAATACACTCATCCACTTACAACCTAGTTTTTCTAGCTTCCGTTTCCACCATGAGCCACCCGGCTGCTGTGGACGTTGACTCGAGCTCGGCTTCTGCTGCCGGACCATTGACCGTCGATGGCATTCCCGCGCTCAGAGCTAAGACCGCAAAGATCCCCCTGGGCATTGCGCCTGCGATCCATAGCGACCTCTTCAAGAGCCCAGTACGTCCTATTCCCGGTAACGCCGGTGGCGCTCAGAGCTAACCCCTCATCTGCGATAACCAGCTCTGCTACACCAAGCCACAAGCCAAACGATGGGATGGTCAGTCGCTCGGCTCTGCTTGCTCGGACTAGGTTCTGATTTGTTCCCAGATCTTTTCTCCCTTGAAGCAAAGTCTCGGAAGGTTCGTCCGTTAAACCCACTGGTCCGATCTCCCACCACGAAGCTAATTTGTACGCGTTGGACGTCTCTAGACCTCAACGTTGAAGGGTGCGGCGCAGTACCTCAAGAACCCGGGCCTGATCTCTTTAGGCGGCGGTCTCCCGTCCCCGGAATACTTTCCCTTCGATGAACTCTCTGTGAAGGTCCCCACCCCGCCTGGCTTTTCTCCCGAAGAAAGCCGCAACTCCGGTGCTGTCTTGACCGCTAAGAAGGGAGACACCCGTGATGGAACAAGCTTGTACGGTGAGTGGTAGAATGTTTCTCGAGAAGCCTACGCAACAACTAAGACATCTCGACAGACCTGGAAGTTGCGCTTAACTACGGCCAGGCTACGGGATCCCCTCAATTGCTGCGTTTTGTCACGGAACACACAGAGGTATGTCAGAGACCGGTCACACTTTCCATGGAGAGCTTTGTTAAAGGCCAATTCTCCACTTTTAGCTCATTCACAACCCCCCATACTCCGATTGGCATTGCTGTCTGACGCCTGGCGGTACCTTCGCCTGGGATGCTGTTCTCCGCATCCTCTGCAGCAGAGGTGACTATATCATGATGGAAGAATATACTTTCTCGAGTGCCAAGGAAGCTGCGCTTCCTCTTGGCCTCAAGGTAGTAGGAATCAAGATGGACGAGCAGGGTCTTTTGGCCGAGTCACTTGACGAAGTCTTGAGCAACTGGGATGAGGCTGCCCGTGGTGCCCGCAAGCCTCGGGTACTATATATCATCCCAACCGGACAGAACCCTACGGGTGCAACTCAATGGACTGAAAGACGTAAGGCTGTGTACAAGGTTGCTCAGAAGCATGACGTCTTCATTGTCGAAGACGAGCCATATTACTTCCTGCAGATGCAGCCCTACACTGGCGCCGGCGGCAAACCCATCCCGCCTCCAGCCAATCACACTGAGTTCATCAAGTCCCTCGTCTTCTCCTATCTGAGCCTTGATGTGGATGGCCGCGTTTGTCGAATTGAATCTTTCTCCAAGGTCCTTTCCCCTGGCTCACGTGCTGGTTGGCTGGTCGCTCCGGAACAGGTCATTGAGCGCTATATCCGCCACAGCGAGACCACGGCCCAGAACCCAAGTGGCATCACACAGATCCTCCTTTACAAGCTCCTGGACGAACATTGGGGTCATGCTGGATACCTCGACTGGTTGATCAACCTTCGTATGCAGTACACCGGTCGCAGGGATGCCTTGGTAATTGCCTGTGAGAAACATCTTCCACAAGAAATTGCTAGCTGGGTTGCGCCTGCTGCCGGCATGTTTGTAAGTTCTTACCTGTATCATCTTGAGTGGGATACTAAACTAACTTGTACAACAGCACTGGATTGGGCTTGATTGGCAAAAGCATCCAGGCCTCGCGGCTGGTAAGACCCGTAACCAAATTGAAGAGGAAATTTTCCTGGCGGCTGTGGAAAATAAGGTCCTCGTCTCTCGAGGTAGTTGGTTCACGGCCACTGAAGTTGGCGAGGGAAAGATGTTCTTCCGCGCCACCTTTGCTTCCGCCAGCTCCGAGAACATTGATGAGGCCATCCGGCGGTTTGGCGACGCTCTTCGGGTGCAATTTGGTCTATAGACGAACATCCGTATTTTGATACCCATGGTTGGCCACGTACATATGAATGAAAAGAGGTTTAGGATGTAGACGACTTGGATTTTAAGAGGCTTGGGTCTTTCGAGCACTTGACTCGCTTTTTGACTCGCTTGGAATCAGAATATCATAGCTAGATCTAAACAGATATCTTAAATCCATTATAGCATCTTTTCATAATCACAATTTGCATGTGCAACAGCAGCCACAGCACGACATGGTCTGGATCCGTAGCCCAAGCATGAAACATCATAGCCGCGTAAAAACATTCTTCCGACCCTGGTCCACAGTAGAGCAAATGGTCGGGAACTTTAATCGAACGTTGCTCAACCCTGATACCGAGTTACATGTCGGAATTTCGGTCCATGGTGAGATAATGGCGAGCTAATATGACGGCTTTTTAATCTTAGACTGAATCTTGCAGCTGTGATACCCTTAGAGTTTCCTTTTTCATCGCCTGTTTTCCTCATCTTTACGCATAATATTGGAATCGTTATTTCCCCCTTTGTTGGCCAGCTGGATTGGTCACTAAAGGAGCAACTTGTGGGTAAGTTCGACTTCAAGCCTCTAGTGAGGAGCATCTCTCCTTCTCTATTCTGTTCCTTTCTTCTTTTGTTTGGGATTCATTGTTCAACTCAAACACAAGCCAAATGCCTGGTTACTGTGTCCTTTCCCGTCACGTGACAATATACAAGATCATATCAGCATGTTTCCCAGCTGGAATATGAGACTGTAAGGTTACTTTACCATAGTTCGTGAATCGATAGCGCTTCTGCAACTGCAGAAAATCGGACATGCTTTGCTTCTAATGCCGTAGGCTTGAACTGCAGAACTAACTGGCTATAGATCAGCACATTACTGTTAGGCATGCAAGTGGCTCCAACAGGGCATACCACATCGCACAACTTTCGCTTCGAGAGGCCCATTCTCAGAAAAGGACTCACCCACAGTGAGTTGTGGTTCATCTTCCCGGAACATCCCGTCTCCTTTCTTGAGGCAGTCACAGTTGATGCCTGAATTATTCTTTGTTTGGACCCTGTTTCTGTGAACCAATTCACTGTCGAAACCAGGGCTGGAGCGGCCTGTTTCAGTCCTACATCACGCTAACGCCATCTGGACTAGCGTTCCAGTCTACACATATCACTCGTGGCAGTGGTCGATATACGAGCCTAGATCGACAGGAAAAGGAGTATCAACGGAGGTGAGCATCTACCTCTTTACACAGCGGTTTCTCGACCTCAATTGCAGAAATAAACGTGAATATGAATAGAGACTAACTTTGAGATAGCGTACGTGCCTTTTCTCTGGAGAAATCGGCTGGAAAACGATTGTGGATATCAAATCCAAATCGCTACACCAAACGACCTGGCCGTGCTGGTGTAGGAGAGTTGACGATTTGACTCATACACCACCGACAGGCGATACATCGCCTCTGAGACACGTTCTCGCTTAAGCTTCACGGTGAGTGACTGGCAGGATGTATTGTTCACCTGTTTGGGCTCGCTTTCCTGGTCCTTTTCATCATCTTCTTCCCTCTCTCCTCGGCATAAAAGACCCTCTATCACCGTTGTCAACTCCATGGACAACACGACTTGTCTCCTGTATCATCCTCTCAGAGCCTTCTTCTATCGCCTTGTTGCCCTGCGTCTCTGTCGTCTCGAGCCAGACCCTGCATTATCCCTCTTACGGCATAAGGGTTGACCATGGCTGGGTCCATGCCCTCAGAACGTCGCGGAGGCCTCCATGGGTTTGGCTTTATCATTCATCGGCTTGTCCCAAACTTGCTAACTCTCTCTGTCTGTTTATAGAGCGTCATTCGACTACTTTACGGAACCTAAGAAAGAGGTTGAACAAACTGTTATCAGTACAGACCAGGACAACCTAGAACAACTACAAGGGGGTGGCGAAGAGGACGACGAATACGCCTGGTGTCACTGTCAGTCTTCTTTCCTCTCGCAATACAGAATATGACCAATGAGCTCATGGTATTACAGATCCATTAGACACCCCCGGTTCCGATTCAGAGAGCGAAAGGTACGTTCGCCTGTCTTTGATCAAGTTGAGCGTGGCTAGACCTGATGCTAACAGGCAACATAGGCTTCGGTTCACAGAGTCTCTGCTTCGAGCGAAACAGCAGCCGCAATCAAGCCAGACAGACGAGCCACCCTTCGCGGTAAACCAGACCAAGCCGCTCGATCCGCTACCTGAGGAACCAGACGCATCCGAGGAGCACAATTCGAAACGTTTTAAGTGGCTTCATAAGAAGCAGGAATCCTCGAAAGGCTCATTGAGGTCTGCGGGCAGCGAGGAATCACAATTCAAGGGCCACAGGCAACAGAGATCTGAAGGCAGCAACACACCCAATTCATCTGGGCGGCCATCTCTGAGGAGATTGTTCTCCCACATTCGCACGAGAAAAGAGTCGGGAACAAGCGAGTCGAATGAGGAGCTCTTGACCCCAGTGGAGCAGGCCATTCTACCCGCCGATCTCTTTCTGTCTGGCCCAAACACCCCAGGCACCAGTGACCATCCGTACTGTACGGAAAGTGTTCGCCCAGCAAGGGACCCGCCACCCGCGCAGCCTCAGGCACCCATCCGACCTACGCAGCCAGCAATAACCACCACCACTTCATTGCCCCAGGTCATCACGGATATCGATCAGGCGACTGAAGTCCTCAACGCCCCGGCAGCCTCTCCGCGAACCCCAAACCCCCATTCTACCTCTACCTCGAGAAATCGCCTCTATTTTACCCCTCCACACCTTTCTTCTGAAATTTCACTTGATTCATCTCGCAACCACCCTTCCGATATTAAGGACCTCATTCCTAAGCCACTTCGAACCACACCCAAGAAGTCCAACACCTCTCCCTCGAATCGCTCCGTCGACAACATGAGCCCCCCGCGAGTCTCTCGTTTTCTCGATCCCGCCATGGCGGCGATCACAAAGCACAAGGCTGAAGCCATAAAGCTCGCACGCGAGCAAAGCTCTGCTGTCGAGGAGATGTGTCGCAGAGCGAAGACCGAGGTGCCGCCGTACGAATTCGAAGAACTGATCGGCAAAGGCTCATATGGTCGAGTTTACAAAGGCCATCAGCTCCCCTCCCGCAAGCTCGTGGCGATCAAAGTCCTGGATATAGACACCATGGACTACAAATCTCTGCGAGACTTTCGCGACGAATCGATTAAGGATTTCATCCGCGAGGCGAAAGTGATGAAACAGGTCAAAGACTCTGGGGCGAAAAACATCAACGAACTGATCGAGGCCATCTCCATTCATTCGCAGCTGTGGCTGGTTTGCGAATATTGTCCTGGTGGCAGTGTTCGAACCCTGGTAAGTGTCCGCCATGCTCAGCCTTGCTCCTCCTCAAGCATCATGATCGCTATCTCTGCTCTCTTTGCAATTTGTATCCACCCTTGCAAATCGATCGCTGACAATTCTCTCTTCGTCTAGATGCGAGCTACCGATGACCGCTTAGAAGAGAAATTCATCATTCCTATTGCACGTGAACTTGCTGCTGGCCTCCGTGCCATTCACAAAGCTGGTATCATCCATCGAGATATCAAAGGTACGGGACTATCTTAAGCAGCGCGTTCACTAATAGCATTATTAACGCTTCTCTTAAGCCGCAAACGTCCTGATCCACGAAGAAGGAAACCTCCAGATCTGTGATTTTGGTGTTGCTGGCGTTCTCAATTCTCAGGTGGACAAACGATCAACCTGGATCGGAACCCCCCATTGGATGCCACCAGAGATGTTTTCGACCCGCGGCGAAGCTCACAAATATGGGAGTGAAGTAGGTGGGATATTTTTGCATGGAAAGATCATCGCTGACTGACTTAGATCGATGTCTGGGCGTACGGATGCACAATCTTCGAAATTGCTACGGGAAGCCCTCCTAACTCGAACCTTCGTGAACGCATGCAGATTGGCAGACAACTAAACCGCAACACCCCCAAGCTGGACAATTCAAAGTACAGTGAGGGCCTCAAGAGTCTCGTATCATATGCCCTGGAATCGAACCCCATCGCTCGACCTGCAATGACAGACATCTTAACTCATTCCTACATCGCCGATACCGAGGAATCTCACCCTACGTCGTCCCTGAGCGAGCTGGTCCGCATGTATTATCAGTGGTCACAGCGTGGTGGACAGCGCATCTCATTGTTTCATCCTGGCGGTGCTGCCGCTGCAGAGATGCCAGATACCGCGCCAAGCGACGAGGACTGGAATTTTAGCACCACGGATGGTTTTGAGCGTCGCTTCTCTGTCATTGACCTCGATCAGTTGGCGGCCTCCATCGCCGAGCTAGAGGCAGAGATCAGCCCTACCACGAAACCACAGTCCATGCAAGACTTCCCTGAAGAACCGATCGATGAGGAGGAGACAGCGGAAGACAAAGCCAATTTCGATGAGCGGGTCCGTCGTGGTGCGGAAGCCATGGAAGGCCTGTTCAACGAGGACAAGCCAAGCTACACCTACGAGACAAAGAACGACTTCGTCCCCATTGAACCTAAACCCCCCGCATCCGACCTTCCTCTGCGCACGGACACCGATCGTTCTTCTGTCACCTCTACCTTCATCGACATCGATATCGGATCGTTTGACTCGTCGCATTATGCAGCAGGAGCGTCATCTGCGCAGCCCTTCCAGCTCGCAGACGCTGACACCATTCGCGCAAATAGATCCAGCGGTCGTCAACAGCGCAATTCCACCGATGGCCGTTCTCGATCTTCGAGCAGCGGCGTTAGCAGCACTCGTGATCCTGATGACGTGCCATTCCAACCATCAACTGGCCCACGACCTCCTACCATGGACTGGAAGTTCCCAGTTTTCATGCAACCTGCGGAAGAAGAGGAGCCCGAGCCTGAGCCCGAGCCCGAGCCTGCGCAACCCCCCAAGTCAGTCGAGCCAGACACTTCTGAGAAGCGCGCCACGATGGAGTGGACCTTCCCTGTCATGACTGCTCCGGCCAACGACGAACCAATGAGCCATGATAGCGATGCCGACGTGAGTCGCAACAACACTCTGAAAGCACCCATCATGAGTCTACAGACTTCGAACACCGTCCGACGCTCAAGCATCGGCGAGCCTGGTGATTCGCGACCGTCCACTTCGCGATCCGGTGATTCTAACGTGTCTGCCATCTCTGAAGCTGACTATGATCCATTCCGATTCGACCGTCCTTCTACCCCTCCAGGTGCTCCAGCCACTGAGACCAAGACCTTTGACGAGTCGGATTTTCCTACAATGTCCTTCGATGAAGACGAGGAGACGAATGTTCTTGATGGGCCTGGGCCAGACGAGGAGGATGAGTCAACTTCTGCCTGGCAGGCTAGTTCTGAATCACACCCACACTCCGAGCCGTTCCCAACCGCCATCCCTATCAAGGAGCTCGAAATGGCACCCTTCCCCCCTAGCACAGACTCCCCAACCACTGAGCCTCTGCCCACCGCCAGACGCACCCTTCCTATTCTGTCTACCGAGGACACTGAGCCTGTTCGGTTCCCCGACGTTCCGCTTCCCAGACTCGACGCTTTGACTGAGGGTGCCGGTGATAACGCCATCAAAGTGGAATTGGACAGAATGTTGGATGGTTTCCTGCATGCTCTCAATGCGACCGGACGTGCGATCTCCCAGACCACGGTCGGTCCTGAGGCTGAACCCAACTCTGACATCGTCTCTACCCCTGAACATTCCGAGTGAGAAAGGATGATGTTGAAAAAGAGCACATCCCTAAACAAAAGCAAAAGCTCAACACAAAAGCAAATTCGAAATAGAGCCTTTCCTTCATTCAATCTTGTATCTTGTTTTCAAAAGGTCCAATAGTGGTGCTTTAAAGATGATCTTGGACAATTTGGAATCCAGTTTGCCGCATGTATTTGACACGACGGAGATGATGAACACATGACTAACGACAATTGATCTTGCATTGCTTGTATTCATAGGGGGATGTCTTCGTGGCTGGCGACTCATTCCTGACGTGGTGTATGCAATCTTCTAACTACTCTGCCGTCAGTTTCCTTGTCCCTGTATCGAGGTTCGAGACTGTCGAAACTTGTCTTTGTGGGAGCTTCAGCTTTGTGAAGATTGCCAAGAGCTCTTCCTGAGAGGTAGACCTATCATGCAGAATAATTAACATATTGCCAAATTGCAGACTTGACTCTGTAGTGCTTACTTTGCGAATGATCAACCGACAAGTCTGAAAGAAGACAATTCTAATCGTTTCTGCACCGTAGTGACAGAGATCACATGCGTGGCGAATTGACGACTGTGTTTTAGTGTTTTAGGTAGCCTACAGATCGACATTCCTGGAGCCCTGAGAAGAGTACTCATTTCCCATTCAGGGAGGTACGGCATGCCGGGCATATGAGCAGTCATCCATTCCCATGCAGCGGGAAAGCTCTACCAGTCACACGGATGATCTCACCGATAGAAAAAAGTATTAACAAAGTTATTCTTATATCTGCGAACTCCTTACACGGCATGGCACCCAATTGACACGAAGGGGCCCCGCTTGGACGTGTCAGAGACGTGACTGTGGAGACGGTCCCATGTATATTCAGTTTACCTGAATACCTTCGCAACTGTTTATCTCTCTCGATTAACCAACCGACCCTCGTCTCGACTACTCCAGCCAGCTCAGCTGCAAAGCCGTCCATCATGGCTGGGATGCGAATCGAATCCCCTCCTCTCAGCCCGTCCATCTACCCTCAATCGTCCGAAGAATGGCATACTGCTCTCGAAGCCATCAAGCTCCTCTATCACCAGCGGCAATACAAACAGTGCGCTGCACGCGTCACAGAGCTTCTCACGACCGCGCCAGAGCCAGTAAGTATCCAGCTCTTGGGAGGCGAGTCGACCGTATCCGGCATATCATGACCCCAATTGAGCCACAGTGGCGCGTGGTGCGTGAGAAGGGTACTTACAACCAACCATCCAGATCAACGCCGTCCACAAGACGTTCCTTTACTTCTACAGCGCCATCTCCTACGAGGCCATGGGGCTTTCGGCACACAGTCACTCTCGCAACAAGCTTCAACTGCTGCACTTTGCTCTAGACTCTTTTGTGACCTGCAGCACTGCCCTGCCGAGCCCCATCCCCTCTACTGAGCGCTACTCTAACATCTCCGAGGCTCTGTTTACGACCGTCCCCTCGGAGTCATCGTTCTCGTCTTCTGACTACTCTCCGGGGTCGAGGACGAGGCCCTCGAGCCTGGCCAGCAGCCTCGCCGATATGATTGAACGGTCTCTCGCCTGTGGCAGTGCGGATGAGGACTCTTTTGTGTCGCACGATAGTGATGGTGACATCGGGGTGACTTATGGAGAGCCTTGTGCGGGAATTCTGGCCGCAAGTGCAAGCCATAGCCACCTGATCCCTTCCCCTCTGAAGGTGAGGAAACCTTCGGGGGCCTCCACTTCCAGCTTTGCAGGTGCAAGCTGTGACGACGCCTCGACGAGAATTCATCCATTCAACTTCAATGCCATCATTGATCGGCCAGTAGCCAGCAATACCGGCACAGACAATACTCCTCTTCCTCGCCCACCTCCCCCTCTTCCTCTCAGAGTTGTTCCGCGGGATATTCGGCCCTCTTCTCCAGGTCTCCACCGTGAAATACCCTTCGCAGATGCTCTTTCTACCTTGGATGAAGACCGGAGCATGACTCCATTTCGCAGCGTACCCACAAATCACATATCGAATTACAATAGCAGCATCCGCTCCCTTCAAAGTCAGATCATCTCTAGTATTGCCAGCATCCAGGCCGTGATCGACGAGGTGACCGAGATGCAGCACACTCGCCGTGTCTCGAAAAGTATCCGCCGTTCGGCCTCCTTCTGGAGTTTCAGCCCCGTGAAGGATAAAGATCGCGATTCCTCATCCTCTGGTTCTTCATGCCTCAAGTTCACCGAAAACAGCTCCGGACGAACAACCGTTACGGAGAGCATGGAGCAGAGAATCGAAAGGCTACGCAGCGAAGGGTGGCAGACAGTCGGACTCCGGTCTCGCCGCCGAGGGTGGAAGGGGGAGGAGTACTACCGGGCATATTGTGGAAGGGTTCTGGATGAGCTTTACTGGAGGGATGTGAACTGACTGATTCGTGGTTTGGCTGGGTTAGAATCGAGTTATTGGCGTTAGGATGCATTTTTTTTGTTTTGCCTCTGGGGTATCGGATTAGCGATCTTTGAGAGCTCCTGTTTGGCGTTTGGGAAGGATTGCATTTGCATGGCATGGTTTTTAGAAGGGTCTTAATAGGGGGGCAAGATTGCAGTGAATTATTGATTGTGATGGTCCTTAAGGCGCCGGTCGGGCTATATTACAAGGAGAAGCACAAAGGTTCTTCCCGTTGAGATCACATCGAGGAAGCACTGGGGCACATCTCCCAGCACAGCGACCGTCAAGATGAAAAAAGCAGATAGATCATTTATTAGGGCAGGCTCAGCTCCGCCCCGCGAGCTACTATAGTACCGCAGCTACCAGCCCGCCAGCAGCCTTAGTCCATTCCATCACACTCACGAATTGACCGCCGCGCTGCATGTTTCCAAAACCTGCATGCATTTTTTTATTCAGAAAAGGGATGAATCTACGAACATGTTTCCAGACCTTCCATGCATAAAGGCAAGACCCGATATTACGGAGACAGTGATAGGGCCACAAAGTTACAGAAAATAGTGAGTGTGTCAAGGCTGTTTCACAGGGCTCTCCGGAAAAGCCCAAGATGACAGATGGCTCCAAGCCCAAGCCCAAGCCCTTTGCAGGACCCAATTAGTACCCAGTTAAATGGAGTTGACCTTGTGGCTAGTGTGATAACTGCTAGATAGTTATTCGTAGACTAGTTTCCAGCTAGACGCAAGAACAGATCCGTTTTAGGGGGCCGGAAGTAGCCCGTTCTCTACGAGTACGAATCGCTAAATTTAGGCTATCGGTAAATCACGGACATGTTGAACAGATTGGAGTCGACAAATTGGATCCAGTCTTCAGCACAGTCACGGTGGATGCGGCTGTCGTGGATGTCTTACTATTTACTATTTGACCCTTTTTTGATATTGAGGGAGGGGCGACTTGAGAACCGCGTGCGAGACAATCGATATTGGAGAGAGGATCGGAGAGATTACAGGGCTGAGTTAGCGTCAGGGACTGGCGGTTTCAGATTGGGGGTGGGAGGTGGCTGCCTGATTGGTAAGGCTGGCAACTGTTCAGGTTCAGGAGTTTTGTATTGGACAGATATATTTGGACTGGGAATTGTGTTTCGTCGAGACTCTGAGTCGACAACGAGGGAAGATGAATCATGGGGAGAGAACAAACAGGGGAAGTTTGGGAGATTGAAGTTTACGTTGGTCCACGCGTTAGTGGTGGGGAGGAGAGACTTATGTGGCAGCCTTGTAGACTGCAAGTCGGTTGAGTGGCTGTGCTCGAAACATTCCCACGGGCTAAACTCTAACTATCACCTGGTCCAGAACAACTAATCTACTTTCTGCCTGTCGGTTTCTCTCTCCCTGCTGTCTCTTTTTCTGTTTTAATCCTCGCTATCTCTTCTTTTTCATTCAATTCTTAACAACATTTTATATCCCGGATTCCTTCCTTGACTGTTTCTCTGCATTGCATTGCCTTGCCTTGCACGTGCATCCGCGACCAACAGGTTACTGTACTGTACACCACCTTCCCGCTGCCTCATGTTTACACCTCTTTTTTACACTTTTCCCCCTCCTCCATCTCTCCTCCATCTCTCCTCCTCCACTCCCCCTTATCGCTCACCCGCAATCTAGCGTCTCTCCTTCCCAAACTCTCCTACCTCACATACATAATTATAGCCATCGTATCACTTACTTACAAAGTCGTCTTCTTGCTCATTTAGCCCAATCTCTTTCCCACGATCTCCCAACGTGGTCGTCCGCCGACCTCGTTTGAACCGCCCCGCTACTTCTCTCACGTGCGGGGTTTCCTATCAGCTCTTCGCGCTCGCTGGCCAGAGCCCACCGCACACTACTTTTTAGATCCCTAGGCTTGGACGACAGCCTGATTCTCAGTCAAGATGAGTTGTACGTCCTCCGTTTTCTTCTAGTTTGCTTTCTAGTCCTTAATACTCCTTCAATACCCGCATGGTCTGCGCCTCGCCGTAGCTTCACTTGCCCTCGGAAGCGCTATCGCGCCTTTGTTCTGTCTCGCTCGTGTCCTGGGCCGGTCAAGCCTCAGCAGAGATGACAACCTCATTCCCCATCACCGTCATCTGTGACCCTAGTGTTCGGCTCTGGGGCGGATTCCTTCTGCTGATCTGTTTTCTTGGTCCGCCAATCTCGTGAGACGGCTTGGTCGTCTCCATTTTCTCTTCCCTTTCCATCCTTCTTGCCTCGAGGGCGGTTGACAGCCTGCCTTTGACTTGCCGGCATAGCAAAGTCTTCGGCAACTATGTGCTAATTCAATGCTTTCCGAATCTAGTCTCTAATATGCTCAACAAGCTGTCTGGACAGCCAGAGAGTTACGAGAAGAAGTACGGGCCCCGCACTCTCCCTCCCAGGATTACTCTATCATGTGGCAGTCATAATAACGTATCCTTTCTCTTTTGTATAGATCCCACTACAAATTCGGAAGAACGCTCGGTGCTGGCACATATGGTATCGTCCGGGAGGCAGATAGCAGCAAAGGCAAGGTCGCGATCAAGATCATTCTGAAGAAGAACGTCCGGGGCAATGAACGCATGGTCTATGATGAGCTGGAGATGCTGCAAGCATTAAACCACCCCAACATCGTCCACTTCGTCGATTGGTTTGAATCGAAAGTCGGTCTCACCCAGAATTGCGCGCGTGTATTCCTGTAAGCCTAACGGTTCGACAGGACAAGTTCTACATCGTCACACAACTGGCCACTGGTGGGGAGTTGTTCGATCGCATTTGCGAGTACGGAAAGTTCACAGAAAAGGATGCCTCTCGAGTCATCCGGCAGGTGCTCGGCGCAGTGCATTACCTGCACGAGCGGAACATTGTCCACAGAGGTTGGTTATTTTCGGTCCTCCCACGTGTCGTCGCGCGGAGAAGCTGACTTCAGCTTGCGATAGATCTGAAACCTGAGAACCTCCTGTACCTCACCCCTGCCCCCGATTCTCCGTTGGTATTGGCCGATTTCGGTATCGCGAAGATGTTGGACAGCCCCAGCGAAGTCCTGACCAGCATGGCGGGATCCTTTGGTTACGCGGCGCCCGAAGTGATGCTGAAGAAGGGCCACGGCAAGGCCGTCGACATGTGGTCCCTCGGAGTTATCACCTACACCCTGCTTTGCGGTTACTCACCGTTCCGGTCCGAGAACCTGTCCGACCTGATCGAGGAGTGCCGCACGGGCCGCATCATCTTCCACGAGCGCTACTGGCGCGATGTCTCCCAGGACGCCAAGGACTTCATCCTCACGATGCTGCAGCCGGACCCCGCCAAGCGTGTCACCTCCGAGGACGCCCTGAAGCACCCCTGGCTGACCGGCGAGACCGCCAGCGACCGCGACCTGCTGCCCGAGATCCGCGCCTACATCGCACGCTCGCGCCTCCGCCGCGGCATCGAGATCATCAAGCTGGCCAACCGCATCGAGTCGCTCAAGATGCAGGAGGAGGACGACGACGACATCCCCAGCGCCGTCGAGATGGCCTCGGGCGACGACGCCGCCTCCACCAACTCCACCGACCCCGCCTCTCCCAACGGCAAATCCGCCCCGTCGTCCCCCGAGAGCGACGCCGCCAGTCGCAAGAAGCGCAGCCTCAGCAAGGTCGCCCGCGGCGCCATCTTCCGCGAAGTCGTGCTGGCCAAGGTGCGCGAGCAGAAGGAAACCGAGGAGCGGGAGCGGATCGAGCGCGAAGCGCGCGAGAAGACCCCCCATGCCTGAATGGTTTCGACTCTTCCCTGCCTGTTCTTCCTCCTCTGGCAAAGTCCACTTACAGAAGTCTTTGTTCCAAAAAGAGGGCAAGAGAGGGTGTGTGTATCTGTGTGCCATATCTCCAACTCTACCTAACCATCTCTGCGTCATTTATGCTTGTCTTCTTGGAGCCCTTGATTTTTGGACACCATTGAAAATGCCCGCCCTCTTCTTCCCCGCTGTGAATTTCCTTTTTATCTCCAATGATTCCCCGTCCATAGTTCTGGTCTTCTAGTGATGATGTGTCCCTTTCGGTGAACGAGAATCTTAATATTGTTCCGTGCATGGCGGTCTTCCATTCTTGGGTTTAAATGTTTAGGGACTTGTGTACAAGGAGCGTACGATTTAACCGATCTACTCACGGATTCGCAGAGTGAAGTTCATATCTAGGTATTTTTGGGGGAGTAGGGAAAGTACGAAGTATATTTTTGAGGACTCATCGCGAGGATTGAGGAGAATACAGGAACTTTGACAGTGGAGATGTGGAAGAATTCGGGGATGAGAGGGGAAATTCGAAGATGTCGACTCCGTCAACGAGAGCCGCAGGGGGTGGGGAGGTCCACGGTACCACGAGCAAGTCATCTTGGTGGAACACCGAGAGTCCGGGAGGAACGATATAAGACTGAATGTTGGGCTCCAGGCACAAGAGAACAAGAGAAGACTTCAGCACTCCCGCAGGAAAAGTGATGAGAATTCACTCCCCTCACCCCTCTCTGTTATGATTCCTTTCAAGTAGATCAAGATAATAAAAGAAAAGTAATCCGCGCCAATGCCCCCATGCAGCTAGACACCGAACAATAGATAGGTAAAGTTGCCAAACAAGACCCCGAGTGGGGTTCCAATTAAATATTTCGACATAATGTCAAAGATTCCATCCATCCGATCCCATCGATCTTCCCTTTCCCGTTCGAGAGGTATCATCATTGTTTTCTTCAATTGCTCCGAGCACGGCTTACCCGAGCACAGCCCGCTATACATTATCATCATCGTACATGAAATTGATATCTCTGGGCCGCCGCCGGTTGTACGAAACGAAGTCCTGGTCGCCCGGTGGTCGTTCGTTGCGGCTGTTCGCCGTGAGCATGCTTTGGATACTCATGCAGACGCTCTCGACCGTCTGCACGGGCGACCAGCCGGCCGAGCTGAGGAGATCGAGGCAGATGATTCCGTTGCTGTAGATGTGCGGGTGAATGGGGATCGGGCGCGGGGTATCGGATGTGGTGGGTAATTCGATAAATTGAACTTCTGGGGGTTCTTTTGTTTATGAATGAGAAAGAAAACGTTAATAAAAGGGGATCCTCGAAGGAAGGGGGAGAAGGGAGTGAGCGGTGGCGGGGTTATTCGGAGACGCGGGGTTGGCGCATCGGAGTGGATGCGGGGTGTGACATCCACAGGGGAGGGGGGGGGGGGGGGGGAGAAAAACCCAACTCACCAATTGGGTATTTGTTGTTGAAGGTAAATTTGAGACGGTAGGTTTGGTTGAGATAGAGCGGGTTCTCGTCGAGAACTTTGATGTCCATAAGCCATTCTTCGAGGGTGTCGGATTTGACAATGGAGATTCCAGGTGGTAGGTGTTCTTTAATCTATCAAGGCGCAGGGTTTGCGATGTTAGCTTCGGTGTTGCACTCCTTATGCCGCGAACTTCTTGCAAAGGAAAAGAAGAGGGCAATGAGGTTGTTGTTTGCTGCATGTGTCGGCGAACAATTTTGAAGGTTTCGGAGAAATTATTACCTTGATAAGCTCCTGCGACGGTGTAACGTTAGCGGAGAAAAGTGGTTGTCGCAAAGACACGGGGGAACATACCTTGCTCAGGCGCTTTGTAGCGAACATCTTGGACAGGAAGCCTTGGACAAGGCGGGCTCAGAAGCCCAAGACACCAAACCCGATTTAAAGGACAAGAAACTGGCCGTTGAGGCTCTGCGAAGTTGAGTCGTACGGTCTGATTGAGGCAACGCACAGATGTATGACGTCTGGTATGGGTGGGGAGATGCGAGATAGAAAAACGGTGTCTTGAAAATGCACTTGAAAAGAGAAAGGCAAGCAGAAAAAGACGGTTTCTGTGTTTCTGGGCGGGTGTTTAGCGGGTGTTTAAAAGGAGAAGGGAACACAGAACAAGCGAAAGTCCAGGCAGGATATTGTATGAAACAGAGAAGAAAAGAGAGTCTCCAAAAAGAAGTAGGTATGGAAAGAGTAGCTCCGGCCGTCGATCAGCTGCCGGGGCTGGGGAAGCCGCCCGAGAGGCCATCACCTGACTCCGAGCCACACGTGACATATAAGATGATCAGGTCAGGTCACGCCCAACTCCTCCCAGTCCTCCCTCTTAACCCGCAATGATCGGCTGAATATATAGCGTCGTCTCATATCTCCATCCTCTCACCTGCTACCATCGTTTCCCAGTGTCACGAGTAATCAAAAAAGAATAATTTTGAGTGTCACTATACACAGGGTTATGGTAAAAGAGATAAACGAGAACTTGGGACATGGGTCACGGTGGGGGACGACGAGACGAGAAACAGACAACATAGGAAATCAGACAGAACAAGCATTCAACGCCATGAAAACCAACTGAGTACAACTGATATATCATCCCAGCTCCTGGTCCCACACACATCCTTCACACATAATTGATATAGACGATTGTTCTTTTTTTCTCTTTGTCATTTGTATTCGCTTCTAAATTGAGAAGAAATTGATGATGAGCCACATATCAGAATCACGTGTCTTGGAGCTGTTTTACAGGTCTTGAAGATATTCAGAGACGCTTCATTCCACTTCTACCGATCGACTTCACCGAACACAAGATCCATGGTACCTAAAGGATAATTAGCGGGGTCGCTCTTTCTGGGACGAAGTTTCCACAACTTACCAATAATGGCGACGGCATCGGCCAACAAGTGGCCACGAGACACTTGGTCGAAACCACCCAAGTGGGCAAATCCAGGGGCACGGATCTTGCAGCGGTAGGGTCTCTCGCTACCGTCACTGACCAGGAACACACCCATCTCACCCTTAGGGGCCTCAATGGCGGAGTAGGTCTCACCAGGAGGCACAGAGTAACCCTTGGTGAAGAGCAGGAAGTGGTGGATCAGAGCCTCCATGTTCTCCTTCATGGCGGCGCGAGGAGGAGGGGAGATCTTGTAGTCCTCAACACGGACAGGGCCAGCGGGCATCTTGTTCAAGCACTGGTGAATGATACGGAGGGACTGTCGGAATTCCTCCATACGGCAAAGGTAACGGTCATAGCAGTCACCGTTCACACCAACGGGCACGTCGAACTCAACCTGGTCATAGGCATCATAGGGCTGGGACTTGCGGATATCCCAGGGAACACCGGAGCCACGCAGCATGACACCGGTGAAACTCATGTTCAAGGCCTCGGCGGCGCTAACGACACCAACACCCTGGGTTCTGGCCTTCCAAATGCGGTTGTCCGTGAGCAGCTCCTCGGTCTCGTCGATACGGTCACCGAACTGGGTAGCCCACTGGTAGATATCGTCGAGGAGACCGATAGGAATGTCCTGGGACACACCACCGGGGCGGACATAGGCAGCGTGGAGACGGGCACCAGAAACTCGCTCGTAGAATTCCTAAGACAGACAAACATATATTAGCTCAATAGAGCTCAATTGGTCCCGAGAGGAGCTGCATACCATGAGCTTCTCACGTTCTTCGAAACCCCACAAGAAAGGCGTCAAAGCACCAACATCCATGGCGTGTGAAAGGACGGACATGAGGTGGTTCAGGATACGGGTGATCTCGCCAAACAGGGTACGGATCCACTTGGCTCTTTCGGGGATTTCAACGTTCAAGAGCTTCTCAACAGCCAGGGAGAAGCACTGTTCGTTGGTCATCATGGAAACGTAATCCAATCGGTCAAAGTACGGCAGCGCCTGCATGTAAGTCTTGTACTCTATCAACTTCTCGGTACCGCGGTGGAGCAAGCCAACGTGGGGATCTGCGCGGACGATCTCTTCACCATTGAGTTCCAGAATCAGGCGAAGCACACCGTGAGCAGCCGGGTGCTGAGGACCGAAGTTGACAGTGTAATGGCGAATCTTGCGATTAGCCCCTGTGTCCGTGGACTCCATGTCGGCGGCGAACTCGTCTTCGGAATGGCCTTCCTTGTTGGCAAAAGATGTGAAGGTCGGGTCAGTCGGAATGAGGCGGGTCGCCTGGTAGCTGGTAGGCTCGGCCTGCCGGCGAGGAAGAGTCGTCGAGATCGAACGGCATCTGGAGATAGTGTTTCTGGAGAAGGTAGAGGGGCGAAGGCAAAGCCTTTTGGGCGCATTGCCCGCCAGGCGAGCGAAGGGAGCAGCCATTCGGAAGAGCGGGGAGAAGGACGAGGACGAGAAGAGGCGAGCGGCCCTCAGCCCAGACACAATGGGGTGTTGGAAGGAGGGGGGAGTTGCGGGAATTGGGGTGGGATTGAGGCGGACTCAGTGACGCCTTCTTGGAGGTTGCGCTTTCCAATCGAGATACATTTTGGGTAGTCACGTGAGAGGAGCTCTCTGGTCATCAGCCCGTCTCTGGTTGGTCTCCCGCTCGCCCTCTATAGCGCGGCTCCCTAGTGCCATCGACACCCACTGTCTCTGGGTGCAGAATAAACGGTGGGAGCCCCCTCCCGCTCCTTTCCGCCTTTTGGCAGAAGAAAATACTGCCGCTGCGGTCAAAGAACTTTTCTGAGGTTCCCTTCAAATTATTGTCCCTCCGTCACCACCTTCAATCCCTCACCTTTCTCGCCCATCATGGCACCCCTCATCGCTTCGCAGGAGGAACTCCAACGTAGACGGGTATGATCTAGACTCTTTTATCTGTTCTCAGCGGCTATCCCGATCACCCATGCTAATTGCGATCCTAGATCGTCGATATCAATCCCGAGACCGTCTCCAACTTCGCTTCGACAGATTTCCCCGGTCACTGGCCTGGCGAGTCTCACGAATGGAACCTGGAGAAGTTCCGTGATGTATGTCAGCTAATTTCAGCTCAGATCCTCAAGTGCAATTATCTTTTGCGCGCGTGCGCTAACATCCTACTCGCGAATAGAACTTCCAAGTCGAATTCCACCGGAACGACCAATTCGAAGCTTCGTTCTCGCTGATCGGCCTCGATGCATCCATCGCCAATGCATTCCGTCGCATTCTCATGGCCGAGGTCCCCAGCATTGCCATCGAATTCGTCTTCGTCCACAACAACACCTCCGTCATCCAGGATGAGGTGCTCGCTCAACGTCTGGGTCTGATTCCTCTCAAGGGCTCCGTCGAGGGTATCAATTGGATGCGCTGGTTCAAGAAGCCCACCGATGACGACCCGGAGGGCGGCAGCACCCCCAGCGACTACAACACGATTGTTCTGCGCCTGGACGTCACGTGTGAAAAGAACCCCAATGCGGATCCCAAGGAAGACGACCCCCGCAAGCTCTACAAGAACGCCCACATCTACGCCAAGGACATCACTTTCCACCCCGTCGGTCGTCAGGAGCAGTTCTTCGTGGGCGACGACGCCATTCAGCCCGTGAACCCTGACATCCTGGTCGCCAAGCTCCGCCCCGGTCAGAAGATTGATATGGAACTTCACGTCATCAAGGGCATTGGGGCGGATCATGCCAAGTTCTCGCCGGTCGCGACCGCCACGTACCGTCTCCTCCCCCATATCAACATCCAGCGTCCCATCATCGGCGAGGATGCTAGGAAGTTCGTCAAGTGCTTCCCCGCCGGTGTCATTGGTCTTGAGCAGGTTACCCGTGAGGAGGCTTCGCAGAAGGGAAGCGGATACGAAGGTCACGAGGGCGAGATGAAGGCGGTCGTGCGTGATGCCTTCAAGGATACCGTCAGCAGAGAGTGTCTGAGACACGAAGAGTTCCAGGGCAAGGTGAAGCTCGGTCGCGTTCGTGATCACTTCATCTTCAACGTGGAAAGTGTCGGCCAGTTCGACAGCGACGTTCTGTTCTTGGAGAGCGTGAAGGTCCTGAAGCTGAAATGCGCGAGATGGAAGCGGGGCCTTGTTGACCTTGCGCGCTGATTCGGTCTTCCTCGTTCACCCCTCGTCGTAAAATGATTTGAAGCTATATAATGCATTGGCCAGGCGTTGGATTTTTTTGTTGTGCTCGTGCTTTGTTCTCTGCGTTTGTACATTTACGAAAAGTTGGTCACTCAACCTTCTTTACACTTGTCGGGAGTCTGGACAGGGAAACTACTTCGAGATAGAAAAAGCAGATTTGATTTCCTACTTCTTGACATGGGTCATCATCGGAGAATTGTGTACTCCTCGTAAAGGCATGACAGTTATATCATTATGAATCTCGGATCAAGCCGGTTACTGTACGCCCTCCTAGCTGAAGTCTAGCCTGTACCGGAAATCGATGGTATAGGCAGGGTCACTGACTGCAATTTCCTGGCCGTCTGCAATCAGATCACCGAGTTTGAGCTTTAAATTGGGTCGGGTCTGCTCCTCCAGCTGCGGAGGGAACCGCTGGTAGAGGGTCTTCTCCTCGGTCCGCATGCTGGGCTTCTTCAGCTGCGCTTCGGGTCGCTCTCCCAGCGTCTCAATGAAGGCCTCCAGTGTCATGTTGGGATCCACGGTCATCCTCCGAGCAAGGTTGCCACAGACTGGGCAATCAGGTTTCTTCTCCGCCTCGAATGTGTACGTGTAGACGCCCTCCTCCCCAGCGTACATCATGTAGTTCTCCAAGTAAGGGTTGCACGAGGTGGCGATCTTCAGCGCTTCGGATGTGGTTGCGGCAGCGATGACGGCATTGGTCGAAGCAATGGCCGGGATGATATTCTTCACCACGCCTTGGGTCATCTGAAAGGTGACTCCCGAGATATGGAACTGCTTACCCCGTTCGAGCGCCGCGTTGTAGATCCAGCCGATATGTTCCAGGTCGTCGCTGTCGAATGCGTCATCTTTACGCTGTTCCTGCCAGGCAATCTGGTGGGCCCATTCGATGCAGTGCTGGGGCTGGCGAGGAATGGTCGCAATGGTGCAAAGCGGCACCGCAGGTCGTGGCGCATGCATGTCCAGCTGGCACTCGATGCAGGAGGAGAGCGTCGGCAAGATCACACGAGCCTGGCCCTTGAATCCTGTTCATCGATGAGCCTCAGCTGGGTGTACAGACGGAAAGATACCAACCTTCGGTTCCGCCATCAATGAGCGGCTTCAGACTCTCCGGGTTCTCGAAATCGGCCATGCCAACCAATGTAGAGTTGATCCATCGTCGGGCTTCGATGCTGTCGAGGCCACAGACGATGATCTTGAACTGCATGTAGTAATCTTCATCTTTGTCTTGGATCTTGCCAACATAAGGCGTGATCTTCACTCCTTTGACCCGTCTTTCCACAAAGGCGGCAGCAACCTCGGCTTTAGGCTTGCCGATATCAACTTGACGGAACAGGAACTGTCGGTTCAAGTTGGAGATATCAATAGTGTCTGTACTTGTAGATTAGCTGGTGTTCATGTCGAGATTTTCTGAAGGGTGGCTCGCCCATGTCAATGACGTGAATGTCTTTGAAACCTGATAAAGCCAGGTTTTTCAAGATCTCACATCCCAGTCCTCCAGCGCCTCTTATGACGGCCTAGTTAGCTCTAAGTGAACTGATGGCCATCGATCCTGAACTTACATGACTCTGTTACATGTTAGTGAAGTCAACGATCAATGCAGACACCTTTACTTACAGAATTTTAGACGACTCTAAAGTGCTTATTGTCTCTGGTCCGGGAACCCAGTCTTCGTCGCTGAACGGGCCCGATCTTGTTAAGACATTATATAAGTGCTTCCTGGCCAGATTTAGCACCGATGAACATGATCAAACGGTCTGGAAAACCTCACCATCGAAGCGTCTGGTCTATAGCAACCATTTTGCTATGGCGAGTCTCTAAAGAGCCAAAGAATGTACACCGGGGCTGTTGATACTCCAGGTTTATGGAGCGCGTGTATCTCACTTGTACCGCCGGGATACGACCAATAATCCGTTGCAATCTAGATCCTGCGCTAGTAACCAGCTGAAGGATATGATCTCGTCGTGTTTCAGGATTTCAACCTCTTGTATCTGAGTCTTGGAAATTTGCGGACGAGGATCAACACAAGAAGTCGAGGTTGACGAGGGGTAGCAAGTTGGAGTTGAATCATCGATCGTGGAGGGATCCCAAATACAACGCCGCCGCCTCACGTGATCCGGCAATCCATACAAACTCCTTCCACCTGGAGTAAACTCGCTCTTTTACACCACAATCCAAATCTGGCCATTTGCCCACTCGTGAAATGGACAGTCTTCTTACAGTCGTGAAGACGGTCACACCTGATCGAGAAACTCTTATCTCGGCTGCTGCCGAGCCGTCACAATCTGACATCACCTCCGACAAGCGGGCTACATCCGAACTCGATCGGGATGCCTCGTCACCTGAGAGTATACTAGCGCTTCTCAAGTCTAAGCCTGACCAGGATCAGCTCACTCAAACTCTCGCAATAATTGACCCTTCGAATAAGAAAGCTAAAATAGAAGGTTTCGACATACGTGTTCCAGGTCCCAAAACAGCGCAGATCCTCAATGTCCTGGTCACCGTCACAATTCCCAATCACTGGGATGCCCTTCATGCGGAGTCCAGAAGATCCAAGTCGAGTTCGAAGCTGCGCGCTGCCTTGCTGAGGTGTCTCAGTAGCGTCGCAGGTATCAGTTGCCTGTTGACCCAGCTTCGCTCTCTCATCACCGCCTGTCGGTCATCTGCCCAAGAGGCGAATGCATCTGGCCATCAGCTTCAGACTAGAGGCATACTGTCAGTGATATGTGCTTTATTAGAGCCGCATGATCTAATGTATCGACTATATGTTGATATTGAAGCTCTTTACCGCAACTCAGTCCAGAAGCAAGTGGCATGGAGGGAGTTGCTGTCTCACGTTGCCGCTAGTAGGATTCTATCGACTGCTGCGGAAGCGATATCACTGATCAAAGACCTTGATGGAGTTGACTCTTTATCTTGGGTGGGAGAGGGGCCCAAGTACGCATCCTGGATTGGCGCAAATATATGCCATATGGCCTCGAATATAGCTCTCGATAAGGAAGATGCCTGGAAATCTGTGGCTACGTTGACCGGACGATCGTTGAGTCTTGGGTACACTGGTGAGATGCTTTGTCCTGTCAATGTGTTTTCAGTAACTAACTTGCTTTTTAGACCAGCTGGTACGAGAGATCTATTTGGGACTACTTGTTCAGGAGACAAATTTCCAACAGTATGGCCTCCTATTCAATCATCTCCGGTTGAATGAGCAGATCGCACTTGCAGAAGCCATTTTCAGGGATATTGAAAAGAAGCATTTCTCATCGATCATTCCTGGTGAGACAGAGGGTGTATCTCAAGAAGTGCTTGGTTCTGTGGCAGCCTTGTGCGCACTGGTCATAAAGGACCGACCGCATATACAGGCACAGATTATTGAATGGCTTTCAAAGGGGCAGGGTGGCTCCATACACTCTGCCGAGCTACGGCGCGCTCTAATAGCAGGCTTTGCTCATACGACAGGTGAGAGTCGCTGGACCATCGTACTAGCTACTATACTGACATAAATCCTCGAGATCTGATGGTCTCTCTGGTCACGAAGAGTCTCGGACAGTCCGGCGACAAGTTTTACATCCAGCATACGCCAATCAGATGTCAAGAGGGTACTGTGTTCCTACGCCGCCTATCTGATGCCTTCTGACGTATATTAGCAAACACTCAGGTCATCCTATTGGCTTGCGGGTATCTCCAGCAAAGCGATCCGCTCGAGGTGATGCGTGTGGGACGGTCCGGGATATTTTTGAGCACTGTATCGAATCGTCTGGCAGCTTCGTCTGGGCGAGCTCGCTTTCTCGGGATGCTCATTGGTACCGCTATCTCGCAATTGATAGAACCAGCAGGCAAAGGTATGAAGTTTGACCTTGAAGAGATGGAAAGTAGCGAAGCAATGTGGTATTTGAGCCTGCTCAATACACAGGACAATGTTGGGACACTTGAGTCAATCAAGCTCCTTCAAAGAAGCACACCACCAACGCATCAAACACACGCACATAAGGTCTCTTCCGCAAGGGGAGCAGGCTCCTCGAAGAAAGTCAACACAAGAACAGCCAAGATCCTTGCGATTGAAGAAATCGAGGACTCCGAGGAAGAATCTGAAGATGAGGATCTCGTCCCTTACGAAAAGCCCGACGAAGACTTTTCGGACGACGACGACGATCCGACAGTGGTTCAAAGGAACAAACCAACAGCACCAGTGTAAGCTCATGCCAGGAACTCTTGTCACAGTGTAGCTCACTTATCTCTTCAGGTATATTCGCGATCTCATTACGTATCTACGAGATACGGAGAATATCGAACGCTTCGAGCTAGCCGTCTCTACTGCTCCTTTCCTGATACGACGCAAGACAGGGTTTGGTACTGAGCTCGCTGAGAACATAGAAGAATTAGCTCTCGTGGTGGTGGGCATGCAGGAGCAAGGAAAACTTCCTAAATTCCATGAATACCAGCTTCAAAGCATGATCGCGTTGATAGTCTCGCAGCCGCTGAAAATGGGCCACTGGTTTTCGGCGCTATTCTTCGACGGAGACCTCTCTCAACCTCAGCGTTCTGCTGTCCTGACCGCACTAGGCTTGAGCGCTCGCGAGCTAGCTGGCAACGGCGAAGCAGATGCCAAAGTCCTCGGCCTTCCGACCTTACCAGATGCCTCATTTCCGTCAAGGAAGTTGCCAAGCAGCCTAGAAGCCATTTACTTAACAGAGTCGCCTATCGCAAGCCTCACTAAATCCCTGTCGCAGGCTTCCCTCGAGCCCCTCGCAGCTAGTGCCGAAGAGTCATTATCTGGTCCCAGCGCGCTGAAGGTGCGCACATTTTCCACCCGAATGGAGGTGGAAAAGAGACGCCAGCAGCGCGAAGCCCAGCGGCAGAAGTCGACGGTCAAGGATCTGTACAAAGTGCTGTCGCAGGGATTCTTCTATCCTCTGAAGGGTCGTTTCGAAATGATGATGCTGCAGTTTGGCTCGTAAGCTCTTCATCTCCGGCCCAATCCTTTGACAATCCACTAACCCTTCATGCTTTCTTTTTTGTTAGATCGACTGCTCCCTCCTACAATCCATTCTACGTTCCCCATCTCCTGTGCCTGTTCGTCCAAACGCTCACCCTTGTCGTCTCGACTATGGGCCCTCACACACCGTATCTACCCAACGTCACCGAAGAAACACTGTCGTTCTTACTGTCGCTCCACGGCCGCCCTCTCGCCGAAGACCCAGGTATTCTATCTGCGCTTCTCTCGTTGTTCCTCGCAGTCGTGGATCTGAACGTCGCGTCCGGCACAACCGGCGAGGAGCGGCTGGTCACCGAGTTCGCGACTCAAGTTGTGGAGCTGCGCGACTGGGTGGGGGAGGTCTTCGAGAGGACACCTGCCGTGCAGGATTCGAGCGATCCACGAGAGCATGTGAGGACGTTGGCTGCGGGTGTTATGGTGAAGCTTGGGGAAGTGATGGAGAGATACCAGGGAAGACTGATGGGTGTAAACTCAGGATTTAGATATTAGTTGCGTCGCTGTTCATAGATTAATCGTACTTCGGTCTCTCGCAAGACGCCTACGTTAGAGCATCAACAGACGTGCCCACCTCCAATAAAGATTGTGCTTTACAGACAGAACAGTAGTCATAAGGGTTCATGCTATTATGCCATCATAAACAACAATTAATCCTCCAACCTCGTCCCCCAACCTCACCTATGCAACCTTCGCAAAACTACCCTTCTCAATCGCCGCCTCCATCATGCGATCCCCATTCACAATACCCGTCGTACAGATCACGATCCGCCGACGCGGGGCCTCCTGGGCCGCGATGAACCGCAACGCAGCGATCTCGGTGAAGGTAATGCCGCCCAGGAAGAAGACATACACGGTCTTGACGGCGTGGGCGCCGCTGATAGTCTGCCTGGCGCGCACAGCCTTATCGTCGCCTTTCTGCACGATGCTGAAGGTCGCGCCGCGGGCGCTCTTGACCACATCCTCGAAGCCGAGCCAGCCCGGCGAGGAGGCGCTGGCGGGGCTCGGCGCGACAGTCGCCACGGGCCCGCCCCGCACCAAGGACAGGACGTACGGTTTCTGCAGCACGCACTGCACCAGTCGGATGCTTAGGGGCGCGAAGCCGCTGTACACGTAGGCCACGTCGTTGGGATCCTTTTCGCTGACTTCCTCGACAACGAGGCGCAGGGTTTTGCGGAGGGTGTTGTAGTTGGTGCGGCTGCTTGCGCTCTGCTGGTGGTGGTGGGATCCCGTGGTTGTGGAGGTGGTGGTGGTGGCGGCCGTGGGGAGGAGGAGAGCCGTGGGCGTGGAGGAGGGGCGTGGCTGGAGGAGTTGCATCTTCTCGAGGGCGCAGAAGGTCAGCACGTGCTGGTGGCCGTAGGCTTGGACGATCTGCCGCTTGAGGTTCTCGAGGTCCCGCGGCCGGAGTCCGCCAGACATGCAGGACTCGAGGCATAGGAGGCGCAGGACGGCGGGGAGGGGCACGTCGCGGGCGATGAGCTCCTCCACCGCGTCGTGGTGGTAGGTCGGGTCTGCGCCTGCGGCGTAGTTCTGCTGCACCTCGAGGAGCTTGCGGAAGATGTCGGCGCGCGTGTTGCGCATGATTTCCTCGGCGAGGTTGGTGTGTACGCGGAGGCTCTGGTGCTCGAGTTGGTAGGAGGGGAGTTTGTTGACGAATTCGCGCAGCTCCGTGGTGGTCTTGGCGGAGTGCCGGCTCTCATAGTCGCTCTCAAGGCGCCGCGCGACTTTATTGAGAATGTCGCCAACGATGGCGAAGTTGGCGTCCCGCAGTTGGCTGAAGAGCTGGTCTGAGGAGTCGAGCTGGATTTTGCGCTTTTGATGTTGTTTGGAAGAGGAGGCTGGTTGCGGGCCTTTGGATGACTCCTGCGTTTGGGGCACGGTGGTCGCGCCGCCGACAATGGAGGTGTCGATGTCGGCTTGGTTATTCTTGATGCCGACGGTCTCGTCGATGAGGCCTTCGTAAGTCAATTGGGTTAGAAGAGGGGTGCCGAAGTCGACTTCGCGGTCGATGATTATGAGGCTCTCTGTCGTTGCGCTGGGCAAGAGACCGCGAGCTGACACCCCGGCGAGTCCTGAGCTTTCTTCAGCGTCGAGCTCCTTTCTCATTCGGAGCAGGAGGTCGGCTAGTCGTCGTGCATGGTCACCTTTGCCGATGATGCGAGGGAAGTATCCATGTCTCTGTTGGATGTCCATGAGAGCCTTCGCGGAGTGAAAGATGCATCCTGGATTCTTGTGCTGCGCGAACATTGGTTACTCGGCCTTAGAAAAACGTTGCACCAGGCTTTCTTACCAGGTAAAGATCGCTAAAAGCGTCCTCTAGCTCCAGCGACAATACATCTTGCTCCAAAGGCATGAAATACAGTGGAAATTCGGCAATGTTCACGTCTCCGATGATGCCTGCTTCCTCGAGGATTGTATTGCTTACGAGTGTCCGTCTCGGAACCCAGAAAATGGAGATTTCATGTTCAATGTTGCCGTTTCGCTGAAGGCGCTTGATTTGTTCTAGACAGATGTTAGCTCATACTGATGGCCCTCAAATCAGACATGTAAAGGAGAGAGAAAGCCTATGACTGAGCTGGTATCTTGCAAATGTTTGGTATATGGGAACCTTCGACCGACTACGTAGAGTAGAGGATAATCTGCGTAATCTACAGTCTGTCCCGAGCGAGTCTCCCCAGCGTAGCACAGAAAGAGATATTCTGAGATTTTACGAAAGGGGGCAACGAGGTGGTCATCAGGAAGAAATCGACATACCTGCCACAGCCCGCACCTGAGGAAGCTTCTCGGCATGCGCTAGGAAGACAACATTGCGCTGAGAGGAGTCCACATTGCCATTTTCCAGCAGAAAAACGCGATCTACACCGTACTCCTGGAGCAAAGAGAACTTGACGAACAGCCCGACTGGACCAGCCAGGTCTTGACTGACGATGAGGTTCTTCTTACCGCGTACCTGCGCCAAAGGGTTTCAGCCAGTGCCACGAGGCGACAAGAGGTAGAAGCAAGCCTTACTCACGCCTTCGAGGAGGGTCAAAAGATCCCTACGCGCCTTATCCTTGAAATAGTCTGCATCAGACCCGGGATACGGCGCCATGACTGCCAATGAGCATTCCTGATGTGTAGACCAGGACTCGGGAGTGATGACGGAGATCCGCGCGGACGTTTCCGGCGGCGACGGTTTGGTTTGGCTGGTTTGGCTGGTTTGATTTGATTCAAAGGTTTGGTTTGGCGGAGGTTTGGAAGGGTCCAGCCACTGCACTAGCCATCTTGGGCTTAGTCTCAGCACAGCCTGTCACGGCCCCCTCGTATCAAGGCCGTCATAACAGCCTTTATCCTCGAGTTCACTAGCTAAAGCCTCGGTAATAGAAATACTCTCCGCTTTTCATTGTGTCTCAGGCCTTCCCCTCCAAATCCAATTATAGTGCCTGAGGCGTTACTACTCCCCTGAACGTTGCCTGTCGCTTTTCCATTTCGCTTCGCCCCTCTTACATCTCCTTTTTCTTATTCTCCCAATATCTGTCCTCTTTCTGATAACTGGCGCCCTTTATTTGTTGTCCTTCCTAATTTACAGACATTCTTACTTTAAACTAATCCGTCCACTGCTCTACCGCCATGGGATTGTTCAAAAAGTCCGGGGACGGACCCGACGACGACTCCTCCAACCGCCTGGCACTGTTCGGCTCCCGATCGAAGAGCAAGAGCCCAGCTCCTCCCGCGAACCCTTACGCCAAACCGACTCCCATAGACTCTTATACGAAAGCCAAGATCCAGGCTGGTGTTGCCCCTATCCCAGCCGGACAGGATGCCGCCGCATTCGCCCCTGGCCCCGCCAGCAGCATCCCCGGAGACAACAAGCAAGGATATGCGCCGAACCGATACGGAAACCAGGGTGGCTATGGATCTGATCGCTTTGGTGGAAGCACCAACAATGCTGCGCCGGCCTCCCGCTACGGCCCTGGCGGCTACGGAGGACTGGGCAGCACCGATCCCAACGACCCTGCTGCCGCGGATGCCAACAGAGATGCACTTTTTGGAGGAGCGAAAGAACGAGCACAGCAACAGCCACAGGCGGGTGGCCCCCCACCTCCCTACTCCGAGGGCTCGCCGGCCTACGGAGGCGGCAGCAACGAATATAACACATCTACGTATCAAGAACGGCATCTGACTGCCGAGGAAGAGGAGGAGGAAGAGATCCAGACAATCAAGCAGGACATCCGATTCATTAAGCAAGGTGATGTGGCTTCCACCCGCAATGCCCTCCGCATTGCCGCACAGGCCGAGGAGACGGGTCGGGAGACTTTGGCTCGTTTAGGCGCACAGGGAGAACGCATTCACGATGCGGAGGCCAGCTTGGATGTTGCGACCATTGAGGGACGGATCGCCGAGGAGAAGGCCAAGGAGCTCAAGACCCTGAACAAGAGCATGTTTGCTGTTCACGTGTCCAATCCATTCACCAGTGCTCGGCGGCGGCGCGAGCGCGATGAGCGGATCCTCGACACCCACCGACAGGAGAGAGAGACCCGCGACGGTACACGGAACGAGGCCTTCAAGACCAACCAGCGCATGGAGCGCACATTCCGGGAGATCGATAGGGATGCCAGCAAACAGTCTACTCGTACCCGGACCAACGTCGCCGACCGTGCGAAGTATCAGTTCGAGGCAGATAGCGAAGATGAAGCGATGGAGAACGAGATCGAGCAAAACTTGGACCTGCTTGGCGGTGCTGCAAGCCGTCTGAACGGTCTCGCCAAAGCCACGGGCAAGGAGTTAGACGAGCAGAACCGTCACTTGGAACGTATCACAGGCAAGGTGAGACAGTCTTCTCCGATCTGTTGGAATCGGACTATGCTGACAATTTCTTTAGAGCGATTTCGTCGACGAGCAAATTGCCATGAACCGCGCCAAGCTGGACCGGATTCGTTAGACAATCCCGATATCATACCTTATCCTATGTTGACTGCCTGGTGCTGTCGATATCCAAATGCACATATCCCATTTGCTCGGCGTTTCTGGGTATACTACACTCGTACTTGATAGAATAACTACATTTGCTATTATTATCATAAAACTACAGAACTTTATTTGGTAGAAGGGGTAATGGTCAATAGAAATCGTACTTTTGCCAAGGTCCAGTGCTTGGCGAATTCGAAGTTGTCTGGTGTCTGTCCGACATCAGCAGGGTCTTGGAATCGGATTACAGCAAAAGCATCTTCGACATCTGTAAGCCATGTCAGCCTGACAATCTATTTCCAACGCTGTAAACCATACATACGTACCAGGTCCAAATCGGTGAAACAGAGTAATTCGCAAAACATCGCCCACCGTCTCGAAATAGTACAGGACGCCCGGAGTCGGGCACCGCCGATTCTTGCGGGTTCCTGTCTCCAATCAATAGAATAAATCAATCAATTTTATACGACGCTCGACGCGTCAACCATAACAGTAATGTCAATCTGAAACACCACCACCTGCAAGGATTCCGAATCTCAAAGCTAATAAGCTGCAATCATGACCTTTTGCTTCCATAAATCGAATAAAGTCCCACTTCTTACATGTTTCATCTCCTTCCAGCCCAATCACCGACTCACATCGAAGATCGTTCAAATCCCGCAACGGCTTGGTCTTATAGTGCTCTCCACTTGCATAGCCCGCGATACTGCTAAACCGTTCTTGGTCTTCAATATCTACCTTTCCTTTCGAGAAGATATTATATTATTGATAATGGAGCCAAGAATACGTCAGCTTGAGGATTGCCCCCGGGCCCCTTCGCTTGGGTAAATCCTCCCTCTAGCCACCCTGGTCAGGAGTGTTAGGAGTGTTTTGAGTCCTCATTGTTGCCTATGTGCCGTGTCTCAAATGTCAAAGGTGTCAGTCGATGCTGTTAGACTCGGCGGCCTGGATCTACGTTTCGGATCCTTCAACGGCTTTCTGGACTCTTGTTTCGAAGGTGGGACTTTTCGAAGGAGGCAATATGGTTTCAGGTTGTTCTTGCCCCGATGGACAGATCATTTGATGGATGTATATGAAACTTGTGTTTTGTTTCTCTTTTCTTGTCACTTCAAGGATGGTAGGGACGTTTGTGTATGTACTGCATGCATGTAGTGTGGCAATAGGTTTATGTTTGCATCCAAGGGAGTGTTTTCTCATGGCCATTTAACTACCACCTGGTCAGAGTATAGATATACTTCCAGTGTGTGTTCCCCGATGTTATAAATCTTTGTGTTATGGGATTCATCAGGGCTTGGATGTACTAATGCTATGCATAAGTCTATTGCTGTGCTGAATTTTAGATATGACATTTGATAGATGCATTCAGGTCTTGTTGTCTATCTATCTCACATACAGCTCATTAACATCGTGGAATCAATCTCAGAAATCCCGGAACAAAATACAAATCACGCGCATACATCCTCTTCCTCCGTGAAGCATCCAGGGTAGAACACATTATCATACCAGTAAGGACTACTTCTGTCTAACGCACCACTCATACGCATTTGCATGACCTTACGCCTTTCCGCGTCAGCTCAGCCTATGGCACTCTTCCGACCACGTACCGTCCTACTCTCTAGCTGACGCGAGGCATGGATTCTTACTGTACTTGGAATGTGTTTACTCTGCCAGTTGCAAAGCAGAGCCTACATCGACTAACGGAGACTCTCCGGCCTCACCTCGAGACGCCCACATATGAGTGCATCTGCACAGTATTTCATAAAACTCCCCGTCTCGACTCAGTCTCAACAGACGCTTCCATCCGGAGGGGAGAAATTCATCACCACGAGGCTAACGAAGCCTTCTGCGCAGCCTCCCATCCAGCGTGCCAAACACATCGCACAGCAGACCAGAGGGAAGCTCCTACTTGTCCGCCGAGATATCTCGCCTGTCCACCATGGAACTAGACGACCGACTGTCCTCGTGAGCGAAGCGATGTCCAACAAGACCACGGCGCAAATGACTGATTCAGAAGCCATACCAAACGAAGAACCTGAAGGGGCCAAATGGGCTTCAAGGGGAAGCCTCGCGCCGCAGTCATGGACATGGACGGGCAAAGCACATCGCGCAGGCTCTGGGATTCAGACTCTCTCTTGTGGAATGGTTTCCAACCTAATGAGCGGAGGTATTCAAGTCACCTCGTCGCTTGTTCTTGTGCTCGTGCCATGACTGTGAACAGACTATTCCAAGCCGGAGGCGTGGTTCTCGTTGCGTAGCAAGGTATTTGGAGTCAGCTTTCGCTGAATGCTTGTCTAAATATCATTCAGTGATCCAAAGGAGCTTCACAGCTCTCGTTCAAGGCATACTTTGCAACACGGAGGAGGGCCATTGATATGGTGCTCAGTCAACCAGCTTAGCCAGTCCGGCTATAAGCCGGGATCATGCTCACTCGCTCGGGCTATCGTCCGTCCATGAAAGCGCGGGTATACGTGGCTACACGTTACGACCGCAACACAACGGGCTGGCTTCGTGTAGATTTTATAGCCATGGACGACTTGTGGAGTTATTGGAGCTGTGCGCAGAGCAGTATGGTTTTGGATGAGAATGTGTAATCGGAAATGGACGGTTGCGCAGTATAGCATCTGGCTATCGATTCACGTCAGCGTCGGTATCCGGGGGAGCATGAGGATTCAATTACCTGGGGCTTACTCGCAACCTAGTCTAAAGAGTTTTCGACATCTCCAGGCCGAATAGGTCTCTTCTCGTTGATGATGACCCGTTCCTGGCTATCAGGCATCACCACTGACGGGCGATAAGGTTCCTGCTCGCGCTGTGTCGGCGAGATGCTAGGTCTGCAATAATCATCAGTTCTCGGGCAAGTCGAGTTGACTTCAGGGTCTGGTATCTGGGGCAAGGAACAGGCCGTGCGCGGCGACGTTGAGTTCTAAGCCGGTAGACGCGGCAGTCAGTCCTCCGCTTTTCTGGATTATATGAGAGTGTGATATAGGTCAGGCGACAGGCGGTTTCCTTGCTTATACTCAAGAGGTGATATCGATTGAAATAGAGGGAGTATGCTATAGTTCTAAGGGTACCGCGGGATAGACTTGCCATGTGTTTGAGGAGTTCGTGTGGGTGCATGCGATTAGAATATATGTCGTTCATCACCTGAACCCTGTGTGTATCGTGTTGGACTCTTCCTATCTACATCTACCGAACTGTTCAGTAGAAGTAGTATATAGTATCTTCCCCAAGAAATGGATAGGAGTTGTAATACTACACCTAAATAATTGACTACATGTATACAGTGCCCTTTTCCACTACCATATCCCAATCCTACAGTCAACTTCCGTCAATAAGTACAGAGTACTCCGTACACATCAACATCATCACCCACCCCCTACCAACTTACAATCCCATCCTATCGATAACCAGAAATAGAATCCTAGATGATGAGGTAATTCCCTCCCCTGTTGTTCCCTTGTCTTAGCGAAGAGAGACAAGCAAGAGAGTGACTTCATTCCTCCGGCATGCAAAGCCGCGTAAGCCGACTCCATCGCCCCATGTCATGTGTAGTCTTGGCGTGCGTCGCAAGCTCCCCTCTAATAGGGTGGGGTCACTGGGGGCTTCCCGTTTCCACATCCACCTTTTCCACTCTTGAGGGTTTGTTTGTATACTGAGTCAGCTGTGGTATGTTGGCTCTACCACCGTCGTGGTGTTGGAATACCTTTTGCCGTCGTTACCTTGTGTTTAGTTGGATCTGTTCTATTGGATTGTGGATTCTTATTTTTCTTCTGGGGAGTTGTGCTGGTAGCATTCTCGGTCCATCATTAATGCAACAGTCAATTTGAGATGCATTTTAGATTGCGCCTCTTGAATGGGAGTGGTAAGAACTGTAAACCTTTAGCTTGTTGCTAGGTTAGTGAATACTGGTTTTGAAGGCTTGTGTTGGTGTCGGGAAGGATTGGATGGTACTGGGAGTAGCGTCATCGGCGTGCGGCTGGTTGGCATGATGCTGACTGGTGGAAGTGAAATGGAAGCGAGAAGACTGCCTGGTCGGAGGCATGATGATTATGATGATGATAATGACACTCATGTTGGACCACGCAGTGCATCCGAGTCATCAACAACATGATGCATCATAGCAGAGAGCGTGTGTGATACCGATAGCTGTCTTGACGCACACTTGCAGCATTGTACTCCCTACAAAGCTTCTACCCCCCGGGTCTTTCAAAAGACACAATTAGGCTCAGAATAACCTCGCGCGACATGGGCCGATCTGTGGAAACGATTTCCAGAGGCGGACGGGCGATAAAGTGCTGCTTTTCCATCTATAGCACGCCAATGAAACACCACGAATGTCGTGCGCTCAATCCTGAGGGATTTCGAAGCAGCATTACGACGCTCAATCAATCTCTGGCTGCGGGTGAGGTTGGTTACCTTGCCCGACAAAACATGTGAAGCCTAGGAAGGGCAGATGGTAAAGTGGTAGGTATACCGAACTTCCACTGTTGTCGTAGTCGGCAGTCTCCCTAGGATAATTGGATATGGTGAATCCTGTCTAGTACTAAGTCCAGTAGCGACGAAGAGGTGGTGGATCTAAGACCGGAAATGCAGGAATCCTCCCCTACGCAATCCCTGAGATCTTTTCCTCCCCTCGAAAATTGATTTTAGTTCCCGTGTCTGTATATCCAACACGCGGGACGGAGGGGGAGAGGAGTTTATGACGTTGCGCATCTTCCCTATCCTGGAAGGATGGATGCAGGGTCCGCGAATATATCCATTGCGATATGAGTATTATTAGAAAAGGAAAGGAACTCTTTGCCATCAATTAGATTGCTTGACGCATTGGTCAAGCACTAGCGATATTCGAGTGAACGAATGACGTGAGGGTCGAATCTGACGGCATCGCGTCTCTTTTTGGCTACTATCTCCAAATCGCGACCGAGTATGGGCTACATGTCGATCTATGTTCCATTTAACAATCGGTTGTTCCAGCCACGCAACCAACATGCAATCCTTCATCAGATAAACTCCCCTCCACCACGCAGTTGTGTCTCAGATGCAGAAGAGAGATGATGATGTCGTGAATGTCTCGAGACTTTGACTATTGAGCAGAGAACAATGGGCCAAGTCAATAAGCTGACATATGCCAAGGCCAGGCGGGGTCCACTTTCTGCACACTAGGTTTGTTTTCCCGCCCGCCGGAGTTCTCTCTCAAGTCAAGAGGCTTGCTGTCGCAGGAAGCTTGGTACTGGAGCGGTTTTTCAGGGTCCTTGATTTGCTCTTCAAGCTTCCGGCGTTGCGTTCCTGACTTGGACGCCTGTCCGTTCGCCATGTCTTACTTGTCTGTCTCAGGATAGAACAGCCGGTCATCAAATCTGACGCGTCACGACGAGACTGAGATTGAATTGCTGGACGGAGCCCGACTGACTGACTGACTGACGCACAGACACCCACACTACCTCTCAGCTGAGCTGAAGAGTGCTGGAAACCGCCAGGGATGTTGGATTGGACTTGAGATTTGGGACTTTGTCTGTCCCTTTTGCTCTCCCCCTCCTTCCCCCCACTCTTTCCTTAGTCCCCTGACGGTCTCCCTTCCAGTGCACACTGTTCCTGCAACTAAAGTTCTAGGTTACTATTCACCACGCAAACAAACAGTCTTGGAGTCTGGACTGTAGAAGAAAATCCTGCCTGCCTATTCTAGGCCCCCTTCGATTATTGAGCCCCTTGGGAATCGTGAGCTATTGTGACACTAGGAATTTCCTATGGTGACCTCCAACAACAAAGTGGACTAGATGAGCCAAGTGTTGGTGCAACCTCTTTCAGTTTCCCCCCTGAAGTCGGGTGTGATACTACCTTCCTATACAAGTGTACAAGCCAGTCCAGTCCTGCTTGAATCACCTGCCCGTCCAGACCAAATAATTCCATCATGACAACCCGCCCGCGCTTCCCATTTCCGCAGGTGATATCATGGGCTGGACTTTTTCCTTCTCAGTCCAGCCAACCAGAAAAGCTACATTAAGCCTCTTGCAGGTTAGCATGTTCTTGTGAAGAAAACAGTGGAGCCCGGGCTGCTGTTGGTAAAAGAGAAAGGCCCGGCGTGTTTCAGCTGGCCACTAGCCCCGTTACCCTGAAAGAGGGAGCGAAGGTGTGTGGCAGTCAAGCAGTGTCTCTCCTCTCAGGATCGCACGCAGGGATCTATGTCTCTGGTTCAAACGGGGTCTTGCGGGGTTTTTTTTTAAAATGGAGGCCGACACCTCAGGGCTCTTTGAGTTTGGACTTAATTGTTGGGTCGTTTAGAGCTTCGCAGATTTAGAGTTGAGACTTTGGCTGGTGGTCAAAGTATGTCTTTCGGCATTGAGCGACTGACAGTTCTGTCGTTGATCCCCAGTTGAGTAGGTATGCCAAATGGCCCCTCTTTCTCCTATTCCACATGCACAAGATGCAGACGGTGATGGCAGATTCATGGTGGTGGGGGGGATTTCTTTTTGTTTTCAAGTTCTTTGCTGGAAGAATCACTAGACTAACTGGGCCTTGAATCTTCCCTCCCCCTCAGTGTCTAAGCCACTAAATAGCCCTGCACTGATTAGCTACCCTATACCCATCACAATTATAACCAAGGGAATTTGCCAAACACGCAAAAACCCTTGCGGCTAAACAACAAACCATATCCCTAATCGAGTATAGCGGCTCCTTCTCCCGAGCCCAAAGCGGGTTAGCGTGGTGAGATGGCGCACGCGTCAGCTGTGGTGGGGCTTTGCTGCTGATTGGGTGATCTTCTGGAGCCAAGCTCGGCTATCGACTATCTGCCGTCCCCGGGGGCAGTGGCTGCATTAGCCTCCCCCTCCCTGGCTGGCCTAGCGCAGGGATTGAAATTGAATTCTAAGGCACCGGTTGCCAATAGCCTCTGCCTGTTCTTCGCAGCTGCCGCTTGGGGCTTGATCTCACCTTAGCATGGAGTTTCGACACTACAACTGAGAGTACTTCCTCCCCGGGGAGGAGAGCAAACTGTCCACAGTCCCTGTAGTCTGAGGCCACTGACCCGCCCGGCTCAATTGGGCTGGTGATGTTGGAACTCGCCGACTAATTAGACTGGCCAAGTCGCCACTGGATTTCCGCTTCACTCCGCGGGAAACACGATCCAACCTTTTTGCAGAGGACTCGCAGTGCACGCACACACTGTCAGTAGCTGAGAATGTGGATCAATAGTACAATCACTCAGATTCTGGCTCGTGATTGACTCCGGCGATATACCGGGGTCTACACCAATAGTCAAGGTACACTCGGAATTCCTATATACCAATCTTCATATAGAAGGTACCTGTGAGAGAGGTCTCTCAAGGCCTGAACCTTTTGCCGCGCCGCAAATTATATAATCCTTGGCAACCTGCTTTTCCCGGCTTAGGTCCCTGTCTCAACCACTCAGCCGGCAACTGTGTCTCCACTCCACCACTTACTCCTCTTACCTTTTTCTGCCCTCCCCCTTCCCCTTCTCCAAAGGACAGCGCAAGACCCATGTTTCTATCCATAGGAGAGAGAGTTCTCCGACCACACTCTAACTTGTCCTAACGGAAACTAATTGACCCCGTCAAAAAAATCCAGCCATGAACCATGCTAGGTCACCTGCCAGTTCTGCCACTACGGGAACGAACCAAATGTTGTTCCGTACTAGATCCATACTCAATCCATATCCCGGAGCGGAGACTTATGTGCTTGGGGATTGACTGAGTTGTGCCGATTCGATATGTAGTTCTTCCCAAACTTCTGATTTTGACTTTTTCCCTTTCCCCTTTTGAACCTATCCAAATTTATTTTTCCACATTTGGCGCAGAGAAGAGAACCTTGAAATGGCAACGCTACACCTAAAATCGCAAAAGAAGGTCGATGGAAAGTCCAGTTCGAATTCGATTTCTCTTGGCACGCACGCGTGATCTCCCTCCCAAATTTCGGGTAGGCAAAGCATTGCTTGCCCCTGCAGCGAAGCCACCTTTGAATTGAGTTTCTTGGGTGTATTTCTTTTTCTTCCTTCGGGAGAGAGGCTACCTATATCCATACGTAAGCTAATTATATGATCGTGCGTTGGTTCTCGGGTTGGTCACCGGTATGTAATCCGTCCTGTTGAATCGATGTCCATTGCCCACTGCACAGCAGTCAAAACATGTACCATAGTACTCCACATCTGGATGCCTGTCTATACTACGATACAAAAAACAAGACGCCAAATACTGTACCTCAATTCCTGAAACTCCCCTGGGCACGGTCAGAGAAGGCATCAAGCAACCTACAGTATCAACAACAACAAGAGACACCGTCCGAACTCGGACAAACCATCTCTATCATCTCTATCTATATTAGCCGGCCCCCAGTCCATAACCCATACTCTAATCAATTCCCTTGAACGCCATCATGTCAATCACCGACGATCTGCCGTGGTGGGATCTTGCCAAGAAGGGAGCCCCGTGCAGATTTGACAGATGATTTTTCCAGCCAACAATATTTACTGAGTATATCAATTAACTTTCCCCTTTTGGTCTTGGTCTTGCTGTAGTTCCCAAGCCCAGAGAACTTCCCGTGCTTCCCCTGAAATTGACAGAGTGGGTGCCTTCGTTTCAGAATCGCATGTTCTTCATACTCAGCATGGTTTACCCGTAGGAGTACCTACCTTAGTCCACCAGTGCAGTAAAAGTCAGAACTGAGGGAGGGAAAGGAAGGGAGTCTGTTCATTTCCTGTTCCTGGAAGAGCCAAGACCAAACTAGTCAATGGTTTCTGCTTTGACAAATCGGCTATTGTCTTAGTTAGTTATCGGGGAGGATGTTTTAGATTCTGAGATGTCAGCTCTTGTCCTCGTAGGCTCGTACCTGGTAGGCCCGGTTGATTTACCCTAGCAGCCCTCCCTAGCTCGGATGAGGTTAAGGTGGTGGGAGGTGATCTTCGATCCTTCCCATCCTAACCTATCATTATTGTTGCTGGTTGTTTATTGATTGCTCTTATCGATAGGAGCAGGGTGTTCATATCGTAGTCACTCAGATATACTCACTGCCTTAGCTGGTACTGTACTGTACAGTAGCGTGGCGCGGATGCCGTTCACACCTGCTATCACGTTACACAGACCACAGAGGATGGTCTCTGTCTTCTCGCCCGGAAGCCACCGGAATCGTTCCCAGGGAGAGGGACACCTACCTGTTCACGCTGACTCTATTCTTTCTTGGCGCAATAGATATCGTGCAGTGTGCACCTATCTCCAGTTCTCCACCACTTTACTGAAGAAGCGAGATTAAAACCACTACCCTTCTTTCTAATTATAACTACGGACACGCGGGATCATGAACTCCCCTTCCCTTCTTCTCCTTTTTACTATGTGTATGTGCCGTGCGGTACTTACATCCCGTTGCTTCATCTCCGGTAGCTAAGGTTTGTCTGCTGCCTAAGGGGCAAGGGAAGTGTACAAGAAGAGGTTGACAGGGCCCGGGCCCGGGCCATGGCCATGTGAACGCAAAGCGCGCTGCCGTGGTTCTTGGCGACTAAGAAGTAAGGCGGCTGGAACTTGGAGGAAAGTGTATCTTGTATGTATGTACCTATCTATCTATCTATCTATCGAGTGCTCACTACGTATAGTGAAGCAAGAAGAAGAAAAAAAAACAAGGCTAGAGAGCCTAGATCCGGGAAATGGTGAAATGAAATGAGTGCCTAGTAGGCAATCACCCCAGACACAAGAAAAAGGCAAACAGGAATTGTCATGATAGTGCAGGCTGGTGTGGATGGTGGTTTGCCGCCACCAACATCAATAAACAGGAAAGACGAGAACTCTGATGAGTCTGTGGTGGTGAGGTGTGTGTGTATAGGTTGGGTCTAGTATCAGCCACTCCAATAACAAGAGAAAAAGCTCAGATGGGGGAGAAAAGGGGAAAGTCAACCTGTCGGCAGAGCTGACCTGCGAATAAGGAAGGCAGAGCGGGTGGCAGATCCACGTTAGATTTCTCGTGAGGAAAAGTAAAAAAGCAACAACAGAAAATTTACTTGTACATAGGAGTTCTAGTCTAACTTGAAAGTGGCTGCACAACGATATCCATAATCCTACTGAGCACTCCATACTCCATAACCAAAAGAGGTTCAAATTTAATCCATCCATCGTCCATCATGGATTATTCCCCACCGGGTTACTCGATTAGGACTCCCCGCAATGACTGGACTGTGAATCGCATTCTTGAGAGGGGGACAGTTAAAGTGGGCTTGTGGCTGATGATTGGTCAACCGATTATGGAGTCCAGTTACGCGTTGTTGGGGGGGATGATGTGCCGTGTCAAACCTAGCACTTTAAAAAGGGTCCTGAGGGGCTTCCCGGGAGATAGTGCAGTTGGGTGAGTGGTCCACGCTGCTAGGTGTGGAAGACAGTCTCCGTAGTCGGTGCAGTGCGGCGGGCCCCAGCTCTACCTGTTCCGGTAATCTACGAGCTGCCAAGATAGGCTTAGATCCAATCCCTGCAATGAGGGAGAACCTAAACGGTTTAGTCAGGAAGAGGGTGAAGTTTCTCGGATTTCTTGAAGGATATACTCATCCACAAAAGGCAGATCCAGTCGTTCGTTCCCCTCTTGCCTCCCCCCGGTTGACACGAGAAGGGTAGCCGGTAGAAAAGGAGGGGGAGGTACGAAGGTCAAGAGGAACAGGGCCCGGGGGGAAGAGGAAGAGAAGTCGGGACGCCTGACAGTGGCAGACAGGCAAAGAAAAGCGGTGAAAGGCTGGCAACCAGTTACAACCTACCAGGAACTGCCCGGGGCTGCTGCGGGCAACAGTTGGAAAAAAGGCACGGGTCCACGCGCGCCGGGCGCAGTTGGAAAAAGCGGATCCGGCGGTCAAGTGGCAAATCAGCAAGATGGACTGTTGATAGGTGCTGCTGCACCCTCCTGGCAACTAAATTATCACTTCCAAGTTCCAACCGAAATTCATCACTCCTACTATGAGGACTAGGGACTGACTGTAGCTACTTACTCCATACACCATTTACATCACTCTGCAATCCGCTCCTCATTCCTTCGGCTCAAATGGAGAGCTCCAACAACTTCTTCCAACTATCGGAAACGGGATGTCTCCTACGCAATTCCCACCCGCTTGGACTTCGATCTCCATACCGCATACCTGCTGCGATTTCGGCTCTCCTGTTCGGGGCAACCCAGCATTAAGATTCCGCGCCTCGCACTCCCGTAGAATCAATGTCCTCTACACATCCAACAAGATAGAATGTCCTAGATACCCAAGAACTGCGTTGCAGTGCCCATTCTTACAGTTTCAGCGAATCCACTTGCAAAACATATTTTAAACATCATATAGCCTCTGCCTGGCCGTTCAATTCAAGTCCATTGTAAGCCCATCGAGAGTGCATCAGCAGCAGCAGCTTCGTTGTAATCTCGAAGCTGGCTTTTGAATCCCCGGCGCAAAGCACAACACTGGTGATAGGTGTGGGAGCTGAATGCTTGTTGTGTCTTAGAACCGAAGGATTCGAGTTAACCTGCTAGCTCGGACCCTGTTTGTTTGCATGCCGGGGATGGGCGTGATGATCGTGATGCTGAAATCTCATTGGGTTGAATCCATTGGAAGGGACATGAAAAATGTTCTGTATATAGTACGTGATGATGAATTCTATTGGTCAGTTCAATAGATGGATTTCGCAAACGGGTACTATGGCATGTCAATGGCGTCCACTGTTGTCAAGAGCCAGGGCTGAAACAATCCCGAGGCACGAAGGATTTGCGACTCGGGGAAAGTATCAAATGCTTCCTCTGATTGTATCAGGACACTTTGTCCCCCGGCCATCTGTGACGCCCATCTACAAAGGCAGCTATCCCGAGCACGGACGGAATAAGCATCCAACAGCCTCACTGATGATGCGTCGCGAGGAGTCAAGAGGCGAAACCCCGGGTCAGGGCTACAGTTCGCCACCGACTATATTAGCATTGTCCACCATATGCTGTAACCGTCAACCAATGAGAATGAATATCATGAGGTGTATACGCACACCTTCGAGGCTGTGAGCTGATTTCAAATATGTTGCCGACTCCGTGCTGTATATGGCGGCATGTCCCGTGAATCAAGGATGGCGCTTTTTCTTTCTGTGCGATTTGGAGTAGTCAATGCAGAGAACCCAGAGCCTTCAAAGTTAGCGCCGTGTCTCTGGATATCTTCGTACTTCTGGTCTGCGTAAAAAGCGCAAGGTCCAAATTCAGAATTCTCAGAGAATGGAGGTGTAGAGGAGGGGGCAGCTTAGCTTCACGCTGTCAGCCAAGCTTAGCCTAGTTAGTTCCTGCGACTATTGATTCACATCTTTGAGCATGGGGTTCCCAAAAACCCGTGGACCCGACTCTGTGGTGATGGTTCGGGACAAGGTTAGTCCCTGCTTTTCTAGTGTAGTTGATACTAGTTGAGGTTGGTAGCTGGTAGTTCGGCAAGGCAAGGGTACGAGCGAAGCCCTCTCTGGAGTGTGTTTCCATTCATCTTCTACTACAAACCACTAGTTTGTGATCCATGGTCCAGAACTCGAGCACAGAGTTCTGAAATCTTGGGCAATCGCATGGCCAGCCTCGTGCTTCGTACCAAAGCCTGGGTGGGGATTCTCTTTCCTCCCCGATCCACGTTCCGTCGCCGGTTTTCTCCATCCGCCCACATCATTGGCTCTAGTACTTTATGCACCTACTCTTTCCGGTATGTCGAGAGTTTATTCTTTTTTTTCTCTTTCTTGGTTCCAAAAGTTTCCCCAAGGCGTGACTGACCCCAAGTCACAATTCTTTTTTTCGGAAGCTCGGTCTTCTTTCAAGGTAGCTTGTTCGTGTTCTCGACATCCTAACCCATTGAGATTCAATGAGAGAGCGTCGCTTAGAAATCGCATAGCGGAGGAAATATGTCTCAAAGACCTCTCTAACTCTAATTACGGGGTTGAACCATACGGTTGTGCCTCCCCCCTCCCCAGCAGAACTTTTAGCCACCGTTCGTGCGTGCGTGCGTGCGCGCCCCGCCCCTATTTCTGCATATCTGATGGTCGGACTGCAGTGGAACCTTCAACCTATCCCGCGTGCGATTTGAGGTTGGGTTGGACGGTGGGATGGAGGGGGAGGAGAGGGGGCTGAGGGGAGGGAGGCAAGAAAAAGGTAAGGAATGTGTGGATGGATCTTGCGCACGCTGCATGTGGTCACTCTCCTGTAAAGCAGTGAGATGGGAATCAATTCCCCTGTCGCTCAGCCTCCATGGGTTATTTAATCTTTTCGGGTCAAATCGATTTGCCGGCCAGCCTATCCCATCAGTAGGGGTCAGGCAAACTTTAAAGAAGTTAAGCTAGTTCCGAGAGGTGATGAGCTGTGCCTATCATATCGATCCTCCCTGTGTGATCTTCCCAGCTTTTCTTCTCTTTTGGATGCTCCATGTGCAGCTTAACTAGTTACCGACCACCCAGGAAAATCCTTGCCAGGCCAAATAAAAAAGTGGGCGAACGAAAAACGCCCCAGCCGAGCGGTTGCAGAAAGTGGGCGTCCGTCAGTCCTGCACCCGAGCATCCACTTTGACATCTCCCCTAGCCTTGTGGGCTGGGAGGGAAGGGGAGTGGATGCTGGATTGTCGACGGGTGGTGGTGTTGATGGTGGTGGGCACTGGCGGTCGACTGAGTACGGAGTTGACCATGTGTTTCCAGTTGGCCCCGGTACTGTACCTGTGCGATCTACTCTATACAGATTCGCCATGGTCATATGGCGGAGCGGAGTCAAGAGTGATCCCCCCAGACGGATATGTTTGTCCCCTTTTCCGTAGATCACTGCTCAAGGACTGGATGAACATTCGGATAGAGGACAAGCATTTGAATCTGCAAAGGGGTCCCAGCCTGTTGTTGCGTCGCCAGCAATGTATGAAGGCTCGGATGTTGAGGTCATTGCTCCCTTTGTTCTCAGCTCGGATATCCCCCATGCACGTAACTGGGCCCAGTTCAAGGACAGTTTCAACTCCGACCTTGGTCTCTCTCTCTCTTCCCTTCCGCTTCCCACCCATATAGAGAAGAGGAGACAGTGGGCTTTCCATTCTAGCCAATTGGCGCCGATGGTTTCTGGTTCTCTATTCTCCCTTTTCATCCCCCCGGTGGACACCAAGTTTATTGCGTGTGATGTGTTCGAACTTCGAACCTCGTCACTTGGCCAGTTGCTAACTTGAAGTTCGCCGATTCCGTGCCGCTAGCGTAGGGTGCGGCTTACGCTGTTCCGTGCTCTGACGTCGGTGTGGATGGGGTTCGGTCAAATAGTCTCACCATTTAGGACAATGCAATTTAAAGATCTGTGAGTAGTTCAATTTAGATTAGAGACCAACATCCACATTCAGAGACGGGGAGCAGGAAAGGGAAGTAATCAAATCGCATCCTAGCTTTAGAAAAACAAAACAACGCTATCTCAATATCTTCCCCATCGAGCCCTCGATTTATTTATTTGCCACATAGACTGTTCTTTATCCCAGAGGAGCAAAAGCAAAGTAAGAATAAAAGGTCTCCGAAATGAGGGACAGCGAGTACAGAGGGTAGGAAGACATGGGAACTGATTGAACGGAATGAGGGGAAACGAGTTCGTTCCAGTCTCATGGGCGGGTCAGACCATGGAAATCCCCCTAACGTGGCTGCGATCTAAATCGTCACTTGTGGCCTACGACAAAATACTACTCACCACCCCATGTACGAGTAGCAGATGGTAAATTAATCCTATCAAGTTTTTGCTCATGCTTCGAGTGGTAGCACTTCAATGACATTATATTAATTTGATACTACCTCAATTTACCGACGCCGACCAGCTGAAACCGCATCCTGGTGTCTTCCCGATCTTTAATTTGATCGCATGATTGTGTTTAATATGGGTTTAATTGCTAGACGAGCCCCTGCCGATGCTCGATGTACTCGTCATGATTCATCTTCAAGGCGGGGGGTGTGCTTTGTTGGCCACAGGGCATCGCGTGGAGCCTGAGCTATCTATCCGTATGACGCTGACAACATCCTCATTCCGAGGGAGCCTCCGACTCCATCATCGGCGCAACACACGTTGACCCTCGACGGGAAGAAAAGGAGCGGATGAGGAGGAGGCAAGGATCGCAACCCTACTTCGTACTTGAATCAAACGCATGCGAGCGCCATCTCTGCAGAATTCGGAAAATGAATGAATTCCCGGTCCAACCCGACATAATTTTGAAGCCATGTCGTCATTCTGCATGGAGGGATCTCTTCGCCTCTATTGTAGCATCATCATCCTCACGACCACTACACCACCACCACCACCACCACCACCAATACCCTTTCCGGCTTGCAGTCATCTGTTATTTTAGTCATGACCCTTCATAGTGAATTAGACTCGCTTGCATGCATTGTTCATGGATCGCGGCAGATTATCGTCATCATCAACCGTTGACCGACTGCAATCTTAAGATTCCCCGCCCTATCCTTTTCCGATGTTGATGATGAATGGGGAGAGAGATGCAGCTTCACATCATAGATCCTAGTTCGAACCATGCGATGTGAATGGCTGTTTGCTGCCGAGCTCTCAGATGAATTCCGGATGTGCATTGAATGCATGGTACTGTACTTCAGTTATCGGTCTGCGGGGGCGTCCTTCGCGGTAGATGCGCATCGAATCATCTCTGCCCGAGTCAGTCTTGCATGTTCAATATATCATACAATTTATGCTTCTGATTCCGCTCAGTCCCTGAGGGGGATCCTTAGGATCCTTCACATTTTCAAGCCGCCGTTACCCATACCGCCTCCGGCACACCCCCATCACCACCACCACTGAGGATGGCCGGAGAAGGCCCTGCAGCCTACAGACACTACACCAACCCGCTGCAGCGTTCTCCGAGAGGACCAAGTCATCACCACCACCACTCAACCCCCAGATGGACCAATCACTCTGGTTCAACTCGGGAACTTTGGAGGTCTTGGCCGTTCTCTTGCGTAACATGTTCTGTGCAAGATGGCGTGGGTGGAATGCCACCATTGGTTGCGTACCCTTCAACCTCTTACTGAGGGGGAGGGGAGGGGAGGGCGCCCATCTGCTCATTCTTTGGCTGAGTGCAATTGTGAACCTTCTTCCCCCCCTCAAAAATCCTTCCATCTTCTCGAATTCTTTTCTGGAAGTGTTTCCATTTCTTATCGATCGAGTTCATCGTGCAGGATGTATTATTACCACCTCTCATAGTCTTCAGATTGTATCCCGCTGTCACTTCCCCAAAAATTACCAGATTCAAAAATGGAAAAAGCATGGGAAATCGAGTCTCAGAAAGGGGACATCCAGTCAAAGCCCGCAGAGGTCGGTGAGGTGGGGAAGACTTTCTTGATCCACACAGGCTGGGAGCATTTTTATCATCCATCTTATTGTCCACCAGCGACTTTCTCCCCGCGGAACGGGTATACCCTTTGACGTATCTTTGTGATCTGCCACTTCCCCGCTACCTTGAAACACTATCAAGGACTCAAGGCGAACCTTGGTCGCTGCATCAGTGCATCTAAGCTTGACTCTTGGCGTTGCCAGCCCTCCTGTAATTTCTGGTCTTTTCCCAATCCCTCCCCCTAAACCCTTCATGTCTTCACGGCTGCCACGCTTTGCTGTTTTGGTGATGGCCTCCCCTCCCGACACACTACTACTTCACTACTTTACTTTGTATAGACACGGCACAAACTCCCTCCCTCTTTCTCATGCCCCCACCACCCCTCTCTTTGGTACCCTCCCCTAAGTGTACCTACCATCTTGAGTAAGGCGTGTCGGCTTGAAGCCGCCGCCCCTCAGAATCACCTCAATAGGAATCCATGGATGGAGCGTTGTTCCCGCCCGCACTTGCTAGCCTGCCACATACAGGCAGAGCACAGAGACAGACAGACATCAGAGAGAGTGTGTGTGAATGAAGTATGGATCATGGAGTACGTACCTCTCTCGCTCGGGGACTGGGGACCGGGGACGGGGACGGTGATGATGATGATGATGACGGTGACTAAACCACAACCCGCAAGAGAGCAAACTGGTCCTGTACCTGACCTGGTCCATACTACACGCCATACCCTTTTACTCTACGGCTACTGTTGCTGTGTTTGTTGCTTCTCTTGATGTCAACATGTCCATGCCCTTTTTTCTTTGGCTTCTGCGCAATCGAAGGAACCCACATCTGCTTTTCTCATCTCCCCTCGCCAACTTTTGCCTCCTTTTTTCTTTTGCCCTTCTGGTCATTGACTTTTTGGTTTTCTTTTTTCTTTCTATGTTTGGTCGCCATTCCGCGTCAGCCTTCATTTTACTATGAGCAATACTCCGTACTTTGCTTGCCTCCTGTACGGCGGAAGGAGTATACTCCAGCGGCGTAGCTAGCTAATGAAGAGTACTCCGTAGAGCTGAGCAATATTACAGATTTCCCCATTGATTACGCACAATCTGCAGACTGCAAGCAAAGCAGCAGCAGCAGCAGTCCTGTAGTAAGTAGCTAAGTAGTAAGTAGTAAGTACTGTAGTCGACCTTCCCGTAATTGCGTACGTGCATAACATACATACTTTGATTTCCTTCAATGCCGGACGGAGTTTCAGATCTTTTCTTGCGCCCTCCAATCGTCCCCCCCCCTTTGACAACAATTGAGGTTGCTGCATTTGGGTTTCGGTAGATTATGGGTATCAGATTTAGTTTTGATTGGGGGGGGGGGTGATGGGAGGAAAGGGTTGTCTGTCATCATCTATCAGTTCTCTCTCTCTCTCTCTCTCTCTCGATCAAAAATAGAAATCGGAATGGTAATGCTAAAGATTGAAGAGTACAGTTACGTTATAGTGGATAGAGATGAAAAATTGGACTAAAAGAGTAACTCAGTAGATTGGGAAGATCTGGTAGTCATGATGGGATATGGATGGAAGGGGAACAAAAATAAAAAGAAATGATGCAGACCAAAAAGAAAAAGATAATTAGATCTCAAAAAATGGTCAAAAGAGGAGGGTGCGGAAAATGAGAGCGATGAGAGGGAGAGAGAGACAGAAGAGAGAAAGGGAAAAAAAGCAAATGAGAGGAAAAGGAAAGTCGAGAAAATAATTTCCCAGAAAGAAAAGAAAAAATGAGCGACCAAAAAGAAATTTAAAAAAAAATAAAACCCAAACCAGGGAAAACGACGACCCATCCAAAACTTGAGAGTCACCCGAGGAACTGGTTCCCGTTTGGAGATTTTCCCACTTGCCCACTCACTACTGTTGTCCACTGCCCGTCTGCCACTCTTCCTCTGCTTCAGGTCCTAACGAAAGGTCCTAAACACTAACACTTACTAACCACTAAGACTAAACTAAACTAAATCTACTAACGCTAACTCATTGCTTTCTCTCTTTTCATACTGTTTTTATTTTATTTTATTCTACCGTATTTACTTAGTTTCTTGTCTCCATACCCACTTTTATCAAAATAATAATTAATTATTTATTTTTTAACCCTCTCTCTCTCTCTCAATTAATACTGGCGCCGTTTCGAAGCCTAAGAGGCCCAAAGGAACGATCTGCAACCGTCCCCGACGGGACGTCGTCAGTGGCACTAAAGCCATCACCAACACGGCAACGCCAGGGCTTCCCTTCGTCCCTGCGGTCCATCCTCATGCTGAGATCCTGTATTCGTTCATAAGCTTCGCCGATCCCCTTCGGGCCCTTCCCCAGACTGTCTTTCCTTCTTCCTATCTGTCGGGTCCTTTAAGAGCCATTTACTTATTGACTTACCTCCTATCTCAACCCCAAATCTACTACTATTTACATCTTGTCTTTCCCCTGCGCATCTCTCCTCCATTCTATACATTGAGCGCGGATCCCTTCCTACCACCACCTACATTTGTTCTTCAACTCACATCTCCCCTTCGTGTGCTGTGTTGATCATCTCTACTTTATCTTCCTTGCTCCCTTCTCTCCTCCCCTTCCATCTATTATATCGCATACACCCCTACAGCAGCAGCTCTGCTACTCTTCCTTCCACATTTCGCGCGGATCCGGTCTTTGTTGTGTCCCTGTGCCTTGCCCCAGGGATAACCCGATCCTCACCCTCGTGTCTCTGTCTCAAAAACAATTAAGCGTCACCGCTCCACGCGATAACCACTATTCTCCATGACGATGGTCATTGAAAACCAGAACCGCCAATACGGCGGGATGGGCTTCGATAGTGTCTATCAACACAACATCCACCACAACCCTCCTCAGTTCACCGACCCGTGGGCCGCCGCTCAAACCTCCTCCCACTCCAACCCTCCCGTATATGCAACTTCGCTGGGACCCAGCCCCATTGGCCTCAACCATGTCAAGCAGGAGGAAGTGAGCCGTCCGGCGGCGATGTCGATGTCATATTCTAGCATCCCCGTTTCCGCCCCATCCATGGTTGCAGGAAGCAACTATTCCACCACCACTGCCACGAGTTACCCCGGACCGGAGATGATGGGACTGTCGCACGATATTCCACGCACCTCGTTCGAACAAGCTCCCGCTTACACTACAGCTTCCCCAATGACCAGCTATGCGCCAGCAAGCTACGCACCTTTGAGCTACGCTCCTCACATGCACCAAGACCGCCGGATATCCCATGCGTAAGATGGCCCTCCAACGCGCGCTGAAGACCAGCGATATCTGAAACGCCCGTATGCTTACATTTGTGCTTCTACAGTGATGCTCGTGTCAGTCAATCGCATCCTGCTCCCGCCCCGACGTTCGGCGACGCTCTGGATGCCAGCCGTGGAATGGTCGCGCTCAGCCAAGATCTGACGCCTCGCAACATCTATGGTCCTCGCAGTGCCCGGGGCTCGGGTGACTCCTATGGCTTCCCCTCCACTCACTCCTCTGGATCTTCGATCTCGTCCGCCAGCAACTACCCCTACTACAGTGCATCGGTAGCCTCAGTGGAATCATCGGTCACCGACTACAGCTCAACCACCTCAGAATCGTACGAGAACGGTCATTTGTCGCGGACCCTGCCCCGCCCATCGAACCTGTTGTCCGGTAGCGCACCCCCGGGACCCCAGTCGATGATGAGTCAGTTTAGCTCCAAGATGCCGTCCAACACACAGAAGAAGCACAAGTGCAAGGTGTGTGACAAGCGGTTCACCCGCCCGTCGTCGCTCCAAACCCATATGTATAGTCACACTGGCGAAAAGCGTAAGTTCCAGACCGAACTTGTCGAACGTGGGGTTTGTGGAACTAACAGCATGGGATCTAGCATTTGCATGTGACGTGGAAGGCTGTGGTCGCCACTTCTCGGTTGTCTCGAACTTGCGCCGACACAAGAAGGTTCACAAAGGAGAAAAGGAGGGCGCATCCGGCGACGACGAGGAGTAAACGAAACCTCTTGAATGACCTCCTTGTCCGCGTCGAACGCCTCTCTCAACCCTCTCACAGCGGAGAGGGGCAAATTCAACATTTCCTTTCTACGTCGCGCGATGATCACATTGTGCGACTCGGCCTGTCTACATGATGGGACCACCTCCTTTGTACAACAGCATCGATTTCCTTCCACCATTTTTCTCTTTCCCGACTCGCCCAACGTGGCTGAGCGTTGATACCCCGTTTATACTTTCTGTCGATTTTTTTTCTTCCTCATATTCCCAAGTACGAGCAGGGCATGGTACAAGGGCTTGGATTGGTTGTTCGTGATGTCTTGATTACCCACTGTTATGATCATAGAGGTACCGGTTGTTTTGTCTTTTTCTTTTTTACTCTGATTTGTCATTTCTTGTTTCCTTTGTTATCTCTGCTAGACTGGGGAGTTGGTTATTTGCTTTCTACATCCGGCATGATTCCTTACTCCGATACCAACTGGGATGTGGTTGATTCGTTTCGATTCGGGTCTGCCCTGTTAGGGCATATTATGAACTTCGGGGAACATTCAGGCAGCAGGGCTGTTTGACCAATTCAGAAATCTCTTTGGTTGTGATTTGCTTGCCCCTTTTCATATGGCTGTCTGTCCTCTATCATGAGATGTTGTTGGGATCTGGCATGGGTTTATCTGAAATATTTCAACTGGGTTAAATTGCAGAAAACGGCGCACTCTTCAAGTTTGGACATATGAGTGCTGGGCTGATTGATACCCGTTGCAATTGGGCGGAGCATGGACAGGGCAACTTAGGTAGTTTTTTTATCTTGTTGTGGAATTTTTCTTTTCTTTTTTTTTTCCCTATGTTCACAGTTCAGATTTGGTTGGAAGCATACACTAGAGACACAAGCAACAGTGTCACCCACGGTCGCTACATATAATTATTGTCTAATAAAGATTTGACATCACTTTTGGTACAGCTCAAGTATACTATCATTCGAACCAGTAGAGAAGTTGTATGGCTTTGGCGTGTCTACACGCATTGAAGGACTGCTCTTACTCATCCACAAGTCCGTGGAGCAAGACATCCAACATCACATACACTATTTGTCAGTCTGGAAAGTCAGATAAGAGAACCCGACCCCTGGAACCAGGCATCTACCGACCGACCCTTCCCTGAATCATCCCAGCCCCCGCCGATCCAAGTTCCAATTCGAGATCCAACAACTGAAAGTAACTAGCCTTCCGGGTTATGAACTTCTAGCTACTAGGTACCTTCAAGAGAAGCCCGGATAGCACCACCACTGATCGCCAGGCAGGCAACTCTTTCTTCTCATCCGTGCTAACTGACGGGCTAAATGAAGGTTCCCTTTGGTACTGCACCTACCACTGCAGTCGACTCCAGTCTGCACCTCACAAACCTTGACTCTGCATGTTACTTGGTTCCATTGTGGTGGTGATTATGTAAGGTTTCACGTTGCCCAGTGCATCATTCGCACAGTATTTTCTTTCCGTGGGAGGAGGTGCATAGTGGCGTAGGGTAGGGAAGAGCTTGCAGATTTGACGACGTTGTTCTTCGTAGGCTGGTTTTCTGTTAAAGTTATTTGTTGTTCTTGTTGTTGTTGCATGCAGAGGATGGGTGCATTATACCTGTGAGTGGATTCAGCAGTATGCGGACGTGGTGTGGTGTGCTGTGGTTTCGTGGGCGTGGTGTTTTGTGGTGTTTGTGGATGTATTGGGTATAGGTAGTTTCAGGCTGTGTATAGGATGGGGTTCTTGTGGTTCGGTGGAGGTGATGCCAGATTCCTAGTCTGGGTCTTGGAGGGTTCGGAGGTTTGGGGATATCTATTGTATATAAGGCTGGGATTTTGGGCTGGGGCTTTCTTACTATAAGCACTGTACTGGATAGGTAGGATTCTGGGTTCGTGGTTGGTAGGAACTGGACTGAATTTGGGCTTTGGTAGGTATGGCCTTGGTTTGGTTAGGCGTATAAGGAGGTTGGTTTACTATTTATGCTGGGATGATATGATAGATGCTTTGAGCTGGGCTGTTGATCTACAGCATATGTGCCCTTGCCTTGGTTCAGAACAAACTACAAGGTCGGCGAGGAGCTCACCAACCAACATCTTGAGAATGAACGTGGAACGGATCACTGAATAACATATCAATCATGATTCATACTCCCTCTGTCTTGCACAAGCACAAGTAGGCAATTTGCACAAGCAAACAGCATGGTAAGCAACCCATATCAACACAAACCGTCCTTTCCGAGTGTCATCACCCATCTCACCACCGCATCCTTCATCCACCGGCACAAACACCACCAAAGCTCACATCACATTACAAGTCATCTCATCTCATCCATAAAACCAATACTCAGCCGCATACTCAACCCCAAATTCCCCCTTCTGCCCCGCACAAGTCGCCGGACTGGCCCCTCCAGCCGTATGAACACGATAAACCTCCTACCAGTACGAATATCACCAGTCAGTCAATACATCCAAGACCTCTATCCAACCCCATCACCCCAATCAAACCACACACACGAGTAAAAGAAAAGGGACAGAACGAACCTCAACCCCCTTCCCCTCGACCCCCACCAACTTCAACCACGGCACATCTCTTCCCGCATCAGAAGCAACCACACTCTCCACCTTTTTAGTCCTTACCCAAGTCCCCTCATATCTCCCGCCTTCCTTCCCGTACCACGCAGCATGAAGATCAAAGACCGGCACCCCATCCGCCGAGAAATAATGCTCCCCGATGATCGCCTCCCGGGACAGCAACACCGCGTACAAGGCCAACACCTCCTGCGAGATGGGCTGTGTGAACGAGGGTAGAGCGTGTAGGAGCTGAGCGCCTCCCGACGAGGACGACGAGATGAGACAGGATGCGTCGTAGAGCGTGGCGACGGCGCCGGTGGCGATGGGGACGCGCATTGAGTTGTTTCGGGTCGTTGGGCAGGTGTAGTTCTGGGTGCCGCGGCCTAGGGCGATGAATTTTAGGTCGAGGTGCGCGGATGGCGGGGTGAGGTGCGCTGGGTTTGGTCCGGCTGTGGTGGATTCGTAGCTGTGTTTGGGGTCTTTGGGAGTTCCGGCTGTGGTATCGTTGAAGGGGATTAGCTCCAGTGGGCAGTTGGTTAGGCGCTGCGAGGTGAGCGCGTGCGAGAGCGAGATGAAGCTTGTTGCTAGGTGTACTGCGTTCGGAGTTCCTGGGTTTGTGATGGTGGTCACGGTAGAGGTGGTGGAGCTCGGAGTGTCGTTGGGGAGAGGTGTCGCGGTGGTGAGGTAGAGGGTGTCCAGGAGGACGAGGAGGAGATGGAGGAGGAGATGCTGGAAACGCATCTTGATGGTTGGGTCGTCTTGTCTTGTCTTGGTTGGTGAGATTCTGATGGTCGAGAATGTTGGGTTGAGAGGAGAGAAGAGGTTGGAGGTGGAAGTGAGAGAGGAGATGGAGGAATAAGAAGGCAAAGGATGTGTTACTGTTATATCTTGTGTTGTATGTGCTTGATCACTCAGTGGATATTCACTCCACAGCAGGTGACCTCCCCCCCTCTTGTTCCTGTGGCCAAAGTAACATCTCTTCAGAATCGGAGTGAATGAATGTTGAATATGCCTTGCCAAATTTAGACATGTCGAGGCGAAGCAAGATGCATCAAGCGGAGCAGCATCCAACATTTAAACCTACTATCAGATAGTGCCACATCACCGATATTGATCCTTCTGCAGGGCACAGTTCGTCGTCGATAACCACAAGTTCTCAGCTAACTGTGCACTAACAGAGGATCATGGCGAAAGCCTTGCTGGCACAGTGCATAATTTAGCATAGATGCAATGCCAAGGCTGAATGAGACGGTGATATAAATGGAAAGGTTTCAATTAAGCGCCGTGGCCGCAGACATGCGCTCCTGAGGAGCGTAGAGTTGGCCAAGCACAGGATCTTATTCGAAGAAGGCTTGGATAAGGTTCTGTGGCTTCTTCAAAATCGAAGGAGTGTTGGTTCATGCCCTCTTTCATCGAGATATTATTCTAGGCAGATAAGCGCAGGGGCAATCGTTCCGCTTTCGAGTCACGTCAGTAATGGTAGTTCGAGATCAGAAAGAAGAAAGTTGGAATTCGGAAATAAGGTTGAAAAATGCCATTGACTACTTCTCCGATGATTATAAAAAGACACACGCCAAATCCAGCCTTGGCAACACCGTAACAGTAACAGGCCCAGTATATGATGATGATGCTGAAAGGTGAAAGAACACTGTAGAATCAAAGGTACATACAGGAACGAAATACGATTTTGGGAATCAAACTATAATCAACAACTCGGACCGATCCAACCCATCGTCTTCCAGGTTGGGATAGTACGGAATCATTGCGTCTGCGCTCTGCACGTACGCATCGTTGTAGAGTCTCCAGTATGGCACGCGCACCTTACGCGCGGGGTGGAACAAGCCGGCCCACACGTAGTTCATGACCACACCAGTGCCGACAGCCATCCGAATAGCGTCAATGGCTTCGATCACTCGGTCAATAACGTGCGGACTAGTCTCGAAAATGTTGGGGAACACCAGGTTCAGGAGGTGGACCATAGCATCCTCACACCCCAAGCCAACCACTCCCAATGCGATATGCTTCACAACACTGGCTGCCGTCTGTCGGTGCACCTGGTCACGATCGATCAATGCATCCTCCAGCAGAGGCGTGACAGCGTAGACATAATCTTTGGCCATCTCGCCGATATACTCGAACAAGAAAGACATAGCCTTCAAAACACCGTTCTGGACGTTCAGCTCGGGCACACGGTATTCGTTCATCAATGCAGGAAGCACGGTGAACGGCGCGCAGGTCTCAGCCACGATACCAATCGCGACAGCGGTACAGACACGCGACTGACGTTCCTGGACACGAAGGTTGTTAAGGAGCGTTGCGAGCACATCCTGGGGACCAATGGCCTTGGCGATGAAACCGAAAGTGTTGTTGGCGGCACGACGAATTCCCTTCTTGTGGGCCTTCAACATGTCTAGGAGCTCGAAACAAATACGCATCCACTCTCTAGCATTGACAGACTCGGGTCCACGGTCGGCGATACGACCAACAAGGTCGATGGTGTTCTCTTGAACTTTTTCGTGGCGGTTACGCAGGATAGGCGTGAGACGAGGCAACAAGTCTCTGATAGGAGGTTGCATCTGATTGATACCAACCACGGTCACGATAGACCTAAGGGCACCCAAAATGGAACCAAGCACTTCGGGATACTCTTCACCCAGGTACTCGTAGAGCACAATACCGAGCTTACCCATCAACGCATCCTCACCACATTGCTTCATGACCATGGCAATGCGAGAAATGAGATCTGCAGCCTGCTGACGAACCGTGGCCGACTTATTGTTCAATCTCCAGAGGATGGTACTGACAATCTGTGGAAGGTAGGGCTTGCAACGGGTGCCAAGGGCGTTCACCACCGTGCCGAAGCCGTTCAGAATGACGATATCCTCAATGCTTTGTTCCTGGAAAGCATACAGAACACCGTCAATCAATCTTTCCTCCAGTCTCTCGGAGATGTCTGCGGCACCGAGGGCTGCGATAAGCTTCTCCACGGTCTCCACGGTCATCTTCCGGTAAGGTTCGCTCTCATCCTTGAGGTTGTTCACGACGCGCTCCAGGATCTCACCCACACCGACCTTCTGTCCAAGATCAACCGTCGTGTCAACCACTTGGCGGTAATTCCTCCGATCCAAAGCCATGCGCCTCACCCAGAAACTCTTGAAGAAATCCGTCAAAACATGCTCCTTGAGGTAACTGGCTGTGACACCGTCGGTGCTGGCGCACTGTGACACCACCTTGAGAACGACCTTCTTCATCTCTTCATCTGGAGAGGAGAACTCGCGGAGTAGGATCTCCATGATCTGACTGGTATAGTAGTTGGCATATTCTTCGTCCATGAGAGGGATGATGTAGCCAACAGCCTTTAGGAACGCAGCCAGACCCTTACCACGCTGCTTTCTGGCACCCGTCCATAGAGGGTTAAGAATCTCATCGAAACTCTCAATACCGTAAGGGTTGGCGGCTTCAGCCAAAGCCGCAACGGCCAGGGCAGTGACCGTCCGTACCTTAGCCTGCTCATCGCTGAGGTTGTCCGCGATACAGTCCACTAGTCCCTTCAGATGAGGTAAAATAGCGCATCCCATGAGAATGGGGATTTGCTGAACAATCTTGACACCGGTGTGTCTAGCTTGCCAAGACTTCTTACTCCGACACACAGCACGAAGGAATGGGAGAAGAGCGGGAATGCCAAGAGCTGAAGCAACCACCGCAAAGGCTCGAGCAGTCGTGTTCCGGACATATTCGTCAACATGGTCGATATCCGGACGCATGGTACTAATCATGGTCGCTAGACCTGCAGCCTTCGCCAGGTTCGAGATAATTTCTCGACCCTCAACACGGGCATAGTAGTCTTGGTCGATAAGCAAGGGCTCGATAACCACGAGAATCTTGTGAACGTAGGGACGGACGAGATCATCCAGCTTGTAGAGAACACGGTCGATGACCTTGACCAACAAATGGCGCTCCTGGTCTTCGAGCGACTTCTCCATGAGAAGAGGAAGGATTTGGTTGAACAAAGGTCCTGCACCGAACTGCCGTGCATTATCCGTCAACTGACGCAGCGCTGTCTTCCTCATTGGCGGCGTGCCGTTCTTGACCTTCAACAAGAGCCGCATAATCTTCCGCTCCTTCATCTCCTCCACCGTCATTGTACTTTCGTCACCTCCTTCCATGAGTTTGCCAAAGTATGCCATATCCTCGGGCTTGAAAAATTGAAGGTCTCCGACACCGGGGATCTCAGTTGGAAGCTGCTTGCCCAGCGCACGAGCGCTTTCAGGCTCTTGCATCATGAAACCACCAACACCAGTTGAGCTGGCCATGGGTGCCGGAGTAGCCATGAGCTTCCTCGCAGGGTTCCGGATCGGGGCGTATCCCGGAGGAGGCTCAAGAATCTTGTAGCCTTCAGATGGCAGCATCATATCGAGCTCTTCATCCGACAGGGGAGCATTGCGCCCAGAGATATCAGTTCCAAAGCTAGTTGGAATCAAAGGTGCACCTACTTGAGAAGGATGCATAGGAGTTGCAAGCCCTTGGTTGCCGACGGGAGTCGCCGCTGTAAGTGCCGGTGCTTGATCCCATCGGGAACGACGCTTGGGCGCTTCCTCTGTGCCGGGGACGACCGGGGCGGGCGTTTGGTCCCAACGGGACCTCTTCGACTTGGTTTCGGGTTCGGCAGGCTTGGGAGCCTCATCCTGAGGTGCCAATTCCGCAGATTCGGAACCGACATCCCATCGTTGTTTGCGCTTGCGACCGGAGGCGACGGAGACCGTGGAGCCGGCGTCAGCGTTCTCCTTGTCTTCCAACTTCAACGTAGCCTCGTGTTCCGTCACGCCATTCTCTCCACGGGCCTGCTTTTCTGCGATCAGCTTCTGGACACGTTCTTCTTCTTTTTCAAGTTCGCGCATAGCCATGACTTCACGATAAGTCTGACCCTCGGCCCCTTCCTCCACGTTGGCATGAGTGTTCGCAGCGAACGGATCAGCGCGTGTGGGAGTCAACGGGCCCCGGTTGAAGCGGCGCTTCTGGTAGTCTGTCTCACGGTCGGCGATCCTCGCTGCCTTCTCGCGCCCAAGAAGGATGTCCTCCTCTTCCACCCCGTTGCCCTGGACAAACTCGTCGATCTGGCTCCTGGTGGCAGTGTATTGGCCCACCAGGCGATGGCCCGCATCCGCATCCTCCATCTCTTCATCGTCGCCATTGACAGCGATTGACGTATCATAACCCGCAAACTTGTCGGCGCCTTCGCTTTCGTAAAGAGCCGTATCGAAGGATTCAGTCAGGGAGGCCTTGGTCGAGTTGTCAGTGCGCTGGCTAGACGGATCAAAGGTCCTAGAACCTTTACTTCCAGCTGCAGCAGCATTTCGCTCAGCTTGGAGCCGGCGAACGGCTTCAAAGTCAGCTATAAAGGGGCGGTCAGTCAGCTCGGGGACTTCGGCGGATGAAGGGGAGGCTGGGGGAGTCATACCGTCGGACATGTTGGCGGCTATGGAGATCTCAAGTGTGAGATTTTTGACAGACACTCCCAGGTAGGGGTCAAGGCAGCTACATCCGGATCGGACAGCACGATGACAGCAAACTTGGCGGTGATGGAAAGTGACGTCCTTGAGGCGAAAATATCAGAGGACATGAGGTGCAGTTCGGCGGCGGGACTAGACTCGCTGACTAAAACCCTCGTCACGTGTCAATTATCCAGATCGGTCGGAGCGGCTGTCGAGTTGACTCTGCAAGAACAGGTTTATTATTTTGCATGGCTGTTCCTTCTAGTCCTTGAGCAGAATAAATTCCCCGTTCCTACATGCCTGCTTGTTTCCGCGCAAGGTGGTTTTATATCGCCTACTCTGGATTGTAGTTCATGTCTCAGATACTACTTACTAGTATATATTTCAGTCACAGCAAGGACTACAGAGAAAAACCATTGAATGCTAGCACTAATGGCATATGGCCATGAACGCCTTCGAAACATATCAGACAATGAGGCCACGAGTTCACGGTTCTAATTCCCCAGAGAGATAAATTAAACATCGGCCTGCCACGCATATGCTGCAATCTGAACGGACTCTGAACTATAGCGGAGCATCTTACCCCAGCGCCGATGTCTCGTCATCGCCAGACACCCAGTAGCCGCGCCTTGGCCGCATGTGAACTATGCTCCAGATCTCAAGTACTTGATGCGAGCTTTGAGGTTCCAATTAGCGAGGAATGACCATCTGCCAGGTCCTGAGAAAAGACTGTCAATACAAGTTAAGTCGAGATGACACTTACGTCAGCGCTACACGTGATATCTCTTCCGCATTGGGAAACCGGCCGCCAACCCCCGGCCCCCGGCCAGTCACCCACCTCCCGCCTCAACGCGTCCTGGTCCAGCTGCGTTTTACCTACCTACCCAGCATCACTTCATCTATTGATCGCACTCCGAACACCCTCTTCTTTACTTTGCGCATTTATCTCTCGAAGAAACGCAGACTCCAGAACTAAGCGTGCAATTGAACACCCGAGCGGACTCTCAAAGCGCCAAGTCGCTCTAACTCGGACTACCACACCCGCTCACATACGTCGTTAACGTTTTGCGCTTCGTTTGCGCCCTACAGCCTACCCCCCTATTCCCTACCATCAATTGACCTCAAACATAACTTATACACGCTCCGCGTCATGGCGACCGACTACGGTAAAAAGACCAACGCAGAGCTGGTCGAGATCCTCAAGTCTCGCAGCCTCCCGCATACGGGCAAGAAGGCAGACATGGTCGCCCGTCTTGAGGAGGATGATAACAAGGCCGCGGATGCCACGAAACCGCCTGCGGAGGCTGCGGCTCCAGCTGCCGCAGATGATGTCATTGACTGGGAGGATGATGAAGTTCCTGCTACGGAGGCTGCGGCGAAGAGCTCCACAGAAGCTGGGGCCGCTGCCATTGCGGCCGGTGGAAAGGGAGAGGTGGCCAACCCTGTTGCCGTGCCGAACCAGAAGCTAGACACCGACCCTGCTACCACGAATGATCTCAAGGTCGAGTCGGAAGGTGCTGCTGCTCCTGCAGAGGAGAAGCCCGAGGCTAGCACCGACGCTGCCGCTACCGCTGCCGCTACCGCCACCACCGAAGAGGTAGAGCAGAAGCCCGCCCCAAGCTTCGCTGCAGGTCTCCCGATTACAGAGCTGGAGGAGGAGCTGAAGAAGCGCAAGGCTCGGGCGGAGAAGTTTGGCATTACCGAAGAGTCCAAGGCTGCCATCGACGCTGCCGAGAAGCAGCTGGAACGTGCGAAGCGATTCGGAACAGCTGCCACTGCTGCTCCGACTACTGAGGCTGGGGTTAAGAAGTTGGATGAGGCACTTCCGGAAGAGAGGTCGCGCAAGCGTGGCCGCGGTGACAATGAGCAGGGCGGCGGTCGGGGAGGAAAGAGACGCGATTTTGGCGGCCGGAATAAGTCACGGCGTCAGGGTCGCGGAAATCGCAACCAGGGTCAAGGTCAGAACCAGCGTCAGCAGCAACAGAATGGAGGCGGAAACAAGAACAGCAGCTTGAGTGAAAAGGATGCCCAGGCTTTGGAAGCTCGGAAGAAGAGGTTTGGGTAGGCTGCTCCAGGTTTTCTTGCTTGTCGCTTACAGTTGACATCTCATCTGCTTTTCATCTCATCGGCGTTTAGGGGAATTCAATCTCGATCTTGAGGATTTTTACTGGCGTGCTTAGGCTTTTGATTGAAGCCACGACGGTTCTCAATACAATCTTGTAGTGTGATAGGACGATTCCATGGTAGCTCGACCTGGTCAATCAGATCGGCCAGATGCTAATGTTCCAAATGGTAGTCGTACAGCCCCTAGTGGGTTGTTTGGCTGAATAGTGGGACGGAATTCCAGGCTATCGTTACTATGTTGATAATCGAACTCTGATCGGAGATTGGCCCTTAACGAGGACAAAGAGCCGTTCAGGGTGACATCCGGCTCAGCATCTGTTTGTTTGCTCTTTCCGTCCTATCCTGTGTTATCTTCACTCCATCTTCTCGGGACTTTCGCAACCCAGGCAAGGTGGCTGGAAGCAGATTGAAGTAGAGGTAGAAGGGAGTCGGTCGGTCGGGTCAGTAATCTTTGGAGAATTCTGGACGCCCGAGTCAAGCTGCAAGCCATGTTACAATAGCGGTTTTGGCAGCCTTGACATGTTCAGCTGAAAAGTGCATGACAGGCGCCGGTTCCTGCAGAATACTGAACAGCGCTGGCTGCTAACCAAGGAAAGATCAAAATTGATATCGGACTTTTCGATCCAATTCGATCGGCGTCAGTAGATTGAAATTGCGTACCCCACAGCATACCAATAGTGACTGCAGAAGACCGTCACTATCATGTCGCCCGCATGCGTACGCTTGCCTACGCCATTCGACTCGCATTCTGTTATCCATTGTGCGAATCCCGCCCGTCCCAACGAAGAGTCGCTCTCAGGACTGTTAATGATTGGTATTTATCGCCATCGTTTAGCCTAACCTGGCCGGAGTCAAATATTGTCAAGCACTTTCACAATCAATGAGCTAAAGCCTCGAATAACCGCTGATCTCGATTCGAGACCACAGTCACGGCAAGCGAAAGGGCCTTTGCTTCATTGGATCGAGCGAATCGCCTCGTGTTGCGCGGTCTATTACGCCCGTCCGGCTCGCTGCTAAGCCAGGCCGCGCGGATGGCATCCGTCAATCAGGGCGGATTGTCGCACGGTGACAATTTAGCGGCGGATCAAGACCCACGGGCTGGACGACTCCGCAATCACTTGTGAGGGTCGAGGCTGCACACAGTGCACAGAGAAAGAAGATGAGTGAGAGAGATATTAATAGATCATCAACTTCGATTCCACAAGGGTTGATTCTCGATGGATTGATTGCTTCAGGGACCAACGAGGTTCCCCACCATCCTAGTAGTTGTGACCCTTGGCCTCAGCTGCGGTGTACTGGGTACATGTTCTGAGATGTCAGTGGTTGGACAGAGAGCAAAATTATCACCACCTGCAGTCGAAGTATATTCTGTTCAGCCGTTGTGAATGGTTCCATGGTTCGTTCGTCCTGCAAGGGAGAAAGAATACTGAGCATTCGGCGGGCAAACTTGGGATGACAGGATGGTTCGGGGCGAACCTTCCAGCGTACCAGCGTTACTCCAATACGACAGTGGACAAAGAGGTAGAGATATGTACTGTACTCCCTTAGTAACTGAGACAAGAGGAGTTCGGAGAATGGAAGGCTTTCGTTAGTTTCTTTTTCTTTTTTATTTTTCTGCATTCCTTCTCTTCACAATATTCTTCTTGCATTCGATAGTTAACTTAGCATCTCGTGGTGTTGTCACGTTCCTAATTTATGTTCTCTGGCTCGGACTCGCCGTGATCGGCAAGTCCAGTGACGGGCAAAGTCACTGACTGTCAGTGACCATCAGTGACCTTCACCTGACCACCGCACTAAAAAACAAATTCCCCTCGTCGCCATCTCCCCGTCTCCCCGACGGGTCAAGGAAAATGTCCGACAGGCGTCAAATCAGAATCCATCTTGTTTGACACTCGGACCAGATCGAGCTGCGGCAATTCCTGCTTGAATGCAAATGCCTGGGCCTGCACCTGCCATCTGCATGTTGGCCCATCGCAAGTGGTCAGATTGGAGCACGACGGACTGTCCGCTATTTCACGCCACTCGACTCCATTGAGACCTGTCAGCCTTTACCGTTGAACAGTCTCCAAGCCTGTGCTTCGACAGTCTTCACCACTTACGACGAGAGTAACAAGCGCGGGTGGACCTTAATAGCGGGTTTGCCCACTTTTGATTGCCATGCCTCCAACTCGATCTCAGCAAGATTATTTGTGGAGTCCAACAACGCTCGTGCCCTTCATCCAAGATGGGGAATTTCTAGGCTAAAATCGTCCGATGATAAACACCACAAGATGCACCTGCAATGACGGGAATCATATAATAATTGTACTGATACGATACAAGGCGAAAGAGCAGTTCCTGCGCCAATGATCGTCCCGGTCACATCAGTGCTCGAATTCGGCACCGATGTCGATCGCGCAACCGCGCCAGGATTTCCTGTGATAGTTGACCCTTTAGTTCTAGGGATTATTGACCTGCAAATGGGTATGCTGCTTCCCCCGCGGCGCTGGGTGGCCCGCAATGAGGGTAAACTCAATCATGGACTGTCTTAGATTCTCACCCAGGGCCAGACCTCATGGGCACTGATTAATACACCCGATCCATGACCTTTTCTCGTCCTTTGATTTCCCCTTTCAACATTTCTACTTTCTCTCTCAGCTGGCTCCTGGGAACCCCATTCTGCGCAAGTCTCTCTGATTTGCAAACTGCGGCAGCACGTTCTCTGACGTGGTCGTGCAGACCCAGCTCAACCGATTTCCTTTCTCCCTGCCTGCAGTTAGCCACCGGCGACGTCTCCGGGCTGTGGCGCAGTGGGTGCATCTGCCCGCCGGCTCAAGTATACCCGCGGTCAATTGGAGATTTTTGGTTGTCGTCGCTCAAATCCTATTTACTCAGCGACCAGAATTCTACTTCAAATTTTCTTTTGGTGAAGGCAGATTTTTATTTCATGCTCAATGTAAGAACTTGTTTAGTACATCGCTCTGTGCCCGACTATATCGTTGTGCTCTTAGATTCCCCGCCGCGCGTCGATTCGTGAATCTTTACCTTCCTCATATAAGCAGCGCCATAATTGTTACCTTTGCTATCTCTTGTAGGGCGTCATGATACGTCCTGCCGGTGTAAGTGATTATCGGCTATCTGCCTATGGATTCTCCCGCGCGCTGAAGCTTACAACACAATTTCCCTGCAGTGTTTGCTCTGTTCCCGATAATCAAGAAACAGACGGAATGAGTTCCAGCTTTACTCGTTTGGATACCATCGCTAGATTATTAGTCTTCGGACTGAAGCTGGCGACTGGATCTCGGTCACACGATGTCGTCGCACAAGTCTGATGGTGGCCGAATACCCCGGCTGAAGGATGTCGCGTCTCAATCCCGAAATGTATCGTCGACCGGGATGACTTCAGTGCATTCCTCGAACTCTGCTGCCCAATTATTACACCGTCCCCGGATACCCAGGTCGAATAATGCTTCGACCAGGAATAGCAGAACATCATCTTCTTCGGATGCAGGAGATAGTCGTCATGCCTCTGCGTCTTCGAACACGTCGAGAATCCCGACTGGGTCCATGGTTCGTCCGCCCTTATCCTCGCAAGGGACGATCCACCCATCTCCGCCGTATTCAACCCCGGACCTAATGGCAGATCGTCGTGTACCACAGGTCTCCCACATGGTTGCCGAACCCCTGAGTCCCGCGGGATTAGAACCACAAACTCCCGGTCCAGGTCGACTTCGGAATGTTCTTCGAAGAAAACCGCCCACAATTGGTCAGCATAGTGCACAGACTAGACCAATGCCGGACAGAATCAAGTCTCAGAAGCTGAATGTCATTATTCCTGAGCAACCTCCCATTGGTCGTTCGACCACGACCCTATCTCAGACCGCGCCAAGTAATACTAGTCTGATCGGACAGCTTCCATCACCAATGGCATCGCAAGAGATCTTCCCCAGCAGCGTATCGGACTCGAAAGCTGATAATGGTCCAAAGGAGTTCGCCAGTCTTAGGACCGCCACGATCAATACGCAGAACCTCCCACCCCCAACTCCACTAATTCCTTCTGCCAGCAGCCCCTCGACGAGGTACTCTGAGTCTCCCGGAATGTGGAGTAGGACGTCCACACCGACTACATTATCTTCGTACTCACCAGGAATTTCAATACCTCCCAAAGGTCCTCGTATGAGACAACCGAGCCCATCTCAAAGCAGACTCCCTGTCTTCTCTCCCAAGTCGCATCAACTGAGCTTAGTTGCTCCACATACTGCCATAGATGCACCCAAACCATCCACAAAGACAAACCTAAGCGGTTCACATAGCGATAACGAGCATGGAGAGTCTATTGGGAAGATGAACATGGCCAGGACACCGAATGTGGCCAGTAGTAGCCTGCCGCGAAAGCTACCCATGGGGACAAATCCGAGCCTCTCTAGCGGAAACCAGCCTGACTACGATATACAGCCAGTTCTCCAAGCAAGACAAAAGAGCGAACCCATGTCTCGTGGAGAAAGAGCGACCGGGATGAAGATTTCTGTCCAAATACCCACGAGACCCAGCAGAGAAGGCACTCATCAGTTGGTGCTGGAGCCATCGCCAGTGATTCGAAGCAATATAGCGCCTACGGCTTTGACAGGCCATAGGCGCAGAATCTCAACCGATAGATCTGCAGTAACTGAGGCATCAGCGTCTTCAAGCTTGTCTGCAACTACGTCTGTAGACTCTCTGCATTCGACAATTTCTATGCGAACCACCTCGCGCACTCCTACATCGCCCGAACTTCTGCGGAGAACCCCTTGGCTACTGAGCAAGAGTCCCAAGCCGCAGCACGACGCCATCAGTCCAGGCAAATCCCGCAGCCTTGGTCTTTTCACCAAAAACTCCAAACCGGAGGTAGAGAAAGAAAATGAAAATCGATCCAATCGCAAAGGACCAGCTGCTGGAACAGGGCATGAAGGTTACGGTAGGTATTCACAACGAGGCCGCAAATTGAGCACGACTAGCACGACCAGTCGAGAACGATCATCAAGCTCGGCGAGAAGTGGACCAAGGTCTGTTATCAGCAAAGGAAGTACAAAAAGCCGCCCGGAGCTTGAGCTCGACGATTTTTTGTTGGAGCGTCTCGAGCCTGTTATCATTCATGGTGGTGGTATGGATGGCGTTGCTGCCGCTATGAAAAGGCAGAGCGAGCAGAGCACAAGCGGCTTCAGTACAGGCACGAATTCGATTCTTACACAGCAGTCCAAGATCTCTCCATCCGCGAGTGGCTCCACGGAGACATTGCCATCTTCCAGAGCGACTTCGGTGACACTGGGTGACACAGTCCGGAGAGGCTCGAAAGGTCAAAATATTTCGAGCATATTAGCATTTTCCGAGCTAGCGAGCATGCCGATCAAACCATCAGAGCAGACGATGGTTGGCAATTCGCAGTCTGTTGTTCAGTCTAGTCCACAAAGTCGCAAACCTCAACCATCAGACGACAGACGGGTAGAAGCTCATGAGGTAAAGAGTCCACAAAAGAAGTCATCCAAGAAAAGTCTTGGGCTGAAGTGGAATATTTTCCAGAAAAAATCGGATACGGCTCGTCCAAATGTTGAGACTGCCGCCAGTTCTGGCCCCAAGCTTCATGCTACGGTGTCTCCCCTAGCGGCTCGTCGGCCCATTCCTTACTATGCGCTACTGGACGTTGACTCGGACCCTCTTGAAGAGATAGTCCACAACGTTGAGAACTCACCCCCAACTGAGGATGAAGACATTGTCTCCCCAGTCGATGTGCCACCCGCATTGGAACTACGGAACCCTACCGAATCCATCTTGCTGCCTTCGCCACCAAAATTGCACGACAGTCTGTTTCGAGATCAGATCCAATCTCCAAAAGTCTACTTTGACCATAGCTTTGCGTCTCAGAACCCCGCGACTCAGAGCCCCGAGAGTAAGTTGGAGGTGAAACGTACCAGTCGCTTGACATCCATAGGTCGCATTCCCCGGGTTGTCTCGAGAAGGGAGCGACCACACAAACCAGCTCTGCAGTCATTTTCGAGACCGTTCAGCGTGGCAGACTCTCCATCACTGCTGGCTCCAGTTGTTCCGAAGCCTTACGCGTTCTCCCCACCAAGTTCACAACCATCTACGATGCGACCACTCGAATCTCCTCAAAAAGGTACCATTTACGGATTCGACCTTACTAACCCATTTGGCGACCTATTCCAATTCAGCGTCCTGGATTTCATTGCCGGTCCCTATGCAAAGGACGAATTCATGACTTTCTATCCTAGAAAGGAATCAGTAGTGTCGTCTTCAAGTGGCTCCGAAAGCCTCACAGCCATCACTGCTGTGGTTCCAAGTCCTGGAGCAGATTTAACAGAAGATGAAGTTTGGGGAGAATATGATGACCTCATTGATCATGTTTTGTCGCCTCAGACAACAAGCACGTTATTTTCGATTGACTCGGAGACGGATCGAAATCTCGAGATGGCGACAATGGCCAGTAGAACACTTCAAGCGGGATTGAATGGCGATCAGGCAACCCGCTTTTCTGGCTTGCTCGATGGACCAAAGGTCGAGCTCACACCTTCTTCTCCCCTTTCTAGTCACGACTCAGTCGAACTTCGCAGGTCTACAGTTGCTGCCGAGATCCGCACGTCAATTGCTCCGTCCTCCCAGCCTTCCTTCAGTAGTATAATTGCTTGCTACTGTGATAATCATGAGGACAAGAAAGATACAACCGAGCGAGAAGTTGACAGCGTGACGGCAGTGCCTCCTGCGGAGCACCCGTCAGGCCTGCTTGGCTCTCCAGCATTGGTCGCATCTCCTAGTTTCGAGAAATGCCGCCAGCGTAATACTGTTTTATTCGACATCGCGGAACGTGATCGTGAAGGGCCAACTGCTCTCACGAACATACGGTCGGGCTCGCTCATGACAAGTCGGTGGCTATCGTTCGGAAGAGTTCTCTTCAGTCCCGGACATAATCGTGTCCAAAGCGGGGATCAAGAGAGAATCTTGGTTGTGGACGGATTGGGAAATGACGACTGGTCCTTCTACTGCGCATTGACCTACCCCACTGCTAGCATTTATAGTCTCAACGAAGGGTTGAATGCAGCTACGTTCAAGCACCCAGCAGCATGGCAACCACCATCGAATCACCATACATTCTACCAGTCAACACTCAACGAACCATTGCCCTTTCCGAAGGGCTATTTTACTGTTACTGTTCTGCGCTTCCCTGCAGCTTGTGCAGAAAGCGCGCAAGCTAAGCTAGTGTCGGAGTGCAAGCGTGTCCTGCGTGCGGGGGGCTACCTTGAGATGAGCATCCTTGACCGTGATATGGTGAACATGGGTCATCGTACACGAAAAGCCCTGAGGACGCTGAAGGAGCGAACATACGTATCCGACCCGAACATCAGTCTCAAGCCTGCCAGCGACAGCGTGCAGAAAATGCTTGGAAAGTGTGGCTTCGACAACCTCCGACGGTGCATGGTTCGTATACCAGTGGCAGGGATGATCGTGAGATCGTCAGCCTCCTCCACCTCGACCTCATCCTCGAACCCATCTTTGCTGGCTACCATAGCCGGCTCTTCAAGCAATATATCGGCCAAAAACAAATCTTCCCAAGCTATCTACCAGAAACTTCACGGGAAGTCATCCTCGAATGACACCGATCTGTCTCTGGGGGACCTTCTATCTGATCCGCATCCATCGCCCTCCAACGACGAATCTATTCGCAAAATCGTTGCTAAGGTAGGCAGGTGGTGGTACACGCGATGCTATGAGATGCCCGTCCTCCCGAACGGCGATGTTGCTCTCAGCATGTGGTCGGACAGGAAGGTTATCCGTGAGTGTCAACAACGCGGTACGGGCTTTCGTCTATGGATCGCATATGCTCAGAAACCTAGCGAGAAACGCCGAACAGCGAGTGTTTAGTGCATGCTTGCATTCTCGAATGGTCACACGAAAACATAACGATGATGATGATACATACGAACGTTGACGAGGAAAAACATATATCCATTGCTCCAGTTTCACGATCATACCCACTGATGATTGATTTCTTCTTCATTTCGACTCGGAGTGATCTTTTGAGGGCCTGGAAGACAAAAACGAAGGGAAAAGAACAGACTGACTTTTGCATTCCTCAGCCATTAGCCTTGTGCATATATTGTTTTTTTGTTGGACTGACTTGATCTCTTTTTCTTTATCTGCCTTCATAATGTGTCGATCTTGATTGTTTATGGGCGGCTGTCTCAACCCTTTTGTCATTCGATTCTCCAGATGCCTTCCATGAAGCTGGCTTGATGGGCGGACTTCTGCTTTTTAGTTGTTTTAATGTTGACATATAAAGATAAATTCGAGACTCAGGAGACGAGTGACGGATTAATTCGGGTAACACAAATAACAAACAAGTTCCCATTGAAAGAGACAAACGAACCTGAAGGAGTTGCAAGGTGTTTCAAACGGTTGAGATCCAGACCATCAACCAGCACGACCCCGCAATTCAACAAGAAACCAGCCCGTACCGGGCAAGCAAGCCTTTGCAGGTAAGAAAACCTACCGCAAGCCCACTTCGACTGAACGCACACCGCAAGAAGGGAGGTTAAAGAAAACCGCAATGAGAGAAAAAAAGTTAACCACTTCTAAGAGCAATAATGCACATACATACATACCCACACACACACACACACACAGCTAAAGCTTAAGATCCAGTCCAGTCCTACCCCTCTCCCAAACCCCTCCCAACAACAACAGCAGCAGCAGCAGCAGCAGCAGCAGCAGCAGTAGCAACATCCCGCCCCCCCTCCCCGTTCCCCTCCCCTCCTACCCGTAGACAGAAACCGCAGAAGGCGCAAGCGACCGATTTACTGTATCTCCCCCCTGTAAAATCCCACCTCGCTTGGCCGGCTTGCCTTGTCCTTGTGCTTTGTCCTCCCACTTTTCCTCCTCCTCCCTCCCTCCCTCTTCCTCTTCAAAACGAAGAAACAATACGAACCTTACCTACCTACCAACCCCCCGAAAACCAAACCAACTGACATATCTGTGCATCTGCATAACCCGCCTTCCAGACCGCAGAACTTGCATCATCCCGCATGGAATGAACACACAAAACGGTTGCTAGAAGATTCGGGACACGGAAATTCGAAATCAAGCGAGGCGACGTGGGCGAGGATGGACGAGAAGCTGGGTTTTCTTGGTCGGCGCCACTGGGTTCGGGTTGTGCAGAGGTATGATATCAGGGTACCTTATTCGAGTATCACATCTAGAATGGTGGGATGGGTTAAAGAGGGAGGGAAATGATGATGATGGAAGGGGGAGGCGGCGGCGGCGGCGTTGGGATGATGGATGGATGGATGGATGGATGGAGGCTTTTGCCTCAGGTTGTATATGCTACTCGTGTATGGAAGGTAGAAGGGAGGGGGTTATTGCTCATTCTAAAAACGGAACGTTGGGGAGATGCGCCTCTTCAGGCTACTGTCACTGGGAACTTTTAAGGGAGGGGGGTAGATGTATCTGGATGTATTCGAGGGTTGCTCTCGTTCTAGAATGTACAGCAGGTGCGGCGTTTGCCTCCCTATCAGAAGAAAAATGGAGATGATTTGCCGCTCATATTCTACAAGGGGAGTGTGGTCGATCAGATAATGGTCGATACTGGAAGTTCTACTGGTTCTATTGGCATCTGGACGGCGGGTAGGCGCATCAAGGGGCGGCGTTCTGAAATGGTCACCCGTGGCCACTTGCCACCACCCACTCGATCAGCGGGTAGGGATACATTCATGTTGTGTGGGTTGGCGCTGTATGGTAGTAAGGCAGGACGTTTGTGTTGTCTCATATCAGGGGCGAGCAACTGCATGATATGATCCTCTATCTGAATAGGATGATTTCACGAGGCGGGGAAGAAGAAGTGGCTGTGGCAAGGAGAAAAATACAGCGTTTGACTGACCACTGACATCCTAGGGGCTGGCTTTGAGATGGAGCCAGGCGGCGCAGATTGTGGAAGTGGTGGTGGAGGCGTCTATAGCAATGTGTGCCTACGGGTCGAATTGGTTGGTTGGCTCGGAGCCTTGTAAGCAATGGCTAGAGACTGCCAAGGGACTCTAGGAGGAAGGTTCGACGCACCTCTGCTGCGTCCGTGGTTTGATGTTGAATGCGTTGTTGGGCTTGATAGCCTGATGCAGTGAGAGATGCTAAGTGCGGGAGGCGTGCCTCACGAGGGAGAGATCGCCTACTGCGCGATTCTGGGAGCATAGAACAAGTGATGAAGGGCCTTGATGGCGCGCATGTGCCATCCCAAAGTCTTGTCTGCAAGGTTGTTCAGATTGCAAAATCCGATGGTCATGTTGACAATAGCATGGTGGCTGTTGAGCCATGACAGGGTGAAGATATGCCAAGAATGGCCGCATACCGGTGGATACTTGTATAATCGGGCAAAGTATAGTATATATACTTGTACTGGCGTTGTCGCGATTGATGGGTAAGCGACCAGACGCAGAGAGGCCATGAGTTGGCAGACCAGGGGCCGCTGTTGCGTATATGATGTGCTTCAGGGTGTCTGTACCCCGCAAAGGCTGTGCTCTTGTCAAGTGACTAGCCCGAGGATAGGGCGGTTGGGACCCAGTAATAGTGTTCTCGAGAGAGGAAAGGTGCATGTCGTGATATCGCATTGCGGAGGGGACGGATCGAAGCCATCCCGTACGGCCATCTTAATGAAAGGCTGCTATACCTGCACACCCCACACTGCGGACCGCGCTGCTCACTCAACGATTCCAACCGAGGAAGGAAGGGGAACACGGTCAACAGGTGGTAAGATGGGACTGAGCTCGTACACAGCAGGGTGAGGAGGGGCGTTTCCGCGCTCAGACAATGTCTATGGCATGTTTGTCACGTTGCTAACCTAGGCTTTCCCTTCCCTGCTAGTCAGAAAATGGTGTCTGTGCTCGCCGACAGGCCCGGTCCAGTGGCATTACCGTCCAGGCTTGCGTGGCGGAAGGGTGAAGCCCGCGCTAATGGGACACTCTCCTCCGGTCAAAGGTTGGGCTCAACGTCCGAGATCAATCGATTGAAGGTTTTGGAGCGGGGTGGACAGGACGGATGGCTTGGATGGTCTTTGCATGGGTGTAGCTGTCATGTGTACTGGCTCGGTGTGTTTGCAGGATGCGGTTGGTCGGATATGCACGTCCAGCCTTTCTTGTATTATCGTTCGGTGTTCTGATGGCCAATTCGACGTTGTTTGTGACTGGCTAGTGTGGTTAGTAAGTGAAGAACGTGCGTTAGATTGCATAGGTGCTGAGCATGAATGAGCATTTCTCGAACATAGATCTGCTATTCCGACTGATCCGTGTTTGACAACTTCCTAGTCGAAGAGGCTTCAGTCTACATCTTGTTGTGTTCTCCGTGGATCCTTATGTCCGGTCTCGTTTCCCTCCTCACTTGCGGGGGATCCTCTTTTAGCGAGTGATCAGATCCAAGGGGTCAACGACCACTCAGGAATGTAGAAAATGATGGAAGAGGAACGGAAGATGCACTTCTGGGGAAACAATGGGGAGAATGACGGGCTGCCACGTGATCAGCCGGCCCCCCCCGCCGTAAACTGTAGCGGTGAGAGTGAGCAGAAAGAGAGTATGATGACGTCACAGCAACACAGCAGCTGGCCCGGCAACGATTTTACTCATACTTCCTTTTACAACTTACATTGCACCTACAGACATATCACATCGACGCGCATAAAGAAGGTGCGGATAACTTCTCCGCACTTTCGGCTGCATGCGTATGTATATTGGAAGAGATCATTCAATGGACCTGGAGCGTTGGCGCTGAGCTTAACCAGACATGAGCCATGCATCGATCAGCCTCAGCGTACACATTTGGTGACTGTTACCTTTCGTAATGACCAAAGGCCTGAGAATCGGGCAGCCTGGAGTCGCAGATAGGCTTCTGCAAGCGGTCAAGCTCAAACTCAGACAGGGACTACTCATCAGGCTGGCCCTTCAAGTTCACTGATGAATCTCAACTAGGATAAATGTTGGTATCATGCAATCCATAGGACGGGAAATACTAGATGCAAAGGGCATCTTCAGAGATCAGTGTGATACCACAAGCTCTACGAGGACTGGCACCGCATGATTTTCTCTCTGGCCATCGCGGATAGCTGAGCCAGCAAGGGCTCCAGTAAAATAACGGTAGCACGCTGTACCACCATGGTTAGAGATCAAGGGTTAGAGTAACTTACAAGCTTTCGCAATACTACCCGAACTATCCATCGCCTGCAAACCCCAGCGAACATCCAGATGAGAGCCTACTGCCCGCCGTCATCCTGCATGCGCGAGTTCAGCTGCTCTCAAAATGTTGTTCGGTAAAGGCGATCCGAACTCGTCTGCCATATCACGTTAATGATTGCGTTATCAGAGAACAAAGCAAACTTGCCAGGGAGATCATCGTTCAGCAGCATGAATAGAATAAACGCGTTAACCACCTGTATGACTCTGACCGGAACTCCTGGAAACGTAGATCACGGGACAAACTTTGGTCCATGCTCAGATCGAGCTGATAAGGGTTCTGTGCCAGTGGCCTATGGCTATAGCGGCAATTACCCAGCCTTGAGCAATGGGATAAGGTAATTGCCACGCGTCTTGAGCCAAGGACCACGCACGTTCTGTGCACTCTCGCCGTCACTCCGAGTTGTCCCGTACAATCCCCGCACGTCTATAGTTTATGGCTTTGTGGCCCGAAAAGCAACGTCTGGCACTGCGCAATCAATCCTACGGACACGGACTTGTTGCTGTACTTCAAGTGATCAACAATCATGTGGCCTACGACTACACCGATTCAAAACTCTCGTCTACCGCGCAATACAGTTTTCGTCTAGTTAGAATTGCGCGTACAGGTTGAGCTGCGGCTATCGGGTATTGGGAGTCACCTCTGTAACCTCGCGTATCTCGCAGTGCAAACAATGGTGGTAAAGACCGAGAGTTCGCCGTAAAGGCCCTTGTAATTCAATAGCCGGCGAGGGCCCGAACAGCACGCCATAATTCCTGCATCACGATACACAACATAGCCGTCACGGCGTCAGTTCGGCGAAAGGATGATGGATGCAACCAATCGGTCACCCAAATCACTCCAAGAGATTCATCTCGATGAGGGTTGCGCAGTTCAACAGAACACGAAGACAGATCCCCCATGGGGTCCCCAGCTCCAGATTCTGCTCGGACGACAGTCGTGCGGGACAGCATCTCCACAGCTTTGAAGCCTGCATGCAAAGCATGAGAGCTTGCAACGCAATCAGGAGCCGAGACCACCCCAATTGTCGGACGGAACAGCAGCTGTATCGCGTCGTGCTGCGACCCTCCCGCGAGTGTCTCTCCAACAACAGGAGAGATAAGGCGTTATGCGCTGGGGTTAACGGTTAGAGATTCACTTCTGTCATGCTATACCCTGCTCGAAGGAACCAGTCTGGCCTCGCAGAACTAGCTCTTGATACGAGCGGAGGAGTTTGACAGTCTGTGTTGACCGCCTAGTGAGGAGACTTTCGTAAGCTTTGACAGGGAGAAAAGTTAAAATTGATGATTCTGGAGACGCCCGTAGCTTGACAGGGCTGCGAGCAGGAGGAGAAAGAGGAGAGAGGAGTCGGAGACTAAAGACGCCAGGGCTCGAACGTGGCGGTTGGGGCCGATCAGCGAGTTACGGTGGTGCTAATTGACGCCGCTTATCCGCCCGGGCGCTCGACCGCCCGGCCGTAGTGCCAACTGTAGCAGAGCTGCTAGTAGACTTTCGGACGACGACGGCTAGAAAGAGGGGGAGCTAGGGACTATATTCAAGTCCATGCTCAAACTTTGATGGTTTCAAGGGGCTTGGAGTCTCGGACGGCGTCTGAGTGGGAAGTTAGTGCGATGCACGTCAATTGGAGTGGGAACCCACCCACCAGAAGGCAGCTAAGAAAGGCATTGTATGGTATGTTGGGCCTGGTGATAACATGGTAACAGTTACCTACCTGCACAATGGTCTGCTTCGCCCCTCATGGCTCCCCCTTACCATAGCCTATCGGCCACTTTTCCTGGGAAAATTTTTTTCTTTCTTTCTCAATGTTGCGCTGTAGGCTGACAGGAAAAGGACAGACCATCAGCGCGGTGTGAATTTAGGGGCTAGATTGAGCAGCGACGCAGCGGATGGCTTGAATGCTAGAGACTTAGTACGCTCCTGGATCTGCAAGAATGAGCAAGGCGCAATCAAATGAAGTGTCTCTAACCCAACCTCACCAGCCCGGAGAGGTCCTTGCGGGAAGGTCGATCGCGCTTCGGGAAGGGCCAAGAGACCAGAGATGCAGTAGATATCTTGTTGCTCATGTCGCCCCCCATGCAGCAGGCACGGTCTAGCCGGTCTGGTCTGTCTGTAGAGTCCGGTCGGCTTGATTAGTTCCGCCTGTCAATCAGCCCAGACGGCGTTTCTGCTCCTTTAATGGATGAGAGGATACTGAGTCTCCGCTGTGGCTTGTGCAATATAGACATGATGGCCCGGATAGAAGCGAATTGAGTTGCGCAATGGAGAGCGACCGGGGGGCCGGAGGCGCCCTGTGGTGCCGGTGAGTCGAGACAAGATAAGACCGGCATGGGGGTGTGAGACAAGCGCCCGCCCGAGGAGAAGAAACTTTCGAAAAACGAAGGTCGTGCGACAGGCACGGTTCACCGATCTCGCTTGGTTGGTCTGTGGTTGGTTTGGGTTCTTGAAGGGGGGGGGGGGGGGGAAGGGTTGTTGTGGTGTCAGTGGTGGTAGTGAAAGTGGAGGTGGGAGGTGGGAGATGCAAGTGGTGAGCGAACGATATACCTACCTATTTTGGGAAAACCGACCTAGATCTGCCTATCCATCGATGGGGGCGAAGCCTTCACCTCAGCTTGACAATTTAGCGAGAAGGTAAATTGATGAATCAAGAAGCCTGGGCATCGAACTTTGAAAGGATGATGTTGATAATACAGTAGTTACACAAATTGTCAATTGGAAACAGTAATTGCATGATATCCGAGATACCTCATTTTTCTCGAATCTTGTTGATCCATGCGGGAGGGAGACCTCTGTGCAGAATGTCGCACCATTGATATAAATTCTTACTCGTAGGACCAGTGGATATAGAGATAGACGGGAAGACCATTGACCATAGGCAGGTTGTCTGGGATGTCAGAGTGTTCGATGGGGTGGCGGTACTTACTCGTAGTCCGATCCAGCCCCGATAAATACTTAGATCGTAGTTATCATTACTATCGATCACATCATATCAGGGCTTTTCTCAGTGCCAAGAAATAGCATATGACGAGGGCCTTTCGAGACCTTTAAAGGGTCATCGCCCGACAACGGAAGCAAGCATTCACCTCCTCTGTGTCCTGTCCCGGCTCTCGGTTGCAGACCAGCTCGTCACTCTGTGGAATTTGTTTGGTCAGATCAAGGCAGTACAGGGGAAAGTGGAATCAGTGGAATTTCCAACTTTCCCCCTCCTCCTTCTCCTCCCCCAAGGTTTGTGTGGTCTGTGCAGACTCGACTCCAGAATTTTCGAACGTGACGACTGGAGAAGTGACACCAGCAAAAATGTGTTCTCGACTCTCGACCCGGCAAACAGTGCTCCAGCAGGCCAGCCTGCTGATGTCATACCTGGGAATTTCCTTGGAAATCAGTCGTTGGCCCGAACGACGCTAGTGCTTAGCACATCAACGGGTGGGTAACCAAGCCTGGACTAGACTAGCCCTTCAACTGTCCTTCCCCCCCACCTCCCTTCTTTTACTGTAGGTAGTCTGTTATCTTGAGAAGTCACTTTAGGCTCCGAAGTCCGAAAGAAAGATACATGTCTTCCAGACCATAAAGAAGAAGGAACAAATTGATGTACTGTGCTGTGCCTCTGCTACTACTGTACTATAGACGTGCGTGCAGCTTGAGCACCCAAGTGGATCTTCCACGCCTGTAGACTTTTCTTCTCTTAATCATCACATACTCACATACATCTATCTGCATCTTCTGTCTTAGAGAAGTTTTTTCCTCTTCAGCATCCCAAAAGGTAAAATCCCACGCTGATCAATTTTGCCCCCCCTCGTGCACGAACACTTCATTCCGATTGACGAGAGGGGCCACTGGACCACCGGTACTCACGCCATACAAGGACCATCGGCCGGAAGCTGGGGTCACTGCTCCAAGGCTGGGACTCGAGAAGCCAGGAGGCAGGCCCGTCGGGTCGAGTCAATTGTACGAGTACATGGAAGTGGGATTATGTTTTTTTTAGCAAGGCGCTTCATCGATCAATTATACTGAGGGAGGGTATCCATATGAAGCTGTTATCAACCATCATTGGCAGGTGCCCTGCACCAGCGACGAGAGACTAATATACATCGAACAGGAATTTGTTAATGTGGACAGCATTCTAACGCTCCCCAACATTGCGTCCTCTAGACCTTCGACAGACACTTCCGGAACCGCTGGTTGGGTGGTGGCGACTTTTTTGAACGGCGCTAACGGAGAGCCTGGAAGCCCCTGAAGTGGAAGGCGCAAGAAAAAAAAAGATAAAAAAAAAAGGCCAGGAGGAGGGCTGGAGGCACTGGAGGGAGGGGGAAAGAAAGAAGACTGGGGGTGGAGACTAAACCATGATTACCTGTATGGAAATAGCCCTCAACATTTCCTCTCTAATACTGCGGCGTGCTGTCCACAATCATCGGGTCACGGCGGGCTGTACCATGACATGGTGGTTATCGGGAAGGTTTGAGGTAGCAACGGCAACAGCAGCAGCAAGCAGCAGCAGCAGTAGCAACAGTTCGGTCCCTTCGCTTGGTCGCTCGGCTCACAAACTCAGAGACACGGTCGGGGAGAACGTGAGTCCTTGCATAGGTCTTATCAAGAGACCGATACTTTCTCTTATCGATCGAGATAACCGCTTCCATGGAATCGGGGAAGGGCACTGAATTTATTCGCATTCCCGTCTGGTCGATTGAGGTTCTTCGTCTTTATCATCATCAAATTGGGTTTTATCTGAGACCAACAAAGAGGTTCGTTTCGGTATGGCGACATCATGGAAGCTCTCGGAAGTGATGCAGCCATGCCTTGAAATTTGACATTCTTCTGGACTAGCACGTACATCATACCTCCTCCGACCGGACTAGAGTAGGACCTACATCGTTACACACATACCTTTAATAAACAATAGACATGAGAGACTAACTAGAATACTCCGACTATGCAGCCTTGAAGATCACCTGCTCTCCACTCCAGCCACATGTGGTTTAGGTGCTTTGATATCAAATGATGGTTATAGTCAATGATGTGCGTTTAGGGTTCCCGGATTGCGCAACGTGATGAACCAGGGAAGATCTATCTAGAAATGGAGAGAGAATGATGGGGGAGTCGAGGGAGATCATGATCGATAATCCTTGATTGTCATGGTGCCATCCGGGTACCGAAGGGATAGGGAATGCGATCGGGACGCGAAGAAACCCGGACAGGACAGGGCAGGGAGAGAGTAGAGAGTAGAGGTAGGTAGTTAGATAAACTAGAGACAGACTAGACTGTCTTACAATCCCAGTGCCATCATACAATCAATTTTTTTTTCCTCCTATTTAGTAAAATTTACTTTTCCCTCCCTCTCTTCCATGCGTACGGACATACGACAGTGGATGTACCGATATCCATGGGATCCACCAGACCGGAACGCATTGACTGGACAGTTGGGGATCGTCCCCAGTCCCAGACCGTTCGATCGCCTATTTTAAGTTGGTTAGTAGCACCAGCACTCGTATTTACCACTAATACCACGGCCACCACCATCATCATCATCCTTCATCCTCTCACCTTGCTGCTCCCGCTCCGGGTACGGCGGCAACTTGGTAGTCCAAGGTACCGACTTGTAGCTTTGATCCCACTCCGTTATCTCTTAATTCTCCCCTGTCATGTCACCAACCGATTTGCCATCGTCTACTTGGGTTCATTAAAAATTTAAAATATTATTCTCTCTCAAGAGGGGAAAAGAGAGAGAGAGAGGGGGGAAAATGAAGGGCTAGACACCCGTTGCTTTCGGAGATCTCGAAGTCAAAGTGAATCTGGAGCGATGGAAGATGAAATCTACGACCAACTACCTACTCGATGCAGTGTTGAAAGAAAGAACGGGACCCGCCCATCTACTAGGTACTGTCCACTCTAGTTTTGCCCCTCCTCCCTGGCGAAAAAAGTGTACGAGCGAGAGGGCTATTGCAGAACGAGACCGTACCGAATTTTCCTTGCCTGCGCTTCTTCTTCTGCGACAACGTCCGAGCTCCCTTATCAATATCATTCCTGAATTATGTCGAGCTTTTCTGATTAGGAATATCTTGCTTGGGGTACATTTACCTTATGATGCATTTTTTTTTTAATTCTCTCCCGATTTTTAATTTATTTCCAGACATCTAATTAAATCCTTCCTCTTCTTCTCAACATGTTCTGAATCTTCTTCTACTTCTATCTTCTTTATACCGTCAACTGCGGCTCACTCCATTCCCACTCCGCCCTGGCTGTCTGTCATCTTTCATATACTCCATTTCCCCTTCCTTCCATCCTCCTCCGAGCCTGCTTCGAGTCCTCCTCCTTCCCACCCCTCCCGATTCACTTCTTTGTATCTACTTCAATCCCGGTTCGCCTTCAACTAACCAAATCCGAATTCCGTTCTTCTTATTTTCTTCCTTTTCTTCTTCCTCTCCCTCTTTTTTTTTTCTTCTTTCGCCTTCAAACCACACTTGGTCTCATTTCAGTCAACATCCCTGGCGGTTTCTGTGCATTTCCAACCAAACCTCATCTCTCAATGTCGCAATCAAACTGATGTCGAACTCACAAGGTAAGTACTGACAAAGCCAACCTTGAAACTTCCAGTCTCCGCCCGCTTCGCCTCCTCCCACTTCAATTAAATGTCAACTTTCCTCCCCCTCCTCCGTCGCGAAATTAGAAACCAAAATGTACCCACGGTGATTTCTTTGGTCGCAATCCCTCTGTCCCAATTCGTACTACTGCCTGGGATCTTCTTATGTGTCGTAACACCCTGTTTGCTGCATCTGCCCTCTCCGCCCTAGCCTGTTAGCCTCCAACGCTCCTTCTATTTATCGGCACACACCTTGGAACCTCGAGTCACACCACTCTTCCTCCTCTCCTCCACTTCTCGCTACACACTGCCAGCTCTGTCATCAAGTCATTCAACTGTCATCCCTCTCAACCTATTTCACTTCGCTCCTATGCAGCTCGAAGCTTCTGTTCCTCCTACTTGCCACTCCCCCACGCTGCGTTTCCAACCTTGACGTTCGAAACTGACTGAAAGATAAGACCACTTTGAAAGACGCCATAGCCCCGAACCTCTTATCTCTTGATATCAGGCGTCCTTTCTCTCGCAACACACCTCGCTTCGAGAGGATATCTCAGCAATTCATCATCTACCTGCTGTCTGTGTTGGTTCACACAAGGTCGGCCGGATGCCCTACACTGCGCCGTTGAAGACGTCGCCTTTCGCGCAGCACATTGAACACTCTCAACCCACTCCCAATTCCTGCCCCAACTCGCCCACCGTGGTCTCCTCACACCCACCACGGCCACGCCTTCCTCGCTCCTACTCTTCGGCGTCTTATGTTCGAAGGCATCGGAGGAGCCCTTCTAATAGCAAGGCATTCGTTTTCCCAGACCCAGACTATCTTGCCAAGCCGGACCATGTCAGCCACTCCCAGTCGAGTATCCGGAAGTCTCCTCCACCCTTGAGTGATGCGGTCATCCCTCCGGGTGCTCTGATATCCCCTCCTGATTCCGCTCCTAACTCCAGTGATGAAGAGACGTCGTATCGACCACAGGGCGAGCTGCAACTGGATAAGCTGGAGGCAGCTGTAAGGTCGATTGAGCAAAGAAGAGTGTCCTCTCCAGAGAGACCGGCCGAGGAAAGCAAGTCGTCTTCGAGCATGGCATCCTCAACCGTCGACTCTGTTCAACATACGCGTCCGCCTCTTTCTCGAGAAGCTCGCAAAATCTCTCATTCCCGTTCAGCCACGGAATCTTTAGTAGACCACAAGCAAGATGAAGTTTTGACTACGTCCCCCGAAGAAAGTGATCGGGACGATGAACCTCGTGCAAAGCATCCGATGGTACGCAAGAAGTCGGGAGAGCTTGTTCGGCCGGCTCTCCGCCCAGCTTCGGCTCGACGGCGCCCGTCTAGCATGCCGGGAACGCCAACGTTCTCCAAGGCTGTGCATTTTGACGCTCAGTTGGAACACATTCGGCACTTCTTACAGCTAGACAAGCCTCAGGCTGTTAGTGCTGACACATCGCCCGTCGATGGCTACGATACTGCCGGAGAGTTCCCATTCCGTCCCACACCTCATGACAACACTTCGGAATGGGAGATCACCCTCAACAATTTTCCTACTAATGCCTCCTCCCGCACGCATCAACGTGTTCGACTCGAACGTCTTTTCCTGTCCCCCGACAAGAACACCCTGATTGGTGTCGTGGCTGTTGCTAACTTGGCCTTCCATAAGCATGTCGCAGCTCGTTTCACCTTGGACCATTGGAAAACCGTATCTGAGGTGACGGCAGAGTACAATGAACACTACCGCCAGAGCCATGGCCACGATGCTTACGATAGGTTCTCATTCAACATCAAGTTGAACGATCAGACGAACCTCGAAAAGAAGACAATGTTCGTTTGCATACGTTACAATGTCGAGGGCCAAGAGTATTGGGACAATAATCATCACAAGAACTTCCAAGTCAATTTTCTCAAGACTGCGAACACGAAGGTCGGGCAACAGAACACCCAGTCTGCAAAACCTCGCACCTCGCTGCCCCGCAGTAGGAGCTTTGTTGTGTCCAACAGTCGTCCTTATTCAATGCCTCCGTCTTTCGACAACTTCTCCGACATGGATAAGTATGTATCTTTCGGCACTCCCCCCAAAGCTACAAAAGCGAGCGAATTGTGTGACGACGAACCGCATGACATTGAGGTTGCTGCACCCATTCGCCGTGATAAGCAAAACCACCAAGTTTTTGGCAACCGTTATGATTTTGGGGCATCATTGTCGGCGGCTATGAAAACCAAACCAACTCAAGACCGAACAACGTTGGCCGCCCGAGCCAAATCACATAGCACCCCGCACAACCATCACCATCACGCTTCAGAGAAGCGGACGAATTCCCGTGATAACACTCCCAGTCATGCAACCGGCAATGGCCATCGAACAAATTCTGTGACCCACCCTAAACCGTCCACCCTGGTATCAAGCAAACCGCACCGCGAATCTTCCGTATACAAAGAGCTTGTGGATAAATATTGTTTCTTTGGCTCTTCAGATTTCTCCGCGGAGGAGAATGATACCACGGCAGTCAAAGACTTTGGAAGCCGAACGAACTCTAGCAGTAGTTCCAGTGCAGGTTCTCCATGCTCTTCACCTCACATTGAGGCATCTTACGGCGCCGATTCCCGGACTTCTTCTCCAAGTCATATCGGATTCCCCTACCTCCAGAATAACTTCCTGAAAGAAGCGAGCACGCCTGCTATCATCCAGGGATGAAGAACCCCCATCATCTCGAAGCTGTGCTCACCTTACTGAGCTTCGATACATACATCACACATAGCATGAGGGTGATACGTTGTCCTTATAAATGGACAAGTATCACCTTGCATTCTATTTCCCTTTTTCGTCTTGGGATCAACCATTTCGACAGCGTCTTTCTAACTTATTGCAACCATATACATGCCACAGTCACATTTGCAAAACTGTTTGGCAGACTTCCAACTCTACCAGCCTGGGTCCAGCAGCCTTCGGCTTTGTCTGATATTTTTCTCGGATACGCAGTCTGGAGTATCAAGCTGTGGGTCCTCTGCGATGTGTAATAAACCGCGGGGAACTACCACGATGCTCGCTTGACCCGAATCCTGTTTCTTTTATTAATTTACATTCACCCCAGCCTCAGATTTCCAGCGAGGCTCGGTTGGCGAACCCAGTAGTGGTCCAGACTCTACTATGATGATTATGACTTGATGTTTACTTCGTTCAGATCATTTTCTGTGCTGCTTTCTTTCTGCTAACTCTTTGTCTGGGTGATGCAATGGTGTGGGTGGGGAGGTGAGCACCTATTTCAGGGGCTGATATCCAATGGAAAAGCATCCGCATTGATGAATTTCTCTTGTGCATTTGCAGCACCGTTCCTAATTGTTGATTTGTATGTTTGAGTTCTCAGATGGCGTTTGGTCGGGATGACCTGTTTATTTACAATTGATCCTTCAAGCGTTCGTACATGTTCTATTGTGGGCTGGCAAAGATGGCTTGTTTGTATCTAATGTGTCATTTGACAAGAGGAGTTTTTGGGACGTTCGGATGCAGCCTGATACCTCTGAGGAATCACAGAACATCTTCACTTTCCACACTTGCTTGAAATAGACGGAAAACTTCAAAATCTTTCCTTGAACATTGAAATTTCATCAATTCTCAACGCCCTCTCAACCCAAAGAAGGCACCAGCGAAATCCGATAGTCTCTATGGAATACAGCGGAGTGTCTGCCCAGTTCCCCATCTTTTCAACCAACGTTACAAGCGAGGATAACTATGAGTTATGTAGCAAGAGATCTAAGCCTATAGAGTAATCCAAGCAGTTTAAACTTTATCGCCTTCAAGTGAATTGACTGGGGAGGGTCCCCCACTTCATCCTCTTCACTGCCACCGGGCGGAGTCAGGGTCAGTGGAGAGGTTATGATGCAGGCCCGGTAGTTGGAACAGAAGCGTTGGGGAAGAGGGGCGAGTGTGCACGTGATCGGGCTACCCGCAGTGCGGGAAGAAGGCGGCTCCCGGCGCGCTGGCAGGTGCGGCCACTAGCCCCAAGTCACAGTAAGTGAGGGTGCCTTCGACCGTCGCCAAAGCGGTCGTTCATAACGCCCTTTTTTTCAGCCGCGACCCGCCAATCAGCCTCCTCCATTCCTTTTTCTCCCTTCCAGATCACCTTTCGCGGCTTAGTCACTCGTCTCCCCTCCAGTCGAGGTTCAGATCACACTCTCGCTTGCCGCCCACTCCGTGAACCTATTTAAACTGGTGGCTCCCGCCTCTCTTACTCCTTCTTTTCCCCTCTTACAACCTCTGATCCGGCCCGCTACGCGTCACGTCGCCCATCTATCCATCTATCTTCCACCCCGCGTTCTATCATTTCTCTCATCCATCTCAACCTTTAATTACATCATTACAAGATGACTGGCCGTAAGTATTGAAATCATTGTATCCTCATCATCCTTTTGTTCGTGGAATCGTGCCTTGCTGTTCGTCTGCTGGCTGGATGATGCCGCCGCCGCGCGTCGCTTCACTTCCACCCCTGACGACACGTGATTGCGGCCATGCTTCATGCCTCAGGCCTTCACCATCCTTCGATCAAGTCTCATGCTTTCCTACTCTACTCTTTATCATAGCTGCTCAAGACGTTAATTCTTTGATTCACTAGGTGGCAAAGGAGGAAAGGGTCTCGGCAAGGGTGGTGCCAAGCGTCACCGTAAGATCTTGCGTGACAACATCCAGGGTATCACCAAGCCCGCCATCCGTCGTCTTGCCCGCCGTGGTGGTGTCAAGCGTATCTCCGCCATGATTTACGAGGAGACCCGCGGTGTGTTGAAGTCCTTCCTTGAATCGGTCATCCGCGATGCCGTCACCTACACCGAACACGCCAAGCGCAAGACCGTGACCTCGCTGGACGTCGTCTACGCCCTTAAGCGCCAGGGCCGTACCCTGTACGGTTTCGGCGGTTAGAAAATCCACGATACCTCTTGTCGTCTGATTCTACCCCCCACGAATGGCCACAATGCCCCTGCTTCTTTGGGCTTCTTACCGGTGATCTTCGAACCACCTTGGCTTGAACGGATGAACAGATGTGCGGGACGACATACGAATGAGAGATACAGTTTACTTATGGCTTGCTCTTTGCTTGGGATTTCTAGGTTTTCTTATCAATGGGGTTTCGGGGTTAAGGAAATGGATGGGCTTGGTCGTTTGACATAGTTTCTTTTTTTCTTGTCGGAAGTTCTTTCAATTACAAGGACGGATTAGGTTTACCGCTCGAGTGCAGCGTAGAGCTTGCTTGAATCGTAAGTGTTATCCTAACTTGATGTAGGCGTGGTGAACATGGCGAGATTCGGGCTATGGAAAAAGACTACCTAGCATCTACACTGCGGCTGGAGGCAGTGAGCGGGCAGCTGATCAGGGGCGCGACTCAGGCTCTGTCACCGTTCTTTGGGTCATTGCAAAACAGGCCTAATATGGGCAAAGTGAGGCCAAATTTGTTAAATACACAAGCCAAGTGAGAAGTCATCGATCAAGATAGCTAGGCAGGTGGAAATTTTTGAATAAAACCACCTTCTGTGTTTCACCGTGTAAGCCATGTAAGCTTATAGAAGAGGTTCTTCAGGGTCTTAATGGTGTTCAGCGAGTATCCAAACGAGGAAATAGAAGTTTTCAAGCGATACTACACTCCCTTAGATCTCCTCTGATCAAGAGCAGTAAGGGCATTAACCTTGGACAGTAGCGAGATATGCTATAGAACGGGCGGACGACAATCACATGCTCCTGGACCGCACAGACCATCCGTTGCGATGATGTAATGGCCCCCTCCCATTCGAAGGGGCGCGCTTCCGGGTCAGTCAACCTCAACCTCGGCCCTCGATCATCACACCATGCGGTCTAATAGCTACTAGATCCTGTCCTCCATTCAAGTGGGATGATGCATGGTCGGGCAATGTCTTCTTATCTTCTCTCCTGATCTACTACTCATCTAGACAAAACCTCATAGTGGGAGCTACTCACTACTTATTACTATTTTGCAGGCATTTTAGAAGAACTCACCACACGGCATTTTTTCTTCTCTCTTATCATCAACTGAATTGACTGATTGAACTTGACGTTATAGCTGCGGGTGAGAATGAACGATGTCGGAATACAAGATGTCTTATGAGGCGGAGCTGGTATGTTCGCCTTCGCACTTCTGTTTTGTTTACTACTCAGGAGCGGTCTCGCCAACAGGCTTCGTCTATAGGACTCCTACCAGCTCTATCATCGATACGAGCAGTCTCAATCACGGGATAATGACTGGAAACAAGCTGCTCTGCGTGGTCCAGCCCTGCCGGCGCTGGGCAACGCCTTGGCCGGTGCCATTGGGGCGGCATTGTCGAATGTTGCCACTTATCCGCTGAGTCTGATCGTCGCCCGACTGCAGACGCAGCAAACAAAATGTTCGAGCAAGGGGAAGGCCAAACCACAAGACAGGAAGGACGAAGATGCTCGTGGCGACGAGTACGCCGGTGTCCTCGACGCCGCCCGCAAAATCTACGCGCAGGAAGGCCTCGCGAGCTTCTACACGGGCGTCGCGCAGGATACAGCCAAGTCCGTCTTCGACTCGTTCCTCTTCTTTCTAGCGTACGAGTTCCTGCGGCAGCGGAGGATCAGGGCTCGATTTGGCGCCGCGCGGAGGTCGAAGCATACCGTTCTCCCTGTGCTGGATGAGTTGGTGATCGGGGTCATCGCGGGGGCGTTCGCGAAGCTGTTCACGACCCCGTTGGCGAATATCGTGGCCAGGAAGCAGACGGGGAAGAGAGCGGCGGGGACCAAGGAGATCGCGGCGCGGATTCGTGCGGAGAAAGGCCTGCGGGGATTCTGGTCGGGGTATTCGGCTTCGCTGATTCTGACGCTCAATCCGTCGCTTACGTTCTTCTTGAACGAGGTGCTGAAGTATACGCTATTGTCGCGCGAGAAGAGACAGAAGCCGTCGCCTGCGACGACTTTCTTACTCGCTGCCCTCAGCAAGTCGGCGGCGTCGTCCGTGACGTATCCGTTCTCGAAGGCCAAAACCCGCGCTCAAGTTACTGGCGATGAGTCTTCGTCTGCGCTTAAAGCCTCTGGGGATGAGCGGAAGGACATCTCCGAGACCGATGAGGGGATATCGTTCACTCCGGCGATTGTCAATAATGTCATCAACATCGCTCGCACGGAGGGCTTGGCAGGCCTCTACGCCGGCCTGCATGGTGAGGTTCTTAAGGGCTTCTTCTCACATGGTTTTACGATGCTTGCTAAGGACGCGGTGTACTCGGGCATTGTTCAGAGTTACTATTTGCTGTTGATTGCTCTGCGGAAATATCCCAGTCCCGAAGAGCTGATCCAGCGCGCTCGGGAACAAGCCGAAGAGTATGCTGATGTTGCCCGGGAGGGTGCCCGCGATTTGGCGGAGAAGACAAAGCAAGGCGCAGAGGAGGCGATACACACTCTGACAGCTCAGGGGGAACCCGAGGAGGTAAATCTGTTGGGGAACAATGAGACAGCGGAAATGGTGGGCGACTATGTCGAGGATGAAGGGACTACTAAGGACCTGTATCACTGGTTCTGGGAAAAAGATGGGGAGGGGAACCACTGAACTGTCACTTTGCACGAATATTTTGAGCGTTCATATAGAATATCTGTACTAATCATTTCATAGCTTTAATCTTGACGACTCATTTTTATTTGTATGAATAATTGATTTCCCTTCGCCGACCGACGTGGGCTGAGTATCTTGCCGCATAAATCAGACGTCGCCCCTGATATTGGACAGCAGAGCGTGCAGCTTCCCGAAAAACAGTGCCACGTTCCTCGACGCTGTCGTTTGTACTTACTTCTGGTATTTTTGTCTAGATGCAGTGGCGACTTGTGTCTGCCAGCTGCTCTTTGATCACTGAGTGTTCCAGTGCAACATCTTCCAGGCAAAGACGGAAGGTCTGTCCAGTCTTTGTTATAGGGATGCTCTATTACCAGTTTCCTTCTCTTCGCCTTTCGTCAATCATCAGCTTCCTCTCCCTCTTACGACTGAATAATTTTATAGTTTCCGTGAATGACCACCAAGATGCCTCAAAATAGTCGATCCGGTGGTGTGCAGCAGTCCGAACCCTCATATAAGCCCTTGATCCGTGACGGGAATGACAACGACGATCAAGTTACAGAACACACAGATTCTCCAGACATCCCATACAAATACGCCTACGTATATAAGACCAGCGACTCCGACGGAGCTATTAGCCAGGTGTATGTTCTATTTAGGGCCAAGGATACGATCTTCAGCGTCAATCTGGGGGCGCCTCTAAGTACACCCATACTGAGGTACAATCTCCGGCGGAGGCGACCATTCCGCGAGCAATGTCTCAACGACTGCGAGACACGCGCTCGACAGGCGCTCGAGCAACGCCTCGGGTCTCTGTGTCAGCCGTTCTTCAACCGGCATGCGGTCGATCTGGGGGATGATCTGGCGGCCCATTTGCTTCACCTTCCGGTTCATCTGGCGCTGACGGAAACCCGGCACGGGACGCCGATATTGAAGCCCAGTGACAAGCCCGGGAAGAAACGCGCATCCCACAAGAAGATCAGACGTATGGTGGACGGGTTGGTGGAGGAGCTCGTTGACCTCCAGAAAGTGCCCCGGTTCCAAATGGCCGAGGTCGAGCACTTCCGCGCCATCAAACCAGGCGAAGTCTACCAGGTCCGCATCAAGGGGACGCACTTCCTTCACAAACGAGCCTTCAGCAGTGCTTTTTCCCGCGAGGTGCGACTGCTGCAGGCCCTCGCTTCCCTGCCGCTTCGTGTACCCCGGGTTGAAGGGTTTCTGGGACTCCAAACGAATTGTGTCGGGGTGCTTTTGACATGGGTCCAGAATATAAACTTGAATTGTATTCGGGGCTTGGAGGGGGTGGAGTTCTCGGAGGCACGCTGCCACTGGTACCGGCAGATCTCTGAAATGGTGAGCGTTCTGCACCGGGAAGGGTTCTGTTGGGGTGATGTCAAGCCAGACAATGTGTTGATTGATCGTAAGTATGATGCCTGGCTTGCTGACTTTGGAGGAGGCTGGAGCCAGGAGTGGGTATCTTGCGATTTGCGAGAGACTGAAGCCGGAGACTTGGAGGGTTTAAAAATTTGCGCATGTCCCTGCGGTTGCCAGACTGAGCTGGCCCCGGTCAACTGCTCTGTGACCTGGAACAGACTGTCCATTTAAGTTTGATCTCAGTAAATTCAGTTTTGATGCGACGATTCTGACTCTTCGAGACTACTATAGACGCTGATGCTTTTGATCTAGTCGATACTCAACGATGTAGCGGTCAGATATTCCGTTCGGCCTTCACGTCACCATGCAAACGACGGGGCCGAGTTGGAGGCCTGGATAGCTGCGTGTATCCACTACAAGGCCTCCTAATCCAATAGATCGATGAACAGCGTTTTTTTCTCATTTTCTATTAAAGAACTAAATATTCTCTTTACTCTTTGCTCAGTTGTGAATAGCGAATTGTAGGCTCTCCCATCAGTACCAGATCCATAGGAGACGGCAACCTGCAGGCGTAGCACCACCCTCTCGTCAATTACCACTGGGTCTATATTAGAGACCAGATTCCTGTCCCAGAACTTACCATCGTCCTATCTTCCATTCTCTTAACGGACACCCCTTGGCTGGAGCTCCACTCCCACAGAACCCTTCTATAGACGGTCCAGTGGTTCATCCTTGAGAATCCCACTTCCACGGAACTTCGAGATGAGTTTCGGGTTCAATTCACCTATCGATCTTACCGAGATGGATCGGTGGGTGCTTCCCTTCCCTCCGTGGAAATCGTCTCATCACGTCGCGGCGAGAACGACGTCTTCGATTCCGAGTCTGATGAGGAAAACGATCACTCTACTGGGACGCCGCGAGAATGTTGTCCTCGACTTTAAATTCGACTTCAGGGACAATGATGAGGGGAAGGAGAAAGAAGACAATGATGATGCTAGGGAGCTCCATGGCCAGCCAGTTCCGACAGGTCCATGGCGCTGCTGCGCCTGCAGCAAAGGTCCCAACAAGGGAAACCAATGCTGGAGGCGGATCATTGATGATGACCGCCGCAGACTTGTTCACTGTGAACATGCTTTTTGCGACTCTTGCGCGGAGTTCCGGAATGAGGAAGAGGAGTGAGCGAGGAAGATACCTTCGGAGTGATGATGATGATGATGATGATGATGATGATGAAGAGAGTCGAAAGAGCCAACCGGGGAGGGGATCTGTAGGATTCTAATGTCACTGGCTCATTCCTCATTTTTCTTCCAATCCTGTCGATTTTAACAGGTCAATCACACCCTCATTTCCTCCCTGTTCTGCCGCCCACAATATGGATTGTCCCTCTCTATCCTTGAACTGGATGCTGGCGCCCTTGTCCAGCAGATACGCTACAAATTCTCTCTGGCCGCTATACGCAGCGCGATACAAAGCAGTCCCCCATTTATCCGAATCAACCTGCCCACTGTTAGTCCCCACCCACTGACATACTCTAGTTCCGCCCCATGCTCCACCAGTGACTCGACTGCCTCCATGATCCCCAGTTCAGCCGCCCGCTATGTGCGCGGTACTATCTTCCTGGCGCCATCCGTGCTGGAGCATCAGGGAGGATCTCGACACACGGCTTCTCGCCTTCGCTGCCCACCAACGCAGCCAACCCGGGCTCGTAGTCATCGTAGCCTCCCCAAGCCTTATTCGGGTTCTCTCCATGCTCCAACAGGAAGCGCACAATCTCCACATCGCCGTAGTATGCTGCCACGCTCAGCGCGTCGCCACAGTAATCACTGTGGTGCCCCCTGAGGTTGAAGCCATTCTTGACGAGGGTCTTCTACACCGGGATGGACCGCGACCAGCAAGCCTGGTGGTGAACCTCGTTGTTCAAGGACCCGGGCAGCACGTGGAAACCCTCGCTGAAGGCCCAGTCCAGGATGTCGACCCGAGCCTTTCCGGTAGCGTGTTCCGCGATGTTTGCGAGGCTCCATTGCTCTTCTGGGTCTGATGCTGCGGACTCGTACAGAACTTTGATACTCTCGATGTCACTGGCCTCGATGACGGATTTGAGCTTGTCTTGGATGTGCTTTCTTAGAGTGGTTGCCATGATGGGCACGAGGGGGGGAAACGGAGAGGCTTTGATGATAGTAATATATATAATCGAATACCAACAAAGGGCTGAATGCAGGTTATCAGTGTGTGACTAGCCTATGAAAGAATGCCAATCCTGCCAGGGCCCCAACCCTATATATCTGGTGAATATGCTGGTGCCACTAAAATTTATATAGTTTGTCCATGTAAGCAGCTCTCATCTGATGCTCGAAGCTGACTAGAGTCTCTTCCTGTGAATAGGAAGCACGTAATACCGTTAGTTCCGCAGTATGTTCACTTGCCAGTCACCCCCCAACTTAAGAACCATGTCAGTGAATGGAGGGAGTGTAGTGAAGGGACTCCATCCGTAATGGGTGTCTGTGATTCACTAGACAAAGCAGGAACGACAACACTGACCTATCTTGTATGTAGCCAAATTCCTTTCTCTTCCTCTCTACCTCTCTCTCCTCTCCTCCCCCACCGCTCTCTAGACTTTGATTCTTCTCGAACAACAAAATTTGGCAACAATGATCATGAAAGCATCTCTTTTCTTCGGCCCTTGCGCTTTTGGTATAAGATATAGACGGGCCTCGGCCCATACATTCTAGCCGTAAAGGCCCGTCTCAGGGAAGTAGATAAGTTCTAGATCCTCGTACTGTATGCAGAGATTGACTTCCGGTGTCTGTATAGATACGTCGCCCCCATACCCAAAATCGCACCGTACGTGCCAAAAAAAATGATATGGAGATGCAGGCAATCTATGCCCGCATGGGTGCAAAACGTTAGAATACCTATGATCAACACAAAGGGACTGAATACTGATTGCTCGGTACCTAGCAGCGAGGAAGTCCCTTCGCCCCACGGCACCTGAGGCCCGTCAAACGGGCACTGTCACTCTCCAGCCTCTTGTGACAATGGTGTCTACGACACCAGAAAAACCGAAACCAAAACCCGCGCAACCTGCACCAACAGCACTACCCCAACGGGTAGATATACCACGGCCGATAACGCCTACTGTGGCGGGTTCCTCGTCGCAAATTTCTGAGATTTCAAATGCGACATTCCTTGGGAATCGATCCTGTATGTCGATCTCTGATAGCAATGGTGACTGCAATCGTGATTCGATGTATAGTCTAGCAATGAAGGTATCAATTAGTTATTCGATGATTACAGTAAGTAGTACAGTGGATACCAAGTAGTTACACACACTATACCTAAACCGAATGGCCGCCCAGCCCAGCCCAGCCCAGCCTCTCTCTCTCTTTCCCCTCGGGTCGCAAACCATCTTCTTCCTTGTTTACTCCGGTGACTCTGCTTGACTCCGTTTGACTCGCTCTCTTAAGTGTGTTTCCCCCCTATCTTCCATCCTTTTTCTCTGGTACCTCGATGTCGACTGCACCAAACCCAGGCCCTGGCCTGGGAGACTTGGAGAAAGAATTGACATGTTCGGTAAGTTAGTGACATGAACCACTGGAATGCTGCGGGAAAGGTGATGGATTTCCCCACCATGATTCCCTCCTCCCTCTCTCCCTTGCGTGACAACGCATCTCCCAAAACAAGACACACAGAGTCCTCCCTTACAAAAGCAGCAAGACCCATCATTATCGAATGGAAGATATGTGCTAAAATCATGCTCCTGAGGAATGCACCACTAGATCTGTACCGACCTCCTCTACCAACCCCTCACCCTCCTCAACTGCCTCCACACCTTCTGCGGCTCGTGTCTTAAAGAGTGGTTCGCCGTGCAAGCGACCCGTCCCCGCCCATCTGCGTCCGCCCGCTTCACCTGCCCATCATGTCGAGCCGCCGTGCGCGACACCCGTCCCAATGCCACGGTGACGACTTTGTTGGATATGGTCCTGACGGCCAGTCCCGACCGCGACAAATCCGCCGCCGAGAAGGAGGAGATCGCGCAGCGATACAAACCCGGTGATTCGGTGTTTCCCGCTTCGGATGCGGGCTCAGATGAAGACGAGGATCGAAGGGTACTGGAGGAAGTGAGAGCTTTGAGTTTGCAGGACAGTCGGTCGCGGACGACGAGACACCATCAACACCACCACCAACAACAACAACAGCAACAGCAGCAACAACAGCGCTCGAGACATTCGTCGCGGAGTCGGCATCGTCGTGCGGAGGGTGCTGATGCGGATTCGGATGGGCATAGAAGGGAGGAGGATGGTCGGTCGCGACGGCGACGGGAGGCTTCTTCTTCTTCTTCTTCGCGGCGACAGCAACGGCGGACGGCTGGGGATTTGGAAGGCTCGGAGCGGTCAGCGAGGCGGGTGGAGCATCAGTCGAGTCTAAGGTCGTTGTTGAGCTTGTCGGATACGGAAACCATGCAGGAAGAGATCTTGCGCCAGATCTTCGAGGAAGGGTTGCTGGATGATATCGATCTGGATAATATGGGCCCGTCGCAGGAGGAGGAACTCAGTGAACGCATTGCGGATGCTTATCGTCGGAGGCATAGGCTACGAGCGCGGTCCCAGCAGCGAAGAACGGAGTCCCGAGACAGTCCGCAGACGTCGTCTTCCCGGCCTCGCGCTCGCTCCCAGTCTGTGCAGAGGACGGATAATAGTACTACGACTGCGGTGAGAGATACGAGGGAGTCGAATGGTGGTCCCCCGGTGTCGAGACCGTATCTTCTGGATCCGCTTGTCGCGCGGGATGGATCCTCGGGTCACCAGAGGCGCTTGTCGGATCAGGGAGGCAGTAGGAGTCGTCGGAGAACCTCGCCTGTACCTGTGAACGCGGCATCTTCTTCGGAAGTCTCGCTGCGGCCTGCAGCGCGATCCTCGAGCGACATGGTGGCTGATCGACCTCGGAATTCGCAAGCGAGTCGCGTTAGGACAACAGAATCGTTGACAACGTCCCGGTTACGCCGTGCAACTGCGTCTGAACAGAATGTCCCAAACATCTGGGTTGAGGGCGCAAGAGAAAGACAACTCCGCCCGTCTTCTGGAAGATCGTCGATTGACTCTCCGCGGGTGGCTACGGCTCTGAACCATAGGGGACGCAACGGCTCTTGGCCTACGAGCCCGGATGAGCCTTCGACAGCATCGCCGCCTACCAGCTCCTTAGTCGTCGAGGTCGGTGGCGCTGGGCGACAGGAATCTCGTTCACGGCCGTCATCCTCTCGATCCAACGCGCCTCCTCGCTCGGCGACATTGTACCCGGAACCATCGATCAAGTGTGACCGGTGTGATAAGCCCAACATTCAGTATGACCTACATAAGAAGTGTCCCAGTTGTAGAGATGGAGATTATCATATATGCCTGCGATGCTATCGCACCGGACGTGGCTGTTTGAACTGGACCGGCTTTGGAGCGTCTGCAGAAGCAGATCTAGACCGCATACGTGCTTCTGCTGGTCAGCCTCGGGCTTCGAATGATTCGTCGCATATACTTCTTTCTTGCAAGTATCACCGCGCACCCGACACGGCGTATCGATCCGACAGAGATGGAAGGGTATTCACCAATGACGACCCCGCTCGCAGACTGCAGACTGGGCTGTTCTGTGATATTTGCCAGTCTCCAGCCAACGACTGTCTCTGGAAATGCAACCAATGTAACGAAGGAGACTGGGGATTCTGCAACCGCTGCGTCAACCAAGGTCGTTGCTGCACACACGCTCTGCTCCCTATCTGTCGCATCACCCGCGACAGCCCATTAGCCTCTCCCACCAGAACCGACGCAATAGCACCAAACGGCGCTTCGCCTTCAGAAACCGAGACTTTCAAGGTCCTCTCCTTTGCTACGAACTGCGACATCTGCACGCATCCGATCTCAGCCTCAACGCTCCGCTTTCACTGCCTTGTGTGCAACGACGGCGACTACGACATCTGTGCGAACTGCTACCTCCGCCTCGTTGCAACAGGCAAAATTCGCAAAGAGAACGGTCACAACGGCTGGAGACGCTGCATGAAAGGCCACCGCATGACTGTGGTCGGCTTCGAAGATTACGAGGAGGGTCAGCGCCGTATCATCGTGCGGGATCTAGTAGGCGGTCGTGCGTTGAACGATGATCACCTCCAGCAGTCTCCCTCTTCTCCCTACAGCGTCCCTACCCCTGTAACCACCACAAGCGCTATCCGCAATACGACAACATCTACTCCTGGAACCCCTAGCACCCCATTTTCTCCCTACAGACCCTCGTCCTCATCTGCCGCGGGAACCGGAACAATCGCATCTCCTGAATTCGCACCCGGCGACTGGCTCTGGAAAGAAGGTTCAGAACGCCGCAAAAAGGCTTCTCGCCTCCGCCCGTGGCCGCTTAGCGGCGAGCGCGAGCGCGATCGCACTTTCGTCACGACCTCCCCTTCCTATTCTGAACCCAGCACTCCGAATACACCAACCTTTGCTGCCCCGACCCTACCGACCCCTGTAACATCAACTTCGACATCCTTAAGCTCGTCCCTAGGACGCTACCCGCCAGACGGGGGCGTCGGGCTCGTCGTCCATGCTCTCTGGTCGTGGTACCCTGAAGATGGCGTCAAGGATGAACTGATGTTTCCGCGGGGTGCTGAAATCACGGAAGCGGAGAACATCAACGATGACTGGTACTGGGGGTGCTATGCCGGCTTGACGGGGCTTTTCCCGGGCTCGCATGTGCACGTCGTGGATGAGATTGTTTAGATAACAGTGGGAAGGTGCACACGTCGAGGATGATACCGTCGAATCGGGAACAGATAATTAGAGAGCTTGCGTGCCTGGCCGATTGTTCTGTTCATGTTCTATTCTTCTGTTTCATTTTTTTTTACTTTCTTGATATTGCATGCTTCGGGTTCTTTGTCTCCGGCTGCTCATGTCTGACTATATGAGCGCGACCGGCCACTTCTTAATGCCGCGCATGAGTGATGTAGCATATGATAATGATTATGAATTACGACCTACCTCTTTGTCATATTCCAGTTGGTTAGTTTTTATCTATTTTCAAGGTAGATAGATACACAAGCATTTGAAGTGTACTGACTTCGGGCAATGGTCGACGATTTGACGCCGGAAGGGAGAGCGTGCTACACGGACTGAGGTAAGTAAGACACTCTCCACAGCTGCCGGACTGGAGATGTAACCGCAGCTGAAGGGTGTCAGCTTTACGAAGGTCTTATATTAAAATAAACATGGATGCTGATAATCAAGTGGGGTGAGTCTCACTCACTATCCTTCTTCCGTCTTCCCGGCACAAATCGAAATCGCATCAGCCTCAAGCGAGAAACAATATAAGCAGCAGTAGTTCTCCCGGATTACAACCGCGCTAACACACGTCCACCCACCCCGCCTTCAATCTGTTCGCCAGCCAGCCATCCATCCAGCTCGCCCTGTACCGCGAGTCTCCTGTTTATTTCTTCTTAAAGACAAAAGAACAAGACATAAAGCAATGGCCACCCTTCAAGTCCAACCGGTCACCGAAGCAGACCTCCCAGCCCTAACCCGCATCTTCTACGCGGGCTTCACCACCGCCATCGACCGACAGATGTTCCCCGACACGCCCGGTCTCCGCGCCTGGTGGGCCGATGCCAACCGCCACGACCTCCTACATAAACCCGGCGTGCGCTTTCTAGCAGTGGTCGACCCGACCCTCGCGCATTCTGATGATGACGACAAGCTGATCTCTTACGTCAAATGGGATCTGGACCCTGAAAACCGAGGGAGGCGGTTCCCTGAGTGGCATCCGGATACGGATGGGGAATTGTGCGATCAGTTCTTTGGGGGCTGTGATGCTGTAAGGAGGGAGGTTATGCGGGGGAGGGGGCATTATTGTAAGCAGGCCTTTGCCGTTTGTTTATTTGTTTCCTTGTGAAAGCAATTATGATGTTCGTGGGTTGGGTAAACTGACGATACGGCAGATCTCGATATGCTGGTGACGCATCCCGAGCATCAAAGACGCGGCGCCGCGACGATGTTGGTCCGCTGGGGCTGTGAGCTGGCTGATAGGACGGGCACGCCTGTTTATATCGATGCTACGCGCGCTGGTGTGCCAGTTTATGAGAGGCTTGGATTTGCGGTTGTGAGGCAGGATGCTGAGGCGGAGCTGTTCCATATGGTTAGGGAGGCCGGAGGAAAAGAGAGCGTAACAGGGAATTCTCCTCCGCTACATTGAAGGTCATGCTTTGGGTCGGGGGGTACACGACCGATCGGGATTTTTCCTCATGGTTTATTTCCCCTCGGGGAGGGGATCAGGTTTCCAGGGAGGTCTGAGTGGTGGCAGTGGAGGCTGATGCAAAACTTTAACAGCGGGTTTGGGTATGAGCTGTTTTTGTCTTTCTCTTCCGGATGTTCCGGCTGTTCCAGTTGTCTTCTATGCACAGATCGTCTTGCTAGATCGCTAGTTGATGAGGAGACCGATATTTTTCATTGCGTGCAGGGGTTGGTTTCTTGATGACTGTAACGAGCACTGGGGCATTTAGCGACGATCTATACGGGACTCTTGAGACGTGGGAGAGAGGCCTATATACTTTGCGTGATTCTGTTCATCAGGAAGAAGCCAATCGATTTGGTTCGTGCTGCCAGGTAGACAAGAGGAATACTGGCCCTGCAACAAGGTACCGGGAGTTGAAACGTGCCAGAGCCTTGCAACTCGGGGATGGCGGCGACTTATGTGCTCGGGATCGTGCGTGTGCTGACACGAATTTTCAGATTTAATTTATTGCTCTTCCCTTCGAGGGAGTTTCCACTCGATATGGCGCTCCAGGAGATTTCAAACTCTGATCCCCCATTGCATGTGCTGTCACCCCTTGATCATAGCATCCCCAAGATGTATTTTACCTTCTTCGTCTCCTTCAGCCTGCAGCAGCCAGCCACAGGTCTTGAGTCACTGCGACACGGCATTAAGAAGCTGGTTGATACCATCCCATTCGTTGCGTATGATGTGGTGCCCTGCCATGACAAGCTTCATGAGAACGTCCATTGCATTCAGCCTCCCTCTGATGCAACCCTGTCAGGACCGATGCTCAGCGTCAGAGATCACTCACCTGCGTCGGTAACGGTACTCGGGGACACGGCCACCTGCACTGGGGACGAGGAAGCCAAATTCGCCGAGAAATATGCGTCCCTGCCGACTATCCTGAATTCTACGCAGAGCAAGCCTGCTTTGCGCTTCGTCGCCAACATGATGGCGGATGGGATCATCCTAGCCGTCGGTTTCAACCACTTAGTTTTCGACGGCACCGGAGTTGGCAACATCCTTGGGATTCTGTCTCAATGCTGCCGTGGTGCCCAGAATCTTACTGGACTGCATGAACTGGATCTGAAGCTGCGCCAGCAACTGTGTCTCGATGGCTTAGCTGGCAGAGACGCATGGAAGGACTTCTCTGCGAGTTACAGCACGGAGAGTCCCTTTACATGCCCACCACCTGGCCAGTGGCGTACGCCGAAGGCATCACCTCTTATCGAGTCGTTTCGGTTCACGGTGAAGTACCGAAAGATCCGCCAGTTGAAAACTATTTGTTCTGCCATCTTGACAAATACGAGCCACACCCGGGATGAGATGGATGCGAGCCCGCCGGCATATGTATCCAGCCATGACGTGTTGACGTCTATCCTTGCGGTGTGTCTGCGGCAAAGCCAACCCAGCACGTTTCAAAAGCCTGACTACAGGATCTCCTTTGCGGCCAACCTGCGGTCCCGTATGAGTCCTCGGTGGCCTGAGCTCTATCTCGGAAATATGCTCGCCATGTTACACGTGCCGGACTCATGTCTGGCGGACAGAACGGATAAACATAGAGCAATCATTGCAGCACATCATATAGGGATGTGCAGCGATGACTTGATCAAGATCACTGACACGGCGGCCGCAATCCGTCACGAGATCGTGTCCCTCACGGACTCGCACATCCGCGGCTTAATCGACCATTTGCGGCTGCAAATTGACTGGGGAGGAATGAACATCAAGGGAGGGGACTTCTCCGTCACTAGCCTTCGGCATTTGAAGGTCTATGGATTTGACTTCGGTGGGGACTTGGGCGCGGTAGCTGACTTCCGTTTACATGTTGGGTTGCTGGAGGGGTTGTTGTGTGTGGTTCTTCCCAGGGGACGAGATGGTGATTGGGATATTCAGTTTATGCTGGAGAAGGAACAATTTCACGTTCTTTGCAAACATCGTCTTTTCCGGTGGTTGATGGGCGAGCGTGATGGGCTGGGTTATTGTGCCTCTCCATTGCATGGAACCATGGATTGAGGAGATAATCACCCGCACGTCACAAACCATGTGCGTGACGCCAGCCAGGAATTGAAACCCAAGGTGGGTTCTTTTCTTCAGAAAGGCAGAGACCTCCCAGTAAATAGATTCCGTTGTTAATTGACAGGAGATGGCAGGAGGTGACTCCTTCCCAACTGGTATTCATGGCCGTTCATAGTGATGGGCCAGACCCAAATGTTCGGAATTGCACCTCTCTCCATCCACTCCCTACCTCTTGATCTATCGTCACTCTTTCCTCAGAAATCATACCTTCGATCAATGCTACCTCAGAACAACAAGGGCCTAATGGGAGTGTTCCACATCATTCCAGGAATATGGATCCAACTTCTATTCCTCATCACAACGACAACACCGCCAGTTATCCTCATTCTTATCCACCCATAGGATATAGCTACGTCCCGGACTATCGGCAACCATTGGATACTTTCGCGGAGGAGCTCCCGTGCTATTTCGACGGCTTCACGCCAAGAGGTGGAATACCGCTACCAACCATACCGGCACCGAGTTACTTTCATCAAGGTTCTCTGACGTGGGTACCGTGCGAATCGCCCCCGGCACTACTAGCAGCAGCAGGGGCTTACTGGAACTCCAATACTCTGTCGTGGGTGTCGAGGTTTTCGGTGCAAGGCTTTCCTCAACCCTTCATACCACATCAATCCGCCGAGAAGGCTTCGCGGCCAAGTACCGTGAACTCGTTCGTGCATCACTATTCTCACCCAGGGGTATTGTGCCACACGGAGAAGGTGCAAGCTTGGCTAGACCGTAAGCTTGGTCCCATGCCGAAGCCTTTTGTCCTTGATACCTCTAATGCTGTCTTAGAGGTTGATTCGAGGTTAAGCGGGTGGTCTATGGCTAGGAAGTCAAGGAGCAAAAGGTCGAAGGCTAAGAAGGCAAAGGCAAAATCGCCAAGAGTCTGGAATAAAACTACTGGACAAGCTGTACAAGGAGAGTCGGCGTCAGCACCGGCTTTATCCGAGCCGGCCTCGTCTGAAGTAACGACCGCTGAGCAAGCCGCAGAACAATTGACGTCCGCAGAGCCAACAGCTATCCCATCAGTAGCCGAGTCTTCAGCAGGCGGTATACCACAGATAGTCCCAGAGACAAAAGAGACACCCGCAGCCGAAGCACCAAGAGCAGGTTCACCAGCAATTGGAATTTTGATCTCCGGACTTTCGACACCGGAAGCGTCAACCACCGAGGAGAAGCTAGCGGGAACATTAGCCACACTCGCCGACCTGATCGAGTCCGTGAAGATCAGAAGGGCTATCTCTCTCGATACCCACCCCATGGTCATTTACCATGAGCCTTGGCGGATATCGCAACATAGTGCCAGTCGCACCACCCCAGGCCTCCATCACGCCCTTGCAGTTGGCGTGCTAGATTCCGAGCGCATGGGAATGGTGCTCTCCAAGCTCAAACCGATGGAGTTGCTTCCTGTGCGCAACTTTTATCGATCCATGTTCGACAGGGACTTGTTGGAAGACATGATGGACAATAAGTTCGGGTTGGTGGTTAGGCAGGATCCTGCAAATGACATTCGGCCTGTGACTGGAGCTGTTGCTGGTGCTCGTCTTGACCTCGACCGGAACAGGGCAGTTACGATCCTCGAAGCTGTTGGCAATCCTTTCACAGAACAGCGGGAAGCAGCACCATAATAACCTGCAAGGACGGAGAAGGACATGCTGTATAGGACATAGGCTATGAGTTGCTGAGAGATTAGGACGTGGCTAATAGTTAGTTACATCGTGTGAAGGGGTATGTTACTTAAATTAGCTCTTCTTAGCTCAATTTTGGCTATCTCTCCAATGGATGTCTTCTGTGGCTGTTGCTCGGTCCCTATCTGGTATTCTACGCCGAGTCGCCGAGTCGACTCCCTGAGGCGCATGGGAAACCCTCGGTGATTTCCCGAGATGTGGGGACATGAAGTGACTAAGCGGGATTCAAAGTGGCCCCATCTATCACCACGTGACATATAAACATCACGAGAACCGTTCTGTGGAGGTCACCTTGAGAGATGGACCCCGTTCCCCTCAAATGGTGACGGCATTCTTGTGGCAGACATGGCCACAATCTACGCAACTAACGGACAGCATGACGCTCTGATACTTATTATAGATATCTAGGGAATTTTAACCTCAGATGCGGCTATCCATTTCCCCAGAAAACTGAGGTCGGCACGATAATCGCCCCCGGAGGGATCAATCTTCTTCCTTTCGATAAGCTTCGAGACCAGAGGCCAGGACCGCCATGCAGGCCACCAGTCATAGCCGGTTGGTGCCGGCAGTTTCATTTCCGCACTGTTTCTTCAACGCTTCACTTCCCTCCCCAGCGCAATTAATCGCATCGCTTGAAGTTGCTGCCAAGAAGACTTTGATACCAGCTATTGCAGCGCTGGAAAGAATAGTGTGCCACTGTCCTGCCCCAAACAGAGTGCCAAGAGCAGATGGATTGATGTGCTTCTGAAGCGATTAGCCGAACGCCCCTAAGGCTGAAAGGCTGCAGCATCTCGAGTGGGGAGCAGAGCAACGTGTGTACGTATGCCTCTATCCACTTTTGGTGGCGATGGAGCGGGCTAGCGGTGCCCCCGGTGGAAACCATCAACCACCACAGCGCATTCAATGACAACGATGATGAAGGGGCCACGCGAGACCCTGGGAATTTTCATGATGATTCAAGGCCCCTCTTCGCAAGGGTCATAGCAGTCGCGCCTCTTTGAAGCTCACAGTCAACAGGCGTCATTCGGCCCTTCTGTGCATCTCCCGTCCGGACGCGTCAGGAACCTCGTACCACCCATGAGCTCTATCAGGCACGCAAAAACCCTAAATCAAGAACTGCAGCGGAAATGCCAAGAACCCAAAGATTGGGGCGAGAGATCGCGGGACCCCCTCAAGCTCCTCTCCCCTTGCTAGGCAACATCATTCGACAATTCACAGCCCCTTGTCGGACTTTGTCAGCGGCAGTGTCAACGGGGGTTGACGCAGAGCCTGGTTCGACCGACGTTCAAGCCCCAATCCCATCGCCGCCTCTAGTCCGATCATGTCGTATGTGGCTAGGAGGTGTGCCACCATTTCTAGAAGTAGGGGGAAGGGCTGTCTAGTCGACTGCGTCGCCAGCTCCACTGCTTGGTATGGTGGCTGTCTATATAAGACCTGACATTCCTCCTCACTCTTGGTTTGTTCATCACACAACCATCTATCTGTCTATCATTCATAATGGGTCTCTTCCACCACCACCACGATAACCCTCCTCACCACGGCGGCCCTCAAGGCGGTCCCCCTGGCCCTGGCGGTCCAGGCGGCCCCGGTGGCCCTCACGGCGGTCCTCAGGGTGGCCCTGGAGGTCCTGGAGGTCCTGGAGGTCCCGGTGGTCCTCACGGCGGTCCCCAAGGCGGCCCTGGTGGCTTCGGCAGCCCTGGTCCTCATGAAGGCCCTCACGGCGGTCCCGGTGGTCCCGGTGGCCCCGGTGGCCCTGGTGGCCCTCACGGTGGTCCTCACGGCGGCCCTCCCGGACGCTGGTAGAGTATGTCAAACTGCCATCGTATTCACTTTACCATCGATAACTAACTCTCGAGTAGTACTTCCGACCACTATCGAATCGCATTTTCTAAGGGCTGAAGCTTGCTTGGACTGTACATACATTGTTGGATTTGAGGCGGGTTGAACATGTCTTGCATCATACACATTTGCCATTGATTGAATGGCGCAAATACCCACTACACACAGAAATCAAACATGTTGAAACTCAAGCTGCAGGCCTTATAATGCCGTTCTTATCAAGTAATATATGTGTAGGCTCAATTTGCCCCTCGTTATCATGATTCTTATCCGTCTATAGCATTATCAGTCTCCGCATAATTAGTTTGAGATCATCACATCGGCTATAGTGTTCGCCTTCAAGTCTCGGTGCATAAGGCCAATAGTCATCAGTGCCTTAATACCTTTCTCTATACCTACTCTATCTGACAAATTCTGCATGATGGCGGTGACTGAGGTATTGACAAGTAGCATTGTTCGATATCATGGCGTGATTCATGTTAAGTTCAATGTCTCGGCCTCCAAGTCGGCGAACGGAATCTTGATGCCTAAGGCAAGTCGGACACGGAATCCCGACCCCGCCTGGTCTTACTATCGCTCGTGCTTCACGTCCAACTCTCGAGTTAGCATTTTCTTCTTCCATTCCGACTCACCAGAACCACTGCCTTTGTAATGCGTGGCTACGAAGCTACACCGCTCAAAGCATGCCGGCCATGCTCCAAGGCCAAGGTCCGGTGCGACCCCGGGCCAAGCCAAGCGTGTCAGAGGTAGGCGTTGTGTACCTTATGCTCGGGAGAGAAAGATACTGAAAAGCTACACAGATGCCATCGACTGAGAAAAGAATGCACCAAGCAAGCCCCCGGAGCTCATAGTCTCGGTCGGCCCAAAGCTTTGTCGTATGAACTCTCCACTCCTCCACCTGTGCCACATGCTCCGATACTAAGAGATCCCGCCCCCGGGCCTTTAGAGACGTAGGCCGGTTGGAGAGGAAACTGGATAACATGACCACGCTGTTGCGAGCTTCGCAACAGCCCAGGGGTGGCATCGTCTCCAACTCGGGCTACTTGTCCCCAGCGGGTGCGGTTCCGGTTCCGGGGTCAGGCTCCCCGAAGGAAGCCAATCCGCACGAGGCAATCGAGATCTTCCACCGGCAAATGGCGATCCGATTCCCCTTCGTCTTGTGCTCGCCTTCTATGTCGCGTGATGAGCTGCGCGTCCAGAAGCCGTTTGTATATATGGTTATGTCCATGATTGGCTGCCAGGATCAGGACGCGCAGTTGGCACTCGCTGACCAGGCGAGGGCGTATCTGCTTGAGCGTGTGCTGGGGAACGGGGAGTCGAGTCTGGATCTCTTCCAGGGATTTCTGCTTTTTGTGGCATGGTGAGTGGCTTTCTTGGGCTCCAGGGTTGGGCGATATAGCTATTGGCTCGCTCGTACTGAGTGGTGGGAACAGGGCGCATATCTACGTCCCGATGCCAGAGCTATGGTGCAACTACCTTCATCTGCTGGTGGCGCAGAGCAAGAACCTTGGCTTGGCCCGGGACGTGTCGAGCGGGGCGCCCATCTCTGTATTGTCCTACATGAAGTGCAGGCAGTTCGAGCGGCCGACCGGACCCGCTCGGTCTCTGGAGGAGCGGAAGGCGTATCTGGGGTGCTACTATGTTGTGACTATGTACGTCGTCTCTCTCACCCGGGAAAGCTTGATGCTGCTAACCGAGCCAGGATCTCAATGTATCTCGGCGAGTCCGAGCCGATGCATTACACAACCTACATGGAAGAGAGCTACCAGGTCCTCAAGGCAGCCGCGCAGACAGAATCCGATCGATACCTGCTGTGTCTCGTGGACATCGCCCGCCTGGCCGACAGGATTCACCGCACCCTCCAGCCAGACAGTCTCAACAGCCCATCCAATGAGGCAGCGTCTTTCCCTCGGGGAATCGCCATCCGCTGGCTGCGACGGGAGCTCGAGCAGCTCAAACCCGCGCTTGCATTTAGTGATCCCGTGCAATCCTGTAAGCTCTTCTTCATCGCATTTGAACCTCAACAGCAAGCTGACATGATCACCCCACGAAAAAGCATTCCTCCTCCTCCAATACCACAACCTCGAACTCTTCATCTACCGCACCGCCCTCCGCCGCGACCCAACCTCAAGAGAATGCAGCTACCCGCCCACCCGCCTCACAATCCTACACAACTGCCTCCACTCCGCCAAGGCCTTCTTCGACGCCTTCTTCGCCGTCCCCTCCGCTGCTTTCTTTCAAATGCCGTACGTCTTCTACTGCCAACTCGGTCACGCCTTCCTTATCCTCTCGCAGCTCTCGGTCTACGATGACGAGGACGACGACCCTAACACCCCAGAAAGAGCATTATGGGACCGCGACTACGCCCGCGGCGTGATCGATTGGCATGCGACGGCCGATACGCTCACGCAGAAGATCGAGGAGGCGGTGCGCGTGGCGCGCGAGGAACGCATTCTGGTGCCGAAGATATTTGGGAAGATCGCCGTACGGCTCTCGTGGTGGAGGGAGGCTCATGCAAGGCAGGAGGAGGCGTTACGGTTGAGGTTGAGGCAGAGGGCGGAGGGGGATGTCCGGCCGCCGACGCCGGATATGGGCTCTCGGATGGATGATTTTGGGATGGAGGAGTTGGTGTCTGGTTTGGGTTTGGAGGATTTGTTTATGGTAGGGCCTATGTGGGAGTTTTTCCCTTTCTAACCCTTGGGTTGGTTGTAGAGGGTATTGGTTGGGGGACTTGGGGTTGACGGTACTAAATGTTGGGTTTTTTAGAATATATAATTGTGAGTATAGCTGATATGAGATATTCGGTTGAGCTTGTGGGTGGTGAGAAGACAGTACCTGCATTCGCTGATTCCACAGCGGCAGACCCCGTAGGTGGGTATTGGGTTGATGTGAAAAGTGGATTTTCGCGACTGCGCCTACGGCATGTTGACTGGTGCAGACTTCATCGGAGTCTGGTTGTAGATCTGTGTTGGAGCGCGTATCATCTTGTGTTACACAAGTGCCTGCCCGCATTCCAACCGTTTACAGCGGGTACTACTCAGGATCTCTCAGAAAGCAGCTTCGCAGCATTCAGATACAGGGTATGTACACACAAGAAAACCACCAGCAATCTATTTTTAGGCCAGAAAACTGTGCCAACGCTCATTCAACCTTCCGACAAACGGAACCCACCTCCCAGTCCATGATTGTCACTTCTTGCGTGAGGAGGCCCCCGCCGCGTTGGCCGCGCCGGGCATCAACTCCGGCGCACCCTGGGCTTTCCCACCATAGAAGTCCACAAACGCGCGGCTCACCTCGCGGAGGGCCTGCCAGATGATCCAGATCGGCACGACGACCCACAGTCCATTGAAGAACGTTAGATACACGACGACATACATCCAATGACTGGTGTTCAACGCGGGGCTGCCGGACAGCCACTCGGGCACAAAGGTCATAAACCCGCCGTACAGCTCCGCGGTAGCGAGACAGGCGGCGACGAACCAGACGCGACCGGCCAGCAGGCCGCGCTGGGTGGGCGAGAGCCGCTCGTGCGACAGGCGATACAGGGCCCAGCAGATGTAGGCGGCGGCGGGTCCGCCCAGCAGGACGGTCAGCAGCTCGATGGACACGACGTTGGGGTCGGCGCCGCCCCAGCGGTGGTCGGCCTTGGCGTACTCCTGCCACAGGCGGGCGGTGGGGTCGGCGGCGGCGCCGTACATGGCGCCGTGGGCGCGGTCGCGGCGGTTGAGGAAGACGGGCCCGAAGCGCGAATTCGTGGGCGAGATCGGGATCGTGCTGAAGAAGGCGTGGTACAGGAATGAGCCCTCGATCAGGAAGTGCGTGAGCGCGTCGTACGCGTGCCACCAGAAGAACACTCGGCCCAGCTCGTGATGTTCCGGGATCAGCCGTTTGCCCAGCACCCAGGCGATCGGCATCGGCGCGAACGCCATCGCGAGACAGAGGATAGTCGGCAGGTCCAGCACGAACGGCTGCGCCATGATCGCACTCTGGTTGTAGAGGTTGTTGATGTTGGTGCTTGCTGCTTCGCTGATTGCGTTATGGTCGATGTTAAGTGAGAGCTCGGGTATGTTGCCCGGCCAGTGCGACTGTAGCTTGGTACCTATATTCGTGAAGTAGGAGGAAATGGTCGTGGCTAGGATCTCGACCGATTCTCCGGAGGCCTCAACCCAGTCTTCAAATACCATGGTGTGCGGCTTATTCTGTGGTCGCGGGAGACAATGAAACCATGAGACTGAATGGGGAGGACGTAGGTTCTGCGTGTGCTTTAAGAGGAATTCGTCTCTCGCTCTTTTTCGCCCGCGCCCCTGAGGAAGATTGGTGACTTTGTCAAAGAAACTCGGAAGAAAGAACGAGTCGCGCCGATGGCGCGCCGGTGCGCGCCTCAGGCAGCTGGAGCTTGGCTGTTTTGAGGTTGGTGGCGCCCCACTGCTCTTGTTCCATTCCGCGGTTTTCTGCCTGGCTTTACTTTGTTGATACTATTTACGGCTTCTTTGAGATTTGCGCTGGGATGGCTTTCGATGGCTTGGTTGATCGGACTTGCTCTTTGGTGTCCGTGCTAACCGCCTACTTATTTGTAGACTTTGATGTTGCTGTTGTTTATATTCTTTGTGTTGATATCTCGATGCTCACCAGAGACAGAATAAAGGGGTCCTCCCATAGTTGAATGTACGAGTGCGGATCTCTCTTGGCCTGATTCTGATGGTCTTCACCAAGGACTTCAGTATTGTTTCTCACTTACTTGCACCATACCTGAATCTCTATCAGCTCTTAGTTCATACCACTGTGCGGTCGCAAATAATGTCACCTTTCTTTATACTGCTCCGAGATATCTCTATGAACAATGCCACTCCAGCTGAGTATCTGAATGCAAGCAGCAAGCATCTTGCGAATGCCCTGTTCGAGCTTGAAAAAAAACCATGAAGCCTATTCGCAAAGTACGACACGCACGAATTTGCGACAGTGCGTGCGACAGACTAGCGACACCTCGCATGCTCCTCTGTGGCTGATGCGCATGATGTTTGAGTCCTTGCTAGCATGATCTTTTATTGACAACAGCGACCTACTATGGAGGACTCGACTTCGTGGTCTCCTACTGATTTGTGTCAACCGGCTGTTGCATATGCTCCATACACTGTGCTGATAGCGCCTTTCCATCCCTTTCCGACTTCTTACTATCATGGCGCTTCCAGAACCCCTTTTCCTCGCGGTGTGCCTCTGTCTGGGTGACCAGCCAGCCGGAAATTAGTCGCGCCGCATCGTGCGCTCGCTCAGCGGGGTCATATGGGACGGCTCCGCTAACAGTTCTACCTGCACACGCGCGCTTCCCCCAACCCCCGTTCCAGTCCGTCTCGGCATATCCTGCCGTGACGGGGTGCATTATAGATAAGTAGACTCTGGTAGAAATAAGTGGCCAGGGCCCGCTCGGGAGTCGGAGTACGTAGAGTGGGGAGAACGTGCAATCGGTAACAGCTGAAACTATGAACCACTCCCACGATTGGAGGTTTCATCTGGTCTCTGAAGTGATTTACCATGAGCAACAGATCTCGCGAGTGGTCAAACCAATTGGCTTGGGTTGCCATGATCAGCATTTCAGCCCCTTCTTCTAGGTCTTCGGAGGTTGTAGCTCACGATCATAGCCCATATTGTTTTCGCTCAATACTCCACTTGCGCCTTGATTGGAGCAGTTTACGGTCCAGATAGCCTTGATTTTCACCCCGACCAAAATTATCAGCTCATCCCAGAGAGGCTCGTAACACTCTATAACGATGGGAGTCGATCGTCAGAAAACTTATTCGCACAGGGCAAGCTGGCTCGACTCTTCACACCTTCGGAACTCCATTTGCATGCCCTGCTATAATTGAGAGGTTGTCTGGTGGGGGGCACGGGTTATTGTCGGAAATGTATTGTTAGATCGCTAATTGCATGTTTGTCACGGTTGCGTGGTGGTATTCGCGAATAGAGTACACGGGAGAGTGTGCTCGATGAGTCGGAATTGGGACTTCATGGCTTCAACTAGACAATCCAGAGATGAGAAAAAAGAGAGAAGACACGTGCCCTGCGTAGGGATTGAATGGAATGATTTAATTCTGGGATCCATTGGCAAGAATGGCGATGGAGAGGATGAAGCCAAGAGGGAAGTCGTTGAGCGGTCTTGTGGAAATGCCACCAAATAGATTCCGGATGACACAAACCAATGCAGACTAATGTCTTCGATCACGGCTTTTCAGCCCACCATTATTCTAGCTGCTGGCCTGGCTACAATCTCACGCCTTTTCCGAAGACCACACTTGTCTCAGTCTTGTTCCTCCAGGGGTTAATTGGCATCATTCGAGACCTCTCCAAAGGTTACTTTGTGTTTCACTCGACATAGATTTAGATGCGTATCCGCGAAGGCCTGATCGAGACCCCCGTGCTGCTACCAAAACAGTAAAGGAATCTAGGGTACTATTTCAAAGCATGGCTATGTTCTCGTTAAGCTTGGTACCGAGCTTATCACAGGAAACTTGCGAGCTCCGGTGCCATCTCTATCCAACCCCGAACGCCGGATTGAGTCCGACCAACGCCGAGATGGGCAAACATAAAAGAGACGAACACATGGTTTATTCCCAGAGTTCCGATGCCAGCTCAAAATAGAAGATCAACATGAGCCCCCTCCTGGAAAAGCCAAGCCAATACGGTAGCGATGCATTGGAGGGCAATGGTGGCTCTCCCTCACAATCGTCTGAGCTTGAATCTATGCTCCACGTGGCAGACGCCTTGCCACCTCGAGTCTGGTCAGCAGCAATCATCGCCGTCTTCAACGCTGTGCTTACGAGGCACCCAGTGTATTTTTCGTACGTATATCACGAGCTCATCATAACAGCTCTAGCTCTTGAGCTAACGCAGCTTATATTGCCACTTGCTCTAGAGAATTACCTGCAACATGGTCCTTCCGATTTGATACCCGGGGCCCTTGCTCTCGGAGAATTACGCGCAACTACGGTCAACCTGGCGTTCACAGTATTGGTCAACATCCTGCCGTTGCCGATATCAGTCTTCGTGGATAGTCGCTTGGGCCAGTATCTGGCCTTGCAGATTTTCTTTGTGTGTGGACTTGCCAATTGAAATAAACCTGGTTTGTTGTGATCCTTGCTAATAGATTATATAATCTATGCTCTCGGAACAGCAACTCCTTTCATTACCTCACTGCCATTCATGATACACAATGGGGCTGCAGGTTCGGGATTCGCCGTGGGAGCTGCGCTGATTGCCATCGGGCTTAGAGGCGTCCCAGCCTCACTTTAACCATTTATCGGTATGTGAATTCTTAGTCTCGGATAATGAGATTTGACCGGACTAAAGTCATTTCTTGTAGCGGACCAATGCACGGAACCTGGGTGACGTACCGAGACTCGGCCGAATGGCCAACGGGTGGTTGTAGACCGGGATCTCACCATACAGTACATCTACAGTGTTTACTATTGGTATACCAGCCACTTCCACCTGCCCATCTTGTGGCTCGTTTCCATGCTGAAGGCCCCAGGATGACCAATCTCGGAGCCGTGGGGGCTTTAGCCACCATCATGTTGGAGAGATATACCGGCTTCTAGTCGAGCTATCTCCTGGTCCTCTGCTCCGTGCTGGTCTGCCTCGTCATCGTGCAGGCAGCAGGACGAACCTTCGGTAATTTGTGCTCCGAGACCTACAAATAATAGCTTTCTGACTGGCAATCGATAGTCCGCCCTGCACCAGAGAGTTCCATTCTACCCAAAGCAGCCAGGTGTCTCTGGTATGCGTGCCTCGGTGGTTTTACCCTTGAAGCCTGCGATCCTCAAGTCCAACTTGCCAAGCATAATCATGTTGTCCCATGGGACGAAGAGTTCATCATTGAGCTCTGAAGGGGCTTATCCGCCTTCAAAATTTGGTAAGCACACCCCGCACAGAGTCAGCAACATAGACTCTTGCTAACAGAGACTCTCAGCATAGGCCGGCCCATCTTCTGGCTCTGCATGGCCCAAGCCTCCCAGCAAAGCATCTCCCAAGCTGGCACAATGCAGAGCCACGGCATCCCCAATGACGTTGTCAAAGTCTTCAACCCGGCAGCATACATCCTGTTCGGTATTCTCGTCCACAAATTTCTATACCCTTTCCTGCCACGCCACAGAGTCTCGTTCAGTGTTAACCGCATCACCCTCGGATTCCTTACAATGTCGCTAGCCATGACCTATTTTGCCGTCCTCCAAGCTGTGATCTATCACACGGGGCCCTGTTACGACCACCCACTGGCTTGCACCGCCTCAGATGGTGAGCTCGGCAAGGCCCCAAACCGCATTCATATCCTGATCCAGCTCCCGACCTACATCATCATCGCCCTAGCGGAGGTATTCTGCTGGCCGACGGGTGCAGAGTACCTCTACACCCGTTCGCCAAAGAGCATGAAGTCGGTAATGCAGGCGTGGTATGTCGGGAAATTGGCGCTTGGCTACGCGCTGGGAATGGCACTGTCGCCCTTGACGAGAGATCCGTACCTTGTTGTGCTCTGGTCGTTAGCGGCCGGACTGGTGTTCGGGTGTGCTTGTGTCTTTTGGCTTGCTTTTCGCCGACTGGTGTAGGCTTCTGCTCCGGTCGGTAAATCTCTGGGCCTTGAAAATAGCTGCTCCTTCGTGTCTCGTTGCGTCCACAATCTCTCTCCTTGTTTCCTCCCGAATTCTGTTCAAACACCTAGTAGCGATTTCATATGACCGCGATGAAGATCGCAACACAATGGAAAATGGACCCGCTACCGCAGGGGATATTCACAAGTCGCCGTTCAGAACAGAGGTGAAGCAGCGTCATGATCAATCCGGTGGCGACAGGGAGCCATATCTGTCTCATGGCCTCAACCGTCAAGTTTCTGTAGCTCCAGTCCGACTGGCGAATGCCAAGGGCAGGAATACGGTAGTGGCTGCTGATGCATGGGGGTCGTGCTGCTTTGTCTGGTGGCATCCCTGTAGTGTTTATTGGTGGATGTTCCAAAGGTTCGCGGTGTCGAACATGGCATTGTGGAAGAAAAAAGCCATCGACGGTCATAGCGATACAGGATAAACAAGACTAAAGATGGTGGTAAAATGCTGAGCGGTACTGTCCTTTATAAATGCTCCTTGTTATTACTGAAAAGTATTGAGTAAGGCAAATGAGTCTGTCCCTGATGCCTTTGCTTGAATGGTAAACTTGAGTAGATTCGAGGATGCTATTTCCAATTAAGACCTGTGGCTGGAAATTGGCGTGGGTTCGCAATTGACTCTCGTCTCGACCTGCCCAATCAGCCCCTCCTCGAGTGAATACAAGCGAGGGCTAATCAATCATGGCTTGGTGTGGCTATGTGGGAGTATAGGCGTGAAAGCGAACCACCGCTTCGGGTCTTTGTCGTTCTCGCGTGGCCCCAATCTGAAAGAACTTCCAACCACAACTCACAGTCCACTCTCTCGCCACCAACTCCGACCATTAAGAGCTACCTTTTGACACCACGAGGAATAGCTTGCCGAGCAGCTCCTTAAGAGTCATACCTCTCATTCATTCGGATGAGCCTTGCTTCTCCGAGCGTCCACCACCAGGCTTGAATGCCATTTGTCTGCGAAACTCCGTCTAACACATCCCGTGGGAAGGGCGACGTTTGGTATCGAGAACTCACTGGATCTGCTTGAGATAGGTTTTAAGATATCGGGTAGAACTTTTCCCCTCGTCCTCGGATCCCCTCTCGGCTTCCAGCTTTCTATGCACAACACAAGCGAGTCACGTTCCCGCCCACACTTTCATGCCACCATGTTCTCCGTTGACGATGTGGAGGTTTTGCTACACAACTTGATTCGGATCGCATGGGACTTATATTACAACTGCAACTATGTTCGTGGTGAGGCCCCCGATGGCTTCAAGCAACTTGTGGACGGACTCCTCGCTCTTCATAACACGCTTCGTGCTTTGAAGAACAATGTCGAGGCTGTGCGAGGTGACCATAAAGTTGACCTGCAGCCGTCGCTCCATGCCTGTTTAGAGACTCTACACGCACTTCAAAGACTAGTCGTCAGGTATCAAGCTATCGGGGCTAGCAGCGAAAAGGAGTTCTGGGAGAAAATGGACTGGCCGACACAGCAAGGACAAGTTGAGGAATTGAGGTCTGAGATTTCTGCTCATGCACACAACCTACAATTGTGTTTAAACTCTGTCGCTAGGTATGACCCCATATCCCGGTTGATGGTTGATCTCATAGGCATTGACTCCTGCAGCTATTCCTCGAGTAGCTTTAACGACACCATGTTGGAGACTTCACAAACAGACAAAACTCCCTTCCCTACACTTCCTTTGCCAAACGGAATATCTACCACCTTTCCAGTGCCGCCAATGTCACCTCGAAGACACCGTATAGGCGGGATCTCAGAGCTGGAGGGAAGTTCTATGTTCGAAACAAACGGCTTCGGTGCAAAAACACACCATAGCTTCAGCGATGCTCAGGCACGTGGCTCGGTCTCTACGGAGTCAATGACCTCCGGATACTCTGAGGGCTCCTTCATGTCAGGCAGCACGCTTACACCGACCAGTAGTGTGTCGGGAACACAGTTCAACTTTCCACCGATGGACATGTTTTCGACTGAGAAGGAGGTGTTCCATTCTCGGACTCCACCCGTCGTGGTGAAAGGTGTGCCAGGTTTAGAAACATCGGCTTCTTATTCCCAGTCACGAGAACAGCTCCGCCGATCGCTGCGTTATGAGCCCCGAGATCGATTCCACCAAGCTGACGCCGAACTCGTCCTGAAGTTTGATGCATCCGTGGTAAAAGGGCAGGAAGTCCGGAATCTTACTACGAGTGGTTGGTTACATATCGCTGTATGGTGGCTGCTCAAAGTACGGTACAATGTCCTCTTAGTTGTTATGATAGCTAAAATTTGCCCAGGCCCGTGCTGTCCTCGCCAATGCGGACAAGACAAACCTGGCAAATACTCGTGGAAGTGTCAGCCCATCAACCTTATCGTGGTCATCGAGCCATCAGGCATATATTGACCTGCTCAAAGCATCCTACATCTTATACGATGTTGTGTTGAGAACAGGCAACCCACAAGAATTGTTCTTGAATGAGAACCGAAAGATGGTTTCAGATTTGTCGGATGTGAGTAACTCAAGAGAATCTGTGCTATGACCGAACTAAGCAGAAAATAGGGTATAAGGGAAGAATTCTCCCAGTTCAGCTCTGTTGACGTCCCGGACTATGCTGCTATCCATTCACACAGCCAGGATATTCTCGAAACAATACAACCCGAGGAAACGGCTGGCAATATGAATCCGCGTCTAGGTCTGGGCGACGTTCGATACACTACAGTCGAGATTGAAGACGCGGGTAATGAAGACGAACATGTCTTCTTTCGTACGTTCGTCAATGCTGGAATAGGCAGCAAAAAGCTTCGCATGAGGACTAAAGGAGCTCCATATATGCTTCTGCTGTCTACTAGATCCGGGGACAGTGAGCCGAAGGTTACTATATGTAATCAAATGGGCACGTTTTGTCTTCAACGGAACTGTAAGTCATGCCGGTTTACTCGCTGGAATTGGTGGGCCCTAATCTAGTTACAGTCACACCCGCGGATTTGATTCAGCTTGTACAAACTTCAAATGCCTCAGTTGACGGTCTTCCTGTCGCAAGATCCACAGAGCCGGTAGCTCTGATGTTCGAAACCACCAGTGTTTCGATCTCGTTCCAGTATTTGGCCGACTTGGTGCAATTTATCAGCGTTCCAAAGGCGTACTTCGATGCCGTGTGGCCCAGGGAACCAATAAGCTCGGATAAAATTACCGAGACTGTGATTTACAAAGGCTCCGTTGAGGTACTGGAACAGCTAAAAGCGCCGAGCTTGGTAGCGATGAGCCCAGCCCTTGTTCATCGATCCTGTGAGGTGCGCATTCTAGAAAGATCATATGGCGAGGCATGGCGCTCCATCCGGAGAATGGTTATCAGCTCTTCCGTAGCCGAAAAGAACCCTATATGCATCGACTGGTTCATGCCTCTGAGTTTTGTGCAGATCAATCGCAGCAAAGGATCGAGGCAGGCACTGCTGAAGTGGTCAGATACCGGACAAGAACGATCTGACAAGACCGATGGGAACTATAACCCCCTGTACTCGAATGTGTACGATGAGAAGAACCCCAACATAGGAATCAGCATAGAGTGGTCCACAGAGCAGGCGGCGGGGGAGTTTGAACAGGCTATCTTGAGTCTAAACTCGAAGCCGATATTCTCCTGGTCTCAGACCCCAAGCTCGGGTCATATCTATGACGCCGTAGACGATACCCCGGAGCAGAAGATGTACAAAGCAATCTTGGTGTGCCAGAGTCACACGGGTTGGAAGTCCTGCGGCCTATACTATGTTTACAGAGACACCGACTACAGCTATGAGCATGCCAATCGCCGTGTCCGGTTTCCACACATATTCCACACCCATTACATCTCGTCGCACGTCGATCAGTTGTACCGAGCTGACTCTCCAGTTCAATTCTCCCGGAGCGAGAAGGTGACGAGAAGTGTCACGATCGGTTTCGATGAAGAGCTCACGCTGCAGGGGTTCATGAGCGCGCTTGCAGCTTCTCACGAACTCGTGTTTTCGAGACGTGCCACATCGCTCACGACTAAAGGCAAGCTTCTCTTCGGTCACAAGAAATCCTCCAAGGGAGACTCAGAGGTGCAGTTATGGCGAAATGGGGTGCATCTTCGTCTTGCTGCGCGGTGGAAGAGTGACCACGTTGCGGACAAGTGGTTGACGATGGGGATCCCATCTCGGGAGCCAACGCAGGACAGCAATCGGATAAGCTTCCACACCATGGAGTTTTCACGTGGAATGGTTCTCAATATGGCGAAGATTGCTGCGGGGAAAGCGAAAGACCCAGGCAAGGAGCGACTGCGGGGCCCTGTCACAATCACATTTCCGACCTTAAAAGGTACGTATCTGCTTCAATGGGTCATCTGGCGAGTATTAATTGTTGTGGGACGCTAACATACATTATTTTCCGGCAGATGAAGAAGACTTCATGGCTATCTTGACAGCGAAGTCTACGTCATAAAGCAGGTCTGAGACAGCGAGACGTGCTGCCTGTAAATAGTCTGTCTGCGTGACGAAAAAAATATCGATCAAACAAAGCACACACAAGTGTATCGATCCTGGATTGTGTATGATGCAGGGATGATGTCGACAAAAATAGTCACGCCCGGGATCGAACCGGGAACCTTCTCGGGCGTTCAGCTGATGTGAACGAGAAATCATAACCATTAGACCACGTGACTGTTTCTTGTTGTAGATCGGAATGTTATTTGGCTTGTCAATCCCTCAAATCGCGCATCATCTGCAGATACCACGGACGGTACGGTCAGTCCCTTGCTGCAAGGCAAACCCGCTGCCGATCGCCGAATGATAGCAACAGATCAAGTCAGGAACACCACGACCATGGCCACCCGAACATTTTGTCCTACCACGCTTGTGATAAGATCGAGGGCCGCAAAGCTCATCCGCTGACGAAGCGTCTGTACCATGGAACAAACAAGATCTCCCAACCCGCCTGATCATGTCGTTGAGCTGCGGAAGACCAGGCAAACCGCTCGGATCTGAGGAGTATTTCTACACCTACGGTTCGTATGCCGACACCCTTGGTGGAGAAAACAACATTTCTTCGTTGTTTTCTTTCGAATTACTCGAACATCGATAATCTAATCCCATTCCAGAGTTACCGTTGACTCAACTCTCCGTAGGTAAAACCAACTTTCGTCATCGCTAGCAAACCAGCCACAAAGCTCTAACTACAGTCACACCGTGACTCAATTCAAGAAATAGACCACCAAGTCCGAACCCACTTTTGTACCATATGACATGCAGACGGACAGGTCGCAAGCTAAACTCAGTAATCCACATCTGCAACTGTGCCCCGGGCTTGACTTACGCGGGTGATCTCCCCTCCTTTCTTTCCCAGGCAAAGGACATTATTCCCGCCGCGTGCGCCTCGCACGTGCAGCTCTTATGACTGATGTACGAAATGGCTGCGCCCGTTTATAAGCCAATGAACCTTTCTGCCTTCGACGCCTTGGTTTTAGTGATATGTGTCTTTCTCATTGCAAGATGACTGGTAGTTTTGTCCTGGGCTCGGGGTGATCTTCTATTAGCGATTTACTTTTCTTGCATTATTTTAGATACACTACATCCATCGGATAGCTTCGACTTCCACTTTCTTCTTTTTGTGCTCTTTTGGCCCTTCTACGTGAGCTGTTCAAAGGCAGGTCTACACTTACGACGACTACTGCTCTCTCTTTTCCGGTGATCACTTTTGATTCTCAGCAGCGTGGACATGCCACATCTGGTCCACCACCATCACCACCGAAGGCGCCACTCCTGGCCCTACTGCGGTCCAAGCAACGCGTACCACCAGCATTCGCACCAGCCGCTCAGTCGCAACCGGACACTATTCCAGTCGGAACAGCAACAGCAACAGGCCTACCAGCAGCACCTCCTCGAGCAGCGGTTTCTTGCCCCCGTTGGCTCGGAAGATCTCCTCGACGACGATGCCGCGTCGGCGGGGATTTCACCCTCGCCATCATCACTAAGGAAGGCCGCAGCACAGACCAGATCTCGACGCTGGTGGTGGTGGTGGTATTCCTCGTCGCGAGTGGTTCCAACCGCACCGCAGGGGAATCCGGTTGGGACTGAAGGGCCGCTGAGGAAGATGATGCGTCCGCCGCTGGATAAGGCGCGGTCGTTGTTTGTTATGCCCACGACGGCGACGGCGAGTCATTCTGTTGACGTTGCCGGGGAAGATGCGCTGGTGTTTACTACATATTGGGTGCCGCAGCCAGGTGTTGTTCAGGTTCCCGGGCTGGGGGGATCGGGAGCTGTTGTTGAACAGCCGGGCGGACCACCGCCCGCTGACGGGCTGTTGGCGGTGCCGGTTCCCGTGGATGGTGGGCCGCGGGGCAGGACTATGGCGGCGCATCTGATGGCGGAGAGGAACCATCGGCGGTGTCATTCCGAGCAGCCGCGGGCTTGGAAGCGCCCGAGCGCAAGCTTGTGGCCGCTGGAGGAGGAATGATTTCGCTTCAAAGAGGGTGGTGTTTTCCATTTGGACCCTCTGCTTGCTGTTTTCTGTCGTAGAGTTTGTGGCTTCACTTCATCTTGCTTGCTTTTTCTTGTGTATGATTTGTGGGATGGGTCTAATACTTTAGCATCGTGTTTTGAGAGGCGTCGGATATACAGGATCTATTGCATTTTGTTTGCGTGTGGCATTGTTGCGGGACGGGGGACGGTCGGTCATTTGCGTGTTGCGGCGTTGAGATTCGGCGAGACTTGGGGATGGAAATGTACTGTACTGTACCTTAGTTCAGTGAATCGAAATAATGCCCCAAACTCTAGGCTGCCATCTCTCTCATGGACAAACAACAAGGAGGATGGGTTGCGGGATTATCGATCTGCTGTTGTCGGGCAACCTTCTCAAATACCTCAAATTACCTCAATGCTCATCACCTGCACGGGACCATGCTTAAGTTTCAGCCTTGCCAGTCTGCGGACTGCGGATTGCGGACGGACGGGCTGGCAGTGACAGGCCGCTTTTCCCCTCCTCTCTCTTCCCCGGAACGACCGTGCCGATTCCTCGACTTGGCAACTTTACGGCGCCAGCTGAACATGATGTCACTAAGGGTTGGACCAAGAGAAGAGCCTCATTTAAGTGGGGGGTTACGCTGTTGATTGTTATCGCCGACAAGGAACGGGGTGTGAATCTCCGCGGACGGAGTTTACTTAAACTCGTAGTATTTTGACCTCAGCTCGAGTTTATGTGCATTGTGCATCGTATTTGCTGGAGCCTGAGTAACGATCTACCAGTTGGTAAAGAGTTTGCAGTCCCACTGCAAAGTCTGGGTCAGGGGATTGATTCTAATTTTGTCGGTCGCGTTTGTGCAATTGTGATTACTACGTGACTGGTAGGTAGGTAGGTCGGTAGGTAGAATACTATTTAAAGATGAACCTGGTTGTTTTTTGATTTCTGAAACGCTCCATGGGGCAATTGTGCTGGGTGTTTGTTGGAGTTTGAGGGGGAAAAGAACGATTCGAGCAGGGGCAGGGAGTTTCACGGAACGGACGGATGAAGATCCAAGCACTAAGTCTACACTATCAGCCCTAGTGAGCCCTATCATTCCGCCCGTCGACAGTTGTGGGGTCTTCGTCTGGATGCCGTGTGGGGGCGGATTTGGCCGCGTGATCCTGGGATTGCAGTTGAGTGCATTGTGCAGTGTTAGCTTGGTTGGTTTTCTATTATGTGTCTTGTGGTTTGTCGTATTACATGATCGTGGTTGACGGTACAATGTATCAAGAGGTGAGATCTGGATTGTGGTTGAGGGAAATCTAGAGTATGAGTTGTCCAGTGTAGCGCAGCGTAGAAACGCATGCTGCCAGATGTGGAATTCGACTCGAAATCGACTCGAAGAATAGGCAGCGGTGAATTGGAGCCTCCTGACGGGTCGTGCTCGCTTGCTGTCAGCGGTGATTGGAGAGACTCAGTCTCGTAGGGCAGAGGAGTGGACTCCCCGCCAGGATCCTCACCGCTCCACTTGGTGACTCAATGAGCCCTATCGATGGAGTCGCTCTCCCTGCTGGCAGCCTCCGATTCGTCTGCCCGCTTATGTCCGAACACTAAGCTATGCCCCAGACAGAAAAGGGGTGGGGAATCCTGGATGATTCGTGATAAGTGTCTGCGAGAGATTGACGAGGGGTGCAGGAGAACTCGATCGTCGCGTCCATAAATTCTTGCTTGTTCCCTCCACCTTGCCGAGTTTGAGATCTCTTCTACACCCTCATCTCTCAGCATCCAATTTGGACTGTTTCTCGGTTTTGAGCCTGAATTGTTTCTGTCTTGTGGTCTATCCAAGTTAGAATACTAGTAACCACTACTGCTACCACCACCTTCCTCCTGCGAAACGAATCTCAAACCTACTACTACCGTCCGCGCTTCACCTCAACCACCACACAAAATGACTCCCTCCAGAGCTACTCAGGTCCACGACGACCACATCCACACCCACAAGCGCTCCTCCTCCGCCCGCAAGAGCACCGAGGACTACCGCCGCTACAACAACACCATCAACCACTACGGCCGACACTCCAACGACTGGCTCTTCGGCGGCTTCAGTCTGCGCGACACCGTCCGCGACGGTGTCGACCGCCTGCTCCACCTCCACGCCAAGGATTGAAACCCAGAGCAGCCATCTCATCATTCTCGATCAAATGATCCCTCATCTCGAACACGTTTTCGGTTCCGATGGCCCTATCAGCATAGATACAAGGCTCCACCAGTGCACCGGGGGTTTATATCGCCATGTTCATCGCCAGCCCATGTGAGGATGTCGACCTCACCATCTTCTTCATCTTCAGTCTCGGATATCGAGTCACGCGATGCTTGAAACTTCGACGTTGTCTTTGCTTCGGTGGAGGGATCAATGAAGACTGCTGGGGCTTGATTCTCCCCGTCTACGACGGCGGGCTTCTGTCGGTAAATGCCGTTCTTCCCGTTATGGAAGGCAGAATCATTCTGTCTGAGTGTTATTAAAGGCCTATTTGGATTGGCCTTGCAACTCAGGAGATTTGGGCAGAGTACCCCGCTCACTTTAGAGTGTGCATAAGATCCCCGGATTGAGCTTATAAGCTCTTCATGTTTGAACATGATCATGTTTGTCTGTGACACAAATGTCTTTCTTTGTTGATATCTGCTATTGTCTGGCGGATATGAATTAGTATGTCTATAGTGATACCAATTTCGGACTTGAAAGTATTGTCTCAGCCTTTTGAACTCGTAATAGTTGTGCTATGTAAATTGTAATAGTCTCGTAGGTCGCAGTGATTTCAAATTGGTTATGGCATGTCAATGCATAAAGCAACATCACATGATCTTATTTAGACTACCACCCCAAGGGCTACCCTGCCCGTATATCAGATGTTCGCTTGTATCAAAGTAAGTAAGAATCCGCACCGAGACCCGACAAGTTTAAGAGTTCCATCTTCAATTTCCCAATAGGTCGCAGTCAAATGATCGAAGAGAAGAAAAGCAGCATCCGAACATACAGAACAGTATCCTGGACGGCATCTAAATGTTCATTTCATACTAGGGTAAAGTTTGTGCTCTATATATAAAGTACCTGGTCTAAGTAGTCCCTCCAAATCTTCAAAGGTTCAACCTTTCCTTGATTTATTTCCTTGGGAGGGTTGCTGTACATTTGAAATTCAATACAGAGGGAGGGCAGTCGAGTGATCATTGTCTTATGCTCACTTGGCTCTTTACCCGCTCGCTATACAGCATATTTCTTTATCTCTTCCTTCTTCCAAATAATAAGAATCATATCTGATTTCAAGGTGACAGATCTCGACTCATATCAAGAGAAACAGAAACAGAATTGGGGGTGGAGGTACCGGAACTCAAGAGGAACCTGTCCGGGGAGGTCAGCGAAAGTACCTAGTAGCAATCTGCGAGAGCACGTCCCTCACTCACTAGGGCTCCTTCTACGAGTACGTGACTCTTAGATGGTGTGCAGCAGTATGCACATCGAATCTTGGTTCAGGGTGATGAGATCGGAATGGAGGTATGGTGCAAGGAGTAAGGAGAGAGGCTAGGTTGGTTGTCTTGTGAATTCGCTTTGGGTGGGGCCGGGGATTGTGGTTGTGGTTGTGGTTGTGATTGTCGGGGTTGGAAATTGGTTGTTGGTTACGAAGAAGTGAGTATCTTGAACGTGGGAAGAGGTGGATGGAGTATGCGTAGACAGACTTTTTTGAACTCTGGCGCTAGGCACCATACTGTATTTCTCTCGTTGACACCGTGGACGTGAAAAGGGTTTTGAAAATTCTAGCATCTTCCCGTTTATTACTATGTTCATGATTAGATATGCATGAGTTGTTTGATGGTTAAATCTTGCTTTACTTTAAGACCTGCAGGTCTCTCAGCTGTGTAAGCGGGGCATATGATTTCAAGACGCCATATGGAGAGGTCTTCTATTTCAGAAAGACTACGCTAGGGTCTGATCACCCAGAGTAGGTAGAGAAGGAATGTTTAGTTAGTTGACGGTGTGAATCAAGGTAGGGTAATTTTGATTCACATCGCAATGGGCACAGTAGACGGAGCAGCTACAACACATTCTCAGCTTTGCTGGGTCGTACATGTGCAATGAAATTGGCTGGTATTGGTTCAAGAGCATTGATTATAGGTTTTAATTCGATTGCAATTATTGATTAGAATCTAAGATGAACTCGCTTCTTGGTCATAACAGGACATGGTCGGTGCGTGATCTCTGCTGCATTATGGAGCCACACTGTCTGGAGTTGTGGCAAATGTCCTTCCTCAATGCAAGACGATCTGGACAAAGTGCAATGGAGAGGATAGAAAAAAAGTCTTTTCAACTCTCGCAAGCAATACGGACGAGTATACGCTGATTCAGAAACGGCCTGACAGTCCAGCGTATCAGGCTCCCTGCCATGCTGCAATGTCCGCAGCTGTAATGTCGATGTTCTCCGGTATTAGGCTGTGCAATTTGGCTACCTGGGAGGGTGCTAAACCTGAGTTAGCTATAAGCATGGTCTGTAGGGGCTGGGAGAGAGAATAATAGTAGTACTCACTTGGACGCGGAGGTGCAGCACCCGCTTGAACAGTAATGATTCCAGAATCGACATACTCCCTCGTCGAGACCCCATGGGACGAGGCAGCCCCGAGCATGACCCGCACTCGGTATCTCCCGGCTTGGGTGAATTTGAGAGGCCCGAACCGCGCATACCCGCTCGTCGTGTTTCCACTGCTGCTGCGCACACTCGAGGTCACAATCCCCGTGAGCCCGGGTACCGGGGCGGTTCCTGCTTCGTTTCGGAGCGATATATGCGCGACCAGCTGCTGCGTTGGGGCCCTCGGCATTCCTACCGGCCTCACAGCCACAATCACTGGTAATGACATGGACACCCCAGGTGCAACAGTGGTTGGAGGTGCGATTTCAAAGGTGATTCCATACTCGCGGCTAGAGCTCCCAGCATCTGCTCTTACGTTGCCCTGAACCATGTTGCTTTTTTTTTTTGAAGTGCTAGTCAACCACGTGTTTTTTTGAGACAGAATCGACAAGATGAACGACTAGCGGGTTTAATACTTTGGCAAACAATGTGTTCTCCCGTATGCGATGGTACAAAGAAGCTCCAAAACCAGTCAAGAAAACAAAGAGTAAATATCGTCTAAAGTGGTAAATAACAGGAAGAAATTTGTTATCTAATTTTTGGTAGAGAAGAAGGAGCATCAACAAAAATGCATTCGGAACCCTTCATATATGTGATTCCTGAACCTACCAAAAGAGCAACTAGGGTGCAATATTGACCGTCTCAAACCGGGCCAAAAACGTGCTCAGGTCCCCAATAGATCTTTGCCACCACGACAGAATCAATCTGGATCGAAAGTTGGAGGTCTAGTTCTGCAGATCTGCATAGTGAGGACTACAGAGCCCCTGCGATGCAGGATAGAGAGAGAGTATCCGACGTTAGGCACTGATAGACCTGCACGATCCAGAGCAAAGGGAGCCTGCATCATCCTTACCCACCTGTGGAATCCATTGTCTTGTCCCTCAACTTTACTTTTTCTTGACCCTGCATCGAGTCTAGTTGCTTTTGTCGCCCCGTCCGTAAGCGTAAACCTTGAGATCCATTTAGCGTGGAAACGCAAGTGCCAAAAAGGCCCACTAATCTCTGCATGGAGATGAGGAATCCAGTGGTGCTCTGTCTGCATTTCCTGCAAGACCCAGGCAGATCTGCAATGGGGGACGTCAGATCGTGTACAGGGCGACTGCATGCCAGAGGATGGTGAATGTGAAGCTTAAACTGACTAAACACTAGACCCGAGAGTGATCGACTAGTCATGAACTATGGTTCGTGGCAGATTTTCTTTTTCTTTTTTTCCCGCCTTCTTTCCTTCTTGGATTGGACTTGGATTCTCTTGGATCGGTTTTTTCCTTCCTCCTTCCACCTCCCCCCCCCTCTCTTACTTTCTTTTCCTTCTTCCGTGCACAGTCCGAGGGTCAGAGGATCATTCTTGCTTTGTCTCCTTGCATTGGCTGAAAGGGAGATTGTGAGAAAGAATACTACCGAAAATGACAGGCCGGAATTGACCTTCAATTCCCAGTCTGAACTCTGGTGGGATCGTCCAGCTACCGAAGCCACGTTTTGACAGCTTTAAAACGTGACTTCGCTCGGCTGATCTTCATCTTCACCACCCCAACAAAACAACACCAAGAGAGCCTTAGGCCTCAAAACTCAAGCCTCAGACCTCAAAACCTGTGAGGCTACTCCCAGATTAAGCACATTTTATGAAGCTTACAGATGGTACTGTATCCAGCTACCGATGACGGTCAAGCTCAAGCTTCGATCCAAAGCCATTGGCTGAACGTGGACAGATAATCAAATACAATGGAACCTAATGGAAATTGCCACCGACTGAAGCTAGTAAGGGATGATCCGAGAGATCGATTGAGCGAATCGATCTTGAGATGAAGGCAGAAGCAGAACAGGGATAGACAAGTCCATGGCACGGTTCAACACAATCCAGGGGAGACTTCGCCACACTACATGCCTGTTTGGGTCAAGACTGATCGACCAGCCACAGCTCACCTCAGCCTCAGTATGGCTGGAACCGTGCATAGTGCAGATCAAAACAATAGCCCTGGCGGAGGAGATGTCCCAAGTCCATCTCCCCCTAAACGCTACTGGTCCCCTCCCCACTACTACCTAACTCCCTCTCAGCCATATCACCTCTGCAGTCGGATTAACGGAATACCATCTTTCGAGTTCCTCGAGCCACGCGGGGTCAATTGGGGATGAAATCTGATTGTACCGAAGCTCAATCCTGAGCGGCCAGCCCACTATGCTATGTGGACTAGCAAGCCGGATTTCACGCCCTTCACGCCTTACACACCAGGCGCTAACCGCTAGCTGTCCGGTAACATGTTCACACATTGATACGGATTACGACGTATCCTTAGGCGCCGGCGGAGAACATCATCAGGGTTCTGCGCTACCGCTAGTACTTTTGCATTTCGAATATGCATCTGGGTTGGAGATACTACCAGAGCGATTGCTAAGACCCCCCTATTCAAGTAAAGGGCAGAGCAGTTAATCAGCTGCATCGTTTATGCACAAGAATGGAGCCTACCAAGATTGTGATTGCGTCAATATGATTATCTCAGACAACTTCAAGATGAGGGGAAGGGTCTCATGAATACACAATGGATACGAACGAGTATCATGTCTCGTAAATCAAAACATAAGCTTGAAAGAAAACGAGACGACTGTTCTTATCACATAGGAACCCCGGCGTCGACGCCACCATTTTTGCTTTTTCCCAGATACCAGGTCAGTATTCTGACCTGCAATGTAATGCAAGATGATCGGGGCTACTGATTGAGTTCTAGTTCTATGCGCGGACGGTGTTGGCCATTGAGATATTCTCATTCCTCATTGAGCCAACAACGTGGTCCGGCAGCCACAAATGGCTGATCAATGATCAACGGCTTGTTTTGTGGCGGTGAACGGATGTCGCTCGGCGTAAACCGCGGAGTCCTTGCATCCTTGCTGATACACATGCGTCCTTGGTGGACCTAATAGGCGAGCGCTGTGGCGCATAATGAACCGATTGGGACGGTTTTCAACAGGGGTGACCCTACCCCTGCCGAATGATACCGTCTGTTTTTGGTTCCTCTTTGGCTGGCGGATCCCCGAGCATGCCGCCCACGATGAAGCCCGAGCCATGATGCAAGATGAATTACCTTTCTTTATCCTCTTCGCTTCTTTTTTATCTGTTTCTGGAATCACTCCCCCTTCGCGTGGCCTAGTCTCACCTTATTGGTATTTCATCCTGTCCACACCAACGCAGACGACAAACAGCGGGATTGCACGGAAACTGTGCCAAGCGAAGCTCAAATGACAAATATGTGTAACTGAAGTAGACACCTCAATGCCTCTGGCGGATGTGTGTGTGACAAGACTCACTTTCCAACCCGCTCTGTGAGAGTGTCAGAACTGTTTCAGCCGATCCTAAATCCAACCAGAGTGTAACTGCATATCATGGACGATCACGCAGTCATTAGTCGATTATAGCCCGCTTCGGCCGAAGGGTGCAAAAGTTCCTCAGCCAGGCGGGGGATAAGGTTACGCGCCAAAGGTACCATACACCTCCTGTATCTCAGATTCCACAGTGATTGCTCCGGAATCCACCACCATCAAGCCAGTGATGGCTTGCCGTCTCGACTGACTGATCGCCCTCATTGATCAACCGGCGCGTCGCTATCGCCCATCCTTTGTGTGTTCTCTTACTCAGTCTCCGGAGTGATGCACACGGCTATCTCCCTCCTTACCCGGAAGCGGTCTTGCTTACGAAGCTCGAGACCGATCTAAAGATCAATCCAAGATGACCATGACGCAATTTGCTCACCCGCGACAAACTGGAAGAGGCAAACAAATCCGCAAACTCGATAGCAATCTCTGGGGGTACTCTCCATTCGTCCAATGGAGACAAAGAAAGGGGTCGGCTTCGTTTTCCATTCCCGCGCATGTGGAGTATAGATTCGAGCACACGCTTCTATTGACCGCTTGGACCTCCTAGGCTTCATTCCTCCGAATAACACAAACACTGTCTTCAATTATGCGATGGCCTTGATTGTTTGAATGGTTCGACGAGTGACCATCACCATTGTGTGTTCTCTCGTGGATTGGTTATTGGCAGGCTGGCTGACATCCCAACAAGTCAGCGACGGCAGCGGGCTGACACAAGGTCTTCATCAGCTTCTCACAAACCAGATACGAAATTGGCTAGTGATAGAGACGCAACAGATCTGGCGCCTGCAGCCTTGATCTACGGAAGCATTGAAGAGTTTCCGCTACCAATCAGACCAATTTGACTATACAATTCGTAAGAGTGTCACTTCTGTTATTGTCAGATAAACGGACGATGCCCAGTCCTGGGTCTACAATAAAGCAACTGCAGTAACGAATCACAGCTCGATAGAGATGCATGCTATTTGTTCGAGACATGTGACAAAGAACACCCGGCATGCTCGCAGAGTGTTGTAATTCAAGAGCTACCTATATACGGCGCTATATACGAGGGGAAGGAGGGGCATAGGTAGCGGATACGCAGGTGTGGAGACCTTGGAATCAAATTTGTCTCGGATCGGGGTCTAAAATTTGCCGGATGGATCAGGAATTGGGTCGGATTCAAATGCCGTAGCGCGCAGTATATGCTGGGAACCTTGCTTTCTGACATTTCGAAAACAAGGAAAATCGTTTCTAAGGTGGGAGTGGAGGGGGTGGACGAGGTCACCTTCTAGGAGGATCAAAGAGTTCAATAGATTGACACAGACGTCATTCCGGTCTTTGGGTGATTTGAATTTCGAGAATGAAGCCGTTGGGAGGCATTGCGGATGGAAAAGGGAGGAGAGGGGTGGGGGTCTTCCCAAATACTATGAGTGAGCAGGTAAACGAAGATGAGTCGTGTTGAGAATGTTTCCGAAGCTGGCGCAGGTCACACACAAAATGAGCTGCCAGCCAGAGTGAAAGCCACAAAATGAGGCGTAACAGTGAGGCGATGAAACCGCAACACTGTCGCCTTATGGGGGATCACCTGACACCAATTTTCACCTCCTGCGAATCTCGATAACACAGAGCGAGCTGTATTCCTGAACATTGCTTGCTATCCTCGAGGTCGATGCCCGCTCATGAGAAATATAAGTGGTGATCGAGAAGCAATCAGCCTATTACATGCGGTGAAATGAGGGACAGGAGGTTTGTCGCTCATTGTTCATGCAATGTCTTCTGGATCTCTTTCTTTGGATGGCTGATGCTGAGATTTCGCGTTTGCTGGCTCATGGAGCGTGCAGGTACTGATCATATCTCAAACAAGCTCAAAATGTCTTTCCACATATCAAGATTGTATATGTAGCGCAGGTGGTGAGGATATATCGATTTACCGAATGGACCGGACTTGTGTAGTACGTGCAAGATTTGTTGTGATGCTGCTTCGCAATAGATGTTCATCTAGTTTTCTGAAAGCTTTCCCTGTCAGTCTCCCGTCTCATATGTCAGGGATTGTGTACCGGCTAATCTATTGTAGTAATGGAGCCAGTTTTGCAGTCAGTTGGTAGCTTCGCCGTAGGGTGTTGCGTGTCGGGATCCTGATATCCCATGAACGGTTCGTTGTTCTCCTTGCGAAGATCGCGAATGCCCCTGAGCGGTTGCGTAGTCTGACTACTAGTAGTGTTCACAACTTATTTGTGGACAAAGCATTTGACTGATGGAAGGCAGGTATTGCAGAAGGCGTGTTGAGGCGCAGGGAAGGTGATAATGATGAGCAATCCCGCCATGCCTTCCTTCTCTACGGTGCCCTCTCTTCCTTCATTCACCTCAACACAGCTCTCCGTGTTCAGGATGGCTGATTGCTTTTCACTTCAACAGGTGTACGCAAAAGTATTCTTATCAGAATGACTGCCTTGCTAGGTTCTTTTCCCGCGTCCGATGGCACCTGTCCTTATACAACCATCTCATGCTCACTTTCCCCTCCACACTACGCGAAGTATCGACACGACCTCTCCGACGGGCCCCAAGTATTTCAGCCTCAAGGTGCTAGTTCAACTCTTCGCAATCACCATCTTCATTTTCGTGATAGCAGTCCTATTCTGGAAGCTCGGAAGTTTCTTTCGCTTTCTCACCCAGGACAGAGTTGTCAAACGAGGCAACATGACCACCGCCCGGTATGCGAGGACGTGGTATGGCTGGGTGCCGGCAGCAAAGCACACAGGATACAAGGAATTCTTGCGGAACTGCTTCGGCAAGTTCCGCAAGTGGACCGCGTGGCGCTCCTCGAACCAAGACTACCGCTGGGTATGGTGGGATCCCGGTCAGCAGGAGCTGAACAGATACCGAGAAACAAAGTACAAGCTGCGTTGGTTACCCAACTGGATCAGAAGTTACAGCTTCACTACTGCCGACACTATCTGGAACCCGGGTCCTCTCAGGCCCGCTGCTGCTATTCCCGAGCCGGGCAGTAGTCGCCAATCGTTGTCGTCCAGAATGGCCGGCGCGCTTTCTTCTCGTCATACGCTGGATCGTGTGGTGGGGAGTAGATACACCATGTCGAGAACGAGTATCTGCACGCGAGTTTCCATCAAGGTCTATCTCCAGGACGAAAGTAATGGGGCAGTGGCGCGGATCGATGCTTCCGCGAAAGCTGGGAATGAGTCCATGAGCAGAGGTGAAGAGCTACGCAGACCAGTTCACTTTCAGGTCGAGGCTCGAAGGACGATGACCCTAGCGCAGACGGCGCTGTCATTCAAGATTCATCCTCTTCAGCGGAACCTTCGCCCGAATTTGTCACGAAGTCTCTCTCTTCCATGCCTCGATCGCCTCACAGAACCCTCCGGACCACACGATGACCCCAAGGCACGATGGCCCCGCCACCGTACAGCCAGTCCCTACAGTGACTCACGGGCAAGGCACAGACCTAGCCACCCGCACGCGTATCACATACAAGCCACTCGTGTTGATTTCCATACAGACCATTTTGGGCCTTTTGATAAATCCGCCCGAGTCCCCAAACCTGATAGCTTAGCCCGCATTTTGTCTGACTTCACTCCTGTACCTACAGGGGTTGACATCACAAGACAATCGAGTGCTAAAGCTTCATCTTCGAAGTGGAGTAGCTTACCTTTCGATAGTCGAACGCGGGATCGAGCCGCGAACGCTACGCCTTTTCGACATAGGGAATTGAGCCCTGATTTGGCAAGACGAGGTTACGGGACAAATCTTTCTGGTTACGTCTGTCACGAGCGAAGGAGTGGTCTATTTTTGCCGAGTCTCGAAGCCCAATTTGATAGAAGTTTTCTGAGAGACAGCTTATCAATGGTAATGAAAAGTCCAGAGCATGTGCATGATGCACAAGGAAGTATCGCATCTCACAAAAAGGAAGTGGTAGAAGGCCGTGAGACGGCACTGAACAATGTCACGGATACGAGGTTGGGCGACTGCGACGTACAGTTGATTGATGATTTGAACCGAAGACTGAAGTGGCTTTCCAATCAGTTGAGCCCAGGACGAAGACCTTACCATTTTGCGTTGCTCGCCAACCACTGGCTGAATACAGAGACATGGATCGTTATCGACCCTCCGACTCGGATCTCCATCGATGCTCGACGGCGACTGGGAGATCCAAGATTCAACGATCCATACCCGGCGGTTGACTGGACGCCTCGGCCGAAGTATCCCAAGACGCAGCGCAAGACGGCCAATGTCCCAAAAATCAATTCCTGGAGAGCAGCTGTCAACCGGAATCGAAAAGCATGTGGATTTGACGACGTCATCAAGGGGGTTGAGCTCTTTGAAGGCTCAGCCGATACTCCGCCTGATGGCAAGGTCGACCCTGCATGTTGGATTCTTCGAAAACCTCCTCAGGGTTTTAGCATATCTTCTCGCCAGGGCACTGTGTTCTACGAGGGCGGCGCAGGCTGGCAAGAGACTTTGGACGATTGGCAAAAGGTTCGCCGTGGCTATCGAATTCGGAAGGCAATCCACGAAGGAAGGGTAAACCGAAAGAGGGCAAAGGAGATCGCATTGGGTATCACCAGATACTACCGGCTGAGTGTACCCAAGGTCTCCTGAACAACAGCTGTCCCGCACGAGAGACAATAGCACCAAAGAATCAGTTGCAACTTCGTTTTGGAGCAGATGAGTGATGAGGACTCTTGCAGACCGGGAGGGAAGATGTGGAAGGGCTATGTATGAAAAGATGATCAAACAGGGGCTCTTTCTTGCCATATTCTTATTGTCAGGCTGCCTTTCTCTTATGACTACCTGTCCACCTCGACCCCTCATTCTTACCGTTTCGAGAGATACCAATGACGATCAATCAGTAGATGCGAACATAATGGTTGTACGGTATGAGGCGGAAAAATGAACATTGCGAATATCAAGGAAACCAATGCAGTTATGATGTCATCTCCCAACAGCCGAAAAAAAACTCCGAGGATCCCTCCTGTGTCCCTTTTCCAACTCGATGATCTTATATGGAACGGTGAGCGACATGGATGGTGGTGTATAATACAGTGTAACTCCGAATGTATGTGAGGAAGAGTTGGTAGTAGGTGTTCCGTGCGGATAATTCGTCTCTCCGCACATGCTGTGTGCGAAAGAAAGGCTTAGAAACCAGGGGGGTTGACTCGTTGGCTGACTCGCGTCCACTTGGGCAACTCTGTGAGCAAAGAAGTGTTAGCTATCCCCTCCTAAGTCTCAATCGAGCGCAACAAGGAACTCTGGCTGCCTTGCTGCGCCGCGCTTTCGGCTTCCCGGATAGACATACTATGAATTCCCTTGCGGTATTTCTTCTCCTTTTTATCGAAGATGGTGTACTTGTCCTTGGGAACCATCTCCTCCTCACGGGGCATCTCGTTGAACCACCGAGTCACGGGCTTCGCGGTCTCTCCGTTCCGGGCCAGAGCGGCGCTCACGGTATCCACGACACGGTCGACGGCACGGAGACGCTTCCTCTGTCTTGCCTTCTGGGGCGAGGAGATACGCCAGGGAATCTTCCTGTTGCGATGAACGAGATCACGGGGTCAGTATAAGGGGCACAAATCTCGTAGCAGGTGGTGGAAATGGTGGTGGTGGTGGTTGACAGCAAGGGTCCGGAGAGGCGGAAGTCGACCGGGCAAGTGCGCGAGATGGGGTAGGGGGTGACATACCAGAGAAGACCTGAAAAGAGAGGCGATGAGGGCTTGAACATCATCTTGACGACGACACACCGATTGGCAGTGGGATGTGGTTTCGGAGAGATGGATGCGCTGGCGTTTGAAGCAATCAATTGCCGGGATACGGACGAAAATCCCGTCGAGGTTTGGAAGTTGGCCCGTGCACCGTCACCTCCGCGGGCGGGCCTTTCATTCTCCCTCCGATCCCCTCTCACTCCCCCATTTTCTTCTCGTTGGAAAGGCCAATGAAGGCGTCGTTTACTCGCACGCTGTCGATTTGGGGCTTGGTCTCGTTCCTTCTCTCTCGCTTGGGTGAATAGTATATCTCTTTCTTGCTCTCCTCTGGAATCTTCTCTTTTCTGGTCTTCTTGTGGATGGAGATACGTCGAACCCGTGAGGCGAAATCATCACAATGTCGCGCTCGACGACAGACTCCGGCGCAACGGCGGAGGCCCCTTCTCTTCCGTGGAGGGCGCTGTCCGCCACGACGATGTTCGGCGTAGCTTCTCTGTGCCGCTCGTTCCTTTATGTGTGCAGCAAGCCACAGGTATACGGCCTGGAGCCTTTCCTGGAGATACTGGACTCGAGACGCGACCCGGCCCAGCGGACAAGAGGGTTGTTAACAGGTATTATTTCCTCTTTGCTTTTACGTCGCGCAGTGTCCCCTGAATCGCAGATGGCTGATCTTGCTTTACTTTGCTCGCGATAGTCTCGAACCATACCAGCGTGTACGTGCGTACAATGCGCCTCGAGGTCTGAGGCGATGCGATTTACTTCCCAACAACGGAGACAGCTGACCAAGGTCGCGAAACCGAGCAGGATGGATGATCCGATCATGTGGGGGTTTTTGCCTTTACGTTACTATTTGGGCCTTTCGTCGTCGAACAAGCGATGGGGATTCGGAAGCCATGATATCTGCTACCAAACGAGGTAAGCTAAGCGCTGTGTCCCTGGCATTCCCAACAATGTCGACCAATGATGTGATGTGTGGGCTGATCTAGCGGAATTGAAATAGACCCTTGGCGCTGTTCTTTACGATGGGTCAAGTCCTTCCCACCCACCGACTGGCTCATTCGCCACACGGTGGTCTAGCACAACCCGTTGTAACACAGGCGATCCGATTGCTCTCGAAGGGCCCCTTCCCCGCCGAACCTCATCTTGCGCTTCCCGAGCGGCAATCGTGGAGCTTGCAAAATGTCTGCGTCGACCCGTTCTCCGACCTCCCTACCGCGTATACGACCGACGGCCACGATTCCCATCTGTCGCCTTCCTCCTACGCCTGCAACTCCTATTCCTGGTTCCATATCTTCCCCGAGGGAATGATCCACCAGGCGCCCAATAAGACGATGCGGTATTTCAAGTGGGGTGTCGCCCGACTCATTCTCGAGGCCAGTGAATGTCCCGATGTTGTGCCCATCTGGCTGGAAGGTTTCGACCAGGTTATGCATGAAAGTCGCGAGTTTCCCCGGTTCCTTCCTCGCGTTGGAAAGGAGGTCAGTATCACGTTTGGAAAGAAGGTAGATACGGAAGCCGTCTTTGGAGAGTCGCGGAGGAAATGGCAGGCGATCAAGGCCAAGGCCGAGCGCGCATCGCCCGACACCCGCGATCTCCCACTCGGCGTGCTGAATGATGAGCTCCTGTACGGGACGGAGGCGGTTGAGCTGCGCAAGGAGGTTACGAAGAAGGTGCGCGACCTCGTGCTCGAAGTGAGACGGTCCAGAGGCCACTCTGATGAAGATCCCAAGGAAGGACTCGTGGAGACTTGGATTCGAGAAGGGCCCAAACGTGAGGGGAAGATGTTGGATGATTCCTGGGTGCGCGATATATGATGCATTTAAGCTTGGAGCGTCACCTCAAAATTTTGTAAACTAGATCATGCCTGATAGACCTTGTGTTGTACTGTACAGATTCACAATACATACATAGCCCGCAGTGGAGGGAGGCCCACCAATGAATCGCTCACTCACTCTTTCCTCGGCTCCGACCCACCGACGTCAATCCCGCCCGCCCTCACTTCCTTTTCCTGCATACAATAAGCAATGAGCAAGCTCCATTGTTAATTCTCCTCCCGCCTCTCATCCTCCATGTCCTCCATGACTACTATCCCCTATGCCCAAAAAGTTCAAGAAGACTACCTATGCAAAGCCAGCAAGCACCGCTCACCACACTCTCGTCTCAGGTGGTTCTCGTTACAAAGAAAATGATCGCCTCCGCCCCTCCCCCGCGTCTCCGGCGACAGAGCAACAGCCCTCCGTGAACGAGCTGATTAACCACCTCCGACGCACTCAAGTCTCGCGGCCAGCTGATCAGGGATCCGAGAATCCTTACCGATTTGTCGCTCCACGCTCCGTTCATCCCTCTCTCCGCAACCTCCTCGAGCTTCCTGAAACTCCGCCCCCACGTCCCCGGCCCGACTCGCGGCGCCATGCCGTCGGCGCAAGACGGATGAGACGAACCGCCGGACCACCACCTCCCCAAAGCTGGCTTGTGGGGAATTACAACTCGGATAGCCGCGAGGACGAGGTCCTCGACCAAGATAGTGCGATCGAGAGTCGCATCATCTACCGACTGGAACGATTACCCGGCACGACGTTCCCCACCAAGGGGAGCCTACAGCATACCGTCCTCAAATCTATGGCTCTATACTGGGGCTGGCATCTCGAGTACGACGGACCGTTTCTTGGAGAGCTGCCCAACCACATTAAGGTCCGGCTCCTCAGTTATATCAGTATATACGCACGCGACCAGATCCCCGCGGGCTTGGGGCTTAGGCCACTGTTCACCAGCCCCCACCAAGCCGATGACGCAGTACATGACCCGAACAGTGAGATAACACATGCAAACGACGGCGAGGTCACCCGACTCGACCTGGGTAGCGCCTTAGGTCGCAGGCTCACTCTCAAACAAGTCTCGTCCGAGCTTCTGGTTACTACCAAGAGACCCAACGTTGCCCAGCAGACGCCCAAGGAAGCCGTTGTTCCCGCTTCCTGGGAGGATGAATACGAGGAACAACAGACACCTCCAGCCCTGACGACGGCCACGCTCCGCACCCCGCGCTTCGAGAATCTCCGCTACTTGTCTCTCGCCCACCCTACCCACGGCTCCGCCAACTGGAACTCCCTCATCACTCTCCTGTCACGCCTATCGCGCATCACGCATCTTTCTCTAGCCCACTGGCCTCTTCCAACTGTCACGCCGCACGCTCTCAACGCCACCGTCCGCCACCCCACCCAGCGATCTCTCACGTTCGCCTACGGCGGAACCGATTCGTATGCAGCAAGCGAGAACAACTGGGCCGAGTCCGCGGGCATCCTGCGACGGCTGTCGCGGGCGACGTACTGCCTGAAATGGCTGGACCTGGAAGGGTGCGGGGAGTGGATCCCCGCGTTGAACTGGGTGGGTGTCGGACCCGACGGAGAGACGTACGCCACCGGCCCGGAGTGGAATGGGTCGTGGAGAGATATCGATTGGATTCGCTTGGGGCCTGGGTGGTTCCCTCTTGTTGACAGTGACGATAACGCCGACGACGGGACTCGGAGACTAGCGAGTACAGTTCAGCAGCAGGCAACCAACGACCTCAGGCCGGAGGATCTGGGAGGGTTGAGGTCGCTGGCCTCGTCGATGCATGCGCCGACGGATGGTAGTGAACCAACGGACCTTCCGTGGGATGTCGAGGAGGAGAGGATCAAGTATCGGCGGAGTAAGGAACTGCAGCGTTATCGGCAGACAATCACCTCGGCGAAAGAGGTGCAGCTGGGCATTCAGCGGGTTCGGAAGCAAGCCAAGGGGAAGTGGATGCGGTTCTCCTTTGGATTGGAGGGGTTGCAGGATGATGCGTTGAAGAGGTTGCTTGGTGAGCAGTGGTTGAGTTTATTACCTTGAATATGTGGATTGGTGGGGGTTTCTCTGGGGGTGGCCGTAATTAGAGCATCGTCATTGATGGTCTTGGACATGCGTCAGGAGTTGATCGGTGCTTATATCAGTGGTCTCGGGTATATTTATCAACGAAATGAGGCTACTCAAGGGGGCTTCGCGAACTCGAGATATTGATTCCCTGGTGTTGGTGGTGTTGGTTGCTAACTGACTTCTCTGTGTAGGAAACTTGCTTATAAGGCCCAAGTTACATGGCCAGATTACCCAGGCGTTGATAAGATTACATTGTATGGTCTGAAACAGAAACAAGCTGCACTGGCAAAGTAGAACATATATAGATAAGCAGAAGGGAATTGCGTTTCATGTTCCTTGATTACTAGTCTATATGCCATGCATGAGCACTATCAAATCCAACCATCCCAAGTGTGAACTTTTTTTTATAAAATCCTATACTATGTACAGACCCCTTTCACGACGAATGACTCCGCAAAAGAAAACGACTCGAGCACGAAAGAATCATTTACGCCCGCGGTTGAAGGTCTTCAAGGGATCGACCTTGCGGGCACCGCCGGCGGGCTTACGACCAGGCTTGCCCTTACCGCGGTTCTTCTCGCGGGCCTTGCGGATGCGGTTCTCGCCGCCGACCTTGCGGAAGCCGACGTAGCCGACGTTCTCTGTGGTGATGCCCTTGCGGCCCTTGGCGGGCATGAGGTAGTCGGGGATGTGCTTGAGGTGGGGCTGGACGCGGGCGGCGCGGAGCTCGCCGTCGTGGCGGAGCTGGCGCAGCTCGTCGGGGTTCTCCTCGAAGTGGCGCTTGAGCTTATCGGACTTGATGAGCTCCTGGCGGATCTCGCGGGCGCGAGCCTCCTGGACGGCGAGGCGGGTGATGGCGCGCAGGGCGTCGGTCATCCGGTACCGGAACGCGTCCACCTGGCTCATCTCGAAGTGGTACGGCTTGACCTCGTGGCCCAGCTTGGCCTGCCGCTTGACGATGCGCGCCACCACCGTCTCGTCGTGCTTGGCCGTCGGGAACGACGTCGGCTTGTGCCGTCCGTAGTGCTCCGCCGGCACCACGAACGACAGCGCCATCCCCGTCTTGCCGGCCCGCCCTGTGCGCCCGATCCGGTGCGTATACGACTTCGCCGTCGTCGGCAGGTCGAAGTTCAGCACGCACGCTACGTTCTGAAAGTCGATGCCCCGCGAGATCCCGTAGTCTTTGTCCTTGGTTGCCAGCTTGCGTCGTTTGTTGTTGTCGGCGGAGTTGTTGGCTTGGGATTTGTTGCGTTTGCTGGATGTCTCGTCTTCAGGCTGCTCCTCTTCGTCTTCGCTCGAGCCCACTAGGGCTTCTTCTTCTTCTTGTTCTTCGGGGGCTTCTTCTGAGGCTTCGATGTTGGTGCCTTTCGTCTTCTTGGAGGGTTTCTTGGCGCCCAGAACCTCCTGCTCGTCCGCGGCGATGATGATGTCGTAGACGCCCTTGTTAAATTCCTGCACGACGTGGATCCGCGAGTTGACGGGCAGCTCGGAGTTGAGGACACAGCTCTTGATTCCGAACTGCTCGAGGAACAGCTTGACACGGTAGCAGCGGTCGACGTCCCCGACGAAGATGATCACCTTGCCCTTGATCAGCTGTAGCTTGAAGATGACGTACGTGAGGAGGAATTTCTCGTCCTCGGCGCATCTAGCATCGAACCCCCACGGGTTAGTACTGTGCCTGAATGTACCGCTCAATTACAGAAAACTCACCTAACAACAAACTGGCTAACACCCGCACCCTGCTCCTCCTTATCCTCCAACTTCAACACCACGGGGTTCCGACAGAACAGCCCCTTAAGCGTATCGACCTCCGAAGTCAGCGTCGCACTCATGAGGAACGTCTGCACACCCCGGGGGATCGCCTTGGCCAGGGCATTGATATCCTCGTCGTAGCCGTAGGAAAGCACCAAATCCGCCTCATCGATGACCAGGTGCGCGAGGCTCTCCAGCGACAGAGCCGAGTTTCCGAGGTTGGCGATCACACGCGCGGGCGTCGACACGACTAGGTCCGGGTAGTCGGCCAGGAGCGTGCGTTGCACGGCATCGGAGACTTTCTGCGTCAGGTTCACAGACCGGATGTCCTTGCCGCAGAACGCAGCGAACGACGTGACTACATTCTGCACTTGCTCCGCAAGCTCTCGGGTGGGGACGAGGATCAGGCCGGTCGTGGCTTTCAGGGTGGGATCGGCCTAGAGAGGGAGGTGGGAAGCGTCAGGTGGTGTGATCTATGTACCAAGTATGTTCGCCAATGAGACAGCCCACTTACAGCTTTCTTTTGGAGGATAGTCTGGAGGATAGGGAGAACGTAGGCGGCGGTTTTGCCGGAGCCGGTCTTTGCACGGGCTGGTGAGGGGAGGTTGTTAGCATGTTAGAAGAAAATACTGGAAACTTAGGCTGAGCTCACCGAGAATGTCTTTGCCGGCGAGGGCCAGAGGTATAGCCTTGGCCTGAACCAGTGTAGGTTTGGTGAACTTCTCTTTGATCAGGGCTTGGCGCAATCGCGGATCCAGATTGAGGCTTTCGAAGTCGGCGTCCTTCACATCAGGGGTCTCGGGGGTCTCGCCACCCTCGGGGGAGGGGACATCGTTGGCGTCCAACTTGCGTTTCATGGCGGCAGACTGAAAATTGTCAAAGACAGGTATCGGATGTCTTTGAGAGGGGTTGTTTGTGGTCGGCGACAGACTGAGAGAGTTTTCCTCTATTGCGGGCGGGCTGCGAAATTCTGTCGGGGCGGTGAGATTTTCCGAGGCAGTATTTTCTGCGGGTCTCCACCGCAACCGCCGATCCACTTTCTTATCATATCAGTTGCGATGTACGGAGTATACAACCGGCCTTGCATTTTGAGCCGGCTTTCTAGCAAACAACGGGTATCCTACTCTATACCCCTTCTATAACTTGTGCTTGGCTGGGAATTAGCTCCTCTAGCCTTGCGAAGAGTTCTCAGATCAATTAGCCCGCCATCAAGGCCCACGTCCAGAAGCATCTCCATAACATGCCGCGGTACGGCTCTTCCTTGATACATAGCCATACCACCCGCGGTACCGCTTCGTGATGCTTTGCTGGGCGTCGCGAACAGATGGAGTCAGCTGGGGTTTTCGGTTTCCTGTCCGTATTCGTTCACGGATGATGACTTGGAATGTCACGCCGATGAGCTTGCAGAGCACAGAGATTGGCAAAAGCTGAAGTCATATGCTCAAGAGCTCTTGCAGTCGGATGATGAGGGCTGGGTTCCCCCGCAACTTGACTTTGAGATGGTTAGAAAGAGGCATGATGAGCTTCTCGATCTGTACATTCAACGTGAATCGGAAACGTTATCAGAAAGGAGGCAAAGCGGCTATGGTTTTATGTTGAAAGTAACAATCAGGGGTGCGATCAGAGCAATTAAGCCGGCAGTTACTAAGTCGTCTTCGTCCGGCTTCACGCAGCCAAAGTTGACATGTTTGAAGATATCGCGCGGAGTATCGGGGGGCTCTAAATCGCCCAGATTTCTCATATCAGTAGCACCATAGACTTGTTGGATACTTGACGCTATGTATCTGATTCGACGATAATAAGAGTCTCAATTCATGGTGTTAACCAGGCTTGACTCGTAACCCATCGGACTATCGCTACTTGATATGTATGACACAAGATTGCAGTACATGCTGCATCATCGATGGAATAACTGCCTACAACCATGCTCAACCTGGTACTGCCTAACCAGCACTCTACGTGCGACAAGCTACGTAAATCGTGTGGATGCAACCAACTAACTGGAGTAATCCCATGTGCCAACTTTGATAGACTCATTTACCAAGACAGTAGCACTGCAACAGGCCAAAGCGCACGAGCGTCTTCACAATGCTACTGGAAAACACAATCCAGATCAAAAGGTGTCCAACTCGAAAGCAACATCCAACACCCCATTAAGATCAACCGTACTTCTTGTTCTGGGATCAGAACCGCAAGGACTTCTAGCCAGTCTCACGACGGGCCAGCCCGCCCCGAGATTGCGTACATTGCCTTCTAGATGCCGACTCTTGCAAGTTCCCAGACCTACTTCTCTTCCTCGGACTGACCTTTGCCCCAGTGCTGGAAACTTTATTCAAATGAAGGCTCTCCGATGACATCCTGGGGGCGGCAGCGTCCCCTGGACAGACCGTGTCGTCGGAGAACCAGAGGGTGAGAGCCAGGCGGCTGATGCTGGTGTCCGTCCACCCTTGATTGCGTAGAGCCTGCCACTCGGGCAGCGAGCGGATGCGCATGCCTTCCAAGGCCGAAGCGCGAAGCTGGTAGAGCAGCCACTGGTTGACGAAGATACCCGGTAGCGTGCCCTCTTCCAGAGGTGAATCGAAGATATTGCTCTCTCGGAGCTCATTGGGCAAAGCCTGGAGTGGATCGTCCTGGAACCCTATAGACATCTCCAGATCCACTATCGTGGCCTTGTATCCCTTGACCAATTCCATCCGGGCTGCGTTGTAAGTCCGCAAGAACTCCACAGAGTCGCCGTCAATTCTTCCGGCTTTCCCAGTCCAGAAGATGCTATCTTTTCTCGCGGTCTGCACGATCTGAATCAGCCGTCTATCAAGCTCATCCACCTGGTTCCGTAGATCGGGAAGCCTCTGTGCGACCGATGCGTGGGAGAATAGTTTTTGTTCATCCTCGCTGGCCTTGAGAAAGCTTTCCACCTCGTCCCCCGCTGTGCTCTCCGGGGTAGCAGATCGCTTCGGAAGTGGAACGCGCAGCTGACCCAGCAACTCAGCGAACTCTTCCATCGACTTCGTAAGCAAGTTCTCGCGAGCTATCAATGTCGTTTCAATATGAAGGCCCTGATCCCTTAGCTCCGTCAATGTCCCCACGGTGATGTGAGAGCCTCGGGTCGGATGCAGACCGTCGCGCTTATCGCCAGTCAACCCTACAATCTGTTTGACCGTCAGACGGAGCTCCTGAAGGCGGCTCCGCAACTCTGTGATCTCATTCTGCTGCGCGATCAGCACCTGGTTAGCGGCGAAGACATGCTCCAACTTCGTGCAGTCTACGCGGATCTCTTGTCTGTCGACAGAGCTGCGCTTCACGCCTGACAATGGCTTGTCAACCGGCTCGCTTGGGTCTGTGATGCTGGCGGCTGACTGGCCCCAGGACTGGACCACGTCCGGCGGGTGGGTGTCAATCTCCACGTGATATGCCGCCGCGTGTGTCCTGGGTATGACGCTCGCATGGAGAGTATTGTCCCTTGACGCGGAGCCAGAAGGTGGAATAAAGGGTGAAGTGGACCCCTGCAAGTCGCTCAGAGGGTTGGGAGATTTGGGCGGGAGTGCCCTGATCGATGTGTCGTCCTGTGGTTCCTCGAGTAAAGACGGGCTCGGTTGGGGAAGCGGGAAGAAATCGAAATCGTCAAATATGTTGTACGCCATCCTCTGAATGCGATGTACTGAATCTGGACTGGATTGGCAGGCGAGGCGTTGTTGAAGTTGTTGAAGCCGGCGATTGTTGGCTTGGGGTGGTATAGTGGGAGAGACATCCTGCGAAGCTGCTTCCTAACGGGTTGGTCTGGCATTCGCATTCACTACCAGAGTAGAAGGTGCGATGAGCAGAGAGACATATCTTAGGCGGCAGGCGAAAGATTCAATATTGTATCGATCACCTTCATCGTTGATCAACGATCACCGTCCCTGTTGTTGATTAGAATGATATAGAATCTGCAGCCAGAGAAGGGCAGAGAAGATGAATATAACGACACAAGGATAAACTTCTCCAGAGTAAGCAGTTCAATAAAACCAGTATGCATTCCTCGATCTATTAAACCGAGGACGAGGTAAATAATGGAACAATTGCTCGCACAGCATCATCTGTCGCTCATACACATGTCGAAACGTGTCAGGACATGCCAAGCGAGAACAGAAGCAAGATCCAGAATTTCAAGGTGTGCAATTCGCAGACTCTTTGAGTACAACCACTTAAAATTGATGTACAAGGTAGTATTAGAGTCAATCCAAAAAAACAAAAAGGACAAAGTACATGGTCGGTGTTGAACGCTACGCAGCGATAACTGAAGGGGAATATGTAAACCATCATGGAGAGACAAGGTAGAAAACAAGAAGATGCATCAAGTTGAGAATCACGAAGTAAAGCAGCATCCACCGGGGTATAGCTCTCCGTTCACCGTCACCCTTACTGATTTCTTCAACGCTGCCAAAAGCAAGACAAGAAGCAGAAATTTATACAAACGCCCCCAAGGCATCACAAGACTCAACAGCAAAACGAACATCACCACATCATGAAACGTAAACATAAACATGAGGCATAACGACATAGAGCATAAGCATGAAAACATCCAAGGTCGTGCAGGTCATCAAGAATCATACACAATCATGTCGCCATGATGGACGTGATCGGTCAGAGCCGTCAAACCCGCGCCTTCTCTTCGAACACCAAACCCAATCCACAATCAATCCAATCCAAAGCAAAGCAAACGTGACCGAAAATACCACCCAATATAGGACTCAGACATCCAAACAGTTTTTTATCGTTCGTGCGTGCTTATCCTTGCAATTTCCCTCAAGCACGATCAAAGGCTCATCGCCGGATATCCTGCGCGCCCAAGAAAGACAGAACTTTTGAAGAACCGATACGTATCGTCCAAGACAGAGATCTAACCCCATAACTTTTGTAGCCCCAAAAATCAAAGCATAAACCGAAGACTGTAATTCCAGCACGGATAGTGGTCGAAGACTCCTATCCTTTCATCTAGTATCGGCCGCTGTAGGCCGACCGGCTTGAGCGTCGACTGGCTTGGTCTGATTTCCGGTCACTCAGGGCTCGCCGTGGGTTTTCCAACTCTCTTCGAGAAACACCTCCGGTGTAGTCAGAGCCGCCAGTCAGATACTTCTTCGGGGCGCGGTGTTTGCCTTCAATGTTCAGCTCGACCGCACCGTTGTTATTAGTTCGAAGCATCAACCTCTTGCCCCCGACGGACTCTTGGCTAAAACTCATGGTCACCCCGTTCATTGTCATGACAATGTTGTTGTCCTCCTCCGGCTTGAGACCGCCATTGCTGCCAGTCTGTGTCCGTGCGTCACTCCCTCGGCTGCTGTTCGAACGACTTTTCTGGCTGCCACTGTCGCTTTCAGCACGTTGAGAGGTTTTGGCTTTATACAGGGCGTCTTCCGTTAAAAGGACGGGCACGGACGACTTGCCCGACCGAGAAGCTTGATACTCTTCCGCCTCTCGCTGCTTTTCCACAATCTCGTCGTCTTCATCCTCCTCCTCGTCGTCATCGGCATAGTTGTAGACTGTAGGCTGGCGCCGACGAGAGTTCTCGACGGCGATTCGTGCCGGGCGCGAGTCGTGGTATGTGGTGGACCGTCGACCATCCCGAATGCTTCGTCCGCTGCGCTCCGGGATCACGGTCTCCCGAGAAGACGGCCGGTACCCATACTCAGGCAAGGCGTCTCTCACGTCCGAGAGATCCAGAGAGCGTGAAGAGCGACGGTCGGAAATGATGGACGGGGCAGTAACGGCTTTTCGAGGTGGGTCGGGCCGTTTCTGGATGATGTGCGGTGTCGCCTTGTGCTTCATGGGCGGAGGAGGCATTCGGTAGTAGTCCTCATTGGGATCATGAGATGAGTGAGCGGGCATGCGGGGACGAGCCTGCCGGCCCGGGGCTGGAGGGGGCGGAGGGGGAACGTCCAACTCCACCTCATCGTCATCATCGTCATCAAAGCTGGCGCCATCGTAGTCCATGACAGGTGCGTAGAGCGGTGGTCGGCGACCCCGACCTTGATCTCTAGTCCGCGAGGCCGATCGTTCCTGTCGGCTCTCAGGAGGTGGCGCATAGTCGGGTACGCCGTAGTAGGGAGATTGTTGCGAGTAGTGGGAAGCAGCATACTGCGGGCCGTGGGTATACGCCGAGGAGGACAACGGTGGGCCATGGTCGTAATGAGCCATGGGCCCTGGTGAATACATCATTTGGCCCATCCCAGGCATGGTACCCTGGAAGCTCACCGGTCGGTTGTTGGGATGATAGATGGATGAGCTTCCGCGAGCGTGAGGACGACTACTGCGCGAGACATTGACGTCCTGTATCACCGAGGGTGCTGCGTATCGGGGGTTTTGCGGAGCTGGGGGAGCATACTCGTGACCCGGCGGAGGCGGTTTCATGAAGTACGGGAAATCCATCGGTCTCGCTTCAACAGGTGTAGAAGCAGCAGTATGGTATAGACCATGTTCACATTCGTAACACTGTCCCGGGTAGTGCGGGACCTGGGCAGTCTCGCGTCGGCGGGATCTGGACGGTGAACGCTGGGCGTGGGCATGAGAATGAGGGTGGCCCACAGGGGGGTAACCTCCGACCTGCATTTTGTCCTCACGCGGTGGACGAACAATTCGATCCTTAGAGGGTCGTTCTTTGTGGCCTTTGGAGCGGACGCGTTCGAGGTCAGCTCGTTTGAGGGTGGTGTCTGACTTATGAGGAACAGGGCTCTTCCGGCCCGACGGCCCAGATTGGGTGCTGTTGACGGTGGCGGCGGTACGACTGGAATAACCGGAGTCACTTGCAACGTCGACCAGGGGCTCTGCAGGCGATTTCACGGCCTGTTTATGGCGCTTTGTAGTGGTGTTGGCGACTTGACGAGTTTCGGGACGGATAACATGAGTATCTTCGTCATATTCCTCACAGAAGGCGGCGTGGGGGACTTTGCTAGACATGACTTCTGGAAGGCGGCCTAAGGCCCAACCCTAAGAGGGGGAGAAGAGAGTGGAGGGGGGGGTTTGTCTTGATTTGGGGGGGAAAAAGGCACGAAGGTGGATGACCTGAAACGTGGTGCTCCAACAAGCGTTCTGATGCTTGCTTGGTGGCCTACAGCAGCCACCAAATGCTGCTCATCCAAATATGACTCAATCAGTGCTGGGGGTTTTTTTAGCGTTTTTCCAAAAAAAAAAAATTCCTCTTTTTTTTTCTTTGGCGCGGTTAGTGGTTGTTTTCTCCTTCTCCCTTTTCAGTCCGGAGTGAGGGCTGCAAATCCACTTGGCGGCAGTTGCCTCAAGAATATAACCAGAACTTGCAGATGGGGCCAGGCAATAGTCCGACAGACAGAACGTCTAGATCATTGACTGTCAGCGATGAGTCGTTGGTGGGCAGGAAGAACAGTCGTCGTCCACAGTCTGCAATGTCTCCATCGAAAATGAAAAGGAAGAACGGGGTTGGTTCGGGATCAAAGGGGGGGAATGGGGGGGGCAGGCGACAAAGTGGGTTGAGGAAGATTGTGGTGGTGGTGGAGGACTGGTGATGAACAGACGACAAGTCGGGCGGCGGACAGTCAGTGAGACTAGACTAGAGGATAACCGTAGTGGACAAGTCCGGCGTGGGTCGACCGGAAACGAAAGCTGCAGTGAACGGTTGGCAGCCGGTGAGTGGAGGGGATTTAGAATAAAATGATCGATTAACCAAACAATCGACGGGGCTGCAGTCCTTCAATGCACCACTCAACAAGAGAGCGTGTAACCGACGGCTCTGATGACTGGTCCGTCGTGCTAAGCAGTCGTGTCGTGGTCGTCTTTCTAGGGACGCGACTGATGACCCGGGCGATAGGAAGGAAGATGAGAAGTTGAAAGGGACAGAGGGGTCAAAGGGTCAAAGGGTCTTCCCAGTTAAAAGACGGCGTAGATTGACTCCTAAGGTTCAGAGAGGCCCGAGGGAGAATGACAGAAGGAGGGGAAACGAGAAAGCAGGTGCAAAATCAGGAATGCGCGGGAAAAAAAAAATAATAAATTTAATAAAAGGTGGGGAGAGCGAAAGCAAAGAAAATACAGTAGCTAAGGAAGAAAGTGGAGAATGGGGAGAACAGGTGGGAATCTCGACACCAGACGATCGTAGTAGAAGAAGAAAATTAGAGAGGGGGAGAACAAGAGGAGAGAGAGGGGAAGAGAATGAGGGAGGGATAGTTAGTGATAGCAAGGAAGATCGGATATTGATTGACTGATTTGATTACCACTAGTCGGAGCAACAGCAGCGACAATAACAGCAGTAGCAGCAACAAGGACGGGGAGATCGAAGAAAAGGTACAGAGGAAGGATTGGATGGGTTGGAAAAAGTGCTGTGCGCCGCCTCGGTTTTTAATGGAAATCATCCATCAGTGGAAGGAGTCAGACTGTCGGTTTCCTTTCTTTACTTTTACAATCATCATGATAGAATTAGAAAAAGATTGAGGGAGAAAACGCTTTTCAAGCATACTAAGGTAAGTACCGAGTGTATACTTACCAAAGTGAAGAAACACACGGCGGATGCCGCTGCCGCTGCCGCTATTTTCGTTTTCGTTGCTGTGTTTCTTTACTTTCTTTATTTTCTCCTTTTATTCTCTCTTGTATTTCTTCTTTCTATTTCTTCCATCGTCGAGTACTCCATGTGAATTGTGGATTTATAATATCATTGGAACAAAAAAAAAGAGAAAGCAAGAGTTGAACTCGGAACTATCCATCGCGACCCAACCGAGGACGGAAAACAAGCTATATATTCTCAAGCGAAACAAAAAAAAAAAAGAAATAGAATGATAGCGAAGAAACAGAGTCTGGTTCCATCTCACATCCGAACATCCCTGTCCAGAGGTTAAGATTATCCCGTGTCTCTTGTATCCATACTCCTCCTTCCCTTTCTCTTCGCATACTACCCTCTCAGCTGCATAGAGCACTTCATGCCTTCTGGCTCGTCAGATTTGCCCTCTCGAGTCCGAAGTTCTGGATGTTTGTCTCCAATCCGGATGAAAAGGAATCGAGTCGGAGCAAATCGAAGAAGAAAGCAGCAGAAGGGGGTGGAGATTGTCCCCTGAGTGGCTGTCGCCCGCTGCCTGATCGGCCGCTAAGAGTGAGTTTGACTATGCATTCCATTACTGATGACTGACTGACTGACTGACTGCAGTGACTGATGATAGATACTGACGGAAGGCAAAAAACGATAGTTGCGAAAATTCTACTTTCTGATCATCCTGGTCGAGATGACTCTATCAGCATGACTCGATAATCTATCCACCTAGGCGATTGTTTGTTGAACGAAGTGAGCGGGAGAGCCATCACCTTCACATCCGGTTCGCATTGTGTCCTGGCTTGTATACGTCACGAGGATTGTAGGATGCGATTCAATCCATAATGATGCGATCATGGTATACTCCGTACTGCGACCTCCGACAGGGAAGAAGAGACTTGCAGCTGCAAGGTGGGAATCGGAATTTAGTCATTGGCGTATTAAAACAACCATCACAGGTAACTTAAGGCACGATGATGAAGGGCCATAAGATCGGTCCAAAAGAACTTCCAGGGGAATTGTGATAATCGGTGTACAGTAGTACTCCATCCATGCTTTCCATGGAACGGCTGGTAATTAACACTAGATATCCGCGATACCCCAGGAGTCTACCCGTGCGGTTTCAGGACCCGGTGCGTGGCATTTCATCCCCGGCATTGCTTCCCCACGGCACACATGGCCCAGTGAGTCAGTGACATCAATGGGCTTGTTCGCGGGAGCCTCATCCAGCGTCAAGATCTCCGATCATTCCATCCCTTGCAGGCTTGAGATAGCCTCATTCCCGGAGAGTCGATCTTTTGCTTCAGAGTCCTCCACAGATCCCCCTCGTCGATAACAAGAATCGATTCTTGGCCCGAAAGATCCCACGTGCAAATCGACTCCCCGTAGGATGAGCTACAAATAGATAAGGTAGAATCATAGGCTCATAGATGACAGTGGCTATGCATGATAGGATGAGGACGCAACACCGCTCTGCCTGTCAAGCCCGAAGTAACAGCCAGTTCTGATTGCCATGTCGCCTTGGTGCAACCTCATGATGAGGATGGGAATGGAAGGCGGCGGTCCCTCGTGACCCGAACATGTCTCGCAGGCAACGAAACGACGAGCCGGGATGCTCAATTGTCCCGAGATTCTGTCTCAGCCAGTCCGCTGGAAGTAGACTTACCCAACCACTAGTGCCATGATCGGGGCCAGGTGAAGTGTTATCTAAGGTTGAGGTTGACATTGTGCCGACATCGAGGGTGGAAATAAGAAAAGGGGCGGGTTGAGGGGGAATCCACTTCAGAATTAAAGATGGGCGGGCTCCATCGACGGGAGAACCCTGGGTCTAAGCGGTATCTATCCACGGACCAGCCGGAGTTTCTCGCAACATCTACTCTACTCTCTACATACTGACCTGTACTTTGTACCTGGCGACTCTCTACTTACTGTATCATCGTTCCTCAATTGCCAATGTGTTCCCTCCCACTCCAAACTCCCCTTGTGACCATCTCTGGTTAATTACTTTCCCCGTCGCAGGTCTGCAATCCGATATGGTTTGTACCTGGTCCATCCGAAATAACCCCGTCCCTGTTGGCTGCCCAAAAGTCCCGAACGATGGCAAGGAAAACCCCCCATTGCGGCCCAATGACGGTAGCCTCCACACCGCGGGGCACACACCCAGCGTGGTGAAAATTTCTCATTCGGAGGGGGCCAAATTGACAAAAAGAAAGGGGGAGGCGAAGAAGCAAGAAAAAACTTTCAAGCATCAAGGATCCAGGTTACAAAATGCATATTGAGTTTATTCGAGCTCATGGACAGGCATTCTTCAGCCGACCCGATCTAGCCCAGCACACCGGATAGAAAACCCTGGTCCATGAGCAAGTTTGCAAGCAGATTTATCCTACTCATGTCATCGCCATGACATAAAGAATTTGCTCCCATTTGTTTTCTGTCTTCCAGTTAGCCAAGAACCGTCTTCACCCAACTTACCGGTTCTTCTCCTGGCGGGCTGATAAGTTTGCTACCCTTGTGGAAAGGCCGGTGAGCGAGCGGCATGGAAGACCGCGTCGAAGCGCGCTAGAAAACAGGATCCCGGCAAGCGAGCCATTACGACTACAGTCTTCAAGCCCTAGGAACCTTGGAGCACTGCACAAGATCGAACCATTGACTGTATACAAGTACTATTGGGATTTCCGAGAAAGATCCCAAGCTGCTAACAAGCCGGCACCCAGCCGGGTTCATCCTTCATTTCCCCCAAGCTTCCAGGAAGCCTGTACTCCGATGACAGTAATGATGATCACAGTAATGTCAATGCCATTTCAAATTGCCATTCAAAAAGCTTCCTCGGGCATTAATACTCCATGGATCTCATGACTTAGAGTCTCTTCTCCCCTGGACCTTGTGACTCATACTGAACCGACAGGCATTGGGATCGTGTCTCCATAGATCCGGCAAGAATGAAGATGAATTACCGCGACTGGGTGGATTCTCTGCCTCGGATCCGTGTCTTTCACTGGGCCGGAGAAACTTACTGTAAACCCTCTCTTCGAATCTGAAAGCAGGTGACTTCGCTCGAAAGACGTACAGCTGAGGCTGAATGAGATACAACTCTATCGCTCTTGGTGCGTCATTTCTAGGCGCCACGAAACTGTCAGCGACAATTGATCCACAAGGGGTACAGTGCATCGGCGGGGCGTTCCGTCTGCATTCAACAGTCTTTTCAGTCACAATTACACCCCCTGCGAGTCGGCTGTGCATGATAATTTCTCTCGTCGAACCGGCCGCAAACAATCCGATGAGAATTCTTCTACCTGTTGCTTCGACGCTTGTAAGCTTGCCTCCCAAGTGCTTATTGATGCCCAATGTTTCGAATCTCCCTGATGTATGGCTATCGCCGCGAAGATATGCGTGCTAGCTTTATTTCACTTTCTCCATCCTCCAGCCACTTGACATCGTCCTTGTTGGTGTTGGCGATACACCGTGATAGTAATCTCAAGGATCCATTAGACTTATTTACCCCTCAACATGCTTCCGTCTTTGCTGAAACTCCAGAGGCAACCCTGACATATGGAGTACAAGCCATGAGCCCGTTTCAGGTAATCCAATTCATAGTGTAATCTTTGCACAGTAACGAGTTGCCAAGCTAGGTAGAAGTACCGTAGATACAGTACAAGCTGCAGTACTCCGTACAAGAGATGAAGCGATAAGATAAGGCTGAGTCATGCAGTTGCCGGGGACACGGGAATCACCCAAACAAAAGAGCGTCATCCCCAGCCTCCTCCCCAACCACCTCAATTTCAGCCTGGACGTCGCTTGCTTGTGTATCGGTCGCGCTACGTGGGTTTCTGTTTCGCTTTCTCTCTGTATTGTGGGCAGGCAAGCCGGTACTGACACTGACGCACTCGGCAGCGCATACCTGCGATCGGTCTTCCACATCCACCCTCTTATCCACGTTCCACATTCCATCCATCTGTCTACGACATTATACATCTCAAGTGGATCGCGTGATTGAGATCGAGCCTACCAAGAACCTGACAGTGTGGGTAAGCAATCCCGCATTCCAGTCAGTCTCAATTAATTCAACTATCTATCAATCAACCAACCTATCGATCTCTTCACCAATCTACATATTCTTTCACACGTTCATCATTCGTCCATCAATCGATCTATAGGACCTCGATTCTAACCAAGACGTAGAGTGTTTGTCGAGAGCATCCCGCTCTTGACAGCCACAGCCATCACCACAGCCGCCAACAATGCCTCCAGTCCAGACTGCCGGCGACTTCCCCGGCATCTCCATCCTCGAAACCCTCAGCACAACAACCGATTCCCCTGACCGTGCTCTATCAACCAACCTGCACCCCCGAACCGGAAACCACAATGCTCTCCACCTCTTACACGCTCGCGACACGCAGTATGTTCCCGGCACCGGTACCGTCGAGGCCCACAACATCAACATGAAAGGCCTGATGGCGCTCTTCGCCATCATCGGCGCCGCCTTCGTGCTCGCGACGATCTGGTTCTTCTTCTGGGCGAAGAATGGCGGCTTCGTCTGGCGCAAGGGCGACTGGGAGGAGTACAAATCGACCGTGCTCCGGCGCAAGGGCCCAGACGGCCGTACCCTGAGTAATGCGACCAAGAGCACGAAGCTCGGGGGCGGCAGCATCGTGCACAAGGGCTACAGCGACGACGGCTACACCTACACGGAAACGGCGACGACCATCACCGAGAAGACCGGCGCTCCCGGTGGGGAGGAGCGCAAGCGCCGGCGCAAGCTCAGGGAGAAGTTCCGGCGCCGGCGCAAGGACGACGAGATGACCACCAACTGGGAGAATGAGGTCGACGAGGATGTGGCCGCGTATCGGAAGGAGAAGCCCGCACGCATCGGCGGCATGAACCGCGAAGGCGACGGGACGACCTACTACGATGGCAGTGACTACGATCTATCGAACCCGCCCAGTTACTGGCAGGAGCAGCAGAGCTCGGTCAGTCAGGTGCGGGACTATGCGTACGACCCGGTGGTCGAGCGGCGCCAGAGCAAGCGACGCGATTTTTCGTTTGTGGCGGGCAGCGAGGAGCTCTTGAGCCAGGCAGACGAGCACCACCACCGCGCCGTCCGGGAGCCGTCGGCCAGGAGGCATAACCGGAGACGGGAGCGTCGGAGAACCGCCCCCGCCGACGGCAGCACCAGCAGCCCGTCCCGCTCGTCTAGGCAGAGTAGCCCGCGCAAGCGCGACAGACCCTCCGTGACGGGCCACTACACCGAACCCTTGGATTTCACCTCTTCGGCACCTTCCCGCTCCGAGTATCAGTATTCGAACGTCGACACCGAGGACTCAGGCACCAAGAGCTACCACCACCCCATCCCGGGATTGAGCAAGGGCTACCGTCGTGAAGGCGGCCGGGGTCGTCGCCGCGATAGTCTGAGCGATAGTGACGGAGAGGAGACTCGTTACTCGAGACGACGTTAATGCGGCCGGAAGGCTTTAGTCGACACACTCATTCCTCCTCACTCAAGTTATGATATGTGGTTGTATGCGAGTCTGTAAATAATGGGTTTGGCTTCTGTTTTTGTGTTTTCTTCTTTGGCCTTGTTTTCTTCGCTTCAACTGGAAATGATAACACGGGATCATGATTGAATGGGATGGGAGCTATGGACGAGATTTGCAGGATCAACGCACACGAACGCACATGTTGCTGCATTCCGCGCGTGCCAGGAGTCCGTTCGGGATATTAACGTGGATTTGGACATGGACATGGAACTGCGGGATCAGATTTAGTATCACTCATACATACTTAGCTAGTCAATGTCAATGCTTATGAATGTTTTCAATTACTATCTATCACCTCGTGTACCTTTCCCCGGCTAGTGCTTGGATCAATACCAGGTAGGTCATATTTGCCCTCGGTTGACTCGACAGATCATAGATAGAGGCCTGCAACCCGCGGGTTTTATAGTGAATAGCTTCCTGAGCAGCCTTTCAAGTACAGTACCTTATCACGCAAGTGACGCAGCCAATAATATAAGAAAGCCTACAGGCCTCTCACCAAGTACCTTAATCATTCACCCAAGCAATCACTAGGTAGGGCTCCGCGCTTACACGCATCGCAACCTTATCAACATCACCATCTCGAAGAGAGAAAGACTGAGTTACGTATCCTATCACATCACGCTTGCACCTTGAATCCGGCTAAAACACGAACGCGGGTTAGTTTCATTCTATATGATACAACAACCCCTTCGTTCATCCATTCCAGAATTCTCCGAGAGGCGAAAACGCCCGCAGATGTGCATCAGCCGATCTGACCCGCACACCCGAACAAACATCTTACTTGAACCAACCTACGCCTCACCTCGATCCATCCGCCTCCAAAGCAAATCTAGCTCTCAACCCGATTCTTCCACCACCGAGGAAGAGTCCCAATTATGTGAGGAGATATACCGTCCTAGTTCATTGGAGCTATCGCCTCAAGAAAACCAGCGCCAGGTACCCGAACAACCGATATACGGCGATGATGCCTAGCAGGATCCCGACCCATTTACCCGTGCGGCCTGTCGCGTAGCCGTACTCGTGCAGCACGCCGGTGCCGCGGATCTGGCATTGCGCGGCTAGGTCTGTCTGGTACATGCAGGTGCAGTCGGCGGTGCAGGCGAAGATGCGGTCGGAGAATTGGTTAACCATCATGCCTTGGAAGACGTATGCCTTTTCGGGGGAGGGTTGGGTTAGTATTTGTTTGGTGGAAGGGGAAGAGTATGTTATGTAGACTTGGGACTGACAGTGCGGGGGCTGATGATTGTAAGTTGATCAGGGAAGTGTGGAGAGCGGAGAAGTTACCTGGTAATCAATGTAATGAAAGACATATTTCCAGAACGGGTTCAAAATGGTTTGCGCCACGAGGAAACCACCCACCGCCATCCAGAGTCCGTTGGCGAAGGCAACTAGGGCGAGGGCGATGACGAAGTTGGGGAAGATGGAGGAGATAAAGACAACCAGCGATTCTGCAGCCACGAGATCCAAGAATATCCACATGATCCACGTGAAGAACGCCGTGGCGTTTGGTGTGAGGTTGTTCAGCCAGTAAGCGATTGCGGAGTAGAGAAGGGAGATGAGAACTGGGAAGGGCCGGGTTAGAATCCAGGAGATGATGGAATGACGTCGAGTCAGGCTGTGAGCGGTGAGAGAAGAGAAATGGAGAGTGAAGCGTACAGAGAAAGGGGAGCCCAATGATGAAATTGGACACGAGGAATGGAAAAGAGCCGTAAAGACCGTTTGCGCGTTCTTTGGTAAAGGTTGCTAGGTCCTCGAGGAAGGCGGGTACGTAGGCGACGGCCATGAAACTCATGAATGCGGAGCCAAAGAACTGGTGTCATCAGGATATGTGCCATATTGACTAGACCCGGGCAGATCGAACGAAGACTTACAATGGAGTTGATGAAAGGCTGGATGTACGCCTGTTCGGTGTGCAACCGCAGCCAGACAGTGCCTACCATTATGGCCAGTGCTGTATAACGTCAGTAAGTTTAAGCTCTGGCTCTTCTTAGCATCCTGGCACTCTATCACGTACCCATGTACATAACGATCCGGATCCCGTATGCCACAATGTCGCGATGGCTCTTGATGAAGGCGCGGTGCAAGAGAGAAATGATAATACTAATCATCCCCGGATGGCCGAGCTCTGCGATGTCGACCTTCCTAGAGTTCTTTTCAGAAACACTTAAGTCCTGCGATATCTGTTCATTCAATGCGTTGCATTCGGCAGATAGTCGCCAAGCTGAGCGAATCTCCTCCACTTGGTCCTCCGGCGCGGCGAGTGTACCGCTAGCAAAGTCCGCGCTGATCAGGTCGAGAATAAACTCAGCCGGATTTGTATTTGGCGGAACACAATGACCGATTCGGTCGAAGTAGTGCGGTACATCAGTAACAGGGCCAGAGTAGCAAGTCTTTCCACCTGATAATAGAAGCAGCTTATTGAAGAGTTGGAAAGTGGTTGATGATGGTTGGTGGATGCTGGCGATAATAATGAGCTATCAGCCGTTAGCATATTGTGTTATTTCCTTCGACTGCAATCCTACATGATTTGTGACAGCCAGTCTCTTGATGTAGGAGATAACTTCATAGCTGGCGGTTGAATCCAGACCACTGGTAGGCTCGTCTAAGAATAAAATCTTAGGGCAAGTGATCAATTGACTGGCAACACTAAGGCGCCGTTTCTGCCCACCGCTAATGCCCTTTCGGATTGGAGTGCCAACCAACGTTGAGGCCTGATTCTGAATCCCGAATGCTTCCAAAAGAGTCCGGATGCGCTCTGCCCGTTGCGATTTGGAGACGGAACTGATCTGATTAGTGACCCATTTGAGATCGCCCAGTAGTCAATGAGGAGAGTACCTCGGCAGAGAGAGATCCGCTGCAAACTTCAATGTTTCCTGGACGGTCAAAGAACCTATCAAGGCATCTTCTTGCTCCACATAGGACGTGAGTCGACCGAAGGTTGTACTATCCATGGCAGACCCATTGACGTAGCACTCTCCTGAATTTGTTGCGCCTGAGGATGCCACACGACGAGCAAGGACGTTAAGGAGAGTTGTCTTGCCGCATCCTGACGGACCCATCAATGCGACCAGTTCTCCTGTTAAAGAGGTTTTAGTCGACACAAATCAGCAAGTAGCATCCGAGGTGAAAGCTTACCACTCTGGACTGAGCCACTGATCCCGTCGATTAGCTGTCGGGGTAGTTTTGTTCGACGGTCCTTCACCGTGACTCGTAGATCACGCCAAGCAAAACTTTTTACTGTCTTGTTCATCAAAAATTGATGTGCTTCATTCCGTTCCAGGTCGAAGTCATCTTCCTTGGTCGGTAATTCAGACTCCATAATCAGCAGTGAACTGTACCACTTCGTCGAAAGTATGTATGTAGCCTTGGTGTAGGTTAACTAAGGCGCTGACAACCGAACTATAACCTCGAAATTGTGTATGACTCGGAGAAAAGGAGCAGGGATCGGGCAGGATCTGAACAGCAGAAGAGAGCCGTCATAGGGTCCGAAGTCTCACCACAGGGTTGCGTCTTACTTAAGACGAGGCAGAGCCCACGATACGATCTCTGAAGGGATGAGATCGCCGAACATGCTCGGCGTCATGGATCATCCTTCCTAGCAGCTAGCTGAGAGGGGAACCCTGCATGTCAAGGTCAGTCAGTCAGTCAGCATTCCAATACAGCAGCAACCGCTTCAGGGACGAAGTTCAGCGGGCCATGGATCTGAAGCCCGAAACAGTTGATGCCCGCTGATAGGGCGTCGCTGCCAGTGGATGTGGATAAGGTTCCCAGTCCCCAAACTGCCCGAAAGGTTTTTCTAACTGGGAGAACAATCCCATTGAGTTGTCCCTCTATTGTTCCCGGGTGTGGGTGTCTGATTGAACACGAGGCGTGGGTTCCGAAGGGGGAAACCAACGCAAGGAAAAACAAACAACTCGAGCTATTGACTCTAGAGCGCTGGCTTGGTACAATAGTCCGCCATTCCGCCGTTATGATTGGCTTGGGCGCCCCTTCACTGCTCTGGGCGAATGGCACATTTTTGGCCAGCTGAGCTGAGGATCCAGCTGAAAATAATGACGAAGGTCGATTGTGATTGAATCCTGTCGAGCAGCATTTTCGCCTCGTGCTCGACCAGACAGTGAGTCCCGTTGCACGGATGCCCAACCACAGCCCTCGGCTATGCTCCTGCCATCGTATTCCAACTGCTGCTGGCTGAACGCCACTTATAAGCGATGACCGGGGCCAGGATAAAGTCAGCAAGCCCTCTCTCAGGTTAACGCGGCTGCGAATGAGTGTAATCACGTAGTGGTTCACGGCTCCCTTTCAACCGATGGTTTACCGTCGTTGCAGCAGCGCCCGAGCAAACCGTTTTCGGTCAGCCATCACACACCTTGTACGACGTGAAACCTCCTCGCACAACCACACTGATACAGCAATCAGCTTAGCTATCAGCCCTGTCGAGTGTCTGTCGCTCACTTCTCTTGTTCTCAGTTTTCTTTCTGAAAAAGGTTGAATGACCAGAGCGGTTACGTGGTGAGCTCGATGTGATTGATGGTTGCAGTCCCATCTCACGCTGTGTACCGTATGCGACGCAGTTTGGAAGTGTGTCTGTCTTACTCAAAACGACAAAGAGCCGCAGAGAACCAGGGCGGCTTTTCAAGCTGGAGAGAGACATGTTTCGGCCGAAGTGGGCTGGGCCATCGTGGTGGCTCGTTCATGCGTCTGCCGTCACCCGTTAGAATGACAGCTACCCCAGATCAACGATAAGCCCGACGCTGATATTGGCCCGCTCTCTGCTTGATCGCACAATGAAGCAGTTGTTGCTGTGTTCATCCTTGTCTAATGCGCTGTGGATGGATGTGCTGATAGTAGCCGCATGTTAATAGCATGAAAGTAGAAGAGGGGAAGCGCGAAGGCTTGAAAGCTCTGGGGGATTGGAATAGTCGCCTTTCACTTTCCTTGGGGTGTGTTTCCACCAAGCACTGTAATGAATGGAGAGATCACCTAAATGGTATGCACCAATATATATATAGTATACACCGCGCGCACACGTCCAAACACAAACACACACTCTAGTAATTTCCCCCCCCCCCCCTCTCTCTCCCCTACTCTTGACGCATACTACTACTTCCACATCAACAATCTCTTAAGTATGCCTATTCAGCCGATGCTTCCACCTTCCAATCTTTGAACGGCTGAGATAGTTGATAACCTTAGATGCAGACAAAGTCTCGACATAAGAGTATGGTACATTGAACTCGAAATTACATGCTCCGTTCGGGAGGCATCATTTCCGCTCTTGCTCGTGTACCCTTGGACTCGGCACAATGTTTCTGGCGTGGCTTGTGATAGAGCTTGGAGGTTATACATCTACCTCGTTACACAACATCAATACTTCCTTGCAAACATCCTCAAGAATATAGGCTCCTTGGCTAGACCAAACAGACCAAGATGCAGGGATTGATTATATATCTCAAGCAAAGCTAGCTGTTTTCTAGCTTCCAAGTATGAAGTATGAGACGAAAGCTAGATTGACATGATCTGGGACCACAGACTACTTTGGAAAGAAATGTAGAGAGCCATACTAGTACTAGCCTGCAGGGTCACTGGCCTGCCTGGCTTGCCTGAGGCTCTACCTGGTAGGCACGGCTCTTTCCCCTTTCCTCCAAACCCCCCAGGCAGCTACTTTTCGTTTCAGATCTTCATTCCCAGATCCCCAACAGAGCTTTATCCACCTTCTGATCTCTCCCTAATGGAGCTGAGCTGACGACGATCATCCACAAGGAACACTATCTAAGATCCCTCTGGACAGCGAGGTAGATTATCAATCCCGAATCACTATCCCGTCGACTACTTGATCAATGGTAAAGAAACTTGCACCCTCTTGCTTCACCATCTTCTCTCGGCAGCAAGCAAGCAATCGTTCCAGAGATCCTTGTCTCGAAAGAACGGGGTCGGTGACATTCTCAATTCCCATCAGGCGGCTTCCCTTCTTCCGCCAAACCGATTGAGGCACCGTTGCCAATTGCCGGGTTCGACACGGGGATACTGGGCATCACGCCATACGAATACAGGTTACTCCTTAATATAGTGCAGCAGATACGTCAATTTATGTTGGGACGGTAGGGGACCTATGGGACCTCGCCCGACTCACAAGCATATTGCAAGTTTGCAACTGGCAGGTGCCAAGAAGTCCGGCCATTGAGCAGGCTCCGTTTCAACACAACACTCAAGGGTTCGGAGGGCAATAACTACCGCCGAAACATGCCCAGAAAGACCGTGGGCCCGATGTCTTACTAGAGCAGCCAGTTGACCAATGTCCACCACAGGATTTATGCTCTTATCGATTAAGATGGGGCGAGACCCGCTCAACCTTCCAGAAGTATGCTAGGGTGGAAGAACAGTCCAGGATCACGGTGGAAACTGCTCATTTAAGCTTGCATTCGCTGAGGAACCTTTCTCCTAAGCCAAGCTTCCAGATAACAAGCTTAGCTTGACTTGCTTGACTGAGTCTCTCCGTGGGTCATTTGTGTTGGCCATGGGCCTTGTAAGGCTGGTTTCTCCTCTGGTCAATTCACATCTCGCGAAAACCTATTGTGCATGGTTTGAATCTCCCATGCTGTTGCCTTCAACAAGCCGATAGCCGAGGGAGTGGAGAGCACGCAAGCCACCAGGCACTAAACCCGCTCTGCCTTTTGCTCCGTCGGCTTTTTTTTTTTTTTTTTTTTTTCTGAGGCGTCAATGGCTCCGAGCGATATTGCAACCACCGACGATCGTGAAACCGCCCGCCACTCAAGGAAGTGAAATATATTGCCTGGTCAGAGGGTCTGGCTTGATGTCTCGGGTCTGGTCCGAATGGGATATTCAGTGGTGCCTAAATCGAAGCATCGATCGGCGTGAATGGTCAACACTCGCGGCAGAGAACGGCCTCATGTTTCATGTGTGACGGACGAACCGTTTTGGAAACGGCTGAATGACCTCCCGAAACTCTAAAGACCCTGTCTGGATTCGAATCGGGTGCTCTTCGGCCTCAACTTAGCCCTAAATGATCTAGTTGCTCGGACTCAGTCGCTTCTGGGTCTAGCAGTGTGTACCTTCATTTTCAAGTTTCCAGACTACTTCCAGACCCCGTTCGATATAGCTACCAGTAGCTCGGAAAAGAGAAACGTGCCCCCTTGTCTGTTCGAGGCAACCCAGGCGTGATAGCATAAATACCTTCTCCCTGCCCTGCCCGTCATGGTTGATTCTCTTCCTCCTCATCGCACTCCTTTGCTCTCTTTCCTTCCTCATCCAGTCTCTCTTTAATCCTTGTCTCCTGTTGATCCAGGTTTCCGTTCATTCCAACAAAATGCATTTCATCAAAACCTCTCTCTTGGCTGCCACCATGGGCGCTGCGCTGGCCGCGGCTGCTCCCACCGACATTGAGAAGCGCGCCAGCTGTACCTTCACCGACGCTGCTAAGGTTAAGTCTGGCAAGACCTCTTGCTCGACCATCTACCTCAACAACATCGCGGTCCCCGCCGGTGAAACTCTCGATCTGACCGGCCTCAAGACGGGCACCACTGTAGGACGCCTTCTTGCTCTCACGCCTGGCGCAAGCTAACTATCTTCCCACAGGTCATCTTCGAGGGTACCACCACTTTCGGCTACAAGGAATGGAAGGGTCCCTTGATCTCCATGTCCGGTACCGACATCACCGTCAAGCAGGCCTCCGGCGCCAAGATCAACTGCGACGGTGCCCGCTGGTGGGACGGTAAGGGCGGCAACGGCGGCAAGACCAAGCCCAAGTTCTTCTACGCCCACAAGCTGGACCAGTCCAGCATCACCGGACTTCAGGTCTACAACACCCCCGTGCAGGCCTTCAGCATTCAGGCTAATCACCTGACTATCACTGATGTGACCCTCGACAACTCCTCCGGTGCCTCCAGGGGCCACAACACCGATGCCTTCGACATTGGTTCCAGTACCTACGTCACCATTGACGGTGCCAAGGTTTACAACCAGGACGACTGCTTGGCCATCAACTCTGGACAGGTATGTTGACCACCTCTAGCCCATCAATCGGATTCCATCTCTAATGATGCCTGCAGCACATCACCTTCACCAACGGCTACTGCTCCGGTGGTCACGGTCTCTCCATCGGCTCCGTCGGTGGCCGCAGCAACAACATCGTCTCTGACGTGACCATCTCCAACTCTCACATCGTCAACTCCCAGAACGGTGCCCGCATCAAGACCGTCTACGGCGCCACTGGTTCCGTCTCGGGTGTCAAGTTCGAGGACATCACCCTCTCCAACATCTCCAAGTACGGTATCGTTGTCCAGCAGGATTACAAGAACGGCTCGCCCACCGGTAACCCCACCAACGGTGTCGCCGTCAAGGACATCACCTTCAACAAGGTCACCGGTACCGTTGAGAAGTCCGCCACCGATATCTACCTCCTTTGCGGTTCCGGCAGCTGCTCTGACTGGACCTGGTCCGGTGTCAGCGTCACCGGCGGTAAGAAGAGCCCCAAGTGCAAGAACGTTCCCGCCGGTGCTTCTTGCTAAGCGGGAGCAACTTCGGTCTGTTCCACGCTTTGCCTTGCCGGCTTTAAGAGTGCGATCCAATGGTGATGGGGTGGCCCTTCAATTGGGGCAATGGGGATGAAGTATACTTCTCAAGCTCCTCATGGGAGTTGGTACAGTACTTGTGCATCTAATCTATAATTCATTCCAAATAATCATACGTCTTGATTGGCAGCGACCTATTTCTTCACAACTACTATAGAATCCGTAGTTTCAGCATTCGCTCCGAGGGCAGTAGTCGTTCGACTTCAGAAATTTAATGAAAGAACAACTACTGTACACGAATCCAGCAAACGCACTGCACCTCGACACATTATACACACGTTTGTAAGCTCGGGTTATACACACGGACCTACAGCCACACGGCGTCTAGATCACTGTACACAGAGAGCGCAAAGCTTAACAGCCAGTCTACCTACCCATTAACTATTATCTTTCGATAAATAAACCCTCTGAAAGACGTCGATCGCTCGCAGTGCCCCGCAGGTATGCAGCTCCCCGTTCCCGTTTAAGAACGGGAAAATGGTCGCATCGCCTCTTGGGCTCCGGCGATCGGCGGTATCTCTTAATCTGCGTTCAACCGGGCCAGGGCCTCTGGCCAGAATGCATCCTGTCTAGCTTGTCGCATGCCTTTCCCTTTTTCCCTTTTTCATGAAAACAGTGAGCACATATGAGATTGTACGGCATGACATGAGCCCGGGGGTGAGGGGGCGGGCAGTTGTTGCGGGTACCAAGCTCAGCTACAGTAGATACTGGATGAGAACGAAGGCTGTGCATTTGCCGGGGCTATGGCATATGATATGATTCGAAGCTGAGGTGCTGTCATCGCACATCGATCGGGTTCTCATCTTCATTGATTATTACGTACGTGTGTGTGTCTTCAACTATACGGAATGAAAAAGGTACGCAGAAAGAAAAGCAAGAAGGCCGTTTGAAAAGGCTGAAAACAATGCTAGGTATTTATGAACTATGCGAATCGAGATCTAATTTGACTTTTTATCTTTTTGTGTCTTCTTCTTCTTCTTCGGGCATTTACATACTGGGGAGGAAAGTTAGTATACTGCTTGAAAGGATCATGATCGGGAAGACGGGGTGTAACGTACCGGTTGACGGGGCTGAGACCGACAACCCGCATACCGTTGTGAAGGACCTGGCGGGCGGACTCGTACAGAGCCATGCGGGCCTTCTTGAGCTCGGGCTCGCTGCCGACGACCTTGAGGATGTCGTAGCTGGAGCTCAGGACGTGGGTCATGCGGAACAGGTAGGTGAGGATGGTGGTGGGCTCCAGGGTCTTGGTGGTGTTGAGGAGGACATCGGGCCACTGGGCGAGCTGGCGGGCCAGGTCGATGGCGTGAGGCTCCTTGAGCAGGCTGAGGTCGGCGTCGTCGAGCTCCTCGACGTTGAGGCCGGACTTGCGGACGATGGAGCACAGACGGGCGTGGGCGTACTGGAGGTAAGGACCGGTGTCACCCTCGAAGGAGGTCATGGCGTCCAGGTTGAAGTCGTAGCCGTTGATACTATTCGTCTGGTTAGGGGGGTTGTCTGCCTAGTGGGGACTGGGAGTTACATACCGCTTGCCGGTCATATCCTGGACCATGACGGAGGTGATACCCAGGATGTCGGCAACCTCCTCGGGGTTCTCAACCTGCTTGTACTTCTCCTCGTTCTTCTTCATGACCTCGTGCATCTTGTCACCCACATCCTTGAGGATATCGTCCAAGAACTTGACGGTACCCTTACGGGTACTCATACCGCGGACCATACCGAAGTTGATGTGCTGGCAGCGGCTGGCCAGGTCCTTGTGGCCCATCAGCTCGGTGATCTTGAACAGCTGCGCCAAGTGCAGATCCTGCTGGGCGGCAACAACGTAGATCATCTTGTCGAAGTTGTACTTCTCCGCACGCTCCGTGATGGCACCGATATCACGGGTCAGGTAGAGGGGCGTGCCGTCCTTGCGGACAATGATGGCCTTGCCGAGCTTCTTAGCACCGTGCTTGGTGAAATCGACGATGACAGCGCCCTCGGACTTCTCGGAGACCCCGGTCTTCTCCAAGGTCTGGTAAGCGGCAGTCATGCTCTCCTGCTTGATCTGGGACTCGCCGGAGTAGACATCGAACTCGATGTTGAGACGAGCGTAGGTCTGCTCGTACTTCTTGATACTGAGATCACGGAAACGGCGCCACAGAGCAAGGGCATCGGGGTCGCCATCCTCCATGCTCTTGAAGTAGCGACGGGCGCTCTCGTCCTCACTGACGTCGACGAGCTTCTGCAGCTCCTGCTCCAGCTCAGCGACGTCCTCGCCCTTCTCCTTCTTGGCCTTGATCTGCTCCTTGAGCTCCTTGATGGGGCCCTCCTGCTGGGAGACAATGTTGTTGATCTTGACGTACACATCAAACAGGTGGTTGATGGGGTCCTTGGTCAATTGCTCCTCGTTACCGAACTGCTTGAAACCGTTGGCAAGCAGACCATACTGCTTACCCCAATCACCGAGGTAGTTCATCTTGATCACATCCCATCCCATGACCGTGTAGAGGTTGGCCAGGAAACCACCGATGATCGTACTGCGAAGGTGACCAGCGTGGAACGGCTTGGCGATGTTGGGGGAGGAGAACTCGACGATGATTCTCTTGCGGCCCTTGGAGGCATCGGAGGGGTCGCGAAGACCCTGGTTACCGTTGGTACCATACGAGGCCTTCTGCTTCAGAATACGCTTGATGACGGACGAGGTGATGATCTCAGGCTTGAAGAAGAATTGGAGGTGGGGGCCGAAGGGGACGGGGGGGAGGACGAGGTCGGATTCGGGGAACTTCTCGGCGAGCTCCTTGCACAGCTCCTGGGGGTTCTTCTTGATCTGGAGCGCGGCGACCTACAGATGCATGAAACTACATTAGCCCGTCTGTCGCAAGAAGAACACCGAAACCCGAGGGCTGTTGGCGCCTCAAGGTGGGACATTTTGGTATATCGCATACCGGCAGCACCAAGTCACCCTTGTCGAGCGAATTCGTCCATGACAGGCGAGAGTAGATCTTCTCGGCGTCAATGCCAGTGGCAGCGCCCAGCTTCTCAGCAATGTGTTCTCTGTAGAGATCGACGGGGTTCAAGGAGGGGAAGCAGTTGGGGAACTTGGCGGTCTCGGTGGTGGACTGGAGGGTGAGTCCCTCGACGGAGGTCGCGAGGTCGGCAGCGGAGGACATGGCTGCAGCAACGTTCTGCTTATGGGTCGCAGTAGAGAAGGATGAACGCCCAAGGTTTAATTGGGAGGAAGAGAAAGCGCAGCGAGAGAAAGCAAAGCGACTATTTTGTGGACAGTATGACTGGGCGGCAGTCTTGAAAATGGCGTTAGAAAATGGGCGAGCCCCGCTTAACAGAAGGCGACCCATAAATGGAGGGGAAATCGCGAGTCGGAGAGAGCCTGAGGAGCCTGACTTAGTTTTTTTTTCTCGGCCTGGCTCAGGCTCAGGCAGAGAGAGTTGACTCAATGCGGCAGTTGACCTTCTGCTCCTCCCCGGGCGGTGAATCAATCAATGATTGAGCATCACATGACTCTATCAAGCCCTCCCTGGAAGAACCCTATTCCTGTCAATGCCCCAATCCAGTCTAGTCTCTCCTGACGTCACTCTTCTGCAGCGCGCCCTTTCCGCGGTCAGCGGTTCGACTGCAAGTCCCTGAACTCGCGTCTACAGACTCGAGGCTATCTCATGATGCAGAGTCACCACTCGAGACAGTGCCGCAATTCTCAAGATCACACCTCATATCCAGACAATGGGTAACAGTCGCCACGCGGCCCTATCCAAGTCCATTCAGCGGGCGATCTTCCGCGATCCCGCGAGCTTTCGCAAGACGCTGATCGGAAGATTCCTCGCCTTCTTCACGCTTCTATATATCAAACTCCTTCGCTACGGACACGTGCAGTTTCAAAAGCTGCGTAACGAGGTCTGGCAGATCGACGAGGAGGAATACAAGGCCAGCTTCCGGGATGACAACAAGAAGACTGTTTCCTTGAAGCCGATGGGCGACCTGGGCCTGTCAGGATCGGTGTGTGGGCCTTTACCTCCCTTGAAGAATGTGTTTTGGCTCTGACCGCAAGACCTATGTTCTATCTCATAAAGACCTTCTTCAGCACCTCGAACTCCCGCTTCCTGGTCAAAAGCCTGCCCCGCCATTTCGAGCATTCCTTCTTCCGCGACGACATGTTCGAGCCCTACTACAGGTACATGACCGACCATCCCGAATCGCTGCTGGTGTGGATCACCGACTACGTCTACTCGCCGTACTGGACGATCGGGAACCTCGTGGGCACCACACCCGCGCACCACATCATCATGGAGAACCTGCTGTGTGGGCGGGAGGCGGACCCGGCGGCCGACGAGTGGGAGACCTACGACCTGAAGCCCATCGACTATTTCTACCCCGAGCGCGATCTGGTGCCCGACCCACTAGTCAGCAAGGCCACCTTGGGCAAGATCGCCGACGATTTCGACGACAAGGTCCGGATCAACCAGTCGACGTACGTGGCCCTCATGCAGACGCTCGAGGCCGACACGCTGTTCCTCGAAGCCGCGAATGCCGTGGATTACTCGCTGTATCTAGTTCGTTTTCCAACTTCCTCCACACCTGATATCGTCGGGAGGCCCAACCCGTGGCGGATCGGGTTGGAGTCTGCGGATGGGAAGTGGAAATACCGGGCCGTGATTCTGGATTTCTTCTGGGCGCGGCACAAGCTGCACGCCCAGGCCATGACCGGGATGGTCCAGACCTTTAACATCATCGGCCGCCAAGGGCCAATGACAATTACAACGACGGCAGACGAGTATCGGAAGAAGTTCTTGACTATGGTGAAGGCCATGATCGAAGTAATCGAGTAGAGCTGACGGTGAACTTTAATACCCCATCTTCATGTCTATATCTGTGCACTGAGTATTTAGGAGAATATCATGTCGTTTTGTTGGACGACCGACTAACGACTTGGTCGTGTCAACTAACATCGTTTCGTTTTTATTTAGTTGTCGCTTTTTCGCGTTCACTCGTAACACCGTATATCTACACCCAAGATAGCCAACGATGCAGCCTTTCAACGACGCGGCGTTCTATCATATCTATAGCCTGTGGAACCACCCTCTTTCGCATCGGTACAAGCAGACGCGGGACGAATGTGAGCACTGCAATCCACACAGCCGACCGCTTAGAAGCAGAAGACCTGATCCTCGAGCTTGCTGACAGGGCGGGCCTTGGTATAGCCAAGGGACTCGGTGGCCTTCTTCATGGCGCTGACCATGGGAGGGGGACCGCAGAGGAGGATCTTGATGTCGCTGGCGGGGGCAGGGAGGCGTTCCTGCGATGCATTGTTAGCCAAAAGGTCATACAGAATTGGATAAGGCATGACAAACCTTGATCATGTCGGGAGTCACGAAACCAACGCCACCGGTCCAACCCTCGGGAGGGTTGTTAAGGACGTAGTAGATGCGGAAACGGTCGTCCTCCTTGGCCAGCTGCTCGAGCTCGTCCTTCATGAGGATGTCATCGGGGTTCACGTTGGCGAAGATCAGGTCGACCTGGGTGTTGTCATTGCCACCGTTGCGGGGGCGGTTGCGAACGATAGCCTTAATGATCTGGTACATGGGAGTGATACCGGTACCACCAGCGATCATACCAATGTGACGGCACATGTTGGGAGTGTACACCATGGCACCCTTGGGACCGCGGACCTTCATGGTCTGCCCGACCTGCAGGGTGGTCAAGTACTTGGAGATGTTACCCTGAGGGTAGGCCTTGACCAGGAGGTCGAAGTAGCCCGCCTCATTGTCGGAAGAGATGGGAGTGTAGGAGCGGACAACCTCCTTGGGCTGGCCCTCGATGTTGGCGGCGAGAGAGATGTGCTGACCGATGGGCAGACCCAGGATATCGGTGGGGCGGGGCAGCGCGAAGCGGTAAATAGTCACATTGTGAGAGATATCGGTCTTCGCCTTCAGGGTGAAGTCCTGGAACTCAGTGGGGTTGAGAACCTTGCGCTGCTCTGGGGAATACGGTTTCGCATCAGCAAATGAATGATACAATCATAAAAAGAACGCAGGACGTACTGTTGCCGCTGAACAACTTCCAGCCAACGAAGATAGCAGCCAAAGCGACCGCAAAGGGGACAAGGGCCGAGAGTGAACTGTGGTCGGAAAGTTTCAGTTAGTCACCAATGGCAATGCAGTGTGAAAATAGTGCTCAGGAACTACGTACCTCATAATGACGGATCCTCCGATGGCGTGGAGAAGAATTGGCGACGAGGAGCAGGAGGAGGGAGAGGGAGAGGGAGGAAGAGGAGGAAGAAGGAAGAAGAAACTTGAAGTCAGAAATAAAGCCGCTGAAGTGAGTGAGTCGGTCAAGGATCGGCCGGCAAGAGGAGGAGACTCGATGTTTTGTGACGGTAAAAACGGAAAAAACAGTCAAAAACAGCGGCAACTACCAAGTCACGGGAGGGGAAATTCCCGATTGGGGAATTCACGGAGTGCGGATCGGCTTATCGATAAAGTGCCTGTCTGTTTTTTAAGGGTCTGTTGTTTACATTAAGATTACTACCTAGTAGGAAGACAATCGGAGCCATGAATAGTTTTAATTCTCTCCCAGACTTCCGAGTTGGTTGCATGGCCAATCCTCCTTCTGCTCTGCGTTTTGACCTTGGGTAAGCTGCATCTCACCTTCAGCCGAGCGCGGAATCCAGCCCCGTTGGGGATTTCCTTCCCAGTGTTTTCTCCTCTCCTCTCTTGGGGTAAAGAAACCCGTCTCCCCTCACGCCACCTCCGACTCTCCACGACTCTCATTTTCCCTATCTTGTCCATCAATTCCGATCCCTCCCTCTCTTAGCTTGCAGAAGCATAGATCTCTCTCCACTCCTTCGGATAGACATCCTTAGTCTCCCCATAATCCCACCATGACGATTGACGCCAACCCGGCCGGAGAGCCCCCAGCCTTCAACCTTACCGAGGTTGATCGTCAAGTCCTTGCGCAAACGGACGAAGAGTTCCAACTTCACGATTGGGAGGATCTCAAATCCATCATAGGTGTGTGTGCCGCATTCTTCCTTATGTCTCTGAACTCTTTTCCCTATGCATTATCTGCCTTACCCGACCCCTCATTCCATTCCTCTTTCCCTCCACCGTAAAACAATTCCGCCTCTGGTTCCGCAGAGCCCCCCCAAAAAACACACCCAACTAATCCACCCCCCGCACCCCCAGCGCGCAATGATCTCGGCATCTTAAAGCGGAAACCCTCCGACCTGCACCGCTACCTAGCCTGGTCAGCCGCGACCAAGAAACAATACGGCACGATCACGAACTACATCTGCCAGGAGCGGCTGCGGTGGGCGCAGCCCGACACGGACAGCCAGAAAACGGCGGCGGCCGACAGCGGGCCGGTGTTCCCCTACAACAACCCCACGCCGTTCGCCGACCCGGCCGACTACAAGATCCTGCGCAACGACTGGCCGTACGGCATGAGTCCGGGCATCGCGCACCTGGTCGTGTGGCTGCGCACGCCCGTCGCCGTTAACAAGACCGACGGCGACCTGACGCCCGAGTCGCGCGCGCTCATCGAGGGCTTTGTGCTGCGGACGTTCGTCGGCCGTCTGGCCGCTGAGAAGGGGCTGTTTGCTGACTCGCCTCGTGATCATGTGCTCTGGTTCAAGAACTGGACTGCCTTGCAGAGTGTTCGGAGTCTTGAGCATATCCATGTGCTCGTTAAAGATGTGCCTGAGTCGATTCTGTTGGAGTGGACCGGGGAGGGTCCGCCGCAGCATTGAGTCAGTCCGTCAAGTTTGATAGTAGTAGATGGCGGGTAAGTGCGGGCTAGATATATATTAAGCGGGATCTCCCTCCATAAACAGACTTCTCAGTTTTTTTGAATCTATTTCTCGTCATAGCGCACCCGGGACTGGGGATCAAAAGAAATCTCATTTGGACTGCAAACCTAACATTGGGAATCGTAATCACCACACAAATCATACATAGAAGCATATTAGAATACAATGAACAATGCAAGAAAAGGTGCACCGAGGAACTAATCATTTCTCCCTCTACTTCAAACTGCGAAAGAAAAAACTGTCCATCGAAAGAAACGCAACCCATCGAAAAAAAAGGCGCCTGCTCCCCATAGCCCATTCCGAAACACATCGAGCAGTAAGCGAACTATCGAGAAGCTATACCCTACACCCTGCATCATGTCTTTTGCTCCTCCACGAACTTGAGTGCCTCTTCCCGCGATACAACGTCAATGGTACTGGCCTTTTGCCGGAAGCTGACGCCGTAGCACTTCTCGGCCACGTGCAGCATCTCCGGGCGGAAGGTCGTGCAGATGAATTGGCCGTTCGTCGAGTCGGAGATGGACTTCAGCATCTGCGCGACGGCGGTACGGTACTGCGCGTCGAGGTTGGCGTCGATCTCGTCGAAGAGGTAGAACGGGGCCGGGTCACAGGCCTGGATGGCGAAGACCAGAGCGAGCGCACACAGACCTAATTGTAATTTGTTCGAGTTAGCCAAGAAGATGTGAAAACGCATGAGCCAGAACGAGAAGTGCTTACTCTTCTGTCCACCACTGAGCTGTTGGATCCGTTGCTGCTCGTCGTGCTTGCTGTTGAAACTGACGCTGATCCCCACTCCCACGTAGTTCTCCACGCTCTCGCGGGTCTCCTCCTCGTCCTCGGATTCCAGTTCGTCCGCTTGTCGGAGAGCGCGGTCGGTCTTGCGCTGGATGATCAAGCGCCCTCGGCCAGCGGGGACAAGCTTCTCAAACACATTGTGGAACTCGCGGGAAACCTGCTTGAAGGTCCGTTCAATGGCCTCATCCTTACGCTGATCGAGGACAGTGATCAGGTCATCGATGGACTTCTCTGACGCCTCGAGCTCCTTCCTCCGGTTCGTCAAAGTCTCACGTTGCTTGGTAAAGCTGTTATACTGCTCGAAAGCCTTCTTGTTGACGTGAGAGTATTTCTTGAGGCTCTCGTTGACCTTGTGCAGCTTCTTCACTACGGCGTTCGAGTCGGTGTTCTTGTACTTAGTGAAGGCTTCATCCGGCAGCACACCCAGATCGCGGATATTGGCAGCACATTCGGCAGCCTGCTTGGTCAAAGCGGCCTTCTTCTGCATGCTCTTCTCCATGCGACGCTGGTGCTTCTCAATGGACTTCGCCAGCTCCTCGAGTTCGCGCCGGGTCTCGGCGTTCCGCTGCTCGAGCTCCGAAACCCGGGCATTGGCCTGGTCGATTGAGTCATCCACCTGCTGAAGTCGTTGAGCAAGCTTCTCGAGAGCCTTGTGCAAGCGCTTCATTTCGCGCTGTGTCTCCTTCAGGTTGCCTTGACCATCATCGTCTGCCATGTCCATGTCCTGGCCCACAAGTTGGTCCAGTCGAGGGTTAAGGTTCTCCCGCAATTCCACCTCGAGAACGGACTTGCGAGCTTCAAGCTCACTACGTTGACTAGAAAGCTCCTGATACTGGCGCCGCAATTCTTGAGCAGTGTTGTTGAGAGTCTCCAAGCGCGCTTCCTCTTCATTACTGAGCGCCTTTTGGAATGCCGACTTCAATTCCGCCTCGAACGCGTTGACCTGATCGGTCAAAGCAGCCAGGTTGTTCTCGATGTTGCGAATGGCCCGGCGCTTGGCTTCAAGATTATCGGTTTTCTTCTGGAGGAGATCACGCTTGGCCTTCAGTTCTTGTCGCATCGGCCCGCTGCTGTTTTGCACTTGGTGTCTCTGCTGTTCCAATTTCTGCAGTTCACCCACAGATCTCGTGATGAGCTGATCAAGCTTCTCCAGTTCTTTCCTGATCTCCGTTCCACGGCTCTTCTTCGTCTCATACTCATCTCTCCATTTCGTCAGATTCTTTACGGCATCGAGCCTGGACTGTCGTGAATCATGGAAACCACCAGTAAGGGCACCTCTCTTGTCGGAACGATCTCCCTCAGGAGTGATCGCATTGACTCCATGGCTGCGAGCGTATTGCGAAGCCACCTGCAAGTTTGGACAGATGATCGTCTTGCCAAACACGTGGTTGAAAGCTTTCTCATACTTCGCGTCGAATTGGAGCTTCTCGATCATTGGAATCGTGTCACTTGCTCTAGGCATGTTGACCGGTCTGGTTCGTAGCCTGTTCAAAGGCATGAATGTGACTCTGCCAGCCTTCTCCTGCTGGAGGATTTCCAAGACTTTCGTGGCAGTCTCATCAGTGTCGACAACATAGTGGAACAGGCTTTGTCCTGCTGTGACTTCGACGGACGTCCGATATCTGTCACTGACCTCGAAGAGTTCCGCCAGGGTACCATATACCCCCTCAAGGTTATATTGGCGCTTGATTCTTCTAACAGCCGCAATACCGCGGCTTGTGTTGTGATCCATCATCTGAGATAGGTTGCGTTCCGCGCGCTCCACCTCATTCGAGGCATTCGATAGAATCGAGTCCAGCTTCGCTTCTTCTCTCCAGAGCTCTCTGTGGTTATGTTAGCATAATTCTTAAAAGAATGGCTTAGGTTCATTCAACATACTTTCTCTGGTCCATCAATCGATCTCTCTCATCCTTCGCAGCTTGCACCTGCTGTTCCACGGATTGCATAGTGTCTCCTCTGCCGTCAATCATCTTGCGCAAGCGTTCGGTTTCCGGCTCAAGTAGCGCAATCTCATTATCGAGCTCTTTGATGTCCTCTTGGGTCTGCGCCATGACGTCCTGGACCGTAGAAATGGAAGTATAGTTCTCTTTGATCTCCGCTTGAAGCCACTTGTCCCGCTCACTCTTGTTGCGGAAACGTGAGTTGCGACCTTGCTTAGCATACAGCCGTTGGCGTGCCGTCTCGGCTTCGGTGAGCTTGGATTTGACAGCCTCCTCCTGATCTTTGGCAGTGTTGAACCGGGGCAAAAGCTCTTGCAGTTCGGCCTCACGTTCCTGGATCGCTTCTTGAACGGTCTTCAGGTTTTCATCATGGCGCGCCTTGAGAGCCAGAGCGGCAGCCTGGTTGTCGGACAGCGATTTGGCCTGCAATTCCACCTGTGCCAGATATTTGGAAGCTTCGCGACGCTCGTCTTCCAGCTGAGTTTTGTCGACCTTCAAAAATTCAATCTGTTGCTTGCACTCTGCGATCTCAGCGTCGATCTGCGCCATTTCCTTCTCGCCTTGGATGAAGCGATCGCGATTCAGATCAGTGTCCTCAACACCCGTCTGCCTTTGCTCTTCGAGACTGTCGAGGAAACTGGCGATTTCGTGCTGTTCGCGAGAGTAGATAGTGTATTCCAAGCATCTGCGCTCCTTGTCCTTCTCCTGATAATTCCTCAGCTCATCCTTCTCTTCTTCAAGTTCCGACAGGCGTTCGTTGATGAAATCGAGAAGCTCGTCGATCTTCGCTCGCTTATTGTTCGTCTCGTGCATGATCTTCAACGACTCCGCACGGCGGGCTTCGTAGACCTGAGTTCCGGCGACTTCCTTGAGAAGATTGAGGCGCTCGGAGTCCTTCATGTTGGTCAAGGCCGTCACGCGACCCTGGGGCACTATGTAGTAGGGGTTCGACCGGGAGAAACCCGCCGACTCGAGCAGGTTCATCACATCGGATTTGGTCGCGTTCTTCCGGTCGAGGGTGTATTCGTCTTTCTTCAGACCAATCGTGCGACGAAGGACGACCTCGGGCTTGCCAGTGGGGAATCGATCGTCCGAGTTGTCGAAGATAATCTCCACGTACGCCGACATCACCGCGGACCCCGAACCTTCCTGTTGACCGTCAGCTTTCGCGCAACGCGAGAGTGTTATCTGTCACGTACGTGAAGGAGCGCCTGGCGCTCCTCTCGGCCTAGGTGCGTATAGGCATCGCTGAGGACGAAACGAATGGCCGCGAAGAAGTTACTCTTCCCGGATCCATTGCGACCCACGATCACATTGTGTTTCGGTGAGAAGGGTTCGATGACTGTTTGGTCCTTGTAGCTGTAGCAATTAGATTTAGCTTATTGCCCTTTGATTTTAGACTGATTGCATGGTCTCTTACCTCTTGAAGCCCTGGATAATAATCTGTTTGACATACATCTTGACGAGGCGGCGCGCGCGAGACACGAGAAACAATGGCAGTCGACTACAACGACCAAGTCATCACGCTTCAACCACAGACAAGAAAACCACAGGAGCCTACGCCCTGAGTGGTGGTCAATGGGGCGGGGAGAGGATCCGAGAATAAACACCGGGAGTTTGCTCGGACACTTGCGACGAGTGCAGTGCTGACCTTTTGAGCTAACCAACCACGCGTAACAACGACCCGATTGCAGGTGTTCCTTCGCACGTCGCGGGGTTTCTGCCGGGCGGTCAACAACCACTTTTGGGCCCGCACTCAAGGTCCCCCGGCCGGGTATTTTTTTCCCATCTGCAATCGTCCGATTCTTTTTGGGAGGCAACAGATTTGAGGAATTGCTCACCCCCCGTGCAGGAGAATTCCCCGTTTGTCGGCCATGGCGACTTCAAACACAGATGCGCAAGCATCCGGTCCGGCCGCTGGTCTGGCCCCGGCTCACTCCTACATCCCCAATCAAGGGTATGTGAATGCTGATGGCAGTCTCCCCGCCATGGCGGGGCAGGATCCTGAGGCGCAGAACGGAGAAGGAGAAGAGGAGGACGAGTTCTACGACGACATTTTCGAGGACGAAGAAGAAGAAGAACTGGACGCAGAGGACTTCAACTCCTCCAACCCTGCCGATCTCACAAAGGCTTACAACCGCCAACGGAAAGTCAACGAGCTTGCCGCCGATTCCAACGTTCCCAAGTGGACTTACCCGAAGACGAATACCCAGAAACCGACGGTCAACACACACGCCCTGGTAGACGACCAGATCAAGTCCCTCACGAAACATGCGACCAAAATCAAGCTGGACGACATGCAGTCGGGTATGGCAGCCCGTGGTGACCGTGGTGGCGACCGTGCCGACAGAGCGACCTCCGAACAGGTCTTGGATCCCCGCACACGAATGATCCTGCTGCAGATGATCAACCGCGAGATTGTGTCGGAGATTCACGGTTGTCTGTCGACTGGTAAAGAAGCAAACGTCTACTACTCAATCTCCTATCCCAACGCCGACGACCTAACCCCCGTACACCGCGCCATCAAGGTCTACAAGACGAGTATCCTGGTCTTTAAGGATCGCGACAAATACGTGACAGGCGAATTCCGCTTCCGCGGCGGATACAGCAAGAGCAACAACCGCGCGATGGTCAAGCTGTGGGCGGAGAAGGAAATGCGCAACCTGCGCCGCATCTACGCCGCCGGCATCCCCTGCCCGGAGCCCATCCACCTGCGCCTCCACGTCCTCGTCATGGGATTCCTCGGCAACTCGAAGGGTGTTGCCGCGCCGCGCCTCAAGGACGTCGAGTTTGACATCCCGGATCCGGACGCCAAGTGGCGCGAGATCTACCTGGAGCTGCTCGGCTACATGCGCGTCATGTACCAGACCTGCCATCTGGTCCACGCCGATCTGAGCGAGTACAACATGCTCTACCACAAGAATAAGCTTCACATCATCGATGTCAGTCAGAGTGTCGAGCACGACCACCCGCGCAGTCTGGAGTTCCTGCGCATGGACATCAAGAACATCAGCGACTTCTTCCGCCGCAAGAACGTCGACATCCTCCCCGAGCGCACCGTCTTCGAGTTCGTCATCGCCGTCGACGGCCCGACCACCCCCACCCCCGCCGAGCCCATGCTCGCGGCCATCGAGCAGCTATACGCCACCCGCGAGGAGAAGGGCGACGAGGTCGACACCGCCGTCTTCCGGCAGCAGTACATCCCGCAGACCCTGGAGCAGGTGTACGACTTCGAGCGCGACGCCGAACAGGTCCGCGCGGGTAAAGGCGCCGACCTGGTATACCGGGACCTTCTCGCAGGCGGGAAATCGTCCGCGCGCTCGGCCGACGAGGCCAGCGACGCCGGCTCCGACGTCAGCGGTGGCGTCTCCGTGGAGGGGTCTGATTCGGAGGAAGAAGGAGAAGTTGACCCCTTCGCGCCTAAGCCTCCGCGCGGCAAGCGCTTCGAGGACAAGGACGAGAAGCGTGACCACAAGCAGAAGGTCAAGGAGGAGAAGCGGGAGAAGCGCGCCAACAAGATGCCCAAGCACATGAAGAAGCGTCTGGTATCCGGCTCCTCGCGCAAGAAGAAATGATTTACTCGTTTTCTTCCTCTCTTCGTTTTTGTTTACACTCTCTATTGTTCTGGTCCTGGAATCATAATTCACGCTGTGAGTGGCTACGGGAAAGAAAAAAAGTCATTTTTTGCTTATGCACGATCTCATGATAATTTATGACTCGGGTTTTTCTTGGTTGGGTAGTAATGGTTAGTTGTCTATGTTTATAGAATATCTGGGAGTATATAAATACGCATACGTGGGAGCGTCGAATGTGAATAGGGGATTGCATGAACGCAATACCAATTGATATCCTATGCATTCATTTTCATTGTTCAATTAGGTGTGAGGCCAGTAAACCTATCAGAGCTCTCTTTGAACATCAAATTCAGCCATAGCCTTGGCTAGACGTGAATATATCCGGGTGCTTACATCGCAAAAGCCATGTTGGCCTGCGAGTATGCATCTCACAGAAAGTATTCAGGACCATGTTACATGGACACCTAGCCAAAACATGGTTCGTTCATCAGGGCGGGGGTCCGCCTATTTCTGGGTTCATCATGTAGGTTGGCTTGAAACATACAGTGGAAAAGCGACACACTTGACCTTTGGACTAGAAAAGCGAGCCTTGACAGTGGGCTATCGTAGGCTAAGCGACTTGCTTGCTCCTGGCCTCCAAGCGAGCGAGAGCTTGTTCGAAAAGTGACTTGGGTAAATCGGGGATGACTTCACCATCAGCTGTATCTTCTTCGGCTGTTGCTGGGCGCTGGTCCCCGCTAGGCTGAACGGAAGAATTATCGTTCGCCTCCGACGGCTCTCCGTCCACATTCTTTAGGCTGCCACCGAGAATACGTCGGAACTCAATCCGCATGGGTTCGCGGCCGATGCCAGGCCAAATGTCTGATGGCAGGTAGTCGCCTTGCTCCACTCGGAATGCTTCGCGGGCATTGACATCCTCCTCATAGAGCTGATCGAGTTTGTGCTTTGCATCACGCAGCACTTTCTCCACCCGTTGCCTCACATGTTTTCGTCGCGAGACTTCTAGGATTAAACTGTCGTAGGCTTCCAAGAAGCCGTCGTACAATGCATTGAGGTCAGAGAGATCCGCAAGGCCGCCATTGATACGGTCATGCTCCTCATTCCATACAGATGTGAAATTGTGCGCCTGGGCAATGTAGCCCGGTAGACGAGCCGAAGCCAACAACGAAATGTGACCAAAAACGTCCGTGGTGGCATTGTAGACAGAAAGCAGGGTATCCCGACGACCATTAATACTTTCCAGCACAGATTCCATCTCCCCAATGCGATCTTGGATTTCCAGTACAACATCCTCGGCTTCAGCAGCATCCTTCATGAGTACATTGACCATCTCCAAATAACCCGACTCACTTAATGGATCGAGCGGGGCATTCAAATGAGCATTAATTTCTTCTTCGATGTTAGGGCCACCTCCACCACTGACATTTACCCCAGCCGGCATGTCACCAGTGATGGTTTGCGCTGCAGCACCCCCACCTTCTGTGTGCTTGACAGCGGTGACGCAGAAATCAAAGTGTCGGACCAATGACTCTAGCAGGTTGGCCATTTCCTGCGCATGCATCTCCAGCGAATGCAGCATTGATGGCATGGAGGACAGGCTAGGCAAGCTGGAGCTTGATGCAGATGGCGACGACGACGAAGAGGAGCGCGAGGAGGCTAGTTTCGTAACCTCCCGGTAGTTGCCCAGGGCTTGCTTGATCGACTGAAGCTCATCATCGAAGGCATAATTAGAAGAATCCAACTCTGCTTGAGCAGCATTGGTGCGGTCGATTGAGGCCCTCAGGGCCGCATGCAGCTCGTCAACACCACGCTCGTCGACAAAATCATGTAAGCTTTTTTGGTCTTCTCCACTCGGCCGAAAGGAAGAATGAACGATCGTCTCCTGTAAGAGGCCCAGAGTCTTTCTGAGACGGGCATCAGCTGCGTCCAAATCCTTCAGAACGCCAGCGAACTCCGATCGACCTCGGAGAGATATCTCCTCAACCTCAGAGCGAACGCTGCGAAGGAGCCGGAGCTGGTTATTGAGCCCGCGTCGAAGAAAACTCGTGCGTGCAGAGACTATGACACTTTCCTCCAGTGCGGAGCGAGCGGCAGTGACTATCTCATTAGCTCGCCAAGCGTGGTTGATAGAAGATAGCGATCGCTTCGCTGCCACCAGATGCGAGATAAGAGTATCCAATTGAGGAATTGAACCTTCCTGGCCTTTCAAGGCCTCGCCCGTGGGCTCGATATCGTTCGATACTGCCGAGGATTCCAAGGCTGACGACATCATGCTCCAGGCACTAAATCACGGCATCAGAGACAAACAAGAGACGAAAAGAATGTAAAGTTGGTACGGGCGCGAATACTTGGCCACTGTCGACCTGCACGTGCTCTGATCAAACGCGAGGCCTGAGACAAATGACTAGTGACCCAATGATATGTGTTCCCTAGGTTGTATATGTCGCGAGATCGGATAAATTTGGTACACAATCACCTCATAAAGCATATAATGATTCTCAACCCCTATTTGTTTGTGCCCGTTGACGCCTTATTCCAATGCGTGATCGTCAATCCCATGCTAACCATGCATCTGGCGGTGAGTTTGTGGAAAGCTGACTGGTAGACAGCGTCTGACTATGTGACAGCGGTGTAAGCCTCGGATACAGGCCATATATAGCCCCTGTCCCAGAGGTTTCTCGGAAATCACAAAGCAAGGCAGAGGATGGAACAGGGGTTTTGAGGTTCGAGGAAGCACTGCGCACTGGGCTGACCTGGAAGAGCTACTGCCCGACGGTCCCGCGTCAGGTCAGGAACAAGGGTAACAAGAAATCCGAGCACGGATTAACGAAAACGAGTCATATGCACATTCGAATGCAACTGGTAATAATCGCAGTATCCAGAAACAGGAGAAATACGCATCCTGAGTTGGGGTGGTCAGAAGAGGGAAGCTGTGGAGAGGGCCAGGCAAGATGACGGAGACGTTCATGATAGGCAGGCGGAGAGAAACCTTTGCCTTAGGCATTATCAACGCAGCGTAGCGTCACCGCCCTTGAGCCATGATTCCGTTGAACATACTCGTAGATGAGCGACAGGCTCTAAAATGACTGCTTATCTTGTTAGATTGACCCCAGATCCGGAGCTCCGGCATGGTATGCAGCTAAGACCGGCTAGCCGACAATCTCCTGGAGTAGTGTAGTTGAGTTGTACATGTAAAACTGAGTCAGAGACAAGGATCCGCAATCGACAGAAAGAGTGGAAGCGAAATGGCGACAGATGGCAGAATTATGGGCACAGGCGCTCGATTTTGCCGTGGCGAGGCGCTTTTACCGCTCTTGCGAACTCCATCGCTGATGGCGCAATCGCCGCACGTGATCCGATTCCCCAGAAAGCACGAGACGAGGTGTGCTTTGCGTGATCGCAGGTCGATGTCGCGATCGCTGAAGAATGTCTTCCTTTTTCTCTACTTATCTTTACCCCCTTGCACCGTTTTTCGAAGTCTGGCTGGTCCATATCCTTCGTTGAATTTTAAAAAATCTGCCTTGATCCTGCCCAGGTCTTACAACCAAGTCATCCATACAATCCATACACCTACACATACTACTACTACTAGATTAAATCTGCCACCGTCTCTCCGCCTCCCGCTCCGACCCAGAGTCACGCGCAACCACGATCGACAAGACTAGGACGACTGCTTCCAATACTGCACTTGACCAGGGTCCTCATTACACCTCTTCCTCGTGCCCTCTCATCGCCTTTCCTTTCTACCGATTTTTCGAAGCATTCGATCCCCTTACTGTTTGACTCAGACGCACCTTCTAGACTATCTCGGCTCCCAAATCCTCTTGCGCTACGATAGCCGGGCCCACGCAAGCCTTTGAACGTTTGGGCGCTGGCTCCTTCCACTTTTCTCGCCTCGCCAACGGAGATGGAAAACACCCGGCAGGACGATCATATGCTTGTACCCTCTCGGCCGCCATTACAATCTATCTTTGGCGGTCCAGCCGAAGACGTCGATTATATTGATGATGCCGACTCCGACAATAAGCATGAGCTCCACGGCCCTCCCGACCTAAACGCAACTTCTGCGAGTCTCGCGGTCAACAGTGTGGCACCTTTTCTCGCACGACACGTCCCCGAACAATACGGCGCACTCGGACCTCAGAACAAGGGACCGGTCGAACTGAGTGGCGTGGATTCGCGCTATTGTTATCGCCATAGACCTGACCGTAAATGCCGACGGCAAGCAGACGAACCGACAATGGATAAATTACAACGAGTGAGTGCTGCCCTTTGTCATCGGAATCCGCGCGGGCGCCTTTACGGTCAACCTGCAATCTGATGATTCCCTGAACTAAGCATCTTCTCGAACAGGAATTAGAAACACTCCCACAAAGCGATCAGCAGGGTATTGCGCATGTGTGGTCCCTCTTCTCAGCCGCACCAGCCAAACACCGAAAATTGCTCCTTCAGGGCATCATGGCCCAATGTTGTTTTCCACAACTATCGTTTATCTCCGCAACTGTTCGAGACCTCATTCGCATCGATTTCCTTGCCGCACTTCCTCCGGAGATCTCTTTCAAAATTCTGTGTTACCTAGACACCACTTCATTGTGCAAGGCTGCTCAAGTGTCAAGACGCTGGAGAGCACTTGCCGATGATGATGTGGTCTGGCACCGGATGTGCGAACAACATATTCACCGCAAGTGCAAGAAGTGCGGCTGGGGACTTCCCCTTCTGGACCGGAAGCGCCTGCGGGAATCGAAGCGTGAGATACAATTGCGCGCCACAAACTGGGATCTTAGCGGGCGATCAGCTGGCTCTGCGGAAACCTGCAAAGCTGAGGCTGATGCGGTAGCCGTTGTTAACACAAATCCAGCGAAGCGGAAGCCCGATCCGATCGACGAACAGGCGACTATTGCTAAGCGCCATTGCTCGTCTTTGGCTCCGGGTCCTGGTCCTGGAAACGATGACGCCTACTTCAAGACACGTTATAGGCCTTGGAAGGAAGTATACAAAGATCGATTCAAGGTTGGAACCAATTGGAAGTATGGACGATGCTCCATCAAGGTTTTCAGGGGCCATACAAATGGTGTCATGTGTCTCCAATTCGAAGATAATATTCTCGCGACGGGCTCATACGATGCTACGATCAAGATCTGGGATACTGAAACTGGGCAAGAGCTGCGTACTCTTCGTGGACACGAATCAGGCATTCGCTGTCTGCAGTTTGACGATACCAAGTTGATCAGTGGCAGTATGGACCGCACCGTTAAGGTCTGGAACTGGCGCACGGGCGAATGCATTTCCACCTACACAGGTCACCGCGGCGGGATCATCGGGCTTCATTTCGATGCTACGCTACTAGCTTCGGCCTCAGTGGACAAGACTGTCAAGATCTGGAACTTTGAGGACAAGTCTACGTGCCTTCTACGTGGACACACAGACTGGGTCAACGCAGTGAGGGTAGATTCGATGTCTCGTACAGTCTTCTCGGCTTCAGATGATTGCACTGTCCGACTCTGGGATTTGGACAGTAAGACTTGCATTAGGACATTCCACGGACATGTGGGTCAAGTCCAGCAGGTTATTCCGCTTCCGCGAGAATTTGAATTTGAAGAACATGATGCGGAGTGTGAAAACGACAATGTCAGCACAGTCTCTGGAGATGTTGAGCCTGCTTCTCTCCAGGCCACACTTGGACTAGAGTCCAACGCCGTCATGTCACAGAGCTCGCCTTTCGGTCCCTCCTTTGCCGAGGGTCGACCAGCCCCACCCCGCTACATTGTTACTAGTGCACTGGACTCCACGATTCGTCTGTGGGAAACATCTACTGGCCGTTGCCTGCGTACCTTTTTCGGACACCTGGAGGGTGTCTGGGCTCTTGCCGCCGACACACTTCGCATTGTCTCTGGAGCAGAAGATCGTATGGTCAAAATCTGGGATCCCAGGACGGGCAAGTGCGAGCGCACATTTACCGGTCATTCTGGACCGGTCACTTGCATGGGCCTAGGTGACAGTCGCTTCGCCACCGGAAGCGAGGACTGCGAAGTCCGGATGTATAGCTTCCAAAGTTGAAGTTAGTAATCTCTTTTGCGGTCTTTCATTTCGTCTTCCAATTTTCATCCGCCAAAAGTTATGTGCGGTCCTGTTCAATGTCCTTTTTCTCAACTGCATGAAAATACCCATAACGTTTTTACTTTGTTTTCTTCGGGGCGTGGCAGGAAAGGGTTTTCCGGGTCAAGGGTCTGGGTCTGAGTTTCCTGCAATGATACGGAGCGCTATCAGGGAAAGTCTGGCGTTGGCGTCGTGCTATTATACCAAGTCCTGGACCTACGTTAGTTTACGCTAGCAACACATGTCAAACACTATTATACCATCTAAAGCTCCACATGCTTGGTATCAAGATTACGAGGGTGCTATTCTTTGAACTTCAAGGAGGATCATACTGCAAAAGTATCACATGGGACTATACATAAAGCTAATGCACCTGATATGCTTTGTTCAGGGTGTGCATTGCTTGCGTACACAATGTAATTCCTGTACACATACGCCTTTTATGCGAGTATCTCGATCACCAGTGAATTTGGCTCCTCTGAGGACTGAAAAATATAATCTTCGTGAAAAGCATTTGCTCGGAAAAATCGCCATGGGCATTTCCTTGTAGAGTAATAAGTGACTGCGACGCATATACTGTACGGTGAACGCAGACGCAGAGCCCAGTCTAGGTTGTTGCACTCAAAGGGCTACTGAACAGCGTCCTGATATGTTGAGCTTATGCATGCTGATTATTTAGCTCTTGGAAGGCCTTGCGATGGTTAGTGCGAGATCTGCTCCTCTACATGGCCTGCATTTAGACAAGGAAGGTGCTTGAGGAGAGTGAGTGGTACTTACTTGTAGAGGTGCTAAAAACACGCGCGTATGCCTTTCTTTGCCTTCGCTTTCCTAAAGCAGTCAACTGGAGGGAAGATTGACCTGACCATTCACATACACAGAAACACAGAAGCCATGAGGCCAAAGGCTGGAAGAGATAGTCAGCACAATGGCATCAGGGTAGACCACTATTGCTTGTTATAATATTGCAAAAACCAATAATTGGTGGATGTGGCTTACCAAACTGAAATTCAGGGGAGATGCGGTTGACGTCTGCACGTAGCGTCATATCGCAAAAGCCCGTCAAGCCAATCTCAATATTGGACGATCTGAATGGCTCTCAGAGGCAAGGGGGTGGTGGTATCAGCATCTCTCAACAACGGTTATCGATCTACGAGTCAGCTGTGCATATCATAACTTTGATGCATTCAATTAGCCATTTTAGCTTCTATCGCACACCAAACAGTATATACCACATGAATCGCACGGCCCCAGATTAGTGAAGCACACAATTTCCTAATGTTTTATCCAACAGGAAGCTCATCCATTTAGTATCTCTCCCCGTATCATGTACTTCTCTTCCGTCTCCATTTTAGCGATGGCCATTCTTGCTGCGCCAGGATATGCCATTGAGTCTGCTTGTGGGTAGACCCTTGTGGATGACATTTTGCTCATCACGTCTCATGCGCATGCGATCAATGCGCTGGCTCAAGGGGATCCCAAAGCGACACTTACAAGCCAAGTTGAGAATCCTGCGAACAACGCCCTTGGCAGTGAAGTATGTGTCGCAAGTTTCATCGTGGTGACTTACAAATGAATGCTTTGATGCTGATATGCGCTGTATAGGGGTATTTGAACAAGCTCGAATCTCTGTCAAAGGGAGATCAGTCGTACTCTTTCCGACCTAGTGGGTGGCCCCTGCGAGCTTCACTCCAGTGACGATCAGGTCCAGGTTTGCGCAGGATTCCACGATGTATGTTCTCGAACAGAGACACGCCGGGATTGTGTCACAGCTAACGTCGTCCGATTTCCACAACACTTGCAGTATGTTGAGGCGCAAAAAGAACTTCAAGGCACCTTACAATTGAAGCATGACATTATCACCGAGACAGACTCCGCGGAATTCATTGCGGCTGTAGTCGGAACACTTGAGCAGAGGAGCAACGTAAGTCTTATCCCGTCCTTATATTGTACTATGGGGGCGTTGTACCTGACTCGAGTGCTACAGGAAATTGCCGCTCGGTTGCATGTTGTTATCCCCAAGTGCAAGCAGGTTGAGGAAGAGATGGTCCTATTGAACGCCGCTTACTCGGCCACACTGCACAAATACTGGATTTATTGATTTCATGTCTCAGAGACGCTGCTTTCCCGCGCTAGCTCCCTCTGCCATAGGCTCGTTGTCATGTCGCTTGTTCTAGCTCTTTGTCTCTCGAAGCCCGATAAACTCTTTTGTTCAGAGTAGAGTGAGGTTACATCTTAACTTAATTCACCATCTAAGCAACTCATTTGAACTGGTAAGTCGGATATACTCTCTTCACCTTCAATATAGATCACTCGAGAAAGTGAATCCCCTAAAAAAGGGGTCTGTCATTCAGTGGTGGCATGCCCAATGGCTGGACTGAACAACTTGTTAGGTATTTGATCAACAAACGCAGCTGTAATGACAATTTAATGAGTGGCAGATCAGATCGAGGATACCAGAAGGCTTCACGACGTGCCACTCTCAAACCATTGAGATCTCCTGACCTTTTTGTTCTACTTTTTCCAACACAGGTTACGAGCCGCACATGCTCTATCCTTTTACTGGTCTTTATCTGACTGAATTCCCCTGGGATATAGCCCCTCTTGTCCATCGTTTTGTTGAAACGAAGCATCGGAGCTTTGATAAGCCCAGTCACAGATCGTGCTCTCCCCTACAATAGAGGATCTCAGCATGCTCCGCCTCCACCAATGGCTACGGCAGATGATGTCGCCAGAAACACTGGACAAGAGCTTGACAGCACCAGCCCGCTCAAATAACAGATCCAATCAGGGCCATCTTAACTGCCCATTGAGATGGAGGTCTCGCGAATTTTGCATTTACTATGTAATACTTCTAGTGCGTAGGAGTTGGCATCCGAACCGCTATTGAAGTCTCGCAGAGTAAGTTCGAAGGGGAGACTGCAATATTTTGCAACACGAATCCTCGACAGACAGCCATCCAGCGTACACTGTTTATTCTCACCTTCTTAGCTGCGGTTGGATCCTCCGAGGCAGAATGGTAATTTTACACTTGACATTTTCCTTGCCGAGCGTCTCTCACCCGCCTCATTTTGCGCACGAAATTCGATATAGCCTTTGCCACGTTGTTTTTGGCTACTCCCCATGGAATTTCTATTGCCAAAATTGGCTTGATCCTGACTGTGAACTATCAGATTGGGTCCAAGCTGCCGCATCGCTACGTGCCGGCTGTTACATGGATGTTCAATATTGCTATCCTACTATCACGCGGACTGGTCGCATCTACCGCTGCGGACGTCCGTCTGAGTTGGATATGTTTTAGCAATATGATTTCATGAGATGAATCCTTTGGGCTACAGGTCTTTACGGCATCAGGCCCCGATAGAGTCCGATTTTTCATGCTTCCATCTTGCGAATGATTAGCTTTAACATGGATTACAACTGGAGCTTCAACAATGCGGCAACCGACGAGATGAGGGTAAGGCCTTTTCTCTCATCCTCGATACCAGCATACTGATAGATAGCAGACAATCAACCCTGACTACGGGATTATCTCTGAGCGCGCGCATATTGAAAGACCGGCAGACACATCTGCATATAACCTGCGAAACTATCTCGCCTACGTCACCTACGCCCCCCTCAGCCTCCTGGCGCAGCTGGCATCGCTCCTTCAACCGTTGGGTCATCCGATATCTATATCTCCCACTCGGAGCCGACGGCGCAGGAGTATCTCGCGATCCTTCATCCAAGGAGCCTCTTGCACCCGCGATGCGTCGCGCTCAGTGGCTCGTTCTCGGCCACCGCATGATCAACCTCCCCATCATCTTCACCTTCGTCAGCATCTGGCACGAGCCCAGCCTGCGTCTGATTCTTTGGGGGTGGCTGATCACGATCTTCATTCTGCCCGAGATCATCGCCACGATGGCCATGCGCGGCGCAGCGTGAAAGCCACCAGGCCGGAAACATACCCCATCCTGTGCGGTCGTGGCGCTGCTGGGAATTTAATGCTTATGGTTGCTGCTAATTTGGTTGGCTTTGCCATGAAGATCGTCCAGTGGGAGAAGCTGTTGGTGCATATCACTGCCGCTCATGCGGTGGTGTTCCCGCTGATGGCGTTTTATGGATCCTTTTATGCCTTGGCGCAGGTCATGTTCGAGATCAGGGAAGGGGATTCCCGGAAGGGCTTTGGCTGGACATCGTGAGTCTGCGGGGATTTGTGTGAGGGGGATGTTTGGTTTGGGTACGCGCTTGCGTTTGTTCGCTCTTGGTGCTATGGGGAGTTTTCGTCGGGGTTTGAATGAGCTGGCGTTCTAGGCTGAGTGAGTGCCTTATATCTACTACCGGAGGTGTCTCTGGGGCTTACACTGTGTAGGACGTTAGTGACTGGCGAGGCTACGCTGGTGATCCTGTGGGAAGATGCTGGACCTTTTCACTTCTGCGCTACCGGATACTCGGGGAGGTGCATAGAGAGGTGGTTTGGGAGATACTTGAAGATCTAAGATCGCAGGCATGTAAGTACCCCAATAATGTTTGTCGAAGTCTAAACAAGTGAAATCATATGTGGGAGAGCCATATCAAGGGACTGCAAGAAATGTCTCGATTATACACGTTCCAGCCGGGTTGAACCTCTACCGGTACACCAAAGTATCTAGTAGGTAAACCAGAACCTCAAGGCTGGCATTATCAGACATGAAGAGGGCACTGCCGTTAGTATCATAGTATCTTAATCACCACAACCTATTCTACCACAAGGTACCCGATTCAGTAAAAATACATCGATGCAGAGTGTTCATTACCAATAACCCAGCAAGTCAAATCCCAACAGCAATATTTCCTCAATGAAGTGAGGCCGTGGCCGCAACAACCACGCAATATAAATCGCCATAGCAATACATCTTCACGCCGTTCTCCCAGTGAATTCCTTTGGTTCTTCAACCTTTTTGCTGGAGCATATCAAGAGAATAGAGCACACGAGCAATATTAGCCACATAAACAGCAAGTACGTATGCTCAGTGAACACCAAATCTGCAGAGTAAAAACAGTTAGTGTATCAAGCCGTTTGAGCAATTAGAAAAGGCCAGAGGCCTGGCTTAGAAGTGGAAATCGACAAATGTTATCCTTACTGTAGTAACGAAGAAGCGTCTCTCTGTACGTGACGGCGGAGGACTGGTTGACAGTATTGGCTGCATGGCTTGGGTCTTCAGGTGTGGGCTGTTGCTTCCCTGCTTCAACTTGTCCCATCTCCAGGTCGGATGAGCGCTGGCCGGAGTGAGAAGGTGTGGGTGCCATGTTGTCAGGAGGTCTGTGGAATGGATGTAGGTCTGTGGAAGAGATGTAAAGAGACTGTTTGAAGGTTGGGGATGAGATCGTTGGAAATTTTGAAGCCTGTAGGATTGACCCAGGTTAAGAAGTCTCCTGTTTTAGCCTCTGGCAGTCAGTGAGCCGCTTTCTTATTGTTCGCCTGTTGTAAAAATTGATATTTGACTCACATAACAAAACCTCCGGCGTTGCATCATGGTGATATGGTAAAGCGGAATTTTCATTTCGTAGTATGGCACATGCATCTCTTCCACGGATATGATAGCTAGGAACCGTTCCCTACCAGTCCTGGCTCTCCGCGGCCATTGCCTTCAAGCAGTCCTGACAACAGATTTCCAGGAACTTGACAAGCAAGAACTTTAGAAGCAAGAGAAAAGCATAAATCGTGTAAGAGAATAAGAACAGCGTCAGTAAGAACGCCACGAAGACCCAAGTATCAGTTATCTTCAAATCTGTAGAAAACAAATGATTAGCATATCAAGCTATTGATCGGTTGGGAAAGGCTATAGGCCTGGCTTCCAACGCAGATTGGGAATCACTAGCCATACCGCCGCTAATGAAGTATATTAGTGCCTTAGTGATGACGGAGGGGTTTTTGACGGCATTGGCTGCTTCGAAAACATCGGATAGGGTGATTGTTTCCCTAGACGTTGATTGTGCCTCGTTTGATTCGAAGAGACCGCTCTCAAGATCGGTTGAGTTCTGGTCTGATCGAGAAGAAGGCAAAGGAGCGAGACCCATATTGTAATGAGGTTTGTGAAATAGAAGTAAAGTGACTGCTTGAAGAATAGGAATGGTAATGTTGTGGACCTTGAAGTCTGTGTGATCGATCACAATTGTGAAATATTTTTTCTTATCTTTTAGCAGTCAGTGACCAGATTCGTGATTTGTCTCTTGCAAAATCGCAAAGCTTGACCCTCACGTCCGGGAGTTGCATCATGATGAAAGGTTCAGCAGAAAGTTTAATCTCTCTAGCCAAGTAGGGCTCATAATTCTGGTCCTCGTTGTAGTCGTTCTTTTCGAAAAGGGACTACGGAATAGAGATGTATGCAAGTCCTAACAGCACGGTTAAGATTGCTGGTAGCTGGAGTTGCCCGACAGTCTGCGTTGAGTGAACAAGCATCTATTGCTTTGCTGATATACATCCATTTTATGCTGTCTATAGTGTTTTGACGCACTGCATATTTCGCTCTGGCGTGGCTCTAGCTTATTATTTGGATTAATCAGATTTGTCATTTAGCTTTAAGACTGGCAATAGTCACAACCCCTGGTGAAACCAATACTTGATTCTATTCTATTCAATGATAGCATCTTCCATGACCTACCAAGTAGCGATTCTCTAGAATCTCTAGCAAACCGGCGTGAACCGTCACCTTTCCTTCCATCATAGTATTTCCGCTGAGCCACTCTCGGGGGTCAGGATGAAGTCACTCGGTCCTTGGATCAACGATGACTGTCGCATGACCGCCAACTGCAGAGTTTTACCCTGCGACGCTCATCCTGCCCCGCGCCTTCTTTAGTCCTATATGTAAACACTTGCAAGACCACAGAGAAAACCACCACCAGCAATCATGGAGTTTGAGAACTCTCCACCTCCATACTCGGAGGCTGAACAAGCCCATCACCAGTATTTCCCGGCGTTGCCCCAAGAGCTAGCCCCAGTATACATCGAGATCGACCCATATCGAAGGGAGACATACAACTCCGTCGACTCTCGCAATCCAGGTGTCAACCGGAAGGATACCTCGTCGAACCCAACTGCGGCGACAGAAGCAAACTCGAGTATCACACGAGCTGACCAGAATCTTTCTCCATTAACGTATAAATCTCCAGTCGACTTCCTGCCGCGGACTTGCAAAGCGTCAACGATATAAGTCCAAGTCCCGTTCCGTCCGACGTTTCCAAGCCAAAAAGTGAGGGTCACCTGGTGTCCAACCCACCCCTTAGTTGCATGTCTAACACAGACACAGGACGATGTCTCCGTCACCGATTCCTCATACTAATCGTTCTAATCATCATTCTTGGCTTGTTTATCAGGCTTTCTGCTGGGTTGGTGACGCGTAAGAAGAAAGGTTCGATACCTACCCTTGATCTGAATAACCGAGACCGATATTGTATACTGTGACGGCTTGTTTTGCTGATATCTGAGGTAACAGCTGCCGCCGCCGCCAAAGCGCATCCTACCATGACGACCGCTGCTGCTGCTACTGCTGCTGTATCGACTGTCAACGCAGACGCAGACGGAGACGCAAACGGAGACACGAGTTGTCTACTACCCTGTTCATGAACATGGGCTTTTCGGCTGGATTAGACAATTGTTTGGCTTTTGATCGCGCTTGGAAACTTGGATGGTTTATGTGTAGTCTGGCTTTGCTGACGGCTTGGCCGTGTTATTGCTTGCTTGAATCGTCTGAATTTTCAAGGCGTCTTGGTGGGGTTTAGGTGCAGGTTACTGGGTTTCTCTTTGTGGCGTATTGAGACAGGCTTGGCGTATAAGGGACATCTTTTGTATGATGAGGTCAGGATCCTAGATTCGTGGTGTGAAGCCGCAGTATAAAGATGTAGTTGAGGAGATGTGTGGCGTCTGCTATCTCTTGCTTGCTAATGTGAAGATTGGGCTGATATCCCATGTGAGGTCTGAGGTGAGCGATGCATCGAGACTTGACACATCGATCTTGATCAAGTCTCATCTATGATAGACAGACAGAAGTATCGTCAAGTCTTTTCGTGTTTGACACAGTACCTTCGAAGAAATTTTAGTTGTTGTGCAGTTACAGGGACGAGGATCGGGGTCGAGATAGGGTGCTGAGGTGGAAGTAAGCATAACTCTGCTGAAGTTATACGACATCTGATTGACTGGAGACACTATCTAAGTCAACCCTCTACGTTGACTCCACAACCATAGTCTATAATAAGAACTGATACGATCTCTTCTCGGACACCATCTAGTGGGGCCTTAACCATAGCCAGTACTGGCACGAACCAATGCTTCGAGAATACGGCAACCCTTTGTGAGCCGCACTCAAACAAGCAAGCCGCCAATGGCTTATACCGTGGAAAGACTCGAACTAGCAAAGCGACTCTTCCTGAAACCAAAACCACAACCCAGCCTACCCGTTGAAAGTACGGGCCACCGATACTCCCTGCGCAAACGCCCCGCAAACAACGACCTGACAGTATACAAGGGTTGACTCGACGAGGACCGTACAGAGAACTATAGACCCAGCGGGAACCGAGCCCGAAAACGAAAGAAGCCCGGAAAACTAATACTACTCGTCAAACTGACCATGAAATCCACGGCTAGCAAGGCGTTGCTCGCTAGCTTCCCACTTCAAGAAGCATCAGAGGACAGGTCAGAGGGGGGCTTCTCTGGTCTAATGAGCAAGACAGACCAACAATTCGAGTCAACATCTATGACGAGCGTATCGCAAACACTGCACCTTGAAGCCTCTGCGCAGAACAGCGGCACTGAGACTATCCTACAGACTCGCACCATCGAGACGTCGTTCGTCTATCCGATCGACTTCCAGTATGAGCCGCCAGACGACGAACGTTTCCCGTGCCACTGGTGCAAGCATGTCGCATACGGCATCGTTGGACTCGGAAAGCGGAAAGTGATGGTGGTTACTGATGCAGAAGGCAAACTTCAGGAGATTAGCGGGGGTCATTCAGCGAATGGGCACGAACCCAGCCGGATGTGCGCGATCTGCGCGCTGGAAAGAATCAGGATCATGAAATGCGCTGGCCATCGGATCGTCCCTCTCAAAGGTCTTAGCTGCGACACTTTCGACTTCGCGGCGGCTTATAAGACTTTGGAGTCTGCTTCGGGTGAGATGCCAGATGGGATGCCGGTTATCTGGTGCTCGCTCTGCCCCCATCCTGCGTTCTTCGGTTGCAACACCGCGCAACCGGCCAACATCTTCTTGGGGTCCGCGCAGGGTGAGGCGGGCTGTGGACTGTTTCTGTGCGAAGCATGCGAGGATTTGGTGGGTGTTTGTGAAGGGAATCTGGCGGAGATCGTTGAAAGGAATGAGCTCGAGGATCCGGAGTCTGGGAAGCGGGCGGACGTGGACTTTCTTCTTCCTGGGAATGAGATGTACATGTAGTATAAAACGAACTGGGGTATTTGACTAGGAAAGAGCTGCGATGGCGGATCTGAGAAACTGGAACTACTTGAGTAGTATTATCGTTAGCACCCTCTAGGCTTGCTAGTCTACAGATTGTTCACCTGTCCTAGCCAATGACAATCTTTGATTCTGATCTAGAGATCTCGGTAAGGTAAGTAAGGCATGGTGCATGGAATTCCATCTAGTGAATAATGTGATTGGCTGACTTTGATTGAAATGCTAGGTCTATGAAGGACGATAAAATGGTGGCCGTACAACCTAGCCATGTGCAATTGATCCTATCGGGTTGTGTTAAGACGGCCCAGCCCTTGCATGCGCCCGGGTTTTCTTGTCAATATAAGGTTGTTTTAGTCAGTCTCAGGCATTTCCGACAGCTCCAACGATTTTCTTTATCGTATCCACCCGGGGAGTAACAGCGATGTGGAAGCTGCAAGGGACCAGCGTCTAAGGAGAGGTGTGCGCAGCGGTACGAACATAACAGAGGTTGTATAGTTGAGGAATAACACGAGCTGTACCACGTAGGCAAAGACTTGTGTTTGGTTACTTCGAGTGCAACTAACTCACTTAGAAGGTCAGTATGAACACTTCCTTGGTGTTAGTCTGGTCTCTTCTTCACGCAAACACTTGTTTAGGGGCAATCTCAGCCAATATCCATCATTCACATCTATATTGGCAAACCTGAGAAGACTTCAAGCCATGCAGGTAGACCCGTACATCCAGCATCTACCCCTGGCAAGGATATCAGGGTATAAATAGTATTAAACAGAGAGCAAAACAAAACTAAAAAAGAAAAAGCAAAGATGAGCCCCTGTCTGACCGTCTACTGAGTCGTCCACGGGGTGTTCTTGTTGCCAGGATTTTGGTTTTCTTGTTTCCACCGAAGAGTTGACTGACTAAACGAATGGGCTTCCCGTGTTGAGTTTAACAACTGACGGAGACCGGAATTTCTTTTTCAACAAGTTAATCTATCCACCTCTTTCCTTCCTTTCCTTTCATCGCGTTTCCATATTTCCCATATTTCCACTCCCCTCCACACTCTCCGCCCCCTCCATTTTAGTCTTAATTCTTGCTTCGGATTTGGTGGTCACCAACAACCGCCCCCCTCTCTCCTCCTACAAACTTTTTTCCGACAGGTTCCATTTCGAATCCACATCACACTTCCCCCATCCCATTCATCGTGCTACCTCGAGCTGCCACGAGACGTGCGCAGCTCACCGTCACGACGTCTTCCACCAAGCGCCGTAAGGTAGCAGAGCCTCGCAGACCAGGAACGCTTCCGGGTTTGTCGTTCGCCTCGCAGACCGGAAGACGTCACGGCCATCCTAGCTCCGACCACTCTTCGTCTTCCTCGGCCCTGCCTCATCGCCGTCCTTCGCCCACCTCCCCTTCGAATCGCAGTCAGAGTTCCTCGGCCTCACCGCCTCCTCGGTACATTCCCGCCCATCTGCAGGACGAAGTGCTGGGAACCAGGTCGCAACCTTCTGCTCGCTCCCCGACCCTGGATTCTACTGCCAGTGCCGTCGACTGCCCGTCCGCTGCCTGCGCAGGTTTGACCCTACACAGCGACCCCGCGACCGATATGTCGGCCTCGGACGAGAAGATGAACGCTCCCGGAGCGTCAGACAGTGAGAAGGATGTGGTGATGGACCAAGTTTCTACCTCGAAGGACGGTCAACCTCATCCCGCCCAGCCGGATACGATGGACACCTCTGGATCGGGAGATGACAACTCGACTGGCAACGAGGGTAGCTCGCCGTCAGACAATGTGTATCCCACCCCGTCCAGTATGTCCACCTATACCGCTCCCACGGAAACACGAGCCCACGCCAAAGCCGAGGCATCCGTCGCATCCGTCGACCCTCCCTCCTTCGACGATCAGGTCGCGCAGGTGACCAAGTTCATGATGCAGCCCATGCAGGAAAAGCAGAAAGGATACGTGGTGTCCATGTCGTGGTTGAAGCGCGTGTTCGCGCGAAGCTCCACCCATGCAGACCAGGCAGATAAGACCGCCGCGGAAGGAGAAATCGGCCCCGTCGACAACTCGGATATTGTTTTGGTGACCGATCCCGCTATTGCAGGCTTCAAGGACGAGAACGGGGAGCCGTTTGTCCCCCTCAGGCCCGGTCTGCAGATCGGGGAGGATTTCGAGATCATACCCGAAGGGGGCTGGGATTTGATTATGCAGTGGTACGGCCTTGCGGAACAGTCTCCTGCCATTGTCCGCTACGCTCACAATACCGCACCCGCCGGCGATGGCGAGAACATCCAATACGAGATTAACCCGCCGATCTTTACGATTCTGAAACTCACGAACCCATCCACGGGAACCACCCCCAAATCACTCAAGGAAAAGAACATGCTACCCGTTCGGGCCCTCGCCAGTCGACACACCAATTTCCAAAAATGGCTTAAGCAAGCTAAAGAACTGGCGAAGATTGACATGTCGACAAAAGTTCGCGTCTGGAGAATCTTGGGCGGTCTCGGAAGTGCCACTACCTCCGCTGCGGTCACACCAGCTGCCTCTCGAACTGCCTCCCCGGCGCCTTCCGCTTCGACCGTGCCCACTGCTGGAGGCAGTCTCGTCCTTGACCTCAACACTTTTCTCTCCCTTTCCGAAGGATCCCAGCGGGAGTTGTTGGAAGAGGCTAGGGATCAGACTGCCAATTCCAATTACAACGGTCGCATGACGTTGGATCTCGCTGGGCTGGGTGGTAGTGATATCGTAGTCCTCGAGGAAAGACTTCCTGGTAAACAGGGTGATTGGGTGTCCGAGGCCTCCAGACAGGCACTAAACCGCCTTGGGGTGCCAAGTGGAAGTCTCAAGAATGAGGTGTCTACCAAGGTAAAGACGAAGAGCCCTGCTACTAGTGGACGCTCATCTCCAGTGCCAGAGCCTGTGAGGGGAAGACGTAAGGATGGGAAGCCCCGCGGCTGCACAGGTCTGAGCAACTTGGGCAACACGTGCTACATGAACTCCGCCCTGCAGTGTGTCCGCAGCGTGGAGGAATTAACTTACTACTTTTTGAGTAAGTTCCTCAAATTGCGAATTAACCTTGGTTAGGCCTCCTGTTAACAACCGATCTTTAGATGACGTCTATAAGAAAGATCTTAATCCCAGCAACCCTCTGGCTCACAATGGTGATGTGGCTAAGGCCTATGCCAACCTGCTTCGACAAATTTTCGATGAAGCAGGCCAGTCCTCGTTCGCTCCCAGGCAGCTGAAACAAACTATTGGCCGCTATGGTCCGGCATTCTCTGGATACGGACAGCAAGATTCACAGGAGTTCCTTCTTTTTCTTCTTGATGGTCTCCAGGAGGACCTGAACCGAATCCAGAAGAAGCCATATATTGAAAAGCCAGACTCCACGGATGACATGGTCCACGATAAAGCCGCGCTGAAAGAGTTCGCTGATAAATGCTGGGACATTTACAAAGCTCGCAACGATTCCGTAATCACCGATCTTTTCGCCGGTATGTACAAGTCTACACTTGTCTGCCCCGTTTGCGACAAGGTCAGTATCATCTTCGACCCGTTCAACAACCTCACTCTCCAGCTTCCGATTGAAAACCTCTGGAGTAAAGAGATCTTCTACTTCCCTCTAAACAAGAAACCGGTCATTGTGGATGTCGAGATCGACAAGCACGCCAGCATCAAGTCTCTCAAGGAATTGGTCGCCAAGAAGATGGGCTCGGACCCTCAACGCCTGGTCATGTCGGAGATCTATAAGCACAAGTTCTACAAGATGTTTGACAACACAAGCTCCATCGCCGATTGCCAGATCAGCAATGGGGATGATCTTGCCATCTATGAGGTCGAGTCCGTCCCGACGAACTACAATCCCGACAAGCAACAGAAAAGCTACTTCTCCTTTAATCGGTCCGAACATGAGGAGATTCCAAAGCTCGATTCCCCAAGAGCTGATAGATTGCTGGTGCCTATATTTAACCGCTTTGAGAAACCACGGTCGAACAACCCGAAGAATACCCAGCGGCCCCTTTTCGGTGTGCCTTCTTATGTCGTCATCAACAGGGAAGAGCTTGGCGACTACGATGCTATCTTCCGAAAGGTTCTCGCGCAGGTGGCTTCTATGTCAACACGCGATTTCCTCAGCGAAGTCACTGATGCAGAGTCTAGCCAGGAGGATTCGGACACCGTCGTAATGAACGAGGACGACGCACAGTCAGCCGATTCCAAGATCAAGACGTCCTCTGTCGACGGGGAAGATGGAATTGTTGATGTCTCCATGCGCGACGCAGATGACTCTCAAGACGATGCCTCAGCTCAGCGTGAGGGCGGCATTCCTACTAACCTTCGTAATCTATTTGAAATGAAGATTATCAAGTCGAACGAGGTTGTCCCGCTTGGCTTTTCCTCGGTTGATGACCACAAGGAATATCCCCGGATGTCATTCAGGATCAAGACAAAGCCTGCTCCGAAGAAGCAGAAGGAGGTACGTTTTTGTCTGATCATGTTGTCCGGTAGAGAGCTAGGAGACCACTGACATCATTCAACAGCCCGAATCGGAAACGGCCACCGAGAAATCAGACGACGAAAGCGCGGGTAAACAGAGCTCTGAGAGTGCTGAGTCGGACATTTTTGCCGATGCCAAACGCCCGGTGACTAAGCCTAACACCCAGATCCCGCCCATGATCCGACCGGGCGAAGGTATTGTGGTTGATTGGACAGAGGACGCATACGATGCCCTATTCTCTGGCGGCATGGAGAAAGACTCTGTTCGTGGTAGCCCGACATGGACCAACATCGAGAGGCACCCAGACCCCGAACTCTCCAAGAAACGAGCACTCCGACAGACCCGCAAAAAGCGAGGCGTCACTCTCTACGAGTGTCTGGACGAGTTCAACAAGGAAGAGATTCTTTCCGAAAATGACGCATGGTATTGCCCACGCTGCAAGGAGCATCGCCGGGCCAGCAAGAAATTCGAACTCTGGAAGACGCCTGACATTCTGGTCATGCACCTGAAGAGATTCAGCGCTAGCCGCGGTTTCAGAGACAAGCTCGATGTCCTTGTTGACTTCCCCGTGGAAGGTCTCGACATGAGCGGCCGGGTCGAAGCCCCTGAGGACGGTAAGAGCCTTATCTATGATCTCTTCGCTGTGGACAATCACTATGGTGGACTTGGAGGAGGCCATTACACCGCCTACGCCAAGAACTTCATGACCGGTCAATGGAATGAATACAATGGTACGTCACCACCCGCTGCCGACTGGGTTGGACACAACTAACTTACATGAAAAAGACTCTTCTGTATCGAGACCCCTTGACCCCCAGAGTGTGGTCACCCCCTCGGCTTACCTCTTGTTCTACCGCCGTCGTTCCGAGCGTCCTCTGGGCGGCAAGGTCCTCGGGGAGATCACTGAGGCTTCGACGCGCCCGGGTAGCGACGCCGATTCCCAAAGCGAGTCGCGCGGGCAGTCTCCGTCGGGGGAAGGTCGGCGCCTCGGCGGCTCCTCCCGCAATGGGTCGTCGAGCGCATTAACCGGAGTCGGAGCAGCTCACCAATTGGGAGATGGTGGTTTGCGAACTGGAACCCGAACGAAGAGCGGGGATGAAGACTCGCCCCCGGAATATTCGAGCCTGGGTAAAACAACTCGACAGGAAGGTATGGATTTCGAAGACGAGGAGTTCGGACCTGTACCGCAACCCAGCCCGTTCCGCCACGCGGATCCGCCCTCGTGGTCGTTCAGTCACATCTCGGATGCTCACGGCTCTTCACAGATGACCACAGCGCAACGGGGATCCATCTCTGATGACGATGATTTACCCGACGACAACGACAGTAACAAGGCAGTAGGTGGCGGAGACGTCAGTGATACTGACCTCAGGATGGCTGCCCTTACCGATAGCCCTAGAGGGGGATTGGGGTTTCCTGGCACCCCGATGGAGGAAACGTCCTTCCAGGAACTTCATCCATTTGGTGGTGACGGGGATGACGATGACGAAGATGATCTGCCTGTGGTAGAGTTGCAAGTGAACGACGAAGATCGAGTTCTGCCATAAACCTATTATGGCAAGGCTTGTTCTCTCTGATCCTTTTCTTTCTATTTCTTCTTTTTATTTTTGGAAATGTGAAACGAATGATACACGGTGTTCTATACAGCGCCAGGGCCGGTGATTGCTATTTTCTTTTGGGCCTTCGCGGGGGACAGAGGATATATGATATCATGGAATGAAGTGGATGATTTTTTATGGTTGCATTTGACTCCCCATTGACCAAACCGGGTCATGTGGGTTTGGGGATTTGTCAAATTCTGGAAGGGTACGTGTTAAGTAAACTATGGGGAGGAGCAGAGGGCTGCATTGCATTTCATGGGGATTGATGGCCGATAGCCGTCCTTGCATTATATCTGTGGATTGTCCGGGACAACAGGGGGTTGTTGCCTGGCTAAAAGCTTATTTGTGAATTGAATGTGATGGTAGAGCAGCAGTTGCTGCATGTTGATTCAAGATCGAACTGGTAGGAGAATATACAGTATATGATCAGCCTCGAGTCTGCAACCACATGCCTACGGCACACGCCGCAACGTGCCACAGCATTGGGTGCGGGGGGCGCTCAGAGGAGTGATTGTATACTCGTCGTTCCACCAACCCACACCTGCCACGGGTTGGTGGAACGATAAGTATCTGTCATGGCAGTATCGAGACTACCGGACTGGAGGTTATTAGAGAAGAAAGATGGCAAGGGGAGCTGGTGGCCATATCAAATAGCATTATCACGCGCATAGGTATAGTCATTGCAGGAACGTAAGATATTGGCTGTGCTCTCACGGGCCATGTACTTGCGTCTTACCTTTCACCTACGTTTACTACCATCTTTGAATCGTGCTTTCTCTTAGATCAACTTAACCCAGGAAACCTTCCTAGATCATTCGTCCAAATCACAATCACTGGGATGCACAGATGTACACCTTCTACCCAGAATATCAGCCCTCTATATTCATCCCTCTACAACAACGGGCATCCGCCATCTCCTCAAACAAATCACTCACTCCCCTCGAAACCACCCATCCGCAAGCAACTCCCGCGCCGAAGGCCTATCGCGCGGATCCAGCCTCATAACCTTAAGCACAAACTCCCTATCCTCCCGACAAATCTCCCGCGCGGTAGTCTGACGGAACGGCCTCAGCGTCTCAGCAGGACTATGCGACATAACCCAAGCCAACACCGGCCAGTCTCTGCGGGTCCGCGATCTCCTCATACGACTCGGGAAACGGCCCGAAGCACCGATGATGTTTCATCTGGATCCTGGGATTGTATTCGTCGTGCTCGACGCTCACGTCCGGCTTGAAGATGTGGAAGCCCTCGCCATAGAGGAGGCTTATGAGCTGTGTAGCAGATGGTTAATAGGGGGTTTATTTGTGAGTTACCGAAACCCGCCCCGCCGGCTCGATATGGTGTGGTGTAAGGAAAGGAAGGAAGAACTTACCGTCGCGCCGAAAGACCATATATCCGTTGCAGTGTCCCACTGCATCTGGAGCTGCGCTTCGGGGCTCCGGAAGATAGGCGTCCCGATTGAGTCGCAGCGTTGCGCGTACATTGAAGTTTTGGGCACCGTGCTGCCGAAGTCTGCGAGATGGATAGCGCTAAAGCGGACGCCGTTGTTGCCGCCTCCGTAGTTTAGGAGGATGTTGCTTGGTTTGATATCTTCATCGAAGTTCGGGTCGATTCGGAGGTTCGTGCCATGGGGGAGTTGGATAAGGACGTACCCGTGTGCACGAATCCGTCTGCGTGCAGGTGTGAGAAGTGCCTCTAGCACCCTTTTCGCTGCGTACTTTACTTCTAAGCGGGTAAGGCGTTTAAGGTTCGAGGCTTGGAGAGAGCATCGTCGTCGAGATACTTTAGGATGAGAGTGGGCGGATCGTGGGTGTCCAGGGCTTCGATCAGTGGGCGGATGTAGGGGGTTCGGGCTTGGAAGCGTCGTAGCACGTCGTGTTCGTTTTGGAGGCGGAAGTGTTGGACGCTTTTCAGGAGGAAGGGCTGTTGGGTCTCGTTTCTGTTGTTATTGTTAGGTGAGGTAGAGTTATTCTAGGGGCAGAAGATTGGACTATACTTGGCGAGCCAGATACATTCTTGTAGTTGTTTGGTCACTGTATAGACACCTGTTCGGCCTTTAAAGATCTGGCCCGGTGATAGCAGGCCTGCCATATTATTGGTGAAGAATAACCACAAGAATGGATAAGAGATTAGTGTTCAGCTTTGAAGCAGGCTGACAGAGATCAGAGAACAGGGATGTGATGCCCGCGCGGGGAGGAAGCGGTACGCGAACGCGGTGCATCACTTCACTTGGACATTCCACCCCGCAACACAGCGCATCTCGGTCGCAGCCATGAGTACATCGCCTCCTCCCACTCCGCCATGGAGGGCCCTAGCAGATGACGAGCGGAGATTCAAGCCAGTCACCTTACCTTGTGAGTGGGCGGAGGATTATCGCCCCGGTGGTTACCATCCCGTTGTTCTCGGCGATGTCTTCAACAACGGCCAGTACAAGGTCATCCGGAAGCTCGGGGAGGGCTCCTACTCAACCGTTTGGCTCGCTCGTGACCTCAAGTAAGTTCATCTCGCGCTTGGGATAATCATTACTTATTCCCCTAAGAAACAGTGGATATGTCGCGCTGAAGATTCTAGTGTCTGAAATCACGGAATCGACCACCGAGCTACGGATTTTACGCCACATTAACGAAGCCGCACCAGCAGAAGCCGGTGGGCATATCACGCGACTGCTAGACGAATTCAAACATCGCGGCCCCATGGCGTCCACAGGTGCCTGGTTTTTGAGCCCATGGGCCCGAGTGTGAACAGTATGGTCGAGGAGCTCCCGCAGTTCAATCCTCGCAGGCTAGAAATGAAGGTTCGCTATCCGCTTGGGATGGCAAAGAGCATCCTCAAACAATCATTGCAGGCGCTGGCTTTTCTCCACCAGAATGGTCTCGCTCATGGGGACTTCCAGCCGGGGAACATGCTTTTAACTCTGAACGATATCGACTCGACGCCCGAGGACGTGCTTCGGCAAGAGGAAGATGTACAAGCTCGATCAATCTCGCCTCCAGTATAGAGGCTGGACGGCAGACAAGATAAATGGGCTCCTCAATCTTTGCATCGCGCAGCCACTGGTGCCTTTCACCTGTTACTCCGAAGGTCTTAAGATCAAACTTTCCGATATGGGCGGCGGTTGGTCCTTCCGTTTTGTTTATGAGTCTTCATTCGTGGCTGCAATCTATGCTCATACCTGCCTACTCTGAACAGCATATTTCTTTGACGACCCGCCAACAAAGCCGGTGACTCCACTTGGACTTCGAGCTCCGGAGTTGATTCTTACCGGAGCTGTCAACAATACCGTTGACGTCTGGAGCTTTGGCTGCCTCGTCTTTGAGCTTATTACTGGACAACCCCTTTTTTGTGTCCCAGGAGACGAGGATGAGGATGACGATCACCTTCTCTCCCTTACCGCCCGGCTCGGCACCTTGCCTGACGAGTTATTCAAGCATTGGAAAACGTCTTCTCTCTACTTTACACCCGAGAGGAAGCTCTTCAACTGTCAGCTTGGAGGAGTCGCCCCCGGGGAGGAACCGCTGATGCTGGAAGAGCCGTCTATGGAAGAAGCATTCGATCAGGCAGAGCCCGAACTTGACGAGGACGAAGCACGCAAAGTGAAGGCACTCATTCGATGGATTTTACAATATCACCCCGCGAAGAGACCTTCGCCTGCGCAAATCTTGTCGGATTATTGATCCTGCGGACTAGTTCACGTCTTCTACAGTTTCTACAGCGAACCCCTTGGAGCCGTATACAGGAGGTGAGTGATATTGCGAGAGAACATATCAAGCTGCGTCTGGCGGAAAATACATCCTGGAGAGCTCAAGAGATATTGGTTCTATATGACTGACTATATTACCTGTCTATGTATCGGAGATACCTGTAACGAAAAATAAAATACATATTCAATCCATTTCGATTCGATCCTGTTTACACTGTCTATTCCACCACCGGTTATAACCATCGCACCACCTCATACTCATCCATGACAAAAAACAACCATGACAGCCCCAAAACCAATAATCCTCCTAATCTCCCTCGCGCACCGCGATTTCCAAGACGAGATGTACGCCTCCCTCTTCGACGCGCTCTCAGCATCCGCACAGGTGAAGCGCGCAAAAACCGGCCCAGCCGCCATCCAACACCTACTAGGAGGCAACAACAGCAACAACAACATCCCTGTCCCCAGCACAGTAATAATAACAGACGAAGGCCTCACGCAACGCCGCCACGCTGACGTCTTACGCAAGTTGAACGAGTACGCCCAATCCGGCGGCCGCGTCATCGTCGGCCTGCACTTCCCCAGCTTCACGCTGATGAACGCCTTCGACCGCTTCTTCGGTGACGGCTTCGGCCTGCCCTGGACGCACGGCACCTACTACCGTACCGTCTGCACGCTGAATCCGGATTGTGTGTGGCCGGTCCCAAGGGATGCTGCTCTGCCTGGTCCGTTTAGTGTCAAGGCGCTGCATGTCAAGGGTGCGCGGCCTGAGGAGAGGCTGCTTGTTCCTGCTCCTGGGCAGCCGCTGGATGCGGAGCCGGGGCAGGCGGCTATTGCTTGTGCGCGAATTGGCAGCGGGTCGTTGGTTTATTGTGGGGATGTGAATGTCGAGGTTGGGTCTGTGAGGTTGGTTTTGGCGCTTTGTGGGGTTTAAGTTCTCTATGAGAGAATCGAGGGGGAAAGGGGTGGATGAAGGTTTAGAGGAATGGCGGGGAGGCAGGTATTTTGCTCTCTTATTGTTGTGTCAGGTTGCAAGGGGATTTGTATCGGTCGATGCTTCGACTGGACTGCTGGGTTTGTGGAAGTGAGCGATGACATCGAGGTAAGTACTGTGGTGCGGGATGGATGATTGATGCGTCCAAGGATCTATAGGCTGGATAATAAAAATAGACACTAACATGAGAAGAATGGAGTTCGCTTGTGACTCGGCAGCAGATTAGTGGTTATCTCTTTGAACTCATTTACTGGAGAGGATATAGACTATTCCGTGCTAGAAAGAACAAGAATCGAGGGACCACCAATGAGATTTAACTAACTTTCCCACACTTCTTGTATGTCCGGCAAACATGACATATTAGCGCAAGATCTGCAAGAGCCTCAAGTGATAAGCAGTATACGAGACCCAGTCAGCTGGTAACGTCCCGAGTGCCTTAAGTGGCTCTGCTATAGATAGCAAGGCTTCCTATAGATTGGCCCATGTGGAAGGGAACAAAGGACCCTGCGAACAATGCATGACAAATGCACGTTGCCTGTGCTGTCATGCAACGAGTGCCAATTTCTCAGCAATAACAAGTGATAATCCTTGCCAAAGAAGTTAGTAGGGGGAAGAAGTGACAGACTGACAAAGAGCAACACCCCCCAAATCCCAATCAGGAAGGCACGGGACTTGTTCACGCATTGTCTCTTGTTCCCTGTCTGCCTGCCTGACTTTTTCTTCTTCTTGATCGAAGCCCCCTCCCGCCTCCTCACTTCTACTTCAATTCTGCTTCTGTCTCAATGAAATAATTTAATTCCTCGTCCGTTCTTCTGTCTTGTTGACTCGTACATCCACTCGACCTCCAGTCCCATAGTCTACAACCCCAGCAACAACACAATACCCCAACCACAGCAGTTACCATCACAAATAAATACACCACAAGAAGACCGAACAAGATCAACAACAATGCCATCAACACACCCTCAACCCACGCCCCGACCCAAAACCAAACACCCCTCAGCATCCCACCTCCCCATCTCCCCAACAACACAAAACCCTCGAGCCAACCTCCACAACTACACCACCACCACCACCACCACCACCAAGCCCACAACAATAATCAAACCCAAGAGCACAGCAGAGCATCATCCCAAGCCTCACCCCAACCGAACCTCCCACACCCACACCCACCAAATCACCATCCCGCCCCGCCACCGCGAGCTCTCCCTCACCGATAGCGAGATCAGCATTCTCGATTTGGGGCCCAGTCTGCTTGTTCTGGGTGAGGAAGCGGATGGGAAAGTGCTAGCTCACGGGGTGGAGGGCTTGGATTTGAAAATCGAGAGGCGGGGAGGGTCTGGGTCTGGGGCTGGGTCTTTGGATGGGTATTGTTGGGATCGGGGTCAGCTTGCGGGTGAGGAGGGAGGTGGAGATGTCCGGGGTCCAGGGCGAGGGCAGATGCAGATGCAGATGCCTGTTCTGAGGGGTGAGAAGGGAAGGAATGAGAAGGGAAAGACGGCGATGGGCCACCATGCTCAGCCTTCTGGAAACGGGGAGGGTTGCGGTCTGGGAGGTATTCTGGGGATTTAGATTGAAGAAAGGGGGGTGTAGATGTGGATGTTCTAGGGATTGGTTGTGAGTAGGGTGTGTGGACTGGATATGGATGGCAGGGGATGTGGTGAGTGAGGTGGATCTAATACGCGGAGGACGTTTCTTGGTGCTGGATTAGTGGATTCTGTCTTGAAGGGCTGAGGCGGGATAGATTGTTGAATATCTCTGTTGGTGGTGGTGAGGGCGTATGATGAAGCCTGTGGGAGTTGTGTCCGTGTATATGTACGCTTGCTACTGCTAGAGGTGGTCTGTTATACACGAATGTAAAGTCCAACCTCTTCTTCATAAAGTCGTACTACTAATCGAGTCATAGGACAGACATAGCACAGACGTCATTTCCTGCAGCAGTCGAAGTCGTTCGTTATCGAGGAACATTTATGCAAAATTCTAATATACCATGGTCTATCCCGTGCAAAATCTCACAGCCAAGAAAAGAACGTCGTCTATAAGCAGCCCCAGGCCACTATTGAATCCCTCCTCTACACCGGAACAGGCCAGCCATCCACATACGTCAAGGTGTTATACCCCAATCGTGCCTCCTGTCGAGACGATTGTCAGCTATCTTCCCTCCCTCACATGCAGCCAACACAGCGAAACACAGACTTACATGGAAATCATACCCCACCGACCGATTTACTGCCAGCACCACCAATCAGCACCAGAACGCAATCAGACCGCAAGGCTTGACGCAGAGCAAGACTCACGGTAATGATAATAAAGCACATCGACCTCCACGCCGCTCTGCAGATCGACCAAAACCCCCTGCCCACCAGGGGCATACACCTCCGCATTCGACCTGTAGACGATCTCGCCGCCGCCCTGCACGAGGTCGCGGCCCTGCCTATCTACAAACGGGCCGCGCGGGCTCAGCGATCGTCCCACGCGGATACTATACCTACAACCCATCATTAGCCGAAGCGCTCTGACACACTCCCCCTTCCCCCCACGACTACACCCTAGGGGAAGCGAAAGCGAAGGGGAACAGAACATACTCCAAACCCTCCCTAGGCAACCTCTCCGGCTTGAACCCGCAACACTTCCCCCAACTAAACCACAGATAATACCACGGCTTGCGGAAAGAGATGAACGCGCCTTCCACGGGATGCGAGCCCGTCGGATCACCGCAGATACCGTTAGATTTCGGGTTGGGCGCGTGGATGGCGCGCGGCTCGTGCGCAAGGTGCCGCACCTCGGCGTTACCCGTGTAGGTCGTCGACAGGAGGTCCGCGGCCAGCGGGATCTGCCAGATGCCTGTCCAGAAGGAGCCGAAGGTGAGGTATGCTTGTTGATTTCGGGGGTTGTCTGTGGGATGCGTGTCTTGGGTTGCGTCGTCGTTGTCCGGTCCAGCTTGCGATCCTTCCTCGGCTCTGCGGGGAGCGGGTTGCCTACTTTTTTCTTCTTCTTCTTCTTCTTCTTCTTCGGACGGCCCCAACGCAACAAGAACACTGGCGTCGATCGCGTTCGCCCGGTCAAACGGGTACAGCGCCGACCCCGGCCCGACCCCCGATCGAACAATCACCCCGTGGTCCGTCCACCCGCCGGGCCCCGGGTGCGCCGACGTCGCTACCCCGATCGCGCTGCGTCGACACCCGCTGTGGCTCGTCGCGTAGTAGCAGTAGTACGTGCCGTTGTGCGCGACCACCGTCGGCGCCCACGGCGCTTTGCGGTCGCCGATCGGGAGCACGCTGTCTGCGTCTAGCACGCTGCCGACGTGCGTCCATGGGCCTGAGAGGGACGGCGCCGTGTGGATGGGGATGTGCGGGCCCGAGCCGTAGGCGTAGTAGGTTTGCGTTCGGTCGGGGTCAGCTTTGGAATCGGTGTGCGGGAGCGTGATGATGCTGGGGTCGTGGATGTGCAGGTCGGTGGGGTTTGTGGCGGGGTACAGGGGGGAGACATTCGGGTGCTGGTCAATCTCACTCTCAGTCTTGATGTCATCGTCGTTGTTAGTGGTGTTGTTAGGATCGGATGGTGAGCGAAAGTGGTTGCGGAGGGTATAGACAACCAGAAAGAAAAGTGACAAGAAAGCGGAGATGCGGAGGATGCGTCGCAGCGTGGGACGCGAAAGTAAAGGCGCTGCTTTACTGCTGGGCTCTTCGTCGAACTCGGAGTATGTAGATCCCATGCTCAGGAGACGCGGCCGGGTGGTGGCGGTGGTGTTCATCCTGTCGAGCGGGAGTAAAGAGACGAGCTCGCAAGGTGTTCATTGCATTGATTGTGTTGCGGAGTGAACATGTGAGCAGCGCTCAATCCAATGCTGGGAGGTTGCAGATCAGAATTGCAAGTCTGGATCTTAGTAAGTGGTGATGTGATGGCCGACAGTTAGTCAATGCGACTCGGGCCAACGGCTGCTGCCTATCTTCAAAGATGCAACCCCGAAGATATGCCAGCGGATGAGGCCAGGCCGTGTAACAAGTGAGGAGTAGCTTAAAGGGAACAAGTCGATGCTAAGCATTCGGTTCCTCCTACAGGATCGCAGCATCTGCCGTCATGGTCAGTGATTGTGTCGCCATTGGCTATCGAGACCAGTTTCTGCACGCACCAAATAGATTAGATCCCTGACTGAGTCTCCGACCCGCTCTGCCAAGCCCTTCCACAGTCACTTTTAAAGTCTCTGCAGTCAAGCATAAGCCGGTACTGTTCGTTGCTCACAGGAGCTGAGCCAGGTTCACGTAGGTCGAACGTGATGAACAAGTCGGTGCGACGGGCGGTAATTAATCAATGGCCCGAAGCGGTGGAGCCGAGATTGTTCCTATAATAATGACTAGAGTTGACTCCTTCAGAGGAGGCCCGAGTGCAACAGAGGCATGCGACGCACGATTATAAGAGTATTTTATCGATTACCTTTCCAAGCACCTCTTATTAACTGAGCGAAGCAAGGCAGCAAGGCAGCCTCGGGCAACAAGGCGGCCCCAGGCAGCAAGGCAAGAAGGCAAGCAAGCAACTGAGCAAGCAAGCGAGGCAGCAAGGCCTCTCACCAAACACCTCCCACCAAGCACCTCCTACCAAAAGAGCAAGCAAACAACGCAAGCCTTGAGCCCGCCTCTCACCAAGCAACCAAGCAACCAAGCAAGGCGGCCTTCCCCCCGTTTTCGAGCTGGTTGACGCGGTAAGTAGTGCGCAGAAAGGAAGTCACGTGCATTATCATCCGCTAGCCTTCCTGTAGCCAACCAGAACGCAGCTTAGGAGTTCTGCGAGGGACAGGACACAATATAGGGCTCCGCGCTTACGCGCGTCACAATAATACCTTAAGAAGATCTGGAATTGAGACATCACTGCATTGGAATTGCAGATATTGAAGACTGTAAGCCACCAAAGGCCCTAATGGCGAATCTCCGAACATTTCTAAATCATAAACACCAACGCCCAGCGCTTTCCCTTCTCAACGCTGCGCCAAACCGCAGACCAACACCGATGACTACCGCACTTCGATCTTCTCCACCTCGTCTTTCGCCTCTGTCCACGTCTCCAAATTCTTTCGCGCCCAGTCCAAGTGACACCGCGCATAGGCAACCTGTCCCAGCCATTGTTAGCGCAAGATTCAACCTCGTTCAAATGAAGAGAGACCTACCATATATCGACGAAGATCCATCTCCTGATCTTTCTGGAAGCGTTTCAGATCTTGTAACACCCCTGCGCTCGCGTCTTTCACATCTTTTTCGGACACTGTTAAGGCTTGCTCGAGCTGTGAAAGCATTAGTAGCAATTCGATAGGGGCACAAGCGTTCAATATACCTGCTGCAAACTCTCTTTCGTCTTGCCTATCTGATCGCGACGAGTCCGTTCGGGGTCGACATCCACAAACCCATGGACCGCATGACTGATGCGACCAAAGATCTTGTTGGCCACAAAAGTGCCACTAGACGTCTTGCGGTGTGCGGGAGGCGACGGCGGGCCAAAGTCCGGACGGCGGTGCGAGGCGGCTTGAGGTGCCGAGGGATGCGAGCTGATCGACTCGCCATGAGTGGGGGGAAAGTCCGAGTCCACCGAAGCATTGTCTTCGTGGCTGGCAGGGCGGCCTTCATTTTCAGGCCCACCAGGAGCACTGGCGGCCGACGAGGCCGACAGCGACCGTTGGGTCCTCGTCGTGGCACTCTGGGGCGTGGAGCGGTTCAAATATTGCTCAATCCGCTGTGCTTCCATTTCACTGCGCTCAAGTGACTCGAGCAATGCCTTCTTCTTAGCCAGTTCATCTCGAGTCATTTCCTCCTGTACTCGCTTGAGGACTCGATACCGCAGAACGCTGCGTACTACGCTAGCGAACTGCGCGCTCTCACGCATAGGCTCTGCGAAGCTCGCGCTCAAAGCGGCGGAAAGCTCCTCCGTCTCGATATAAGACGTGTCCGCTGCCTGGCCCACTCGTTCGATAGCAGCTGCCACAGTCGGAGACTGCTCTGACAAAGAGAAACCATTGTACCGTGCCCCTAGCTCCATCAAGTCGGCCGATAAGGACGACAAGTGAGCAAGAGTCCGGCGGTTGACCTTTTCGATATTACCCTGGAGAAGCAGCTCCAGCTCACGGGTTGAGGCTTCGAAATTGATGAAGTAGGGGTCCAGCTCCTTCTCGCTCAATTTTCGCGACTCGGGTGGGAAGCGACCGAGAACATCTTGACTTGGAGCATCGTTCGGGGTGCCGGATGGAGCAGTCCCAGACGCCGACTTGAGCTTCGCCGAGGCCGCGGGTACCGGTAGCCAAGCATGAGCGGGTGTGGGGTTGGCAGGATCGAGAGGGGGAGCTTTGAGGTTGTTTTTGGGGACTGAAGATGCGGGGTGAGAATGAAGTACTTCGCTCTGTAACATATTAGTATGCGTAACGCGAGTATGTCAGCATCCGCACCTACCCAGCTGACATTGGGGTCCAGGAACCTCCACCAGACTCCATCTTCACGAATCTCCTTCATCCGACGACATCGGTTCAGAAAGACGGCCAGCATTCGTTTCCGAAGATCGATGATCGCAGTGTCTTCTTTGGCTTTGGTGGGTTTGGCGGCGTAGTCTGCCATGGTGTGCTTCTCCGGAATCGGCGGAACGACGAGGGTGGGATGAAGATTGACGAGGGTTTGGCGCAGCGATGCGAATTCCGAGTATCGTCTCCGGACCTCGAGATCCTGTACACCATTAGCTTTGTTAAAGTGAATAGCTGGCAGTAATCATTGCCGTACTCCCGTGCGTATCGTGTAGACAATGAAGCTCCCTCCGCCCTCATGGTTCTTCCCAGCCTCGGTGATGAGGATCGGCATCTCCGGATTCTCGTACAGAATCTGCTCTATCCGGCTGTCGTAGACGTTCTTGCGCATGTATCCTTGGCCGGTGTGCTGGGTGGTATAAGCTCCATGATCATCCTCGTCGCTTAAGTCTTGTTGTTGCGAAAGGAAATCCGGTGGGTCTTGGGTGGACGAGCGGCTAGAGGGAGACGGAGGGGTGTATTCGCGATCGTAGAGAGCTTAGATCATATTAGTGACCAGCGTAGGTACGAGGCGCGAGCAAACATAGGGTGACCCATACGAGGAGAGAGATTTGCTGAATGCAAGGATTCCGACAGATGCGCCTCAGTGTCGAATGCGCCGTACGGGTTGTTATCCTCGTCGTTCCACATGGTGTCGCGGTGGGGGCTGGGCAGAGCAGCCTTGCTAGTCCTCAGCGGGCAGGCAGAGTACGGGGGTCATGGAATGAGATTCAATTCAGTGGAAAGATTAATGGCTCTAGCCAGTATGTGAGTAGATCAGTTGATGAGAGCGACAAGCATAAGAAAGGAAGACAGACAGGAAGAGGTAGCGAGAGAGAGAGAGAGAGAGCTAAAGGAAGGAGCATTGACTGGAGTCGGCGGCAGGAAAGTCACCGCCTGGAGATTCGCGGGGATCAACGTCACTAACTCCGGTCGCCCACAGAAACCATCTCCGCCACAGTATTTTACTAAGAGAAGATCTACACGGCAGGAAAAGCTTCAAGCTTCCATCACATTACCACTCGGTGGTCTGAGGCTCACCAGCCGGATTTTTGTCCGCCGGCATTTCCCACTCATTCTCTTTATTAGCTCGATGATCAACCTTGCTCCCTGCTCTCGAGTTTCTATGCTCCGCGAATGCAGCTTGCAGGTTGCCTCTGAGTTCCTCCACCTCCTGCTGACGTTCAGGCGACTGCTTCCATGTCTGAGACTGAGGCTGATGCCAAGAGGAGGGCGGCGATTGATTCGGGGTTTGAGGAGCAGGAACAGGGGCAGGAACGTCGTGAAAAGGATGAGGTGGATTGTTATCATTATCGTCATTAGGAAATGTTGTCGGCCACTGATCATCATTCTTCTGGGTCTCCACTCTGCGTTCTGTATCGCGCTCGCGCCTCGGAGGAGCTCGTGTAGCCTGTTCGGGTATCGCCTGAGGAGCTGGATTCAGACGGTCATTGCCTGATTCTCTGACACGCACTTCCACCCAGCGTCTCCCTCCGGCTCTGGTGTTCGACTGGGTGAGGGTGACCAGCTCGTGAGCCCCTTGACGATGTCTCACTCCGCGGTCTCTGAGCTGCTTAGACCACCATATGTTGAAGAGGTAGGCGCCGACTATGAGAGATAAGAGCAGAGGGAGGAGAATAGCTGCGATCACCGTGTTACCGTTCATCTCGGTGTCCGGCGTGGGGTGACTGCTTCTAGTCCAAGTCAGTTTTAAGAGACGTGAGAGTAGCCATGCATCAACACACGATTATAAAAGCCGCGTGAAGCGTAGTTGAGAGGCTAAGAAATTTCTCAAGTGCGCGTTGGCTTTCGCGGGGCATAGAGTGAAGAGTAACAAAGGCCCAGTTTGCGAGACCCATGGCAGTGGGTCAGGAGACCGCTGTGAAAATTGTATATTGAATTCTTCTATCATGAATATTTTAGCTTTCGTAAGGGTGAATCATTACTACCCTCCACTCCTCGGACCTTTTTCTATACCTCTAATAACACAAAATCAAGAACACTCCAATGCCGCCCGAATGCGCGTAATCCAATCGTTATGTACCAATGACGCTTGCCCATGGGCGAGCAGGACTTGAAGCTTCTCCTTCAGACACGCGACACGTTCCTGCCCCAGAAGCTTGGAGGCAGCGGAATCTTTGGAGACCGTAACAGTAGCCAAGGCAAAAAGCCGCACACCCAGAGTGAATGTTTCAGGCTTCGAGACCCAGCCTAACAGTCCGTCTTTTCCGGCAGGGTTTGCAAAAACATTTGCGAAGCAAGAAAGGCCATCTGATACCCATATAAAAATTGCCTGGATCGAGGCCTCATCGTATGACGTTTCCGTTAAGCCGATCAGTCGCTTGGTCCAAGCATCAACTTCACGAACGTCGTCGATGAACAGGTTCTGCTTCTCCTCCTCAAACAAAATTGTACTCTCCTTTCTAAGCTCGGAAAGAGTGGTAGAGACGGGCACAAACCGGGTCGTGAAAGTGCTGATCCGAGATTCTGAACCGACGATATAGGCAACGGCCTTCTTGGAAAGGAGCTGCGAGTTGTTGTAGCTTTCAGCAATGAAAACGGAAAGAAGCTCGCTGGCGTTCGATGGAGATAGAGCGACAGCCTTGGACCGGGATGCTGAAGAGTAAGAAAGGACCCATGAGGCGGTCGGAGCCGCCAGGTCACGCAATTCTTCATCGTCATCGTTCAACATATCATAAAGGACCAGGTAGATATCCAAGAATGCCTTGTCAGTAAGCGGAGGCTGGCCTGCAGGACGCAGAATGCGACCGAATGCTGAGATCGACAAGACCGCAGCAAGACGTGTAGTATATTCCTATAATTTATTAGCATGTGTGGTACAGACAAGTCCGATATTCGATTGACTTACTGTTTCTTCTTGCATGGCAAAGCGGAGTCGGGTTGCCCACTCGTTGATGTCGTTTTCAGAGTTCTGATTGTTGGAGGCGATAGCTTTGGCGGCAAGAAGACTGCCATGCAGTTGTAGCTCAGCGTCAGATCTGTCCCGATTCCAAATGTGCTGACTCGAGCCATGTTTGAGTTGTCCTTCTAGTGCTCCCCACGGAAGATCAATCTGGGGGAGGGTCTCATTGTGAAAGTCGAAAAGAGCTTGCAACTTCGAAGCCAAGCACGAAATGGCTATCGCCTTGACCTCTTCAGGGTAGTCTCCTAGGATGACAGAAGAGTACAGGTTGATTAATGTCTTTCCATACTGATCTCTTTGTCCGAAGATCTCTTGCAGCCTCTCCAACAACCACTGACCAGCATTGGGGTCGAAATTCGAAACTGTCCGAAGTAGAGGCTCCAGGTCGTTGACTTTCCCTGCAATAATCAACTGCAAGATTGAAACCCACGAGATCGCACGACGGAGGAGGGAGGAAGCACGAGTTGTGCTCAATGACTTCCAGGTTGGATGGTTTGGGTCGAATACAAAGTCCAGGATATCCTGGAAGGCATATTCATTCGCAACAAAGTCCAAGGTAGATGCCATCTTGTCTGTTGTGATCGTTAGCCATGTTTGACTTGTATTCGCCGCTACCAGCTTACCCTCAGAGCCGCAATCGATACTCTTTTCAATTGTGTCGCTCATAATTTCCAGAAGAGTAGTTGCAATGAAAGGAGACTCCGCAAGAGGGAACGACGCGGCGAAGATATCTCTTATCGTGGAGGATACTACATCGATGTTCTCTGCGTAGCGTCAGCAGAATGTTCATATGAAAGTTGCCTACGCGAGAAGACATACCGTTCCAGAAAGCGACGGAACTCGATGCAAACCGCCGAAGAGAGTATTTGATGCACAATGCTTCGCCGTGGAGGTAATCCTGCGTCTTGGAATCCCTCTCAGAACCCATCAAGGCCTTGACGTTAATCAGAATATCACCGCGGTGCAACAAGGATGCATAGACTCGAGCTGCGTGCTCCCTAATTCCCCATACGGGGCTTTTGAGCTGCTCCCGGACCAGACCACGCAGAACCTCATCTTGAGCGCCAGTCACGTCAGGGACCTTCTCAGCGATTAACTCTAGGGCTGGGAAGACACGTTCAGTTACCATCGCGGTGTCAGTTTGTTCGGCGGAGTTGTTTTTATCTGTTGGGGTGAGCAAGGTGGGGAGAAGTTCAAACAGGCCAGGGTATTTCTGGAAGGTAACTCTAGCGCCGGGTTCAGATCCAGATTCACCACCAAATCCTAGATCGGTGCCGGTGCGACACATGCGTGTCAATAAAGCACGGAACAGCATGAGACCAGAGTTGCGGAGAGCCCATCTACAGGAGTTAGTTTCAAGAAGGAGGTCATGCAGAGGAAAACTCACATGGGAGAACCGAGACGTTCAGCCGACAGATGCAGAGCAGGCATGATAAATGGTTCAGTATGCGGGCCGAGCTTAGTATTGGTAAAGATGTCTTTGAGGCAGTTCATAGCATGAACTTGAGGCAGCGGCACGTCTTGTCTAGTCTTGTCATGTTGTGCCGGCAAGTGGGAGATTTCGTGAAGCTCCTGTATGACTTGCTGGAACAGTGGCCCGCCTGGGTTTGACGAAAGAATCCCTACAACCAGTGCAGGAAGACCAGCCGAACGACGGGTAAGCTTAGATGCTGATTCGAAAATGGTTTTCTTGGCCTCCTATAACAGATTGTGAGAACGACGTTCACATCATTAATTCACAGAACCAAACCTTACTTGATAGAATCTGTGGGGCAGCTCCGAAATTGCTGGATCGCTCGACTGGCCACAACGTTGGCAGCAGGTAGCGAACGTCTGGGACACCGTTGAGAATGCACCTCTGTGCCGAAGCTCAGCCAGCTGTATGAAGCTCAGAGTTCCCAGCTTATCAAAGTGTTGTTCTGTGAGTCCATTGTCACCTGGAGGGCTATACGATTTGTTGGAAAGCGTGGCGTGGAGCAGAAGACTATACGAGTCAGCGGTGTCTTTGAGGCCATTAAAACATTTCCTACCTCGATTCTCGAAGCGCACGCCAAGAATAAGAAAGGATATCCTTGGGGCCAACACCCAACTCCTCAATAGGATCGTCTGTATGACCCTCTGGAGAGTCGATGCACAGAACAGGCCTAACTTCGTTCCAAATCCGGTCACAAACATGCACAATCCTCACATGGAACGCCCTCCAGTTATCGAAGTTCGTGGACTGATGGGAAACCAAGGAGTAGAAGTTGGGAGTTGCGACAATGTATCTAAGAGTTGAGTTAGCGAAGTCTGCCGAACCTATGCAGATAAAAAGTACCTGAGTGCAGAGATGTAGCCGTGTAAAGGTGCATCACGCATAGAAGAGTTGAACAGACCGCCGGAGGAGGAAAGCTTCTGCTCCAATTTTGCTAGGAGATACTCGACAACCGTAGATTTCGCTTCCCACCACTGTGAGGCAGTAGTTATACTTCCAGACTCCGCAGCACGGAAAAGTATATGGTAGAGACGAGCAACGGTATCTGCATAGTCAGCTCTGCTGGTGTTGCTTGCCATCTGCTCCGCCTTTGTCAAACCATCAATGATCTGAGGTGTCCCTGTCAGCAACTCGCCCTGTGGCTGTAAGTCACTGCTGAAAAGAACTTCACGCGGGAAAAGGTTCAGTAGGTAAAGGGATGTCGCTCGGACTTCCTCGAATGGGTCAAGGAGGAGGTCCACCAACAGCCTGAGCAAAGTTGGCTCGAAGATGTCCATATTGCAAGCCCAGCGACTTTTGTTACCATCTGTAGCGCTGAAGCGGTGATCCAGTCCGGATTCAATGAAGAAAATCAATGTCTTTAGCGCAGCGATATGACGTGGGTAAGAGGCCGTGGGTCGCAAGTCTGCCTTGAGAAAACGGATGTACTCATCCAAGCATTTTCTAGTGACAGAGGAATTGAAGAAGTTCTGTTGATCTTCCTTGTTACTAGTAACCTTTTCGCTTTTCAAGCGATCTTGGTCTTCCAAGATTCCGCCTTTCAGGCGGACCACCAGCTTACGGATCAGACTCAACACTTCTCCTCTCGAATAGGACTCTGATTCACAATGCAGAGAGGGTAACCCATTGATGATGGCTTTCATTGTAGCGGATGATACGGCCTTCGTTGACGAAGGCGCACTGATCAATAGAGACAGTGTCGCTATCCTAATGGTCATATCGCGGTGGAAGAGAAATTGGCCAATCACCTCACTCTTCAAGACGAATGCACGATCAGCGTCAGCAGCGGTCGAGCTTGGTTTGCCAACATAGTCTAATGTCATGAGTGAGAAAGAACACTTCAAATCGACGGGCTTTAAACTTACGATCTTCGTGAACGAGTCCAATCTTCTTTGCTACCTGCAGAGAGGCGAACAACACCATGAACTCAGCCATGGGAGCATCGCTCATATCACAAGAGAGCAGATTCTTGAGAGGAAACCTGTCGATAAATGACCTGAAACCAATCGTATCGACCTCAAAACAAGGCTGGAGGATGTAATTGGACATGTACTCCAAATCGTCCAAGGTTCTTAGTGTGACATGACGGACAGGTGCCACCCAGACAGACAACAGGTGACGGAGATCGGGTGTAGCCTTGATTTTCTGGAAAAAAGCAGCCATAAGATCACCGGATGACGCTGCAAGCTCTGGTTTAGTCGCGCGAGCTAGTAGGCCTAGAGCAAAGATTTCAACTGTCGTTCGTGATGCATCTTGTGCTGGTGTGCTATTCACAGGGGCACTACGGATGTAGGGCGATACATCAATTGATAGCGCCTTACAATCGGCCTGATACATAGGGACCCAGCTCTCATGTTCCGCATGAAGCCAACCGTCGAGAAGTGATATCAGCTCCGAAGGCACAATCGCATTCTTGCGCACGATCATCTCAAGCGACGCGAAAGAAGCTTTAAGACGAGCGCGAGGTTCGCCAAGCATAATGCTGGGGATGGTGAGCTCGACAATCTTCTTCTGGAGTGAAGATCTATCAAATTGCTTGCGGGTTTTAGCCAGCAGCAGGACCAATGACTCCATGACCTGCTTCATTGGCTTGGGCTTGGCATCCTTGTATCGAGTCATAAAGACGTCGAACACAGACAACCAAGTCTCGTCGCAGTAGACGAGTTGCCTTGTGGACTCATGGTTGGACACTAGAGCTGCATCTAGGAAAGCGCTCAAGGCATTACATGCGGCTGTCGTGTGAGAATGCGAAAGAGAAGCGGTAGAATATGTGTCTAGTAAATTATGATAGACCCGGCTCACTTTCCTTTTGGGTATGTTAGGGCATTTGATAAGACAGATAGAAGTATCGGCGACAACAGAGTTTCAACAATTGGAAGAACGAATAGAGGTCTTACTCGGGGTTATCACATGCATGGGTGAATTTGACTAAGGCACCCTTGCCGATTTGCTTGAGGGTATCTTCGGGCAAGATTTGCATATGCTGGGTGATGGGCTCCATCTCTAGGAGGGCGGCATCCACTTGGACGCCAGAATTAGCTTTTCCTGCCATGGACTTAAGGAAGTCGCATGTCCATGCAATGGCAACCTCTGGCAGATTTCAATCTAAAATAAAAAGAAAAGAAAATACTCAAGTTGGGGTAGATAAGTGGCCCGTCTCCCCGCGTTCTTGCTCATCGACTTTTGCCTTCTTGTGGATTTTCGAGAGCGGGTCTCCGAAAGGGGTTAGTGTCGGCCAAACGATGTTCCGTTGACGCCTTCCGCCGGCGAAACTCGCAAGAAACTAAGCAAAGGTTGAATTCTGTCACGCCGAGTCACGGGGCTGAAGTTTTTGTTCTCCGAGACCTTAACAAACTTGAAGTTAGAAGTGTCAGAGCTCAGTCCATCTTCGCGACAAGACCTTCCCACCCTCCCAGCAAGTGCCCGCTGGCCAGTGAATTTCCGTTTCCTTTCCTTCATCTCCTTCTTCTCTTCTTTTTCTCTCTTGTATTCTATTATAATATCTCTCAATCCTCCTTCAAAATGTCCATTTGGGATTCGCTCAGTGGTCGCAAACAGGACAAGGGTCCCGGCGCCTTCGACCCTACGACTGCGCAAGATGCTACCTCCTTCCTCTCCGAAGTCGCCATTCCCGATCCTACCCAGCTTCATCCCCTCGCTGGCCTGAATCAAGATACCCTCGACTACATTTCCCTCGAAGATTCCGCCCTAGACCAGCTCCCCGGTGACCGGTCGGTGCTGCCCTCGCGCGGATGGTCGGACGATCTGTGTTACGGAACTGGAACCACCTATCTTGCCGGGTTGACTATTGGAGGTGCGTGGGGTCTGGCTGAGGGCCTTAGGAAGACGCCGGTAACGGCACCCCCGAAGATCCGCCTTAACGGTGTCCTGAACTCGATCACGAGAAGAGGTCCTTTCCTCGGTAACTCCGCAGGTGTGGTGGCTATGGTATACAATGGACTCAACTCGGGTCTCGGATACGCGCGTGGCAAGCACGACGCGGCCAACAGCATTGTCGCTGGAGCTTTGAGTGGAATGGTGTTCAAGAGTACCCGGGGACTGAAGCCCATGCTGATCTCCGGCGGCATTGTGGCGGGTGTCGCAGGATCTTGGGCCGTACGTGCTTCCCCAGGCCTCTTCCGTGTCTTTACGTTCAGATTGCTAACACTCCCATAGGTGGCAAGGAAGACATTCCTGTAAATGCCCGGCCAGTCTAGTCCGTTGTATTTTAGCACTCGAACCGAACCGACGGCCTTCAACCGATGTTGCGTTCGAGATCCCATATGATGTGTATGGCTTGTTTCACCAAAGCGGGAGAGGTTGATTTGTTGCTTCAATTTCGATATGTCCACGTTGTATTAGAACGGTTGTTTTTTTATTTCTCCTTCTGTCTTACAGATCTCTTCCCTCTGGCGCACAAAGCATCTTTCTCGCATTATCCATGGTTTGGACCGGCATGGAAATGGATTTCTGTTAACTTTCTGTACATATAACGGTCTCCTGGGTTTGTGGTTCTTGCGGGCGAAACTGTTGCAGGTTTCATTTCGTCATATCAAGCAACCTTAATGTTAGTTCACAATGAAATGAACTGGACTAATAGCTATCACAACTAATGCTAAGGTTTCCACGCGTAGGTGCACAGCTCATCAATGATTGCTTTCCCGCGGCTTCCTCGCTTCCCCTTGACATGACATGGGTAAGTCAAGGTGGTCTCGTGCACCGTATGCCTCAGGCGCCAAGGGCTTTACCTGATATCGACAAGCAGTGCTATCGAGCTTGCAGTTCAATTACTACATGAAGCTGGGGTGAGGTTATTTGCATTGCAGCCTTGAGAAGAGAAACGCCCAAATCCGTGTGGAAAAATGCCTTGCCAGATGAACCTAGGTTTGAGACTCAACCCTGCGGTGGGATTTATGGTGACCTTCAGTTGATAAAATGATGCTGGGTAATCCGAGGGAATGGTCAATTCGTTTTAGTTCTCTATGAAACCTTTTTTGCCCTTTCATCTGCCAGATCACTTAGTCCTGTCTTGCCTCACACAAACTTTGCATATACGATTATCACAGAGACTTGTTTGTAGACTCCAGTATCTGCCACGGTATCTACCTCAAATCTCGACCCGAAGCTCTGAACACTACAATCATATTCACATCTCTACATCCCCATCGCCAGAATGACTTTGTTCAACTTTCAAGGACGCGAACATGTCGTCGACCGTCGCATATTCGAGATTCTCATCCAGGTAGCTCTCGAAGAAGGCGAGTCCCTAGCTCAGGTGCCAGGTTTTCCGTTTTTCTTTTGTGGAGGCCAGGGCCGGGGATAAAATCGACAAAGAGACCAAGCACGAGAGCCCATTGTGGTGCGCTATAATGTGAAAGTCGACTATTAAGAGCCGGAAGATGACCCTATTGAAGCCAGAGAGTTTGCGAGGAACCACTCACTGCTCTTACGAGATGGAGGTGATCAAGAAATTCTCTGTGGCCGGCAATGGTCCCAAGTACTTGGGCCACAAGGGCCAGAAACAGGTTGACTCCAAGCCGTAGTCGGACCTTTCCATACGATTTATCGTCATGCAAGATGCTCCATGATATGACCTCGAAGAGATATGTGATGAGTTGACCCTCCCGGTTCTAGTATGAGGCGAGGCACGCAGTCGAATGTATGACCTTCTGAGCGATATAGCACTTTCATGCCTTCCAACCTTTCAAGATCATAGTTTTGATGCAATGTATTTGGAAGGTGAATTGAGGTGTGATCTCAAGCCATTTATCCTTTGATAGACCTAGATAATGCTGGGGATTGGATGCGAGGCTTGGCGCGGGGCGGCGCTGGAGGAGGACTTACTCTTTTGGGAAACTCCACAGGGTCGCCGGGAGTCCCGGGCCAGAGTTCGTTTCCGTCAAGAATAGTTAGGCAACAACAACTTCGATTCACTTGAAGGAATCCTCCAGTTACTTATTGTGGTGAACAATACAATGATGTCTTAGTCCATGGACCAGTCACATCGCGTGGAGGAAACTGGATCGCATCAAACCGTGACTTGCCACTTCATGCCAAGATGTTTGTCTCTATATTTGGTATGGTTAATTTGATTGATACGAAGAGCCATCCCGCCCTGATTCTGTCTCTATCTACACATGACAGACTCGATACACTTGAACCGGATCTGATCATATCTGTCAGAGCTTGCAGTCTCTAGATGGATAAGTTTTCCCCTTGATCGAACCCTGCCAGACCCACGAGGTCTTGTAGCAGATGTCAGTCACGTCGTTGACCCTCTCCGACTACTATCTCCAACACGTTGCGAATGTAGGTCAATGAGAAAGACGGTACAGCACACAACTGAACGATTCTAGGGGCCTGAAAATTGTCAACCTATTGACCCAGGCTGGCAGTGCAAGGTGTATGAGTCCACCGTTGGTCGATCGACAGCAAGCAAAATGCCCTAAGTGGATCTTCTTTAGGCCGTAGGCCTATGAAACCACATACTCCGCAATCCGTACCCTGGACCCTGATCCAGCTTCGCTTTGCTCCTGATGGAGCATGCTCCGACTATTTTTTCATCCATCCACTGGGCAATATAACTGGAAAACATCTAATATAAAACTAGCCATGGCAGCTGCTAGGGGTCTTTTCCCGATCCCATCAAAATGGGTCTTGGAAGAATCATCAACTCGCTCTTTACGTATGTGTCTACGCGCCGACTGACGGTTTTAGCTTTGGTTATACTTGCCTGGCTTCTGTGCTCTCTCCATCCTAGTCTCGATCTTTATGCGAATCAACAAGCACTCAAGGAGCCTCGCGAGGACGAGTACAAGGCTCGGTTTCTCTACACTTCCTCTTTCCGACGCAACCCTGACCTTGAATATGAGAGACGACTTGCGAACGCTCTGCAGGAGCTGGAGCGGGCTGTGCTGGAACGGCATAAGGGAAACAGTGTGGCGGAGGACAGGATATGGCAGATAGCGAAGGACGCAAGTCAACGGGGGCCGGATTCGATCTACCTTCAGGAAAGGAACCCCGGATGGGCGTACACCGTGAGTACTCCGTTGGAATCACCGGTATCGCAACCAGCTAAAGCGACGACGGTCAGTTAGTGAGCGATGCGGAAGCTTCCAAATTTGTGGCCGACAAGTTCTCGGCCATTCCCGAAATCGCCCAAGTATACGAGTCGTATCCTTATCATGTTCTGCGAGCAGATCTCCTCCGCTACCTTCTTCTCTATTACTACGGAGGCTTCTATGCCGACATGGATATCTATCCCGCGCGGCCCATCAACGAGTGCCCGGCCCTACAGTCAATCCCGAAACCTACTGTGGACGATCCGATGCACAGTGGCAATGTGTCATTGGTGGTGGGAGTCGAACTGGACGAGCCCTACGCCTCTCCCAAAACCATGCGCTTCTGGCATTGGACCCGAAGCTACGGATTAATCCAGTATACGATGTACGCGCCTCGACGTTTCAGCCCACTGCTCCGCGAGATCATTGTTCGATGTCTGTCGCACTCTCGGCAATACAATCAGCAGCACGGCGGGATCCTAGGCAGATTCAGTTACAACAAGAACGCTATTTTAGGGATCACCGGCCCCGATGTCCTCACCGATGCTATTCTCGACGCTCTGTCCTCATCGCTCCCTGCCTCCCACCCGTTCGTCCAGAAGTCTGTGGGTGTTGATCAGGACATCGGTGATCTGATTTCATCTGAGGGGAAGATCCAGAGACGGGTCACATGGGCTCCCTTTCACGATCTCAGCGAGCCTATCTGCGCCGACGCCACTGAATCTATCCCTGGGACACCCATGGGAGGGCTTTGCGTGGTGCCTATCAGTGTATGGGGAAACGGGCAGCGACACAGCAAGGCAGAGGGTTTCAACAGTCCACACGCATGTCTCAATCATCGCTTCGGCGGTTCTTGGAAGAAGGGTTGGCGCGAGCGTCTATTTGGATGATAGAAATGATGATGCACATACAGATTTACACATAACAAAAAAGTTCCTTCGGTGCTACAACCACTTTTCATGTCCATTATGATTATTGACCCCTTCGACTTGTTTCGAGTATCGGTCTGACGTGCAATCCATGTTGAATAGTTGTAGCTTACGCTCTTGTTGGGCTACAGCCCCCGCATCTTGCTACCTCGGTCTCAGTTCTCTGGCGTCGTTCTTTCTCATCTTTACATTCCACCAAGCATAATGAACCAACTCTCTATCTCCTTGCATAGCGCATTTACGTTATCATAGAGCCTCCAGTCAAATGCATGTATGAGGGTCCAAGGCTACCCAATCAAAGACTGGCCAGTACGAACCTATCAGAATGCACCAAGTGCCAGAGACACCTCAGCAAACAGACATCTCCCCATGTTCTCCAAGGCTTGCTGTACCATCATGAAACTCCAATGAAATTCCTACCCATGGAAAATAATTCCTGTCTTACGCGATTGTGTTCATCATTCATATACAATGATGTAAGCACTGTGAAAGCTGATTGAGCTCGCAGGCGCAGAGTAAGACGACAATGGACAGAAGTCTACTGTCACGGACCGCAGGAACAACAACCGTTGGCCAGGTCGCAGCGACGTTATACATCACGGTTTCAGCGTATGATCTGTTCGTGTGTCTTCAATCGGCTCGTTTGAACCCCGCTCTTCGACGTTTCAAAATCAACTGAGCCTCAATATGCACGATCCATGTCCTTCACCAATGATTCGATACTCCAGATCGGATCGATTCAGTCCGGCCACGGGTACGGAGTACTCTCTATCACATCTGTGTATCCGACCATCAAAGGGAACGTGAATCCGACATCGAATACGAGAATCAGAAGAAACAACTCCATGTCGCCCTCAAGAGAAAATATATAAGACGAGCGTGAACTACACATCTTAAACTCTCCCCTATCCTTCACTATCCACAACGAGGCAGGCCCAGGCCAACTCCCCTATCTCAAGCCTAATTCACTCATACCCTCAACAAAAGCAACAAAAATGAAGTTCCTCATCCTGGTCACCGTACTCCTCGCCCCCCTCGTCTCCGCCGCCGATATCTGCCGGACCTCCAGAGACAACTGCGAGGGAACCCGAGTGTGCTGCAACGGGATCCACGAGGGCCAATGCTGCAACCTGGGCGCCACCGTCCGTCATATCCGGTACACGCTGCCTGCCGACAGGTGAGTTGTCTCAACTTTCCCCCGAAAATGGTACTGGGTACTGGAGGAAGAGCGGAAAGAGCTAGATGTAATGATGATCATGACGATGATGGCTACAGTCGCGGTCGATCCTGGACCGGAAACAGCTGCCAGGGCGAAGTACGCACTTTCCCCAATCGCCATGCTGGCACGAGCTGCCACAGGCCGGCAAATCCTGGTGGTCGGTCGGGCAAGTGGCTCCGCGGGCTGGGGAGTGCCGACGAGGAAGAGGGGGATGTCGTGGTCGAGGCGCACCACTCCTGTGCGGAGCCGAATACTCTCTACTATGAGGGAGAGGATGGACTGGAGGAGAGCGCGGCGCTCCCCGGTCATTTGAGCGCCGATGAGGTTTTGGAGGCGTTGGAGAGAGGGGTTAGTGTCAAGACCTTGATTATTCAGGAGATCAGGGAGTAGATGGTCTTTCGTGGGGCTATGGGGTTGCTTGAGTTGAGGTAGAGCCTTGGGTTGTGTTGGCCAAATTGTATACTTTCTTTCTAGGAGCATCTGCGCTGATCTTGTCAACACCTCCAACTGTCCCAATAAATCCCGCGCTGGTATTGTAGTTGAATCTACGTTCTTTCTGTATCGCGAAGTGCAGGTGTTGCCAGCCCACCATACGTTCTCTGGACAAGCCCTGAAAAGTTATCTCATTATGAGGAGCATTCCAGGGACCTAATCCCATTCTAAAAACCAACGACAGCAAGGAGTTCACATAGCAATAATCGGACATCGCTCCCCGCCCATCACGTCCAACCAGCCCAGTGTAAAGTTCCCGGTCTCTTTCCTCACAGCCCATACCTTCTGCGCCACCTTTGCAGCCGTGGCGAACGAAGAAACCGAGGTCTGACGTCCAGCATCCGACAACCACCCCAACAATTCTTCCTGTAGAGGCGGGTCGACCGCCTCGCACGCTGCAACGAAGCAAGGCCACAACAAACAGCGACTATGAGGACCATCTCCCGCGCTCAACTCGTCACACCTGTGCACAACCCCAAGGATTCTCCAGACAGTATACTGAAGCATCAGCGCATTGATCTACTGGACCCGTCGGTAATAGAACAGTATGAGGCTCTGGTGCACGGCGAGGGCCATATACTCGCTTGCATTGCGCCCGGTCTCCTCGCCGTTAGTCTGTCCTGTGCCCTCCTCTCGCATGGAGACATCAGAGCTCGTCGGTTTCCAAGAGAGAATCTGCTGTTCAACGACCTTGGCCCGAGAGTTCAGGTGCATGAGGATGTCGGCGTTGAGAAATGTGTCGCGGTGCAGGAGCTCTTGCTCGTTGACCATCGTCTGCGAAAGCAGGCCCATCAATGATTCAGGGATCAGGTAGATCTCCGGGAAGAGCGACTCGCGCTACTGGCCCATGATCTCGAGGTGGATGTTGTTGTGGCCGACTTCGTTGCTTTTGGTGATGTTGGTCTTGAGGTCTGTGTCTGTGCTGAGATCGGCGATGCGAAAGCTCTGCAGAGACTGGAAGGAGGACTCGACGGAGAGAAAGGTTAAGCTGGATCGCTGCGGGCATACGCTGACCATGGCGCAGCCGCACGTGCTTTCCGCCATGATGTGCAGGTATGCATAGATATGGTGCAGCGTGCGGACTTTGGGCGACTTGTGCGGTTTGGGTAGGCCTCGTTTGCGGATTAGGCATTATGCTCCAATCAGGAGGATTTGGGCATCAGTATGGCGTTCGCTGAGAATCTGGAGGATGGGTGAGCATGGCTGTTTTAGAATGGACGAAGTGAAAATGAGAAGAAGAATGTACCTCAAGCATCACCAGTGACAGTAGGGCCATGAGAAGTTCTTTGTACTTTGGTCGTTGAGCGCCCTTCACCTCGTCTGCTAGGGCAAGTTCCAGTCGCTGTTTGGCCGCCTTTTGATACAATTGACCTTATTTCTCCCATATGGTTGGATACTCAGCACGAGCCACGATATGAAGGCTACTCACAGAGAGTAGCGAATAGAAGAGAGACGGGCTTGTATGAGTAGGAATCTGCTCATTTGAGAGTCCGGCAAATGTTCTCAAAGCCACTGGCAGATGGATTCTCCGCCACAGACATTTTCGGACGCTTTTGAGCGGAAACGAAGAAGAAACTATACGATCCTTGAAATGGCGCAGCAGTTCGGGCGCACCCGGAGGGATCAGCTTGCAGGCACTCGAAGTCGAGTGTGATATCAGAGAAAGTGGCGAATGTTCCTTCGGCAGAAGTGTAGTGGGAGTCGACATATTGAAAGCAAGGGCTGGCATCGACATGTCCATCGCTGAAGGGGACGCTATTCGCATCATCATCATCGTTCAGGGTGAGCTCACAACATGGCCTGCTAGGCTTAGGTCAAACTTCGCAGTCAATCAGTGTCCCAAGCCGGCCATGACATATCCCATCCTTGCTGTGAGGTTCTTACAACGCCTGCAGCTGGGTCGAATCAGTCCTTCTCGGCAGTTGCTACTGAGTGGATATCCAGAACATTAAACAGTCCCTGGAACAAGTTTGAGTTAGGTGATAGAGCTGTTGCTGTGCAGGACTTGGTCTTTCGGTCCAAGTAGGCCAAGGCAGCACTCGTGCTTCGCTTGCCCAGGCTGTCAACAATACTCTGTGTCACTGAATCTTGCTCATCAACTATCACCAGGTGAGACATGGTTAGACTGACTCAGAAAGAAGTCTGACTGTACCTGAGAACAATGGCCGGCGGAAGATGCGCTCCTCCGTCTCCTCGTTTTGCGGACTCTCGGTACCTTGACTCCATTTGAGTTGACATGTATAGCCAGGGCAGACCAGACCACCGATCTGCCACAGCTGGCACCGCGGACGAGCTTCATCGCATTTCAAGTGACGCATACGGCAGGCGCCGCAGCCTGTAAGAGCATGGTTGCGTGTTGCCATGACACGTGGTTATAGTAGTATCAAATTTTGCGATGGTGAACAAGAAAAGCTTGGGTCAAAGGCAAGTTCTCCTGAGGAAAGAGTGGCGATGGTTTGTCATCCATTCAGGGGGTAGATCAGTCACTCTCTTATGATAAAATGTCCCAACCAGTGCTTTTGATAGCCTGCGATGCTAACGCATCTTCTTTAGGGACGTAAGAAAGGGTATGAATGTATGTATACAAGTTTGTCTGTCCCCGTAACCTAGTGCATAGTCTGAGAGATAGTGCGTTTGAGTCCAAGTGATAAGAATTTCTCCTTATTGTCTGCAAAGCCCAGACAGAATGGTCGTAATGAACAAGATCGCTTCTCGCGGGATGAGGAAAGGCACGGTCGAAGCGTTGTGGTGTTGGAATGAGCAGACCGAGACCTGCTTGAGGGGTCCTCCGTGAAATAATCGGGAGTGCCTTCCTACTTTTCATTGCGGCCGAATGTGGTTGGTGATTTGACGGAAGTGGAACAATTCTCTTTTTTTCAGGATATCCCGAATGCCCTAACTGGTATGAGCAGGAAACCAGCCTTAGGAGTGTCATACAGAGTGAAAAAGCCCTGTTATAAAATGGTCATGGCGAACACTTCGACGGGATCAGCAGACTTCTAAGTACATCGTTCTCTAGCAGTTGTTTCTGAACCACATCTTTTTTTGGCCAACATGTCGACCAGCAGCTATCCCACCACTCCTCGTCAGAGCCACTACAATGTGGTCCTCATAGGGGGCGCTACCAGCGGGGCATCAATTGCCTGGCATCTGAGCAACAACCCTGACTTCAATGAGTCGGTTCTGGTCATTGGACGGGACCCTTCGCTTGAGTACTCCGCAATTAAGGCGAGCAACAATTGCATGCAACAGCAGTTCGCAGCCAAGGTCAATAAAGAGATTGCACAATACGCGGCGGAGTTTGTCAAGCGCTTCGATGCTAGCTTTGTTCCCGACCCCTGCGTGCCCGGAGTGGCGGTCATGGCGGGCACCAAACTCTCGGTCGAGGCTCGACGACGCTACACGTACATCTTCCCCGTGAACGAGCCCCTTCCGCAAGACTTGCCCTTGACTATTGATCCGTCCGGGGTTCATTTCCGATCGTACGCCGCGAATGACTATCTCGTGGGCTGTCCGCCCATCGGGCCGGATGTTGCGGTGGACGTGGACGACTTCAGCTTTGCGGAAGACGCGTGTGAAAAGAAGATCCTACCAATCATCACTCTCCAGATCCCTTAGTTCTCGATAGCTCGGGTGATCAATTCGTGGATGGGACACTATGAAATCAACATCTTTGACCGTAAAGCCATCGTCGGCCCGTACAATAGCATGAGGAACTTATATTTCTGTGCAGGTTTCTCCGGGCATGGAAGTCAGCAGGTCCCGGCGTGTGGGCGTGCAGTGGCTGAGCTGATCACTTACGGTGCATTCAAGACGTTAGATTTGAGCGTGCTGTCGTACTCGCGCATGCCCGAAGGGAGACCGTTGACGGAGCGGGCTATGATCCGACTCTCTGAGCTGAGTGAGGCATGCTTGATGCGGGTCGGGGATGTGGGAGGACTGCCACAAATAGATCAAGTGTATTTACCCAGCATGCATCACAAGGAAGACACGTGCCTGGGGAGGTCTAGCATTTTGCTAGGGCCTCTCCTCTAACAATTCAAATTCAAGCGGCGGAATGGCAGGCTCTATCGCATGAACAGAAACTGTACTCTACTTGAAGAACCAGAAACGTCGAATATAGCCACAAAGTCCACTTGTACTCAAATCATTTACCTACTTCAGCCGACGTCACATCCCCCGACCATAACAGTGTACTGTACAGTACATCAACACCGAGGCCGAACTCATTCCCTCCATTTCGATAGGAAGTCCTTCATATTCTTACAGTATGACCGACCTCAGCCCAAACCCCCTTTCCACGCTGATTCTCCCCAGTTCCTCCTACAGCAACCCTCCACCGATGACACCAGCAACCAACAACGCAACCACCCCAACAGCCTTCTTACTGACCCTCGCAACAATCCCCGCCCCGCTGGTCGAGCTCGCCGACGCACTGGACCCGGTCCCAGTCCCCGAACTCTTCCCCTTCTTGGTCGAAGTCGACGTCGACGTGGCCGTCGCCACGATCGTTCCGGCCCCGGTCGTGGGGACACTGCCTGTGGCAGTAGCGTTGGCGTTGGTGTTGCACCAGACCTCGCCGGCTTCGGAGGCTTTGATGAGACACTCGGCCAGGGTGCCAATGGTCTGGCCGTCCGCGAGACAGTAGTAGTCGCAGCTGTCGTAGGAGACGACGTCGGCGGAGCCGCAGCAGCTGGTCATAATGGCCGAGTTGTTGCCGGTCATGGGCATGGCGCAGGCGGCGTCTTTGACGGGGATATCGTACAGCTTCTGGTGGCAGGTTGAGGTGGCGCTTGCCGCTGTGGTGGTGGCGGTGGTGGTCAAAGACATTGTGGATGATAGGTAAGTAGTGAGAGTGTTCTTGGTGGAGAGTCTTAATTATCTTGATTCAACGTCTGGATGAACGAGTGTAAGAATGAGATGATGGTAAAAAGAGTGTTGGGTGGTGAGATGTGGTCGTTAGGGTCGCGTTACTTATACGGAAGATTGCCTGGAAGGGAACCTCTGTAGAATACTTAGCCCGGTGGATGGCTAAGCGGAAGTTAGGCGAATTGACCGCTGCGACTGGCCCCAGATGCATAAATACTGACTCCACTGCAGACCCTCTGTCTGGTCCAAGGGACCAGTTACCTTCGGAGTGTATCCATTTCTTCTAATTATGGGCCTGCGAAGCCAGCCGATCCCGTCTTTTGGGACTTGGCTCGGCATCAAGTCATGGAGTATAGGCTGTCTGATGGCTGTGCTGGGACTACCCTACATCCTTCAAGCAATCTTATCCTAATACCCATCCTTATGCAGAGGTTTCAGATGACGCGTCTTTTCTTTTACAGGTAATCATTTGAATAGCCTCGTCCATCGTCAACGGCTAGTCCAATATGCTCAAGCTAACAGTATCATGATGCAAAGTCATGTGGAGGCTGAGCAGAGCCTTACTTAGGCACAGGTTGAACACCTTCGAATGACCCTAATATCTACGTCGCACCCCATAGAGTCGATATTCTGGCACGCAGAATCATCTCCAGTTTGTCGATCAGTAGACAGACTCGCTGTACACTGAGTATCATACCAGAAGGCCTTACTAATATGAATGGCTCAATAATCGCCCCTATACAGGCCTTCCAGACAAACCAACCCAGACTCAAGCGGCGACACCGCCTCAGACAAAGAGGAAGGTATAGCGATTCCGGCATCTTGGTAGCAAAGCTTTATTTCGTGCCCAGGAAATGAGGCTATAACTTTTCCCAGAGTTCAGTGGCCACCGGTAAGGCGAAAGAGCATCCTTGGCTTCGCTTAGCAGGCCGCCAAGATCTATAGGCCAGTAAAGCCATGGATTCATTCTTTCTTCGCTAACGATAGAGTCGGGAGCCAGGACACAGCCACTGCTGGGATGATATTCTTGTACGGCTTTAAATAGGATGGCTGAGCTATTGATAGTGGTACTGTGAAAGATGAAAGCGGGTCTGGCGGTTAAGAATTGAAGACGGGGCCGATGAAAGGTCGATTCAAGGTCCGGGTGGAGAGCCCGGGTAAAGTTTATTCAGACCAATACCTTGGATATTGCTGGATTACTTCCTGCATCAGTCAGGAGATCAGGTGTGATACTGCGCAATGAGCTCACTGTCCTTGGTACCCCTATCTGTAAATGCAAATGATTGCTTTTCGTGATGAAGCCTTGCCAAGTGATATGAATGAGTTCTCCTGCTGGAGTTGTCTGGTTAGCGATTATCTTGTATATCATCATTAGGAGATCGTGGAACACCATTAACTCTAAGCTTTTTTTAGGTGGATATGTCAATACATGGAGTATTTGAAAGAATGTAAACCCTATAAGTCCAGATGCTGCCTATCCTTTTTCAATGTTGCTCTTTCTTCATTACCTTTTAGTCCTGTCCAGCCACGCGAGTATTGATGCCAAAGATCAAATGACGGAGTCGATGGTGCTTGGACTCGATAAACTGATGCGGAAGGAAGCAGGGCTCGTTTGACCGCAGATGATACCTCTTGCAGAAAACTGACCATATGGTATCCCTTGAGTCAAAATAACCGACCCGTGCCCCCAATCCTGCAGCCGAGTCCTTATTGAAGACATCCATATCAAGACTACTAAGAAGTGGCTAGGTGAATCAAGCCTACAAAGTGCTTCTATTGTTCGCAACGGTGAGAGCAGACGGTAAGCCTTTTCCCCGCCCGCGCGCCGAGACGCTCTGCGGAAGAAGCCTCCGTATCCCATCGCATCACAACCAATTCCCTGGACACGAACCACTCGGTACTGTACCTCGCACCTCAATTGAGGGCACCACAATGGGAGCGCGATCTTATCGCTCGGGGTCGCACCGAACCTGGATCCCCCGAACGGAGGCGCCGAATCATATTGTTCCCACTTTTTGGGACGACTACTGAACTCGCTAATGCTTGTCTGCAATGGTCTGAAGAGAGGGTGGAAAAGATTGGGAATATCTTGCGCAAAGCGAGCCCATCAGAGCCCAGTTGATAATTACTACTCCCTCGATGCGCGGTCCGCCCTCATTCTCTCTTGACCCTGGAATTCCAAGGGTCGTCTCAATTTCAAGGTCTAAGTGCGATTCGGTTCATCGGTTGGCTGTGGATCAGATGGTTGATCGGTATGGTTTAGATATGTCATTTCAAATAATACCATCGAGATACCCTCATCCGACGCGCCTCAGATCCGTCAGACGATCTTGCAGGGCATTCTGCCGAATTAGGCGATCGATGTCATCACGGTTGAATAGGTCTTCGACGCGTTTATTCGGTCCGGACCGGCTGTATACTAGATTCCGTTGAGCAATGGGTCGATGGGATGGATTAGAAATTGATATCAATCCATGAGATCAAAGCACATCAAACAATCTGGACGGGTCCGAAATTCTTCCATTAGCAAACCAATGCTAGATGGGAGAGTGACCCTAGCAATTCTGCAAGGGACAAGAGCCCAGCGCTCGGAAACCTGCATCGGCGAAATTACCAGGGGGCACGAAGGGAATAGGCTGCCATTTCTTCAAGGAAGAGCAAGCCACAAGGCGTGATGCATGCATGCAGTGCTGCGTGATCACAGGGGGCACAGTAGCGCTGATGCCTCTGTACTACTGCATCATGCACATTGTCCCGAAACAGGTAATTAGACTTGTGAACTTGGAACCTTTGATCTGTTTCCCATTCTGTGACATCATCACCAGATATGTTTGTCTGTTGTCCAGATCGGGAGTGAAGATGGAGTCGAAACGGCGGTCTGTTCGCTGTCGAAAGTGTTGGGACTCGACACCACGGTAGTGGAGGAAGCTTGTCGCTGATAAGCCCGGTCGCACTGCAAACCTCCCAGTCCACGATGCCCCCGGAGGGAGCTCATCATCCGCTTCAGCGTGAGTTGGGTTCTTTCCCCATTTCAAGCTTATCGAAGGATTGAGTATTGCAGGATCCAATCCTGGTGGGTCAATGTTGGAAAATGGAAAATTGGAGGTAGAAGCAGGGCGTACGGTCCTTGGGCCGCGGGCACATATATATACGATGCTGTCCAGTACTAGCCGTTCTAAGTCATTGAAAGCCTGAGCCTTGACTCAAGTCATCTTACCATCAGATGATAAAGGTGAGTAAAGCTTCTTCATCATTAAGTTTCTAATCAATGCTATATATTCCTCCAATCCATTTTAGGCCATGGTTTCATATTCAAATTCGGGAGTATCGACTTCAACTATTTCACCTCCGCATAGACCTGCAACGCATCATACAAGCGCCCAAAAAGCCCACCATGCCAACCCGCGACCTGCACCCACTCACTCTCGGGTAACATAACCCGGAACATCCGTAACCACCCTCCCACAATAAAATCGGCATGACTGGCGCGAGCGCCGAGCAGAAACGGGCCACTGGGATCCCGAGCAAACAGCTTGCCCAACCCGCCGAGCGTCTCCCGGAACGCCTCCAACATCTTCACGCGCGCCTCACCCTCCAGCGCAAAGTCCTCCCACCCCGATACGCCGGCGCGGCGCACGAACTCCGCCTTGACGGCCTCCTCGGTCTCTGGGTCGAAGGGGAACCCCTGCACGGTCAGCTGGACGTGGGCGGTGAACGCGGCGTCGACGTTCACGTTGAAGCGCGCGTACTCGGCGAACTGGGGGCTGGAGTCGCGGGACTGCGTGAGCGGGACGACCAGTGTCGGGTCCTGCGCGAAGGTGTAGTCGAGCGTCTGCGTGGGGAAGAGGTCGCCCGCGCCTGCGTCGGGGTAGGTCTTTTGGAGATAGACGGCGATGTCGAAGGAGTCACCCACTAATGAGTCTGTGGATGGGTCGTGCAGGAGTGGCAGCGTGAAGAAGTCGCTGCCGTCGGCGAATTGACGTACCGCGGGCACTTGCAGGCTGCGCCGGAGCTTGGGAATGTCGGGTTGCGGTACCCAGGTCGTTTTGTAGGGGATGTTCTTGAAGTTGAGCGCTAGGCGGGCTTTCCACGGGTTTGGGGAGGCGCAGTTCTTCTCGACCGGGGGCCGTAGCGCGATGTCGTAGAAGGTGAGGGAATTGGAGGGGTGAGGGGTTGGAGTGGTGGTCGAGGTGGTCGAGGTGGTGGTGGTGGTGGTGGTGGTGGTGGTTGGCATGTTGGCGGATGAGGGGTCAATTGGTGATATGGAAAGAATGTCTTTTTCTTGTTCTGTTCTTCAACCTTTATATATGATGAAGATTGTGTTTTAGAAGAAGTGAATGGCTCGATGATTGACCTTAATGGTGCTATCGCTGCTGGCTGTATTATAGTCTGGTTGTTCGTGGCTACTGGCATTGGAAGTGGGGCAGATCGCGGGTGACCCATTTTGACTCATGATGAGTGATCGTTAAGCTTCCTCGCCACTGCTTTCTGTTGGCCAGAACCGAGGCCCAAAACAGTGGGTGCATCATCCGTCCACGGTTTAGAGTACAATCAATATCAATCGAACCCTTTTCTTAGTACCCTCTGGTTGGAGTAGCAATCGGCTGAACCGGTTCATAAACGATCTTGTAACGGGGGTCGATCTTAGAGGAATCGGATCTTGAAATTTCGGTCCGGGCCTTATAGATACACCAATAGATACACCAATGCTACAAATTGAGAACATTCTACACAATAGTACTCGTATTTTCAAACATGCGCGATCAACTCCCTGCTTCAGTGGCTTCAGCCTTGATGATTGTCGGATCGCTATACTCGTAAGAGTGCTGGGATGGAGAGAAGAAGTATACCTTCAGGTATAGGTAGTATACTTGGAACAGGATACCGCCTTCCCGTTCAGGTTCGATGCTGGCTTACGTAGCCTGACAGTTAGCATCGCAGCAACACCGCAGCAGGATCTCGATCGGCTACACGACTCTGGGCCAGGATAAGGAATCGCGGCGCGATGGGCGTCAGGATGGGATTGCTTCCACATCGCAGTGGTCGGAGTCTGGACGCTAGTGCCGACACTAAGGCAGTGTGGCCGATGACAATGATGATGATGTGCACAGTGCGTCAAATGATCTCGGGCGGAAAGTAATAGAACAAGGATATTATGAACTAATATACTGCCACTTAAAATTGAGATTAATCCGGTACCGCGGAAATGACTGGAGTCGACAAGTCTTAAATTAAGGAGAAACAGAACATAGGACCGCTGGACTTCCGCGACTGATTTCTCCGGAATGTCAAGAGACTGAAGACAGGGTGCATCCTCACGGGAATTTTTCCTGCAGTCCCGGATGGACCACTTTTTTTTGTGACCAAGTGTATCACGATCTGGTATGATCGCCCACTACAATGACAGGTCAAGCGGCGATGCATCCATCCATCGCTGGACGAACTCGACGGACCTCCTTCCCTCCCACTCAAACTTCAAGATTGTCCCGTTTGGGAATGTGCTACTGGCACTTTTCCGGTTCCGGTTAGAGGAAGGCTCATCGTCGAGAGGTAAGGATATGGAGGTCCAAGCCATTTGGAATTCATTTGGGCGAAGCAAGGCGCATGACAGGGGAAACTCTGGATTTATTCCAACTTTGGACTCGACTTGACTTCGGACTCACTCGGACTTGGTATTGGAGTGGATGACTAGCTACCAGAATTAGGCAGGTCGAGAGAGATAGATATAGATAGATAGACGGGGATCGAGAGATTAGTAGACGACTCTCGACGGAATAAGCCCGACTTATCTCTCTCTCTCTCTCTCTCTCTCTGTCTTTGCCGCAGTGCTCTCGCAAATGCAAGTTGCATTCAGACGGACTAGACTAGACTAGACTAGACTAGACTAGACTAGACTAGACTCGTTCAAAGCACCGGACTTCCATGTCTCTCTCAATTGCCTGTTTCTTCCGAGGCCTCAACCGCTTACCTCCTCCCAAAGCTGTTCCTAACTTGAACAGGCAAGATCCGATCCTTCCAACAAGGTTCCGCCCAGTTCTTCTGGGCCTTTTCCGCCAACAATATTACTTAATGCGGGGTAGTGTCCTTTCCTGGTCTTCACTGGGCTTGCCTCGTGGTGGCTAGACTTCACCACGCTAGTCCCAACCCGGTGAAATGTTATCAGCTGACCCCCGCGTGGATTTTTCCAACAGGAAGTCTTGATCAAGTGCAGGTGCAGGGCAGCGTCATCTCTGAAGGTTCTATTCTGGGTTCTTATTAGAGCGAGCTTTGCTTGCTTGCTTGCTTGCTTGCTTGCTGCAGTGGGCTGCTGAAGCTGGCTGGCTTACTTGCTTCCTGCTTCCTGCTTCTTGCTTCTTGCCTTCCTGCTATCTGCTTGCTTGCTGCTTGCTGCTTGCTTGCTTCACTCCCTCACACTGCACACCCTCGTTCATTGACTGGTCCTGGTTCAACCTTCCCAGTTCCCCATCTCCCCCTCTTCCTCCTCCTCTTCTTCCTTCCCTTCTTCTACTCACTCTTTCTCTCTTCCCTCTTCTTCTTCTTCCTCTTCCCTTGCCTCTTCTCATTTTCTTCTCTCATCCTACTACTCCTCCATTCCCTCCTATTCTTCCTATTGTTCTTTTGCCTCCGTTCACTTCCTATTTCCTAGTACAATACCTTCTCTTCTAATCTCCTGTCGAAGCGCTCTCCCTCCGAGCCTCTAGTTCGGTTCTCGCCCAGCGGTCCCTCCGAACCCCATTAGTGCCAAATTCAACGGGCGTTGCTTAAGCTTGACCCGAGGGATTTTTCTTTTCTAGGCAACCCCGACCTTACCCGCAGTTCTAGTACTCCCACGCCCCCAATTGCGCGCCGTCGCAACTCCTGTCCGGGCAGTTGATTGCAAAACCACAATTCGAACCTTACCATAGATCCCAATCCAAACTTCAATAAATTTCGTTCGATGGTTCATTCGGAGTGCTCTCCACCGACCGAAAGGTCAGGATCTGCCACGGCTCCTCACTCCGAGTCGCACGAGGCCAGCAAATCAACGGGTTCGAGTAACAATGAATTCGACCGGAATGCCTCAGTAATCCCTGCCAAAGGGAGTCTCGACTCCCCTCCACTATATAGCTTCCAGCCCCCGCCGCATCGCATTCATGACTCGACTACGCAGCACACCCCTCATCACCCGGTGCCCTCGCTGCAAATTCGTACCGATCTGCCTATCTTCAGTCAAATGAGCCCGCCGAGGGACGCCGACTCTCTGGTCCACCACAGCCTCTCATCAAGCAGTCTGCCCCGTCGCACCCCTAGTTTACGCGGCCTATTCGCCGCACCTCCCAACAGTGGAGGCTCGCTGTCGCCAGCGTCTATAATCTCCTCGCCGCAGCTGGTGGCCATGGGCGACATCACCCCTTTGCCGTCGCCCATCAGTGGCATGTCGCCATGGAAACACCCCCGGCGCAATTCCCAATCCCTCTCGCGGACCCCTTCCACGGTCTCACGGAAAGGCTCCAGCCTGAGTTTGCGACTTAGCGATTCGTCGCACATGATCGGCGCTTGCGAGCCTCGGCCACGAAGCAAACAGTACACGCTCTCGGACAAATTGCACGAAACTCCACTCGAGTCCCCGACAAAACCACGGTCCGAATCAGGCCCCAAACACGCGCGCAACCGCAGTCTAAGCGAATATGTCCCTCCCGGTCGAAGTATTCCAATCAAACCACGGCCCATTGTGGTCTCGGGGACCGGCGCGCCACCGGGAATCTCCACCTCCACCAGCACAGACTCGAATACGAACAACCTCCACCGGGAACAATATTTGGCAGTACATCGCGGAATCGCATTGCCGACTGTTCGCCCTCCCACCCCACCACGCAGTAGCCGTAGTGGACTTGATGAAGATGACAATGAGCCGGTGATCACCCCTGTCCCCGACACTGCGGATGAGATATATTCGGTGCGCTCGGTGCGCACGCAACAACGGCGGAAGTATCGCAAACTCCGTCAGCTGGGTCATGGAACGTTCAGTCAGGTCAGTCTAGCTGTGCGTGTGGAGTCGCGAGATAGCGACCCGGCGCAATACAGCTCCAGCTTGCAAGACGTTAATCTTGCGACTCAAAAGTTGGTCGCGGTGAAGATCATCGAATATGGGCCCGCCGGAGGCGCAGATGAGGAGCGCTTGGAGGTGTCTCTCAAGCGCGAGGTAGAGATACTCAAATCCGTCAACCATCCGTCCTTGGTGCAGTTAAAAGCCTTTGGAAGCGACGAGAAACGTGCACTCCTCGTTCTCGACTACTGCCCGGGTGGCGACCTGTTCGATGTGGCCTCTTCAAGCACGCGGCCCATGAGCTCCCCCGTGATTCGTCGTATCTTTGCCGAATTGGTGGCGGCCGTTCGCTACCTGCATGAGCACTATATTGTGCACCGCGATATCAAGCTAGAGAGTAAGTGTTCTTGACATGGTCACTTAGTACAAAGCCTAACCTGTGTCTTTCTCGCTCGCAGATGTCCTTGTCAACCTCCCTATCCCCGCAATGGAGAAGATTAGTGACTGGCGCACATACGATCGAGCGATTGTGACTCTCAGTGATTTGGGGCTGTCCCGACGGATACCGGAACCTCCGGAAAGTCCTCTGCTTCAGACACGCTGTGGTAGTGAGGATTATGCGGCGCCAGAGATCTTGATGGGTCAACCATATGATGGACGATCCACCGATGCATGGGCACTGGGGGTGTTGCTCTATGCGATGATGGAGAATCGACTGCCGTTTGATGCCTTGCCGGGCACTCGAGGCGACCCGGCAAAACTGCGAGCACGCACCCCCCACCGCATCGCGCGAGTCGAGTGGTCCTGGTACCGCTATGCGGACAGTGATGGCGAGTGGGATCCTGCGAAGGGCAGTGATCTGGAAGGTGCGCGAGAATGCGTGGAGGGACTCTTGAAGCGCAACACCAAACGAAAGAGTCTTGACGAGATCGCGGCATTGCCGTGGGTCAAGGATGCGATCGATGTTCCTGGCGGACTGAAGCGAGGAGACAAAGAAGTGCCGTAGAGCTGGTCTCTTGGCTCTGCCTTATTACCATTCTTACCTTTCTGTTTTAACCTTTACTTTTCCCCCTCTTTTTTTTTTTTCCTTTCCCGTTCTTATATTTCTGTGTTGTTCGTGCACTGCTTATGATTTAACGCTGTGACTCCGAGAGACGATCGTAACCGCTGACGATGCGCCTTTGTGATTTTTCTCAGTCTAGATCTATCTTGTTTCTCCCGAGATAGCTGCCACAGCGAAGATATACGCTTTTAGACTTCTTGGGCCCTGCGGCTTTTAGTGTTTGTGGTCAAGCGTTCTGATCTCGGTTACCGACAAGTATATTGGTTAATAAATATTAGTCCGAGTCATTACCAACCTCATTGACAAGGGGAGGGGTGGCGAGAGACGAGTCCAACAGAACTGACGTTGCAGCGCCGCGTTAAAGGCATCTTTTCAAAGCGGTCATCCAAGGTGTCACCCCAAGGGGGAAAATAAAACCGTTGGAGGCTCCAGTTGGTTTCGCTGCTTTAATTGCAAGATGTTTCATGCCTCTCATTCCAGCGAGACAACACGTGTGGCAGGCTGGCTAGATCCCGACCAGCATGATTGAGTCTGGAAGCGGCCAGACCGACGCACATGGAAGATAACGGCAGACGGAATGTTGGGCGGGCAGAACCAACCGGGCGGTGAAATGTCGCTGTTCGGATTAGGGTTAGTGTGATCTGTCGGTTGCTGAGTCAGCACACTCCCCTGAAGTGGGAAGATTAATAGTCCAATAGAGAATCCCCGTCCGATCATCAGCCTGATCGACTGGCTTGCAGTGATTTGCAGCCAGCATTAATCTCGGATCGTCAAATGAGATTCCCGTCGGATTCCATCCAATCTTCTTATAATCTCGACGCCAGAGATATCTGAGTAAGCATGGCACTTTTGCAGTTGCCTGCGACTAACCCTTGGCTGCCGGCCGCATCCGAGGACGCGCCAGCTTCTGCATCTTTGGCTTTACTGCTTCTACTACTGTACACATGTACTGTACTTCGAATGGGCTCAGATTCGACTTGAAAATACCAGATCCGTCACAACGGTTTACAGACTGGTCAAGGCTAGCGATGCTACTATACGCAGGTTCAAATATGCCTGATTCTAGGGTCTCCGGGTTGTCCTTCCCCCGGGCACTCCTTCGCCCCAAAAGTCAGGCTCGAAATAGGAGAACTGGCCCCATTCCGATAGACAGCTAGTCTCATTAGCATCGAGACAAGCCTACAGTGGAGTCCAATCGACAGGACTTCCGGTACTGCAATTATAATAAGAACATTGGAACTCGAACCCCCGCTTGGCAGATTGGGGCTGGCTGTCTTATAATAACCTTGGCCTTTTCTCCCTATTCCCGAGTTTCATCTCCATCTCCCTTCCCCCCCCCCCTGTTGGTATTTCCAACCCCCCCCCCACCACCTCTCTCGACCGCCCTCTTCCCCCCAAAATGTCTCGATTTCAGGGTCTTCGCGACTAGATGGATAGATATTGTTGTGCTCACATGTAAATTGTTCCTGTATATCCAACTTCCTTCGTTTCTATATCCATCCGGACTGGCCATGGTCAACAAGAGCCATGTCGATCCAGTCCACTGAATCCCTCGACCGCGAGGATGCCCCGTTTCTGGCCGCCAGCGACCCCAATGACCCCCGTACCGAAGAAGCCCGCAAGCACGATGAAGATGAGCCCGACCACCAGGAGGAAGTCAGTGCAGTCAACAAGAAGATCCGCTTTCGACTCATGGTCACCCTATTCGCGATGCTCATCGCCGTCGAAGTCGGCATCTGCATGAGCAACGGCCCGGTCACCCGCATCTACGAGTCGATCGCCTGCCGGGAGTACTATTCGCACTACGATCCCACGCAAATCGGAGCCAATGGTCAGGTCGACGAGGATTTGTGTAAGATCAAGGAGGTCCAGCAGGATCTGGCCGCCGTGAAGGGGTATATGGAGTTCTTCGATGGGACTTTGAGTATGTTCACGAACCGATGAACCCGAACCAGAAACCCCTGTCGCGCATGCATTGTCTACATGCTGCTGTCTTTTTCCAACGCCGTGATATGATTATCTGACTGTCTCGGTCCTCTTCCCTATGTTCCAGGTGCTTTATTGGCTATTCCCTATGGTCTGATGGCAGATCGATATGGACGGAAATCCACCATTTGTCTGAGTATTCCCGGTTTCGTCCTCAATTGCCTCATGCAGCTCGCTGTGATGTGGTTTCCCGATATCTTTCCCCTGCGCACTGTGTGGGCATCGTCGCTGGCCTGGCTGCTGGGTGGTGGGCCTGTCGTGGCCTTTGCGATCATCTGGACGATGATGTCAGACGTGTCAACCGAAGAAGAACGGTATGTGGTGGATGTCGTTGGGTATGTATGCTTGCTAAGTGGCTCTTAGGGCGGCGATCTTCTTCAAATTCGGTGTGGCAGGTATGGGCGCCGATTTCGCATCTAGCGCTGCCAGCTCGTGGCTGATGGCCCTCGATCCGTGGCTTCCATTGTTGCTGGGATGGGGTCTCGCTGTCATCGGCATGTTTTTCGCCCTGTCCTTACCAGAGACCATGAGTGCATTCCCAGCGCGTGGGCCGAAGAAATCGGCCAACCTGGAATTGGGGCAGATCTTTGCCGGCAACGGCAATTCCGAATATAAAACCGTCCCGACCAAAGAGCAAGACCAGGAAGTATCTAGCGATGACGAGGACACTGCTCCCGGCGAGTCGTACGCCTATGAGAAGAGCGGTGCTGGTACGACCAAACGGACCTTCTTCGCCACGCTGAAGCGTCGAGTCTATGCCTACTTTGCTCCCTATTCATTCATTGTTCAGAACCGCCAGATCATGCTCCTTCTGTCGGCATTTCTGGTCTACCGACTCAGCCGCGGGTCGTCCTGGTTCCTGGTCCAGTACATCTCGACTCGATTCAAGTGGACCCTCGCGGAGGCCAACTTCCTCATGTCCTTCAAGCCTGCCCTCACCATCCCGCTGTTCCTCTTCGTCCTCCCCGCCATCTCGCGACGCTTGCTGAAGACGATGAAGCCGACGCAGAAGGACCTGCGGCTGATGCGCATCAGCATCGGGTTCCTGGCCGTGGGGACCCTGGGGATTGGGCTTTCCAGTCATGTCTTCATGTTGATCCCGAGTTTGCTGCTGCAGACTTCCGGGTCCGGGTTCGTCTTTCTGACGCGGTCGCTGATCACTACACTAGTGAAACGCGAGGAGACGGCGCGGCTGTTTACGATTATCGAGGTGCTGCAGTCGATGGGCAACGTCATTGCTAGTTTATCGATTACGACCGTGTTCCAGATTGGACTGGAGCTGGGCGGGCCTTGGATTGGCCTTGCGTGGATGATGACCGCCACCGCGTTTACGCTGGTCGGGGTGGCGGTGTGGATGTTTCGCTTGCCTCGTTCATGAGGAGTGCCTTTTTTGGGGTTTAAAGTATTCTTGTATAAAAGATTTTTAGGTATATAGATTTGTGCTTCTTGGCCTGCTGCATTGCGGAATGCTTGATATTGATACTATGTTGACGTTTTCTGTTGCTGAACGTCATTTCTGGCAGTCATGTCAACCACGTGCCAGCGGATTTCAGCTTAGCGTCCTGATAAATTTTTCCATCAATGACAGACACTTATGTGCTGATATTATGGCGATAATTGCCACTTTGAAAGATGTGCAGCTCTCCCGCATGGGAAATGGTGGGTTGAAACCTCGGCTTTATTTTGCAGTCACCACCAGCCAAATCCCAACAGGGACTAGTGCGGTTGTACCTCCCCTTGTGTGTTGTGGACATGTGAATTCCATCAAACCATCATTCAATCAATCATTCAGTCGCTTCACCAACACAAAAATCAGTTGAGCTCAACAAGCTTGAGCCCACTGCTACCTCGACTCTTGAACTCCTCTCTCTGGGCCCTTATCTCGTCGCTCATTTCTCCCCAGCCGGAGAGACTGTGGATCTTTCTTCTACACCACCCAGACTGCTGGTAATGTGCTAGCACATGGCGAAGCGGTGATCTCACTTCCTCTTCCCCACCACCACCACCACCACCACTTCTGAACCATGGAGAAATTTACGCAATTCCGAGATCGAGGTATGACTTTCGTACTGATGTCGTTATTTGTCGAACTAACGTTGACTTGCCAGCGTCGGGCATCGCTCCCTTCCTTCCCATCCCTCCTCAACCCGCCAGCTACATTCAGATCCCCGTCCGCATCCTACTGTTCTGGATCCGACTGCCACTATTTGTGTTTGCTTGTCTGAGTTATTTCCTGGTGCTGCAATGGCTTCCGATCGGATCGCTTGGCAAGAAGGCGTCTTTGTGGTGTATCCTGGGGATACCTAGTATATGGTGGATCGATCTTCAGGTTGACGGTGTTCGAAAAGGGTGAGTGAAGCTGCTGGTGTCCCATCCAAGCCAATTGTTTCGAGGCCACCCAATCATTGAACTAACAGCTTGACGCAAACACACGTAGATCCCTCCACAAGCAACACCAAAACCGCCTGCCCGGCCCAGGCTCCATCATTGCCTCGTCCTTCACTTCCCCGATCGACGCGGTCTACCTGGCGGCCATCTTCGACCCTATCTTCACAGCGTGCTACCCCAACACCTCTGACGTCGAACAAATCTCTCTCCTCCAAGCGATCCTCCGCGCCTTCGGTGCCCCGCGCCCCAACGCGCCCCCGAACACGAAACTCACCACCCTCGACGCGCTCCTCAGCAAATACCCCGGCCGCCCCATCGTCACCTTCCCCGAATGCACCACCACCAACGGCCGCGCCATTCTCCCCCTCAGTCCGGCCCTCCTCACCACCCCACCTTCGACCAATATCTACCCTGTCAGTCTCCGTTATACTCCGGTGGACGTGGTCACCCCGCTGCCTGGGAGCTACTTAAGTTTCCTGTGGAACCTGTTGAGTAAACCCACGCATTGTATCCGCGTCCGTATCGCCGGGGGCGTTACCCTTTCCACCGACGCTTCCTCTTCTTCAACCGGTGTGCAGACGGGATTGGGCCGGAAGACCACGTACGACACGAACTTCCTGGACACCCTCAACACCTCCAGCAGCAGACGCGGCGCCTCGTCTCCCCCAGAGGCACTGGTCGTCCCGGACGAAGTCCTCCTCGACCACGTCGCGGACTCGCTGGCGCGGCTGGGCCGGGTCAAGAGGGTGGGGTTGGGCGTGAAGGAGAAGGTGGACTTCGTGCGTATGTGGACGCGGACGCGGTGGATTTGGTAAGATTGTTCTTTGTGTTGCTCGAAGAATGTGACGTGTATGATTGGTACGAGATGGTATATCCCGGGAAGTATGTTGTATGTATTATTTTCCTCTCGCTCTATTTTCCTTTGACCAGGTGGGATATCAATGTGGATGGAATAGGGAGTATAGGTTGACTCGAGTGAACGAGATCAACTGATTAAGTGACACTAGCGGCTAGTGGTAAATAGAGGTTATTCTTAGGTTGTTGTCCCATGTGTTATTGGTGGGATCACGGGTAGTTTGTTGCTATGGGTGAGATGTATATATAGGATTGATGGTTAGAACTGGGGTTCATTCTTAGGATCACTACCTTCTCCATTGGTAGGTGGTATATGTATAAACTCCGGCTCTGGGACTCCATTATATTATCCTATACATCTGGAGCAAGATGGAAACGCAAACACGGAGAGTGGCTTAGCAACGATTCAACCCTGCCTTCGAAAAGATGATTACTACCTTTCGAAGTATTGGCAGTGATGCCATTGATTATCTGATGTGATCCGTTGCGACGCGTAGGTCCAGGACTCCTAAACAACCTACGCTCTGATTTCAGGGCGATCCACAATCTGCTCAATGCGCATTGGTGACTACGATATGCTTAGCTACGGAGTAAAAGAAGGCTTGACAAAGATAAAGCACAGCTGCGCGGTTTCGGGCTCTAGGTAGGTCGTGTTGCATGCATTTGTTGCTGAGGAGGAACCGGACGCACCCCGATTATGATGCAGATTCAAGGAGCAGATCCGAATCCCAATGCAGGTAGGTGCTGTAGCTGGAGCTGGCAAGAATTAAAGGTGCTCGGTGAGAGCCGTTGCGACCTTACTTGCTTTGCTTGGTCAAGGGGTTTTGACGGTGCTTTTGTATTGATGATCGCGGCTTGAATTCGGGTTGCAGGACCGGTGTTTATATTGTTTGTTAGCCCTGCTTACCCTGAAGAGTCAAGCGAAGCGAACCTTGAAGGTTGGAACATGACAGTGTACTGGGTACTGTGCTATAGTGTAGATACACAGGGTGTCTCCCATATCACCAGGATCGCGCGTACCATGCTCCCGCTATTCGGAACTTGTTCTTGTTACTACTAGTACTGTACATATAACCCTGAATCTGTGAGAGCTGGACCGTGAGTTCGAGGGCGCTGATAGTTACCGTAGACATTATTAATATCTGTCCCTTGAGATAGCCAGCCCCAACCCTTCAAGTACTGTACAAGTACAAACTGCCTTGGACTGTGATCCCTGTTAGCCCCCTCACTAATTTCAACCCTGTCTCAACATATCAAAACATTGTGCTTAGTGTACTCAGTACTAGTTGCCTGAATTGTTTGGTCAGATGTACTCCGGCCTTGGCTTTTTGTCATCGAACCCCCATCCTGTCTTCCTGCTGCACACAGATCGCTAAGTACCCGTAAGATATAATGCAGCGCCGACTGTAGGACTTGTCCACGAAGAATTAGAAAGAGACAAGTGAGGAGGAACAAAAACAAGAACTCGGCCCTTTCGATCCCAGCTCCAGCTCTTCTCTCTCTCTCCTCCACTCTTTTCTAAACCAGACCAAAAGCACAGTAACCAACATGTCGAACCCACCCCACCCCAACCCAGCCGGAGCTCAACGATGACAGCGAAAGCGATGACGGCGACGACCTGGACCCCTACTACCGCCGAATCGTACGCGATTACCTAGCAGAAAGACTCTACTCGCCCGCCGCCGCGGCGCAACTCGCCTCCAGGGCCACTTCAGTTCTTACCTCGTCGCCCTCAGCAGTGTCGACCTCAGGTCTAGGAGGAGAACTAGGCCACCTCTGGCACCGGATCGTGAACCTCGCAGCGCAGAACCCGCACCACCACGATAAACTTGTAGACCTTTTGGTGGATATGGCCCATCTCCCGACCGTGATCATTACAACCGCAAGCCCAAGCCTTCTTCCTCCTGATGAGGCCGAGGATGAACCACGAAATCATCAACAACAACAACAACCGGTCCACCTCTACGACAGGCAAGTCTGGAGGGACCTCCCACTGTTGGGCTGGGAAATCCGGTGGTACTGGGACACCTCGATCCCCGCGCGGGGGAGCACCAACAAGACATCTCGCGACGCGGTGATCGCGCAGACAATCAACATCAACCCGCTTCACGGCGCTGCTAGTCGCCACCGAGGAGCCTGTGTTCTATGTGATCGGGGTGTGGTTGGTGCTCGTGACCTTCCGGACTGCGCTGGAGACTCCAAGGACGCCGCGGGAGGAGCGGGACGAGGATGGCGATGCGCTGGAGGCGTGGGTGCCGGCCGCGGCGGCGTGGATTGAGGTTCTTGGGGCCGAGATCTACGAGTGGGAGGAGGAGTTTCCGGCGGGTCCGCTGAGGGGTGCGCCTGGCAGCGGCGGACCTTTGTGGAATGGGAAACATGGATTCTGTCGCGAGAGTTGGAGGCTTTGGAGGGAGAGGTTTGGTGAGATTAGCTGCTTGGAGTGGGTAGAAGTAGGGATTCGGAGCGTGGCGAGGAAGGCGGAGCTGATGATGCGGGAGATTGAGAATGGGGAGGTTGTATAGTTTATTGAGGTTACCAGGAGGTTGAAAGAAAAGGGGGGTCCGGGGGTTCTCCCCCGGATATCTATATTCTTTGGGTTGGGATTGAGGTTACCAGGGAGCTGAAAAAAAAGGGGGGCCCGGGGGTTCTCCCCCGGGATACCTCATACTCTCTCTGGATTGGAGTTGAGGTTTGAGGTTGAGTGACTAGATATACATGCCATTGCCTTCTATATATCATCCTAACCAAAGTTATCACACAAGAAATACAGAGTATGGTTGTATCGATACACCCGGACCATACGCATACCTGCCAATCCATTTACATAATACCCCAAACCCAAACCGTTCATCATAGGACCTGCCCACAGCATCTGAACCGATTTTCTCCCTCTTGGCTAATGACTATTTCCGTTGCCGACTTGCCTTCACTGACTATTCGACCTCCGGCGCCGGAGCAAGCCCTAGACCCGGGTATCCGGCCTCCTCGAAGAGCGTTCCGCGTGCCTGGACGATAGCCGATATTTCAAGCAGGAACTCGTACAGCAGAACCACGTTGGTGAGCACGTGGCCCAGCGTCGCGACCTGCTGGCCCTCCTCTTCGTCGAAGACAGCAGACTCCTGGGGTTCTTCTGGGGTTGTCGGAAGTTCAGTTGCTGTCTCGGTTGGGGACGGGTTCTCGGCGGCGGTGTGGTCATCCCCAGCACCTAATTTCTGTTCGGTTGGGTTGGTGGCATCCGGGGTAGGAGGAGTGTTCACGGCAAAAGGTTGCTCGAGGCGTCGACGGAGTTCTTCGGCAGCGGTCTTCCGTGCGGTGGAGGTTTCGCGCGGAGGCCGGAAAGGAAGGTCTTGGGTGAAGAAGTCCCGAGAATTGTTGCGGGTTGGGGAGGGCGTTGCGGTGGCTCGCTCGAATGGTCGACTGGAGGGCCTGCCTCGGGGCGTTGGTGAGCCGTATTCAGATTCTCGGCGCGGGGTTGGTCGCTGTGAGGGAGACCGGGTGGGCGGTTGGGAACCCCGTTGTGAACGGTTGGGGGTTTGGGCCGGCTGGTCGTCCTGATGGAGTAGGTCGCGACGCGCGGCGACAAGGATATCAAAATCGGGGATCTCCTTGCGCCACGTTTGGATTTTCTGCACGAGTTGCTGTAGTATGGACTTTAGAGCCGGTGTGTCTGCTATATCCCAGATTGGCTCTTCGTAGGCATGTCTGATTTGGTCGAGTAATTCGGAAGTCCCTGTTTCGCCCGTTTGAGTGTAGACATATTTGGCCGGATCAACCAAGAGCCAGCCATCGAGGGAGATCAAGTGCGACGCAACAATACTGCCCAGAACCTCTGTAAGGGCCAGATTCACAACTACGCTGTTGGTAAAGAAGTTTTCGAGGCGGTGGAGCAGCTCGTGCACGATGGGGTCCTCTTGCCGGAGTTCGAGAGGAAGGTGATCTTCCGGATTATCCTCCGAAAGGGCCATGCAAAGGCGGGATTCCAAGATTGCTAGCCCATCCTTGAGATAGTTGTCGTAGGAATCATTCAATGTTGGGTCGTCCACTATCGACGTAGCCATGCCAAGTAGCTGCCCCAGCTCGACGTTCAAAGCGCCGACTGTCCGCTGCTTGGCGAATTGACCCGGAACGGTCCGGACTAATGACCGTGCGAAAGAGTGATGTCGCTGTAAGACAACAGTCATGAGTCGTAGCGTCGCCAAAATGGTCTGACGATTGGCCGACTGAAGTCCGAGCAAAGTGAGGTCTCGCAGATTAAACAAGGATGGCGAAGGCCTGGCGGCTTCTTCCGAAAAGGCCGCCAACACATCTAACGACTTGCGTCGACTGACAGACATGTCGATGGTGACAGGCTCCGAATCCGAAGGCGACGCAAGAAGGAAGTGGAGAATCCGATGGACCAGATCTTCCTGATTAACGGACTCTAGGATCCGGTAGAGATAAGTAAGTACTGCGGCCGTTGAACCGCCTTGCACATCGGAAGATTCGAGCAGCGACGGATACCTGCCTGACTGTCAGTTTGTACACTCATCACAAGCAATCAGTACATACAGTAGCTGTTCCAGGAACAACACCTGGAAATGATCCAACAGCGTTCCGTTCACTTCTGCCGACTTGCAGTGATCAATCGTATCCTGCCAAAACAGTAGATAAGACATAAACGAGTCCATCGATGGGCCGAGCAGCGGAGGGAGAGCAGTTTCTTGGTTGGCGTGATCTGACAGGGCGACAATATGCGGGATGTTCTCATCCGTGTTTTCAGGGAACGTCAAACTGGACAGGCATCGTTAGATTCAGCAGACTAGAAGGATGCATCGCATACGCACCTTCCCAACTGACTGTAGAGCGCGCCCAGACCCGTTGCCATTAACGTAGCCAAGTCGCTCTCAATCAGCCACCGCTCGAGTCTCTTTGACCTCGAAGCCGTCTCGATAAGATAAAGCAGACCGGTGCGCGCAAAATCGCCCGCCCGACCCGCATGGTGCACATATTCCACCAGCAGATAGAACAACGGAAAGTCATCCTTCCGCATGGCCCCCGCAAACTCCGCCCCATTGGTGCTCTGCTGTTCCCGCTCCTGCTCGTCGGATCGGGGAGCAAACCACGCCGGAAGGATATCGGGTTGCAGACGGATGTTGTTGGCCACCCCAAACAGAAGCTCGACGAGTCTGCCTTCCACATCTTCCGAGTGCTTGTCCGCCCGTCGAACTAGATCTACTAGCGCACGGGCGAAGAGGCGGTTGTCGACTACCCCGTCAACCTCGGAGTCGATCAGGGTGTTGAAGAAGACGGTCGCGGACCGGAGCATGCCATCGTCGTAGGAGGATAGAGCGAGTTTGGTGACGGTGACGAAGATCTGCGAGGAGGAGGCATATGCGAGGCATGGATGGGGGGCCGGGCCCCGAGATTCGTCACTCAGGACGGAAATCAGCCGATCAATGCAATTGCGCGCGTTGACTGTCGCGGACTGTTCGCCGGAGGGGGTATTGCTGGAGCGCCATATTTGCTGAGAGGGTCAATATGAGGCAGCAAGCAGCGACAGGGGAAAGGATCGGGTTACCTGCAGAGTATTGCAAGTTCGCTTGAACGAGGTCAATCGCTCGGTGGGAGTGGTTGCCCGAAAGCTCTTAGTTGAGAGCGAGCGGGAGCCCCCAATTATACGAGACCACTGCTGTTGATTAGTGCGTTTGTTGACGGTAGAAGACGAAGACACTCGAGAATGAAGGGGATTGTCAAACATACAAAGTCCATGATTCTGAAGGACCAGCATGGTACTATGTCTCAAGCATGGTCAGTAAGCGTGGGGGGGTTAGAATGGTGAGGGGGAGATTTGAAGCCGATGTGCAGCAGGAAGGAAATAGCAGCAGCAGCAATAGTAAGGTAACTGAATAAGTTGAGTGCCTGGGGCTGGAAGGCCCAAACACGACGCCAAAAAGGGGTTAGTGTGCAGCCAGCGGGCGGACCCCGGAACCACCCGATTGAGACTAGTCCGGTTTCCACTCCGCCGGCGAGGTTCCAAGGAAACCTTATCATGGCATGGATTGTTCGTCGTATTTGCAAGTCGGAAGCATGCTCAACTCACGCCAACCTGGAACACAGCATGCACTACATCAGGTCACACAGGCATTCAAGCTGGCTTGCTGTACATGATTGATATTGTCTCTGGCATGCCAGACGCACCAGTCAGCTTCCCACGACCCCGTACGAATTCCCCCCGAATCAAACCTACAAATACAGAGCCACATCATTGCTGTTGATGAGATGACCGCAGCAACCGGAACGTAAGAAACAGAGACCCCGAAGAGATTGTCCAAATAACCGACCCCACGAGGTGAGAGAATAGAACAGAAAACGTAAGAGAAGACAGAAAGAACAAAGATAGAGAAAGCCAATAAAAAAAAGTACCTATTCACGTCGCGAGATGCAAGCCCATCCATGCCCACCACCGCAACGCCTTGAAAAATATATTATACGCCCCTTCTCCATTCCGGTCTAGAGAATAGCCCATCAGATCGTTCACAGATATACTAACGACGAAAGAAGAACCAGAACCAGTAAACTATAATGCGCCGCTGAACCATATCCTAGAATCACTTAATCACTATCGTCTTTGGGGCGACGGCCGCCCCGCTTCCGTTTCGGCTGTTCGTTCTGATCACTGCCGTCGTCGTCGTGTTTCCGACTCGCAGGCTGATCGGGCACCTTCGCGATGATATCTGCCAGGAAATCGAGTACTTCGTCCTTGGCGACAGCTTGCTTCAGGTGCGAGGCCGTGACGCGTTTGGAGTTGCGATCCTTGGCTTCCTTGGCGGCTTTGGTGACGAGGGAGATCATGAAGAGTTCGAGTGCCTTGGCTGTAGATGAGAGAAACGAATGAGTTAGTTACCAGCTACGCGCATGGACTAGAAGGTAGACATGGCCACTTACAGACAGCAATTGGCGTGACCTGCGCGACTTTACCGACATCTTCATCGGCCTGCATGATGCGCTTTATGCGCGCGACGGGGAATTTGGTTTTCACCTCGACGGGGACAGCAGCCGGCGCCGGGGGAGGAGGAGGCGGAGGAGGGGAAGGAGAAGGAGGCCGGGCAGGCTCCTCGTCTTCCGATACAACGGGGTCGATGTACTTGCTTTGGGGCGGCGGCGCGGCCTCGGCGGCCTGAGCGAGACGCGTCGAGCGACGAGCCATATCCGTGTATAGGTGTGCCGCGTCAGCGAAGGGATAGATATACTGCTGGGGAACCCTGCTTGGCGGGGCCGGGGGTTGTTGATACTGCGGGGTGAAGAAAGGTGAGGCGTCGTAGGAAGCGCGATGGGCGAGCGGATTCCCGAACGGGTAGACGGGGTGGTTGACGGAAGGGGAGATGGGGGTTTGGAAGGCGGAAAAATCAGGGGATCGTGGTCGGTAGGAATTGTCTTGATCGGTCATCGCCTGTGGGGATTTTAATGTTTTTTAACCTCAGTCCATAATTCTGGTTTTTATTATTTTTTTTTTTTTGGTTTCCAGGGAGCAAAATGCGCGTGCGCGCCTAAAGGAAAGAAAAAAACAGACTAGTATAGAATAAATATGGGGAACTTCTTCTTACCTTTACCGCCAGTAGAAACTCGGTGAAATCCTGTTGAGATTCAATTCACTAAGAGTGAATAAAGAGAAGGAGGGTTCTCAGTCTGTTTTAGATAGACATGAAACCCTTGAGTGATGATCATATCATAAAGCGCCCAGCTGAGAGAGAGAGAGAGGTCTTTATGTCTGATTATTATGATGATAATGATAATAATAATCAAACAATGAACGAGGATAGGATAGCATAGGATAGAGAAGGGATGTTTTTGTATTGTAGATGGCGCGCGCGCGGCGGATGGCCCGAGCTTTTTCTGCCGTGGTTTTGCTTTGTGTTGGAACGGTTATTGAGTGGGCGGTACGGTAAAGGTAGTGTAAGAGGGAAGATTACAGGCAGGAAGTGCGTGTGCCCAAGAGCAGCCGGGGAGGTGGCCACAACAGCCAGACAAGAAAAGGTCCGGGTGTCTTTCTTCCGGGGAGCAGCTGCGGCCCTTTTTAACCCTGCGCTCCGTTACAACTCGGTCACGCTAAACCCACTGGGTGATTGGGGGCTCCTTTTGGCTATTTTCGTCTGCTGCAGTGGTTCCTGTTGTCTAGTTCTTTTTTTCTTTTTTTCTTTTTCTTTTTCTTTTTCTATTTTGTACAAGTAACTCTTCTTCTCACTCAATCTCCAGTTATAGTCCATGTTCATGTCCATCCAACCCGTTCCTTCTCTCCGGGGTCAACTGGTCAGCTGGAAGATAACCCTACACCCTCTTCCTTCTACCTCAACTCTGCGACTCCCAAGATGCTAACACCATCTTCCTTCATCTCCACACCTTCTCTAACCACGATGACTGCACCATACAGTCACCACAGCCACAGCCTGCGCTCATGCGAACGAACCACTCCCTCCCTGCCACCCCGCCCGTAGAACTATGTGCTCTGGTTCAGTCACTGATTGGTCTTCTGCTGCATTTACCTTTACCGCGCGTGATTCTTTCCGTCGAGCCAGCGCAGGTCAATGATGCAAATTCATCCCTGCTTCCGATGCCTGTCTCGTTTCTACCTTACACACAGCCTATCCCCTTGTTTCGAGTTACCCTGATCGGGTGTTGAGACAGCTTGACGCTTGAATGGAAGAGTCATCTGTTGATGTTGATTTACATCCCCTTCCTGACCATGGAACAATACCCTGCCCCTTTTCTTTTGGTTCTTGACAACCTCCCCACCACCACCACGGCACTACTGGATGACGATACAAAGAGCTCCAGAGACTCGAGGCGAGAGATCCAACAATGAGGCCGAAACCCGCTGAGCGTATCGCCTGTTGTTGGGTCTCGTGTTGGCGATTCTAGCCAACCCCGGTCACTGACGGTTTAATAAAAAATAAACTTGATCTAATCTGACCATGTGTCCTGTGGTGGCTGCCCTTGTTACCTATTGTTTGCGTGTCAAAATAGAAGAGCGAGCATGCGGGCTGAACACCTTGCAATCATTCATAGGTAGATTAGATAGGGCCGGAAGAAGGTACAGTTCCGGTCGCGCGTAGCCTAGTGCTTACTCGCCTGCAACAATTGTCCGGGGATGGCGGTATCTCTCTGCCTGGATGATGATGACGACGTTGTTGCAGCTCTTCATGCTGCTGCTGCTGAGAGCCTTGCGATACATGGTGGTTATGCAGCGAACTCTATAACGACCATCACGAACATGACATGTCCTAGTACTTGTATCTGTAGCGTGCGATCGACAAGAACAACACGTTCTGGAAGCTGTGAGAGTTGTAACTTCCAGTTAGCTAGTAGGCCGAGAGGAAACAGGGGTTGACTGAATAATCCAATTTGCCTATTCATGTGTTACTTGAACATCAAACCGTTAGAGAGAAGAGAGAGAGAGAAAGAGAGGGGCGGGGCGCAATGGAACCGACCCTCCCCGGGAAGGCTATTCTTCCGCTCCGGCCCGCTCTCCGGCCTCCAAATTTGGTCCAGCAAACAAAATGATGGTCCATCGCGATACTGTTCACAAGATAGCTGATTATCGGAATTGCTTCAACTGTGGTGACGCCAGCAGGAATGGCCCTTGTCTCCCATTGATGGCGAACTGAGCATGTTGTTTACCCCCGCCATTTCGGCTTCCACCTCTCTTTCCTCATAATCGCAATCCCCTGGACTCTTTTCGTCTGCATCGATCTCTTCGCTTTCTATCCCCTCCAAAAAGCCGGTCGTGACTACTCCAATGGCTGTCGCGGATCAGCCTTCGGGCTTGATGGATATCGCCAGGTATGGCCGAATGCTGTGTCATGACTCCCTTGCTATACTTGATGGCTGATGGCTGGTGGCTGCGCCGAGTAGCTCATTGACGCAGGACGAGATCCCGTTCAAGCTGCGATGCGCCATCTGCAACAAACTTGCCGTGAACGCATTCCGCCTTCCTTGCTGCGACCAGGCTATTTGCGAGAACTGTACGCGACTCTCCCATTCTTACAATCCTTATCGGAGGTCTAATCCAGAGTAATCAGGCCAGGTGTCTCTCCCCGAAACATGTCCTGTCTGCGCGCACACTCCTCTCTCCTCTGATCTATGCAAACCGAACAAGGCCCTCCGAACTACCCTCAAAGCCTTCCTGCGCACCGAGGAAAAGAAGCGAGAGAGAGAGCGGCAGTCGGCTACTCCCGCGACTTCCGCAGGTGCAAACGGAGCGACGCCCGCGGATGCGACTCCGTCTCAAGAGGAGCCCCCTGTTGCAGCTAACAGTGCTGGGGATCAATCTGTGTCAGAGGGAGTGGTATCTGCCACTGCTTCCGCCGATGCTGTTACTGAAGAGACTTCTGGGTTCAACGTCCCTGAGCCCAATGCGGACAATGCTTCTGGCAACGAAGTTGCCGAAGCTGCCGTTCAGGTATGTGCTTTTATGACTGATTTTGTTGGTGCCTCTAACAAGTTTTTCGCAGGATGAAAATGTCGAGAGCACCTCGGAGCCGGCACCAGACCAGTCCGAAGAGGTAGCCCAAGACGGAGCTGACGAGGCTGGTCCAACCGATGAGAATCAGTCTACTCAGGCCAATGAGGAAGAAGCCTCCCAGGGTGGCGAGCCAGGATCAATGCTCGCCAACGGTATGGGCTTCAATGCGGGCGCTGGGATGTTCCCCAACATGGGCTGGAACGGAAGCTTCAACCCGATGAGCCAGTACATGAACAATGGAATGCTCAATTTCCCCATAGGTCAGTCTTCGCTCTCCATTTCTTGTCCCGTCTTCGCATTACTGATATACTCGGTAGGAATGCCTGGAATGGCAATGGACCCGATGGCCGCGAATCAGGGTATGTTTGGAGGCTACGGGATGAACATGACTGGCATGAACATGGGAATGAGTTTCGACGCGGGTCAGGGGATGTATGGGGGATGGGACGGCTCACAGAACAATATGTGGAATGGAGGCCAAGATAAATTCAATCCAAATGCTTTCGCAAATGGTATGGGTCCGCAATACGGGGGCCCCTCTGGCTTCGGTGGATATAATATGTCTCAACCCAACCTTGCTCAAATGCAGCAGCAACAGTTCCCTAGCCAAGATTATCAGAACGGGTCGTATGGCCCGGGGTATGGCAGAGGCAATTTCCGGGGTCGTGGTCGTGGATATTTCCCTAGTGGTCGTGGCCGAGGCGGCCTTGCTGCTGGACATATGCAGGCCAATTACCCCCCTAATGCTAACTACCCAGCGTTCCCTAACCATAATGCCTCTAATCTGAGTTCAGACATGGCGTCCCAGTCGCAGGATGGTGCTGCCGAGATGTCCGGAGAGTTCGACCATGGAGACGCTCCAGAGATCAACAATGATGAAGTTGGCCCCGGTGGCGATGGCGATGCGGAGGGTGCACAAGACGATACTGTGCCCAAGGATGCCACCACGGAAGGAGCAAATGGTGAAAACGACGAATCCAACCCTCCTGATACCGATGCTGCACAGGAGACTGAAGAACCGCAGCTGCAGGGGATCCCCACCATTGATAGTCTAGACCAAGTCAATGCCGTCCAAGCGATGTCGACCTTCCCTATGGGCATGCCAGGCCCGATGGGAGTCGGGTTTGGGAGAGGCGGAGGCTTCATGCGTGGCCCTTTCCCTGGTGGACGAGGTGGTGGATTCAACGGACCTCCGTTTATGGCTGGTCCCAACACGATGTACCCCGAGCCTCGGGGTCAAGGCGTGGAAGGAGCGCCGGCGGCGCCTCGAGCCATGCGCGAGGGTTTGCCTAACACCAGCGTTCTCCGTCAGCGTAATTTCCAGATCCCTGGACGGTCAGGGGCTTCGTCTGCACAGCCTTTTGGAGCGACCCCTCATAGGTGAGAGACATCATCAGTGCCTGCAGGTTTAGCGCTGGGCCAACATTCACTAACTTTCTCCTCTTAGCGCGAGCGCTACGCCTACCCAGGACGATCAGCGACCACGATCCACCTCGCGTTCGAAATCACGTCCCAGGTCGGGATCCAGAACAAAGAGCCGGTCCCGATCCCCTCAGCCTGACCAAACAGACGGTCGCCGCTCGAATCGGCAACGCTCGGTCAGTGTGGACATGATGGGAGAAGAGTCAGAGCGCCGCCGCGAGCGGCCCAGACGACCCCGTCGCGACGACAAATACGATGAGCCGTCCGGTGCGGACGAGGGCCGTCGTTCTCGTTCTCCATCCCTTGACTCGCGCAGGTCTACCACCCACCGTCGCGACAGGGACCGGGACAGGCGAAGTGGTCGACGATCGCATCGGTCCCGGCGTCACCGCAGCTGGAGTCGCAGCCCCAATCGGAACGGGGACGAAGCCAACGCCGACCGTCTGTCCTCGATCCCGGAAGAGACCGGCCGAAACAAGACCGGGGACAGTTATCGGGGCGGGAAAGATCGATCCAGCCGCTACGACGACGATCGCGAGCGGGATCGGGACTCCAGGCGCCGTGACCGAGACCGCGACTGGGACCGGGACCGCGATCGTGCTCGCGACCGTGACCGTGACCGTGACCGTGACCGCTACCGTGAGCGCGACAGGGATAGAGACCGCGACCGTGACCGTGACCGCCATCGTGACCGGGATCGTGACCGTGACCGTGACCGTGACAGGAAGCGCTCCCGTCGCGACCGCTCCGGATCCCCTGCCGGCAGTGAATACTCGTTTCGCCATCACTCTCGAAGAGACAAACGTGGCCGCGACGAAGAGGGCGGAGACCGTATGCGCGAGAAGGCGGCCACGGCCTCGGCAGCCAAAGCTGGCGAACCTGAAAAGGACCCCCATACCCTGGAACGCGAGGCCCGGAACCGCGAGCGCATGCTCAAAGAGCAACAGCGGCGCGAAGCGATGCACGCAGACAGGGACGGCGGCAAATCGTCTCGCAAGCGTGACGGTCGTGGCCTGAGTGGCGGCCGTCGTCTGAGTTATAAGTACGAGGATGAGGAAACCGACGATGCCCGTGCCGCTCGCGTGGAGAAGGAAAGAGAAGCCGGCCGGTGGTAGCTCCCCTGCCAGTCAGGTTTCTTTCGTCCCTTGTCACATACCAATACCTCACGACCTTCTTCAACTCCCCAACTCTTCTCTCTCTACATCTCATCCATCGTCTATCCTCCTCACCCGTCCTTCATATCACTCACATGACGAAGAGCATATAGAGCGCATCCATCTGAGCCTGAATTACTCCTCCCATTACTCCACATTCCTGCGCGGTGTCTTCCTCGAGCATGTATTCTCCACTAGCCGTAAAGGCACCAGTACCCACAAAGGGTATATCATTTGCAGGCGATGGCGACAAATCGCAAATTTGTTTCATTCATCCATGGTCATATAGCATGCAGATGCGAGGAATGATGTGAGATAGTATGAACAATAAATCTCAATCTCTGATACTAGGCCACTTTATCGTAGTATCCCTTCTACTTCAATTGCCTTAACCCAGGCACACTGATCAAGACGTCACGAATCATAGAATCATATTCTAGCTTACCAAGATACGCGTCTAGTATACTGTCAACAACCCGTGCACAAGACTATCGGTACTCAGAACGAGAGCCAGTAAACAAAGCAATCTCTATGCAAAAGGGGTCTGTTTTATATCAAGTCAAGAAAAGGAAAGTAGTTACATTGCAGGCACACAATACAGTACATCAGAGCCCGATCCCCTGGCCTTTTTGGAGGTCCGGTGGGAAGATGGAGTGGTCGGAACAGAAGAGAAAGTCATGATAGATATGCGTAGAATACCTAGTAGGGGAGGTGGATTATGATGGGCGGATAGACATGCAAGAAAAACGAAAAGGCTTAGCCCAGCTTAGCCTTGAGGGATTCGATCTCCGCGGTCAGGCTCTGCATCTGTTGGGCCTGGGAAGCGATGGTCTTGGTTTGCTCGGCGATCAGTTCCTTGATGGCGCCGATTTCGCGCTGCACTGCGTCGGCGGCGTTGGCGGTGCTGGTGGAGATGCTGGGTGAGGGCGTGGATGTGGTTGCTGCTGCTGCTGCGGTGGGGGCGGCGGCGGCGGGGGGAGTTGCGGTGCGGGGAGTTTCGGGGGCGGGGGAGGCCTGTGAGGGTTCATGGGTTTAGTGTTTGCGCTGGTTGAAGGGGAGGAAATGGTGGGTTTACCTTGGCGGAAGTAGGTTGCGTCTTGGCCTCCTCTTCCTTCTGGTGCCATGGGTTGGCCTTGACTGTGGGAGAAGCAGCCTCGGGCGTGCGAGTGGAGCGCTCCACAGGCTTGGGGGCTTCGTCGAACGCGGACGGCTCCTCGGGCTCGGCCTCTTCCTCCTGGTCGGCGAACTTATTCACCATGGCGGCCATGGAGGCACCTTGCTCCTTCATGGAGGGATTGGGTCTGGCCACCGTGGTAGGCTCCGGAGCAGGTTCCGCCGCCTTTTTCACGGGAGCGGGCTCTTCGGCCTTGGGTGCGGCAGAAGCAGGGGTATCCAGAGACGAGGTAGGCTTCTCCTGCACTCCAGTCACCTCCTTCAGTCCCTCGCCCTCGTACAGATTAGCCATGGAGATCTTGGGCGGGATAGCCTCCTTGCCAGCGAACCACTCATCGGGGCCCATGGCAGGCTTCAGGCCAATGGTGGGAGGATAGATGTCGTCTTGGAAAGTCTCGGCACGACGGGGGACGATGAAGGAGACAGGCTCGATGTAAGTGTCATTGACCGTCTTGAAGGCACGGGTGACTTCGTTGTCATGGGTGTTGACACCGCGCTTGGGCATGAACGCAATGCCACGCTGGGGGTCGGCCGACTTGTACTCGGCAAGGTATTCGAACTTGTCATTCTCCAATTCGAAGTAGCGGATGTTACCGTCACTAGATTAGGTTAGCTAGGCCTTCGATCTATCACAAAGCGCTACTCACCCTCTGCCAGCCAGGTACAGACACTGAGTGCCTTCGTCCCAAAAGGGCATGCAGACACCGGAGATGGAGTCGAGGGTCTTGAATCCGTTGATAGGTTCACGAGGAGCACGGATATCCCACAGCGCCAGCTGGCGGTCACTCATCTTGGAGAAACCGGTGGTCGCGATCCGGTCGCGTTCACCCAGCCAAACGGAACGACTGTTCTTGGCTCCCGAGTGTCCTTGCGTCTCGTGCGCAGGGCGCTCCTGACGTACATCCCAAATGCGCAGCTTCTTGTCCCGGGAGGTCGTGACCAGGAGGGAACCATTTGCGCTCCACGATTGCGATTGCACGATATCACCCAGGTTGAGCGTCAATTTGGGAGCACCGGCCTCGATATCCCAGATCTTCACGGTGTAATCGCCTGATGCCGTAGCCAGGATGTTTTCGGCGGCGGGGTTGAAGAGGACGTGTCCGATCTTCCTATAGAGGCGTTAATGCGTTTACTTTAGCGACAGCACTGGGTGACGCAGGGAGGTCGAGTGGATCGCAAACGTACTTAGGGTGGCCGGAGAGCTTTCCAACGGGAGCCACATCCTGAATCTCATCGGGGTCAACATCCGGGGACAAGGTGAATCCCTCCGGTACACGCCAGAGCAGAACCTATCACGCGACCGTTAGTTGGACCGATCAATGCAGTGTCGGAGGCATAATCAGATGGTTGTACCCTTCCGTCGTCCGAACCAGAAGCAATGAGGTCGTCATTGAAAGGGTTCCTAGCCACGTCAGCTCACTTCTTCCTCCCGCAGACAGCAATTGTCAGCCATTGCTCACCAGTCGGTATCCAAGACAACGGCAGTGTGACCGCGGAACAGAGGCATGCGCTCGGGCAACTTGCCCCGCTCCTCCAAGGGGATGACAGCAAAGGCACCACCACCACCGGCTTCCCAGTTCACGGAGAGGTACTTGGGGTTGACCTAGTCGCATGGTTAGATTATCCGGCGGGGGGGCGGCTTAGGGGCGATGAGGCGGTCGGACCTTGACGAGGTTGGTATCCCAGGCATTTCTGGAAACACGCAGGTTATCATAGCATTGCTCCTGTTAGACCTATAAGCGACAGTTCGGCTGAGGATAGATCAGAAGGAGGGAAGGTTGCGCACCTTTCTCGTCGGCCGTCCGAAGACGTGTCCTGCTACCTGTCAGATTGCGGGCTATCGGAGGTGGCAAGGAGGAGGAGGGGGGGGGGTAGAGGGAATCTCACGGTACTTAGAAGAACGCACGAAACGACCAGACATGGCGCTGGTGTGTCAAATGACAATGAAATTAGTATGAAAGGGGGAGGAGGGGGAAAGAAAAGAAAAGGAAGCAAGGCAATCAAGGAAACAAGAGACAATGGCGAGGGACGGAGTGAGTGGTGAGAACGGGGCAGGCTTGTCTAGGTTCAGTTCGGTCGGTCTGCAAGCAGCGCAGCCGCAGCGGCTAGAAAGAAGGGAACAAGTGGAAACCCGCGCGGGCGGGCCAGAACTGGAGCAATCGGGCCAGAAGCTACAGTATAGGAATTGATGGATTGAGATTGATTGAGAGAGGATAGAAGTATTCCACTGGATAGTAATTGACTTTTTTACAAAGTCGAATAGTTTAAGTTCCAGGTGAAGTTGTACAAAACATCTCGAATGTAAATACGACGAGTACGACCATTCATTGGTGGCTCCAAAAGCAGCCTGGAGATCAATACCACTAGTCCCGGTTCGGTCTAGTGTCCTTCTATGATTGTCCCCCGCCAGTGACCAGCTGAGTCATCAACGTTTGTTTACCGCCCACCGTCACTGCAGAAACGGGGGAGTTGCAATACTGCCAAACCCATCATCGGCTGGCCAGGTTGGATAGCCAGGCTTATTATTATTATCGGCAGTCCCGGGTTCAACTCCTCTTCAACCCACGCCAACTTATCTGCTGCACCTTAATTACACAAGCCCGCCAGCACCCCTCCTCCTGACATGTCGCAGTTTCGACTCCACTCTCTCTGAATTGCGCTCCTGACTTTGCTTCCCCCACGCGTCTTGAATTGCGCCCTTGCTTTGCGCGGGATTTTGCCCTCGTCCGCTGTCGATACCTTTCAAGTCATCCTCTTCACTGGTCAGGGGCTTGTAGCTCCCTATCCTCAGCATGGAGAACGATCACATGGTAGCGCATGAGGCAGACTCTCCCTCAAGACCGTTCGACTGACGCGACACGACAGGTTCAATCGAAGACGTCTTCCCGTACCCGAATCCCAACTGTCGGTCTGAAAGAAATGAATCCGGCTTCAACCAACGCCCGCTCGGGGCTCGTGCAACCCGGAACAATCGCTGGCGCCGTCATAAGTAAGAACTCAGGCCTACCGCGTACGTCCCTGGAGGATGGCTCAGGGTGTAGGGGATTGGAGACTAACGAGGGCAGAGCCGGGTCGTCCACGAAGCACAACTCAGTCCGGCGCGGCCACCTCGACATCCCGTACCGCTAGCAGCACAACTAAGACGCACGGCCGTGCGAACACTTATAGCTCCAATACTCTGGGCCGGTCTGCATCTACTGTCTCACGAACCAAGTCGACCATTTCATCTACCACCGGGCCCACCACGCGACCGCATACGAGCATGTCGCGCTCACATACTGTTACCAATTCCCGGAGGCCAATGGCCAATGCCATTCCCCGAGCAGCAACGGCAATGGGCTCCCGTGAACAAGAGGACTCGGAGGGCACCATACTTGGAAAACGTAAGGGTAGGCGAGAGTTTGACTGTTTTTCATCCCCTGCTACACCTCCCCAGACCACAAGGACTCCCCCAAGCGATAAGGCTTCCCGGATCTGGCCATGGACAGAGTATGAGGCTTCGACTTGCTCGCCCTTGGACCGACTGGCTTTGGCTGCTGGCCCCATTGATGCCTCGACTTCTAGACGTCCTCTCACACATCATACTTCCATTAGTCACATGCGTTACCATGCCCAGCTCTCAAGATCTCCCTTCATGACTTCCGTTGAACCTATCCCCTTCACCTCCCTTTCGTCTATCCCTCGTTCTTCCAGAAAGCCACCTCGTTTGCCACAGTTTCTTACCAAGGATTCAACGATCAAGTCATTTAACTCTTCTATAGGTGGCGAGTGGGACCAGGATCTCCGAGAACGACGAATGTACGATTTGGTGCGAAGCGTGGAGGAACGTGTCAGTCAACATGGGCAGTCAAACTCAGTATTGAAAGATGCGCTAGATTTATACAAGTCTAGAGGTAAGTGGCAAGTATGAGCCGGTCTTGGCTTTAGATGCTGACTGAATTCTACTTGCAGTAAGTGAGCTGGAGGCATCATCGAAAGAACTTACGGAAACGAATGTTACACTGCGCGTTGAGATGGGCTTGATGGGGAACCGACTAGCCGCAGCGGAGAAAGCACTTAAAGACGCACAAAGAGATCATGAGATCGTTGTCGACGACCTCAACGCCCGTCGATGTATCGAAACAGAGACAGCCCGACTGGAGAGCAGAAAAGAAATGGAGGCCATATACTCTCGGCACCAGGAGGAGATTCACGAACTGAAACGACGCTTCGCGAACGAAATCGAGGGTGAAAGGGCTGCGCGATTGCGTGAACTCAACCAAATCGCTTCACAATCTGCACTTGACACGCAACGATCAAATGTCGAGCTTGACAAGAAGGAGCGGGAGATCGCCAGCCAGCAACACGAAATAAACACTCTGAAGGCAGACTTGGAACGCGAGCGCAAGAACAACAGAGACCTAAGACACAATCTGGATACAGCGAGCACGAACACTGTAACAATGGAGTCATCAGTGCGTGCATTGAAAGCCCGTATCGAATTCCTCGAGTCCGGTCGCGAAGAGCAGTCCCAGGCTTTCGAGCGGCTGAATCAGCAGATGATGGACGCATTAGCTGAAACGAATGCCACGAAGGAGAAGCTCCGCAAAGAAGAAACCCTGAGAAGGAAGCTTCACAACCAAGTACAAGAGCTGAAAGGCAATATTCGAGTCTTCTGTCGAGTTCGCCCCTCATTACCTTCGGATCCCGTCACGCAGGTCGCCCAGATTCAATATCCTGATGAGGCGGAGGACTGCAAAGAGATCGCGGTGCTGGGCCCTGAAGAGAAGAGTAGTCTTGGATCAATCTCCAGAAAGAACAGCAACTTCTCATTCGATCGCGTGTTCAGACCATCCACCCAGAATGCGGAAGTGTTCGATGAAATTAGCCAACTTGTGCAGAGTGCTTTGGATGGATACAATGTGTGTATCTTCTGCTACGGCCAAACCGGCAGTGGTAAAACCTATACTATGTCATCCCTCGACGGTATGATTCCTCGGGCAGTGCACCAGATCTACGAGACCGCGATGGGCTTGGAAGAGAAGGGCTGGCGGTACACGATGGAAGGAAACTTTGTGGAGGTGTACAACGAGAACTTGAACGACTTGTTGGGCAATCCCGATGACCTGGACAAGAAGAAGCTCGAAATCCGGCATGACATGCAGAGAGGAAAGACGATCATAACCGATGTTACTACTGTTCGCTTGGAATCGCCTGAGATGGTCGAAACCATCCTCAAGAGGGCGGCCGCCAACCGCTCTGTCGCCGCAACCAAAGCCAACGAGAGATCTTCCCGGTCTCATTCAGTCTTCATTCTCAAGCTCATTGGCGAAAACGACATTACAGGCGAACGCAGCGAGGGAACCCTCAACCTGGTGGATTTGGCCGGCAGTGAGCGACTCAGCCACAGCGGTGCCACTGGCGAGCGTCTGCGCGAGACACAGAACATCAACCGCAGTTTGAGCTGCTTGGGCGATGTGATCGCTGCCCTGGGACAGGGCAAAGAGGGCGGTCATATTCCTTACCGCAACAGCAAGGTATGCTTCTCCAGAACAGCTTGTTCAACATCATGACGACAGCTAACCACTCAATAGCTAACCTACCTCCTTCAATTCTCCCTCGGTGGCAACTCCAAGACCTTGATGTTCGTCATGGTCAGCCCGTTGCAAGCCCACCTGGCGGAAACCTTGACCAGTCTCAAATTCGCCACCAAAGTACATAACACGCATATTGGGACGGCCAAGCGGCAGGCGCGGGTTCGTGAATGTTAATCGCGGGGATTTTGGCGGCTTGAAAGATACCATTTGATTTATCTTCGTTGTATGTTTGTTGTGCTACGTTTACACTGTGGGATGTTGGCCTTCATGAACCAGGCCTTGGCAGCGGAGTCTTGGAGTCTGCTTTTATTATGTGATTAGGTCCAAGAGCAATATCAGCCTTTTTTCTTGTGCTTTTGTAGGTTTGAAATCGAACCACCTGTGTGTGTAATATGTTTCATCTGGGGTTCTCTTCATGGCAGTATGGGCAAGTCCACCTGCTGCAGGCGACTAATCGTGCGCTTCTAGCTATAATAGCTTAGTAGGACTAAGCCCCTGGTCAAAGCAATGGTAGATGCTAGTACGTATAGCCAGATGCCTGCTGTCCTCGCCTCAAGTTGATTCGGATTGGACTGGTGCAGAGAATCGGCTTGAAACTGTTACCCGCCAGCTGGCTAGCAAGTCGGTGAATATATAGTTATTGTTCCCACTGGTGACCTGCCGGAGGGTCGCTCTTGGAACGTCATTCGTGGTTGCTGTCAGCTTGCAGAGAAACCGCTTGAAGCATTATTCTGACCAAGATTCAAAGTTTACTTTCTGCGATCAACAAGAAGGGCTGCTGAGGGCTGCCCATGAGAACCTGTTGAATCGAAAAGATATCGTCCTTACCCGATGCGCAGGATGAAGCGGAAAAGAACGGCAGAAAGACAGTATCATCACGTGATGATAGCCTTGTGTTCCTCGCTCACTTGGGGAGGGGGGGATGGGGGGCACTGTACTTGGCGGCGGGGGAAGGTTAGGTGAGTCCCCGGAGCCGCTTACCGCTACGGGGCACCTTACAATAAGCTTCCAGATGCCATGCTTTCTTTCGACCCCGCGAGAAACACCAACTCCTGATATATCCTTTATACACATCCATTTGCACGTATCTTATAATAACAAATCTATTTGTGCTCGAAAACATCGAGGTAAATCATCTCCACCGTCGGGAATTACTAATCTTCCGCGTCTCCTGCCAGGAGATATCGCGCTGGACCCGAATCGTATTCAACGGCACCTCATCCTCTGACGCGGTGTCCCGCCGGCTCACCTGCAGCGACACCTGCTGCTTGGCCAGGTACTCATTTGCCGGTCGCAGTACCGGGTTCATCCCGTCGAAGCTCTGCAGCTCAGACCCCTTGATTCCACTGGTGCCGGTGGTGCGTCCGCGCGAAGTGCCCACGCTACTGGCGAACTTGGACGAGAGCGCCACGAACAGCGGCCGCAGCGTCGGGAGACACGCGGAGATGATCCCGCTTGAGCACTCGATCAGACACCACGTACAGGCCTTGGCCAGTGTCCAGGTGGTATCGGCGGGCTCGAATTGGAAGAGCGTCGAGAACCGGTAAGCACTTGTAAATACGACGCTGTTGTTCGGCGAACCGGATGTTAGTCTAAACTCATCCATCGGGGGGATACCGCCCGGTGCAATTGGCGGTATGGTGTCGATAGCCTGAGGGGTGGGAATGCAGGGAAACGTACAAACTGCCCAGCAAGAATATCGCAATCACCGACAACCGATGCGTGAGGGATGCGTGCAGACCCCAGACTGCATGGACCGGCAACGAAAGGATTGCCACATCGGTCACGATGTTCGGTACTGCGTTGCCGATAAATGACCCCTTGAGGTTGATGCAGGTGCCCGGCAGACTCGGGTTCCAGGCCTTCGCGATCGGGTCGCACTGAAATACGCTCACGCAGATGATGGCGATGACCCAGCCGATGGCAATGCCGCCGAGGATGATGGATGCGATGCGGAAATTCCGTGTGGGGAAGATGCGCGCGTACATGAGCAATATCGAGACTTTGATGATGCCCACTGTGGTGCAGTACACGCATTCGAATGCCATGAGCAGCTGTGAATGCGTCAGCTACAAATCGGCTGGGGTTTGCATGCTTCGCATGCTAGACTGGGTTTGACCTTTGCGATTGTCATGACGTTCTCAGTTGGGAGGACGGCTGCATGTCGTCCCATGCCGTAGTGAATCACTAACAGATATTAGCCAAGCACCGAAAACTCGAAAGATGCGCGGGGGTTGCCTTACTGGTCAAATTGAGACCGCAGGTTGCGAAAAGAAACACCTATTCTCGGCGCAGTCGAGTCAGAAACCGAACGAGCAGACCAATTCATACATCTCCGAACTTACCACTGATAAGAGCATGGTATAGTCGTCGCGTCCAATCGACAGACCCTTCTTCCACCGCGCTAGCAGTCGCAAGATCACGAAAAACAAGCCCAGCGCCGTCATAGCAATGCTAAGCGTTCGGTTAGTTTCCTGGCGATTTTCGTGGATGTCCGTCGCCGAGGCCATGGTGGTTCGTAGGCTCGTCCAACGGCGTTTGCACCAACTCAATCATAGCATGCATGACTGTCGAAACAAGGCGGACGAACTTCGAAGATAACAGAACAGGAGCCATGGCTGGAAAAGCTTGCTTACGCCGACAGAGACTCCTGACAGGGGAATGTTTCCAGCAGTGCTTCCAATTCGGTACTTGTTCGCGCGTTGATCACCTACGCCCAGGGTGTCATGGTGGGCCGCGGACAACTTCCGTTGGGGACGAAATCCTCCGCTAAGCCCTGGTTGGCGTAGCTAGGCTGCTAAAGTACTAGAAACCTCGCTGGTGCGACTGCCGGCGTGCGCATCTTTCTCGGCGGGCAGACCGTTTGTGGGGCTGACAGCGGCCGTTGGTTTCCTCCCCGGGGCAACTGCGGGCCAACGTTGGACAGTTGAAATCACCATTCACCCCTTATGGTCGTTATCCCGTGCCTCCATCAATAGATCATGGTATAAGTACTGCGTCGGGCTCCGCGATTGCAAGCGCAATTCGCAGGCGAGAGTGAGTTAGTGAATTATCAGCATAATGGCTACCAACGCGACACCCATCTTCGTCTTCGTGCCCGGTGCATGGCACACCCCCGATACCTTCGATATCATCCGGGATTTGTTGCGCAAGCGAGGGTACGAGTCTGCGACGGTTGCTCACCAGTCGCTCGCCGCGGCCAATCCGTCCGTTGGCCTACACGCCGATATTGCCAATGCTAAGCGCGTGCTCCAAAAATGGGCCGACCAGGGACGCCAGATCGTGGTGGTCGCGCATTCATATGGTGGGTTGGTCGCTGCGGGCGCCGTCGAGGGGCTCGGACATGCACAGCGGGCCAGCACAGGCCAGCCCGGGGGTGTGATCCAGGTGGTGTGGCTGGCAGCGTTTGTCGTTCCAAGGGGCAAGTCCCTCATCGACATGCTAGGCGGGAGCTGGCTCCCCTGGATGCTACTTGAGGTAAGCCACCCACACTCGTTCTACCTCCCCATTATCCAATACTAACCTCACCGTTCCACGCCCCATAGAACCCAGATGACGGATACTGCTACTCCTCGCAGCACGAACAAATCTTCTACCACGACATGACCCCCGAAGCCCAACAACAAGCCATCGCCAAGCTGAAGCCGCACCCCAAGCCGTCGTTCCTAGAGCCCGCCGTCCACGAACCCTGGCACGAAATCCCCGCTTTCTACCTCTTCTGCGATCAAGACCAGGCGCTACCCATGCCGGCCCAGGAGGCCTTCGCGCGAACCCTCGGTAACCCGGGAACGTATCACGCAGACGGGTCGCATTCGGCCTTCATCAGTGTGCCAGAGCAGGTAGCGGACGGGCTAGAGCTTGCATTGCGAGAGGGGCTAGAGAAGAGTGGTGTTTCTACTGCTGCTGCTGCTGCTGCTGCTACTAATCCTGCTGCTGGTAACAGAGTCAGTCAGCTCTAATGTACATATCAACTGAAATGATACCAGTAAATAGTATATTCTTGCAATGATAGTCTTCATCCCTTGTGATCGGGTGAACGGGCAATCCGTCCCCTGACTGCGTCTTACTAAGCCAAGCTAACTAGCCTATACTATACCACTGATATAGTATCATGATACCTGCCCCTGACCATCTAGGGTCTTTTGGATGTGATAAAAAGTATCAGCCCATCATGTCCATGTAAACCTGATCCCGCGTGGTACTAGCGACATATAAACCAGGGTCTAACATAGCAATGACAACTTCCGCTTTGGCTCTCACGCAAGTCCTCCCGCTTTGAACCAGGCTTCTGGCAGGGGATAGAGCCACGCAGGCTAGGCTGGATGTAAGCCTGAGAGCTCCGACCCGAGCTCAGCCTGATTGGTGGGTTCGAGCAGTGAGCACATGGGCTAGACTTCCCATCACGCAAGCACGGGCGTTGACTGCCGTGCGTGACAGGATGCTAGTCGAGTGTCGTGGTAGGTACAAGATTAAGGAGGGGACTCAGATTGGTTAAGGCACTAAATTAGGTAGTGGTATGTCCGGTGGGTCGTGGCGCCAACGGCTGGTCTTCGTTGGCTTGGGCTCGAGCGTACTCTGGCATGTGTATATAGAAAACAGGGATTATGCCTTGGATGAGGTATATTGTTACTTGTGAGTAAAAGGGTTCATATTACACTGCAAGCAGGTGCTATTTATCATGGATGGTCTAGAAGGAATAGCCGGATAGCCGGGTGGCTGGCTTGAGTAGTACAGAAAACAGAAAGCAGTGAAAGGCGCGGCGCTGCGTATGTTGGACAGGGCGTCACAGATCCAGGAAGAACAGGTCCACCGTTTTGCCCAGCTGTTCAGACTTCTCGCGGATGCGGCCCTCGTCCATCACCCCTTCTTCGCTGACGAAGGCGTCGACCATGTACAGGGGCACCCATTCGAAGTAGATGTTTTCCACGCTGACGGTGGCCGAGTGGCCCTCCTCGCTGGTCGTGGCTGCAGCTGCCTGCATGCCCTCCTCCAGCACGCCGACCCCCTTGACGCCGTCGCTGCGCCAGGTACTCATGATCTCTACCGGGTCGTTGTCCTCGTGCTTGTCGTCGTCGATCACGCTGGGCGACCCATTGATCTTCTCCAGGTCGCTGAGGACGACGATCTGCGCCTCGGGGCTGACGTGCTTGGTGCATAGGACCGCAGGGAGAGACCCCGTCTTGTTGCTGACGCCCTTCGTGGCGGAGATGCGGTCCGCCCCGAGGAGGAGAATATCGACGTCTGCGGCGGCGAGCGCGGCCGACGCGTCCGTGTACACCTTGACGTGGAGGTTCTTGTTCGGCGTGTCCTTGAACCGCGATTTGAAGTTGCAAACCAACGAGGAAGCGATGCTCGCGCCCTCGAAGAGCGGCCGGGATTCCAGAACGCGCAGCTCCAGCAGATGGATATCGAGGGACTCGTACGCGTCGAGAATGCTATCGCGGATCGTCGAGCTCGCCGACACAGTCAGGATCGTGAGCTTGTCGCGCGGCTCGCCGTGGTGCAGGAAATGATACCGGATGTAGTGCGTGAAGGCGTCTTTGACCTGCGTCGCGCGACTCTTTCGGCTGGCCAGGTGGAAGTCCAGCACCGAGAGAATGCGCTCCCACTTCTGCTCGGCGGTTTTATGGTTCTCGTCCTTCAGCACGTCCTCGACTTCGGCGAGCACGGATACGAGCGCGTTCATCGTCGCCGCCCCCATGCTTTCCCGCCCGTTTTTGATGATGTGCCACGCCGCCATCCGCACCGTCTCCCACCACTGCGCGTCCATTCCATCCTGCGTCTGCACGATGAAGTCGCGCAGGATCATCAGCGCGATGGTGGTCAGCTCCTGCGAGCCGCTTTCGTGGTCGTTGCGCAGGCGCTCCAGCCCCGTCGCTAGCGTCTTTGCGGCGCGGGCGCTGCGCAGTTCGCCTTCGAACCATATCCGGCGGAAACTGTCTTTGAGTCGTGGCACGGTAGGCGAAAGCTCTTCATTGAGGATGGAGGACGGGGAGTGCCATTCCCAGCTGGTATGTTCCCAGTCGATTTTAAACGACGGTTCTGCGTCGTCTGTCGACTCTTCGGCTTGTTTCCCCTTGAGCAGGAAGGCAAATGGATGTACTGTCCACTCGCGTCCCGCGGATTGATCGCTGAATGTGAAAGGCTTGCCTGTGCGCCAGTGGGTGAGGTTTGATTGATTAAGCTCAGTTTCTTCAGTGAGTTCGCGCCAGGCGGTTGCGAGCGGGTCATGGTCCTCTGATGTTATGCTGCCGGATATAGGGGCAAGATGATCCCTGTTGCCGCTGAGTTAGATGGTGATTTCTTCCTAAAGGGTATGAAGAGACCGACCGATATGTCCTCACTTTGTCGCTGCGTTTAAACAGCGCGACCAGGGGTTTCCCATCCTGGAATCTGAAGATGAAGGACGAGACGACGGCCCGTTTTTCGAGTGGTTGGGAATTGTCATTGTGATCGTTATGAGAAGATGATGATGGTGATGACATCGTGCTGAGGGAACGGTTGATGAGACAATAATAGACCGTAGTATAGGAATGTGAGTGCACTCGCGATTTGGGGTCTGACTCTGTAGACAAGAGAGAGTGGGTGCGGAATAACCCCACCGACCACTGCCCGGTTCACGCTGTTGTTGAATTCCCGGAATCAAGTGGAGTAAGTCCAAGCGCAGAGAGGCGAGACAGAGGTATAAATCCCCCAATGAACAGTCGCATGATCGCAGGCGTTTGGTGTCATAGTCACATCACGCCATGGGGTGAGAAAAACAAATGAGTGCCTGCGCATAAAAGGGCGAAACGCACCTTCCCGACTATGACAGGCGCCAGGCTCTAGAACCACGCCATCGATATGTACAAAGCGACGACGGGCTCTGGCTTGACGGGGGGGGGGATGATGATGATCATGCGGAGAGGGAGAGGGAGAGGGAAAGGGAAAGGGAAGAATGGCAGTTGGCGATGGCCGATGGCTGCACATGACGTCAACATTCGGCAAGCAGATCGACTGGTATACAACAACTTCCCCCAGACACCGGCCTCAATTCTTGCAAAACACTCCCCATTACACTCACATCTACCTTCAATTCAACAAGTATCGCACTTTCACAGCTCAGCCGCCAGAATGCCTACCTACCCCGGTTCCTGCTACTGCCGCAACATCACCTACGACCTCTCTCTCAACTCCCCCGACGATGCTCGGGCATCCCTCTGCCACTGTAGCAGCTGCAAGGTTCGAGCGCCCGCCCCTCTGATCGAACCTTAACCTTGTCCCCAAGGTCCCCTAGAAGGTCCCCGGGCTAACCACGATGGATGTGGGGTTGGGCTATACAGAAAGCCTTCGGAACCAACTACGGTCTAACGGCGAAGGTCCCCAAGGACGCGCTCACCATCAAAACCGGCAAACCGAAGGAATTTGTCGGTGACAATGGCTCGGGATCGACGATCCATCGCGAATTCTGCGGTGATTGCGGAAGCTTTATCTTGGAATATGGGGTGGGTCTTCGCTCCCGTCTTACGTCCTGAGCTTGTTACGTATACTAACGGGTGGGTGAACGGCCAGGACGCGGTGAAGAATGATTTCCGTTATATCTGTGTGGGATCCTTAGATGACCCTGAGGTGTTGCCGCCTAAGGGGGAGTTCTTCTGTTCGAGTCGGGCTAGTTGGATGCCCGAGATCCCAGGTGAGTGTCGATCTTCCGTCTTGTTGGCCGTCGGGCGTGATGCTAATAGGGTAGATGTGTTTCACAAGAAGCAAATCAAAGAGTAAGAGTGATGGTCGGATACGGTCGAGGATCTAATGATGTGAAAGCTTGTGAAAGCTAAATGTTTGTGTTCATAGCCTTCGTTACTTCATGCATAATTATGTACAGAATGCTTTGCACTTCCCGGCACACTTCGAACCACCAGGTCAGGCGTGATCAGCTTCTCTTGAATTATCAGAACATAGAGGTAGTCGCTACCTTCAGTCGACGGCGCCCGTCATCGGGAGTTTTCTCTATCCTGGCCTGCGTGTGTCGCTTGGCGACTCGCTGGCAGGACTCGAATAGACCCGACCTAACGAATGTTCGACAATAGAAGAGCTGCGTAGGATTGCGCCAGATGGGTTCGTCCAGCAGGCAATAATCACCTTCGATAATGATGACGGAAGTGTTGGGTGTGACCGCAATGCCACTCTTCTGGGGATCCTTCATTTCATGGTTGAACGAGGGCGCGTAGATGGCCTGCGGTTCGAGCGGTACGGTACATACGTCTTGTTCAACACCCGAGCCGCTGGCAACGTTTGTTTAGGGCGCGAGAGACAAGGAGCAATCGACAGCGTGCCGTGGGAGGTTCCCTCGAGACAGTCGACCAGTGGTAAGTTGTACGAGCCTTTTGGTCGTATCGACGTGGGGTAATCGGTTCACCGTGCACCGAAAACGAAGGCGGCCTTCTCGTGCGTGGCAACATGGTCGAGCTCGAATGCGAAGTAGTCAGGTTGCTCAGAAGCTTTCCACGTTGCCAGTCTCCTGCTATAATGCGATCGTGCAATGGATCTCATACAGCGCATCAACACACTTAGAAACGCGGGATAAGTCGAGCTCGGGAGAAGCACCGGGGATGCCAGGTCGTGTTCCCCACGGGTCCCAGAATTCCTGTCACGGGCGGAGACCTTGATTTGTGTTGGATTTAAGTTTCCTGCACCTGCGGGGTTGACTTCTTGGGTTGGATCTGCTTGGTCGATTTGGTAGACTTTCTGGTCGATTTCCGAACGGGAGGCACATAGAAACAAAGAATCTGTTGATCTAAACAATGAGAACAGCGGGGTCGCTGTTGATCGCACGGCACGCCCCAGGCTTTGCATGCCTTGCAGGGCTGATCTGGAGGAGAGAGACTCTCTGTTGACTCTTCAGGAGCAGGTAGTGTATAGATCGGAGTCTTTCTGGTCGCGTACGTGTAGGTGGTAGTTTTGGGACGATCGGTGGACTCCCCAATGCCACCATCATGGGGATCGGCTCTGTTGATCCTCCAGGCCGACCAAAGCCACTGGGAGAAGCGCTTGAGAATGCACTCGCGTCCGATGCAATTCTTCCGGGCGAGATCGCACTTCAGGGTGTTTTGCAGACGCGTGATGGCGGTGTCCGTCATGTTGACTGCTCGTCCGGGTTCTTTGGTTGTTCGATGCTTCAAAGGAGGTATGGTAATCGGTTTGTAGACTTTTCTGACAAGGCGAAAAGAATGACAACTGTGTCTGAAGCTCTCACCGGGACATGAGGAATTCTTATAACAATGAATCAAGGGGGAGGGGAAGAAGTTTACGGCCAGTCAGTCAGTCAACAATCTCCTGCTGCTGCGGGTGACATTCCCCCCGCTCCGCCCTGACCAACAACTACCCACAACTCACGGGCTCTTTCAGACGCACTGACATTTCAGTCCATGGATGAACACGATCATTGGATTGTGAGCCCTGGGATCGACCTGACGTCACACCTAATCGGGTGGGGGACGGGCAAATAAACGGGGTCGTGGAATCTGTGGAATCCGCCGAAGTGACACGAGAGGAACCGCTTACTATGTCCGGAGCCTGTTCTGCCTTGTTTCGTTGTATTGGCACCATTCGGTTACACCAATGACCGTTCTCTTTAAGTCATGAATGTCATGAGTCGTCCTGGTTTTTTCTCTCAGCACACGTCAACACGTCAACACGTCAACCGGTCATGAATAGGTCTGGTCGGGTTCGGGCTGAGTATGTCGGAAAATAATAGGTACCTGCATTCCAGTCTGGAGAGAAGTTCAATTAGGGTAATTGACCACCTAACCTGAAGACTATAATAGATGCCTAACTAACAGTGAGCACATTGCATTTGTCACCAATTAACTAACTAGCCAACTAGCCAACTAACTAACTACATGGGGCTAGATATACATAACTACCCCGCCTGTCCCTTCCAGTTGTACTGATGACGACGAACTAACCACCCATTGTGCCAAAACGGTCAATGCAACCCCTACTCCGTAGTCGGCGTCGACTACCACGTCTGACAGCGATCAGCGATGGCCAACTCCTAGACTAGTGCTCCGTACCTTTCCAGGTGCATCGAATAGCTCATCTTGCCAAGCGATCGACAAGGGTCGTCTGACTCGGGGCCCAGAGACACAATTGACTCATCCAGTCGGACGGTTGACTGTCGGCACCGACCGAGCTGCTGTCATCGCGATCGCAGGGATCCCCACCCTCAAAGATCGTCTATCTTAGTATCTTCTTCCACTTGGAATTCGCGTGGTCTACTAATGTAGTCTCCATTTGGAATTTCTTCTTTGATGGGTAGCTTTCTCCCACTCCCCGCGCTCCTGTATCTCAACCCAGACGACAGGCAGAAATGCAGGCCGGAGGCCAATTCTCCGACCATGAAGCAAGGGCGTTCCTGTCAAAAGCTTAAAGGCCAATAGCAACCATGGACTGCAGCAGTCTCTTGTCGCTACATGCATTCTCCCCTCCTATTTCATGTCTGATTGACTTTTCTCATGCCGGATTGTCTTGAGTCTCGATGACTTGTCACCTCGTTCGTACCGCGAAACCAATAACAGCACCACCAGGTCGGCCAAATCGGCTCAGTCGGACTGTCGCGTGGGCTCAGCTGGTATGCTCGGAAAGCTGTCGACTATGTGTCCTGTCCTGCATCCTCCCCTGAGCAACCCAAAGGGGAGAAGACATTTAAGGTGTCGTGCGCCCATGTCTGCCCCGGATATTTCTTCCTGTCCATCAGAATCAGGAAGGGTCAAGAGGGGTAACAGATCGGTAGCCTTCTGGATGGCAGTACCTGTCCCCTGACCTTCTGTCCTCACTGTGCGTACACTCTGCCACGTCAACTCTCCGAGGAGCGCAGTTCGATTGGCCATCGCGATCATGTCCGCTGCTGAATCCAAAATCAATCTCGATCCTGCTCATACGCAGTTCGACCAAGAGCAAAAGGGGGCACTCGATCGGAAACGCCCTGCAAGGAGGCGCCGCGGCCGCAATTCTCCAGACGTCCACGAATCCTTCACCTTGACGGACACCATCGGTTATCTGCTGTCGACCCCCGATAGCACTATGAAATGGTTCCACTGGGGTGAGTTTGCTGTAGCTCCGATATATGAACACGATTCTGACTGACCGCAAGAACCCACAGGCGGCCCAAGCCTTTCCGCGACATAGGGGCATTTTGCATCATACACAAATATGCCGTGCTTGAAGCCCACTGTTCTACCTTCTGGCTCGATAGTGTTGAGACTAGGACCTTGCCAAACCAGAAACCAGAGATAAGAGAGCCTTGTGTGTGGAGCAAATTCCTGTTATCATTCATCATTCAATCATTTGTTCACTAGCATGTGACATTGCGGGCTGTATCTTCGCTCCTCTGGTTGAACTACAAACACTTCTGACGGCAGCGTACAAGCAGATATGCAAACAACACCCTGCCTAATCTTAGACGCTGTTCAGACAATAAGCAATTCTGTCACAAAGAACAATTTCACCACGCCCTTCGGTTAAACAAATTCACCTTGACTCTAGAGCGACCGTCGAGGTTCTCGAGCATGACCAACCTGCTTCGTCTCTTTAGTATTCATCTGATGTCAAGGACATTTCATAAGTCCCGAATGTAAATAAACAGCAGGACGCATATAAGTTCTATAGATAGTCAACTCGAGTAGAAGAAACTCACCTCCTTGTCAGCAGCCTCTTCTCTACCAAAGCCTCCAAACTCCTCTAAGGACCCCTTTAGTTCCTACCTCGAGCCAGTCCTGTGACTCTCCACTGAAATCCCAGCAGAATGTCCAGAAAAATCGAAAACATACCCCTGCATACCCGCGACCCCGACGCAATCGACAAGGCTAACCTAGCCGAGTTATTGAAAGCCACCACCGATCCTCCCGTCGCGCCGCCCTCCACCGCTGCGGATCAAGGGAAGATCGAGGGGCCGCCCAGCCCTGATCCCGCGGCTGCCCGAGGAGCCGAGATTACGTGTACGTGGGTTTTTCTCATTTGGTTGCTGTCGCCGGGGTAACTTAGGAGGGATCTCTCTCATATTTACTACAGCTGACCGTGGTCGTGAAGATGTGTTCATTGAGTACGCCTACCATGACGAGGACTAGGAGGATCCAGATGATGAGTTCGAATTTGAGATCTGAGGTGGACTGGAAGGATGGGATTGGTCGAGGGATGTGGTAGTGATGGTGTCAGAATTAAAAGTTCCGTGCTATGTGTAGTGCTACTATGATCTTCTGGCTACTTAAACCGAGGTGTGGTGTCAGAAATACGGATCTTTCTGTTTGTGGGATATATACAAAGGGTACACAAACTTCCAGAATGTTGCGAAAAAAATTCCAGGACTGACTAAACCACTGAGGATAGAAAAGAAGAAGCCACTCTTTACAGCGCGGTGTTTAATTCGATATACATAATGTTAAAATACCCGTAGGACCTAATTCTTCCCCCTCCAAGCCTCGACCAAAAGATCCTTCACCTTCACCGGCACAATCTCAGGGAACCGGGCATTGAGGCGGTTGTCCGCAGGGAGATCGAAGACGCCCGCGATCGTGAGACGACTAACCAGCGCAGTCATCTCGCGGGCTTCAGCCTCGCTGGAGCCCGGCGGGATGGCAGGCACAGTGACCTGGCCTTGCTTGATCTTCTCAGCGCTGTCATACACGACGGAGAATTCCCGCCCTGGTTTTAGAATCTGGTCAGCCTCTCGCCTCTCACGAATGGATTAAATCCCGGATCCCTCCCCCCCCCCTCTCTCTTCACCATCCTTCCAGTATCTAGGATTCACATACCTCGCACCTCCTCCGCCACCCCCAACAACTGGTTATACGTCACCGTATCCCCAACCACAACACTGCACTCGGGCCACTCCCCGTCAACTTCCAATAACTTGACCAGGTACTTCGCCATGTCGTATGTATACGTCATGCAGAGCTTATCGTTCCCATCCCCCGGAATCGCCGCCCGGCAGTGCGCGATATCGATCCCGAAGACATAGGGCTCCAGATGCGTCTGCACGTGCGGCATCCCCCAGTAGTCCATGAAGAAGCCCGGGATCATCCGAGTATATTTCAGGGTCTGGGATTCTTGGAGCTTCCTCGCGGCGACGAGCCAGTGTTCTATGCTTGGGTCGATCGGTAGGAGGCTGTTATTTCATTAGCATTGTGTGGGCTTTGGGGCATGTCTTGGGGAAGGTGAATGGGAGGGGGGTTTACTCTTCAGTCTGAATGAACGAGTACTCGCTTGGGATAAAGCGGGAGACGGTGCTCGAGCGCTCCGCAGCGCTGATGAGGTTCAGCTGCGCTTGGCTGGTTGCTGCGTCGGTGATGCCGATGGCCGAGATGATGGTCGTGATGGCGTGGGTGGTTAGGGTCTCGGCGAGGCTGGCGATGTCGGTGTAGTCGATTTGGAGGTGTTTGGTGCGCGTAGTTGGGATCGTTTGGTTGGAGGTCTGGGTCTCAGTGTCAGTTTGGGTCTATGGTCTGTTTTGAGTTTATGTTATGGAGAAGAGCTTACGCTGCGGGTGAGGATGATGATCTCGTGCGTGGTTTCTTGGAGGAGCGTCTCGATGATCGTTTGGCCCACGGCGCCTGTGCCGCCTGCTACTGCAATTACGGTCATTTTTGGAGGGATGTTCTGCAGGTATAATGAATGTGCAGTGGTGATTAGTGTCTTTGTAGACGCAGGTTCGATGGATTTGAGGTCAATATATGGTGGTCCCGGTGCCCCGCTGGTGATCGTGTCTCCACTTTGCCACGGCCATGTCACTTTTTCTATCTGAGCCGTATTCTTGGGCAAATTCGACAAGCTCTGCAATTGCGAATACGTCCGACCATGCTTAAACTTAGAATAGGGATCATCGCTACTGTCTTCTTGCTTTTATCCAATGCTGCTATTTGTATTACTGCTGGTATTACCTGTATCTATATTGTAGAAGAAGTATAATAGACTGCTTATAGAGCTCGGTAGCGAGAAGTAGATGTAGAAAAATTACTAGCCCTGCCGCCGGCTCTTCTCGCCTTTTTTGGCCGTCCATCTGCCACACCTTCCGCCTCTCCCCGGGCACTTATGAATACGCACCGCCAAGCACTGAGGGTACCCCCACCCAAACCTCATTTGTCTGCAGCGCAGTATACCTAGTCGCTCCGTCCTTGCTATCGATCCGCCAGCTATTTTTGCTTTTCTCCTTTCCCTCGGCACCGCAGCGCACCGTGTCAATAATCCTGATCCCTGTTCTACCTTAGTCTCTGCCGGAAAATCTCCTTCCGATTAAGACATAAGTCATCCTAATATATTTGTGTTGGATCACCTGCGCCGAGTGCAATCTTCTGGTTCACAATAATTCTTCCCAGAATCAGCGCCGCAAATCGCCTAAACACCATGACGACCAATTCCAGAGATAAAAATTCAGTGGACGAAAGGGAAGAAAACATCTTCCGTCTTCTTCCAAACTTGATTGGTATGTAAATCTTTCGAGCCATGGCGACTAAATAATACTGATTACTCGTTGTCAGGCTATGCACGAGTCGTTTTCGCTATTGCTTCACTTCATTATATGCCTTATCATCCACGAACCTGTTCGCTCCTATATAGCGTTTCATGTCTCCTAGATGCCTTGGATGGGGCGGCTGCTCGGCGCCTTGGCCAATCAACGCAGTTTGGCGCCGTCCTGGACATGATCATTGATCGATGCACAACAACTTGCCTATTGGTATTCCTCGCAACCGCGTTTCCCAGATGGAGCATGGTCTTTCAAGCCTTGATTAGCTTGGACTATTCGAGCCACTACATCCATATGTATGCTACCCTAGCAATGGGTGGACAGCGTCAAAGTCATAAAGATATTGACCAAAGTCGGCCCTGGGTCATGAGAGCATATTACTCTAATCGTGTTCGTGCATCACCCTTCTTCAGTGCAATATCATTATCTAACACATTCAAAGAAAGTTCTGTTTACTGTCTGCGCAATGAATGAGGCATTTTTCATTGCGCTGTATTTGCTTTCATTTTCTTCGCCACTACTCATGCCTCCACTGAAGAACAGCGAAGCAAGCTTTGCAACAGCCTCCCAAATATGGGGATCGTCTTGGAGTGCTGGGGCTATGGAAATGGCTCGGTAAGTACAAGTCTGACACCGCTAGGACAGCTGATGCTTATACCTTGTTTAGTGCCAATAAAATCAGCAGTTCAGTGCCATGGTTCATACTTACCATCTCATCACTATTCATGCTCTTCAAGCAGTATGTGAATGTCATACAACTAGTTGAAGCGAGTAGATGGCTAGCACAGGGCGATGTTGAGACGAGGAGGACACGCTTGCTTCGAAAAAAAAACTTGAATGACTTGGCTGATATACGATCTGAATATTTCCGCAATAATACAGTGCATCTCAGGCCTACAATTGTGCCTTGTTTTGGATAAATATGGTTACAGAGAACAGCGATGGCAGGAATAAGAACTTTGCTTTTTTATTATCTTTAACTTTGAATGTGAGCCTCTTTTAATTAATTTTATTTACAATAGAAAACCCTGAGTATATTTCTTAGGTGAGGAAAGAGAGACGCTGGGCTGCGTATAAGATCATCAATACATAATAAAGCTACTTTAGTTTAAGCATACATACATAGTAAATATAATAGGATTCTCTTAATAGCCTGCACAAATATCTATTCCATATCTGAAAAGGAATACAAAGTTCGATACTGGGACGGGATTATATACATCACCGGAATAGATGTTTAAAAAGTGCTCTTTCCGCAAATACTGGTAGCACTTTTTGCTGGGTATACGGCACTTGAATCGTAGATATAAAACTCTGCCGAAATTGTTCTAGTCTGTGTGCCTCCGCTATCAGTAATTAAAGATCTGGCCGTGGCCCCTGATATTGTCATTACAGCTATTCCAGCATTCATAAGAAAAATAGTTGTGCAGACCGATAGGAGGGCATCTCTAACATAAGCACCAGCAACGCGAAATAAGATCTTAACAACAAAAGTACAGCTTTCATTCCCTGTACAAGTATTATCTTGCATAATATACGACCCCTTAGTCAGATTATAGGACGTTACAAGAGTAATCATGTCAGAAATGTTTCCTGCCATTCTCGTATTGGGCGTATTTTGCCCCGATCAAACCGCATACAATATTCTTGAGGATAAATATTATCTGCGCAGTTTCAATTCTCACATCTGTTGTATTTGCTGGCTAATACAGTTTACCCTTATTTACTATCTTACTAGTCCAGGTCATGTAGTCCAGACCACTGGTAAACAGTCATTCCGAGGTTGGTATCTGAGAAAGATCAATATTCCGAATAGTCAGAGAGAAAATGGCTGTATTAGGTACAGGAATAGCCATTGTCTAAGATTAGAGATTCTAACACTGAAGAAGCCACTATATTATATACAGCCGTCAGCCAGCACATGGGACCTGTCATGACAGCGAGAAATACGAGCGCAATAAAAAGCATTTTTGAAAATCTGAAATCCATGTGGAAAAGAAACTTCTAAACAGCAATCTTGATACGCTCCTCATAAGATGGGTAAAAATATGAAAATGGAAAGCTTCAGGGAGAAGTATAACCTTTTGCTAGTAGCGATTTACGAATAACGATTACACTGTTATAAGTTATTCTTCTCATATTCAACCAGATGAATGCTTGCTCCCTTTATAAGTACAAGCCTTTATTTAGGGAGGAAAACCCGTAGTCCGACGGATAGATAGGCTCTAGATCACTCGCCATATGGCCATCATCTTGGCTCACAACCACAGAATCTCAACCCCGGTTCCTACCCCACGTCGACATCATGCTTTTAGTTTTGCCTACTAGAGACCTAATCTGCATTAGATTGTTTCTAATGAAAGGGTAGCCACCCTAGCTTCTGGTCAGTCCCACCAGATTTTGAAAAGAAGAGTGTCTGGGTGCGCCACCGGTAAGGAGGTGTCATGAATGGTTCAGGATTCGAGGGTCAATCTCCATCTCTCAGAAAACAATATGAAAGGCACAAAGGCTGATGCAAATACTCAAAAAAGCAGATATCCATGTTGAAAATGAGGGTGGTCTATCAAAATATGAAAGGAGGCTGATCCTGTAGACGACAAAATCTAGACCATCCCCTGGCAACAGGCAGTACCAACGAAACTAGATCATCTATACTTATCCGAGACCAAATTTCATCTGGATTCCAGAGCAGAAATAACTGCCCTCCAAGATCTTGTAAACCGCTACATGAGTTGGGCTCGTCAAAGAGACTCAATCGGGACAGAAGCTGAGCTTCGTCAACCTGGTGTAGCTGACACCACTTTTGGGATCAGGCTCCAGGTCACAAGTGTTCCCTGAGTAACAGGAGATAGAATATCAACACCGGCAGCTCGAGGCCTGTAGGCTGGGAAAAGCTACTACCCTCTCGCCAGCTGTTGCAGCTCTTCCGCGCTTACTACGCGTTATAGAGTCCAGTCCGCAAAAAGTTGGAAACCTGAATACCGGCCTTCGATTGGTTTGAGTAATACAGTCCGGGCTCACAAGGACCAAGTTAGCTTTCCTTGGCGCTTTCAACTTAACTGCGATCATCTCTTCGTTTTCTCTTTCGCACTCGTATTTGGATTTCTTTGCATTCGGCTTAAAATTCTCAATTACGCTACCATCTAGGCGTTACATGAGTAGACGCCACCTGACACGTACCGTTTACCTCGGCAAGACCTACCAATCGATCCTACTCCTTGAATCAATCTCATCAGGCCCTTGGTACCTTTCCCAGCCTTCTGTTTTAGTCTGGTCTCAGCCTTTCTTCGACCTACTCTGCGGTAGAACCCCAAGCAAATCTTCAATAAAGGCTTCTTTCTTCTCTTCGGACGAAATTGATCACGGCATTTGAGACATCCTTCCTTGCCATCCGCTTATTATGACCACACCTTGCGGTAACATTACATCTCCAGCATAAATAATGATCTCGTCTATATCTGTAGTCAATTTATAGGAAGGCCATCTCTGGACCGACAACTACGAGGTCTGAGTAATTCCGGCTTGTATAGACTGTATGTGCATCCGTGCCTATTTATAAAAGACAAGCACCAGACTAATTTAATAAGCTACGACAAGCTCTCACCACCCTCCATCTTCAACCAAAACACCCGTTCAGCGGCCCTCCCCCGACCCCCCGGCGTCAATAGCGCATGAACCTCACTCGGATGCACCCAGGCAAAGAGAACCATAACCAGCACCATGAGCAACGCATCAAAGATATACAGGAATGCCTCATGTGATACCAAATACCCGTCATTCCCCTGCGCATACTCAATTAATCGGAACAGCGATCGGACAAAGATAAGCGCGCTCCCCCCGTACAGGGCGTACATGTGCCGCTCCCAGGGTGCTCGTAAGTGAAGGACACGACGTGATGGAGCATTCGACAGTCCGCGGTGGAACTTTATACTCGTTATGACAAAGAGCGAGAAGAAGATTAGTTGTACGACGAGACCGCCGATTATGATATGCTCGCCGGTTGTTAGGGCGCTGGGCGTTCCAGAGGCCATTATCCCGCCACCTGGATGAGAGTTCATATGTCTTAGTAGAGTAAACTCGCATTATTAGGGGCAGGTTGGGGGATTACCTGCGCCTTGCATAATGAACGAGATGATGTCGCCGAGCAGGAATATCTTGGTTAGCCATGTTCGGCGAATCAAGCAGTATGCCTCTCCGTTTGTGAGGAGCACGATACGGCCGAGCTCCATGTAGACTGTTGCGGCGAAGAGGGTGGGTGCAATGAGGAGGAGGAGGGTTTGCACGATATAAGGCTTTACGGTAAAATGGGGGGCCTCGGCTCCGGAGACGGCACGCTAGAAGGTCAGTTGCAGTGCAAGAGAAGGGCAGGTGGAAGTAGACCTACGCCAATATATCCGATCCATTCAACTGGGTTGATATGGATTAGTTATGAGACTGCGACGGTTTTCAGGGTTGAAGACTCACGATGTCCGCCGACGACAAACGGGATGACGAACCATGCTCTTGTTCGGACTGCTTGGAACGTATGGATGCCTGCTGCGACCAGGAAAAGAATGATGAAGATGACAGCTGCGCCAATCGAAGGGTCGTATGTGTATAGTTTAAACTCTGAATCCTTGGTAGCCATGTGGAGAAGTGAGATAGGAAATCAATGCAGTAAAGGAGAGTGTAGAATTGTATCAAGTACCGTAAAGAGTGGCAGGCATGATGAGAGTATACTCGATGTTTGCGACGATTATATGTACTTATAGTCAGCAATTCAGAGAGATTTCAAAGTAAATAGTGGCTGTGTTGTTTCAGGCGTAGTCGTACTCGTAGCCGTTCTCGTACCCTTCCGAGATCCAAGTATACACGCACCTGGGCAGTACTTACGGCAGACCCACCAGCCGCCGGCTATAAGAACTCAGGGAGTCAACGCCGAAGATGACTTTTTTTGACTCCTTTACAGCAAATTCAAAATGGCGGAACAGGGCTACATTGACTTCAAGTTGTATAGATATACACCCAACCGCGTTGCGGCAGGGATATTCGTGGCCCTTTTTCTCCTCACGACAATATACCATATCTACCAGTTGGGGCGCAGACGGGCATGGTACTTTATAGCCTTCGTAATTGGAGGAATATGTAAGCAAGGCTCCTTTGTTTTTCTCTCTATAAGCGTGAGAGACCGATGGACAGAGTACTGATAGTGAGCCTCTAGTCCAGATCATTGGCTACGTCTGCCGCATCCTCGCCCATAATCACAAAGAATCGGTTCCAATCTACAGCGTGCAGACCATCCTTATCCTGCTTGCACCGCCGCTCTACGCTGCCTCGATTTATATGGTCTTGGGCCGCCTAATTACCTTTTTACGTGCCGAAAAGCTTAGTCTGGTTCCTGTCCGGTGGATGACCAAGATCTTCGTCGTAGGAGACGTGGTTGGATTCGTCGCGCAGGCTGCAGGTTCGGACTCTCTTATCATCTCCCTTTGACTACTAAGACCTCTAACGGATCCCTGCTAGGCGGAGGCATCATGGCATCTGGCACGATAGAAGACTACAAACTCGGCGAACACGTTACCGTCGCTGGTCTGGCGGTTCAACTAGCCTTCTTCAGTGTCTTCATAGTAACCTGCGGAATATTTCACCGCCGCATCCGACAGACGCCCACACGGGAAGTGGCCGTTATCTCGGCCCGTCTCCGCGAACAGAAGAGACGGGGTTGGGAAACTGTCCTTCTGGGACTCTATACTGCGAGTCTGCTGATTCTTGTGCGGTCGATCTTTCGGATTATTGAGTATGCGCAGGGCAATGATGGGTATCTAATTAGCCATGAGGTGTTTATGTATGTCTTTGACTCGGCACTGATGTTTTTGACCATGGTTGTCATGAACGTGTGCCATCCTTCGATGATTCTGGTTGGGCCCCAGAAGGGGAGAGATGCGGAGATGAGAGTGCTCGAGTCTGATGAGTAGAGTAGTTAAGTTGGTGCCATTCATATTAGTGGAGAAAATTGTCTGTTCATCCGAAAAGTCAAGAAAGACATGGGAATATTGAACGTTGGATAACTTAAAGTCGACTGCTCCGCAGAGAGGACGAAGGCAATTGGCCAGATACCCTCACCCACCTGCGCTGGGGCCACAATCGATTGACCTCTTAGCTATAGATATTTGTACAGCCTTTGATATATGCTAGGTAGGCTTACCAGTATTTCCCTGTGCCTCGTGCCACTTAAGATAAACAATGAGAAGAAAAAGTTATTGAGGGATGTCTTGATGCCCCCACAGATCATCCGAGACTTTTGAAATGTGTAGACCTATGCAAATTCGAATATGCTGTCAAGGACCCCATCGCGAAACCACAGCTTATCTTTCTCTTCTGCATGCAAAATCATGTCCTTACCCAGACAGACGCATCTTGTGACGAGCGGATCATCACGGATACATGGCTCACGACAAGGCCATAGCACCAAGTATATTCCGAATTCCAGGGCCACACGGAATGCCAGCTCATCTTTCAGCGGCCCATATCCGACCATAAACGGGGATTTCATTCTGGATGCCACCGTGACGGACTGGAAGTGAGCGAGGACATAGAGCTCAGCGAACATTTGGCCGAGGTCGATAGCTACTGAACCGAGCTGTGAAATCTCCCAGTCAATAATACTGAGGGACAGCGTGCGACGTCCAGCTGAGAGTGATCCGTCTGAAATAAGAACACTATGTCGAACTTTAGCTGGCGAACGACGAAGATTGTTGTATCGCGCGTAGTCCACTCACTTTCGACAGCCAAAATCACCATGTATCAATTGATCCTCAGTGCCCACAACCTCTGTATTCAGCCGCTGTTCCAACCGTTCAAAAACATGGATGCTGCTTCCAAATATGGCCGGATACCTTGCAATACTTTCCTTCAAACTGCCATAAGTTATGTTATACTTCATTTCCGCCATTTCACGATTGCCCTTAATCTCCCGACGCAGTGAAGCCTGATCTGGCATAGCACCCCACTTGTGGAACCCACTCATCCATCGTCCTAGCGATACTCCAACTTGGAAAACCTCATATCTGTCAAGCTCGTGGGTGCTGAGATAGGCCTGAAGCTGCGATGATCTAGGGAGGTCTGAAAGAATCGCGGTGTGGGATGCGGCATAATACTCATACAGAATAGGAGAGGTCGTAGTGACGTCCGGGATCTTGGCCGGGGGAAGGACCTTCATAGCTTTCAGAATGAGAGCCTCATAGTGCTAAAATGTATATAAGTATGCGTGGAATGTTTTTGCCTAGATGGGTGCCATACAATGCGCGTCACTGATGACTTCCAGTCAGAATTGGCGGCAACATACGGTTCGGCGTGTTTTACGATAACCCGCGTAGTGGGAGGAGTGGTGGCAAGGGGCGACACAAGAATTCTACGGTAAACAAAATTTACGTAGCCACCGGAGAGCGGGATGAGATCTATGCATGCATAGGGAGTAGTCTCCAGAGCAGAGAGTACCCTAGCCAAGATTAGGTCGGAGGGGTGCATGGTGACTTACGAGCTCAAAAAGTTCAATGTATGTACCTACCGTATGGGAGGGCCGAAAGTCTGCCGCTTTTAATAGCCGGGGTAGCCTTTCTGCCTACTTTCCAAAGGTGGGCTGTCGGCAGATTACGATAACGAAAACGGATACGACCATAAAGGCCTTCCATAATTGGCTGGGATACGGATTACATCCACTTTGCTTATGCTTTTCTATCTTTAAGCTCACGTGGAAGGAGCATCCCCACAAGGGTGCGACCACTTTTTTTCCTTACTTTTTGGCTTATGGCTCGGACGAAGTGAGGCGACATGGTACGGTTTCCATAGATTTCGACTAAGACAATTTACAGCCTTAGGGCCCCAAATAAGGTAAACCTGAAGATTATCGGTGCATCCCAGGAGGCATCATTTAACAGATATTATTTCACGATAACCAGCCCATCTCAAGGAATCAACACACCAACTGCCGGCATGCCGCCGCGAAGGTCTCACAAGAAGTCCCGCAACGGCTGCGAGCTGTGCAAGAAAAGAAGGGTCAAGGTCGGGAAATCCTGCACTTCCAGCTGCTGTCTCAGCTTAAAGTTATCTCTAGAATCGGGACTCGCGCGCATACTAACACACAATCACTCGATCGTAGTGTGATGAACAGGACCCGTGTTCGAATTGTTTGACGCGGGGGACGACTTGTAGCTATGAGCGTCGACTTAGTCCGCTTGCTCATCAAAATGGATTACATATTAGTGCGTCCAGTTCTGGGTCTGAAGCGAGAGATGAGCGTACCCGCCAAAATACGGCCTTGCTATCTCTCCGTAAGGACTGCTACGACTCATTCTATCGGAAGATGACCGTGCTCGCCCGGTCTTCAGAATGGACTGGCCGCGACCCCGAGTTGATGCACCATTATTCTCTCTACACATCTAGGTCTATTGCAAAGAGGCCGGAGATGCAACAAGTATGGCAGGTTGAAATTCCTAAGACTGCATACTCACACGAGTTTTTGATGCATGGAATCCTCGCCCTATCAGCACTTCATATCGCCTGTAGCTGTCCTGGAAGATACAGCAGCTATCTGAAAAGCTCCAGGTACCATATTACTCTCGCTTTACGCTCCTTTCGAAGGGCTCTTCTCTCACCAACAGCCGAGAATTGTTGCGCACTGTTTGCCTCTTCGAGTATAATCATGTTGTACACCTTCGCGACCCCCGCGGAGCCAGACGGCGCTGGTACATGGGCGATCCTAGAGTCGTTTATAGAACTCTTTCAACTCTGTCGAGGTATTTTGGCACTCAAGGGCTTTATGACTGAGATCCGAAACAGCCCCCTTCGGCCACTGTTTCGGCAAGACTTCGACGTACCAGTCTATATCGCGAAGTAAGTTTCCTGGTTAGAGTCAAAGGTTTCCCTGAACCGTACTTGGCTGCCTCACCATGCGATTGATAGATCACCGTGTCCTGTGATTTTGTAAAAGTGCAATATGCTGTGCGTTAGCTAACTGCGCTGTAGGGGGAACCCAAACAAACTATTTGTTGGCTTAGAGAACGAACTCCACCAACTCAGTTCCTTCCTTGATGCGGAGCTCCCAGAAATTCATCAGAGATTCTCATGCGGTCATGCACTGGAGCAACTTGATTATTCATTCAAGTGTATTCAAAACGCCGAGTTGCCCTTGGAGTGTGGAATGATCTTCATTTGGCCAATCTCTGTCAAGGAAGAATTTATATATCTTGTGAAAGAGATGAACGTGGGAGCCCTTGTATTGATGGCCTATTACTGTGCCCAGCTCTGTTTATTTGAAGATTACTGGTTTGTTGGAGAAAGGGCACGATCGCTCTTTTCGGAGATCTCGACTGCATTGCCGGAACGGCTATGGAAATGGCTGGCCTGGCCTAAGAGCGTCATATATCATAAAGTTGACTTGGTAATTATTTGACGATGTCTTGCTACTGGACACCAGGACGCTGATTACCACTTGGTTAAGTAGCCGTTAGTATCATACTTATACTATACTATTTCAAAAGCGGATCCATTCGAGACGTCATGGGCCAGGTGGAATACGTTGCAAGCAGACAATATATACCAAACAAAGCAACTTTAATTGATGATACTTCTTGACTGCTCGACAGAGCTTAGTATTCGCTGGCTCATCCACTCTATCATAATAGCAGCTAAGCAGCAATCTGAACATCGTCGCGTCGTAGGTGAGGGGTGACCTCTGTGATGGTTGCTGAAAGTCCTTACATGTAAGCAACACTGTCGTGGTATACATCCTCAAAACCACCGCCTTCGAGGACGATCCTCAGCTGAGGAACCCGCCTGCAGGGCCATCTCGTTGTAAGGGTGTAGAAGATGGCCACGTATTGGTGGCATACTATCTAGCGGCAGCCGCACCATGTTCGGGGCCCGCGAATCGCTAACATCGGAGGGTCGTAATATTGGGGTGCGCAAGAGACTGTATCGCAGAATCACTAAGAGAAGTTATAGTACTGGTGTACGCAGAGTTATCAAGCCATAGGCACCATTCGGCTCTTTAAGAAACTTCCACTCAACTTCGCGCATGCTTGTTTTGGATTGTGCAAAGCATCTACTAGTAACTCTCCCTACAACAGTATAGCCGCTTACTATACCTCATGTTTTTGCAAGTCGAAGTATACTATGCCATGGGTATAGAAGATTAGAAGACGGGCAATAGGTCCATCTCCAGCAACCTTAGGAGTATGGCAATGAGTTTTGGATCTATAGTAGGTGAGACAAATATTACATTTGGCCTAGAGAAAGGACAATAATGAGTTCACAGCGAGCAGGCGAAACCAGATCTGCTCCACGCATGGTATGGTCAGCAGAAGAGACAACCGGTTCAGGCTCGACTTTCCTTTTTCTGTCCCGAACGCGAGCCCCCGTTTAGTTGAGGTGAGCGCACTATAACTAGAGTTCATGGATTACGAGGACCATTCCTTTAGAAAGCAAAAGAAAAGGCAAAGGGGATAAACTGCGCAGTAAGCAAGGATTTGAAGGTTTCACTGGTTTTGTAGTGGTTCGCTTAGTGCCTGCCTTTGTCGTTGCCTATTCGCACTGACGTTTTGGGGTTGTGATCGACCGGATAAGCATAAACTGAATTTATTTTCTAATCAGAGAACATTGGGAAACGCCCTCATGAGGCCACCATAATCTTCTCTGGAGCACAGGCAGGGGTGGTGTCAGTGCTATTCGTTTGTTTGGACAAGAACGACTCCTTGATTCATCCCCGGATCCTGTCTTCGAGGGAGCTGTCTAGGCCGTGTTAGGATGTAGAAGCGTCAAAGCTAGTTTGTAGAAGAGGAATATCATATTCTTTTTCTCAATTTTCATAATGTTTCAATTGTTCAAGCTTAATCCTTTAACCTCATCTCCCCGATCTGCCTATTATCTCGAGCTTGGAACAAACAGCTCCTACCATGACAAGCAAGCACAAAATAGCAGGACAAGCTTTTCTCAGCCAACCTGCCCATTGCCTTCGATACGAAATGGTATTGAACCAGCTGGGTGTTGAGGTTGACGAAGGCTTGACACAAGAAGATGCTGCTCAACGCCTTCAGCTCTATGGGCCAAATAAGCTTGATGAAGGCGAAGGCGCCTCGATTATCAAGATCCTTGTTCGACAGGTAGCAAATGCAATGATGCTAGTTAAGATATTCACTTTCTTCAATTCAGCTTCATTTCCAAATCTCCAGAGTCTGATTCGATACCAAATTGCAGGTGCTAATTTTGGCAATGGCGGTCAGTTTTGGTATTCAATCATGGATTGAGGGCGGGGTGATTGCGGCTGTCAAAGTCTTGAATATCGTGGTGGGCTTTTTTCAGGAGTATGCGGCGGAGAAACCGATGGAATCATTGCATTCACTTAGCTCACCCACTGGCACGATCACCAGAGGCGACGTAACGCTTTCGGTGCCTTCATCAAACATAGTTATGGGCGATATTGTTGAACTCAAGACCGGCGATACTATTTCTGCAGACCTTACCTTCGGTTACTCTTGATAAGCCTTCGCTGATTATCAGGAAAATCCTAACCCTGTCCAGCTTGTTTGAAGCGATCAATTTCGAAACAGACGAAGCTCTCCTTACAGGCGAATCGTTACCCGTACAGAAAGATTGCGACTTGATATTTTCCGAAAATACCGGCCCGGGCGACAGACTCAATATCGCCTATAGCTCTAGTACCGTTACCCGTGGTCGCGCCCGCGGCGTTGTGGTCAAAACGGAATGGGAACTGAAATAGGATCTATCGCAGCTGCCCTTCGTACTAGCGACAGCAAGCGTCGCCCGGTCAAGCGTGGGCCCCAAGGCGAGACAAAGAAGCGCTGGTAGCCGAGGGCATGGAGTTTGACCGGTACTGACGCTATTGACCGATTCCTCGGCGTCAACGTGGGTACTCCATTGCTCCATTAAGTGGAAGCTGTCTAAACTGGCAATTCTACTGTTGCTTAAAGGCATAATCTGTTTAGGGTTCCAGTTGTAGAGGGCAGTACTTGCTGGTAAAGGCTGGAATCTTACCGGTAGCTTATCCTATATTACTTTCTCTAAATAGAACTAATATCATAGAATTATTCAGCTATTCTTATGCCTTTAACAATTCTCTTCATTAATTTACAATGTGCGAACATGCCACATTCATTACTAAGCATTTTGAGATGAGCATAAGGCAGGCCATGCAATAGGATGGCTCAAGCGACGGAACCCAACACTTTCAAGCCCGAATAGGAAAATATGAAGCTTGGCGTCTTCCCACCTGCTCTGCCCTCATAGGGCTACGTACTTCAGTAACTTTGCTTGTAACGGCATCATCGAATGAGAGGTCCACGATGACCGGTGGGGGGGTGGGGGAAGGCGCAGGGACCGGACCGTCGGAGGGATGCGGGATTTCTCCGGGATTTGGCGCGATCCTTGAACCAACCTCACCTCTCACGATGAGAGGTGGAGATGTGATGCGATGTTCTTGCTGATCAGTTGGGGAAATGTCGGTTAGGGTCCGTTGCCGCAGTGGCACTGCACTTGAGATCTCACTGATCGAGAACGAGCATGGTATTTGATTAGACCCTGCTGTACAGAGGGTAAATAAAGTAAATTATCTCGCTTGTCACCAAAGCCTGTTGATAAGTAATGTCAATGTACCCCGCTAAAGTATGTACAGTACAGCAGGACCTTGCTATGACAGTTCTAGTTTCAGTAGAACTGATTTTCTGTAAAGCATATTGTTTATCCTCTACACGCTGCCCGATGATGAGCGGCCTCATTCTAAGAAAAATTGTTTGAATTAAAAATCTCGGATGCCAGTAGGGAAACAGGCGATAGTCTAGGTTAGCCACAATGATAGGAATATGATATCTTAAAACTATTTTTTTTTTTTAGATGTGGAGCGGGGGATCGAGTGATCAGGAGATAAAATGAGATAATTCTTTTACTAAAGCGATACAGCGATATAATGTTATATGATACATTTCTGCGCGATAAAATGGATTGATGTAGCGAGGTTTTACCGTACATAAATAGGATAAACCTGCCCTGCAAAGTAAAGATGAGGTGGGTCACGGACCCGAGCCAACAGCATTGACACGAATTTTGTGCTTCTGCTTCCGCTTGTAGCCTTGTGCTTGGGAGTGGATCCTCGTAGTGATGTTGTAGCAAGGAAACTATGAGTATCTATCCCCACAAGGCTTCCTTTATAGTTTGCGATTTCACGGATATTTGACCTTGAACTATGACTGAGGGCTTCGTGGAGATGTGAATTCACCTGAAGAAATACTGTAGGCAATTTTATATAGGACAATCGGGCAGGCGGATTTTCGCGTCTCCGCGTTAGGGCAGACGAAATGAGTGGGGAAAGGGGAAACGGAAAATCGCTCAGATGGAGTGGATCCATCATCTTAGTTCACTGTAGGTAGGCAGTAGACACAGTATTAGAAAGAGACTTTGAAGAGCTAGAGAGCTGTAGTAAGACATCTCCGTGACATCCAATTAGATAACTAGTCAAAATGATAGCGAGTCTCCTCTCCCACACATCCGAGCCACCACGGTCGAAAATCGGCTACCGAACACACCTGCTAACATCTCATTCAGGAGAGAAGGACCGTATATAAAAAGGCCTCCATTTCTTCTTCGCTCCCTGCGTATTCTCTCTCTCTCAATCATATCAGCCCGTTCATTTACAAGTCTCAAACTCATGGCCTCAAGTGCCTCCGTCGCTCGTCTTGCTATCATTGGAATTATGTTCTCTTCCATCTGCTGGCTCTATGCGATTTCTCAAGGCGTCGATCCTGACGTTAAACGCATTCTCTGGAGCCACCTTAGCTGTACCATCTACCCCGCCCTCGTCTACCGATGGCCAGCTCATTGAAGGCCAGCGTCAGCCGGATGTCTGGTACTCCTCGAATCTGGACGACAGTGAAACCTTCCAAGCTATTTTAGAAGCAGCCGCAGTAGCTAGCGATGTCAACAGCACCTCCACGTTGGCCGCCCGCGAACCCATCAAAGTCTGCGAAAGCGACCTCTCTCGAATGGCACAATGCGCCATGATCAGCTCCTACGTGTCCACCATCACATCCGGTTAGGCGGGCGTGATCTGGGGTCAAAGCAAAGAGAAGACCTGCGCCAAAATACCGGCAATCTCAACGGGTGAGATTACGAATATCATGGGACCGGGCGCAACTGCGACACGACCGCCCAGAGGGAGACGATTCACGGCGCGCTGTAACACTATTTCACCAGCGTCGAGAGCAACAAGGTCTGCGGAGCCCAGTGCTTGAACATGAACCATGGCGGTACCTATAATAGCTACTTGAAGTTCGGCAAGGCGGAGTGCTTCGATTCCTCGGCTTACTGTGGCCGCGGGCTTGCTTTTTCTGCTTATGCTTCAGGAGGGAATTAAAGATTCAAATAGTTCTTTTTTTCCATTATCGGTTATCTCTATCGGGATTGTATCTCTATCGGGATTGTATCTCATTGGCGAACGTTCTGTTGCGAAACAAGGGAGTGGAAGGACCCTCCCCCCTTCGAGGTTCTGCAAGGCGTGGATGCGTGGTCAAGGGAATGGGTTATCTTGGCTACTGTCTGTATCTAGGAGATATGGAATATAAAGAGAGTAGACTGGTTTCACAAGCTCGGTAGAGTCGAGGAGGTTTGACTAAATGATCACTGTATCCTGATATCGGTACTCAAAAATAACTACCAGTCAGAATGAGTCAGGCTGCCCCAAATTAATGCAGTCATATTTCATTTTATTGTTATGTCAATTAATGGTGAGATCATTTTAGGGCTAGTCATTCTCAAGCCTCATAAGGCAATAAAAGGCTTCGGTTTCTATTCGAACTCTGGCTCGAAGCTGCCTGGCGTAAGGAAACATGGAGGTATAGTCAAGAACTATAAGATTATCTTCCCCATGGAATATCACTATCACGGGACTGAACGAATAGGCCGGCAGTATACCTTGGAGGGACGAATCTTGATATCGGGTTACTAGTGTGGAAGGAGCTAACTGGTGTGTTTGAAGTTTCAACATCTCAGTCTCCATTGATGGAAAGCAACCTGCGTGCTCTTGACTATAACTTGACATAATTTCAGCGACTTTGAAATCCACAAGGTTTGCGCATTCTACACTACTATTGATAGCCTGTGTGCACCACATCCCCATTTTACCCAGTGTTCCCTCCGCACGGGCAGCATCCAGCTTCGCTTCAGCATCAACATATCAAACACATACTTACCAACCGGTCTCTAATCATCGATTGTACAGAGATTGATCTGCTCTGATCTAAAGAAGGAAATTACCAAGTATCTTAGATTATCTTATAGTATAGGCTACGTATCTCCGTATAATTTATAAAAAGCAGGAAAATAGCATGAATTCCTCGATGGTCTAACGGTCATGATTTCCGCTTGTCAATCCTGCAGAGGAACAAGCGCGGGAGACCTGGGTTCGACTCCCAGTCGGGGAGATTTCTTTTGGTCTTTTTGTGTCGCTTCCCCTCTCGATACCCATTGACCATCATGAGGGGAATATGGAATCTGATCTCGCCACGTGCAGCCTGGCTTTCTAGTGCAGAATGAACCTCAAAGTGGTGCAAGCCTTACACAAAGCACAATACATCTACACACGCCTGATATCAGCTGCTTCTACCAAGTGATCGTGGAACATCCCGTCCACGGACACGAGCAAAGCCTCCAGCCCACAAATCTCCACTCCATCATGCCATTGACAATCCCACTAACTCTGCTCTGATGAACAAGACTATGAATTTGAAAGCGTCATTTGCGCCGCCATAATCAACCATGAGAAATTGCGGTGGGTCTCCTCCCGCCATTATGTAAGACGAGTACCTCTGTCTTAGTGAGTCACGGGCGAGGGGCACGTCATTAAATTTCATCTTATCCTCCGCACGAACCTCAACCCCAACTTTTGAACATCACGAATCCAACCAATTGCCATCACCATGAGAAGAGAAGACGTCACTTACATGGGTGCCGGTCCGGCTGCCCTCCCGACTGATGTCCTTACCACCGCAGCTGAAGCTCTGCTGAACTACCAGGACACTGGCTTGTGAGGGGCTCCGATCCCGGCAATCTTATCGTCAATTCGTGCAACCATTTCTGACACCACATGTTTAGGGGTGTCGCAGAACACAGCCATCGCAGCGAGCTGGCCGCGAACATCTTGAACACCGCTAAGGCTGATTTGGCCAACTTCCTCGATATCCCCTCATCCTACGAGATCCTGTTCATGCAAGGTATATAAAATACCCGGAGCGTTAGCCGTTCTGCATCGAGGGTCTGACTCGTCCATTGCAGGTGGTGGTTCCGGTCAATTCGGCGCAACTGTTTACAACATCGTTTCCGTCTGGGTCGAGAAGCAAAGACAGAAGATTCTGAAGGAAAATGCCGAGATCAGCGAGGAGGATACGTTGAAGGAGTTGCTCAAGAAGGTCGAATCGGAGCTGCGATTGGACTACCTTGTGACTGGATCGGAAGTAACCCGGCGAGTCGAGTGCATTACTCTTGTACTGACTGGCTCTGCAGATGGTCGTTGAAGGCTAGCCAAGAAGCTGTCCGTCTCCTCGGACCTGAGTATGTCAACGTTGTCAGTGACTCCAGAACCGTCAACGACGGAAAGTTCGGCAAGATCGCAGACGAGTCGGCTTGGAGTCTGAGCCCCAAAGCTGCTATGGTGTACATGTGTGACAACGAGGTATGCATCAGGTGTCCCGATCGTTGATAATTACCCGCTGATGCGCATGCTCTGCAGACGGTCGATGGTGTTGAATTCCCTAGCTTCCCCAAGGTGCTGGAGCCCAAGGGAACCGACAACGACCCGCTTGTCATCGGTGATTTCTCGTCCAACATCCTGTCTAGACGGATTCCTGTCGAGGTAAGGAAGAAGCTCAATGTTGTTCCAAGGACGCGCTAACCGGTTTCTAGAAATACTCTGTCATCTTCTTTGGAGCGTAAGAACAGATTCAATTCGGAGCTCGTCGGTGATACTAACCTCAAGAAGTCAGAAGAACCTCGGTACTCCCGGAGTCACTGGTGTGATCATCAAGAAGGATCTCCTGCCCCCCGTTTCTCCTCCCGCCTCCCCTGCTATCCTGCGCAAGCTCGGTTTGCCGATAGCACCCACCATCCTCGATTACTCCGTTATCGCCAAGAACAACAGTCTCTACAACACTCTTCCCATCTTCGAGTGAGTCAATACGAAGCGCTGTTAGGTGGACGTGGCTAATACCATCTAGTGTCTACATTGCTGGTCAAGTCTTGAAGAAGCTGCTTGCCGAGTTCCCCGACAAGGTGGATGGACAGCAGGCTGTCGCTGAAAAGAAGGCCAACCTTATCTACAAGACTCTGGATGCCTACCCTGAAGTTTACAGGGTCGTACCGGACAAGGCTGTCCGCTCACGGATGAATGTCTGCTTCCGTGTGACTAAGGTATGTTGATCTCAGGATTGAAACTGCAATAAACGAAACTAACCTTAGCAGGGTGGCAATGTGGACGAGTCAGAGAAGGCTTTCTTGAAGGGCGCTGTTGAGCGTGGCGTTACCGGACTCAAGGGCCACAGAAGCGTTGGAGGTAAGCTCTCCACTTGACTCGCGTAGCTTACGATAGTGTCTGACCAAAGGTAAAGGTATCCGTGCCTCCAACTACAACGCCATCCCCGAATCAGGTGTGGAGAAGCTCGCTGCTTACTTGAAGGAGTTCGCCACTGCGTAACGGTGTAGGAATACGAAAAGTGATATCTGCACATATAGGAGATCTTGTTTGACTAGGCTAGGCGTTTAAGGCTAAAAAGGCTGAATACAGAGATTGAGCATGCTCGTCCAAGCTCCCATTGCATGGGTCAATGACCAACCATCTCGTCCTTTCTGACCTATGTACTGTGAATGAACCCTCGCTTTAACTGCATTCGAAGTCGTAGCCATAGAAGCTCAGGGTACTAAACTCATGCTATGGAGGGACAAGTGGGCAATCTACATGGGATATATAATTCATGATAGCTCGTAGAGTATAACAAATGGATTATCTGATAGCTGAGACCAGATAGGACATGAATTAATTGGAGACTGATGCGCCTTTTCAAAGATACACAGTAGCTACAATTTTTGCGTCAGATGCAGCTGGTTTACACGGCCCTTACACCGCCTTACCCTGCGGAACCCTTACGACCTTTCGGGGTTAGAGCAGCGGATCGGCGGACGAACAGCGGACGAAACTCGGCCTGCGAAACTGTTTTCAAAGGCGGTGGCAGAACAAATGCTTCGCGGACATAACAGCAGGCGGAGATCCGAGCGCGAAACTGTTTGCTTCCTCACCGCCTTCTCAGCCGCGCAGATGACAAAGCAAGCAGAAGATACGAGCTCATCTTCGCCTCAGGGCAAAATGATTAGTGAACATCTGGAGCCGAGGCGAAAATCCACGAATCTCAATCCACCTCCCAACAAGACAGTATCTCCCTCTGCATAGCCAAGAGTTATGCGTGCATTAGCAGGGGTCTAAGGGCGTCCAGAATATCTTACTCAACGGTTGAACAGCCTAACCGCCCCGTTAATCACCCCGTTAGGTGCATCCTTCCTGCTGACGATGCTGATGAATCTCCCGTGTGTGGCAAATGGCAGACAGCATACAAGCTGAAGGAATCATCTCTAGAACTGCTCATTTGCATCTTTTGTGTTCCTTGAAGAGCAGTCCGTTACCTACAAGATAAATACCCCGCGTATGATGCTATGGCGCACTTGAATTATGCAGCAGCACAAGGAGGTGCCACCGAGACGGACGCTACTCTAGTGCCTTGGGAGACTATTCATGATCGATTCTTCGGTTCTTCCCACCCCTCATCGGAATCCATGGCATCGCCGCAGATAACTTCACTGCTCTCTGCTTGCTCGTATCCGGTGCCCGAGTCTGCGGACTCGTCCCACGAGGACTATGCCCATCCGGCTCTATTCGGTGGAATCACGTCCGACAACGTCCCCGAACTCGATAGCGCTTCAAGCACCATGGATAGTCACCAGACGCACGGAGATCAGGTTGTAGCGGAGCGTCTCAAACGCCCGCGCATTGAGGCTGAGAAGCCTACATCTGGAACCACAGCCGCGAAGCGAGGCCGGCCGCGAAAAGTACTCGATGAGTCCTTGGCGGAGGATCCCGAAGAGGTATGTACTTGCTGCCGCCATCACCCCGATTCGAGTACCGATGCTTATAAGTTGCACAGAGGCGACGGCGCCAAATCCGTCTTGCGCAGCGCGCATATCGCTCGCGGAAGGAGGCGAATATGTCCTCGCTCAAGAGCCGTATCCTCCAGCTAGAGTCCGTGGTCGAGCAGATGAGCTCGGCTGTGCTTTCTCTCAGTGACCAGCTGGTTCACTCCGGGGTACTAGAGTCGAACCCTGTCCTGAGTGAGCATTTGCACCACACGGTGCAGACGTGTCTCACTCTGGCGAAAGACACCAACAAGGACGGATCGGATTCGACTGCCGTTGTGCCATCAGCGCCGCCCAGGGAACCTCCATCTGCTCCCGCATTTGTGTCAAGCAACGAGTTCCAGTTCTCCGTGCCCATTGACCTTGGGACGAACTATGCTTCCGATTTCCACCTCTATCAGCCGGAAAAACAAGTAACACCTTTCAGACCCGCGCTGATGCCCCCTCCCCAGTTGCTGGTGCTGCCGGAAATCCAGGAGATGGAGTTGTCCGTCTTCATGAGCCGACTGCATATGTCATGCATCTACCACGGCTGTCTCGCCCTGTGCGACGATAATATCAGCATCGAACGTATCATGAGGCATTTCTGCTTGCCTCTCACGATCGTGGACCGCAAACGCCTGACGGCGTTATTCTATGCCGCGCTGAACACGAAGGACGGCAAGAAACGCTACGAAGACTGGAAGGAGATACCTTTCTTCAGTTTAGGCGGAGCGGGAACCCACTACCCTTGGTCTGCCGCAAAGGCTGGGTTGGCGAGCTACTTGCATCGGCCTGGTGTCCGGTGGGTTGTTCTGCCGGAGCCTCTATTGCATTTTCCCTCGCACCTCCAAAATGTCCTCGCGGGTGATTGGTTCGACATGGGTGATCTGGAGGGATATCTTCGTGAAAAGGGTGTCCGTCTGTTTGCGCATGCTCCACCCGAAGCTGGAAACCATTCCTACCCGCCTGCTCCTGCGGTCAATGCGAGGCGGTTGATTAAGAGTATGTGATTGGGGTGGTTGTTATGTCAAGATTGATCGCTAATATGCAGTAGTGCTTACTAGGTCTGGGATCTGTCTTGGATGGACGCCCGGGTTCCGCCGCCGCGACGTGGAAAAGGCCCTTCGTGAATGTGCGGGGGGCTGATGTATGAGTCACTTCGATGATACTACGGCAGATGCTTTCTGTGATGCGAAGAACGATACGGTCTTATTGTTTGCGTCTGGCTTCGAGCAGATGCTCGCCTCCACGTGTCACCACCAGCCTTGGATGGACGGACATGCGAGGGTATGCTTCCCTCCCGAACGAGAACAAAGGCCTAGCATCTTGCTCTGCATGTGGGTCTGGTAACAGCCACAACGAGACAACCTCTCTTGGTTCGCCCGCAGGTCTGCTAGGGTCTGTCCTTGCCTGCGAAACCGATCGAAGACCCTGGGCTGACCTAGGTTGCATTTCCCCGCGCAACCTGGCATCAGGGGAAAGCGCAATATCCTGGACAACGGAGTTGACGGCTGGGCGCCATACTATGAGTGCAATTGCATTTGACGAACCCGATGGCCCGAGTCTCGCGTGGCTCTGACACTGACATGTGACCGACATGCCCTCGCCGTCATCTTCACATGCTGCTCGACCCTGTTGACATTGAATGATCCTAGAACAACAACCCTACAAAGGAGTTTTGTTTAAGGCCAGATAGACTTTGGCGACATCTGCCCTGGAAATAGGTTCGTAGACTCGTCAACCGCGAAGCAAATTCGACTTCCCTACCATAACGATGGGGTCCCAATTAGAACTCAGTACTACGAGCATTAGCGTGATGCATAGGAACTTTTTCACTTTACGACCAAACTCTACGGAAGCCACCGGCGAGTTACTACACGCATCGGAGGATGAGTCCACCAGCATGGAGGGTCTTGGTCCGGACATAACCGAATCGATAGATCCAGCCGTGGACGAGTCATGGCCAGTCGCTAGACCTTGAAAACTAGTGATTCCGAACCCACTACCAAGTGTACCCTTAGAACCAGAAAAGCACTAAAGAATGATTATTCCTGTCCACAGCACGAGCCAGGGGTTCTCTTGGTTAATGGTACCTGAACCAGCAGTGAAGCCATGGATTTTCCCCTGTTTTAGCCACAAGTAGCTACTAGCGAGAGGATACGAGAACCTGAGACTAGCGCGGATCAGGGTCCTCTCGGGTTGAATCCTGGATAGTTAGGCATGTCAGATTTTAGTCACTCTTTGGAGCTGTCCTGTAATATTAAGATGATTGTGGAAGTGAGCCAAGTTGACTGGGAATTCTGACGGGCGTTGCGAGGACTAGCGAGGGGAAGAAAGAGAAGACGACGATAGCAGAGGGCTATTTGTAAGTGCAGACTTGAAGTATGGTCGAAATACTCCTCTCTTCTCCCCCGCTTGGACCCGGAGACGTGCCTTGGGCTTTGGCTATTTACTAGGTACGGCTCTTTTGGCCGAGGGAGACCCATGGGAGGGGCCCAGGAACGGTAAGGCCGTCTCCAGCAGATTTGCTTGGCTTTTCCCTCAGCCCATGGGCAGGACTCATGCACTCCGGATAGTAGCCTTCTTCCGCGAGTCGTGGCACTCTCTAACTCAGGGGAAAGCTCGAGACAAAAATAGTCTGACTTTATCTACCACCGAGTACGGAGATTAAGTTCAGGAACGGTGACCCTGGTCCATGTGGAAAGAAATGAATTGGCGAGGGATAAGAGTCAGGGCGTGATGATATTGCTCGCGACTAAGGGTAATTTCCATGAGATAGATGATAATGAAAAATCCACTTGAGGTGATCGTCCGAAGTGCCGGAATGAGGAGAGGATTGGGACAGCCACGTCTTGGTTGAGCCACAGTGCATCAGCCACAGTCAGCACTGGCAAGGCACCAGTCAGGCACCAAGGCAGGCAGGCTCATGTTGATCGATTGGTGCGCGTCCTCCGAACTGGAACATTCTTCAACTTCCCTCCCTCAAACTCAAGTGACTCGATAACAACAGCCTTGGAATGGCATCTCCTGTCATCTTCAATCATTCATTCAGACATCCAGTGCAGCTAGTTCCTCAACGAACTCAATTCTCTTACACGGTGGGAGGTTTTCTTTGATGCTATTCTTGTCTCCCGCCGTACGTCTCATTGAGTCGGACTTTTCCTCCACTTGGTCTCAAAGAAACAACGGCGTCGTCCGCGTTGCTCCACCCTCCTCCGTGTCTAGACTCTAGACTTAACTGACCCCAAGTCTATTTCTCAATACTCACACGATGTCCTGTGCCTCGGATTGGTGCTCCCGACCGGCAACTCTGCCCGCTGCTGGTCCGGACGAGAATGTGACGGGCTGATGGTTGCCCCAGCATAACTTCGAGAATCACCATCCCACCCTTTTCTGCAGCGCAACACAAGTCGATTTCAATCGGTCGAGGATACAATCAATAGATCGATAAACCTGGTACTACCTACAGGTGAACCTGTCCATTCTGCATGCGAGACATGACCAGCAGGGTGATCGCACCCCAAGACAGTCTCCTGTTTCACCTTTCCCCTCGGACAGTCTCGTCGCGTTTCAGGTCCCACCACCACGCCTCTCTCTGTTGCTCGATCCACCCGACATGCCTAGCTTAAAGAATGAAGGAAAACTAAACTCCCGCATCCCCGCCTACTGATTCGTCTCGTGCCTGGGAGACCCGCTCGAGGCACGAACCACCCCCTCCTCCAATGGCCGTGTTCCGTCGACGCTCGGTGAATGGACCAGCCGACACAATGACTAGGCGTTTCGCTATGGCCGGCGACAACCATGCTGGTCGGCAGCCACTCAACATTGGACTTCAGTCTGGGCAGGGTGTTTGTTGGGGCTCGCCAGGATGGGTGTGTTATGGTCGCATTTAGATTTTAATTTCTACCATTATATTATTGACCAGCCTGCCCCCAGCCGTGTGCCGGGTTTCCCATACTTCCTTTCTTGTTCGATATACATTCTCTACCTTCCTTCTCTTTCCCCTTCCTATCGTTAATAATTCCCATACATTCTTTGTTTCTTACGCTGCAGATTGATCTCTGCACCTCTGTTCATTGTATCTTTCGTTCTCGGTCCACGTCATCGGCCTTGAAGGTCGTCTGTCGCTCATTCCTTACCACCCTTACTGACGCCATTCGCTGCGGAAGAGCCTCTGCCGCGATTCCATCTTCTATCTTCTTCACAAGACTTCCTTCGTTTCCTAATAGCATCGTCTTCGCTCGTTTGACTTTACTCTAGTGACGATGCCTTCCTCACTCACGCTATTGAGCGTGGGCTCACTCGCTCTGATCTCGCCTGCCGTTGCCAGCAGCTATAACCTCGTCCAGACCTGGCAAGGCGAGGGTTTCCTCGAATATTTCGACTTCTTCACCGGCGCGGACCCGACGAACGGCTTTGTCACCTATACTAATCAAAGCTATGCGGAGAGCTCGGGTCTGGTCAAAGTCAACTCCAATGGTTCCTTCTACATGGGTGTCGACCATACAACAAAGCTAAGCACCACCGGTCCCGGTCGTGAGTCGGTCCGTATCGAGAGCAAGAAGTATTACGACCATGGACTATTCATCATCGATCTTGCGCACATGCCCGGTAGTGTCTGCGGTACCTGGCCCGCCTTCTGGTCGACTGGCGCCAATTGGCCAGCCGATGGAGAGATCGATATCATCGAGGCCGTCAACTTGAACACGAACAATGAGATTGTCCTTCACACGAAGGGCACCTGTGACGTTTCCGCTCAAACTGGTATGACCGGTACGCTGACTGCCACCCACTGTGGTGAGGATGCTGGTACCACAGGCTGTGTCGTCGAGGGCCCCAAGGGTTCCTCGGGCACCCCGTTCAACGAGAACGGTGGTGGTGTGTATGCTATGGAGTGGCAGGAGGACTACATCAAGTTCTGGTACTTTGCTCGCGACTCGATCCCCGCCTCGATTACTGCTGGTACCCCTGACATCTCTGCTTTCGGTAATCCCATGGGCCACCTCCAGGGTTCTTGCAACTTCGCCGAACACTTCAAGTCCCAGAAATTCATCTTCGACACCACCTTCTGTGGTGACTGGGCTGGTGGTGTCTTCCTCTCGTCTGGCTGCCCCGTCAGTGACAAGAGCAGTGCTACCAGGAGCTGTGTTTCCTACGTCGCTGAGAACCCTGCCGCCTTTGAGGAGTCTTACTGGGAAATCAACTACATCAAGATCTTCCAGACCGGGGGAACGGCTGCCTCTGCCTCTGCTGCCGCTCACGCCAGCACCGCTACTGCTATCGCTGAGACCGTTTCTACTGCCAGTGAGACCGAGTCTGTTGCTGCTGCCACTGCTGCTGCCACTTCTACTGCCACTGCTGCTGCCACTTCCGATGCCGCCGCTACCAACGCAGCTGCTACCACGATTGCTCCCGCCGCCGCCGCCGAGTCTGAAACTGTTTCCCAGGTTGCCACTGTTGGCGTTGTTTCTCTTGCGGGTGACGCCTCGGGCTCTGTATCTAAGTCCACTCGCTATGTGACCGTTACCGCCACTAACACCGTCTGCTCTGCTGAGAGGTCTGGTGCCGCTGATCTTTCTGGCGGAAGCGCTCCTGGGCCAAACGCCAGCGAAGTCGGTACTTCCCCTGCCGCTACCTCAACCACTGTCAGCGGTGCCGATGCCCAAGCCAACGGCCCTGGCTCGACCGGCTCTACTACCGGCCCTTCCACTGGAACCTCGGCATCTGAGGAGTCGCGTACTGGCTCTTCTGGGAACATCTCCGGCAACGCACCCACTGGTGGCTCATCTACTGGATCTAGCACCGGCTCGTCTCCCTCCTCGTCGTCTGTCAGTGGTGCTAGTGCCGAGTCCAACGGTAACCAGGGTGCTTCTACTGGATCTTCTGGCAGCACCGGTAGCACATCTGGTAACGCCAATGGAAGCTCCACTGGCGCTACTGGCTCTACTGGTAGCTCTCCTGGAAACACTTCCTCTGGCACCACCTCTACTGGCAGTTCTTCCGAGTCCAGCAATGGCTCCACCGAATCTACTGGCTCTTCTGGCTCTGGTTCTACCAGTGGCTCTACTGGATCCAGCGGCTCTACTGACTCCACCGGATCTACAGCCTCTGGAGCGAGCGCTGAAGCCAACGGTAGCTCGGGTAGCTCCGCTGGTTCCACTTCATCTGGAGCAAGTGCTGAAGCCAACGGTAACTCCAGCAGCTCTGTTTCTGGATCTGGCTCGGCCTCTGCTTCCAGCGGGGCTGGTGCTGAAGCCAAGGGCTCCTCCGGTAGCTCCGCGGGCGCATCTGCTGATAGCTCTATTGTGAGTGGTGCTGGTGCGGGAGTCAACGGTCAGGGTAGCTCTGCTGCTGCCAATGGAGGCCACGGCTCCGGTGCTTCGTCTGGTGTCATGCCATCGGGTGCCGACGCCGTTGGCTTCGGCCCCTCCAGCTCTGCTGTGCCTTCGTTCTCCGTTGCACCCTCGTCTAGCAGACTTGCCGCCCCCGGTGTGCCCACCAGTGCTCCCACCTTGTCGAGCAGCACCTCGGAATCCTCCACCTCGGGCTCTGGCTCCAGCTCCTCCGGTTCTGGATCCTCGTCTGCCACCACTCCTTCCAGCCCCCTCTTCACCGGAGGTGCTAGCAAGCTGTCCCTCGGAGCGTCCAGCATCGTTGGGGCTCTCGCTATGATCCTGCTGGCATAGAGAAGCGTGACTTAACATAATCAGTTTCAAAATTTTTGTTTTTGCTGCAATATATCCTATGGAAGCTGCCTTCCATTCACTGTGGATTCATGTATTATAAGCCTTGTCCACTCGCTACCAGGCCCTTGTTGTTTGATCGATTTCCCCGGACACTTTTGAAGTTATTTATTCGCGTGGCTTGATCCTTGTCGCTTGCAAGATCTAAAGAGATACTAAATATTAGAATTGAACAAGATACTTGTGTCAACATTGATGTTCATGTGTAGTCCGATCTTGTCCTGCAGTGATTTATATTGTGGAGTACTGAAGCTCGGACATTACGATGAGGATCACCACCAGGCAACCAGTTCATGGCTTAGACTAGGCGGAGCCAAGTCCCGGCGTTTTGTGCATACGTTTAGAGGAAGGGTGCTCCGACCATGTTCCCATCCCCAGACCCAGTCCACATCGCTCCGATGCCGTCCGAGGGAATTGATGTATCGCCGGAACCATTCCAAATCCAACACGAGAGCACCCACTCAGGGGGCTATTCTGGCACTCTCCTGACTCTCACAAAGACCTAGCCCCCTCTCATTCCCTGAAGCACGAACAGAGGCGACAACTCGAAACAATAGCCATTATAACCAGTCCAGTCCAGTTCAGCCCAGGCCCGAACGCAGCCGTGCAACAGCCAGTCTCGAACAAGATCGATCTGATCCTGTCCCTCCTAATCTCAATCTCAGTCCTCATTCACAAGTCCCATGACCACAACCAAGAATCAAACCACCGCCGCCCCGCAAACCCACTCGCCGCCCCTTGCGGCAAACCAATATGACAGCTCTGACACCCCGCAGCCACCGCCACCGCATGCTTTCTCCTACCTTTCATTTGATTTATTCGCAGAAAATAAACTCCAATAAACTATGAGACAAAGTATATGCGAAACCGTTCAAAGAATTGGCTTTCGTCTAGTTGACTGTGCGAGAGCTTGGGTTCTAGCGTGCGTTACATGCGTGCACCCTGTGCATAGAATGGGGTGGGGTGAGGGAAGGGTTCATTCAGATCTTGACCGCTGCAGATGCGGGTATCCCCTCCTTGCGATGGGGATGTAAGGGGTTGATGAAAAGGTTTACGTATACGGATCTTGTTGAATATACAGCGGTAGTGTGGTAGTGTGGGTATGTGGTACAGACTTATTAACCTGGTTGAGTGTGGGGTTGCTGTTGTATTACCTGGAGTAAGGAGAGAGCTTTCCTCGGTGTATCTACTGTCATAATCTTGTGGGTTTGAGTTGAAAGTGGGGATATTTCTAATTTGGCTGTGCTGTATTTAAGTTGTGGATTTGAAATGTGGATGTGGATGTGGATATGCAAGGGAAAAGAAATGTGACCTATAACGCCTCCGCCGCTCTGTCTATCTATCTACCCACTCACCCACAGTCCGTGACAGAACGCACGGACATCATGAAACAAAGACAGAAGGTTAAACAAACCAACCTCAACTATTGATCCTGGGGGCTACTCTCGCAAACCACCGCCGCCTCAATCACCGACTCCATCCCCGGATTCGTATTCCAGATCCCGCGGATCTCCAGCCCGGCCGCGGCCAGCAGCGCGCGCCATTGACGCTCGGAGCGCTCGACGCCCGCCCCGATGCTCATCATCTGGATATCGAGCGAAGCTGCCAGCAGCGGCGCCGCCGTGTCGGGCAGGACCATGTCGACGATCAGCAGACGCGAGTACGTCGGGTCCATGGCCGCGACGGTGTTGGCCAAGATCTGCTGGCAGGTGGAGTCGGGCCAGTCGTGAAAGATGGCGCGGAAGTAGTAGGCTCGGGCGCCTTTATTCATTAGTACATTACATTCGTATATACAGTTCAGGCAGGTAGGGATGAGTGGTTCCGTTTGGGGAGTGTGAGGGTGGCATACCTTTGACAACCTGCGGCTCGAGAAAGCTATACCCCATCGCCTCGATGCCCATCCCGGGCTCGCGCTTCACCACCTTCGGCAGATCCTGGAGGACCCTTCGCCCGGGGATCTTGGCGCTCGCGTACCGCTCCTGGAACTTCACCAGGTCGTGGCCCTGGTTGCCGCCGACGTCGACCAGAAACACCGCGTCGGGGTCGTTGCGCCGCAACCCCTCGCTCAGTCGCTCGACCGGGTAGATGTCGAACCAGTTCGGCTTGCCGTGTCGCCGGCTCGCCATGTACGAGTTGAACAGCTGCTGGCGCGGCTTGTGCTGCGCCAACCACTCGAACTGGCTCTCGCCCACGGCCCATTTCATCGGCGCCGCTGCGTACTCCTTTGGCGTCGTGTAGTTGTGCGCCCGGAAGTAGTCCGGGAGTTTGCTTAGTGTCGGCAACGTGAGGTCGTATCTGTGCGGTGTCAGTAGTTTACACTGGATTGGGTTGCTTGGGGCACGACGCCAGGGGTTGAATGTGGGATTGGGGATAAAGCGCAACGTACATGCATGGGATCCCGTCCCGGCCAATGGGCTGGATCAACGCTGCGGTTTTATCGTTCGCTCTGTAGGTTTCGGGCTCTGTGCTGGTGCATAGGCCTAATGAGGCCATTACTCGCATTAGGCGGACTGATGGGGAATCTTGTCAGTTGCGGTGTTCTGGATCCAGGAGGGACTGACGGTACTCACCGATCAACGCCCTCTCCGCCCCTGTCTGCTCGGCCAGTGCCGTCGCTGATAAGCCCGTCGGGCTGTGTTCCATTAGCAGCGGGAATAGCCCCAAGTCCATGACGGTTCGTAGAGCGGCATTCTGAGGCGGCTGTTGGATGGTGTCAGTGATTCGGGGCTGTTGCCTCATACAGCAAGTGGACAGTTGTAGCTCATACCTGGTAGATAAGCCGCAGGAGTGTCTCTGTCGGGGTCTCGACCGCCAGCTTCAATTCATCCACTAACCCCAGAAGCTGGAAATGCGACTTTGCCGTCCGGTCGGGGCTCTTTTCCTGCAATACCGCCTGCTTGATCTGCTCGATTAGGGTGAGCAGGTCTTGCGACGAGGATGGCGTGGAGATGTTGCTGCTGCTGCTGCTGCTGCTGCTGCTGCTGCTGCCGCTCCTGCTGCTGGTGTCACACAGGGAAATTGGGGCCATGTTGAAAGAGGAGGAGTAGAATGTGAGGGTGAAGTTGGGTGCGTATGCTTCATGCACAGTCAGAATAACAATTGATGCGAACAAGGTTTATAGGATGTCCAAGGCAGGAAAGTCAGCGAAAACTTGAAGTTGCTTGCAGCTGGAGGAAGTCAAGTTTGCTGTCTGTCAACGAAGCGGTGTAAATGTTCGGCATGCTGGGAGACGAGCCCTAGCTTTTATATTGATCGAGCTGCCTGTCTATTGTCGCGACGTGCAGGTATCCGGGCCAGAGTTTCTGGCTTTGCTCATCCGTATAGGGGATTTATTCAATAATTCAGTCGATGACAGGGCCAGAAGCCGCGAGGGAGGACTCGGAGATTAATTTTTTGGTTTTTGTGAGAAAAATGTACAGTACTTGTTTTCACTGGACGGCTGAGGACCGGAAGCCACTCCCATCTGAGACGGTTGGTGGGATTCAGTCACACCGTCACTGCATGAACAGGGATGCTCTTTGTTTTTGTGGCTTCTACATGTGTACAGAATCCTTCCAGTGGCATGTGTGTTGTATTAGACGGACTTATTAGGGCTGAGGTTGGTCAATGAGATGTCATAGTGCTTCAGATGATGTATCCTCCATCGTCATTGTACTAAGTACAAGTACCTGGCAGGTCAAGAGATTGCATCAAGGAGCGCGAGATCTGATGCAAACCCTGCTATCAGCTGGGGAGAGCTGATTGAGAATGGATCCGACCGCGATCCATGCTTTGGTGGAGCGGATCAGCCTTCAATAGCCATAGCCCAGCCCATCGGGGGTTTCCTTGTTCGGAGAGAAGCTTCCAATCGTCTTCTTTTCCGGGGGTTGTTGACGCCACAACGCCACTGACTAGACGGTGTGCTAAAAAAGTACAGTACTGGACTATATCCCAAGCTTCCGTCATAATGCACCGGGATAGCCAGGACATTGTTTCGATCGGAGACTAGATTCTACTAATTGGGAAGCTCGTCATCGCTCAACTCCGCCCGCCGTGTCTCATTACAACCGCAGACAACAACAACATCATCACATCGAAGTCCTGTAGAACCTTGGAATTGACGGAACCAACCTCTTTCTTCTCGACACCTTCTCTCATGAGACCCCGCACGAGTTGTTCCCACCACTCACACGAGGCCATCCACGGATCACTTTGGATCATGCGAGTTCATTCCGGGATCCTGGATAGGACCGTCTGCAAGTCCTGCCCTGGCACTGACTAGCCGCTGCGATGGGTCTTCGTATGGAGTCGTATCCATTCCTTGGACCGATCTCTGCGAGCGAATGGCTTGTCGCTGAGCGATATGAGCGTAAAACATCAACTGTCGCCGGGAAAGTTAATCGCTCTGAGGAGCTGAGCGACGACGAAAGATCGTCAAACCCCATGACTCGATCTCAGCACGTTCCCATCCACCCAGGAAACTGGAATACTTAGTACTTAGTCACATACTGTATGCTCATTTGTTGATTAATGGCTACCTTACCCCCACGATCAACCGAGGCAAAAGCGATAGACCCGGATAGATGCTGACGGATCACGGATTTTCTCATCACCAGCCCCAACCGTGGCTTTGCTGATTTTCAATAGTGACGGGAACGTGGACCTGAAGTAAGGAGTCTTTATTTCCTTATCTTTTGGTACTCAATAGTCTAGAAGGGAGAAAGAAAAAAGTCCCAGGCATGTTGTTCCAGTCAGATGATTGAGAAGCCGAAGCCGGGATGCAATAAGCCCCCCCTGCTTGGGGGCAACAACCGAAAGACTGAAGAATTTTTTCTCCTCCTTCTGTTACACGGCGATGATCAGCGGAGGGACTGACGACACGAGCTTATCCAATGACAGGGGAGGGACAGGCGAGGGATTGGACCGCTCATGCGCCTAAGACGCAATATTCTGCGAGTTGCTTTTTTTCCTTCCCTTTTTTTTTTTTTTTTCTACTCGCTTATTTGCTTTTTCGGGCGTGGCGGTTCGACAGAGTGGGCTCGGTCCAACAGCTGAGATGATCAAACACCACCAAAACAATCGGTGAGGCCTGGAAGAAAAGAAAGCAAACCGTTGAGAAAAGACGATAAGTATCAAACAAGCGGATTCTAGCCGTGATGATATACCCTGATACCCCTTGTTATACCCTCAATTGTCTGGTAGTCGCGGGACGGGAAGCCCTGCCCAAGTCCGCCCGTCCGGAAGATCGCGATGGATTGATCCATTCATCGTCTCTTTAGCTTGGTCTAGCTTGGTGGCAGTGGACAAATGAGAGGTGCAAGATCATTCTTCCAATCGGACAGATCAACTGGTACCTTTGACCAGTTAATCAATGTGTCTCCACCCAGTCTTCAGCTGGTTGTCTTCCGGGATTGGGGAGCTCCCGGGGAGAATCTAGATTTATCCATGCATTTAGCCATCCATACTCATGAAAGGAAAAAGAAGTACAAGCTTGGATCGGGTTGACCTGTCACTTTCAACTGGAGAATTGACGGCGTAGGAAGTAAAAAGTCACAAAGTGGAAAGTGCAAAGGGCTGGAACGAGTACAAAGTGAGGCGGAGAATTTGTCATGGCAGCTCCCCGTCAAAAAGTACTGTGCAGGAGCAAAGATGCAGCCAACCCCCTCATCATCCCCAAAGGTACGGAACACTTTAGTCACCACTCAAAAAGACAGATGCTTTGCTGCAGGAATTTTCCTGTCAGCTAGTCTACCTGCACGCGCAGTTCGTCCCCTCGCTAACCTGCGTGAACTATTCTTCTTCCCCCCTGCCAGAGAGACAGACAAAGCCCGGTGGGATTGCCGGACAGCCTCTCCAGATCGGTGGGTGTAAGCCACTGGACGGCCATTCCGCCAACTCCACCACCCACATCAGCTATGAATAAAATAGCTTCCCGAGAAAAGACCAAAAAAAAAAGGCTAAACACGAAGAGTCCTTCCACCAGAATAAAAATGGTTACACCAGTCATCCTCTCCGTTGCAGCGGTGGGCCTGTCTCCCCTCACATCCCGCTGCCACAGCGCTTCATTTGCGGGTGGGCAGGCCTCTGTCCTTTTGCATTTCATTTCTCCCCCCTTAGGTTGCCAAAGGTTCCCCACCTGGCACTGCATCGAGAGTCCGAGACAGCTGGGGAGGGAGACAAAAATAAGGACATTATTCTTAGGTACCCAAAGGAGCCAGCGAGCCAGCCAGCCAAGTGATCGTCGATCGACCCGCCGACTTTGATGGTGGAGGGAACCAGGTTCCTGGAGCCGACCACCCGGGTTCCTGGGGCAGCATCCTGGCCACTTCCCACTTTTCTAGACGCGGTGATGACGCTAGAAGACGGACGGCTTCATGCAGTATCACGCAACTTCTTCATCATAGGTACAGTACTGTAGAGTACCTACTGGCGATCGCCTGGCAACCCGCTCGTGCAGTCGCCGCTGTAGTGTGACGGACCATTGTCCATTCAGCAGTCGCATCCCAGCCTGACCGACGGGAACTACTGATGAATGAAGGAGAGCGATCGCGTCCTCAAGAACTCTGATACGCAACTCGTCCCGATCGTGCTAAATGGACTGGCCCGATCTGGGCCCGTGCGATGCAGAAAAGTCAGTAGAGTTAGGGCTTGGACTCCGGCTGGCACTAGGTTACGGTACTCCCCTCTTCCTCTCTCATCTCCCCCCGACCCACGTCATGGTCACCAGAGCAAGGGTAAAAAATAGAAAAGAAAAAGAAAATAAGATAAAAAAATCGGAAAAATAATATCTAATCAGTCCTGACTCAAATGATACACAATTTCACCGCTCCGGATCCATGATGCCACGGGATATAGGGGAACTTGCCTGGTTTCATAGCCGGCTTGCCACTGGCATACTAACTCTGCTGAGGATGAGTGTACTTCCTGATTCGGTTATCGAAGTGGTCCCGCTGGATGGACAGCTCGGAGACGGGCTGCCAACTCGTTCACACCCAGCACAGCACAGTCATCGTCCTCAGGCTTAAAAGACTCATGTCGCGCCACTTTGTACAGTACCTCCCCAGAATCATTCTGACATCCCACGTCAACCCTCTACTTCATCATGGGTGTCCCTCACCACGAAGGGGCCTCTCGCGAGAGGCTCAAGCCCTCTTCGCCAGAAGAGTTGATCTCTCGCTTTGGTCGTCTTCATCTCTTGGATGACTTGATTCGTCTACGAGCAGCTGATCCCATTCAGCATCCTATTCTGGCCTATCCCAAGCCCTCCCAAGATGATACCGTGGAGTACGAGTACTTCTCAGGTCTAGATCTGGACTGCATGATCGATCAGGCCGTTTGTACCTTGATGGACTATGGCTTCAAACCAGTAAGTCCACTCCTGCTTATGCCTTCGCAAGCGCTAACCAGGATGACAGCCCCGTCACGATGGAGCCATCGTGGCACTGTTTACGCTCTCTGACCTCAACATGGTCATCACATTCTTCGCGCTGAGCCGCTTAGGATACACTGTCATGATGCTGTCTCCGCGTCTATCGCCGTCGGCATGTGTGGCTCTCCTAGACACGGTCGGTTGTGACACTATCCTGTACGGCCAGACCCCCAACATCCGCACGACTATGGGCGAGATCCTCCGTCTGAAACTGGTTGCATGCCGTCCTATCGTTCAACGGCCGTCTTTGGAAGACGACGACGTAGAGGAGCCAGCCATGTTGGTGCTTCGTCGCAGCCGCAGCCCAGAGACTCAGGTCAACAAGATCGCTCTGATCCTCCACTCATCAGGCTCAACAGGTGACCCGAAGCCTCTGTACTTGAGCCACAAGGCCTTGATGACGCATCCGATGCGTGGCCCCGGCTTCACTTCCTTCAACTCCCTTCCATGGTTTCATCTTCACGGTCTTTCGACCGCCCTGCAAGCCATGTACATGCGGCGAACCGCTTATATGTGGGACGCCTCGCTCCCCCTCACGGCCAGCACGGCTGTCGCTGCCCTGGAGGCAGCCCGACCAGAGTCTGTGCAGGGCGTGCCGTACCTACTTCAGCTGTTGGTCGACAGTTCACGAGGGCTGCAGGTTCTGCGACGCTGCGATTCGGTGACATACGGAGGGGCTCCTTGTCCTGATGAGCTGGGTGATCGATTGGTGGCGGAGGGAGTGAAATTCGGCGGTTCTTTCGGATTGTGAGTTTTCTTCCTTTCTCAATTGTCAGTGTTATCTAACGACAAGGCAGAACGGAAGCTGGTTTAGTCGCCGAGTCGATCTCCCGCCCAGCCGGGGATCCCTACTGGAACTACATGCGGTTCTTCGACAACATCCGACCCTTCATCTGGATGAAGCCTATTGGTGATGAACTGTATGAAGTCGTGTATCTTCGAGGCCATCCTGCTCTGACAGCCTCCAACTCCGATGATCCGCCGGGCTCATACCATTCGCGCGACGTCTTCACGCCGCATCCCACTATCCCCGATCGGTGGAAGTACGTCTCGCGTATTGACGATCGGATCACTCTGGTCAATGGGGAGAAGGTGCTTCCACTTCCCATCGAGGGCCGCATTAAGCAGAACCCGTTGGTCGAGGAGGCCGTCGTAGTGGGAGTCAGCAAATCAGTGCCTGGTCTGCTGGTCTTCCGGTCTGATGGCTCGCACCGGTTCTCGGATGGCGAGTTTTTGGATCTCGTCTGGCCCACGGTGGAGGAGGCCAACTCCCATGCGGAACAGTTCTCGCAGATCTCCCGCGACATGGTCGTTGTGCTGGCCGCCGACCGTGTCGTACCGCGAACTGACAAAGGATCGATGATCAGAGCCCAAGTGTATACACGGTACGCTGATGTGATCGAGTCTATGTATAACAAGATGGAGCAGGACGCCAGTGGAACCTTGCAGCTGGACCTCCAGGCCACAGAGGAGCACCTGCTGCAGCTTTGCCGGGAGGAGCTGTCCATGTCCAACATCGACTACGACACGGACTTCTTTGCTCATGGCATGGACAGTCTCAAGGCCATCCACCTTCGCCGGCTGATTCTCAGAGACTTCCGAGTTGAGGATAGCAAAAGCCTCAGCCACAACATCGTCTTCGAGACCGGCAGCATCGCCCGGCTGGCGGAGTGCATCAACGCTGCACAGAGCGGCCAGTCCGATTTTTCCGAGTCGGACGAGGACGAGCTAGCCCTGATGCCGGGTCTGATCGAGAAGTATTCAGCCTCTTTTCCTGTCCACACTCCTCGTCCGGATAGGGTGTCAAACACCAGGAGCGTCGTAAGTATTTGTCCGCCACCTCTTGTTGACTCAAATTAACATCTCCCAGCTTCTTACCGGCCCGACCGGCTCCATCGGCGCACATACTCTTTACAAACTCGTCAACGACGACACGGTCTCCAGAGTCTACTGTCTAACTCGCAGGACCAACGCCAAGGAGTCGATTCTCCGCTCTCTGGCCGAGAAGAACCTCAGCATCCCAGCCTTCCGCACGCACAAGATTGTCGCCTTGACCAGTTCCCTCGACCAGGCCAACCTGGGCCTCGACCACTCCACTTACGACGCGATGCTGCAGTCCGTCTCGCTCATCATCCACACCGCATGGCCCGTCAACTTCAACCTCCCCCTCAGCGCCTTCGAGTCCCACATCCAAGGACTCTACAACCTGATCTGTTTCTCGCTCAGCGTCACCCTCCCCTCGCCCGCCGTCCTTCTCTTCTGCAGCTCCATTTCCACGGCGCTCGGCTCCTCCCAGCAGACCATCCCCGAAGCCCCAATCGAAGACCTCTCCAGCGCGCTGGAAATGGGCTACGGGCGCTCGAAGCTGATCGGCGAGCGCATCGTCAGCGCCGCGCGCCAAACCGCCGCGGCGCGCACATTCTCGCTCCGCATCGGCCAGGTGTCCGGCCACTCGAAGCGAGGGCTCTGGAACGACGACGAGGCGCTACCGCTCATGATCCGCTCCGCGCTGACGCTGGGTGTCCTACCCGAGCTAAAAGGGGTGCAGTGCGCGTGGCTCCCGGTGGACAAGCTTGTCAGCGCGATGCTGGAGATCGCGCGGGTGTGCTCGCACACGCCGCCTTCGTCGCGACGCGGGTCGATGAGCTCCGCGGATGGGATGATAGTAGAGTGGTCCGATGACGACTCGGTGTACAACCTGACGAACCCGCACCCGTTCAACTGGCGGTCGCTGCTGGTGAATCTGAAGAAATGCGGGTTCGGGTTCTCGACCGTGTCCTTTGAGGAATGGCTCGAGGCTCTCCGGGAGAGTGAGGCCCGCGGCGAGGAGACTGTCAACCCGGCTGTCAAGCTGGTGGCGCATTATGAGGCGATGTACGGGGAGCAGGGACGACGGGAGCCTGCGTTTTGTACGGAGCGGGCGGAGAGGGATAGTATGACGCTAAGAAATGGGAGGTTGAGGATCATTGAGGATGGAATTCTGGGGAGGTATGTAAGGGATTGGTTGGGACGTTGGACGAGAGTTTGATTGTTGAGACGGTTAATGAGGATGGATTGTGCATAGTTCTGTTCGCTGTTTATATATTTAGCTTGCTGTACACAGATTTGTATTGCGTTATGAGACAGATACCAAGTTGGTGGGATAATTGATTACTTCTTCTTACAAAATTGACTTTCCTTCAAACCAGAGTATAATCAAGTGTCTCTCCCTGTTGATCTGAAGAATAACAGCATCTATACTGTAAGTCAACAATAGTAGGCTCCTTTCGGCTAAAGACCGGAGCAGGAAGCCGGAGTTAATCCGATCCGTCTCCGCACGGGCAGCGATGATGATCTCACCTCTTCCTCCGTCATCTCCGTCACTGTCACTGTCACTGTCACTGTCACTGTCACTGCCCACTCATCTCCTCAATTGTCGATTGCCTCCAACCTCACCACAATGGGTCTCTTCCGCCGCGCCGTGAAGCTAACCACCATCGGCGGCACCGCCACGCTGGGCGCCTTCTTCTTCGCGACGCGCAACTCGGTCTTCGTGCCGCTGCCACTGTCCGATCCCATCTTCCAGACGGCAGGCTACCGATCACTCAACCCGCACAACAACCCCACCAGCCACGACCTGTGTATCCGACGTGTACCGCTGTCGGAGATCAACCCCTCGTTACTGGAGAAGAAGGGCAAATTGACGGAAGCGTTTTGCGCGGGTGTTTGGAGCGGATGGGGTATGTTCTGTCCTCTCCCTCCTCCCAGCCTGGTTGTTGCTAGTAGCTAGATCGCTAGCCGCCGCTACCCCCCCCCCCCCCCCCTCGCCCACCGGCCCTTTCCCAGACCAACACGACCAGCCCACTAATCCATGGAATTGAAACCAGGATACGCCTACCAACGCCGCTACCTCTCCAAGAAATACGAAACCCCCGAAACCGCGTCCCAGCTCTGGACGCGCGCGGACCTCCGCACTGCCTCCTACGAGGTCGGCACGCAGATCACGGACCACTTCGAGGTGGTCGAGAAGACGCCCGAGCGCATCGTGGTTCGGTGCGGCGACTCGCCGCGTAAGCGCGGGGTGCGGGATTCCGATGGGCTGTTTGAGATGTCGGCCGTTGTCAAGCCGGACGAGGGGGTCGCGGAGCTTGGGCTTAAGAGCGTGTTCTTTAAGGGCACGCCTGGTGGAGTCGATGGGCCGCCTATGCCTGGGTATGTGCTTTGGTTGCATCAGCAGTATACGAAGTTGTGGATGGAGACGGGGGTTAGGAATGTTTTGAGGTGATTGGGTATCCGTTTATTCTGGGTATAAGGATTGAGGTGCACCAGGGAGCTGAAAGGAAGGGGGGTCCGGGGGTTCTCCCCCGGATACTCTAGATTCTTGGTATATGGATTGAGGTTACCAGGGAGCTGAAAGGAAGGGGGGTCCGGGGGTTCTCCCCCGGACCGCTTACAGGTTTGGTGGAGTGAGGGGGGAGGGGTTGTTTTATACCTTGGGAGGGACTAGGGATGATAGATAATGTATATGGTGTAGATAAGAATGGATATTATTGTTTCAGTGTTAGTGTTTGGTTGTAATACTCTCTATTGTTCTGGGGACTGTAGTAGGTTCGGACAGAAGCCCGGACGGAATTGAGCCGATCCCCGCACGAGTGCGATTTAAGATAATCCCGCGTTGCTCCTCTACACTCCCATCCTGTTCAGATTGACTGCACACGACTATCAAAATGTCTGAGAAGATCGAAGTTCTCCTCTTCGGCCTGGGCGCGTGAGTCACAGACACCCACTGCAGCGGACGCAGACGCAACTGACAGAAGCAGCATCGGCTCCTTCTACGCTTTCATCCTGCACAGCTGTCCACGCGTGCGCCTGACGGTCGTCGCTCGGTCAAACTACAGCGCCGTGAAAGAGAACGTACGCTCCCATCTCTGGTAGAGGTGGCGATACTGACAACGATAGGGAATCCTGCTGAAAAGCGCCAACCACGGCGAGCATCGCTTCCACCCTGATCGCGGTGAGCAGTTCCTTTCTAAGGATATTATCAGAGACTGATACGGTGTAGTGATTCACTCCCTGTCGGAGCTGACCTCTTCCCCGTCCCCGCCGTTTGACTACGTGGTCTGCACGAACAAGGCCATTGACGTGGATGACGTGGCTCGCTCACTGGCGCCGGCTATCACGGCCGAGAAGACCACGATTGTGATTATCCAGAATGGGGTCGGGAATGAGGAGCCGTTTCGACGGTTGTATCCAGGGAATGAGATTGTTTCGTGTGTGGTATGTTGCTTTCTTGGATCTTCTGCCGCAGATAGGGGCTGGATTGTCCAGGGATTGCTCTCCTGTTGAGTCGTGGCTACCAGTGTTCCACTGCAGCAGGCTTATACTTGGCTCTCATGCAGGGGCAGTGATACTTGTGCCCCTCTTCCTGACCCACCGTCACACCCACATCTCATTTCTTTATCCCCCCTACAACCTTAATGCCACTCCCATGCCCCAACCCATTACATACAGTAACTGACGATACCCCAAAGACATGGGTAGGAGCCCACCAACCGACCCCAGGCACAACGACACACACGACCTCCGAAGCGACACAAATCGGCCTCTACCAACCCATCAACCCCGCACAAGCCGAATCCGCCCTCTCAACACTGATCACCATCCTCAGGGCCCCGGCAAACCCACACCCAACGCCCCTGACCCCGCTCTCCCCGGCCGCCTTGCAGCTCACCCGCTGGGAGAAACTGATGTGGAACTGCGCCTGGAACACGCTAACGACGCTGACGGCCCAAGACTGCCAGGCGTGGCTGCAGTCGTCGGAGGACGCGCTCCCGCTGACGCGACGGCTGATGCGCGAGGTCGTGGCCGTGGCGCATGCGTCGGGCGTGGAGCTGCCTGAGACGCTGATCGACGCGCAGATCGCGAAGATGCAGGGCCTGGGGCCTGTGCGCACCAGCATGCAGACGGATCGCGAGATGGGGCGTCGCATGGAGGTTGAGGTGATTATCGGGGTTGCGGTTAAGGGGGCGAGGCGCGTGGGCGTTGAGGTGCCTGTTTTGGAGACTGTTTATGCGCTTATTCGCGCTGTGGATTCTTTGGTTGGGAAGTTGTAGTTTTCTTTGATCAGGAAGTTGAAAGGAAGGGGGGTCCGGGGATTCTCCCCCGGAAACGCTTATATTCTGGTTATAGTTTGTATGTGACATGATGCGTATGGAAATATCAGAGACTTGGGGCTTAGGGAGGCATGTACTGGGGAACTATAAGACTAGCGCTAACAGCAACAGGAATCCAGGCACCATTCAGCCCCATGAGAACTTCAGCATATATTGTGCTATCCCGTATAAATTGACGTACGAAATCACCCTCAATCCATAGACCATGGCATAGATACTACAATATGCACTGTTAACGCATAAGATGAAATAGCGATGGATGATATGGAACTCCGGCAAAATCGGCATCCCGGCCAGAATCATTCCATCTACATCCATGACGTCGATATGTCCCAATAAAGGCAACCAAGGAGATAAGAAAGACAAGCATTAAAAGGGACGTGGCTCCTGCGCTCGGTTAACAATCACCAGCACGGTGGTTTGTCGCGGGCTCGGCAATGCCCCGTTTATGTGGAGCCAATGCGATCATCTCGGCTACTATCTATCTTCGGACCATGGCACGAGTATACAACTCCAATCACGGTCGGAACTGTCGGACCTGTATGACGAGATCATGCAAGCCCAAGCTATAAAAGAAGCAGTGAGATTTTCGTCGGAATGCGGATTAATACTTTCAGCATAATACCGAAATGGTCTACCGGAATGGCTTGATATGGGCTGTCGCCGCGGCGGTGGCCCCGGCCATGGCTGGCAACCCCAACAGTGTCACACCACCCTTCGCAGTCCTCGTGGAGAACAACCTGGTAGGTTTGCCCAAGTAGAACTGACCGAAACACACTCATCAGTCCTCATACAGGATCTGTCGGTGGAACATAGCCCCTCGTTCCTCCTTCTATCGAAGCCGACAACGGCGGAGAAAGCTACTATTGCATGTACAGCTCTTCAGGAGGACCTAGTGCCGTCTAATAATACTCATGAGCTTCATTCATTACTGTTCCATTACGACAACTTGATGAACACCTCGAGTGACTCTACCTTCTGGCTACAACCCGCCAATGGGATCTGCTACTCGTACAATCGGCTCAATGGGACAATCAAGCCTGATGACTGTGAACATGCCTATCAAGGTATCTGCACCAACACAGCTCCATTCCAGCGCAATGTGCAGCTTCCAGCAACAAACAAGGCCGTAGTTGTCAATACCACCCAGGGCCTTGTCCACGGATTCCGCGATAGATTGGCTGCACGCTTCCAAGGCATTCCCTATGCCAAACCCCCTGTGGGCCATCGCCGATTGCAGAACCCGGAGAGGCTGGATCACTTGCATAACTTCGCCAACGAGTCGGCATATGATGCCACGAGATTCAAGCCTATTTGCCCGGTCAGTCGAGCTCCCAATGCGTGCTTGTGCCGACACTGACTCTTCGCAGCAAGATATGTCGAACAACCCTGGTGTGAAGCTCAATATGACTACCTCGGAAGATTGTCTATATCTCAACGTCTACACGCCCTCTATCCCAGCCGGGAACTCCTCCCTGTTACCCGTGCTCTTCTGGATCCATGGAGGATCGTACTGCTACGGAGGGTCATCGTTCCCCTACTACCTGGGCATGAACATCGCCAGCCGCCAGTCGATGGTGGTTGTATCAGTGAACTACCGCCTGGGAGCTTTAGGATGGCTGACCGAGCCGAAGCCCAGTAACAGCTCCATGATCGGCACCAACCAAGCGATGCGAGACCAGCTTATGGCGCTGGAGTGGGTGCAGCAGCACATCGCAGCCTACGGCGGCGACCCCACCAAAGTCACCATCCTCGGCGAATCCGCCGGGGGCAGCTCCGTGATGTCGCTCCTCCAAACCCCCGCCGCCAAAGGCCAGTTCTCCCACGCTATCGTCGAGTCAGGCAACACCCTGTCGGGCTGGCAACGCCCCGAGATCGCAACAGCACTGTCCGAGCTCTTCCTCAACATCACCGGCTGCCCAGACTACGGCTGCGTCAAGTGCAACCTGACGACCAGCGCGATGCTGGCCGCCCAAGACCGACTCTTCACTCTCGCGCAGGAGATCTTGCCGCGAGGCCAAGTCTGCTCTCTCGAGCCGCTGCGCCCCTTCATCGACGGCGACCTCCTCCACGAAGACTGGAACACAGCCCTGCAGGCGGGGCGCTACACCCACGTCCCGACACTGGTAACCTACAACCACGACGAGTACGGGCTCTTCCTGCAAGAGAACAGCACTTTCACCCACACAGCCGCCAACTTCTCCAGCGCCGAAGCCTACCTCGCGACCTTCCTGCTGGGCGAAGAGCGCACGCAGGCCGTCCTCTCCACACCAGAGCTAGGCTTCACGCGCGCCGCGCTCGCAAACCACTCCGACATCGATACGCCCTTCGTCAACTTTACCACCAACTACTGGTACCGCTGCAACGGCGAGCTTTACGCCGGCGCCCTCGCCCAGAACAATGCGGAAGTGTGGGAGCTGACGTGGGAGGTCAACGTGCCGGAATTCATCCCCGGCCGGCTCTGCGGCGCCGGCTCCGGCCGCGTGTGCCACGGCTCCGGCCGCGTGTGCCACGGCTCCGGCCGCGTGTGCCACGGCTCCGGCCGCGTGTGCCACGGCTCCGAGCTGCCGCTGATCTTCGGCTCTGCGGCTTACGATAATATCTCTGCGGCTGTACTGACGGAGACGGGGTACTGGGACCGCGCGAGGAGGAGTGTGGATCTGTATGCGCGGTTTGCGCGCAAGGGGAGGATGGTTGATGTTGCGAGCAACGGGTCGACGGTGTTTCCGCCGCGTGGCGGCAATGAGACGCATTATGTCATTCATTGGAGGGATCGGCCTGTTGTGCGGGCTGGCGGTGTGAATTGGGGGGCGTGCAAGAAGATGGAGGAGATGCGGCTGTATGATCGGTTGTATTATCCGTATACTGGGCCGGTGCTGGGGTTGTGAAAGGGTTATACAAAACGGCAGGCAATCCCGGCTTGGGTCGATATAGAGAGAGGACCTTTAAGAGGACATAAAGTGTACCGAATATGCTGCTGCACCCGCTGAGCAGGGATGATATGGAGTATTCAGCGTAGAAGTCCAATTGAATAAAAACGGTTCTTGATTCTACTGCCTATCAGTGGAGGAGGGGTAATGTGTCTTACTGTGCCTCTTCACCTTGGCTTTGTGGTGTTCTTGGCTTGATTATTACATGGGATATTACATAGAATCTGGTAGTTGAGTGAATTATCAAAAATCTATTGCATCTTTATGAGAAAAAATACACTATGCTTCAATGGCCATATATGCACATATGAACCAAGTCCTCCTTCTCGTGGACCTCAAAAGAGCTTAGGGCTTAGACCATGTCTGCATCAAAGTCCCTGTTCCGGAACTCGTCCACGCGCTTTTCGATAGCCTTGCTGATATCGTCGATATCATTACAAGCCAGAATATCTTCGTTGACCAGTGCTTTCACGACCTCGACCACGCATGAGAATGAAGTTTGAGCCATCTGCGTGATCTTGCGCTCGATATGGTGCTGTTCTTCTGTGGTTGCTAAGCTGGTGTAGTGACGATTCACCGCTCTCCTGTGCTCCAACTTCTTTTCCTCTTCCTCGGTGCCGGGGATCCGTACAAACCGTTCCAAGCCTTCCACGCCTTCCAAGGTCCCATCGGTTGCTAGCTGGTTATGGGCATACAATACCATTTTGGTAAAGTTGACTCCTCCGAGATCGTAACCCGAACAAGATCGGAAAGCCTTCTGGAATTCCTCCTCGCCACGGCTGGAGATACAGATCTTCACGTCTCCCGGCCTGGCGTCCGCCCACTCCTTAAGATTGGCAATCATCGCTGAATGATGTGCTGGATCGAGCTTATTCAGGCCGTCAAGTACGAGAAAGATCTTACGATCTTCATAGATAGCATCCGATTCCAGCAGATTTTTCCAAGCGGAAAGAACCTCCTCATCATCAATGACGTAGTCCTGATTGATCAACTCTTCCCAGTCAGGGACGCGGCCGTCCGTCACAGGGGAGCTGTACTGGGGATGCCTAGCGGGAATAGTACCCATGTGGGCACGCTCAGGAAACAAAAGAGGGACCAGCTTCTGATCGCTCTCGTCACGGTACCCACCAAAGAGCGAGGCTAAGATCCCACGCATCATCGTCATGAGTGGATCATGCTCGCGCGGCTCTTTTTGGTACTTGTAGAAGAAGACTCGGCTCCAGCGTATCTTCTTGGAATTGGAATTGGTCTTCGTCCAGCTACCTTCAACCCACATCTTCCGACTACCGGTGTAGCCAATTTCGGCCAGGAGTTGTGACTTCCCTGACCCCGGCTGGCCGGTGATGTGGAAGAAAGCGCCCTCCTCTTCGGCAAGCCAGTGATTGAATTTCTCGCCGTGGAGCTTGATATGGTCGAAGTTTGCCGGATATGATCTGGCAAATATCGGTCTCCAGGCCTTATCCGCTGTCACGAACCACGCTTCGTCGTAATCGTCGTCGAGTTCAATGTGTTCAATGCAACCCGAGTGTTTGGGATGAAGTCCAAAGGTTGGATTCCATTCTCCTTCGCCAACGCGCGTCACATCTAGGACATCGGGCCCGAGAACGATCTCATATTTCTCCTGGATGAGCCTCGGATCAGAGTGCCGCGTCCGCGGTCGTCCATGATGGAAAGGAGTTCGCAGAGCCCTCTAACTTCGTTCAGCGCGCTTTGAATACTGTCCAAGCGGCTTGCCAGAGACATCGTAAGGAACGCTCTGTTGTTCCCGTAGTCTGGTCAGTTCGAGTTTCTGTTATCACGTTGTGGATTAGAGCAAACGAGGCTGGACTTAAAGATGGAGAAAGGTATTGGATTTGGACCGAGCTCGAAGGCTGTATTTATACCTGGATTCGTTGTAGTCGAGCCTGTCATCAAAGAACCAAACAACAAAGCTTGAATGGGAATTTCCGGTCTCATTGTCGGTTAATGTGAAATTGCTGGTCAACTACTCTTTCCGCACAGGCTTCAATCCACCAGATGGGCTTGAAGTACCGGTCTGAGGCGACTTACATGAAATGATCCAAAGAATCAATGATGTACAGTACAATGCGATTGTATGATAACTGTCTTTAACCAGGCAGTCAAGGCATTGGCTGGTTGGATAAGTAAAGAGAAAAAGAACAATAAAGAAACAAAACTAATAGCCGTCCAAGGACGGACAGAGTGCAGCACGTGGTCCACAGTTCAGCACATGAGTGATGATCTTTATTCTGAAAACTACAGTTTCTAGTTGACTACCAAGGTTCCGTCTGCTGAATCACCATAAAATTTAGTCGGACGCCGACGAGATCGAACTTCTGGCCAGGCTACTCTACCTTGGCAAGCATCACAGACATGGCTGAACTGATTTTGCGCTGACCCTGGTGTGCAATATATCCACAGGCGAGGGTCTTGTCACGTCACCTCGCGCCTGGAGGGGCTCAAAGAGCTACCTGGTGCCAATTTTCCTGAATGAAACCTGTGCCAAACGGCCCGTAGGGAGAGGTTGTTGTGAAAAAGGAGGCCCCTTGCCTGTCGTTCTGTCAACACACGCAACCGTGACAGGAGTAAGAACCAAGAATCAAGACATACTGCCACGCCCGCACTCCAAATGTCGACGACGTAGCTCCACCCTGTAAAGCATTGCTTCCGGGGGGTGATAGTCTAGAGAGCAGTTTGCCTGGCTAGGCATCCGCACCATAATGGTGAGTTGTCATGGACACACTCAACTGAAAAAGCAACAGATCGTACCAGTGTGCACGACCTCCGCGTGGGTATGGAGGAAGTCTAGACTTTGCAGAAGCTTGGTAATAGCTATTTTCACGAGGCCCTGCTCAAATCCGTCCACCCGGGAGACCAGCTTCATGTCGCGTAGGCTCATCTACGCAACCACGAAGACAAAGACGGCATTCTTTCCATGTCGACCGCTGACTTAGAGCGAATCGAGCAATCTGCCAAATTCTTGCCGTCCTGCATGCGAGCTGGTAGTTGACCGAGAGCTGAGAGTTGATCTGATCATACGCTGGGAGTTCCCGGTGGTGTAGAAAAGTATATACGTAGATCTTCAGCGCGACATACTGGTAGTTGCTATAGCAATCAATGTGAACTTTTCCCTCAAAGAATAGAGGGGATCGCTGGTTGTTGAACGTTTGCCAGAAAGAGGAGAGTATAATATTAAGACAGCGGGAAGCTTACAGCGGGAATGCTCTAAGAGACTTACATATAGTACTATTCTCTGTTGCTGTCCAGCTCTGACCGCTACCGCTATGCTGCACAAGCGACGGGTAAATGCATCGATCTCATGCATCCACCATCAGCTGCGCCCCTATAGGTTGAACATGTGAATTGAGATGATCTCGCGGGTCTTTGTTTGAGCTGCGTGCTATATTTAAAGCTGGACCCAATATTCTAAAAGGCCGATGACAGCACTACTTCACCGGTTCTCGCGCAAAAGTGTAATTCCCCCTTTATATAATTGAGTTTTGCACCAGCCAACCCATTCTACATTCTTTTTCCCTACCTCCACCCTTATTTTTCTTCTTAAGGACAGAAGCCTCCAAAACCGAAATATTCTACGTTCTAGTTTGTGATAACGTACAGACCTCTATCTCTAGCACAGGGCAAAGTCCCAGGAAGAATTCTGGTAAGGGTTCCTAATGTAGGACTACTAAGAAGATATGTTGACGTCTGACAACCCTAATCATCGCACTTAAGCTGTTCAGCCCCTGACATCTCTTTCATCCCTGCAGAGCACTTTTTCTGAGAGACACAAGAAAGAACACTTCTCTTAAAATCTTACCCAACATGGGCCAACAAGCCTCCGCCCCCCGACCAGGCACAGAACTGCAAGTGATTGGGGCGGGACTGTCGCGTACAGGCACTGCCTCCTTCAGCGCCGCGCTGGAGATCCTGCTGGAGAGTCCGATATACCACGGCGGTACTCAACAAACGATGGGTTCGCCTGTCGAGATCAAAACCTGGAATCGCCTTCTCCGTGCCTGGCTCGCCGGCGACCGTGCCACGACTCTATCTCTCCTCCGGGAGCGCACTGCCGGCTATGCGGCCATCACCGACGCCCCCGGCTCGCATTTAGTCCCTGAACTGCTCGAGCTCTACCCTAACAGCAAGGTCATCGTGACGGTACGTGATCGCGACGCCTGGGTCAAGAGCATGGAGCAGATTGCCTCGCTTTCCACCTTGTGGTTCCTGCGCGCTGTCCTGCTGCCGCTGCCGGGCATGCGACACTTCGTGACCTATATTTCCCTGGTGCGGGCGCAGTGGGACCGCATCTACGATGGCGACCGCGTTACGGCCTCGATCTATGAACGCCATATCGCCTGGCTGAAAGAGATCGTCCCCGCCGATCGGCTCGTTTTCTTCGATGTCCGCGATGGCTGGGAGCCTCTCTGTCAGGCACTCGGGAAGGAGGTTCCCAAGGATATTCTGTTTCCCCGTATCAATGATTCCAAGGCGGTCGATCGCGTGGCGGAGTATCATATCAAGAGGGGTCTCGGACGCTGGGCGGTAGCCTTGACTGCGGTGGGGGCACTTGCTGCTTGGTGGTATCTGATGGGGTAGAATCTTGTTGGTTCGCAGAACAGAGCAGTCGGAGACGAAGTTTTTGAATGCAGAATGAGAAAGGTTGAGCGTTCATATTGACCTTTTAGTCTGCCAAATGACGAAAAGCGTCGGAGTGGATCCTTCTGAACCCAGATGACGGGTTGGAAGGCGCTGCGATGCGACTAGAGCAAATCAAATCTCGGGTTAAACAGGGGATGAGAAACTCAAGCTAATAAATAGTGTAAACTCCGAGCTTCGGGAACATGAAAGGTATCCATGAATGGTTAAAATTAGAGAAGCCCGAGTCGCAAATCTCTGGAGTGGAGACATGATGAGATGAAAGCCTGCGATGTGATTGGCGTGTCCGTACGAGCGAGCCAATCAGACGCATTTCCGTATACTTGCCCCAGTGCCTTCACGATGACAACGATTTCCATCCATCAGGCAGCGACTCAGGACAGAATACTATTTAAACCAATTGCCACTCTGAAGTGAGCTCTTCTTTTCTCTCATCTTTCTGCAAGTACTCCTCACCACTGCCACCGTGACTACCACCACCACCATGACACAATGCAAAGGTGAAGTAATCCCGACTTTCAACAACAGACACAATAGCTAACCGGGCAATAGCTTTGACCACGCCAGACACAATGTGGAACTTTTGTCCCTCAAGCGGCGCTGCATACCTGTTTACCGTGCTGTTTGCTCTGACGACTCTTGCCCATATCTCGCAGGCCATCCTGTATCGCAAATTCTACTGCTGGGTAATCGCCATGTCCGGAACCATCCAGACGGTGACTTATATCTTCCGCGTGCTGAGTATTGCCAACCCGGCCAGCTATGAGGACTATGCCGCATGGTTTGTGCTGATACTTATCGCACCGCTGTGGACAAACGCCTTCGTCTACATGGTGATGGGCCGGATGGTGTGGAACTTTACCGACGACGCGCGAGTCCTGCGTGTACGGCCCTGGCATTTCGGCTTCTTCTTCGTAGTTCTTGACATTATGCATGGCTTCCAGCTCTTTGGTTATCGATCCCTCGACTAATAACGTACATAGTGCATTCATTATCCAAGTCTATGGTGCAGCACAGGCAGCCGGCAACAACGTCTCCTACGATACCGAGATGACAGGCCTGCACATCTACATGGCCGGTGTAGGCGTGCAGCAGCTCTTCGTTCTGATGTTCGTGGTCTGTGCCGTTGCCTTCCACCGCAAGATTCTCCTACAAGAGCGACCGGACGCGAAAAAAGCTTTGCTGCTGCTCTATGTGCTCTACGCATGTCTTGCCCTGATTACAGTAAGCATACCCTCTCAGTAAGTGGATATCAGCTAATAAGAACAGATGCGAATCATCTTTCGTCTTTGTGAGTATGCGCAGGGCCTCAAAAGCACGATCCCGTCCCATGAGGCCTACCAGTACTGCCTCGACTCGGTGCCCATGCTGCTGGCGCTCGTGCTGCTCAACGCCGTGCACCCGGGTCGACTCATGCCGGGACCGAACAGCGACCTACCGAGCCGAAAGCAGCGTAAGAAGATGGGTTTGGATACCAAGGCCAAGGCGATAGGGAACGATATGGTAGACCTAGCAGATTGCTGAAAACTATCACTTTCACTTATTGCACCAAATAGATGCTACAGGAGCGAGATGATGTTTGATTTCTTGTTTTCGCTTTCCTCTGTTCATGTCAAAAGTCAGCCAGTAGATTAATAGAAGCATCCTTAGTACCAGGACTATGGTGAAGCTGAGTAGAGAATAGCCTAATCAAATTAGCCTCGATAGACACGATAGACAAGTGTCCTGCATGACCGGGAGTTCTAGTCTGCATCATATAATCTCTCATTTCAATGCAATCATTTCACTGGGGGGCTGTGCTCATGAACTTCCAATTCTAGAATTGCTCTATAGATACCTAACTTACCTAAGGTAAGGTAGGTAGCCCAGGCTGCCCAATAAGGCAAGAGCCAGATATACTAACTCGAAATGGGCAAGTTGGGACATGTGACTCAGATTGTTGCTGACAAAGAATTTTGGTCTCGTTATCTCCTTACAGCTCCACTTTCATCTATGATCTTGTCTCACCCATCTCGCTCTTATTTAGCCAGCATAGCCCGGTAGGAAAATGCCTCGAGTGGCTCCCGGGGACCGGAAGCGGCAGTATCGGCCCAAGACGCGAAGAGGTTGCTTGACCTGCAAGTCCGTACCCTCGCATCTTACCACATCTGACCCCTGCTGACCGGATATAGGAGTGAGAAAGACATTCTAGGGATCTATACTCTACTGGTTGCTCACCTGGACGGATAGTACGACGTGTAAAGTGCGGTGAGGAGCGCCCAAACTGTCTTCGCTGCACGTCAACCGGTCGCCCATGCGACGGCTACGATGTTCCGACATTTCCCTCTGCGTCGAAGTTGACAAGCTCGCGACAGAATGCACTCGCAAAGCCACTAGTCCCTCGCCCGCTGAGCGACCCCTCGTACTGTCTATTCACTAGCGATGAGGAGCGCCGCTCTTTCCAGTTCTTCCTAGCGAAGACCGCCCCGCAGCTGGCGGGCGACTTCGAGTGCGCCTTCTGGGGGCGTTTGTTGCTGCAGTCCGCGCACCACGAGCCAGCCATCCGCCATGTCACAGTCGCCCTGGGCTCACTGCACGAGAGCTTTGAGCGCAATGCAGGCGCCCCCTTCCGCTACGGCGCAAACACCACAAGCAGCTCTTTCGCCCTGCACCAGTACCTACGTGCCATACGCTGCCTGAGGCCCATGCCAGAAAGCTCGCAGCCAATTGACGTGTGCATTATCTCCTGTGTTCTCTTTGCATGCTTTGAGGTGTGTACATGTATTTATCATCTCTTGTTCAGGTACGCGTACTAGCTCATATTTAGGCTATGAGCGGCCAGTACGGCTCAGCTATCACGCATGTCACCAGCGGACTCAAGATTCTCGACGAGCTGCGCACTAACCCAAACAATGGCTTCGTGAGTCCGAACGTGGGTCGTACGCCATATATTCCCTTGGACGTCTTGTGTGGGCTTTTTACACGCCTGCAGGGGCAAGTCATTGTGGTATAGATGCCCTTCCCAGGTAAGCCCGTACCTAGCCGGTTAACCCATCATCTAAGCCCAAGTGCGCCACAGACTGTCCACCGTATCAGCGCAGCCCGTTGCAATCTGTGGCCTGATTTAGTCATGGACTTAAATCGGCCCATCGTGTTTCACTCGTTAGCCGATGCGCGCGAGACACTCGAGGTTTACACATATTATTACCGGCAACAAAGTACGGAGCTGCAGATTCAGAGCACGCAGACAATGTCCTTAGAACCCAGGAACTCCATCAATCCTGTTATCACCGTTCACACTGCGGCAGTCGCCTTGCGCGACACCTCCCTTTCCCTGTTGGACCGCTGGTCTGCCGCGCTGGACGACTTTCTGCGGGGGAGTGGTACATCCCTGACGGACCGCGAACGCCGCGCTACCGCCGTCCTCCAGCTGCGGAAGATCGACTGTTTCATCTCGCTAGACGCCCTTTCACCCATAGGCGAGGCCGACACAGGTGACCATCTCCAATGGGACAGGCACTGTGCATTCTTCGAGCAAATGGTGACCCTGGGTGAGTCGATCGTCGACCTGAACTCGTCTTCTATATCTCCCTCTTCTCCGCTTGCCCTGTCGCCCCCCAAATCCTTCTCGCTCGATCTGGGCATCGTCGCAGGCATGTTTAACGTTGCTATCCGGTGTCGCGACCCGCACATTCGCCGGCGCGCCGTCCGCGTGCTCCGCGCCGCTGCGGCCCAGGAGGGGGTGTGGAACAGTGTTGTAGCGGCGGCAATAGCGGAGAAATGGATCGAGATCGAAGAGGAAGGACTGGGGGTCGTAGCGAGCTGTGCGGATGTGCCCGCTGTCGCGCGGCTGGCGGACTTTGTACCTGTGTTCGATATCGAGCAGCCAGGTGCGACGGTCTATTTTAGCCGCTCGTCCCGGATGGGTCAGGGGATTGTCCGGAGAGAAGTGTTTACGTGGTGATAGCTGCTGTAGAAGGAAGGATAATTAGATGCTTGGCATTGTTGTGTCGTGGATTAGATCATTATACTACCTTAGCGTATCTTACAATCTTGGACATGCCCTTTAAAGCAGTCAGACACGCCAAATACGCATAGGCTGGATTGGTGCCAAGTTGCACTGTACAGCCTGTGTACTAGTGCTAGATCTCATCTACATCCGCTATCACAGTATGAACAAGAGCAGCTTGTCTCCGCCCTTTGGTTCTTCGTATTGTGTGCATCATGTGTGTGATCTTTGATTGTTAAGACCTGCCAATGATGTGAATCTCCAGCAGGTATAATGAGGTCAATGGAATTTCATTGACGAAGTGGTCCTTGCCTGTTGAATCTCCTTCTTTAAGATGACCCCCAGCAAGCATTTCATTTTCTGTGTTAGCCAGCCATTGACTTGTATTATAACCAAGACAGGTTGAACAGCGGCTTGAACATAAATTCTCATCAACTCTGCTTTCCTGACTGAGCCTTATTTGTCTGGTTTTTTTATCTTCTGCGTATCTATCGTTATTGTCACCGGCCTTAACATGCAGTCTCATATATTTGCTCATCACAATGCATTATCTCTTTAATGGTAATATTCGTGAATGGCGTTGTCTCGAAAAGCTCCACGTCGACGCTCGCAGAGTATATAAACCCTCTCCCTCACACCCCTCAATTCCCTTATCCGCTTTCCCGGCTCTGACAACGGCAACTCCTCGCTAATAACTAGCTATAGTCAATGTGCGTCGTCATATCCCGCTACCTTTGTGACCAGGCTAAAAAAATGAAGTCCCTTGTGCCCAGAAACCTGTCCCAACCCAGCACAGGCAGGAGCCATTCGACTAGGCGTTTGTATGAAGAACTTCTGAGGTACTACATTCCGGGATTCCGGCTGTTCTCCCACCTTGTCACGAAGCATCTTGGCCTGAACGCGCCTAAGTACCTGCCGTATGTGACATTTGCCGTGGTTCTGTCGTATGCCGCCAAGCGGCTCTCCAGATGTTTCTGGAAGATCTTGCGCTTCCTGTGGACGACGACGGTGGAGGTCTCGCCGGATGACAACAGCTACGAGTTCTACATGCTGTGGATGGTGCACAACAAGCCCCTGAGCAGGGTGACCGGGTACGTGACGGTGACGGACGACAAGAGCGGGCAGGTGGAGGAGGACACTGACGGTGGGAACGGGCTGCAGGATACGGGCGCCTGCGATAAGGAGGTGATCGAGTACGACGACTGGCGGCGGACGATCGCGCTGATCCGGATGCAGCGCATCACGTTCACGCCGCGGCCGGGCACGTACTTCTACCTGTACCGCGGGCGGCTGATCAAGATCCAGCGCGTGCGCATCAAGGAGAGGAGCTCGCTCGTAAGTTCGCGGAGCTCGTTCCCTCGGAAGAGTTCAGCGGTGCGGAGGTCCAGGGCTATCTTCTCAAGCATAAGAAGAGCCCGGAGTCTGCGATTCAGGGGGTTGCAAAGTGGCTTGAGGAGACAGAGGAGATACGCAGCACACGGCGCAAGTCGGAGGAGGAACTGCACAAGCCAGAGGATGAAGAAACGAACAAGTGAGAGGATAAAGGGGCATGCAAGCCAGAGAATGGATGGGTAACAGTCAAGCCCGAGGAAACCCCTGCGAGCGAGGGAAACATCAACGCTGAGGAGGCCTGCTTGAACGAGGGATACTCTAGCGCACAGGAACAAGCTGAGATCGAAACTAAATGAGCTGACCCTCTCTCTCACCTTGAAATTACTCTGTATTCCTTGTTATATTGAACATTATTTCTCTCGGTGTCTTTTTCGGCGTCTTTTTTGATATCGATTTGATATTCCTTTTGGTCTCTCTCTTGCCCTTTCGCTTCCTTCACTCTGTTGTATCTCTCTTGTTCCTACATTTTATACTCTCATTCGTCTGAAAAATTATCCTTTTCCCTTCATATACTCCACGCCATAAACCACTGTAGATTCTGCAAATGCCCTGAAAAGACAAGATCATCAATGTAAATAAAGAAACAACAGGTGATTGTGACAGGCTCCACCAAGCGAGCCAATCGGGGTCAATTGAACCCCGAAGGTCCGGCCGGCTTCAGCCTTGAGCAGTGGAAGTACTTTAAGACCACGATTCCCATAACCCTATTTCTTCATCCACCACAGATCCTTAGGCCAATCACTCGATATCCCATACCTAGAGAACCAATGCAGCCCTTCTCCGTTTTCGTCCGCTGGCGCCCCCTGCCCCCCGAGCAGACCGACAACCGCGAACTCACCCGCAACTATGAAACCCACCCATCCAACCGCATATCAATATCTCTCCCCAAACAGACCACCCAAGACCGCCTCTGGCAAAGCCAGCCAGCATTCACGCAGATCCTTGATCCCAACACAACCAACAAAGCCGTCTTCGACGCCGTCGCCGCCCCGACACTACCCCGCGTCCTGGCCGGAGGAACAAGCAACATCTTCGCGTACGGCCACTCCGGCAGCGGCAAATCGCACACGATGATCGGGTACGACTTCGAGCACGCCGAGGCATTTGCCTCTGCCTCACAGCCGCCCAGCACCTCACTCAAAGCCTCGAGGCCCTCAACGCCAACACCACCAACACCACCACCCCTACATCCCCCCTATGCATCGGACTAAGGATGTACGAGCTCCGCGGATCCGAAGCCTTCGATCTGCTAAACAGCCACACAAGATGTCACGTCCGAGAAGGCAGCGACAACCGCACGCACATCCGAGGCGAGACCGAGACGCTGGAAGGCGGGCGGGTGCGCGTGCGGCCGCTGACGACGCGCGCGTGCTGAAGCTTCGCGGAGTTCCGCACGACACTACTCTCCGGCCTTGCGTTGCGGGAAACCGGCTCCTCGACGATGCATGATCTGAGTTCGCGGACGCATGCGGTGGTGGAAGTGGAGGTCGTCTCGCGGGCGTTGCTGGGCGCGCGGGAGGCGGTCATCGAGCGGGTCGCTGAGCTAGTCCCTGTTGGCAAACGCGCGACGGATGTCTATCTTGAGGAGAATATGAAGGCGTTTGTTAAGGATGATGCCGGGCGGTATGTGCCTAATCCTGAATATACGGTCAATCAGGCGCGGATTGATGCCGCCGAGGCGGAGAAGGCGGTGTTCGAGGCTGCCGTCCAGCGAGCTGAGGAGTATGTAGAGGAGGTGTTGCATGCCTCCGGGCAGGCGTGCCTTGAGGGCAAGCTTGTGTTTGTGGATTTGACCGGCTCGGAGTTTTACCATGATAAGACGGTTAATGCCCTGGCGTCCAGGAAGAAGCCTCCTCCGTTGGAAATGCGGCAGGGAAGGCAGATTAATACCGATTTGCTGGCGTTGAAGGAGGTTATTCGTGCGAGGGCGAGCAATGCGTCGCGGATTCCATATCGCGCGTCGCCGTTGACTTTGGTCCTCCGGGAGCATTTTCGGGGGGATGAGGAGGGGGCCACGGATTCTTGTTCGAGGATGATCTTGACGGTTTCGCCGGCTGTCGATCAGGCTGCTGCTACGGTGAATACCTTGAAGTATGGGAGTTTGGTTGGTATTGCTGCGCCAGAGAAGTAGGACGGAAGATCAAATGGTGTGTATGTAGAGTACAGTTAGTGGTAGAATAGGAATTAGAACAGCGATTCGACCTAGCTCGATCTCCGACGAACCTTAAGAGATCTCACAAATACTCAGTTTATTGTGGATTGAAGTAAGTACACCAATAGTTTGTGGGCCCGAATTGGACATGACTTAGCTCGTGGGGACATTCACTTGATCCAGCTGTCAGTGTGTTCTAATCGAGTAGTACCTTGTCCTCAGCTAACATTGGCATTAGATCTAACGGCTCGAGGGAATGAAAAGATTGACACGCAAGGCTTTCCGTAAGGGCTAAACCCATCACCACGGGCTTTAGGGGCCGAATTGAAGAGAATGCGATGGATTCAAGTTGCTGTTGACTCACGGGCGTCTCCTTCGATGGTGATAACGCCGTAGTGTGGAGGAGAGCGAAGCCCATTGAGGGCTGTCTTGTACCCAACATGCATACATACATACATACTGCACCCGGACTGATGCAAAGACTTCGACAGTAGTCTGCAGTAGTCTCGATAATGATACCTTGGCACTGTTCACAGTCAATTTGTCAATTGACATGTTCAGTATCAACTCATGTCTACCATATTTGGTTCTACTACTTGTCCGTAAGTAAACAACCGATCTCCGCCACGCCTAGCCGCGTTCAGTGGGGGCTTTCACTGAAGGAACCGGGAAATGGTCAATGCAAAGTGGTAAAAGGAAAAGATCGAGACTCCTTCTATATTGCAGCTCTTTCCTAATATGGAGTAGTGTAAGAGGTGGTTTGCTACCGAGCATAGGGCTAAGAGATAGACTGGATTAACGACAAAGAAGCTGATCAGCACTAGTAGTTGGTTTACTGGATTGGTTGTACGGCACTGTATTTTCGCCGGGGCCCCGATGACATTGGTCAAGTCGGGCAGTGTTCAATACGGTATCAAGGTTTGGTAAGGTTATGTAAAGACACCGGGAGTAATTAATGAAGACAGACATGCATCCCCACAGCATGTTAGCATAAAGTAATAAGGCCGACAATCTAGAACGCCTCATTAGTGCTGACGTTATACAGCACTCCCTGGCCAGGGGTTACATCAAAGATATCTCCGGATCAGTATCTCGATCGACCTGAACTCGCCCTTCTGCTGTGCATGATGGTATTGCATAATGAAACCAGATATGCAAGCTCGGCCAAACATTGTATCCCTACCCGCCGTTCTTGGGGAAGCACGACTTCGAACGTGATCCCTACAATGATTATGTTATGTATCTTCGACATGGATAGTATTCATCTTGGTAAGGAGGAGGAGATTAGGTAGTTGATCGAACGATCACCACAATTCCCTTCGCGTGATAAGTCTTCGGGATCTGAATCATGTAGTACGCCCATTCGCATTTCATCGTACCAAGAAATCAGCAATTGAGCTTGGTAGGGTCCATTACATATATTCATGTCTCACTCGACCTTTTCCTTGCTTCTCTAAGTCCATGACAAATGCATAGATTTCTTGACTAACAAATATCGGGCGCTTACAACAAGAGACAAGAACTAAACTAGGCTTTGGCAGGCGAAGTGGGCACAACCTCGATGATACTGTCCCGCAGGCTGGCCGTGTAGGTGTAGACTTTGCTGATAGTCAGCCCACTTTCTTCGACCAGACGGTACCACTGCTCCTCCGTCCGCTCCCGAGCTCCGAGAGTCGTCATCATCAGCATATCCAACTGCGCCTGCTGCCAGTGAACTCCGGAGTTAGGCAGAACCATCTCATCAATCAAGAGAGCGGAGTCTGGCGCCATAGCATCAAGAGTGTTCTTGATGATCTCGCGGCATTTGTGGTCGGGCCAGTCATGGAAGATATTCCGCAGGTAGTAGAATTTGGCGCCTAGAATTGTACACGAGTAAGCCTGGAACAAGAAATAAGAACAGATGAGCTGATAGAAAATGGACGTACCTTTGACAACCTGGGGCGTGAAAAAGTCGTACGCTTGCGTCTCCACTCCGGGGGATTGAATGGCGTGAGCCAAGGTTTGCGGAAGATCCTGGACAATGACCCGGCCCTCAAGCTGGGGATAGCGTTGCTTGAAAGCAACCGCTTGGTGGCCAATGCCACCACCGATATCGACAAACAGCGCTCTCTTGGGGCTAAGGCCGGTGGCCGCCTTTTCTTCGACAGGATAGACGTCCAAAAAAGTGGGCATGCCGGCTCGGTTGGCCATCATGTGCTCCATGAAGTAAGCTAGAGCCTCGGGATGCTGCTGCATATAGATAAAAGCGGGCACATCGGTGTTGAGGGCTTTCTGGAAGGGGGTCTTCATGCTGTCCTGGATATCTGGGTAGTTGTTCTCCCTCAGCCAAGTGGGAAGCTCTTGGATAATCTGGCCACAGTTGTTCCACCTGTTCAGGACGGTGTTAGATGGTTGAGTTGTAAATATGCCCGAAAAGGGTAGATTTACATATGACCAACCGCAGCCTGAAATCCAGACACGGCGAACGTCTTCGAGATGCGCGACGCAGCGAAGGTATCCTTTGACACCTCCTCGACGGCATAGTAAGATGCCAAGTAACGCAAGAGACGGGCTGTTCGATCGGATTAGAAAATATGCATAGTGGGAGGATTAGAGTCAAGACCCACCAAGGAAGACTGGATTCGCACCGGTCTTCTGGCTCAATTCGTCCACGGTGTGAGGGCCTTCATTTTGGGCCAGCAGCTCGAATAACTTCAAGTCGATGCCAATGCGGATTCCGGCGAGTTGCATGTTCTTGACAGAATGTCAGCTTCACTGATATTCTATTTCTGACAACTGAGGGGGCAGGTGAGCATACATAGAAGGTAATTCGCTGGACAGTGTCGTCCGGAGACTCAATCGAAGCCCTCAGCTTGCTGAGGGCATCCAGCACCTCCTTGCGAGTCTTCTCATCGCCGGTCTCGACCAATCTGCGGACTTCCTGGGTAAGAGCTTCCATTTTGGTAATTTCTCTTGGTGCTTGGAAAAGGATTTGTCTTCTCCGCTTGCGGTGAGTTCTTGGGAGAGAAACCTTGACAGAAATATCTCAATGGAGACGGCCGGGGCAAGGAATGGCTTTTATGGCTTCAAGAAGAAAGGGCGCTAAAGAAAGGCCCGGATAAAGCGGAATAAAACGTTCTAGGATTAAGGGTCTCGATTGTCTCTTTCTCACGGCGGAAGAATAGTGGAGCTGAAGTCTGACAGGCACAGTTGGATCTAAACCGAAGGAGCAAGAAGTATAAGCTAAAATCTGACAAGCATTGGTGGTTTATTTAGCGAATGTTACTTACCCCGCGGGATGGATGGACGCCATGTATAGTAAGTAACCGTACTATACTCTTTGCCATACTGTATGTACTGTAGCAATGTATACAGTAGTGACACTTCCTGTCTCTACACATGAGAGATATTATTTTTCTATTTTTCTATCAATCTACCAACTATACTACATGAGGCAGTACGGCATCCATCAACTTCATCTTTCTTTTTTCGTCCCGAACACCCCCAAGACGCTCCCCAAGCGCTCCCCAACCTCCAAGGCAAATAGGCATCATTATCAGATTTACTGACCAACATGGCCAGATACTATACATTATATGGTTATATCTTCTTCCCATGTCACCTACAAGGAATGTGAATCAATACTCGTGCCTTACCCCAACTTCCACTAACAACTATCAACGATGGCAACTGCTACTGCACCAGTGGATGGCGATCAGGATCGCGGCCCATCCCTAATCGCCTTCTTTTGGGCAGAAGCGGCCGTGATTATACTGGCCATAACATTGCGATTCTGTGGTCGGATTCTGGTAAAGAACCTTGGTTATGATGATTTTGTAATGGCCTTCACAGTGGTAAGTCCGCTGCTTTTTTATGGTTTCGGGTCTCATGGCCTTATCGAAAAACGATATGCTCATCTCCCCCTCTGCAAGTTCTGTTTATCATCATGGCTGGCCTGGTCAATCATCTAGCTATGATCGGAGGCGCTCACCATCTTTACTATCTGAGCACGGACAATGAGGCTATAAGCTAAGCTGTGGGCACTCATCGGATTAAGTGACTCGATCTCCGGCCCTAAAATGGTCCCGTAGCATATATAAGATTTGGGGGCTGAACATGTAATAAAAAGTAATTCAGTGCTCTTGGCTTCGGCCATCATAGCGAAAGAAGCAGTAAGACCTCGTTCTGCTTTTCCGATTTAAGGCTAGTATGATACAACAACATAGGGTCAGGGCAGAAATGGTGCATGAACTATACATCAAAATAGTATTTGAAGGTTAACCTAATTTCTCACCTACAGCCACACCTCGGGTCCGAGCGCATGCAGGAAATTTTCCGTATATAACGTGGTCCTGAAGCACTATGAATCTCAGTGTTGGGCTGTCATGTAGGCCTTAACATATGCAGTTTATAACGCCGACAGAGATCATCTCAGTTCGTAAGTATCGTGGATTACCCACCTCCTTTAACGTCACCTTTGCAGCAGAAAGACAAGGTCTCTAGAGCCATTGGTTTCATCAATGGCCCGATAAGACTAGCCAGCGCTGAAAGGCACGCGTACCGCGCCATGTCACTCCTTGCCCGGGCTCAGTCACATTCTCCCCATCCTCGTCTCGGGATCACGCCAAGTACACTCACTCACTCATGCGGGGGCAGGGCAGATACTAAGCGCTGAATACCAAGCCCGCCGTGCACATGCCCATTCTTGGCGGCTGTCTTGGGTTGGTGGCTTGGTCCTGTCAGGGACCTTTTATCGGGCGCCTACCGTCCTTCCTGGGTGCTTCTGGGATTGATTCACTGCCTCCTGGGGATTCAAGGCTGCCTATCGCAGGCGAATATCGAATCACATTGTCAGTACAGTATGACGGCCATGCCCGATCCACCCCACCTTCTTCCCCTTCTCACCAACTTCCAAGCAGCAGAACAGACAGTGGACGTATGCTCATTGTCCTCATCGCATTCCACTGCATTTGCGCCATCGATGGAATAGTAACAATACACAATTGCCATAAACAGACAATCTTGTATGGCACTCTGTCTCCTAACAAATTTACACACTCAATCGCGGGCCTCGGAGCCAAGCCCCTGAAAGCCGAATTATATGGATTACCTACAGAAAACTATTGTACCTTGACCACAACCATGCATTCATCCTCCCAATCCTGTAGAACATAAATCAGTCCTGGTCAAAGCATACCTATCGAGGCCTTGGGTAACAAACGCCCACCCTCTTTCTGGGTCATCCTGTCCCAAGCCCTATACTTTCTCTCCATCGGAAGCCCCTCATGCGGGTGTCTTCAACCTGAAGGCCCCAGAGCCACTCCGCCCCGCCAAAAACCGCACTTGCGTTATCCTTCAATTCACAGAATGGGCTGGAAACCTAGGATGAATGATACGTGCTTTACAGTATTGAATATTTCGTTTTCTAGTATTTATCTCAGCCCCCCCCCCTCGAACATACAAGCTCTCCACCGAGCTCCGCAAATATCTGCTCGCTAATCTCGACGCATATAGTTGGAAAGTTGTCCGAGATATTCGAGAATGACAACCTCGCGAGCGCTTGCTCCTGCAAATCCAACCTTGACTGCCACATATTTCTCAGTGACTGAGTCCTGACAGGACCAGATGGTAGAAAACCCACCATAACCCAGCTTGTGCACTATTCGATATCGGGAGTGAAGAACATCGCCTATCATGATGGAGTGATATCTACCAGGTTGGCACTTTTCAAGTCTTTCTACTTCTTCAATTGGTACATATCTGTGGATGAATGGTTCTGGGTCAGCGCTGGATGAGAAAGTTCTGTACCTGAATGTGAGTCCTTGGGTAAAAGTCCTCCATTAAGGATGTATCTGGCTAAGACAGATCTGATGGATTGAGGCTTGCCGGTGACCACGGATTAACATTCGCGACCGTAGCATGAAAGCCATTCCGGAAGGGTGGGTAAATTACTACAGGACAAGTATCTGGAAACCTCTGACTGGAATATTAGTTCTTGTTAGGAGTGCATTGCTGTGTGATGATTTTCAGGCTGTGTGTGACCTCTGTCGTTGGTCCCCGTTGCCACCGCGACCGTCTTCCTTCCCAGAGACAACATCCAATTCATTATTCTCACTTAGTTGAGGTCAAGGAGTCAAATCCAGGAACCTAAATCTTACTTCATGAGTGATATTACTCACTCCATCTAAGTTATTGGTTTTGGCCAGCGCATCATCTCGGTGGTGAGGTCTTTTCGATGCTCTATACTTCGCGGCCGAAAGTGGTTATGCCTCCACCTCGCAACTGAAACATCGAAGTATTCGAATTGGTCAATACAACTGACAGGCAATGACCCACAACAATCAAGAGGTTGATAGGCTCCGCTTGACGCGCCAAAACTCAGGCCAAACCCATAAGTCGAGATTCCATGGCTTAAATCTCGGTATACCGAGACTGGCACTTCGCCCACGACGATCTTCGTCAGCTTCAGAATTGAGGGCCCCCGCGTCGGCGACAGTCCGGTAGCACATATCAAATCTCAGACCACTAGACCAGTCAGTCTAAAGAGGGTTCATACCTCGTACTGATTACTTGATACGACTTCTGCCGCGCTCAGTGGCGGGAGTCTTAATGTTCCTGTGAGGTTGTGGCGTGTCACAGGCGCCTCACCTGAATTTGCGATAGCGACTCACTTTTGAGTTTATGCTTGGCTTGGCAAGTTGTCTTGTGCCTCTATGCCAAAAACAAAATACCCGTAATTCCGGATCGGGCGCATTGAGAGTGTTATCCCGATGGTAGTGAAAATCAAATGAGGCTTCTGAGGGCTCTTCCGAGAACTCCGACCTCCATCCCGAGATACTACCAACCCTCTGCATTCCATCCATCGGAATCCAACAACTGGATGACAGCCACAGACCGCGGCCATTCATCGATCGATGCCCAATTTCCAGACGAGCAGGCTTCTTTGTCCCAGGGGAACAATGACTTGTTCGTCATGTCACCCCACACTGTGGTCCAGAGTCGAGACCACTTGCCAGGAAAAGTGATGTATGGATGAACGAGAAGACAAAAAAACCAGTCCAAGCCACTCTGCTCTATCAGCTACCTTCCTTGGCAAGGCTGACCAACAGGGCCACAACAAGGCTGGTGCGTGGCCGAGCAAATGTTCTCGAACTAATGAAATCATCGGTCGGATCTTGGCTGATGCAATCGTGCAGTATTTCACAATGTCCCACTTTTCTCGGGGGGTATCGGTGAGGCATAGAGGTTGCCGCGATCATGGAATCCAGTCTAGGCAGCATCCATGCGCGACTTGCGGGGTGGAATTGATAGGTTCAGTCGCTGACCACGTTACCTCTTGAATCCAAGAGTGTACAGTACAGGGCAAAGACAAGGGGAACAATCTGCGGGGAAGGATCATAACCGTGGACAGCAAGATGTTCTTGGAACACAAGAGGAAGAACGTACAGGGGTAGAAGTGCCCAACCCGAGGAACACAGAAAGGGACAAGAAGGCAAATTGGCTACACCCAATCTTCAGACCTCGATGGATGAGATCAGTGATTGGCAATCCGTTCAAGCAGCCCAGTAAATGCTCCATCCGAGCCAAAACCTGCATCGTGATTACATGACGTTGATTGGGCGAATTAGCTGAGTCAGCATTCAGGACCCGATGCAGCCATTTTGAGGGTTTCTCCATGCCGTCCATCGTTGGAGCAGACATTAGGCGAAGGAATATGGCTTCAAAATCTTCAATTTTGGCAAGTGGCAATCCAGCCCACGCGGGGAGCATGTACGAAGTAGGAATGACAACTATTCGGGCCGGTTCATCTCCCATCTCCCGAGTCCACCCTGCACCACGACGGTGGATGCCAAGTAATCGCCGGTGGAGCACTCCAAGCAAGACCTTACTCATGTATGTCCACTCAATGTCGGGGCTCTTGTGTCCCAATTTTCCCCCATCATGGGGCTGCCATGACCGTCACACTGACAAGAGTGGGCCAGAAAACAATGACATTGTGTAGGATCTTCTGGCTCAGGCCGTTTTCGGCACTGGGTACTTGCCTCCGACATAAATACCCCATGGGCGAATGAAAGGGATAAATACCCCTTGGAGGTTATCTTCTTTCGGAGACAGTTTTCGCTGCACTCGACTGCATTCATTTGTACATTGACGCCGTCATGCGTTGGCTCTCCACCTTACTCATCCCCATCTTAGCCTCCGAGTCGCTAGCTCGGAGTGTTGGAAATCTCCATCAACTATCCTCAAGACAAACGACACAGTATGCGGTGAAGCAGCCGCCATTGACGACGAACTGGACAGATCAAGTGGGGACGAATCCCTGGCCTGAGTATCCTAGACCACAGCGCCAGCGGTCGGATTGGAAGAACCTGAACGGAATCTGGCAATACCAAGCTGCGACGAGTCTGGATGCCGTGCAAAGCCCTCCTTTCGGACAGGATCTTGCAGCAGAGGTATTAATACCTTCGTGTTTGGAGAGCGGATTGTCTGGTAGGTTTGATCGAGTTTTTGTCAAAGCACAGAAACTGATCCATCCTTGTAGGTATCCAAGCGACATCGGCATATTATTCTTGGTTTCGCACCAACTTCACTGTTCCTGATTCATGGAGTGGCCAGAACGTGCTGCTTAATTTTGGCGCCGTGGACTATGAAGCCACCGTCTTTGTCAATGGGCAGCAAGCGGGCTTCAATCGTGGTGGATACTTCGAATTCACTTTCGATATCACTCCGTTTGTCAACGCGACTGCGAACAATGAGCTGTACGTTAGACCGAGGGGGCTGTCGCAGATCACGCTCAGGTTCACTCTTAGATGATGCGCACGCTTTTTTTTTTTGCTGAGGAAGCGTAGCATGAGCGACAAGGGCCTGACTGCAGCAGCTTCTTTCTACTCACATCGTCATTAATCCCGCTGACATTGTTACAATAGCTTGGTCTACGTCCACGACCCGACCGACAGCGAAGACTACGTGATTCCCATCGGAAAGCAGCACCTAGTCCCCAGTCATATCTTTTACACGCCCTGCAGCGGCATCTGGCAGAGTGTCTGGATCGAGTCAGCACCAGCCAACCACATCACTCAGCTGGATCTGAGTGGCGACATGCATGGACAGGGTCAGTAATAAACACGTACTATAAGCCTCCGTCAGCATTCACTAATCTTTAGCATAGTCAACGTGACCGTCCACAGCGCGACAGGAAACAGCACGTCCGTCCGCGTCGCAGTCCACGACGGGGACTCGGAGATCGGCTCCGCCAACGGAACCTCCGACCAGCCGTTCCAGTTCAAAGTAACCAACCCCAAGCTGTGGTCGCCCGACTCGCCGAACCTGTACAACGTGGCCGTGACTATGGGTGACGACACGGTAGACAGCTATCTTGGCTTCCGCACCATCTCCCGAGGCCAGCTGGACGGTGTCGAGCGGCCGCTGCTGAACGGGAACTTCACCTTCCTCTTCGGCACGCTGGACCAGGGCTACTGGCCGGACGGGCTGTACACGCCTCCGAACCGCGAAGCCATGGAGTATGACCTGAAGGTACTCAAGGATCTTGGCTTCAACATGGTCCGCAAACACGTGCGTATACCCTGACTCCACCGCGCATAGAGCGTACAACTGACTCCACCCGGCTATTCAGATCAAAGTCGAGCCCGCATTGTGGTATCGCGCCTGCGACGAGATGGGCCTGCTCGTCATCCAGGACATGCCGGCTCTTCGGCCGTTGGAGAACGACGCCAGCGGCGCGACGATTCTGCCTAACGAGTCCCAGCAGCAGGAGTTCGAACGACAGCTGGAACTGATGGTCAACCAGCTCAAGAGCTACCCCAGTATCTTCGCCTGGGTAAGTTTCTGCCACTCTTCATCCCATAGCAAGATTTACGTCTAATCCCGAGACAGGTGATCTACAACGAAGGCTGGGGCCAGATCACAACATACTACCCGGAACTCTCGCTCACCGAGCAGGTGAAACAACTCGACCCGACGCGGCTCGTGGACGCGATTTCAGGTTGGTACGACCACGGCGCCGGCGACTTCCACGTAAGCTTTCTTCCTCCCCTATCCCCTATCCCCGCTCAACCCACAATCCAGAATTTAACACGTCAAGAAGGACAACCACCACTACGCAAGCCCGCAATGCGGTACACCCCCGCACGACGCAAGCCGCATCGCGATTCAAGGCGAGTTCGGCGGGGTAGGCCACAATGTCTCGATCGAGCAGTAAGTCTTCCCATAATCAAGCTCCAACCCCAAAGCGTCCAGAGCATCAGTATACTAATCCTGTAATCCAGCCTCTGGAACGACCCCACCGCCATACAAGCAATCAACCAAACCTACGAACTGGACCCGGACCTCGACGCCTGGAACTACCGCAGCCACCAGCTTCTGACGGAGCTACAGGACCAGGTGCGTCGGTACGCGTGCAGCGCGGGCGTGTGGACGCAGACTACCGACGTCGAGGGCGAAGTCAACGGGTTGATGACGTATGATCGGCGCGTGAAGCGTGTGGATGCGGAGCAGTGGAGGAAGGATATCAGGGGGTTGTATGAGGCTGCGGAGGAGAGGACGGGTTCGTGAGTGAGATTGGGGAAAGAGAGTTTTGGTGATGGATACCGATACCTGATGACATGATGGAGTACAGTGTGCTCGCTGGGCGAGTTGACGGTTGCGTACTCTGGGGGTGGTTTGCATTGAGGCTGGTTTGGGTATTGCATTTTGCTTTTTTGCATAAGGTATTGCTTAAAACATTGCATAGATCAGAGCATAACATATAGCATAAGGATACAGGGTCAATGAAGATCGTTTATATCAAAACATGAGAGCAGAGTGCCACTCAGGAAGGCATGATTTCGCATACGGAAGATCCGCCTCCGTCCAACTCTGTCTTTGACACTGTGCAGATCGACTACTACGTAGGCACTTCAGCTAATCGCTACGATCACGTATTCTCCTAATCTTCATCTTCAATCGGAAAACAGGCAAGACGGTGATACACGGCTTCAATTCCTTTGTTAATTACCCCTCCTGTCATGCTACAACATGAAAGCTTATTAAACCGGTGCACTGATGCACTTACTGATCCAGGACACCTCACTCAGTCCGGTCATCACCTTATGAACTTCAGCCAGCTTAACTCAATCTGACTCAGGGCCGGGAACGTTCACCCCTACCCGATCCTCCAGCTCCACCACATCAACCCTGCACCTGCGCCTCCGCGCGCTTCTCCTCCGGGGGCACGGTCTCGGTATGAGCTGGACCAGTCTCTACCTTCGACTCCAAATCCATGTGACCACGCTCCATCTCCCGCAGCGTACTAGTGCGAACCTTGGTCTTCCACGCGGGAGTGCCGAGATACTTGATGCCGTTGGGGTCCTCGAACATCGCCTCCGTCTCTTCGAGGGTCTTGCCTGCGGTCTCGGGGAAGATGAAGAAGAAGTGGATGAACATGGCCGTGTTGAAGACGCCGAAGATGATGTAGGTCTTCCACCGGATGTTGGCGAACGAGGTGGGCGTGAACAGGCCCAGCGCGGTGTTGAAGGCCCAGTTGCCTGAGGTCGCGAGGGCCACTCCTTTTCCGCGCAGACGCAGCGGGAAGAGCTCGGGCGGGTAAGTCCATGATACGGGGCCGAGGGTGGGGGCGTAGGAGGCTAGATGCGCGTTAGCTCCGAGATCAACAAATTGGGCTCGGAGATCTGGGGTGCGGGTTGGGATTCGGGAGTCATAGTGTCAGGGGGTGGAGTAAGGCAATATAATCGTACGCACCGACGAATAAGTACGTGCAGGCAATCAGTCCTTTCGCTGCCGCTCCGTGCAGTCGCATGGACTCGGCCGCAACGCCATCGATACCACCTTCGACCACCTCACCATGAACTGCCATGATACCAGCATTGGTATACATCCAGATGGCCATCAAGGCGGATCCGACCAGCAAGGCAGGGCGTCTTCCCCAGCGATCCATCCAGATCAGTGCTGGTACGGTCATGAGCACGTTGATGATGTACTGGATGGACGAGGCGAGCAGGGTGGAATTGCCCGTGTAGCCGGCCATGGAGAACAGATAGGTGATGTAGTACACTGGTATGGATGGTCAGCGCATGCAGACTTGAGCAACAGGAAGTACTCACTCATCACATTCATGCCGGTCAGCTGAGACCAGATCTGAGTAAAGAGGCCGATCAGGGTGCGATTCAGCATGCGCGGCTTGAAGAGATCCATGTAGGTGACGTTCTTGAATTGCCGTTCGAGTTCACACATGTCACGGATATTTTGCATCTCAAGCGCGACAAACGGGTGGTGCAAGTCTCCTTTCGCATGGACCAGAGCCAGCACACGATGACATTCCTCCCAACGATCTTTGCGCGCCAGCCAGCGAGGTGACTCCGGCAGCAGCATCATGCCTCCGAGCAGGAACACGGCCGGGAGCATCTGCAGACCCCAGGGGACCCGCCACGAGGCGGTGCTGTAGTTGTAGGACTTCTGGCCGCCGATGTAGGAGCATCCGTACGAGATGCTGGAGGCAATTAGTAAGGGAGCGCATACATGGAGAGGACTACGGGAGCACTTACTAGAACATGATCAGGATACCCCAGGTGATAGCCCACTGCTGCATGCCGACGAATCGACCGCGCTTGGAGGGAGGGGAGATTTCACTGATGTAGACTGGCACCTGGGCCGACTCGATCCCGACCGACAAGCCATTAATAACACGGCCGGCCACGAGCATACCGATGTTCTGTGCCGCACAGCAGATAGTAGATCCGATCAACCTGCGCATCGAAGACTTGCTGTGAGCACAAAGCACACTGAGACAGTAATTCACGGGGGATCATTCCTCACCAGATAATACAGCCCACCATGATGGAAGATTTGCGTCCGATGCGATCAGACAGCGGTCCGGAAATCAAGGCGCCCAGCCAAGAACCGGCCGCCATGGCAGCGGTGATGCCACCTTGGTTCAGCGAGGTTGGCCCCGAACAATCTTCCGAGTCGTCGAAGGGCGGGCCATGGGGACCCTGATTGAAGTAGCATTTGTAGGCGTTTTCATTGAGTTGGGCTGACAAGGAAGAGATATCGAAGCCGAAGAGGGCGCCACCGACGACGGCGACACCCGCGATCACGTAGATGTTACCAACCAACATGGTGTTGATGGGGGGTGGAAGAAGGTTTACTGGGAAAGTAACACGAGAGGAGAGAAGGAGAGAAAAGTCACCAAGCAGGTGGAGCTGCTCAGTCCCCTTATAAGAAATCGACCGACGTCAGGTGCAATTCACTTCATTGCTCACTTCACTTCCTTCCTTCAGTCTGTTTATTCACTTCCGCGACCAAACCCCGCAGTCAACCGACTTTCTGGCCATCGTGCCACGCCCTGGCAGGAAGTTTCCAAAGCTTACGGTACTACTACTACAGTGTCATCGCCTCTCCCTCGGCTGATTGGGTCCCAGTCAGTTGCTGCAGCGAGAGAGGGATCGGAATCCTGGTCCGGGGCCAGCAGCTAGCCTGGTGAAGACGAGGAAATCAGGCTCGAGCTGGAAAGTCAAAACAACTGGGATGGAGGGAGTCCTATCGGGGAGGATGCTGTTGTGAAACCCCAAGAGGGGAGATAGGCTTAGTAGCAGCAGTGCCACGGAGTTGGATAAATCAACCGTACTACCAGCTGAAACGAGCCCCCATCTCTGGGATCTCAGAAGACAAAAGGCACAGACAGGGTGAGGAGGTTTTCCCCGGAGTATCGCGCGTCATTTCTCCAGGAAACTTCACATGGAGAGCAGACTGATGGGTCCACTCCTAGTTAGTTTAGAACTACATGTAAGCGCGGGGAAAAGGCTGAGCGGGGGGGGGGGCGGGCTGCTTGAATGCTTAATCGCTTATGCCAACTTGTCTCTGCGGATGGCTTGACTTCCATTGCCTGATCAGGGTAAGACGGCCCCAGCCGACTCTCGTAGTACTCATGCTTATAGTTAGTTATTGGTTACGTAGAGTAATAGTCGTGGTTGCTAACTCGCTTCCCCGCAACTTAACTCGCGTATAGTATAGCTGTCTGTAGGGAAGTATGCGGAGGAAGGGCCGCCAACCCTATCAATCAACAATCTCTCTCGGTAAATCAATTCCTCATTCACTCGAGTCCGATGGCGATGGATTGCAATAATGTCCGACCCCAACTCGAACAGGTCAGCCAAGTTGCACATCACTGTACTAACCCGCTCAATCTACTTGGATGGTGCTGGGCATACGTAGTCTCACCCTTTGCTCCTAGCAACGTGTCTTGCCAATAGCCGGCCACCCTGAGCTTCACAGACACGCGCCCGATCACATGGCCGCAGGAACATCTTATGACTGGTGTCGAGGGAAGACTGCGATCAGTGCAAACCGTACTACACTGGTGAACATTCACTAACAGTATGTAGATGCAGAGAGTAGCCTGACTTTACTCAAGCCAGCTCACTTGAAGCGTCCAGCATGCAAATTCACCGGGTGAATTCCTTGGCACCGGTTCAGGTTGCTGACAGCATTTACCGTCGGTCGCAGAGCTTGTCTCAACCACCTGAAGTTCTGTCGCTGTTCCTGTTAACATGAGTCTGTAAGCACCCTATGTGTGGCAGTTCAAATGTTAACTGGACCGGGGACTTTCTGGAGCAGGAGGCAAACCACTGTCGACTGATAGATCACCTGCTGGTGATGATTGGTCTTGGCAATGAATAGTCCCGATTTCCCGCTCAGAGTGAGGACGATAGCGAAGAAAATGAAATAGAAGGGGAATGTCTATCGCTCCCAATTCCACCGGCTCAGTGCTCTCGTCCAAGAACCCCTAGCAGAAGAAGCAAATCACGATTCTGAAACCGCCAGGGTGTGTCTTCACTGGATCAGTTCAAGCCACCTACGCGGTGTGACTCCCGCTCTAACAACAACGCCACAAACCCCCAACTGCTGACCAAGTCGGACCATCAGGCCAGATGAGTCCAAGGTCCAGCCACTGCGTGACTCCTCTACCCAATATTCTTGGCGGTGGTCGCCAAGACCATCGGTGAAGCTGTTGCTGGGTCGGGCTGGGCAACAGATGCAGCTTCGAAGGGATACTGTATGAAGCCTGTATACATGCCACAATATATAGTAAGCCCGGGGAGCCGCAATCACTGCCCCAGGCCTTTCCGTATAGGGCTCATTGTACTCTAACCACTTTCACACACCTTATCAATTAGATAGATCATAAACTGTACTAGTTAATGTTAAATATCTCTACCACACACCTTCAATCTAGATATCTTATCCGTTCCCCATCGGTAATGTTAGAAACAAGCTATTCAACTAAACATGGTTGAGGTCACGGGTCAAGTCAGTCTAGTCCGAATGGGGAGGCCGAAAGACGCGCCAAGCAGACACCGATTAGGCTTAGTGCCTGACCCGTCATTGATCCCAACCGCCCAATGTCCGCGCGGGCTGCGGTTACGGGATTGATGATTGGCCTCTCAAGCCTGTTGTCAGTCCAGAGCTGAGCCGCGCGATCTTTCCTCGATCGGGAGAGGCAACCTGAGGCCGCCCTCCTTCATTCCTCTCTCTAGGCAAGTTTCTAACCTCGATCGTCATCCACTCTCTCTCCCTCAGCCTCTCCCTCCACTCGCCCTGCTCACTCGCTCTCTCTCGCTTTCTCTTGTCCTTCTCTTGGTCTCTCTCTCTCACTCTCTCTTTCCGCTCTCTCTTTGTCTTCCTCTATCCTACTCACTCCGTCGCGCTACTCTCACATCCAATTGCTTCCTCCCCTCTTCCTCCCCTCTTCCACCCCTCGCTTCCATCCACCTGCACGGGGATCTGTCCACTCCGCCGACATGCGCTTTTCTTCCTCCTTCTCGCCCACCCCCCGTTAGCGATGATCCCGTCTCGTCTCTTGACTTCGTCAGCTTTCGTCCATGAACGATCTCCCGGGCCATGACCGTCCTCCGCCCTCTCCATCCGCATCTTCCGCCCCTTCTCCAGAGGCTTGCTCATCAAGTATGTTCAAGCATCTGGAAAAGAAGCTGTATGAGTTCTGGCTGCCCGTCATCAGTAGGTCCTTCTGTTCCCACTCCACAGTCGCTGATCACTAATGTGCTCCCATGCTTGTAGACCGTCATCGTCTCCCAATCTTCCTCCGATCGCGCGCCAACTCACCCGATGGACCACCGCGCCCGCAAACCACCCCCAGGGGCGCATGGCGGCCCATGGCCCTGCGCCCCGTCTTCTTGAGCCTGATCACAACCATCATGTTCGCGATGTTGATTACCCTGGAGGTTCTGCGCCGATACTGTGACCAGTATGGAGGGTTGGTCTTTTTCTCCGACACCGACGATCTCTCCAACATGCAGTCGTTCGCTTACAACTACGTACCTATCATCGCCGCCCTGGCCCTCGTTACCCTCTGGACCTTTATCGATTACGACGTGCTTCGCCTGGAACCCTACTTTCAGATCGCTCGACCCGAGGGGGCGCCCGCTTCCGTCCTCTTCATCAACTACAACTTCGGCCAGTCGTTCCTCACCCCCCTTACGTCGGCCCGACGCCACCATTGGATCGTCTTGCTGGTCTCCGTCACCACCATGCTCGTTCGCATGTTCCTGCCCGCGTTGCAGAGTACTCTCCTCGAACTTCGTGAGATCAATATCCTTGACGATGACGAGATGCAAACCTGGCCCAAGTTGTTGGATCTCGACCATCAAGCGGGGTGGATGTTCTCCCAGGAGAGCAATCCCAACACCACCCTCGCCTCTGTTCTGACGACCAATACTCAACTACGCGATTCTCGTTCCTCAAGCTACGCCGTCGCCCCCGTCGAAATCAGTCTAGAAGATCGTCAAGAAAATACCGTCTGGACTTTAAACGAGACCATCTACTGGGCGCAGCTATCCTGCGGCGATGTTATGATCGACAATCACCTGTCCGTGTCCGTGAACGATAACTCAACCTACCCCCCCGCCGTCTCGTGGAACGTGACCGATGTCAAACTTCCGGACCTAAATGGAACCGATCACGGCTGCATTCTGGACTTTCACTACAAAAATATCTACTTCGATAACACAGACTATCTACAAATTCGGTACTGGGAGCCGGTGTGGCCGAACCGGTCGTACCACTCGCCGGATCTGAGCTCCGCGTTTACCGCTCGTGGTTGCGAGAATCCGTACGACCTCTACGGCATCGTGCTGTCGGTCAATGCCACCGAAGTGGGAGCCTACAGCATCAGCGAAATGGGCTCGGATTTCACCTCCTCGGCCACCATATTCGCCTGCAAGATCGATTATCGCCAGGCAACCGCGCGACTGAGTATGCATGCCAACAGTTCGATCACCAATGTCACCGTCTTCGCCGAGACTGAGACCGCCCTGTCGGACCAGACGTTCAACATCCATGCTTTCCAGGGGCTACTGGCTCAACGTGCACCCTACACGGGGGACATGCTGTTCATCGAGAACAATCAGACGAGCGGCGACACCACCGTGACAGAGCTGCCGGTGATCAGCCAAAACGTGCGCGACTTGGAGCCGCTTCTGGTGTTGGATGCATCGACCATCATGACCCCCGACGAGTTTGAAACGAAAGTCACGCGGGGAGTGATTCAGACCTTTGTGCTCACCTTTGCCCGGCTGTTCAACCCCGACCAAGAACCGACCAGCGTGCCCGCCTTGCGCTTTTCGACCCAGGTCACTATCTCAGTGGTCGCCTTTGCTGCCTGGTGCTCGGAGATCATGCTAGCATTTGGAATCGTTCTCACCGTTTGCCTGATCTATTTCTATCAATCCCGCCCGAATATCCTGCAAAGTGATCCAGGCTCCATTGGCGCCATGTGCAGTATGTTGACGGATGTCTTTGGGCCGACTAATATCTTGGCCGATCCTCAGACGGAATTCCATCAGTTCTCCACACGCCAGCTACGGCAGATTCTCGATAACTGTCGCCTCCAATGGCAGCAGGGTCCGGAAGGTCCCCGGCTTGGAATTGTCACCGCGGATGGTAAGCTTTTTTCTCACTGCCATTTTCCGACACGTTTCTGACTCATGTGCAGGATCACCAGTGACCCTACCTTACCAAACTCGGACACGCGTCGACCCAATGCCTCACTTCCTCGTCGTTCCGATCTTCATCGTCGAATTTCTCTTTTTGGCCGCAATCATCACGACCATGGGCTTGACCGTGGCCTCTCTCGCGCATGACGGCAGTTTTCAACATCTCACGCAGCATGGCTCCAGTTTCCTCCAAGTTGTTCTCTCGTTTCTTCCGTCTGTGGTGGCCTCCTCAGTCGGTGCTCTGTGCAACTCCATCTTACGAAATATCAGCATTCTAGAGCCTTGGGTCCATCTTCAACGCGGCATGGCCACGGCTCAGTCGTCCCTGTCATTGAACTACGGATCTCAGAATCCTTGGGCCGTGTTCCGGAAGGCAGTCCAGGATCGCCATGTCCTATTGGGATTGGTATCTTTCACATGCATTGCCAACGTGGTGTTGACGATCGTCGCTGGTGGTCTCTTTACCCAACAATTGACAGCATCGTCCCTCCCTTCGAAATCACTGTATGCCAACTATAGCCAGTCTCATTTTCGACAGACCGAGTTTGCCGCCGACTTCACCGAGTTCGATCTGATCCAGACCAGCGTGACGAGTGGCGTGCCCTTGTTGTCATGGATGGCGGCAAACTACTCTTTTCTCCCGATCAGGAACACCAGCCCAAATCCAGATGTGTTGTACGGCGCCACCACGCTAGGCATAGGAGCCGAACTCGATTGTGTGCCTCTTAGTGTCAAAGAAAGTATGCGCCAAACCGGCAATACCCAATATTGGGTGTACCATCCCTTCAACAATGCGACTCGAGAGTGTACAGTGAACATGACCGGCCTTGCGCGACCCCACGAAGCTATTGCTCTGTCCATTCACTTCCTCTCGCCCTCGTCACATTCGGATCGGGACCAGTGTCAGGAGTCGACGTTCCTCGTGGTCGGTCGCTGGAACTATACGGCTGGATCAACGTTTACAAGCGATAACACCATAGCTCTGCACTGCGAGCCGAAGGTGCAGATGCAAAATTTCAGCGTTACGTTTGACCAACGCGGTCAGATCTGTGATGTAGACCCTATCCCTCATACGTCGATCACCTCGGGCACTATGTTTGAGAACGCCACCGCGGCCATGGGACAATTCAACAAGATCTTCGCGGCCATTCCGCAGAGCTTCGTGGGGGAGGAGCCGGGCCGCAATGGGTCTTATGTGTCCTCATATGATTGGGCGGGGTTCTTGGTGGCTCGACTTTACAAACAAGATCAGAACCACATTCTGCCTCTGCAGATCCAGCCCTTGATGGAGCATTCGAAGGCGGTGTACCAGTGGGTGTACACGACCTACTTCTCGGTGTGGCGGGATATGTACCTCTTGCCATTGAAAGAGCCCCTGCCCGCCGCCAACGCCACAGTGATTTCCAATACCTGGGCTATGGTGCCGTCTGTCCCGTCGCTGGCTATAGCACTGGTTCTGATTGCGTTGGACACGGTGATGGTGTTAGTCGTCTTTGGTACGCGGCGAGGACGGTTTCGTAGCCCACGCATGCCGCGGTCGATTGGCGCGATTATCCCGTGGATCGCAAACAGTCGCATGCTGGGCGACTTCACTAACACGTATGCGATGTCGAGCTCGCAGCGCCGCGAGCACTCCGTGCGCCTCAACAAACGATATGGATTCCGGACATTCTTGCAGCAGGATGGGCGGTGGCGGTACGCGGTGGATGAGGAGCCACCGGCGATTGACGGTAAACCTCCTGCTGCCGAAGCCCCGGGGCCCGCGGCGCCCCCGGTGGACGAGGCGAAAGGGCCCGAGGTGATTGAGCTGCAGCCGATGGGCGAGCCGGAGACGCCTCCCGCTCGCTCGGAATGATGAATTTACGTGATATGAAATGAAGTTTCAATGATGTAACAGTATTAGCATTTGGATTGGACGGGATGGGACATCATGGGAATTGGGCGACTTGGGATTATAGATGCGGAGTCTGGGACTATTTGTACATATATATATGTTTACATATTGAAATAATGATCATGATTATCGACGAGGACTACAGCTGACAGAAAGGAGTGGCTGACTCTATTTTTTTCAACAGAATGCGTAGTGAATGAGGCGAGGATCGTGAGGTCAAGAGGCTCTGGGAGGGAAAGAAGGACTGCTCTAATTCACCCTGAAGACTGGTTTCCTTTCCTCTGATTTTGATCAATCATTCCTTTCAACCAACAGCTATTTCCAAACCGTTCCAGTCCCGAACCTATCATACAATGTCCCTTGATGAGAGTTCTGTATGTCCATCATTACAAGACAGCCTACTATAAGACCAGAGGAGAATCCAGGATAAGAGACCAGAAAACCGAAGCGATCGAATCTTCTCCTTATCCATACTCGGGATTCTGTCCAAGTAATGGGACCGATTACCCAGCAGGATGAGATTCATTCCATCCCAACAGCGCGTCGTCGTCGAAGCGTACGAAGATCGAATGGATGGAGAGTCACGATGACCGGAACTGTGTCGTCAAGACCGATCATGGATTTTGACAATTCGCACTCCCAACCTCAGGATGGAGAGCTACGAGGGGGAAGACTACCATGGCATCTTACAAGTTTGTTGCTTCGCAAACATGGGGTGAACAACTGTCTATAACCAATGGACGGGCTGACGGTATCGGACTGTTAGGAGGGTGAATCTCGCTGAAGTACCAGCACTCACATCTGTTCCCTGCGTGATTCTCCGGTCTTGATTATGCTTCGAGTTCATCTCCCAAAGAAATCTTGTTTTTCTAGACTGGTGCCCCCCGACTGAATCGCGGATTTGTCCGACCAACTCGCCACTTGCCAGCCACTACAGCCTCAGGCAGTGCTGCAGAATTGCCACGGGTTGTGGCTTTGACTCGACCGTCTTACGTGAGGACAGCCTTGGGTGTGCCTCAACTGAGTCAGACAAGATATCACCAAGCAATGACTCGACCAAGGCGCGAACCTGGAGAACAAACCGAACCCAGCCAGTTCACGAGTTGCCTTGTTCGCACTCTCTCTGCCCGTGGCCCTGGCCAGCCCTGCCGATTGGCCTTGCCGGCACTGCAGTGCATGCAGAGAGGGTGCAGATATCGACAGTCTATCGATGCAGGCTGGCATCATCCTGCGGTGATCCGTCACATCCACGCTTCCTGATTGGGTGGAATCACCAAAGTTGCCAGATGGCATTGCTTCCCGGCGTCAAACACAAGAAAGACTCAAAGTAATAAAGAGTCATCTCGAGGAAGCTGAGGATGGCTGCACAGGCTGAGTGGTTGGCCTTAAACTCATCGCGGGCCAATGGTCAGCCCTGTACAACGTCAGCCGGGCGTGATGCATAAGGCTGCCATGGGAGCCGCTTCTGTCGATGGATGATCAGCCAGTAAACTCAATGAGCCACTCAAACTCTCGGTGAATCCTCGCCGGGCAGCTGAATAGATTGGTCGATGCCAGGAATCGTATCTAACTCGATCCCATCAGGGTTCGGTCCCTCATGCAGCGCGGTGGAACACAGGCTATGTCCCTCTCAGCCACGATGCCAGGCTATTGGCAGGTCGCCCAATTCAGCTGGCATTCGACGGGTTATGCGTCTCTGGGGTAGATATAAGGCGGTCTTCAGCGCAGGCTGTTCCCCCTGGGTTTCATCCAGCCCCCAGCATATAACCAACACAATGACTTACGACCCGCACGACTGCGACCGGCCTCCGGTGCCAAACAAGCCCACCCAAGAGCTGGTGCTCTGCTTCGATGGCACAGGAAATACCTTCCGTGTTGACGGGGGAGAGAGCAACATTCTCAAGATTTTTCGAATGTTGGACCGGAGCAAAGAGAATCGATGTGAGCCGCCACCCACCCCTCCCATCCTTTACTTCGCAGCTAATAAACCTATCCAGACTGTTACTACCAACGTCCGTCTCCTCCCTTCCCATTTCTAGTTCACCCTGGCATTCTAACCATTTTGATATGCAGCCGGCATCGGCACAGACATCACTCCCGGCACCTTCGCCAACCTGGCCATCCGCCCGTTCAGCACCCTCCCAGCCAGCAAAGTGATCGACCAAGCCCTGGCGACTTCCTTCGACCAACACGTCATTGGCGGCTATCGCTTCCTGGCGCGCCGCTGGCGGCCGGGCTCGCACATCTACCTCTTCGGCTTCAGTCGCGGGGCATACACCGCGCGGTTCCTGAACGAGATGCTGGACTTCGTGGGGCTGATCTCGGCGGACAACGAAGAACTGATCCCATTCGTGTGGCAAGCGTTCCTGTCGTGGAAGTACGCGCACGGCGACGCGGAAGCCGCGCAGGCCGACAACTTCCTGCGGCTATGTCGCGACACGATGTGCCGGTCGGTCGGGCTCGTGCACTTTCTGGGGTTATTCGACACGGTCAACAGCGTAGCGGAGTTCAACAAGGACGTGCTCAAGGACATGGAGACGATGCCCCGGCCGCGGTACATGCGCCACGCGGTCAGCATCGACGAGAAGCGCATCAAGTTCCAGCCGGTGCTGTTTGAGCGGTTGCGCGGCGCGCACGCCAAGAAAGGACGAGTGAGTACCTGGGCGGAGCGCGCCGAGCAGCACTTCTGGGGCGTGCCGCTGTCCCCCGTGCTGGATACGGACTTCGAGGAGGTGTACTTTGCGGGTGACCACAGTGATGTCGGCGGCGGGCATCCGCCGCTCGTGGAGGTGGGCGGGGCCGAGATGGGCGCCAGGGGATGGCCGGTCAGCCAGATTCCGCTGATGTGGATGGTGCAGGAGGCGACGCACGTCGGGTTGACCTTTGATCCTGTGCAGTTGCACGAGCTGGGCTGCTACATGGTGCCTGTTCAGACCTCGGTGCCCATTCCGGCTCCTGGTTCCGGTTTGATGGCCGGATCGTCTTCCTCGTCGACGTCGGCCGTGGAAGGACGGCTGCTGGAGGTGGACGGAGAAGAGGTGCAGTTCGATCCGGCTATCGTCGCCATGGCGGAACGCGCGCCCCTGCATGACTCCTTGGAGTATGACTCCGGCAAGGGCATCGAGACGATGTTCTGGCGGCTCTTGGAGTGTTTGCCGATGAAACGACCCAAGGTGAACCGCGATGGCTCGGTGAAACAAACACGGTGGCATGTCGGGGGTCTGCGCAGACCGTTGCCCGACGGGGCGCGCATCCATGCCAGTGTCATTCATCGACTGCAGCAGGACCCCGAGTACCGGCCGTATAACCTGGGACTGGGCCATAAGCGTCTGGCTACCGACAAGGTGGAGAGGCGGGATATCGGACAGTGGCGGAGGGTGCAGCATGGGGGCCTATGCGATTATTATATCCGTGTGCCAGGCACGGCGAGCAGTGCCGGGGCGGGGGGATCGCGGTGCGCGTCAAGGAAGAGCACGGCATAGTGGGATGTCTGTATATTAGTGTTGTTGTTTATAGATTTTGTTTGTGTCTGTTCGGAGCTTGCTCGCACATACTCGCGTCGTATAGAAGATGCTACTGCAACCAACCCTGCAAGAAAGTGACTTAATTCATTACGTATAAATTATCTCAACCACATATCCCTCTTCCACCCCCTTCACTCCTGATCCCCATGTTCTCGACCAACTTCACTTTAAAAGATCTTATACCCACCCGGCATCAGCGTCTGAAAGACCCCTTCAGGATCATACGCACTCGCCACCTCCTGGAGTCTCTCAACATTCGCACTGCCATAGCCCCCATAAATTTCCTGGAACCAGGCAGCATCACCCATGTAGTTGAACGGATCATACAACCCAGCAGCAGCAGTAGCATTGTTGATCAAATCCGTCGTCTCAACGACCCAAGCACCGACGACCTCGTCGTACGCGCTGCCGATCCACTCGACCACTTCCGCGTAGCACAAGTAGATCTCCGAGGCGTCCAGCCCCAGGGCGTTTCCGCCCCGTTTGTTCGACGCGTTGATCCAGTTCGCTCCGATCGGTTGCCAGTCTAGCTCGATGATCGAGATGTCGGAGGCAGGGATCTGCGCGTAGAGCTTGGGCAGTTGTGCGGCGAAGGTCGCGTTGATGATGTTTACGCCCTTGAGAAGGTCGTCGTAGGTGGTGGCTTTGATGGTGCCCGCTACGAAGATGTCGCTTTTGATTTGTTAGTATTTTTGTGGGGGCAGAGGAAAGGGAGGCAGGCTCACTTGATATGATCCGTCACCACGGCGCCCATCTCCTTGGACATCTCGGCCAGCGTCTTGAAGCCCATCGTCTGCGACACAGCAGGGATATCCGTGAAGGGCTTGAACGCCTCCGGATAGCTCTCATCGGGGCTGTCGTAGAAAAGAATCACCGAGGCCACCGTCAAGTCCTGGGCGGGCACGACGGCGGGCACGATGTGCGTCTTGGGGTCGGTGTTGTTGGCTGCGAAGGCGGCAGTCGCCTATTGTGCCCAGTTAGCGCTAGTCTCAGACAGAGGATAAAAAGGGAACGTACAGCCAGGAAATCCTCAATGTACTCCTCAGCCACGGTCCAGGTACCGGCCCACACCTTGGTGGACGGGAGAGTCTCGATGTCAAAGCGCGTCACCAGTCCGAAGTTGCTGCTGCCGCCCTTCAGCGCCCAGAACAGGTCCGCGTGCGACGTCGCGTTGGCCTCGACCACCGTGCCGTTGGCCAGCACCACCTCGTAGTTGACCACCGAGTCGCACGAGAAGCCCACCTGGTTGCCGTAGTAGCTGATGCCGCCGGCCAAAAGCAGGCCGGGCACGCCCACGGGACCCAGACGCCCGCCCGGCACCGCCAGCTCGTACGGCTCCAGGAAGTCGTACACTTGTTGCCAGCTGCCATCCATCAGTACAAGTCTCTCTTGAACAGTAAAGCGTGTGAAAACTCACCGGAATCCAGGACCAAGATGCAAGATCGAGTGGTCGCTCGACAGCTCCAGCGTCGTCAGGTTAGACATGACGATCAGCACGCCGTTGTCGATGTTGTTCGAGCCCTATCCCCACTATCGTCAGCCGTGATTGAACCTCATAGAAAGAAGGACGAGAACCCACGCGGATGCCCATGTGTCCACCGCCGCGCACAGCGAACTCCGCCTGCGCCGCCACCAGCTTCTCGATGCCGCGCGCCAGCTGCGCGGAAGACTGCGGCCGGAACACGCACCCAGGCGACATCAGCTCCGTGTTGGACCAGAACTGCTGCGCCTCGTACTCATACACCGAGGTGTTCGGCAGGAACACCTGGTCCAGCGCGCCCTGCAGCACGTTGCAGCCCTTGGTCGCTGCTGCGCTGGCGCTGGCTAGGCCGGCTAGCGGCAGGAGGGTGTTTACGCGCATGATGCTTTCACACACACACAGAAAAATGAGGAAGAAAGGGAAAAGAAAATGACCCAGGAAGCTCACAAATGGGATGAGAAGGAAAACAAGACAGAAAGGTGGCCGAGGGGCGCGGTTTAATAGCCCATGCGAAGCTCATCTGATCAGGCCGGACCACACACACGGCCCTCATGCAACTCAGGCTCTCCATGGAAGAGTTGCGAGAAAGTGGAGGTCTTGAATCAGGTGTGCCTGATCGGACTGCGTGGAGTGGAGTGCAGCGGTGCGACGATGTGCCTGCGCTTCACTGCGCTGCCTTGGACATTAAGTCGGTCTTCACTCTTCAGAGCAGGAACTGCCCCGAAAACGTTCTAGTCCAGTAGCTAGAAGCCTGCTAGTTTGTCGCTAGACTTCGATGGCGTGCTGAGTCAAGATCAAAAAGGATTAGAGGCTGCATTTGGGGTGGAGCTCAACCGCGGTGGCGCAGGAATAGCCGAGGGTCAACATTCCACGTGGGCGCGATGGAACGATTGCGAACCAACGGTTTTTTCTCTGCAGATGACCGATTGGCTTAACGCCATTTCATCGTACTTCGATGTACGGTACAAAATCTTATCCACGGGGATTCTGCACGATTCGGAACCCATTTCCTCTCTGACTATCTCGTCTCCCTCCCGGCTCAAGTCCCGAATCCGGCGGCGGCCGGCAGAGAGTCCTAACATCACACGTCCCACTTCATCCCCCTTCTTGCCCGCTTGTCTCGCGTAGACAAGCTGTTCATTCCAGCCTGTCAGTTCCTTCGTATCTCATCTCCGACGAAGACGAAGCAATTACAGAGCACTGGCCAGAGCGGCTCCACCCCTGCCAACGGTCCGGAACAACGAACACACCCCCTAGGCAGCAAGCACAGCACGGATGAGCATTGCACCATATGACAGCTCCACATCTTGAGGACTGGACGAAAGAAGTAGTTAATTAATGGTATTATGTACACACTCCCCCACTTCCTCCTATCGTAGGTTGGGATTACTATCCACATTGAACTCCACCGTCCGAATGATGCCCTCCGTACTGCCCTTGCTGCGGTGCGACGCCCCGGTCTCGGGCAGGATGTGCTCCTCGCTGTCGTCGTCTGTGCCGCCGTGCAGCCGCGTCGTGTAGTGGTTGCTGGCGGTCGCGAACTCGGGCGCCTCGCGCGGGATCGATCCCAGCGGTAGGCCGTACTTGCGTGATGCCGACTCGTGGTAGCCTCCGCTGTGCGTCGAGAGTCCGAGCAGGCGTGGGAAGTAGCGCCGCACAAACGGCCGCATCGCGGTCGTGCACCCGCCGATGATCCCTAGGTTCAGCTCGATCGTGCACCACATCAGTGCGTTCGTCGTCGTCCCTGTCAGTGTCTGTTAGCGGGGATCTGGCCACCTTGAGGTTGTCGGGTAGCGTACAGGTGAGATCCGTGCTCTCGAGCAGCGTATAGAGACTGGAAAGGCGGATGCAGCTGATGACTCCGACACTGTGCTGGTCAGCATGATCATGATGCAAACTGGGGCTGCGAATCTCACATGCAACCCATCGCCAGCATCACGCCCACCGCGATCTTCTGTCGCACCGGCATCTGCAATTTACGTAACCACGGACTATCACCAGTCAGTCCCCGCCTTTACTTTCTTTACTTGAAAGGGAACAAACATCGGGACCAAAGTAGTCATAAAGTCGGTGAAGATGCCCAGACCCGCGTTCGCGAAGTAGAACACCGGCCGGTTCATGCACGACGCATGGGTGATGGAGTAGTCCCACGACGCGGCCACGGGGTTGCAGCTGAAGATGTTTGCCAACACACTCGCCACGTTGTACCCGACCGCGACGAAGATGACCGACCAGACGGCGTAGTGGAAGCTGCGGCTGGGGAAGATGCGCAGGTAGAAGATCAGCACCGAGACTTTCGTGAAACCGGTTCCGGCGCAGTAGATGATGGCGGCGACAACGTTCAGCTGCGTTTGTTAGATTTGGGGATTCGTTTGAGCAAAGTGTGTAGAGCTGTACCTTGAGGAACCACGGGGTGAGAGAGCTGTAGGGCACATCCCACATGTGTTTACCCAGACCCCAGTTGAGCACTGCTCTGTTAGTTTGCTGGCGTGGTGGTTGGGCATGGATCGCTTACTGTCGAGTGTCACGCCGGAGAGGATGCATGATAGGACCTGTTGGTCAGTCGGGATTCTTTGGATAGTATGCGATAACTTACTACCGCAATTATCATCAAGTCTATTTTGTGTTAGCATGATTGGTATATCGGGAGTGATGATCGGGAAACGTACAATCATCGTACGATACACTGCGCACGAGATACACCCGTGTCCACATGCGCACGACCAGTGCGATGACTGCCAAAGGCAAGAACACGCAGTTCACGACCAGGAACTTCATGCCGCACGACGGGGGGTCGATGAAGTTGGAGACCATCCCGGCCGGCGGCGCCATGGCCGGCATGATGGAGGAGCTGTTGATCATGGTGACCTACTCGGCATGGTCTGTGGTTCCTCCTGGAAAAGAGCGGAATGGCGAGAAAGGAAAAGAAAAGAGAGACAAAGAGAATGAACCGATCTGGGGAAGGGAAAGAAAAAAAGCACAGACTGTTGTCGGGAATATAAGGTGACAGGGCACCAGCGGAGACTGAGAGAGCAAGCACAGCAGCAACAGCAGCAACAGCAGCAACAACAACAACAACAACAAGAACCAGCAATGGGCACCTACACTCTTGGGTCCGTCTATCATATACTTTCACCCACTGCTACACCCATCTTTCTTTAGAATATGGCGATACACAAGAGTGACCCTCACCTACTACTCTACTGGGACCACGCGCTACGTTAAAAGCTCGGCACTAAGAAAAGTGGCGAACTCAATTTGTTCGCTAGTTTGGATTCTGTGCAGCAGACTCACGTTTATTCTCTCTTGAACTTGTCTATCCGAAGCAGGGACAAGACGAGACTAGTCCGACTAGTGCTGGCCATCATGCAGGCTTATGGCCCAGCTGAGCCGAGAAAAGTCCAATTTTCAGACTTTCAATGCGAGAGGATCCCTCTGGCTACGATCTAAGGATATTCCCACCTGTCGTCTTGTTCGGTTGTTCCATGACCACATTCACCTCCTCGAAGATCGTGACGATCACAGCTTGTTCTTCACTTTTCTGGGGGAAACAGACGTCTGTCATCGACGGATCAGGGTGGGAAGTCGGCCACCCAGCCCAAGAAAGATGTGATCAGGGAGGAATGGATATACCCCTCCCCTCCCGGCGAGGCCCGAATTGATGGAACCGAGGGCAAAGTAGAAACGCTGAGCGGGCACACGAGGGCTCCACCCGGCAATATTATCCTCCTTTGCCTAGTCTCACGCGGTGTACAATCGCAGCGCCAGCAAGCGCAGAGTGAGTGCATCGCTACATTCCTGCAGTATCTACTATCTAGTGCTTGTAGTCCAGCACCACTGCGGTGGGTCGCTGTGCGCGCAACTAGCAGGAAATCCAGTCGGAAACTCAGCTACCGAAGGAAGAATATGGTTAAGGTGAATCATGAACATCTACCTTCTAAATCGTTCTGGTCAGGAGAAGAGATTCCTGCGAGGGAATAAGCTTTAAGGCGCGGCCCCTGAGGAGATTCCTGATTGAGTGCTGAGAGGCAATTAATTGTGGTCAGCTATCTATATCTATCTAAGTGGAATAATAATACGAAGAAGGATGAGCTGACCCAAGGAACCGGTAACGGGAGGGAAATTGCGGCCGGAAGACTGGGACAGCACTTGTTGTTGCTCTTCTTCACTTGATGTTGTGCCGAGCGTGTAAAAAAACCGGGCGGGACCAACTAGCGAGCCAAACTAGTTTAGGGATAGCCTCGGTCTGGCCCTAACCTGCCTCCAGCCAGCTCTTTTCCCGTCGCCTGTGAACAGAAAGAACAGGAAATAAAAAAAGCAACAGAACGGGAAATTGAACCGTTTGCCATGTGGTGAAGGATCTAGCACGCTCTGTTCTCGGAATTGACAGGGGATCAATGCAGGTCGTGCTCCTACAGTCGATCTAATCTGTGTTCCTGTCAATTCTCGAAGCTCGCAACATGAACACGTAAACAAAGTTCCGCTCATCCAAGGCTCGTTCGTGTTAAAAACTTTAATTGTTACCGAAGATCCATTCGCAAAGACCATTTCTCACAGAATAGGAGAACTCGACCACCCAGCAACCCGCCATCCGGCCACCTATCCATGGACGACCGTATGTCATGTACCTGTCTGCCAGCGGTGCCTTGCCTCACGCAACCGGCTTCCATGCGATTCTGGTCCTGCCCCTCCGCTCGGACCTCTCTGAGCACCCAGTCGTAGAAAAGGAAGCAAAACGGAAAACGCAAGCGAGCGACCCAGTTGTGGCGTGGCGGTCCTGAACCCAGCTTCGGAAATCGGACCGGAAACTCTCTAAGCGAGCTGTGAGACAAAACCACGCCCTCAAGAGTCAAGACCAGACTATCCATCCAGCAGAAAAAGCAAATCAAGAAAAATTCCCTCTTCCCCAATCCTACATAGCAAGGGCATAATGATAATCGACCGCACAAAGGTGCACACCGCGACCGTAGAAAAGGGACTGAACACCACTCCCATAACACCACTTCTAGCTATGTACAGTACTTACAGTAACTACAAACAAGAACAACATATCAATCTCCCCGATTAGGCCCATACCTCCTCGTCACAGCCCGTAACCTCATCCCAAAGAAGAACAAGGGCACCGCCAAGAGCAAACTAGCGGCCTCGATCGCCGTCATCTCGCCGAACACGACCGCCACGCCCTGGCGCGCGATCCAGTCGCTGGCGTACAGCGAGAGCAGCATGCCAATCGTGTTGCGGATGACAAAGATGATCACCAAGGCTTCGCCTGCGATCTGCACCGTAGCTCGTGTTTTTTGATTAGCATCGGCAGTATTATACGAGGGTTAGTTTATCAAGAGGGAGGGAGACTGGGTGGTGGATGTGCGAGATTGGGGTTTGAGTGAGGGCATAGGGATTTATAAACGGAGCACTGCTCCCCAGAACCATGAGGCACACAACCAGAACAACAACGGACAACGGATTCTACAACGCGAACAAGCATCAAAACCGCACTCACCCGGTGATAACAATCCAATGCATATGTCACCGCCACGTTCGAAATCGCCGCCACGCCGAACGCCTGCATCGCGTATCCCACCGCCACGCCCATCCAGTGCGTGCGGTGGGCGATGCACAACCCGAAAATCAAAATCCCGACTGGTCCGACTAGGCCTGGCACAATCAACGCCGGGAGACGATACTCGGGCTGGCGCTCGCCGCCCCGTCGACGGGTGTATCGCGTGGAGATCTGGTCGATGAGTCGGCCGCCGACATAGAATGCCAGGAGGGACCCGATGAATCCAGCTAGGGAGAGAAGGCCGATGTCGCCTGCGGGCCAGTTGTAAGGGGAGGAGGTGAAGGTGTGAGATGCGGTGAGTTGCACGACGATGTTCCTGTTTGATCATGATGTGTGTTAGCTAGGGAGAACTTGACAACGGGGAAACGGAAGGCTTACCAGCCTACTGAGACGCCGATCGTGAACGCACACCAAAGGAGTTGCGGGTATGCGGCTGCGGATAGGATCGCTTTGACGGTACGCAGGAAGGATGCATCCGGGTTGTACCCATGTCTCAAGGAGAGTGTGCTCCAATATGAGGCCTCGGACTTCCGATGGGCTGCATTTTGACGGGCGGGCAGATACGTGGTTTCGCGGATCGTGACAACGCCCACCAGCCAGACGACACCGGACGCGATGGCCAGAAACCAACACATCCAGCGCCAGCCGGCATCTTGCACAATATAAGCGTTGATCAACGGCCCCACGAACAAACCCGAGGTCAAGGCCAGATGAAAGATCATCAACCAGTGGCCGCGACCCTCCGGAAGCACCATGTCAGCGACCACAGCCGGGACTGTCGCATCGGCGGCTGCAGCGGCAAGTCCGGACATGATCCGGGCGCCCAGCAACTCCGAGTACCCTGTTGCTTTGGCTGACCAGACGTTCATCATCGAGAGGCAGAGCAGGGCGGCTAAATATACTGGACGCTTGCCGAAAACGCGCATGAGCGGTACCCATGCGAGGTTTCCCAGGCCAAAGAAGAAGACATTCAACGACACTAGGTGGCCTGCGTCCGTGGAGGAAACGTGGAACTCGCTGACGATGGCTTTCGTGGCGACGGTGAAGTTGCTGCTGTTGACGTTGGCGAGGAAGGTGAAGCAGCAGATGGTCATGTAGGTCGTGATCTTTGTAGCCAGCGGCCAGTTCTATCGCGTCACAGGTGAGTCTGGGTCTATGTATTTCGCGCGGTCAATGCGTACCTTGGGATTGTGAAGATCCATAGGGGGGCCGGCACCTTTACCTTCGTAGACATCCTCCGGACCCTGTTCATCGGCATAGTCAATGTGGTTGGATGTGCCCTTGTCGTCGTCCATGATGGTAGCGGTGACGGATAGAGGCAGGAAGAACGAGAGCGAGAAAGACGGTCTGTCGTCCTGCGGGTCATCCGCGTCATATAGGACAAGCTTTAATGAAATGCCAAGATGTGTCGGATATTCCGAGTGGCCACCATACAATCTGGGTGCAATTACTCGAGGCGATCCGACCGATCGGCATTCTACCCCGCACGGCTGGGATCAGGCTGGGGAAAAGCCGGGGAAGTCCAGGATGATTGCATGCGTTCGCAATGGTGAGAGTTGGCATTGGGTCTAGCCTCGGAGTCTCCGGGCAGGGGTATTCCGGATCTCGCCCCTGACCAGCACTGAGTTAACTCGAAGAGTTGATCGGTCTGACTGCGTGTTGGCCAGCTGGACTTCGTAGCTGATGGACTGTTGAGAGACTCGTCTGATTTAGCCGGCTTGGTCGCTCAGTGATGCATGGGTTGTGGGAGAAATGCTGGAAATAACTGCTGTCTGGCTGTCACTTCACCAGCTTTATCCAAGAACCCCAAAACAGACGAGTACATTGAGAATAAGGTGGCTGTACCCTCCAGCAGTTTGATTAACCTGGCAGCTGAAAATATTCCAAGACAAGCCCGAGAAAAAGGAGTGTTGTATTCATATATAAAGGAGTGTCCCAAGAAGAAAATAGCACCCGCGGTAGATAAGGAACAGCACCAGGCTATCCAATCCACCCGCATCATACATATCCAGACCCAAAGCCACACATAACCGTTTCAGACCCATAGCCAAGCCAGGCTCATAATCCATCCTCATACTACGACTGTCCGACCCAAAATCTAGGAAGAGCCAACAGCGCTAACCAAGAACTGCGCGGCCTCCTTAGCATTGCTTCCATAAGACAAGTGAGCCATGACATTGGCGCCGTTCTCGCAGACCGGGTCGCCGAGAGCGCAGAACTCCTTGACCTTGCTGGAGGAGAGCTTGCCGACGGACTGCATCTTGAGCGGGTCACCGAACAGGACGGCAGCCTGGATCTGACCGGCGCTCAACTGGCTGGCCGCGTTGTGCACCACCATCGCACCCTGCGAGTATCCGCCCAGCACGACCTTGGTGTTGGGGCACTCGCTCAGAGCCTGCTTAACCAGCGTGGCCATCTTTGAGCCACCCGCGGTGCCGAGGGCCATGTTACCCTGTTACGATCAGTCAGTATTGTCATACCAGATGATAGATGAGGAGACAAAGAGAATCTTACAGCCCAGTCGGCGGGGTAGTCCACACCCTGCACGGTCACCTTGTTACCGGTCAGGGACTGCAGGTTCGAGGCAACCTCGGGTCCGACCACGCTGCCCATGTTGCCCATCTCCGAGGTTCCACGCGCGAAGATGAAGGTCATCTCTTTGCAGCCGCTGTTGGAAGTGACACCGTTGGAGGTGGTAGAGCCTGATAAGAGTCAGCGTGATGTGCTAAAAGGGAGTGGAAAGAGACATAGAGGGGAACCTACCGCCCATAAAGCTGCCGATCATACCGCCCATTCCATCGCTGTTGCCGGAGGAACTGGTGGTGCCAGTGCTGCCACTGCTGCTGGGAAACAACGAGCTCAGCGCGCTCAGACCACTGGCGCTGCCACTGGTGTCGGTGCTACCGCTGGCGGTCGAACCACTGCTAGGGAACAGCGAGGCCAACCCACTCAGACCACTAGATTCAGAAGAGGTGCTGGACCCGGAGCTGGACCCCGACAGCAGAGATGAAAGGTCGAATTGACGCCCGTGGAGGGTCGGGGTCGGAGCAGCCAGCGCAGTGGCAAGGAGAGAAAGAGTAACGAAGGACTTCATGATGATCGATTGACAACGAACGATGGTGAGATTTCAAAAGAGGGGGATAGAGCACAGCTCTGTAAAACGACCGAATAAAGAGAGAGAGAATGTGCGCTGCACTGGCTGGGCTGGATGGCTGAGTTGGACTGGACTGGACTGGTTGAGTCTGGTGAGAATCGTTCCAGTCTTATACTTCGAATAATCCCCAAATTTGAGACCCTTCGCAAGTCAGATGAGCTGGAGACCCGCGATCGGATCGGGCGTGTTTCACCTTCACCGAGGCTGTTCGAAAAGCTCAGGTCCCATCATTCAGCCATGGCTCAATCACCCTGGGCTGAGATTGCCCATTCGATATATCGCAATCCACAGTTATCCGCAAATGTCTCATCCTGCGACGTCGCGGGCGAACCGTTATGTGTCGGGTAGCAGCCAGACCGGTAGGGTGGCTGCTGCCAGTCGGTGCGCTCGGATGCCACCAGCAGACCCCTTCGCAGACTAGACCAGGGTCTGTCTCCAATAAATGAACGATCTCCCTTCCCCTTCCCCCTGGGGCGATGATCGTGTTCCTGGACAGATTCCTCTCCGGCTTTTCTAAGGTTCTTTAGGGACCTTAGGGCTTCCCGCTATTGCCCAATTTTTGAGGCCTCTTTCCCCGATCCGGCAATCGGCCCGCGCCGGCTGAACCTTGAAGCCGCACTAAGATCAATCTATTCCCATGGGGCATTCGAGTTGAGATCCTATCTTCGCCGAAACTTCGGCCATGCTGTCATGTGTAGGCTGTAAAATTCTGTCTGTTTCAGGCTGTCAGCCCTTCCGTCCTAAACCATGGATTTCCAGCAGCTGTGCCTGAAGCATCGCAAGGTAAACAAGGGCCAGACCATGGTGGACCGCAAGATTCCTGGGGCAAAGGAGATTGATACGGTGGAAAAGGCATGGCTTCTTGGCTCCAGCTCTCCGAGCACGGGAGAGAATCTACATCGTTCCCCCTGAAACTCGTCTCTGGTTCGATTCCGGTCATCAGTCCATGGAGCGGGACAGGATTCCACGACATTGACGTCAAGACCGATCTTACCATCTTTGGTGGCTATTCTCAGTTACCTCAAGAACGACAGTCGAGTTTATTCATTCTCCCCAGCAGACTTGGGGGACGATGAGGGGATTGACACAAATTGTGTGCAGTCTTCTCTACCTATCTCACGTTGGTCAATCCATTCAGGGTTCAAGGCACCAGCCAGCTCCGAGTGGGTCTGAGACCATGCCCCTCAGCCAGAGCAGATCATCTGAAACAAGCAGTCAAGGTTCAACTGTCAAAGTCAGCCCACTTTCTCGCTCTTCCGTGTATCCAAACGCCGAGGTGATAAATTAAATCTTAGTAACAAACCCACTACGAAAGAATTTTCGAGGCGGTGATGGGTTTCAGATCTAGGCCCGCAACGGGAATGGGCAATCAGATTGAGGTCACGTTGGTACAGTGTTGAAGTCCAGACTTGGCCGCTCGCAGAACCTGATCCCTTTGTTGGCTGATGGCCGAAGAAAGTACGTACTATTGTGGGGAGGACTTGTCCGTCAGCGACCTGCAATCGTTGAAGAGATAGACCTCTCAACGATGTGTCCTTTTCAATACTGACTCTTCGCGCGTTGAGGGAAACGATGGAGCCCATACCAGCCTATATTCCAGATCGTGTATGAATACAAGCCTAGCATAGGTGTAGGTTAGATTGGTCATACTTAGAGATAATGGATGGCTGCCAGAACTAGTGACGGGCAGTGGCATCCTCATCCCATGGTTGAGTGACTGAGATCCTCTGCAGCTGAACAATCCAGCTAACTCATGCCGAAAGAGCAAAGCATACTGCATTTTCCGAAAACTTTACTTCAATAGCCTTCATGTTTCAGGATATGTAACGGGCGTCATAAATGGGGAAGGATAACCAAAAGTGGAGACAACGGCGGGAGTGGATAATTCGGACGACTGGACAATGATTAGCGAAAGAGGCCCGGCCGACTTCCAACACTTTGAAGATTAGAGTCAATCGATTCGACATTGATCTGGCTAGTAAATCTGTAACGCCTAAATTATGCAGGAGGGCTTATATACCCTCACTTGTGCAATACTTTAGTCATGGATGACACAATGTCTGCAAATTACTGAGCATGAATACACATAAACACATGGCTTCAGCTAAAACATATATTCCAAATAGGGCAGATACACTCCGGTCTCTCAGCCACCTACCATCCACACGACTATCGAAAGACCCATATTGAACAGCAGATGAAAGGGAAGAGCCCAGAGTATCGTATATACACAAAAGGTTTAGGCGCCATGATTGTCGATATGATTGCCCCTTTCCTAAGTAGATAGAATGCTGTCATGGTGCAAAGAAGGCTGGAAGCCACGAAGACAGTTCGGAGAGCCATGTGCTCGAGGAAGCAGATGTTAGATCTCACTTTGAGCTGTATATCAGACTTAACAGCCACAGATAGCAATCGCAACCCATCGCAACTCCACCGAATGGGACCGGCATAGTTGCTGCAAAATGTGTGCACAGGACTGAGAGGCCAGTGGTGGGCTTGCAACCCCTTAAATCCCTCTGTCAACTTGAACGTAGAGATGGTGTTGGAATCACCGAATGCATAAAATGCGCTTCGACCAAGAAGAGTAAGGGAGAGGCAAGTTTGTAGTGCATTCGTGGTGCGTGAGCGCGATACTGTGACAGGTCAGTACAATATCCGCTGGTGTTGGCGTATCTGCAGTTACGCATAACTTTCGCTCTTTTTGGTGTGGCACTTCGAGTTGGAAAGGTGTCCCGCGTCGTTGTCGGGCTATGATGCCGTTGATGGATTGTTCCATAAGCCGAGGCATTGTTTTGTATCTCTGCGGGAGTCGGAGGTGCCCTCTTCATTGAGCTACTTTATGAATTGGTACTGAATAGGGCAAGTATAACAAACTTCGTAAGGTTTTGATGGTTTACTGCCTAATTGCAGAACACAGCGCGTAGCCGCAGACACGCATCAAATTGAGAGGAAAACCATCATTGCAGGGTTCTCTTTTCCAGTTGCTCACGCTGTTACTCTGCTGAATTAGAAATTAGATGTGGTGATTCTTGCCGCCGACAAGGCGCATTCTGCTTCCCCTTCCTTGAAAATTTCATTTGTCGTCAGGCGGTACAGCCTTGTGTATCATGAGTTATATTATACATAGACGTGGGGAATAGGCGCAAGGGGTGCGGGTGACCTTGTTATTGATATGGTCAGCATCTATCGGGCCCTTCAAACTCGCTCCAATCCTAATTTATGTTGCTTCGCTGCGTGCTGCGAGGCTCAACTATTGGGCATCTGACATCGCAAGCTGGCAGATGTCTGGGATTGAGTGGTATCCAAGGGAGCAAGATTGTAGAATCTGACCATCATTTGCGACACTCCGATATCGCGACCCAGTTGTTTGATGACGAGATAGAAACTATGAAAGTTCGAATTGAGAGGGCTAGAACGAGCGTCTGTATGCACCAACGGAGCCAATCCTGAGCCCTAGTTGCAGAAGGTGAAGAAGTCTTTCTGCGGGGAAATCAAGCAGTCTGAAACAAATACGAGATAATTCTCTAGCAATAAGCTATGGAATCCGTTAGGATTGGCTGCTCCAAGGACTCGGTCACCTACACCTGGCCCTCCAATTACGGCGGTATGCTTGGCAATTGCCCACCATTGACTACCTAGCACGTACTGATGTTTGGGAACAGATGTCTACAATCACAGCGACGGTTTCCTGTGTGATTCTGGGGGTAATTCGGGTTTCTACCGAACCACCCTCAGCAGGAGTGCTAATTGCGGGCTCCAGGCTACCAGATCTCCGGCGGTGCTTGTGTCTGCGCCTAAGTTATGGCTGTATAGTGTGGGCGTGGGACTGTGATGGGTCTGTTGAAAAGAGCCTGGAGCATGGATCTCAGAAATGTGTGTGTATTATTCACATTGAAAAGATCTTTGCACGGCACCTTAGCCGTATCCACAAGGTTGATGATAGTAGTAGGTTTGAGTCGTAACTGGGCCGCCAATAAATCAGCTATGCAATGCATAATGGAACTGAAGCTCATACCGAAATCATCTTTCGCGCTCTCCACTATGTCCTCCTACCTCATCAACCTTTATAGTGCGATATATGCAATTAGTGAAGTTGTGGAGGCATACTGACTACATATTGCACCTGGAGAGGATTCTCGCGCCTGGCTGCCGTGATTGAAGTCGATGATAGTGGTACGGCTGGTATACACAACACTCCGCATAATTAGGACCCATAGGCTAAAAATGTGCAAAAGTCCCACCGTGCCTCTTCCGCTATCAAGTAAAGGAGATTATCCACTTCTTAAATGACGGTGGACAACACATCAGTTGCCTGCACAGCTGCAGAGTCACAGAAGATGGCGGGACTAGGATCAATATCGGCGTGCTTGGCTCCGAAATCGCTGTCAATGTCCTCTGGATCGTTAAGTGCATATACTGGGGGAAAATGTTCGTCACAAGACTGCAATGGTCAAGTACAGCATATGCCACGGAACTTGGCCCACGACTCTATCGGACCGTAATACTGACATGTCTTATACCCACCGTCGTATGGGAACTATTAGCGGTCGCATGGGGGACCCGTTGATTCTAAGCTTGTCAGTTAAGTAGCCGCCCTCATGCTGAAAAAGTAACACTGTTCTAGCCTGTCTCCCAGCCCGGAGATATATCTAAGTATTCTGAGAGACCAAGATCCCTGTGGAGAGAAAGTCTAGCCAGTGAGAAGAACAGGAAGAGCAGAGCAGTAGCAACCAAGATTCTGTGTTAGGGCTGGCCATAGTAGTCCTTTCAAGGACTATGTGTGTGGCTTATGGTCAAATAGTGCTGAAGGCGTGCCTGGCTGCCGTGATTGAAGGCATAGCTACATGGAAGGAATTATCCAGCCAATTACGGGGCTCAGGGCCTTTCTCAATGGAATTTGAAGTTCGTTCCCAGTCTTGGCCAATGAGGATCAGGTGACCTACTTTTTCTGCCAGGCGGCTTGTTCATACCGCTTTCCCTGCTGTCTGTCATGCTCGGGCACGTGCTAGAGATATATTGCCGGTTTCTACCGCTCTGGCTGGAGTGGGGGACGTGGGAAAGAAGCGCCAGCCCTCCAGCTGCAAACCCAGGTTCACATTATACGTCTGGTTCAGGATATCGACTGCTTGCTGCTGTCTGATCGGCCAATGCTGGCTTTAAACACTTAGTACGGCATAGGCTAATTGCTTCCAATGGTGACAAAAATTCGTGGTTATGTGCTGAAGGAAAAGGGAGGTTGCAACGGCTAGTCTCAGATTCTCCTCTTTCGAAGGCATCGATCGTTGTCTACAAGCTACCGAGTACCCTCGGATACATTTACCCTTTTTTTTTTTTTTTGCGACACCAGCTGTGCGAAAGGAATCATCAGCTAGCAAGCTCTCAGCCCTACATGGGATACTATCGACCATGGCTGAAGGGAGAGGAGCTGACCGGGCAAGGGTCCTAGCATTAGCCCAGCGCATGGTGCGGTACGATTGGTATACAGCGATCCAGCAAGTCAGCAGCGCCTTTTGGCGACTCATTGAGGTGTAAGACTTTCAGTCAGCCTTGGTGTAAGATGTAACAGGGGGGTGTGCATGGCCAGGGGTCAGAAAGCAAACCAACATGTCGGTCGTTATACCCCACTAGCAGCACATCCGGCCTCGTCCGGGCTCGAGCCCTCGCCCGCCACTGGGCCGCAAGACATCGCAATCGGCTTAGATTTCCACTTCACCGAGTGCGTCACGCTTGTCTAACCTCCCTAGCCTGGGCGGAAAGAACTCTTCACAAACATGATAATCAGAGAAGCGGACAGATTTACTCTCGATAACCTTTGATGGCCAAAGTCTAGGCTCAAATCCCATTTGTTCGAGACCTCACCACTTCACTTCTGACATCCCAGCATGGTCCAACTTGCGGCTTACAAGCATTAGAGGGTGCCTGAGAGCTGGGAAGTAAGGCCCCTGTACTCATGATTCAAGTTGGTCAGACTGATTGGTTCGTTTTCGGCCATGCCGCCCGTGATTTGTGTCCAGCAACTAAAGACATGATAGCCGATTGATTGTAGTTAGACTTCAGCTCGTGTATGGCGCTACCTCAGAATAGTAGCTCGTCTTGTATATCGTCAGCCAACCACTAAATGAGTGCCGGCGATATGAGCCTGAGCTGCAGAAATGCAAGCCACCACGAAGCGACAGGTCCGTTACCCCGTGGTCGGCTTCGCCGTGTAAGGCTTCAAATGCCTATATAGTGCCGGTCAGTGCCCTCTCTTAAGAGCTGGCAGAAGGAAATCATAAAGAGGGCGCGACTTACATTATTGTTTGATACCATCTCTTTGTATCGGCACAATGACTCCTCAACCACTGCGACCTATTTCTTATCGAAATGACCCTTTGCGCAGAGTCAATGACGCTGCGCCAAAGTGCATCGAGTATGATTTTCTTTCCGCCGGCAGCACCGAGGAAGGCCGCCTGAGATCAAACTCTATTACACTCGATCCGATCGCCTTGAATCTTCCTTGGAGAAGCTGTTTCCCGGCAGCTCGACAGTGCAGGTTCTGGAGCGAGGCAGAGAATGCTGGAAAAGCGCTGTTGTGCCAAATTAAGCAAACCAAATCTGCAATAGGCGCTAAAAAAGGCTTGTCCGACAGCGATGCACAAAGGGCAGAGGTGGAATTATCGAGTAAGGAGTTGGAGCGGATCGTGAATGCGTCAAGTGCGGCTGTATACATGAATCCCAACTGCACCGTCGAGGAGATTGAGATCATCTCGCAGCTCAACTTAATACTATGGATTCACGATGGTAAGTCTATCAACCCGCTGCAGCATGTTGAAGAGGCCTGGCTTTGCTAATGCTATGTTTCTAGATATTCTCGAGTCGTCAGACATGCCACACGAAGTAAGCGCTCATGGATTAATAACCAAATCGATAAGGCTGATCTTAGTAGAGTGCAACAATCATTGAGAAGGTTACAGCAAGCTGGGCCGATATCTTGGCTCATCCGAAAAGCTATGCTGCAGGTTCTGGTGATGTATTCGTCAACATGGCTCAACATATCATCAGCACCAATGACCAAGGTGAAGGGCTCATCCGGGGGTATCTGACATGGATGGCTTTCATGCGGTCGAAAATGCGAGACCAGTTCATCTCCCTCAGAGATTACCTCGACTTTCGTGCAGTAGATATTGGACGCGAGTGAGTCTTCTTTGGTGATGTAATTGTCTTCAGGGTGCCAGTGAGAGCTAACCCGAGCTCTTCCAGCTACATCTTGGCCGCGGTAAAATTCGGCAACAATGTTCAATTGTCACCGTCCGAGGAACAACCATTAGCCACAATGATTCAACTGGCCATGGACCATATCATCATGACCAACGACCTATTTTCTTACGACAAGGAATGTCGTGACTCCGAGACCTGCGCGAACGCGGTCCGCTATCTGGAGCAAGTGCTGGCAATTGACGCTGGCTCGGCCAAGAGTGTTCTGTACGGCCTTCTCACCCGCACAGAAAGTCGATTACACTCAGAGCTGGAAAGCCTGCGCAGCTCCGGCACATTGAGTGAGCCTCAACTTCAGTATGTACAAGGCGTGATAGAAGCAGCAGCGGGTAATTTGGCATTCTCAATCACCACCCGAAGGTATAGCTCGAAGGAAACTGGTCAGCTTGGCGAGGTGAAAGGCTGAACGTGGAAGGATAGATTATAGTTGTTTGTCCATTGGGATACTATGCCAACCTTTCCATTAGCGATGACTATGACTTTGATGTTCAGCTCGACTTCATATGACCTATCAGGTTTCGTTGCAGGACGATTGAGACGATAACCGATATAAAGAGCTGCTGGTCCGCGAATAAAACTTGAGATGCTGTAGAATTAATGGTGGTTCATATATCTTCGAAAAGTGCCCATCATCTGGGCAGTTGGTTCGAACATTCTTGGATTGTGAAAGGGAGCTTCGTGTGGAGGAATGGTTAGCATACCAAAATCAGAGGGCTTGAGTTTGTTCTAAGTACCTGCAATCTAGAGTGAATGAAACCCATTCTGACCATGATTAGCGGATATTCCCGCAGCCTAGCCTACATTGAGACTAGTTTAAGCCGTTCTGTTGAAGCCTTTGACAGGCTTCTGAGCCCTCACTTTGTACGGTGCTTGTCAATCTAAAGGTGCCTTGCTGTACACTCTAAGCTGGCAACCTGTTCTCAATCTTCCGGAGAATTATATATCGGTGGTTTTCCTTTAGTTATCGCGCCGATGCTTGAATACCGCTCTCTTGTTCCAGCCTCGACAAGCATGTAAAGTCTATCCCCAATCTGAAGACTATCCGATACGAAGCTCCAAGCAAACTGGGTCCAGAGGACGATTGGAAATTCTTATGCAGAGATTAGACACTATGCCCTTCACTCGTTACTTGGCAAGCAAACTTGTACTAGGGCTTACATCGGCTAAAAAGCTACATCTTGACTCTTTGGGGCGCTTCCCCTCTTTTTTTTTCAAGATGTAAGCTTGACTTCGCGATTCTGAGATTGTGATAACTCTCCGTTCTAACATCGTGAAGTGCATTGAAACAATGGGTTACACCCGCTCATGCACGTTGGGGATCGCAGGGGTGGCCGCCATTTCGCCATCAAAGCAGTCTATAACCTCTATCTCCATACGTTGACGCGATTTCCGGGTCCTAAAGCTAGCGCTGTCAGCCATTCCTATTGCTCTTGCCCAGCTTCAGGGAAGAGCCCACGTCCTTACTCAAGCAGCCCATGCGCAATATGGCCCAGAAGTGCGCATAAGCCCCGATGAATTGTTCTTCACTTCACCGACAGCCTGGAATGACATCTACGCCAGTTAACAGGGCAAGAACCCACCTCTGCCGCGTGATCGCACGTTCTTTAATAAGATGCTGGTCGACCCCCCAACCTTGACCATGGCCGACGATGTCACTCATGCACGTTTGCGACGAGCTATGAATCCGGCATTTGCGCCTTGTGCCCTAGCAGCGCAGGAATCTATCTTGCAGTCTAACATCGACACCTTTATCCGGCAACTTCGAGGCTTTGCTGAGCGGAATGAAAAGGTAAACCTTCGTCTCTGGTACAATTACTTGACATTCGATCTTATCGGGGATCTGGCATTTGGGGAAGGTTTTGGTCGTCTGCGGACTTCCACTTGCCACGGATGGGTGCATTTCGTGCTCGACAACTTCTACATCTCCGCACTCCTACATGTTGTCCATCGGGTCAGGCCATCGAACCGTCTGCTGGCTTATTTCATTCCTTCTTCCTTGCAAAGAGCGAAAGACCAGCATCATCATATGGCTTTGGACTCAAGATCCGGCGTCGTATCCAACAAGTCGGAACGGAGCGAGCCGACTTCACCGATCCTATGCTCAAGTCGCGACAAGAAGGGCTCATCTCAACCGAGGAAATCCAGCAGCAAGCAAGCATTTTGATGCTTGCCGGCAGCGAAACCACCTCTCTGGGCTTGGCCTTTACCACCGATCTTCTCGTGCGACAGCGACCTGCGATTCTGGCCCAGTTGAGGGAGGAACTTCTGGGACACGTGCAGACCAAAAGTGAGATCACTATCTTATCTATCAACGGATTGACGTATCTCCAGGCTGTGCTTCAAGAATCCCTCCGGCTGTTTCCCCCAAGCATCAACGGGTTCGCGAAAGAAACTCCACCACGTAAAGCGGTGATCGATGGTCACTTCATTCCGGGAGGTGTAAGTCATGCCCCCAGATAAAATGCGCACTCTCATTACTTGAACAGTGCCTCGCTAAGTGGAGTAATCAAATCCTGCTCAGCTGGCCGTAAACATCAACAAGTATAGCACCTACCGCTCCAAATTGAACTTCGTTCAGCCGGAAGACTTCATTCCGGAGAGATGGCTGGGGCAAGATCCCCGCTTCCAGCATGATATGAAAGATGCTTTCCAGCCGTTTTCTGTCGGGCTGCGGAGCTGTATCGGTAAAAAGTGCGCATATCCCCTCGTCTTTTGTCGTCATTTCTCCTGTGACATTTGTAAGCGATCGCGACTAATCAGTACCCTCATGTATTAGATTCGCGTATGACAGACACTCTCGCCGCGGGCGGCCATCACGGACGCCTTGTGGCACGAGCGGGTGCCGCGCATCCCACAATCATGATCAACCTTCAGCCCCCCTCCTACTACAGGGGCTCCTCGTGCTGACGCCGCAAGAGGACAACGCCGAGGAAGAAGAGCTGGTGTTGGGCGCGACGGGGCTCAGGAATGCGGCTCTGGTGTGGTTGGGGCCAAGCGACGAGTGGAGGCCCCTGGCGGGCCGGGCCATGGAGACTCTCACCGCGCCGCTCGGCTCCAGTTTGTCTCACTGTGATCCTAGCCCATAGACTGATCGTAAGGCGAGCTACTCTCGATCTAGCGACCATCCGTGGGATATTTGGCCTTACGTCAAACTTCCTCTGTCAGGAATGTGTTATACAGCATTACTTATCTACTAATACAAACAGCCAAAGCGCAAAAGTCCCGCGACCCTGCGACCCCGACCCTCCATCCACTCCTCCCGCGACAGCTCCGTCGCACTCACGAAGAGCCATGCACCAAACGACGCGCATGAAGCGACCGGGCGCCGCGCGCCTGAGACTGCGCCTGACTGCCGGCCGTGACGTCGAACGCCCAGACAGCCTGGAAGCAATGCGTGTCGACCTGGGCTTTCTGGTTGTTGGCCTGGGCGTTATAGGAGCTATTGGCGGGGAAGAGACCGATTATGTTGAAGAAGTACGCCTGGCAGTAATCAAATATCAGTATTGGTCGCAGGGAGTGGTACGGAAAAACTCACGTCGACGGCACTTTCCAACAAGCGGACCTCCGAGGGAACTTTCTGCTTGGTCGTTGCGTCGAGGGCCATCAGGCGCGTGGCACTGGTCGAGAAGGCGTCCGTGAGTTCTAGGAGGGATTGGACGAACTAGAGGATGGGTAAGCACAGTACACTGCCTTTTGCTGCGATCGGATAGGGTTGGGTGGGTTACGCACGTTGGAGTACCCCTCGTACACGGTCTGTTGGTCCGCTTGGTCGGTGATGACCGGGGTGTTGGTCATGAAGTTGATGTTCGTGAGCACGACGATGACGATCGTGTCGATCTCCGAGTACACATCCTAGCCACGGGGGGCCGGTCAGAGCAACCTTTGCTAGATGCGGTAGGAAATGGGCCTTACGCGGATCGGACTCGCGTCCGAGGTGGAATTGATCTCTAGGATGAGATCCTTCGTCGCGAACCCTTGCTGCGCCAGTTCGTTCAGCGAGTTGGCGATTTGGGAGGGGCTCAGAGCCGCGACGGCCCAGTGCGCGTAGACGCACATAGCCAGAAGGAACGAAAGAATCTGGCGACTCATGATTGAGAGAGCGAGGTGGAGTATGGGTTGCTTGGTTGAACGAGTGGAATGGGTGGATATGAAACGAGTGGGTCAATGAGTGAATGAACGAGTATGGTGTTCTGAAAAGAGCGGCAGAACAACAACTCGGAGCGGATACAAAGTGCAGATGAAGATGGGTGGACTGATTCACCTGGACAAGCAGAAGAAGGATGGGCCCTCGTATTACTTATAGGCGGGGTTGACAAAATGCACGCCCCCTGAGCACTGACAGCACTGACAGCACTGACCTACTCCTATTTTAGTGATTATTATTACCCCTGGTCAGCCCTAGTCCCAGATTGGAGTAGATTGGAAAGTTTCGGTTCTGACAAGTCGCACCACTTCCGCTTGAAAGAGACAGATAAGTGGGTGTGAAGAAGGTAAAACCATGTGCATCGGTCTATTCAACATTAAACATTCATAGGAGGATCTAATTCCAGCGCAAGGAATGGGGGCTGGGAGTCCTCGATATCATACATGCACCCCATGCATCATATACAAATTGCAACCAACACCGACTCCAGAAAATGTCGCGGGGCTTGGCAAGGCAAAACAAGAAAGGAAGAAGAAAACAACCCAAGATCGATAGCAAAACACCGCTCGAAACCTCAAGCAGCGATTAAGGCTTGGCGAGCTGCTCCTTGCGGTAGAAGAAGATACACAGCACGTTGATGGAGAGCATCAACAGCAGACACACCCAGAAGTCAGCTTTCGCCAAGGCAGCGCCAACTCCCGCCGAGAAATCGGGGAAAACATCCCCGGGGCCGAGCTTGTTCGGTGCAGTGGCCCGCGCCAGGATTGTGGCCAGTGAGCCCACCACCTGCGCCGCCAGAAGGGTAAAGGTGACATGGAACCGGGTCATCGTGTTCAGGAGGATCATTCCAAAGCCTGTGTTTTTCCACGGGTTAGTTTTCGATTGACGTTTCACTATGATTCAATCGGGGATTAAAGGAGGGGAACTCACCAACACCCTGAAGACTATCTAAGACCCCTAGCCAGAGCCACAGTGCTCGTCCGAGAAGGGCGCCGGCGACGGGACTGCCGGCCCACGGAATGTACGCGGCGATGTTGGAGGTTGACCACAACATCTGAGCCCAGCGGGGAGCACCCAGACCGATCGCGAAGATCGGGATGAACCAGGCATGTCTCTTGGAAAAGACGTGGAACACCCAGAGAGCTGCCGCCCAGACCCCAATAAAGAAGAACACGACGAGAAGGACGATGTGCCACACCTTCGCGTGCTTGCTGGACCATAGATAGAGCCAGTTCCGTCCATATGGTGCCGACAGCCAGTAGTTGGAGATGAAGACCATATAGAAAAACCACTACGAGAGGCAAGGTCAGAAGGAAAGCCATGCGGAAAGCAGCAGAGAGGAGTGAAGACATACAAGGATGATGCGCCGCCGAAAGAGCGATGCGTAGAATGTCGGCACTTGGCCTGGCTTTTGTCGATAATATGAAGGGAGTCCAAAGAAGACGAGGGCTCCCAGCAGCCACAAGACAAAGGCGAGACCGATCCCAATTCCAAGCAATGCGCCCGGATTGGTCATCATAAGACTGAACTGCGTGCTGCCATCCTGGTTGACACTCGCCATCCAGCTACCCCAGTACCAGAGAAAACTGATGCATAGCTGTTGACTGCCTTGGATGACGGTGGCTCGGTAGATCCAAGCGCTTAGCGGTGCTCCACCTGGACAGGAACAAGATTAGACGAACTCACGGTCGCATCTGCTGTTGAGTTACATACCTTCATCGCCAAAATTAAGGGCGAAGAATATCGATCCACTCGAAGACGCAAACGAATAGAAGCCGGTTCCCACGTTCTGCAGCCATGTTTGGCTTGCGCTGTCGTGGATGGAACCGGCAACACCGACAAGAAGAAAGGCAAACCCGTACATCTGCGAATTGTTAGCTGTAAGCTCTTCCCGAGAAGATCAACATGAAGCGCGCACCAGAAAAGGAATCGTTAGAACATAAACGGATGACACAAGACGGAAGGCCATCCACCATACGATCGACGACGCAAGATAGATCGATGCCAGAACATATAGTTTCCCTGCCGTCTCTCCGATCTCGCCATTTAAGAGGGTGATCTGGTACGAGTTTAAAGCGAGGATTTGCCCCTGAGAGTGTTGTATTAGTGACTGACACGAGAAGGCAGATCATGGACTGGACTCACAAGAGCGAGGACGATGGAATACACTGGCCAATCACCCAGCTTCATCAACATAAAACGCTTCACTCCGGTGGGAGGAACATAATCCCTCGGGAGAAGAAACTGTCCAGCGATAGGGTCCTCAGCAGGACCAGTCACACCCGGGGTCGCCGGTTCACTGTTGTCGTGGACCGTAAAGCGGAGGACGGAAGGAGATGGAGACGGTAGAGCAGACTTGCCCAGCTTGATGTCACGGTATCGATTAAACCAGTCTTTCTCACTCTTCTCCAGAAACAGCTCGATGCACAGCTGGTCCTCGGAGTTCTTGCCGTTCAGACCGGCAAGCTTCTTCTCAAACTTGTATGCGTACTCGTTGTTGACATCCGTGAAGAATGGACTGACTTTCTGCAAGTTATAGTCTTGCTTTTCCCTCACGATATCGTTGACGCTGACTAGGCTCATCATGGATGGGCTCAAGTTTCTGCGACCCAGGAGGCCATCCTCTGGTCCTGGAACGAGGGTAGGCGTGCTGGCCCCCGAATGGGAAAAGAAAGGAGGCGCATTGGGTGTTCCTGACATTGAGAGGGAAGTCGAAGGCCGGTGACCAGCCTCCTCTTGACCCGGCCTTGGTGTGTACTCGGGTTCTTCCCCGTCATTAGCGAGCGTGTACACCACTCGAGGGCCTACGCGATTGGTGAAAGACATGGTTCTGCGTCTGGGTTCGGCGTCAGATTCGGGCTCGCTGTTGTAGACATTAACCCCGGAAGGCACATTTGCGGTCAGAGAGGGAGCGCGGCTGTGGCCCGGTCGTGTGCCAGCTTGCCTCAGATCACTAGTAATTGGCCTGCTGGGCGAGCCCGAAATGGTCGAGCTGCGTGATCGGGCATGCTCGTAATCGGTGTGAGAGCTTGACGAGGATCGCACATTCCCCATGGTCTCGGGAGCGAAAGTGCTGGCTCCGGATATTCTCCATGAACTGCGACCGTGGCGATTCGAGTATTTCGCGTGCTTCTCGATGGAGGTGCTTTGGAGGATGCCCAGATCCTCAACCCATTGCGCCACGGGGAACCGCTGCTTGCCGGATCGTGCGCGCATCATGGCTCGTGTCTCTTGAGATGATCTCAGAGCGTCGTTGACGGCCAGCTTGAATTGCTGGGTGAGATGTTTGGTTGTCATGGATTCGCTGGAATATGTTAGGGCTCTAGATATACCCATTGTCCGAGTAGGAAGCCACTCACATTGTGTACCACCATCCTGGCATTTGTCCAAGACCACCGACCCTAATACGCGCAGGTCAGTATTGCAAGAATATGGCAGTGTTTGAGTCAAGTCTTACCGCGAACCCACACCCAACGCGCCTTTCCGACCGAATTCGACAGCCACCAGCCCAAACGGCTCATCTCTTGACGGAATCAAGGCAAACTCAGCGCCACTGAAGATGAAAGGAGGAAGTGCAGTGAACTCCGGCTTAGAAAACACTCGCTCCGGGTACAGCTCCATCAGTCGGTTCAATTTCAACGCAGCAAAGCGTCCATAGAGATCGATAACTGGTCCAATGCAAATCAATTGGACCTTCGGATGCGCATCGAGGATCGAGGGGAAGATGTCCGCAATCAAATCAACGCCTTTCTGCATGGACCAACGGCCCACGAACACAAACAACTCCGCGTCGGGGTCGACCTTGAGCCCTGCCCATTCCTGCGCCTGTTTCTTGAGCGAGACACGGTTGGCTTCGAACTCGGCATCGATGGTGATCTCCTCGGGACTGCTACTGGCGTTGTGATCCCACTCAGCAAGGTCTGAGGGATCGGGATTCGGCAAGGCTCCAATGCTCTTGAGCCCCCAGAAGATGGGATATCGCGCGTATGATCTCTTTCCGTACTTCTTCGATACACCGACTGCACCGAAGCCGTTTTGATGGATCTTCAGATAGTTGGCAGCACAATGTAACAGGTTGAACACGTCGCCGAACTGCACGTACTTTTTCACCACCGCCTTGTCCAGGTTGAACACTTTACAGACCTCCTGGATTTGCTGGGCGGTTTGCATCGGCCACAGGCCTTGAAATTCGGCGTTGTGCAGAGACAGGCAGCATGGGATCGTTCGGGGAAGAAGGTAAAGCGGGGCGGCTGCGCCGTGGTAGTCATTGATGTGGTAGAGGTCGATTGCTGGAAACCGCTTGATCGCTTCAGCGATGCATTGGTTCCAGGCAGAATAGAAGATGGCCGAGTCCAGGTCGTCCATGCGGGCTGGGTATGGGTCCGACTTTGACTGAGCCCGAAACACAGGTGCGTCGAGCAAGACGTACGTGATGTTGTGCAGCCGATGGTATTGGACGTCTACTTGGTACTTATTCCCAAGTACAGCGACAACCATCGGCTCACCGGGATCGTCTCGGGGGTAGTCGACGCCGCCGACACAGGGAACCACCCATATGAGGTCTTGATGGGTCAAGTTTTTGCCCATCAGTTGAGCCATCACACCCAGGCCTCCGATCTTGATCTTGATGCCCCAGTCCTCGATGTCATATTCCATTGTCGCAATCAGGACGGTTCGCCGGGGAGTATTCAGCATGGCGCCAACGACACCGCCGGCTTCAGCGAGGGTTGGGGTCATAGACGCTCGATCGCCGGCGGGGGTGGAGGGGCGTGTCACCTTCTGAAGCACGCCCAAGAGTGGAGCCAGGCTCGAACGCTTCTCCGTGACACCGATCTGATTGAATTTGACCTGGTAGAAGGACTTCAGGTAGACATACACCGCGCCAAACGCGGTTGCGACCGGTACAACAGCCAGCAGAATGAACAGGGCCAGCTGCACCCAGCGCGAGCCGGTCGGGGTAGCGTAGACTCTCAGCTCGCTGTCATCCACCGACAGCTTGAAAGCTAGATAAGGCGAAGGAGGAGGGATGGTCACGTTGAAGACATTGCTCAGCAGCGTGACCGGTGGAACCTGATCCAGGACGTTATCTCCGTCGAGATCGCCAAAGACGAGCGTTTGGTCGGGCAAGCCGTTCTCATTCATGCCCCAGACGTTGAATGCAACCTGGACGGGCCATTCGCCCATGAAGTGGATTTCCCACTGGCCGGTCACGTTGCTGAGAGCCATCTTGTTCGAGTAGCCTGCGTCGTACCCAAACTGGTTGAACTCGCCTTCGATGAAGAGGTTGGGGAAGCGGCGCGGTGGTTTGAAAGCCCACTGGGTATCGCCATGCTGCCAGTGATCGCTACTTCCTGTAAGCTTGCTCCAGTATTGGGTCAAAATGTGCTCGCCGTCCCAGGCCTGGTCTGCGGTCCCGGTGAAATTCTTTGCAGGAACCGACGTGTTGAAGCCCGTGTATGTCATCCAAGGACTGAATGTGGCTCCGAAGTCCATCGAGTAACGCCACATGTCTGCACCCGGGGCTTGGGGCATTACTGATAAAGGCTCAGCTGCGGACGACGGGGCTTCAAACAGGAGTGTTCGACTGTAGTTGGCCAGCTGCGGCCAGACCATGGGGTTGTTAGTCTCTCCGATCCGGAAAAGAAAGTGGTCGACAGACTGTTCGACGAAATTAGTATTCCAAGTCGGTCTCCGGGTATAGGGAAGAATATACTCACGCCGGTGGATTGGTTCCCATCTGCAGTGGTCGCGTTGTTCACGGTGATCCTATGAACCCCAGGATAGACGTTGGACACATCTGCCTCGTAGCTGAAAACACTCGTAAGAGTGCCGGGCCATTTCGCCACGTCGGTCGCTGCAAAGGACTTGCAAGAGGTCGAGTCGGTGTCAAGCCGGGCAGTCTCGTCGTAGAGCGCTTTGGACGTGATTGTCAGGGAGTCAGTGATCTTGTCACAGTCCATCTCCTGTGAGAACTCGAAGCTGATCCGTACAGTATCTCCATCTTTCCCCGTGGGAATAAGACGAGCATCATGGCCGGGATTGAAGCGTGTGATGTACGGAGAGGGCTGCACGAATTTGTCCTTCGGGACAAAGGCTTTGAACCCCCAAGCGGGCATGGTCAATTGTGAAATGCATCCATTGGGCAGCTTCGATCCTTCAAATCTGCTCATGGTTAGCAAGAACAGCGCGTAATCACAAGGTAAACATACCCGTATGTCACCGAGCTGTTGGCCAGCGAATATTCATCGAACGGAGGGAACAAGTTCTTCACTGTGGTCCCGGCGGGAAACGGCGAGACGAACGCATCCTTATCACTACAGTTGAACTCGTGATGGACCGTCTGGTTGTCATTGGCATACACCAGCCAGATACTCTGATTGCCCTGGCCTTGGCCATCGAAGTTCTGCAGATCCACAAAACGCGACCGCATGACACTCCACATTCCCGTCTCGGTCGGCGTCCCATTACTCCCTGGAAGGTAGATGTCCCTGGTGTGGTTGGACAGCTGCTGCAGGTACCATCCATCGTTCAGAACAGGGTAGTTCTGACGCATCTCGAACATCAGCTTGATGAGGCCACGCACCGGGTGCGAAGGATCACGATGATCGAGACTGACGGAATCATCTTCACAGCCGGTCAACGAGCGTTCCAGAGGAAAATTGGCATATTTGGACGCTCCAAGCTTGTAGCAGCCATGCAGCTGCCATGCCTGCGCCGATGACATGGGGCCACGACCGAAAACTGTGAAAAGTTAGGGTAGACCAGAGGAGTGGGACCTAGGGAGTTCATACTATAGTTATCTGCCTGGTTGTCCAAAACATAGAAATCCTGTTCCTCGCCCCAAGAGAGGATGGGGATTCCGGGCATGAGTAACGAGACGATGTACATTCCCAGGTTCTGCTTGTGGGTGCCGTTCATAATCCCGGGCCATCGGAACACGTCCTGATTCGTGACGCCAAACAGGTGACGAGGGTCAAACTTGCCGGTGTTTGGGTTAACCATGTCGTTCGTCTGAACAAGGCCATTCCAGGTTTCGACAAAGTTGACCGGTGGATCACCTTCGGCTGTGTAGATTCCATCGAGGCTGGACGTGGGAAGGTAAAGGTTAGCTAATGTCACCGAAACGGGGAGTGAGCGGGAACAACTAACCCTAGAAAGCGGCTCAATCCACGATACAAGGTGTAGTGGAAAGCCGCCCCGTCCAGAGCAGATTGCTCGGGCGGTCGCAAGAAGAGATCCTCATGTGCCGCGTCGGTCCTGTTGGTCATCATGAAGGCTTCGGTGAGGTTGGAGATAGTTTGGTTTGTCTGATGACCACGACCGACGTACAGCGAGCCATAGGCGTTCCCAGACACGATTTCTCCTGGGAGGTAGAAATTGTCTTTGCCCAGCTGCCGGGCGCAATCACGCATCGACTCCGACCACTCGCCTAGGGAATCCAGGGTAACTTGAAGAGCCTTGTCGACGCGAAACCCATCGATATCTAGCATTGTGATGGTCAGACACGAGAAGTGTTTGATCTTCGCCAAGACATCTGGTCGCCATCCGCGCAGACGATCCTGCACAAATGCGAATTTGGAAATCTGCCCCTCCCACTCAGTGTAGTTTCCGAAGGCGGCGACCTCTCCATACTAGAGTGTAAGGAGGGGTCAGCCATGCGCACGAACAGAAGACAAGGGGTGGAGATGGAGCGTTACCTGATCGAACTCGCTATTCCGACATGAAGGGCCGAGAGTTGTGTTGGTTAAGCCGTTGGCGTCATCATCCCAGAATCGTGGATACTCCCAGGGGCATTCAGCTTCAACTTCATTGCCAGGCTGAAAGTCCCAATACCGACGGCTATACTTCCAGACGAAGTCGTACTCTTTGGGGTTGATCGGCGCGGACCTGTTCAAGAACCCCTGAAAACCGATAAGATCGCCCATTCTATCGTCCCACAGTCAGCCGGTGACACTCAGATCTAGTACTGATAAGACCTAACATACGTCGCGAAAGTATTGTCAAACAGCACATAAATCCCCCGTCTGTGAGCCTCTGATATCATGGTGCGCCAGTCCTCGATCGTCCCGAAGTGATGATCCAGCAGAGTCAGGTCAAGCGGAGAGTAGCCATCAGCACCCCAGGGCCAGTTGATGTACGGCGTTCCAGCAAGATAGACACCCTAGACCGTGGTCAATATGCTTTGCCTAGTCTCCTTCCCTGAGACGGACTTACCTTGATCCCCATTCCCTGCAGGTAGTCGAAAGTATCAACCAAACCAAGAACGTCGCCGCCATGGCGGAACTGGTTGGAGGTCAGGATATGTTCCCACTGCGTGCCATTTGCATCATCGTTGCTCGGATCGCCGTTAACGAATCTATCGAGGAATATCGTGTAGAAGGGAAACCGCCAGTTGTCCGGTGAGGGGGTATAGGAGTGGCCCTCCCACTGGCCGGAGTAGTCGAGAGGGTATGTCGCTGTCTGATTTTGATTGAGATTCCAGTCTGCTTCCTCTGGGAGGTATGGCAAGGACTGTGCAATGCGGGTTGATAGTGCCAGGGGGGGAAGATAACGTGTGAGGGGCGTGAACAGTTTCATCTCCGCACGGTGAATGCCACTATAGTGACATCCACAGAGCACACTGTTTGAGCCTCAACTATGAGCAGGAGATCTGGCAGACAGATAGGACGACAGGGACGAGGTGCATAGCAGAAAGAAAGAATCTTTCAAAGGCCCAGGGACTGCGGAAAAATTCATAGGGTGCATATGGACCAGAGAGGCATGACCATGATAACGATTACTCGGGACCGATAATGCGATCCCCCACAGTCCAGCGGCTCTGCCGCGGGACTGAATGAGGCGGTCGAGCAGTTCTAATTTTGGCGAGGAGTCTGGAGCTGACGTCCGGCATAGTTGGTTGCCCTCCAGCAGGTGGTTCTCTCGACCAGTGAGCCGATTTGGGAAGCGATTTCAGCTTTGAACAGCCCACGCCACACTGCTCGGGCCTCGAGCCCAGGACCCAGGCCCAAGGTGGAAGGCTCATGTCTCATCTGGGAGCCAGTCTGACATGCGTAGATACAGGTCTATTGGAGAGGTCTACTGGAAAGGCCGAGGGAGGGATACGATGTGGGGCTTTTATCAGGCCTTCGTCCGACTTTGCGGCGAAAGGTACCCCTTACAGTTCATCGCAACTGTGCTGCAAACTCATGGGGAACACGGATTCTGCGTAGGTCGCTGTGTGCGAACCATTTCGGAGCATAGGAAGGAACAGAAATCGACATGAAAGGAGATTTTGCTGCAAGGACAAGTTCGGCGAGAGCGCGATACTGGCGGTAAACCAACGACCCTACTGCAATGCTCGGCAACCGTGTCGGTACGGACAATACTCACTCGGTGTATGCCCGACAGACCAGCACGCCTTGAAAAGTCCCAACGGATTGATAATGAAACGCACAGCCGAATCGACACGTCAGAGAAGATATGATACATGGCCTATGGGCAGGCAGAATAAGCGAGCCAAGAAGATATGGGAAGATAAGGGAGGGATCCGCGGGAGTTGCGGGAATACGGGAATTTTAGGGAGGAGGGGAGGACCCCGGTTTGCTTAGGGAATAGGAATCAATCGGGAATGACTGTCTGTAGGGCACTGCAATGGAAGAGGCAAAGACCGCCGATCGGGCCAGACTGAGCTTATAGGATAGATGATGGATCGAGGACAGGTCGGGCTTGGACTGAATGAGTCCGACAGAGTGACGGTGAAGATGAATTGAAAGGAAGATGACGTTACAGGACCAGTCATCATCAACGGGCCGAACGGGATCCACTGCTTATTACCAGTACCGGTACCGACCTGCCGGTATCCTGACAGTGCTCGTTCTCTGTAATACCGGTACGGTATCCCATATATCCTTCTTTCACTTCTATTGAATTCTAATTGGATTGTCTATTGGAATCTATACAACAGGTTTTAGGTAACCACTTATTAACTGGCTCTCCTTGCACTCACTCAACCCTGCCTCATTGCGCCGAGATAATCATCTGTCGGTCGCATATATGAACGAGAGGATCAATTAATTTAAAGTAGATCATAGCTACCCTTTCTTCGCCGTGGACAGTATCTCTCTCTCTCTCCCCTTGCTTTCGCGACCTGGATAATGCAAATACTCCCAACCATGGGGGAATGGTGGTGGAAAAAGGTCTTTCTGGTGGCAGTCACGACTCTGGGGATCAGTTCAACAGTAAATGCAGCCTCCAGAGACCAGTGGCTCGGTCGCTCGGTCTATCAAATCGTCACCGATCGGTTTGCGCGCTCCGACAACTCCACCTCCGCCGCTTGTGATCCAGCCCAGGGCAACTACTGCGGAGGCTCTTTTCAGGGCATCATCTACAAACTAGACTATATCCAGGATCTCGGGTTTGACGCGGTAGGAGCTCATTATTAAACTTCTCAATTCTCAATTGACTGATGGTCAGGACGACAGATCTGGATCTCTCCAGCCCAAAGCCAAATCTCCGCTCGAACAGCGGCGCTCTCAGCATACCATGGGTATTGGCCAAATGACCTTTATGCCATCAATTCGCACTTTGGCACCTCTGATGACCTCGAGGCTTTGTCTGCGGCGTTGCACGCCCGGGGAATGGTGGGAGAACCCATTTGCGATCTCTTTTTATTCAGATGACTGACAGAGCACCTACAAAAACAGTACCTGATGCTGGATGTTGTCGTTGGGGACATGGCCTGGGCCGGTAACTCCTCCACCGTTGACTACAGCAAGTTTAACCCTTTCAACGATCGAAAATACTTTCACGACTTCAAACTACTCTCGTCTGACCCCCACAACAAAACCTGTGTTCTCGATGTAAGTCGTTCCCCCGTAATTGTGTGAAAATTGCTGAGCCCTGGACTAGTGCTGGCTGGGAGACGACATCGTCTCGTTGCCAGATCTGCGTAACGAGGACCACCAAGTCCAGCAGATGCTGGGCACCTGGGTTTCCGAGCTGGTATCGAACTACTCGAGTATGATCTTTGTGTGCTTTGTTTTTTTTTTTTTTTTTTTTTTTTTTTTTTTTTTTTTTTTTTTTTTTTTTTTTGCAAGGTCTAATTCTCGCTGTTTTCTGTAGTTGATGGCTTGCGCATTGACAGCGTCTTAAACATTCCCCCGGTCTTCTTTTCCGACTTCAGTAAATCGGCGGGGGTCTTTACCGTGGGCGAAGGCGCGACAAGGACCGCCCAAGATTATTGTCCTTTGCAGTCCAGTCTGGGTGGTTTGTTGAATTATCCGCTGTGAGTTTCTCCTTCAAAGTTACAGACTCGAATGGCATTGACGGTTTCAGATACTATATTCTTACAGAGGCCTTCAACACGACCAATGGAGACCTAACCACGATTGTCGAGTCTATCGACTTCATCAAGACACAGTGTGAGGTGAGTTTACACTCAATTGCGGTCCAAATTTTGCAACTCACCTTTTTTCAGGACGTCCTAGCTCTGGGAACCTTCACGTCAAACCAGGACGTTCCTCGCTTCGGCTCGTACACTTCGGATATATCAGTGAGTAGACCCATCAGCCCTGATTTCCTGCCGGGCGTATTTTAACCCTGTCGCTTCTGAACAGCTTGCTCGCAACATCCTCACAATTAGCATGCTTGCTGATGGTATTCCAATCCGTATGTGTTGATCTCCGCATTCCCCCTTCGGGAACAACTCCAAGACACTAACTCCAAGGGCACAGTCTACTATGGCGAAGAGCAGCACTTGTCGGGCGGATTTAACCCGGTCAATCGCGAGGCTCTCTGGCTCACCAAATACTCGATGGACTCCACCCCCCTCCCCTTGCTCGTCCAATCGCTGAACCGTATTCGATCGTATGCCAGCGGAGACGGAAAAGAGTATACGGTCAGCTCACGATCTGGGGACGACTACCTCTCGTATCTTTCCTTGCCAATTTTCAATTCGACCAACATCCTCGCCATGCGCAAGGGCTTTGCCGGCAATCAGGTTGTGAGTGTCGTATCCAACCTCGGAGCCAAGCCAGCCACCAAAGCAACCACCAAGATCACGCTGGGCTCCGACGGCACAGGATTCCAATCCCGACAGAACGTGACGGAGATCCTGTCTTGCAAAACATTCGTCACCGATTCGAAAGGTAATCTCGCCGTTGATCTAAGCTCGGATGGGGGGCCTCGGGTCTACTATCCCACTGAGAGCCTGAAAGACAGCACCAACCTCTGTGCCGATAAGTCTGAAACAACAAAACCTAGTAGCTCGGCAGCCTCATCAGTGAGCCCCTCGCCTTCCACTGGTGCTGATTCTTCCTTGTTCGGCCTGTCATCGTGGAAGATAAGGACAGTCCTGGTTACGGCTGCTATGACCTCCTCCTACCTGATTATCTGATCTGCTGGATTCCCCCTTCTGTTTCGCTTATCATTTTGTAATTGAGATTTCTTTTGCGCTCATTCAGTTGATGTTCTTTGCATTTGACGTTCGATCCGTGGTTTTACTATAGACCCTCTGCGATAATATCACACTCGATATTCTCTGTGGTTGATAGGTAATTTAATTTCAATAGGGGCGCTCTCGAAAAGTTCCCTCACAAAAAAAGCCATTGACGGTGTCTATTCATTTATTCATGCCCGATGGGTAATTCATCTTGCAGTATACCTTGGATACGCCGAGACTGCCGAGACTTCATTCTCATGGATTGCGTTGCCCCTCGGACACAGTCCCCTTCAGCTCGGCTTTGCTTAACGTAGGCAAACCGACCTGCAATCAGACAACAGGCAAACAGACACGGACACCGACTAGGTAATGTGGTTGGTCAGTGCGCATTACAGTCATGACTGGTATCAAGTTACTCTTGTAAGTTACCAGTACAGGCAGACAAAAATAGATCGACAAACTCGATAGCCTCGATTCTCCGAGCCTTATCGGGTACTTGGTATTGCATACCGAACCCTGTTAGCGCCACCTTAGCGCTGACATGAGATTAGTAACCCTTAGTGACTTAGTTTAAAGCTTGCTTCAATCAACCAATGTGATTGGAACGAAATTGAGAAACATCCAACACAGCTTGACAGGTCATCGGTTCAGGGTCTCATTCCAACAGTGCCCGTTGGTTGCCACCTACGTGGGCTCAGTCTTCGCAAGAAAGGCTCAGCTCGATCACACTCAGGACCAGCATCTCGTATTGCTGTTGCTTCAATGTGGGGCTTGGACAACATGCGTGGTCTCATCCCTTGGGCTTCAGCTGGGCGTGTTGTTTGATTCTGTATCCAGCATTTGTCTCGTTGTTTAGTCCAGAGTCTCCTCAGGCGGTCCGGTATATTAATCCCTTTTCCTGTTGACTCGTGGCACGGCTCTCCTGGTTTTCCTCTCCAGTCATACGTATACGTTGGATCAAAATGCGCTCCTCATTCACCATTGCCTCCCTGGGTCTCATCGCGTCGGCTTTGGCCATCACGATCACGACTCCGTCGTCCGACACGGAGTGGGATTTCTCCACCCCCAAAACCATCAAGTTCACCAGCACTTCCGATGATCCGCCGGTGATCAGTATCATCCTGCGGTCTAAGGATGGCTCTTTCCAGACCAAGCTGGCAGACAACGTCAAGACCTCCGATGGGGAGTACACCACTCAACCCAATCCTAGCATTTCGAATGGGTATGACATGACGCATTGACAGAGTGGACAAGCTGAGCACAGAGGAACCGAAAGCGCTGACATGATTTTTTCCGACTTGCATTAGATCCGACTACGAAATCGAGATTATTGATTCTTCGGGCCAGCTTGCTGTGAGCCCGGTTTTCACAGTCCAGAAGGGTGCTTCCAACGATGGTACCACGTCCTCCTCCTCGTCCTCATCGTCCACGTCTTCATCTACCACTTCATCATCATCATCCTCCTCCTCCTCCTCCTCCTCCTCCACCAACACCACTTCTTCAACCTCTTCTGCGACCAGTGAGACCACTTCCACCTCGATCACCCACACGACTTCGGTGTCCCCGACACCTGCGTCGTCGATCCGACCTCTGTCTTCTTTAGGCAAGACGCGAACGTCATACATTGCTGCAAGCCGATCGTTCTGACTAACAGTTATTGCTCCACAGGCACGACCACCAAGTCATCGTCCTCCTCGTCTTCCTCGTCCACCGCCTCCCGAGCCTCTGGCTCCGAGTCCTCCGGCACCGCCACAACAGCCGCCGCGCAGCTGTCGACCGGAGCCGCGTCCCCTGCGTCCCGGGCTCCCAAGGGCGCTCTGGCCCTGTTCGGTGCTGCTTTGGCGCTCTTCTACGTTTAGGTCGTGGTTCCAGAATGTGCATACAATTCTTTCAATTTACGAAAGAGAAGGGAAGCAAGATGGTAGTTTCTTTGTCAGATCGTGGTTTCTCCATAGCTTTAATAGAGAGCCTTGCACTTGAATTTTACCGTCCATGGGACCCTCCAATTGGGTAAATAGACTATGCTCCTTGCATGTACTATGCTGCCCGGTCGCATCCATGATTCATTGATCTGGAGCCGAATTTTCGGTCGAGTGTCCTGACCGAAGTATGGGGAGTAGGCTGACTCCAGTCTATTAGTGACCCGAAAGGTTGGTGGGTAGGCGATCTTACCTTGATAAACTGGGACTTTTCCAGCGTAAGGCAACTATCCAGAAGCTCGGAGAAGCTACTTCCGGTTGTAGCTGCAGCGTGGATGGCGATATGCGGATTTCCGATCGAAGCCAGGTCCCGCGTCCGTCTCGGCCTATCCCAACATGATGATGTCTGACTTGGGATCACTCTCTACCATGTCCCGGAAGGATTCGTTTACAGGCAAAGAAGATAGAGAATAGAGTAAGTGAACTGAGTTTCAAACATATTACAATGGTTTACTGAATTGCTCCAAGAGCCTCTGCCATCATCGCGAACTAGACTGTTGTTGCGGATGGCGGCTAAGCATTCTGCCGACGCTGCCCTTCTCAGTAGCGAGGCCAGAGCATCGAGAGCATCCAGAGGCAATGCAATATCCTTAGCAAGTTGTTTCTGGTCATCGCAGCATTATACAGCCTGTTCCCGGACTTTGGCTGCATTTATCTTCTTCAGAATCTCCTCTAGTCTTTCGTGGCTTGTCGTGACAAAGTGCAGAAGTAGTGGGCAAAAACATATTCAAAACACTCCCGCAGACCGTTTTCAAGTCTTGTCAGATCTCAGCTTCACCTACACGAATCCTTGACTTAAACCCCGTTTAAGAGTAAAAAACAGTCCAGAGAGCAGCTCGCCAGCCTTCTCCAGCCCTAGAAGCCCTGGTGAGATGACCTCAATCCAGCTCAATCCGAATCGACCCTCTCAATTTTAGCCTCAGGCCCAGCATGCACCGAAATCAACTGCATCTCACCATCGCGCGACCGCCGAAATGACCATTTCGTCTGGTCCCACAGCCCATCGAAACAGACACCCGGATGGAAAGCAGTCAAGCAGAGAACAGCAATCGCGATCATCGCCCCTTCAAGGACCATGAAGAGCACCTGGTTATTAGCCAGCGAGCTGTGGAAGCCACCCTTGAGCTCCGCGACTCGGAAGACCGAGCGCACGAAGATGGCTAGTGTTGCGATGGCTAGACCTGATAACATACTGTGAGCGTCGGCAGACATAGTGGGATAGAATTAGACAGGAATGATGCTTACTTGCGAGAAAGGCCTTCCAGTGGCGGGATTGATGAAGGTCGCGCATGCGGGGTTCGGTGTTTAGCTCGTGCGGGTTCTTGTGCACTTTCCACGCGTAGTCGAGGCAGAGGGCCATGAAGAGCGCGAGCGAAACCACCTGGCTTGCTAGGCCGGCGATCATGATGTTGATACCATTTTGTGCCAGGTCGTATTGGTCTGCGTCGGCGATGGAGGTGATGGCTCCGCCGGCTGCTTGGAGTATCAGCGAAATCAGGTCGCATGTCACGAAGACGATGGTGTAGGTCTTCGGACGGAGGCGTGAGATGCTCTCGCCGTAGATGATCACGATGCGTCCCAGGCAGATGTAGATCGAGGCGCTGAGGAAGGCGGGCCCGATGGTCAGGCAGATCAGGTACCTATTTGCGATCAGATTGAACGGTGCGCAGGAGTAGGTAGGGACGTACTCTAGGTACGAGTTGAAGCGGAATGGGTTGGAATGCAGCTGCAGTCGTCCGGCGTATCCGATGATCTCCAGTACGAGCCCGCCGAATAGACCTGCAAAGTAGCCCCAGGTCCGGTAGCGGATGGCAAGCACCACCTGCGCGGCTAGTAGCACCGCGAAAAAGGCTAGGTAGAAGGCGTTTCCGGCTAGTGATGGGATGTAATAGACGTATGCTTCTGTGATCGGGCAAGTGTCCAAGGTACAGTAGTCTGAGGAATCTGTAGAGTTACTCATGATGCGCAGATGGGAGGTGTTTTAGCTTCCTGGCTCTCTAGGCTGCTTCGGACTGAGTGCTTGGGGTTGCTATCTGTTGATATATAACCACTATCCTGTAGGTGAGGATATATGGGGTAGCCTCACAATAGAAACGCCATGATCAATTGTAGAACAAACCATACGGACCAGAAGTCCTTGTCCGTGTTGGAATGCCGTTAGTACCTCAGCCCGGGGCCCAGCTCCATCTTACCAAGGATTAACAATGTCGATGCCCACGCACTATTGGGATTCTCTTAAAAAGTTCTGGGGACCATTTGCTTGCCAAGACGTTTTGGCCCCTAGGAGAGTGGCTTGTTGCTTCGGACACGGACACGGACACGGACAAGGCCACGGACAAGGACAAGGACACGGGATGCCATAGCATGCCCCCCATAGACACACGGACACGGACGTGGACAACAAGGGGCTAACCCACTGACACGTTGCACTATCTACATACACAGGCTCAAATGCATATTGGTGTAATAAAAAGAGAATGGAGTTCAGCTCTCACTGTGTGAGGCAATTTGTTCATACGCCATAAACAGGAGTGTAAAAGTCCCAGCGAAGAAGGTATAACAATCGAGTAAAGCATGGGCGTATCTAAGCAGAGTTTGAGCTCCTCTGTGATTCTTTATCATGCATTCTCATGAGCTCCGGTAGAGCCATGCTATAGTGTACGGTGTTAGAAATATCCTCCGTACAATTTTCTACAACAAGTCGGCTGAGCCCTGCGCCATCCAACCACCAAAGAGATCATCATACGTATTGGGAAACAAACCCGGCCATTGGAAATCAACTTCGGCTCCGGGAATGGCAGGATAGTCGTCTAGCTCCTCCCTTGTCGCTTGTGAGTCGCTCATATCGGCAGAGGAATAGACCGCGGCCGGGAAGGATTCATTCTGGGATGATCGAGACAGGATCCGACTTTCGAACCACCATTGCGCCTGTTTCAATTTCTTTCCGTAGTGATAAAACACATCGCGGTCACCTCGCGCGTCCATAAGGGACGTGACGAGTGCCTGGATGCGCAGGACGCACCGCCTCAGCATATTGGAGAGATTCAGTGCACGGGTGAGATCAGCTGTATGGGGATAGATGGAGGGCTCCGAGGCGGTGACGACGAGCTTGCAGGCAAGTGTCACTGCGAAGCCGAGCTGCACCCAATTGGCGTTATTGAAGGCGACTTCTCGGCGAAGGGGAAGGGAGATATAGAATTCCAGCAATGTGCGTGCTGCGGTAAGACCCATGCGCAGGGCTTCGATCTGGAACGGGGAATCATGCCGTGGGTGTTGAGCGCTAGGTTTATAGTCGAATAAGATGACCTGACAGAGGTACAGTTCCACGGTCTGGAACTGCATGAAGAGAAGATCTACAACACGGATTTAGCCACACGTTGCTGGACTCAAGTTTGGTCACCGCCGTGGGTCACCTACGGTTCTCAGTGAGTAAGAACGGAAGTCGAGCTTGGTACAAATCGAGTTCTGACCGAATTTCCCGATAGTATGCTTCAACGAAATTTTCGCTCTGAGCATCAGGGGCACGCTGCGAGGATATTGGAAGGATTTTCTCGGACAGCCGCTGAAGTTGAACCATATGCGACAAATGCCGATCCGAATCGTATTCGACGTTTGATGCCAAGAGCGCGCATGCAGCTTCCAGATAAAGGCTGTACGAAAATGAAGATCGCTTCTGCAGTATCTGAGAGATGCTAGAAGAAATCAGCTCCAGCTGATCTGATTGTTTCATCTTGGCTTCCCTCACCCGGAAGAGAACCAGAAGGTTCCGATAACAGCTCTTCTTTCTTCATTTCCCCATGAGATCGTATTCGAGTCGGCTTCACCATCGAAATTCACCCTTGTTCTCCAAAACCGGTACTCTGGGGCACGGTCAAGCTGAAGATCTGTGATAATACTGATCGCGAGATGCAGGTATTGGGAAAATCGGCGCGGCCGTGAGTGGTACTGGCACCTTTGTCGGTATTAGTCGTCAAGACTTGGCTGTCAAACAGGAACAGAGGCCATACCATGCAAGATGAACCAGAAGCCCTTGAAGTATCTCAAAAGACATAGACCCGTCGAAGATCATACATTTACTGATGATCCTCTTGACTTCAACCTCCAACGTCCGCTGCAGGGGCATGTTATCGTACAAAGCCGCAGTGAGAATAGTGAGAAACAGAAACGGTTTCTCCTTGCGCAGGTTTGCTGCGGTCGCGTGCGGCGGGATTATCACAAATGGACAATAAGGCATGAGGGTGGTTCGGTACTCGTGTAAAAGCAGGTTCGCCGCGTTGATAGTAAGGACTCCCTTATCAATCACATCTTTGAGCTGCGTTGGAGCAAAAGCAGGATTCTCGTCAGTCTGACTTGCTCCTGACACAGTTGCATCGTTTGACTGCGCAAGCAGTCGGTCCAGCTTGGCTTCGAGCGCATCCATTCTTCTGTCTTTGCTACTGCTTTCGCTGGCGACTCCAATCGCTCTTCGACCTTGCTGGAAATGACAGGCTTTTCCCAACCGATCGCAACTACTCATGGTTAGATTCTTGTCGTACTAATAACCAACGCCACACCCACCGATCACAGCTCCCTGTCGTGGTGGAACGAATGCATCGGATCTTGGCTCTAGCACAGTTTTGACAGGTTCGAGCAGAGCCATTGGAGTATCGGGGCACCTTGGTGTGGCCACTCATCTCTTGTTGCAGGGCGGATAGAATTGATGATAAGTTGAAGTGTGGGGCAGACACGATGACACGACCTCGCTTGATTTATGTGGGGAATGCGCTTGTCAATTAGAGTGTGGCGGAGCAACTATGAGCGGCCTATAACGGCCTTCAGTAGCGTCGGCCGCCCAAATATAATCACTTGGTAGATAGAAACTGTCAAAATAGCCGGTTTGCTATTGCGGATGGTGACTCCGAGGGATATACCGAGTTCGCAAATGTTACACCTTTATGGCCCGGTCAAAGTGCTCTTGCAACTCTGTGGCCTCTTCCGCTTGAGTTCCGGGTCTCAGCCAAAGCCGGAGAAACATTGTCTGTAGATCAATAATGTTAGCCTGGTTGTCTTTTCTGCGAATATTCCCAATGGGTAACTTTACTGGTTCCCACTAAAGTTGGTGAAGGCTCCTAGAGCGTGGAAAGTACTCGAATTGTTGGCGAACTAGATATCGCTCTTGTCCAGGTCGGATGAGATAGCGTGTTGCTGTTGGCTACAAAGCAATACGGCTTCAACTTCCTGGCGAAGTGTCATCACTTTCAAAAGCGTTAGAAGACAATTAGGTATGGCCTAACTAAGATTCTTCACAAGACAAGTCATGATGCCCAAATGTTTAATCCGTAGAGTTGTCTGAAATAGCCATTAGACCTTACAGTATCGATCTTCATCGTTCCTTATCTTATCTAAGTCACGTGCTGGTCCTCCCACGGATTGGATTAACTGCTTGTCCGGATCAACAAGCAGACCAGAAGACAACACTAAATATGCATGAGTAACAAGATACATCGTTAAACACTGCTAGGACAGCCCTAGCCAGATTATTTGCCAAGCGGTGAAGATGAAACGACACTCAGAACCTCTAGATCACTCCCCCCGCACCAGAACACGTGTCCAAACGCGCCAAGTTGACTCCTACTTCACCTGCCCCCGCCATCCTTCCCTTAACAAAGGAGCATCTGTCTCAATTTGAGTATCAGGTTTCAAGTAGCGTGACGAGAAATGCATACGATACAGAGTCGCAGATATTGTTTTTATCTTCACTCTCTTCTGTGTCTAGGTATAGCTCATCTATTCCACGAAACATGGCCGCACTTCACTCCGCCCAGGACGTGGGTGCGAATTTCCTGTTAAATGACCTTGAGGGGACCGGCGAGCTCATTAGCGACCCAGGAGACACGCTGCTGAGGACACTCGCCTGCAACAGAAAGCCTGGAAGCAACAACTACTATGCCCGAACTTGCGCCGCTTTGTTTTTCGCTGACCACAGAAGGACCCGCCTGTGAGCTGGGGGCGCACTTCTGGATCGAGGCTGAGAACAGCTACTGTATGAGCAATATTGGCATTTGGCGGACTACATAGGAGGAGAGTGTGTCCGACCTCATCAGTAAGTTCTCCATTATTTGAACTGGGGCCCAACACTTTTTCAAGGTGCAATAGTCAAAACACTAACTTGGCAGCGGGGTAAATGCTATGTCTTTTGACTATACTTCAAGCACTGGCCTGCTGGCCCAATGGTAAGGCGCTTGACTACGAATCAAGAGATTGCAGGTTCGAGCCCTGCGTAGGTCATTCTTTTTGCTCGTGCCTCCTTGCCCCGATGGGTCTCTTTTGTCCCTCTCATTCTCCAAGTGCTTCGCTGGACAAATCGATGGTTTTTTTGACAAAACAATGGCGACGTTTGCCGGAATACGTTCCTGAAGGCTAGTCTCAAGGCGTACCTCAACCGAACCTCTTACGAAGGGAGCATCGAACACAAGCATTGTCCAGCATCCACAAACAATACAACAAAGGTCGAACAACCCCGACAATGTCCGACAATGTCCCAGTCAATTCAAGCTAGCAACACCGTGTCAGCATCTTATTGTACAGCTCTCTATATTGAAGTCACAAGCGTGTCCCCAAACCAAACAAAGACATTGTCGGGAACATCTCTTGAGAACAGCCGGAAACCACCCGAATGGCATTGTTGGGATTCTTCCGACCCAAGCTACTGACTGCTGAGAAAAAGCATCGGGAGGCTATAAAATCGCAACCTTAACACCGTGTTCCGGAAGACGATCACACCTGCCTACCGGCATTTCGAAGTTAGAACAGTTCGAAACCCAGCTTGCCGTTAGTTTCACTTCAGTTACAAACGCTCGATTCAACAATACAATGTCAAGCAGCTCTTCTAAACATCAGCCGCCTATCGCCGACGAACAAGGCAGCGGGAATGAAGGGGCAGTCTGGGAAAACCTCTATGAGATCGGCCCAAGTGAGCAGTTCAGCCCTAGTCCAAATCTGAATGTGAAGGTGTCTTGCGAGGTGATCCATACGTTCGATTTTTTGGGCTGGGAGCAGGTCCTCGCTGCCAACAATAACGACGAGTCTGAGGAGGACACACTGTCGAGCAGCTTCTGTACGGACGAGTCGGACGAGGACGACGAGCAGGTGCGACCGATAATCGACCTGGAGAAAGGCGAGGATTTCCAAGGTTTGGATTGGGGACCAGACCCCTCGAACCTCAACATGGATGGCCCTAGCGACACTGGCCAGTCCCCTCCAAGGAGTTGGGAAAGGCTGACAAGCCTGGCACAGACGGCACAGACTCGGAGACAGCCACCCATCAACTTCGGCTTTCTCGACCACCCCTACGTTGATGACTCGGAGGATAGCCTACGGCAGCCGGGGCTGACAGCGGAAGAGACCTTGTCGTTGTGGCAGAATCATATACCTTTTTCGACCCAGCACCAAGCTGGGATCTTCTTCGATGAGGATCAGAACCCTGTGCCAGAGAGACCTTTAGGGATTAGATTTCTGGGCGGAGGTAGGTTCGAGGTGACAACCGAAGTGCCAAACACCGCCCAGCAAGTCTTTCCAGAGGCCCGGGCTCGACGAGCCCAAGAGAGGGCCGAGATGTTGAGCATCCCTCGCATACTCGATCCGGAGGCTTATGCAGAGGAAGCCCAGGAGAAATCTCGAGGGCAGGGCAACTCAGAGGGATTTTTCTCTTCGGCTCAGGCTCAACAAGCTCGGGCAATGACTCCCCAGGTATCCTCTCCTCCGCTGAGCCCTATCGCCCCCGCTTCAACCCAGCCAGAGGCTGCGCCGTACGAACCTCCCCACGAGGACAAAGGTAAAGGTAAAGGTAAAGGTAAAGCCAGGGCGACGACGCCTCCAGTGCCCGCTGTTAGTGCAGCGCCTGCCCAGATTCCCGCACTGGATGATGCTGAAGTTGAGCAGCTGTGTACTGAAGTACCCGACGAGCTATTCCCGCTTGCCGCCTTGCTGCAGCAAATGCGGGATTGCGAGGAGACCGGAGACCTTCTTGCCGCTCTGAACAGCCAATGTCGGATGGGCTTGGCGCAAGGATTGTCGAGAGATCCTCTCAACCAACATGCATTGGGCGGAGACCCCGATGCAGTGGGCGAGATGAATGATTTTCATCGGAAGCTGGCCGAAATCGCCAGCGAGTATATGGCCCGAACGTGGGCGGCTTTTGATCGCCGCCAGATGCTCGCCCCGGGAACCAGCCAGCCCTCACGCGACGAATGGTTGCGGGTCATCCGTATGTTCTATCTCCATGAGATCTGCCAGCGTGAGATGATTATCGCTCGTCGGGGAAGAGAAGCACCAAGGCAGGAACGTGGCTTTGTTTCCGCCAAGGCCAAGGACACGCTTGACGCCCCCTGGCGCAAGTGGCTTCAAAAACTGGCCTTTTGGGAGGCCGAGCAGCTCTTCTGCATCGTGACCTACCTGCGCAGCGTGTTCGACGGCCTTCAGGCCCGCCTTGACTCGAACCACCTACACCGGCTCGAAGACGGCAAAATCCTTCTGCCGCCCAACAACATGAATTTCCACGGCGTGGCGCTGCTCTACGAAGCCCATCGTGTCGAGGATGCAAGCGAGCGCGCGGACCTTCTGACGGCCGACGACCGGGCCTACGTCTGGACCATCACCAGCATGGGTCTGCGAAATCACCTCTCTACTCTCGGTGGCCTTAAAGGCGGCATGATGTTTACTCAGGACTCCTTTCCTGACCCGAGTTCCGGCGCCAAATGCGCTTGGAAATGGAGTCTCGGGCCTAGCGAGAGCATCATCCAAGTTGGGAGGGAGCGCACTGCCGACGCCCGCGACTGGGGATACATGTTCATGGACAGGGAGCGCCTCGAGCAGCATCAGGTGTTGAACCAGCCGTTCCTTGTGCGTGGCTCTCTGCCTCGCGATCGCCCTAGGTAATGAGTGAGTGGTGTCGACTGCTTTTATTTCATCATCTCAATCTAATATGATTAACTAGAAAATTCATTCCTCGTGAATCTATGATATACATCGCATCATTCGCTGAGTAACTCGTAACAACATGAATGACAGACCGCTATGCGCTCTGGTGACTGTCCACCTCGACCCCAAACCCCCTAACCCCAATCAAAAACACCTAAATGACATTCCCCCTAACCTGCCTCACCCTCTTCAACTGAATATCCTTCCACATACAAATCCCCCAAACAGCAGCCGGCAAAACCGCCAACCCAACAACCAACATACGCTTCTGCGCCACCCCATACGCCCTAACGGTAGCCTCGCGCTCCTCCGTGCCAGGCGCAAACTCCAACACCCTCGCAATGGACCCATACAATTCCGCCGCGAGGTACTTTTTCTCCGGGGGGAGATACCGCTCGATGTACACCGGCACGGTACTAGTCCAGATGGCGCCGGAGACCGCGGCGCCAACGGCGGCCCCGATCTTCGATCCCAGCCCAACCAGCGCAAACGACACCGCGATCGTCTCGTGGTTGCCCGTCGCCAGTCCCGCGATCTCCTGGCAGATCACCAGCGTCCCGCCTGCCACTGCCTTCAGGATCTCACACAGGATCACCGAGGTGATGTGGCTTGTTGGCGAGCGGAAGGGGATCATTAGTGCGGTGCCGGCAATGAAAAGGGGGATCGCTGCTAGGGCGGGTGTTTTGAAGCGGCCGATGCGTCGGATTAGGCTATTTGAGTTAGTCTAGTGTCGTGGATTGGGTGGCTAATGGGAAGGGAATGGTTAAGGGGTAGAGTGGGGGGGGTTGGGTTGCTTGGGGCAGGACGTACATTCCCACTGGGATCGAGATGATGCAGCTGCCGATGCTGTAGATGTTGTAGATGTACCCTGTGTCGCGGATGCTGGTGTTGAAGACTACTTGTAGATATGAAGAGAAGTAGAGGTCCCAGCAGCTGCGATCGGGATGTTAGTGTATTGATGATTGAGGAAGGTGAAGGGGCAGGGGCCGTACTAGAAGCTCATGAACATGGCACAAGCCAGCAGAAATGCGCCCAGTAAGGTCGGATCGCGCAGCCGACTGTACGGCACGAAGCAGACCGGTGCGCCCGATCGCTCCCAGTACAGGAAGCAGACCACACACAGGATTCCCAGGACGATCATCGCGATGATGTCGGGCGCCATCCAGCGGTCCATGAGTGAGGTACTCCACATGTTGGTCCCGGAGGTGGCGAGTGTCAGCGGGAGGAGGATTAGGACGAACCCGGCGGTTATGAGGATCATTCCAATGGCTGTTGACATTAGTGGGTGACTTTTTGACAAGCGGGTCAGAACTTACGGTCGAATTCAACCGCGTAGTGGATGATTGTCTCCATCCTAGATCGGTCTTTGGGCTTCGGCTGGATGACGCCCGCCGATTGAGCCTTCTTGCGCGTGCTCCAGAGAAGCAGGAGAAGGGGTGCGGTGACAATGGGGGTGAGGATGGCGAAGATGCCGAATCCCAAATAGAGTGCATCGCGTTCGTAGAGGAACTGAGCAGCCGCTGGCCCGATGAAGGTGGTGATCACGTACGGAAACGAGGCGATGCCGTAGACGAAGGCTCGATTCACGAGCTCGGTTGTGTCGGACATGAAGACGTGGAGAACGTAGTCCATGCCGTTGTAGCCGACCCAGTATATGATCTATTCGTCATGGGTCAGGTGGATATCCCGCCAAGGAGGAAAATAGCATACCTGTGCAGCAACATAGGTCTCGACGTTACGGCAGGCTGCCATCAGTACCAGACCTGAACATAGTCAGTAAATACTCCTTGCCCTGGAGGAATATTGCGAATACCCAAAGTGCACAGCGCAACCATCGCGGCAAACCCCTCAGGGCGGCCCAGGATGTCAATCAACTTGGCAATCGGCAGTTTCGAGACCCCGCCGATGATGCTCGTAAGCACATTGGTCATGGCGATGAGTGAGTGGTCGGTGAACTCGGAGTAGACGTAAGGACTCAGACTGCTGGTCGTTTGCTGCTGCAGGGAATTGACGAAGAAAATGATGAAGACCCTAGGAAATTAGACAGGCAAGAGGAGACAATTCTGCGATGAACGCACAGTGCGTAGCCAGTATACAGGGTCCGGGTGGACCAGACTGAGGCTAAGGCCTCGATCTCGGCCACTCCATGAGACGTATGCTCTGGGGAGGAGAAGTCTGGGGTATCGGGAATAGGCTCATAGCCATCATGTCGCGGGGCCGGGACGTCAGCGGGATGAGTGCGGCGGATCTCTTGGACGATCTCTCTGGCTTCGTGGTGCTTGCTCCGCAAGAAACCGAGCATGGTGGTCGGAGGTCGGAGATTGTCTCTGCAGTCGACGTTTTGGGCACCAGGGACGGTTCCACGGAACCAGAAAATTTTACAGCCACAAACGTGAGAGCAGAGCAGAACATGCAGCGGCCAGCGCTTTTTGTGACTACATGAAAACAACGAAGGTAAGAGGAGGGGGGGGGGGGGGGGGTGGTATGAGATATAGCCTTGGAGTGAACTGTTGACCGCTGTATTGCGGAAGAGGCAGAGACTGCATCAACCTGCAGAACAACCCGGCATTGTGTGCGTCGGCCAGCCTATCACACGCCCGCTCGCACGCCTCGGGAGCGGATCCCCGGCGATAGTCGCGTCTGGCTGTCCTGCCATTGGGTGGCAACCCGAGAGCAAGATTATCAGATGAAAATGATCTGATAAGATCCTGTCGCGCAACTCGGACCCCTCGGGTCATTCAGTCTCTCTTGCGGGTTATGAGCCAGCACTGGATGATGCGTTGGCAGGATTTCTGTTTGTGACTGGTTTTCCAAGGATGAGCACTAACTCCGATCTCTCAAACATCCATGATTGGAGTAGGGAAAGGCCGCTGTTTGCCATCACCACCTCTGTCGGACTGACAGACCCACAGAGAATGTTGATGATGGCCGATGACTGCGATCACCCCGCTTTGATGGCAGATTTTTCGTGCGAGAGTTGTTGAGTGTTTCTGTCTGCGAATTCATGCCTAGCTAATCGTAGCGCGCTCTGCAGGTTGGCATCGAGCAATAGTCGAGCTGTTTGATGTTACTGTTTCCTGCAAGTTTTTTCGTCAGAGTTCTCTTAGCCATATGACAGAAGGTATCGAGAACAGTTTCAAAGGCAAGAAAAAGAAGAGAAAAAGGTCACAGAAAAATGTTCTCATCGGTTTCGCCGGGGAATATTCCTACCCATGGCCGCGTCGGCGCATAAGCACTTTACCCCTCCACGAATCGAACGCAGAACCAAGAGCTTCAAGGCGGGCATCCACTCCCACTGGGCCACCCGGTCCTGCTCTACCGAAACAACTGCGTCTTAAAACTATAGCCCAACGTCCACTAGCCACTTTGGTAAAATAATGCGAGTAAACGCCGAACTCTCTCTGCAGCACAGAACCTGCCGACTCTACAAAAGTATTGGTCCATGTAAGGACAGTGTGTACATCTGACCATGCTTGCTGCTTTCAACACTGCCTGCAGATCCTGTCCTTTTATTTGTTAATTACATGACCCATACTCTTGTCTGCAATGAGCAGTTCAAAAATACGTCAAGACTTGCTATGAAACTCGAATGCTTTGATGTTGAATCCTTTGCGATGCCAAATATCTAATTTTAACAGCCAATATGTACAGTCCGTTCGTTATTACAGCCCCCTCTATCCAGCAGGAGTTAGTTCTTTCCGCAACACGTTCCATTCTCTTCGACCTTCGTCTCCAGAACCTCCAACCGACAGAAACACGAGGCCTTGATGGGAATATCCGCGCCAGCCAACGCCACATTCAGGGCGGGCTCGATGGCCTTGGCCTCCTCCGTGCGGCCCAAGCGGACCAAGCACTCGTGGTAGCCGTGGAGTGCCCAGACGTTGTTGGGGTGTCTGCGCGGGCGGATGAGCGTGTCGTCCAGTCCCAGATCGGCGCGATAGGTCCTGGCGGCCTCCTCGACGTCACCCTGCTCAAGCTTCAGGGCGGCGTACGCGTGACGCGCAGGCTGCATCCACGCCCACGGCTCGCTGTAGGGCAGGCGGTCCTCGAGCTCGACCGCCTCCTTCAGCGCCTCGAATGCCACCTCGTAGTTCTTCGCCCGGTACTCGATCTCACCCGTCAACATCGGGATCCCCACCGCCAGCATGTCGAGCGCCTTGCTGTTGTACGCGCGCCGGGTGGCGGGAACACGCTCGCGCGCGGCCAAGAAGAGCTCTTTCTCGCGCCGGGCGGACGCCACGTCGTGCGTCGCTGCGTAGGCTACGCCGCGCGCATAGTACGTGGTCGCTGTGGTGATCGCGTAGAGCTCCTGGTCCTCTGGCGGCGTCATCTGCTTGAGCTCCTCCCACATACCGAACCGCACCATCACGTGCAGCCGGATGGCCACGAAGTGCTCGATCCAGTCCGCCATGGGCGGCGACTGTGTGCGCAGGAGCGACTCAGGGATACTGGCTTCCATGCGCGTGACGGCGTCCAGCGCAGTCTGCTTCTGCCCGGCGAACATGGCGGCGTACACGAGCGAGTGATAGTCGTGGAGCCGGTAGAAGGTGTAGAAGTTGTTGTGGCCCGCCTTGGCGGCGTAGCGGTCGTCCGCCAGGCTCGAGCGGTAGTTGGACCGGATCGATGCGCGCCAGTCGCCGATCAGAATGTCCAGATGCGTCGGCATGTGGTGCATGTGGCCGGCATCGGGAACGAGATCACGCAGGTGGTCAGCCGCGTAAATGCCCTTCTCGGGCGTGGGCGACATCTCGATGTAGTGGATGTAGAGATGCAGTAGCCCGGGGTGGCGGTAGGCGCCGGGCTGCGTCAGGCCCTTCTCCAGCACGGCTCTGACCTCCGCCGTCGGGGCCTTGGGGTTTGCTTGGCCGGTGAACAGGTCCCAGAGGGCCCAGGGAGTGATGTTCATCAAAGCATCGGCGTAGAGAGTGGCGATGTCCAGGTCGGCGCCGAACTCGTCGTAGACGGGCTTAATTGCCGCCGCATAGGCACGGTTGACGGCACCGTAGTCTTCAATCGTCAAAGGCGTGTCGCGGGGGAAGCGCTCAATGATTGCCTTGCAGAGGCCTTGCTCCAGAGGGGTGGCATTGCTTGACAACTCCAATGCCTTGCGCGAGGCTTCATGGCCGCGCTGGACGCAGACGTGAAGGTCTTTGCGGTCGAAGCGCTCCCAGGCCTTGTTGTAGTTCGGACCGACGGCGTAGGCTAGACCCCAGTAGCCCATTGCAAAGGAGGGATCGTGTGCGATAGCTTGCTCGAAGCAGTAGACAGCCTCCCCGTGGTGGAATGAGTAGACCCAAACCAGGCCACGGTTGAACCAGACGCTCGCATCCTCGCTGGTGGTGGTCACCGTGCGCGAATGGGTGCCGAGGTTGTAGTAGTCTGCACTGGCAGGAATTGTTTCGCGCGTCATGTTGGCAGATGTGTGTGTATGCAAGTGATTCAAGACAATGTCTGTTGAGTGGAGAGGTGGTCTGGTGGTGGTGCAGCCATCAATTTATCTCAGTCTGCGGCATTTCCCCGCTCGGTAAGGCGTGCTGATAACCTAAGCGGCCAGTGGCGATAACAATAACAATCCCCAGAGACCGGGAGTGCAGAGCAGACACCGACAAATATCGTAAGATCACTGCATCTCGAACAGTCTTTTCTTTTCTTCAACCATCCTTGATTACGCTTCATCTCAACAGGATGCTTCGTTCCCATGAGCGTCGCTGTCGTTGGCTGCAAGCCTTTGCTTGAAGTATGGATATCTACCAGCATGGCCTGTCTCGGTCAATGTCTATACTCTCGAGAACTTTGTGAACTTCTTTGGCTTCCGCAGTCTCTTCACTGTTCCGACCTCTTCGACCCTCTGCTAGAGCCTACAGCGCGAGCAATTTCTTCCATGACTTCCCAGTTTCACATTATCAGGAACTTTGTCAGATGTTGAACAGTCGGCGAATGAATTATGCGAAGAGCATTACTGCCAAGGCCGAAGCTCAAACACCGAGCATGAATGGACTGTCCTGATTGGACAATCCAAGTCAATACTTTCTCCGGGGATCCGATCTCCGATCCGTCCATGCTTTTTGATCTTGAGTTGGTTGTCTTATCGGGTCGCCGTTCAAGGTTTCACTTGTTGCTTCCCCACTGCAGTGCTGACTGTGATCAAATGGAATGAATCCTTACTCACTCACTCTTTCTTTGACATTTTCTCACACGCCTGTTCAGATCCAGCGCGCCAATGGCCACTGCAGAGCCCACCACCTGGCAATGGATCCAGGGCCTGCTGGAGCCGGGCCAAATGCTGTGGATGGCCATCAAGAGTGCGTCCGCATCACCCGCATTGCCAAACCCCCACTGACACTGACAATTACACTCCAGGCTACCTCCACGTCTCGTTCGAAGCCGTCTTCCACGAGGGGCGCATCCTGGCACCCCTCCTGGACACCCAGCGGTTACGCGATGAAGCCTTCGGTCGCTTCTGGGTCGCCTTCAGCAGTGAGTAGCGCCAGCCCACTCCTCCCTCATACTCCCATCCCCGAACAGTCCAAACCACCACTAACACTACGCAGCGCCACCACCATCCCAATCCCCCAAAACCCCCCAAACACCACTACTACAAACACCAGAACAAATAGAACACCCCCAACAACCCCAACAACCCCAACGAATCACCGGCTCCGCCGACCTCATCCCCCCGCTCCTGGCCACAGCGCAAGGCATCACCCTAGACCTAGGTCCCGGCACCGGCACGCAAATTCCTCACCTCCGCTCACCAGCCATCACCGCGCTCTATGGCATCGAACCCTGCCACAAGCTACATCCGACGCTGCGCGCCCGCGCCGTAGCCGAGGGGCTGGGCGAGAAATACACGATCGTGGGGTGCAGTGCCGCGCCGCATGAGCTGGTTCCTGCACTAGAGCGGGTGGGTATCGTCTCCGGTGGTGTCGACACGATCCTGTGCGTGCGCGTGCTGTGCTCTGTGCCTGAGCTGGAGGACACTGTGCAGGGACTGTATGGGTTGCTTAAGCCTGGGGGGAGGATGATCGTCGTTGAGCATGTGGTTTCTTCTTGGGGCTTTGGCGATCGGAAGGGCTCGGTTGTCGCGAGGTTGTTGCAGGGGTTGTATGAGGTGCTTGGGTGGCGGTGGTTTGTGGGGGATTGCGCTTTGACTCGTGATACCGAGCGGGCTTTACGTGGTGCAGCGGATAGGGATGGGGGGTGGCAGAGCGTGGAGCTGGAGAGGTATTTTGAGGGGTGTATTATGCCGTATGTTGCTGGGGTTTTGGTTAAGAAGGGGGCCGGTCCTGCGGCTGTTTCTAATGGGTTTGGGACGGGGGTTGGGGTTGAGGGGGGCGGGGGTTTGAAAGAAAGGGGATAGACAATTGGTTTCCGGGTAGAGGTCCAGGGAGCTGAAAGAAAGGGGGGTCCGGGGGTTCTCTCCCGGAATATATATACTACTAGTATTCAGATTGAGTTTACCAGGAAGCTGAAAGAAAAAGGGGGTCTGGAAGTTCTCCCCCAGACGTCAAATAAATCAACTGGTTTTCGGGGGTGGCGGTTGAGGAAGTAATTGGGTGTTTGGTTGGGTTAGTGCATGGTGTATCAAGATTTTGAGAAGAGTTACGGTGGAGCTGTCTAGTGTAATGAGTACTTTATGACTCGAATCGAGTTATGGATGAATTGTCCCTGCCAAGTGACTGGCATACTTCCACATCATCAGTCCAGAATCTCAACTACGGACAACAACAGGCTCTCTCGGACCGAAAGCATCATCAAGCGAAGGTATGTACAGGAAATCATAACACAGCAAGAAAGCCATTATCCCCCCACTCCGCTGCTGACCGCTCAGCTGCTGGGCTCACTGAACACGGTCGAGAAGGCGGCCGGGGTCTGGAACACCGGCTTGCCGTTGCTGACGCTGAGCGGCTGCACCATCGTGTGGCGGGTGTCGTCGCAGGCGCCGGAGCTGTTGTTGGACGCGTGGTACGCGATCCAGGTCTCGGAGCCATCGGGACTCTGGAAGAAGCTGTTGTGGCCCGTGCCGTAGTTGCCGTTGGCGGAGGACAGCACACATTTGTCGCCCTTGATCCAGGCGCTGGCGGAGGTCGGCACGGTCGACCCGTCCCAGGTCAGCAGGGCCACGCAGTAGTAGGCCGTCCAGCAGTACGAGGCCGAGTAGGCGAGATACGTGGTGCCCCCGACGTACAAGGCCGCAGGGCCCTCGTTGACCGGGGTGCCGTGGGTCTCGAAGTCCTCGGTCGGTTCCGAGATGACGGAGATGCTGCCCGTCACCGAGACATAGTCGTCGCCGAGCTTCTGGATACAGAGCGACTGGTAGGTCACCCCGTGGAAGCAGGAGAACACCAGGTAGTTGCCGTACTCGTTGGTGCGGAGAACGGTGGCGTCGATGGCCCATTCGTCCGACAGCTGGCCAGTGTAGGTGTAGTCATCCCAAGGAGTCGATCCGCCTGACAGAAAGGTTAGCATTCGGCTGTTGGGTGCGATCGACATAGTTCCTACCTGTGAGGACGTGGAGCCGCTGGCCGTCTAGGTCAGTGGTCTCCCCAGCAGTATAGTAGATATACCACTTGTCGCCCAGGTAATGAACCTCGGGGGCCCAGACGTTGCAGCAGCGTCCGGCGGTGGAGGTGGAATAGACGACCTTCTTGGTGGCGGTCTTGAGCCCATCGATGGTGGTGGCTCGGCTGATCTCGAGATCGGTCCAGGTGGTGGTCATCAGATAGTAGTAACCACCGGTGTAAACGAGGAAAGGATCGGAGCCTCCGGGGTTGCGGATGGGGTTGGTATAGGCCCCAGCGGTGGGCAAGAGGGCCCACAACCCGAGCAGGGCCGTCAACAGGCGGGTGATGATTGATCGGGGCTCCATCTTCACGTTGGTTGGAGTCTGCAGCTGAGGATGCTCAGTACAGCACCGTTGTCAACCCTTTATATAGATGGCATTTTGGCTGCCAAGCCTTGCACCCCACGGGGATTCCTCGCGTTGGTGCATCAAGTTGGATGGACTCCCACCGGAGAGATACCCTTCGCAGTATAATGGCAGGTGGTTGAATGCGGGGGGGGTTGTTCACGGAATTGCCGAGGCTTGGCTGAGGATAAATTCCACCACTCCTGCTTCCACGCCCAGGCTGCCGATGCTGTCCGCGCAAATCGGCTAAATTTTGCAGGGCCATCATTGGTCACGCGCGAGTTTGGCGCAGGAACCGATGCCAACAGCCGCGGTGCGATGACGTTTGGCGCGGTGGAAGCCAGCGTCTTTGCATGCATGCTGAGCCATCATACGAGCCCGACCCGGCCTATTGGTCTCACAAGGCCCTCATACCATGTGTTTATCGATCCTCGCGGATTTGTGATCGAACGACTCAGACTTGCTACTAATGCTGTGCGAGCATGAAACTTCAAATCGATCGGTACGAGCGTCGGTATTGCTATGGAATTAGGACAATGGTGGCACAGCATGTACTGTCCCTGTCGTATTATGCGTGGTGGTCAATCAAAATTTCAAGAGGGATGCACGTGTGGTTCACAAGATTATTTCCTCTGTGGTGCTACCATCTCTTAAGCTTAAGTCAACTTCTCCCTTTCCTATTATCACTATATCCCATCTCATATATCCCCAAGGGCAGCCACTCCCCACTAAGTTCCTAAGTCTTAATATCGCGCGCGGGCGGGGAAGTGGGCCGAGGGGACAAGAGACCAGGTGTCTCTAACACAGAGGAATTTGGAGAGGCAGCACCTGAGCAAATAAATAAATATCTGTATAAACTAAGCAAAAACATACAACAGAAGGGATTCGCTGGTGGTCACCCACCCAACTACTAACCTCCCGGCGTGTGGCTTAAGTACGGCTGAGCGGACGGGAAGCCCTGTTTTCCACACCCTGTGGTCGTATGTACTGGGGATGGGATAGGAAAGACTTATGTACCCACGTATAATCTCTTCAAAATAATATCACGTATATCGGAAAGCATCATGAAAAGATGATGATGGATGATGGCGCTTTGAGGCAGAGAAAGCCGACCGGAGCCGGATCGGACCGTAAGAGCCGACGCTAGTCCTCTTTTGCTTGATCACTGTCCTGTTCCATGGAACCGGTGAGCCCTGTCAATCTTTACCGCTTTATGACAGCTGCCAAACAGTGCAAACCTCCACCACCAGCCCACAGCACGCTCAAGCCACAAACCCGTCGGCTCCAGCCACACTACGGCCACGCACCAGACAGGTGACGCGGTGATGACCGGCAATATATTCTGGCTCGCTACCATGGAGCCAACACGAACACACACGAACACCCAGCAACCACGACTTCATTGTCGAGAACCACACTTCTTCACTCGTCCTCCCAAGCTCTGGCCGCAGTACGACGAAGCAACAACACCAGCATCGGCGGTAACAGACTACATTGATAAGCAATGGATTGAACTATCCATCTTGAACTTCCTACTAACACTACCCATCTCCTCTTAGATACATTTATCGAACTGCATGCGGATTATAGACGATCTCATTGTCTGAACCATCAACAGTACCATCGTCCTCGTACGAATGAAATGCCTTGAATTATGATAACACATTAAGTCTAGTTTGTATTGTTCTATCCGCGCTGCGAAAGAGAGACTGCGCCAGCACTGAGGTTAGCGACCGAAAAAAACAGCATATCCCCACCATTCCACGAGTATTTCCCCCGAAAATCACTGGAAAGCCGCGAAACAGGTGCTGTTGGCCTGGCTCTCCTCCCAGCCAATGCACTTCCAGCAGCTCAGCAGACCCGAGGGGTCATACTTGTGCTTGATGGACAGCAGCTTGTCGTAGTTCTCAGTGCCCCACCAGGACTCCCGCCAGTCCTCGGTGAAGGGGTTGGCCTCGTTGCTGTACGCGCCGCTGCCGGGGGTGATGCGCTCCAGCGTCGCCGTCATGTTCTGCAGCGTCGCGATCTTGGCCTCGCGCGTCTGCAGCGTGCTGTTCCACGCCCAGCTGCTGCCGGAGCCCAGCTCCCACACGGCCTGTCGCCACGCGGGCGTCGCGCTGGTCGAGCCCTCGGTGTAGTTGTACAGAACGGGGCCGACCACGGGGATGTAGGGGGTTTGTCCGTTCTTCTGGATGAGCGCGAAGAAGTCCATCAGGTTCTGGCGGCCCTCGGCTGTCTCGAAGACCGACCGCGGCACCAATCGGCTGCCCGCGAAGTGGGTGACACCGACACTGACTGCCTCGGAGGTCACGTACTTGGTGTAGAAGTCGTACCAGGATGCAAAGTGCTCAACCACGGCGGAGCCGCCCTGCGCCTTGGCGTAGGCGATCACCTGCGCCAGCGACTCCTTGGCCTGCGCGACGGTGAGCAGAGGCGAGACGTTGATCAGGGTGCTACCGGTGATGTGGCCACCCCAGCCCTCCTCGGCCCACTTGAGGGTGTTGTTGACGACGATGTCCATCCAGGGGAGCACGTTGGTGGAGTTGCTGGTGAACTTGACAATGGCTGCGACAAAGCCGAACCGAGGCTCAACCCGGTGGGTGCTCTCGAGCACAACACCGAAAGTGCCACCACCACCACCACGGAGGGCCCAGAAGAGGTCCTGGTTCTGGCACTCGTTGGCGATTCGCAGGTTGCCGTCGGGAGTCACGACCTTGTACTGGACGACACGGTCGACACCCAGACCGTAGACGGGAGACAGCACAGAGTGGCCGCCCATCTGGACCCAGCCACCAGAAAGACCGACCGTGGGGGAGTAACCACCCAGGATGGTGACGTTGTGCTCGTGGGCAAAGGCGTAGGCCTCATTGAAGTTGACACCGGCACCAGAAGTGATGGCATTGTAGCTGGTGTTGGCCGGGCAGCCCTGGGGGACGAAGGCAGCGTCGTAGCTCATGTCCTGCAGCTGTCGGGTCCACAGCGCAAGGGTGCCCTTGCCACTGCTGCGGCCGAGGTAGTCGTGGCCACTGTTTTTGATGACCACCCGCATGCCAGAGCAGCGAGAGTACTCGAGGGCGGCACTGACATCGGTGGCATTCTGCACCTCGATGTAGTAGGAGGGCATATTGCCCTGGCGGCAGTCGGTGCCATCGAAGGCCAGAGGGTCGGTGGGATCGCTGTTGTCCAGCACACACTGATCCTTGGGGTTGGATGAGCACATCTCATCCTGGTAGTTCATGTACCCATTGGGCGTGTTGGTCCGCAGGTACGGGTCGCTGTATTTGGCCTGAATGTTGGCGCAAGCAGCATCGTTGGGGGTGACGGCCTGTCCATTATAGCTGGAGAAGCAAGGAAGAGAGAAGGGCGTCAGAGGCTGAACACGACCTCCGACCGTGGTGTTGAGGCCACTCAACGAGCAGTTGCTGGAGGCAGAGGCCAAGCCCAAGAATTGGACAGCCAATGCCGCAAACGACATTTTGTATCCCGAAGACGCCATTCTGCCACGCGAGAATGAGACAATTGAGATGGTTGAGGAAAATGGGAAATCTCTCCGACGATCTTGCCTCAATTTATTTACCACGAGGGCCCAGCACCTGAGGAAAGAATCTTCCGGATAGCGGCACGTTCTGCACGAGTCTGGGCTGGTCAGTATCTCCTGTCTCTGGTGCGATGGCGCAGGCTATCGAATGTTACGATTCATGAAGTGGAGGAGTACTGGGGAGTCGGGACTGTGTGGGATGAGGTCCGACCTCCGACTGTGCGACTGTGCGACTGTGCGACTGTGCGACTGTGCGACTGTGCGACTGTGCGACTGTGCAGGATGCGAGAGACATAGAAAAAAATAGGGAGGCTGCCAGGCACCACTAAGTGGTTTAATGCCACAGCACACAGAAGAACCCAAAACGCGCCCCCCTCCATACCGGGCCCACCCGCAGCTCCATCGACCCTCCATCCAATTCAATGGCTCAACCAGTGGACCGGATGGTGGAAATGGCCGAGTAGTTTTTTTTAAGGTTTCGACGGTGATTCGTGGCGCTGGCTTCTTTGAGCGCCACCACGCTTAACTGTCTTTAGGGCTCGGGGGACGTCCGAGGCAGGTGTCCGCAATCGAACGACCAGCTTACACTAGAATCCCTCGTCCCTTCATAGCCTCGGAACAGCATGCATTTGCAGTCAAGTGGAATCCTTCCCAGCGAACCGCTGTCTCAGATAGACCATCCCAGGCATCCACTCGACTTTCTATTTCTTTTCCGGTGGGATTGTTCCTGCAGGGCAAGTGTCTCTTCTCCCCCTGAAAGGCACCGCATCCCTGCCTCGCCACGCGGTCAGTCCAGTCCGTCTGTGATACTGCATGACGATCTTCAGCATCCCCAGACTCTATAGTCTTCACGATTCTGGGGATCTCAGGAAGGTGCGGATCGAGGCCGAAGGACTAGGCAGGCCGGGGATCGCAAGACTCCATTGCTTGGATCAAACTCTTCTTAACACACGATAGTCTTAGATCGCGAAGTCAGATTGTTTGACCCAGCCCCGGAGGAACTTTAAAGAGTTTAAAGAGTTTAAAGCGGCCGCAGCCATGGATTCGTCTTCAATAGTAAGGGAGATAGCCTTTCTAGGAGCTTTGCAGCCAAACGGTGCGTGGTCGAAACCGGATGACAAATTTTAGTGCCCCTCCTTCGGTCGGTGTCTTTTGTGCCAGACAAGTCCCCAGTCCCCAAATCCTGTCCGTTAAGGTTTGGTGGCGACAGACAGCACAAATCTAATAACATTAAGTCGGCGAGCGAACCTCGAAAGGGATTCTCTACCCCCCGGCAAAAATTTCTCCTGGCCCGAGGAAAACCTTATATGGAATTGTGCTCTGCCCTGTCGTCGTCGTCCATCATCTGAAGGGCTGGGCTGACTGACTCGTACAGTCCGCGATGCAGGATGACTTACGAGGAGAATAAGTACTGGAAGAATGCGTTGATCATCATTCCCATTGTGGGAGCTGTCATCGCGACCTTGACCTATGTGTTACGCCTTTATTCGCGCCGGATCACGACCGCCGGCTTGCAGTTGGAGGACTGGCTGATGGGAATCGGCTTGATTCTCTCCTACTGTGCAACGGCATTCGTGGTAGACAGTGAGTTTGGTATTCTGCGTTGGTCTCCACGATTCGCTTGCTGACGATGTATGCAGCTGCTTTCAATGGGGTTGGTCTGCCGCTCTCGTCCCTCCCGGACAAGGAACGGCATCGCATTCAATTTGTATGTTGTGATCAATTCTGGAATTCACCCCCCGCTGCTCTAACCGCTCGTTCACCTGGCAGGGATCCTGGATGATTCAAAAATTCTGGTCTCCGTCCGCAGCTTTCACCAAGATTAGCATCGTTGTGTTCCTGAAACGCCTGCTCGGCACGTTGCGCATTTATACGATCGTCTCCAATGTGTTGATCGGCTTCATCGCCTGCTGGGCCGTCACTGCCGTGCTGGTGAACATCTTTCAATGCACGCCTGTCCAGTACTACTACGACAAAACACTCAACGGGCACTGCATGAAGGGCCAGCGGTCGTTCTTTCAGGCCATGGGATCGATTTCTCTGGTCGAGGATGTGATTGTCTTGTTACTTCCCGCCCCAGTCGTCTGGGGACTACAGATTACTACACGACAGAAGATCGCTCTGACACTGGTTTTCTCGCTTGGTGGATTGTGAGTTCGTGCTCGGATATAGACTTGAGCAGCAACTGACTTTTGGCCAGGGTTTGCATCTTCAGCTTGATGCGATTGATTGAATTCCGCAATTTCGCCACCACCGACCTAGCTTGTGAGCATTCCTGGACTCGATCTGTTTTGTCGATGACCACTAACCAAGTATCAGCGTCGAGTGCAAAGGAATCGATTTGGACATGTCTGGAACTCGACGTCGCCATCATTTGTGGCTGCTTGCCGCTGATGAAGCCCTTGCTTCAGGGGTTTTTGGGCAAGGTCAAGAGCGGAGTGTCTAAGGGTCGCTCCCACCCCTCGTCCGCCACGAAGCTCTACGGATTTCAGTCGAGCAACACCCACCACGACGGGTTTCTCCAAATCAACGACATGCACGGCTCGCAGCTGTCCAAGGGGACGAACGTTGCGGCCAGCGCCAGTCGACATAGCTCAGATGTAGAGTTACAAGGCATTGCCGTGCACACGATTATCGAACAGGACATCGATGAACAGCCGCACTTAGCCTCGTCGGAGTCGGTGTCCAAGAGCGTGTCCAACCACGGGTGGCCTCGTTGAACATGCGACTGGTGCCCGGTCTCGAAGCCTCTCTATTATGCTTTGTTAGAATCGGTGGTCTGGACCGTGGTGAAGTGGTCGGCCAGCGCCCGTGCTCGCCAACCCGTTATTCTCCGCCCAGGATAAACCCTCAAACCACCGTACCCAGTCGGACACCTTCCAGTCCACATTCACTCCTCCGCATCATGAACAATTATCCAGACCTAATTCATGTCGATGATACCCCTTTAAAATTTTATTTCTGTTTCCCTTTCACATCTGTCTTTCTCAGTTCACCCTTAATTTGTTGACAGGGTTTCGTCCAATTCGAATTTGTCACTGAAGGATCCGAGCCAAAGCTAAATCCAACACGCAGCACACGCCATGTCTCACTTAGCGAGCGAGCACAAATCGTCCACCCGCTCAGACAATTTCATCCACTGTAAATAATGATGTCACGCTGATCCCGGCTTCCCCGGAAGGCAAATAAAGAAAAATGCACAAACCCTCAAGCCGGGGTTTCTCCAGCCTGTTCAGACAGATCGTCCCCCGGTTCGAGCGACCGTGGACGGCCAGAGTCTATTGCGGCTGACAGCCACGGATCGGGTGATTCGCTCGGGGATGGCTTTGTTTTCCGGTGGAGCACACCGGGAAGGGAAGGGTCCCACCCAGCGACAAATCCACACAGATGTTTGGTTTCTCCAAGGTTGTTTCCCTGGAAGCTGGGAACAGAATATAGCATTCCAAAAACTATAACTCTAACCCTTGGCAAGTTTCCCTGGATAAATTTGTGGCCTGCTCGAAGACTTTTCTTTCGAGGACATTGCTGCATCTGATAAGCGGGCCGTCGATTTGGCCAAATTGGGAGAGGATCGGCATGCCGAGACGGGCGGTTTCTTGGTTCCGATTGATTCCTTAGCAACCGAGAAGAAGCCAACGCGAATGATTGAGCTTCGGACTGCGGTGTTCTGCATTGGGGAATTGCAGTTCCACTTTCCTTTTTCTTCCAGGCACCGTGTCTCTCAGATTGACCGGTGCATTGACCTTGTAATCTAGTTGATATGAGTTCACGCGGTGAATACACATGTGCCAGCTACTATGGCTGCATGCTGATCATAATCTAAAGCTTGTTGTTTCTTGCTTCTTATTACATTTGCATAATGGATGCTTCATGACTTGGTTTTGGAATTACTACGAAGTTGATACGTCCGATTGTTACCCATTGCGTAGATCTGTTAATTAGAGATGTTTCCATATACTACAACCGGAATTAACCCTCTGAATCTAGAGATGACACAGAACGCACACTTCGAGGCGGATCCTGATATATACCAAGCTGGAGTAATGCTTTCCAGGGACTATCATGTTTAGCACCAAATTGAACTGCCGGGGCTAGTTCCCGTTGCTTGAAGTTCAAGGGATTGTAGACTCATATGAGAACAACGAAGGCATATACATTGGTCGAGTGTGCCAATTTGCAAGCTAGGATCATAACGGCATAAACCCCATATCCATTGTATACCAGCAAGCAAACCGAAGTAGACAGACTAACCCCTCCGCCGAAACCTCTTCTCCTGCACCGCCAGATACTCAGACGACTCGCTCACGAGCCCGACAGGCTTGGCCATCTCGACCTCACCCGGTGCTGAGCCCCATCTGCAGCTCATCTTCTCCTTCCTCTTCCTCTTCAATGCCTTCATCTCCCTCCGGCTCAGCCGCTATACTCAACAACGCTCGTGCCTCAGCGCAGGGTTAGACGGCTATTCAGCGTACAGCTCCTCCATACTACTTTGACCCTCATGCACATCCATACCGAAAAAACGATAACACAGTTCCGTTGATTGCTCCTAGTGTACAAAATCTCGCATCAAAGCACAACCCATTCAGCCTTCATATACACAAACACTCCCATCCAGACAAGCCCGTACATCTGATTAATCACCACAACCACCAGCTCATTCCCTCCCCACCCCTACACCTAACTTCTGCCTCCCAGGGACCCCGACCTAGAAGAACGCAATCGGATTGACCTCATCCCCCTCCACCGTCTGCTGCACATCCCAATGCTCAACCAAGCACGTCCCCACCATGCGAATAATATCCACGAGTGCCGACTCCTTCACCTCAGCCGCATGTCCCCCTTCCCCGTCCGCTGTCCGAGACTCCGTCGCCGTCGACAGCGGCACGACCCGCGTATGCGCGACCCCGAACACATTCCCCGCTGTATCGTAGCCCACGAACGCGCGCAGCAGCTGCGAGTCCACGCGCGGCACGATCGCCGTTAGCTCGTTGAGCGTCGCGTGCACGCCTGTGCTGCTCACCACCGGCGCGTGGTTGATGTAGCCCCCTGCCACGTACTTGGTCATTGCCTCGTTGAGGCGCTGGTGTGTGTACATCAGGTCCGTGAACTCTATCCATGCGGATAGTTGCTCTGCTGGGCTTGCGGTGGGGGTTGTTGTGTTGGGACAGTTTAGGAGGGTGAATTCGTCGGTTGGTTGTGACAGTGGCGTCGCGGTTGTTTGGGGGAGGGAGGTGGTTAGGAGGAGGATCGTGGTTGTGATGAGGGCTTGGAGGTGCATTTTGTTTGCTGTTGGGGTCTGGGGATGGTGGGTTGGGGGGGAAGTGTGGTTGTGTTGTGTTGTGTTTGTTTGGTGGTGAGTTTACGTGTAGGACGTGTATAGACCGGGCGGGAATGTTGCGTGGAATGTTGGTCGCTCTCTGGGTTACCCCAGGATAATAGGATTACATAGAGAGAGTAATCATTATCGAGGGCCAGGAAGCTGAAAGAAAAGGGGGGTCCGGGGGTCTCCCCCGGGACGCTTACCTCTGGTCTCAGATTGAGGTACTGGGAAGCTGAAAAGAAAGGGGGTCCGGGGGTTCTCCCCCGGGACGTCCTATCTCTGGTTATAGGATTGAGGTGCCTGGGAAGATGAAAGAAAGGGGAGTCCTAAGGTTCTCCCCCGAGACGCTATAGGAGCCTGTGTTTTTCAATTTGCGGTGGTAGAAGTAAGGCGTGAAAATGGTTCATATCGGCACCGACCGTATCTAGCTGAAAGTCTATCTAGTCTATAACATGTCTATTAGATCGGCTCATCCCGGGGCTCGATCAAAACCTCATTGACAGAAACATGCGCTGGTTGACGCAGCGCGTACACGATCGAGTTGGCAATGTCCTCCGGAGCCAGAATTTCGGCCCCCGACGGCTCGCCGTACTTCTTGATGGCCTCCGCATCCGTAGACATCCCCAGCAGATCGGTAGCAACGTTGCCGGGCTGCACGCTCGTCACCCGCAACCCGGTGCCGGCCGTCTCCAGACGCAAGGACTGCAGCGTAGCCTCGACGAAGAACTTACTGGCCGAGTACACACCCAGCCCCGGGAACACTTTGCGTCCGGCGTCGGAAGATATAGCCACAATGTGCCCGGCTCCCCGCGACAGCATGCCCGGCACAGTAGCCGATAGGCAGTGCAGCAGACCCTTGCAGTTCACATCCACGGTCCGCTCCCATTCATCCGTCTGCACGTTGGCCATCATAGTGAAGTACATGACTCCTGCGCACGAGACGAGGATGTCAACAGGACCGAGTTCCTGGTTGGCATCGTGGAAGAGAGCGTCCACCTGGGCCTTGTTGGTGACGTCCGTTTTCCTGGCAATGATCTTGCCGCCGTAGGATGCAAGCTGCTTCTTGAGCGACTCAAGAGCCTCGACGCGACGAGCGGCAAGAGCAACGTGACAGCCATCCCGTGCGAGAGCAGTCGCGACTGCCGCGCCAATGCCCGAAGACGCTCCGGTGACCACGGCAACCCGACCGCTCAAGGGACCTCGAGCCAACTTGGCCGCTCCGTTCAATGCCTGCTGGCGCACCGGGGGCTTCGACAGCCATCCTCGGGCAAACCAGTGACGCGTATAGGTCTCAAGCAACGCCTTATCCACCTTGGGACGTTCCACACATGTGCGGAAGGGCCGGGTGGCAGCATTGTCTAGCACGACGATATCCCGCAGGAACTCCACGGTAGGCATGCCACTGCGAAGGATATCCACAGTGAACCCACCGTCACCACCCTTGACATTACTGCGTGTCTCGTTCCACAAGGCCACCCACTCATCCCAACCCAAAGGCTTGGTGGGGTAGCCCAGCTCATTCAGAGCAGCAAACACATCCCGCGTGTCGACGGGCTTGGGGTCACCGAGGTGGAAGATAGTCTGCTCAGCATGGGTCTGCGTGGCAAGGTGGATGATGGCCTTGCTGACGAAGTCCACCGGAGTCATCTCCGCACGCCAACCCTCAACATCAGGGGCGTAGCCCAGCTTGATCGACTCCACGATCAAGGCAGAGAGAAGATCCCAGGCATTGGCAGCACCAGTAGTGCTGTGTCCACTGATGGTGCCGGCACGGTGGATCTTTACCGGCAAACCCCGCCGTCCGGCCTCCAGAACGAGCTGCTCGGCGACCCACTTGGTCTGTCCGTATCCGTCGAGGAGCTTCTCCGGCACATCCTCCACATCCAACAGCGTATTCTCCGGCCAGCCTTTCTCGCCCGAGGCGGGCAACACCCCGTTGGTGGACACATATTGCACCGTGGCGCCACTCTTGCTGGCCAGGCGAAGAATTTCTCTCGTTCCTCCGACATTGGGTCCGCGCAAGGCGGCATAAGGATACACCAGGTTGACCGTAGCCGCAGCGTGCACAATGACCTGGACCCGGGCTGCCAGCTCGTCGAATGCCTTGGCCGAGAGACCGAACCGTGTGCGCGAGAGGTTTCCAGGCAGGATCTCGACACGCTCCATGACGGAATCCCGCCACAAGCCGAGATCGAGAAGATTGCGGCGGATACGAGCCACACCACCCGGCTGATCATCGTTCGCCGGCTCGTTGAACCGCACCAAGCAAATAATATGGGCGGAGGTGTTTTCAAGCAGGTCATGGAGCAGGAAAGCGCCCAAGAAGCCTGTCACACCTGTCAAAAGCACGGTGTCGGCTTTGTCGATGGAGCAAACTGTGGCAGGGCTGGAAGGTTTAATCTCATCGTCGAGCGTAGCGTCTGCACGTAGGACAGCTGGGAGGTCAGCTTGCACCGCAGCCGTGTGTCCATCCCGAATGGCCCGAACGGTCTCCAGATGACCGGTCAGGGTTGTGGTCTCGGCCAGACGAGCGATCGGGACACGAAAGCCAAAGTGTCGAGACAAGCGCGAGGATAGATCGGCGAGCGACAAGGAGTGCCCGCCCAGATCGAAGAAGTCATCCGTCGGCTTGAGCAGGGCCTTGGGTGTCTTTAGAGCTGCAGCCCAGCAGGACGCTACCTGTTCCAGAGTAATCGGATCTTGGTCGGCCGCCTTGCCATTACCGCTGATGTGGGCGTCAGTCTTTGGGGGAGGCAGACGTTTGAGGTCGACCTTGCCAGTCACATTATGAGTAGGTAGTTCCGGCAGCACCACCCACAGTGCAGGAATCATGTAGTGCGCCAGGGACTGGGCGAGGAGGCGGCGGGCGGCGGGACTATACCCTGCTTCGTTGACCTCGACCGTGGGGCGACCGGCGGGATTCTCGTCGGGCACGATGTACGCGACCAGCTGTCGCTCGAGACCGTCACCATGTGCGACCACCGCACAGTGGCTGACCGCGAGGTTCTTGACAATCTCGCTTTCCACCTTGGCGGGAACGACGGAGTACCCTCGCAGTTTAATCATCGAACCCACGCGACCGGTAATCTCCAGCAACCCAGACGGCAGCAGACGTGCCAGATCACCAGTCCGATAGCGACGCGACCCAGGCTGTGTATCACCGGGATTCGAGATGAAAGCTTTGGCCGTTGTCTCGGGCAGGTTGAGGTACCCACGGGCGAGGAGGGGGCCGCCCACAAAAAGCTCTCCACTCACTCCCGCCTCGACCTGCTGGCCACTCTCGTCCAGGATGAAGATCTGCTTCGGATCCAAGGGCGGACCCACCGGGCAGTAGGTCGCTTCATCATCGATCATCTCGCGAATATCGCCACAGGCAATCTCGTGCGTTTCGCATGCACTGTAGCAGTTGAGGAGGCGGGTCTTGGGGAGGGCTTTGATCGCCCGGCGGGCCAGGTCCGTCGTGACCACTTCACCATTCAACCAGAGGGTGCGGAGCTCGGGCAGACGTTCATTAATGTGGGGATGACGCTGCAGCACGGTGGCCAGCAACGTGGGCGTCATCAGAGTTTCGGTCACCGTTCTCGCTGCCAGTAGATCGACCAGGGCCGCCGGGTCATAGCTCACATCGTCCGGCACTGTCACCACGGTGGCTCCCCGCAACAGCGGACGCAGAATTTCCCAGATGAAGAAGACGTTGCAGGCCACGCGGTCGCCAGGGTGCAGGTCTTGTACTCCAAATCGCAGATCATACGAGAGAACGGGAGCTCGGTGGGGATTGGCAATCCCCTTGGGCTTGCCCGTCGTTCCGGACGAATATGAGACGAATGCCAGTCGGTCCAAGTCGTCGTCGGCTGGCAAGGGCGCCGGCTCGGCGGCATGTCCATTGGCATGGGCTGCTGGCTCATCGAGCACAATTAAGGGGACGTTGGCCTTAATCTTGCCGACTTCGGCACGGTGGGTGATGACGACGGCCGGATTGCCGTCCTCGATCACATCGGCCAGCAATTCGGGAGGGTAGGCCAGCTCCAGCACGAGAAAGGCGCCCCCGGCCCGCAAGGCCGCCAGACAGGCGATCACATAGTCGGCGCTTCTTGGCAACAGCACGCCCACCAATGTGTCTCGGCTGACCCCATATGTGCGCAGGCGACGGGCGAGGCAGTCGACTTCGCGATCGAGCTCGGCGTATGTGAATGTGGTCTTATCATCCTCGAGGGCTACCGTGTGCGGGGTGGCTTTCACCTGACGAGAAAACAGAGCCGACAGGTCTTTTGTGGTATCGAGGAAGGACATGTTTATCGATCACCGGGGAGGAAAGGTGGGCTCATGAGAGTAACGAGAGGGAGGTGGGGGAGAGAAGAAGGTGGACCTTGGGGGGGGGGTCAAGCCGGGGAGGAAACGACAGCTGTGTGCAGGAATGCGTTGTCAGTTTGGATGCAGGTCGAGGGTAGGATTGCATCGCACTGCAGCAGACTCACGAGCAGGATGCGGAATGAAGTAGCGAAGAAGTATCTCTCTCCTTGGGTGCGTGTTTTATTTTCGTTGACAGAGGACACGCAATGGTTAAGTAGTCTGCAAGGGAGCAGTGGAGGAGGAGGAGGAGGAGGAGGGGAAGAGAGAGGCTGAGGGGGGAAAGTTGTTCCAATCAATTGTGTCAGGGACATCCTGGCCGCATCTCCCCAATGGGGTTAGTCTTCCCCCAACAATGATGGAACAGCAGGTTTGCCAGTGTCTCGATCGATCGTATTCTTTGCGCCAGGGCATCCATCCCTGGCTTGCCCTCACCATGCCAGCCGCAGTAACCCAGTGGATGGCTCCAGGAGTTTCGTCATGACCAGCTAATCGGAGATTGAGTTTCGGCAGGATATTTATTTAAAAAAAAAATGGTGGTTGCAGCAAATGAATGATGATGCAGGGAAAGCATGCAGTCTTCCCCCTCCTTTTGCTGACTGATGTTTTGCACTGTTTCTCGTTTCTCTCCGCATTCCTCCAGGCGCAGTGCAGTGCCACTGCAGTGTTGGGGGACCAGTCCCGGAAGCGGTTCTACCCGACTCCCCGTCTTATTATCGTCAAGCTGCCATTGGAGGATGCTGTCAAAAGGTGGAGCTGTCCTTTTGTCTTTGCACCAATCATCGCAGCTGTCACCCCTGCGTGGACCCTACTGACATGTGATTGCGGGTCAACAGTTGGTCCGGGCTGACAATCACATGCTTTTCCTGCGCATCTCTCTGTTTTGTTGAGATTTTCTCGAGTCAAGCGAGCGGCAGCTGATGAGATCGTGACCAGGATTATTAGAGCTACAGAGCTTTGAAGCTATCAAGATGATCTGTGGCTGTCACATGTCCTCCTGCCTAGATGGTTCACCGCACGCGCTTTTTTGTTGAGAAGTCCAGTAGTCCACTACTCTACTCCCCCTGGTGTAAGAACAATCTCAATTGAACTCGAATTTGCCTTCAGGAGGACTATTCAGTAGTCGCAAGGAAAGTACTAATGCATATCCTATCATCAAGGTAATTGAATGAGTAAATGGTTCGAAGAAAACAGGCATCACAAGTACTGGGTACTGATGATATATACTTTTGGCACCGACTTATCCTTAACCTATGACACTAACGCTTATATATATCGTAAAGCTCTCATCGATCTGTCCGCTCTCTCTACCCCCTTCCTTTCCCTTAGCCATACCATGATACTACTACTCCATCTCAATCGAGATATGATGCTACTCCATGGTATACATACTCCTGACGGAGAGAGTTTGTCGGGGTTTGTATCGGCGGCCCGACTCCCCTTCCGGCTCCATCACCGCATCTTATCTCCCTCAACTCTCCCCTCCATCTTCTTGCCCTCCATCAATACACCTGCTGAAAGGCCGGTCCTACAGTTCTATCATTGGCAAGTGAAGGCGTTTGTTGACTCAATTGAATTTCTAATTCGAACTCCCATTGATCGATTAGCTCTGCGCACAACTACCTCCCGGCATGAACAGTCACGGCCCCCGAGCTCTCGGTCGGACACTCGAAAACACAGTCGGCTTCGGTCTACAACCACACAGACGGCCGAACCGCTCAACGCGAGCGACGATAGGGGTGGAACCCAAATCGGTCATCACACTAAACTCGCAGTCCGGGACATGATTGCCCACATTATCCACATGAGAATCGCGGAACGCGCTAGGTGGAAATATTGCAGCGCACTTCCAGACACGGGTGCTGTTGACATCATACACAAGCAAGTAATATGCACGCATCTATCATGACAGACGCCCGGGCGATTACAATACAGGGGGTGGAAAATACGGCGAGGGAAAGCCTCCTTGATTGTGTTGGCCGTGGACCTTGCACATGAGGTGCGTTCTTAGCCATAATCTATAATCTATTGGGAGGCCATCCTGCGCTGCCTAGTTGTGTCTTCGGAAGCGCTGCGCGGCGGCCATGTCGGGAACCGAGATCTATAACTTCTCGCCGGGACATGACAGGCCTCAATCCCCCCCTAGTGTAACTCGAGGGACAAGAGTGCCTTGATAATGCGTCACGTAACCTCGATTATACTAGGTGTCTTCCGGGCCTTTCCCCGACCGCGATCCCAGTGGAATTCGCACCGAGATTCTTTCCGGGTATGTTGCTTAACGACTTTTAGAGATGGTTAGCGTATCTAATTGCTGCGATGCAGATGCATGTTTGACCTCAATCCGAAAGCAACCGAAAGCTGTGGGATCGTTCCTTGGAGGGCAAGGACTGGCGAGAACAGCACACAGTATGTGCTACGGACCACACTTCTGAACCCCTTATGCTGCAGTAGCGAAACACTGCCGTGGCTGGTGGCCGGATCGAGGGCTGCAACGAATTGCTCTCGTCTTCTCCAAGACGAGCATGATTTCAGACTAAGAGCTGCCGCCTGCCTGAGGTTTTGTGCTCTCTATGACCGTCACCGTCTCGTGGATCATCACTTGCCCTTTGCCGACCGGGCGATTCGTGTCGTTGGGGTTCCGCTGCGAGAGCAAATCTTCCGACGAGCTGTCATGCCCCGTGCGTTGAGCCCCCAACGAGGTGGACTCCGGGGTGGTTCCCCCTTTTCCCGTCTGCACATCCACGTGGTAGGAACCCGCAGGGGCTGCAGTCTGGCCCAAGCTGTTCAGTTCCATATGTCCATCCCAAGTGCGACCGTAGCCCCGGTGGAACCGACTGGACTTTTTGTTCGACGAGGTGGCGCCGGAAGATGAGGCCTTCAAGTGATTGAAATATGATCCAAAGAGTGACTTCAAGGCGGGAATGGACAGTGCGATCAGGGTACTGCCGATTTCCGACGTTTCCACGGCCAGCATGGGATCGTATGCCCAGCTGCCGTCCGAAGACCATTGACCGACCGCCACGAGGTAGATGCGCGCACAGGAAATAGCGAGGACTCTGCCAAACAGTTTAAATTAGCTGGGTCGACGCAAGGGATCTATGGACAAAACAACTAACAGCACACCCGGAAACATGATCAGTGCAAGCTGAAATTTCCTTTGCCTGGACACGTGCAGCATGTAGATCAACATGGACGGAAGAATTAACATCATCAGATCGCAGACCAGCGACAAGCCGGAGTTGACCGAGTAGACGTCTCCCCAGCTCAGGCATTTGAACTTGTCGCCCCCCGGCTGCCACTCATACGGCCAGAGACCAGTGACCGGGACGCAGTGGAACAACAGCAGGAAAAATTGGGCCAAGAAGGCGAGCACGAGGAAGAGGGCGGATAGCTTGATCGCCTTCGATAATTTGTCGTGTCGCGCGGCCAACCGATGGTAAAAGGCCAGACCGGACAGACGACAGATGAACAGTGCGGTCGTATACAGGATGTGCATGACGAAGTCGAGGACCTCGGTGTCCTTCACCCGCGAAAGCGATAGAACATACTGAATGTACTCCATATGACGACCACTGCCCATGTCGATCAGGATCATGGCCAGAACGACGACGGTGATGTACAGCATCTGGTCGAGATTAGTGCGTGTGCTCGCCACTCGAGGGGCTCGGAAGCAACCAACTCACCAACGTGAAGACGGCCAAGGCGTCGTCCATGCCAAATCTCTTGAGGAAAAAAATTCTCGCATAGCATCTCGCGGCGACAATGACGGCGGTCAAGGCACAACCGAAGAGGATGGCGATCTTCGCAGGACGATCCCGCGACTGTGCGAGGTATTCCAAGCTGACCCCCGCGGGGATGCGACCCGCAGCATCCGCCGCTTCAATGGCTGCTGATATCCTTGCCATGTTTGCTGCCGGCTGCCAGACTGCTTGGAGTCGTCGGGTTGAGTCAGGGCGGGACAGGACAGGCAGGTTTGAGTCCAAGCAGGGATCTGGAGACCCAGGGGATTCGACATAAGTAATTGCACAAGCGACCGGTAGGCTGCCTGGGAACCGATCGAGGACAGGCGAACCAGATTTGCGCAGGGATGAGCACATTCCTGCCTCACTAGTGCCGACCGGGAGAGTTTGGATGGAGACCATGGATTCATCAGTCCACATGGAGGCGAACTAGTCTGTTTCGCATCTTGGCGAAGATAAAAGTGCATTAGCCTAGGGCTTTAGGCGAGATGCACACCATCACTAGCCGATCCTGCCATGTGGTTAGAAACAACGAACCGACCTGACTGTCGGGGCACTGAATCTTTTCTCGAATTGTTACAATTACATCCGATCTGATCACATTTTCCCCATGACCCCATGCCGTGAACAGCAACGAATCGTGCCGCGACCTTAACGGCGATAAACGGCGGGACACGGACAGAAAATGCGCAACAATCCATGGAACGACTTCGGAGTGGCTGCCTCCCAAAGAAGCTTAGTGTCTGCGCCTTACGTGATACGCTACTTAGTACGGAGTACTAATCGTTCGGATCTCTTCCGTTAGTTCAATTGTTCATTAGATTGCTTTCAGGCGGAAATGGAACAACAGCAGCCATCCTCAGGGGAAAGAGCCTTCTTGGATGGTTCGAGAATCTTTGCGGCGTTAATTGCGCTGGACAAAAAAAGGGGTAGCTCACGCACTAGTCCCTCGACCACGCTGAAATTCTACTCCAGAGACTGCAGAATGCATAGTCACCGTCAGACCAGCATTCGTGCCGAAGATCCTCCGTCGTCTCTGCTGCTCGATCAAAGCTTCGGCCGATGCTCCACCTCTCACTCCTACCTCGTTGCGTGGTCGGCTACTTCCAACTCGCTCACGGAGATTAACTGTCTCACCCTCCAAAGTATAAATGATTGGTTGCACCCACCGAGGGAATTTGTTTCCTGCTCCTGAGTCTTAGTCAGTCAATTGGGTTTCCCCCTTGCATCATCCTTGCACCTGCATCTCTCCCCCCCGATCGTCGGTCTCCGCCTCGGCCCAACCCATCCCACGCCTCTTATTTCTGCTTTTCGCTTGACGATCTCCTGTTCATCCCACGTCATAGAGATCTGCGCCACGGTCTTCGGAAATGCCTTCCATTGCTTCTCGACTGCTGGCCGTGGGCTTGGCTGTGGTGGCTGCTGCCGCGTCTCAGAATGACAGTCTGGTCACCCAGCAGCTCGACCTGGAGCCATATCCCTACGACTTCCCCAAACTCGGCACCGATGGCGCTGACCTCTTCCCCATGCGTCTCTGCCATGGCTTCAAGCTCGAGGAAGCTAGCATTGACGAGATCCAAGCCGAGCTAGAGGCCAAGACCTTCACGGGCGTCCAGCTGCTTCAGTGCTACCTGGAGCGCATCTACCAGGTTCAGCCTTATGTCAAGTGAGTTCAACGACGATTGTGAATGTATCCAGCTCTAATGACATGTGCAGTGCTGTGATGCAGCTCAACCCCGATGCGCTCGCGATCGCCGAGGCCCTGGACGAGGAGCGCCAAGCGGGTACTGTGCGCGGCCCCTTGCACGGTATCCCCTTCCTCGTCAAGGACAACATTGCGAGCAAGGACAAGATGGAGACGACGGCCGGTAGCTGGGCTCTCGTGGGCTCCGTCGTGCCTCGTGACTCGCACGTTGTGCACCAGCTGCGTGAGGCGGGTGCTGTTCTGCTGGGCAAATCTACGCTCAGTGAGTGGGCCGACATGCGCTCGAATGACTATTCCGAGGGTTACTCGGGCCGTGGTGGCCAGTGCCGCAACGCCTATAACTTCACGGTGAACCCCGGAGGTAGCAGTTCGGGATCTGGAGTGTCCATCTCCACCAACCAGGTTCCCTTTGCCCTCGGCACGGAAACGGACGGTAGTGGTAAGTTTGTCTACGATGCGGTTTACTAGGTCCGGTCGCTAATGCGGGCAACAGTCATCAACCCCGCTGAGCGGAACAACATTGTCGGCATCAAGCCCACGGTCGGTCTCACCTCGCGTGCGGGTGTCATTCCCGAGTCTCTGCACCAGGACACCGTGGGTACGTTCGGTAAGACGGTGCGTGATGCCACCTACGCCCTGGACGCGATCTATGGTATCGATCCCCGGGACAACGAGACCTCTACTCAGCGCGGCAAGACCCCGGCTGGTGGCTATGCTCAGTTCCTCACGGACAAGTCTGCGTTGAAGGGAGCCGTCTTCGGTCTGCCTTGGTTGTCGTTCTGGCAATACAACGATGCTGCCCAGAATGCTCAGCTGATGGAACTGTTGGAGTTGCTCGAGTCGGCGGGAGCGACCATCATCAACGGCACCGAGCTGCCGCACTACAAGGAGATCGTCGACCCTGAAGGCTTCAACTGGGACTACGGCAGTTCCCGTGGTTATCCCAACCAGTCCGAGTACTCGTACATCAAGGTCGACTTCTACAACAACATCAAGGATTACCTGGCGGAGCTGGACAACACCAATATGCGTTCCCTGGAGGATATTGTGCAGTACAACATCGACAACGCCGGCAGTGAGGGTGGCTTCCCCGGTGTCCACCCCGCCTTCGCTTCCGGTCAGGATGGGCTCCTCGCTTCCCTCGCCACCAAGGGAGAGATGAACGAGACCTACTGGCAGGCGCTCGAGTACTGCCACCGCACCAGTCGGGAGGAGGGTATCGATGCTGCTCTCCGCCACGGGGGCCGCAACATCACCGCTCTCCTGGCGCCGCCCGACTTTCCTCCCGCGGTCGAGATCGCCGCGCAGGCCGGGTACCCGGTTGTCACCGTACCCGCTGGGATCAACAAGGAGTCCCACATGCCGTACGGGTTGGCTCTGTTCGGCACGGCCTACTCGGAGGCGACGCTCATCAAGTACGCCAGTGCGATCGAGGACCTGCAGCAGTCTTCGCAGACCCCTTGGAAGCGCAGCCTGCCGACCTGGAGCGGTTACTTGGAGCGCAACATTCCCGTCAACTGAGGGTCGTGCAGCTGTGGAGGTAATGAGGTGGATGTATATATGCCAATATTATCCTTAGACATTCTTAATCATAGATTTTCTTCGCCTGTATTGCATGTGTCTGAGTGTTGTGTGATTGGTATAGCAAGGCATGGGATGAGGGCTCGGAGGTTGATGTCCTGTAGCGGTAGTGTTCCCGGTGAGTTTGAGTATCAGCCTTGATGTGTCCTTGATTCGAGTTGCAATACTTACTATTGACCTAGGATGCCTGGCATGACACCCTGTCTGAGATCCTTTCGCCTCTGGGTGAGATCACCGTACGACAAGCGAGAGCAGAAAGCGCAATCCCGGCATTTGGAGAATTTTCCCGTTCGAAACAGGTTTGTGCCCATCGATTATGCAAGCGAGGGCAAGTTGGAAATTTCTGTCAGTGGCAACGACGCCCCCAGACCCTAGCTCGGAGGAACTAGGGGAGGCGGAGAGGGAAGGGGGGTAGTTCGCAGCGAGTCAATCAACTCTTCCCGTCGGTCATGCAGGAGAGTGACCGGCCATGCTCGTGCAGGCAACCAGGCACATGCACGCTAACCGGGGAGGTCAATTCATCCGAGCGAGCGAAGTGCGTGGCTCGCCCCTAGCGTAGGGCAATCTGCATCAGTCGTGGCGTGGGCATGTCTCGCACGAGGCCGCGGGATGGCCGCTTGCTCGATGGCCAAGATGAGTGGTGAGTTGCATGGTGTGGTTACCGTCTCTGGGCAGATCCAGATCGGTCGGTGGTTGCCACTGCTGACTCCATCCAGATGTATGAACTGATTCTGCGAGTATTGGAAGAAAAACCAGTCCGAGGGGGGAGTAGACACCCACGTGGGAAAGGGGCAGTGAAGGCAGTGAAGGCAATCCAGGCCAGAGCGTCCACCTCACGTGCTCCATATTCCGGGGTGGACGACCAGAAGAGGGGAATTTTACACGAGATCCGAGATCATGGGTGAGTTCATCGAGGCACTAGATACCTAGTAGCATCAACCTGGTACTAACACGACACACACACCCACACCCACACCCACACACATACTGATATCCAGACGACGGACAGGAGGAGATGGAGATTCCCGCGTTGATGATTGGCTTCTCCCCGGATTTGAAGGACCCCCCACGTGGAGTTTCCTCACTAGCTGATTGGCTCAGACCCTCCGCTGGGCGCCAAGAGCTGCCAAGGCCACCTCCGAGCAATTGCCAAGACCAGTTACAGTGTTTGGCGGACTGCCAAGCGGCCAGAAACGAGGTCCGTCCGTGGTTCAACAACACCTTAAGCTACCCTCCAGGTTCGCCTCTCCGAATCAGCGTGGCCCGCCCAGGAACGTGCTTCATCGCCACCCGGGAGTCTTGTCATTTGCAAGATATCGGGATGGATGGATGTTGGACCACCGGGAGACTGGCCAGGCAATCAGTCTGTCAATCTGTCAGTCCGTCAGCCTGGTAAGCCATGCTCAGCCATGCTCAGCCATCTCAGCCATCTCAGCCATGGCTACATAAGACCTCCTTCTCCTCCCTCTCGGCCTCATCTCTTCTTTCCAGCAGCATCAGTCTCTCTTACCTCGGGTACAACCAGTACTGTCCCGTACCGCCAGTACTTCCAGTACTTCCAGTACTCCCACCGCCAAGATGACGCTGCATCAATATGACTACATCTTCGCCATCGGCACTCTGTTTGCCCTGCTCGATGCCTACAACAACGGTGCCAGTAAGTCTCGGATCTCATCTCCGCTGCATCTCCTCCCTCGCTAACCCCTCTGTCTCGCGTGCTAGACGATGTCGCCAACTCCTGGGCTACCAGTGTCTCCTCCCGCTCTGTCTCCTATCGCCAGGCCATGATCTTCGGAACCGTCTTCGAGATGCTGGGTGCCATCTGTGTCGGCGCTCGAACCGCTGATACCATCAAGAACGGCATCATCCCCAACTCCGCCTTCCAGGGCAACGCCGGAGTGCAGATGCTGGCCTTCACCATTGCTCTTGCAGCGGCCTCCTCGTGGGTGATGTGGTGCACGCGACACTCCGCCCACGTCTCCTCCACCTACTCCCTCATCGCCGCCGTCGCCGGTGTCGGTGTGGCGACGGTCGGGGCGTCCGAGGTACAATGGGGATGGAACGACGGCAAGGGCATGGGTGCCATTCTGGCCGGTCTGGGCATGGCACCAGTCATCTCCGGCTGCTTTGCTTCCATCATCTTCATGCTCATCAAGACCGTGGTCCACATGCGTCGCAACCCCGTCCCCTGGTCGGTCTACACCTCGCCCTTCTGGTTCCTGCTTGCGGCCACCCTCTGTACTCTCTCCATCGTCTACAAGGGTTCCCCAAGCTTGGGTCTGAGCAAGAAGCCCGGCTGGTACATTGCCGCCGTGACTATGGGTACGGGTGGTGGTGTGGCCGTGCTGTCCGCCCTTTTCTTCCTCCCCTTCGTTCACGCTCGGGTCATCAAGAAGGACCCAGGCGTCAAGTGGTGGATGTTCATCTACGGCCCCTTGCTTCTGAAGCGGCCCGCTCCCGCCCACGCAGAGGCCGCCAAGGTGCCCGACTATGCTGTCATCCAAGAGGATGAGTTCCCTTCGCCGCCCGGCTCGCCCGAGACCCTCAAAGGCGCGGACGCCACCATGGCCGCCAAACCCGGCTCGACCTCCGAGAACGGGGAGAAGGAGCTGGTCGCGTCCGAGACCCAGCAGCTGACCTACAAGGAACTCATGGCACAGTCCGACAGCCGGCTGCGGGCTCGTCTGCTCCAGAAGCGCGGACCTCTCGGATGGGCCATGCGGACTCTGCGCGACAACCCGATGGGGCCCGGACAGATCTACGAATTCAAGAACATGGCCATCCTCGCCAAGCGCATCCCCGCCATGATCACCTGTGGCTTGCTGTACGGTCTGCACTACGACATCCACGCCGCCCAGAGCGGCATCAGCGGCACCCCCGAGGGCGACCGCATGCAACGCGTGTACGCCCACGCGCCCAAGTACCCCAACGAGGTGGAGCACACGTACTCGTTCGTCCAGGTGTTGACCGCCTGCACGGCTTCCTTCGCGCACGGTGCCAACGATATCGGTAACTCCGTCGGTCCTTGGGCGGTCATTTACTCGGCCTGGAGCACGGGTAATGCGGCGGCGGCCAAGGCCCCGGTGCCCGTGTGGCAGCTCGCGGTGCTGTCGGCCTGTATCTCGATCGGACTGGTCACCTATGGTTACAACATCATGAAGGGTAAGCCTCTCTTTCTTCTATCTGCGTGTTGAACCGCCTGCTAACAACAAGAACAACAGTCATGGGCAACAAGATCACCTACCACTCTCCCAGCCGCGGCTGTTCGATGGAACTGGGCGCCGCCCTGACCGTTCTGGTCTTCTCGCAATACTCCCTTCCGGTCTCCACCTCCATGTGCATCACGGGTGCGACGGTGGGTGTCGGACTGTGCAACGGCACGTGGCGCGCCGTGAACTGGCAGCGGGTGGGCCTGTTGCTGCTGGCCTGGATCATGACGCTGCCGATCTCGGGGACCCTGGGGGGCTGTCTGATGGGGTTGTTCATTAACTCGCCTCATTTCGCTTCCTAGTTCGGCATTGTTGGGTTAGAGCGGATGTTTTAGACTTATTGTTTCGGTTTTCTCTACGCGGTTGCGGGTTGCAGTCGTGGTGCCTGCCTGGTTCTCGGGCGGTTAATGTACATCTGTATTAATGGGTAAAAGAATTTCATTCGGTCGATGAGATTGACCTGAATTATGTGTCATGTTGAGTTTCTGGGTGGAGCACTGCTCGCCGCCTGGTAGGAGTTTGTTCGGGATGCCTCATTCGGCCGGTCGAGTTTGGGTGTACGATAGCGATTCACACTGGTTTTCTCTTGTTCGTCTATGTGCGGGTTTAAGCGAGCTTAGATTTTGAATTTCAGTGCTAGGAATGATAGCCTAGGTTTCAGGTTTGGATTCCGTGATGGCGTCGGCATTATCCTGTGAAATTGTTCATATGGATCACGTGATCTAGAGATAGCTACGCCCGGTGAATCCCCTTCTTGCTTGGTGTGGCTGTAGTAATAAAGTTGAAGATTACGCTTGAAGGACCACTGGCATGGCTTCAGTTTCCTAGAAAAGTTCCACGGACTTTCTGACCAGTGCTATTTAGCGAAAAGCTATGAGATGTGACGTGCTAGAGAATTACACGGCCAGAGAAATGGTTTGAGCGATGCAACAGGTTTCCTTAGGTAGAACAAAAGTCAATAATCATAGATAGCAATACGATAAATAGAAATCAACATAAGACGCATGCAAAGCCACAATACGCCCAGCTTTCTTTCAACTGCAGTTAGGGTGATGAGCCTCGCGATCCCCAACGACAAGCAGACGTATTGGATGACAATGGCAGCCTCATCTCAACAACGCCAGGTCTCGCCCTTCCTCCAAGGCTAGATACCGTTGGCAACCGGTCGGGCAATTTAATCATTATCACATCCCGATATCTTGCAGGAACTCAGGCGGGATATCAAAGGCCTGGCTCAACATCAATCCATGGTCTTACTTGCCTTCCACTCACGCTTGACCATAACTTCGCGCAACCTCGATGCTGGTGGAAAGTTCTCATAGACGTAGCGGATGATTTCCGCATCACGGAATGTCTCGGAGTTTATTTAGATATCTGTGTCGAGATTATTCATAATATCCTCCACGAGATCGTCCACGCCGAGTCGTCGTGCCAAGCCACAGAGCTTAACCATGAAGAGCTCCCCGTAAAGAGGAAGGAAGTCCCGCGCTGCACCCATATATAGCCACTTAATCAGGTTGCGGAAGAGCTCTGAGTAGTCGGCAGGGAAGTCCTGGTTGGGCATTGGGTCGGACAGATTTCTGAAATAGGTCGAGTGGTCCCGTAGATGTCCGGTGTCAACCATGAAGACGGCTCGGTTTGGTCCGACGGTGAGCTTGACTCTCTCGGCCGCGAAAGTGCTTATTGCCATAGACAATTAGATTCAATGCTGGATGAGGGATCGTGGGGTGTACTTACCCCACTTTTGATTGGGACATCGTTGCGATCCTGAATATTCAGGTAAGAGCGGTTAATGAGACGTGTTTGAGGCTCAGGGTCTGTAGGACGAATGTGCTGGGTATGCGTCGATTGGGTGGGTTGTTCAGGGAAGGAGTGATGTGAAAGGTAGAGATTTCAAATAGCAGAATGTGGTGCCATATGGAGTGAGAGTATTCAAGGAGCGACATACCGAGAGGTATGCAGTAGGGGTTTCGTCGTAAGGAAAGTGAGAAAGAGGCTCCAGATTCCAGTACACGGGCCCAGCAGTGAACATACTAAATGCACAGTCTTTCGCTGTCTTCCACCTTCACTTTCAGCTCTGATTGACTTCACTCTGTTTATCGGCCTATCTTCTGCTTCTGCTGATATGGACAGTTGTGAATTTCAGGCTTCGTATTTCACTATCTCCTCAAAACACTGCCTCAGTAGTATGGTTCCAAGACTGGCACTGACAGGTTCAAAGAAAGTGTCGGAAACGCCCTGAACAAAAGGTAAACTATTGCGGGATGACTACGCGAGATATCAGGCTCTCTGCAGACGACGCTTTGCTCTGGTCGCGACTCGTTCTAGGCACTATCAGATAAATCCCCCGCATGTCTTCAGGTCCGATCGATTCAGTGGGATGATAGCGAACTAACAAGGATTTGTCCGCCCAGGACTACGACGGGAAGTGTGAGATAGTTCAGGAGTGCCTTGGTCATCTACACGATGGGACTCGGTCGATTCGTCCTCCATCTATCAGTATCTGTTACAGTATACCTACTACCCACAGTGATATTCCGGTGAATAAACCACTTATCTGATTCATTCACTCTGCGCATCTCTTCTGTCAGCAACGCAAGACTGAATAATGTTGTGCAGGCGGGGCATGGGCGGGAAAAGCCCTCAATCACTCGAGTATGTTCCGCTCAGCGCCACTGATTGCAGCAACGGGTCAGGATTGATGGATTAAATGAGCTCCTACCTTCGTGGACACTCGGACTGTCAAATAGCAGCAACCGTGTTCGGGTTACAGACCACCATGGGAGCATGAGTTTGACCCAACAAAATAGCGATTGAATCCTGGCAATCTGCTGGCCTGAAACAAGACCGCTCTTCTAAGTGGTAGCTAATCTCGGAGAACGAGAGCATTTCCTCCTTCAGGAACAGTCGTGACAAGAACAGTTGCCATCAATCTCAGGTCCTGACTCTCAAGCTCAATAACATCAACGCCAGAAACATTCGCAATTTGTGCTAGGAGAAATCACAAAGGGTAAAAGTGAATCAACCTAACCTAGACAAGGCCAACATTTGCAAATTGTTATCGAAGAGGTCAAACATGCAAAACAAAAAAACAAGCTGAAAGCACAAAGAAACTTGCAATCTTAGCTAGGAAAGTCAAAAGAGAAAGAAAAACAAAAGAAACAAATCGAAGAGGTTATCGCTGTGCGGTCCGTTTGACCTGCGGCCCCGAGATTCAGCGACGAAAGAGCCACGAAAAACTGGCCAAGAACTGCGCTAAGAGGCACAAGGGCGCCCACAAAAAAGAGGAGAAGAGGTATACCAAGGACAGAGCACTGAGACACACCCCCCCAGCCATTATGTTCTTGGTGACGTATACCGAGTCTCCAGGAGCCTGACAGATAATTCGAGTACCCCGCCGTGAAGGATATCGGCGGGAGACTTCACCGAAGAGTTCTCGCATCCAATGACGCGGTACCTCATATCGGTCTCTGAGCCCATAGTATGCCTGCAGGATGATAGCGCCGGTGGGAGCGATTGGGAACCTGGCCGGCACCATGTCCTAGGACTGTATTGGTAAAAACTTCATGTCGAGATCAATTTCAGGAAACTATCAAGACCAAAGGGATGAGCGGAAGAGCGAATATCGAGACCAGGACGGGCAAGGATACTTACCAAGGAATTTTCATTGATCTTCGAGGAGGTGGCCTTGAGAAAGCTGGCCTTGGAGGAGTCGATATTGGAGGGACCGGCCTTGGAGCAGTCGACCTTGGAAGAGTCTGCCCCGGTCCTGTTCTTGGACCCGTGATTCGTGTCAAGGATGGGAAGATAGTCGTGCACCGAAATGAAATTGAGATAAAATTTATCCTGGAAAATCCAATAATCATCTTCCAGGCTCAAAGGAGACCCAGGCTGTCTCAGGCGTTTGAATATATGTTTGAGCGCAGACAGATTCCTCACAGCGATATCTATACACTATAGGACGTGTTAGTTGTTTGAAGTCCCGCTACATATACCCGTTGCATATCGGCGTACCTGCTTATCGACATGCATACGGTAGAATCTCAAAAATCCACCAAGAACGGTGATATCAATGTGGCGACAATTTTCGTCTTGACGAATCCAGTTGAAGACCTGGATTATGGCTGACGGGGCGCCATCTGCGTAGATAGAATAAGGGGAAGGGAGACTCCATACGGCCGCTTCTACCACATAGTTACGAAGCGCGATAGTCAATCGGACTAGCAGCCGGCCCAAGATTCGGACTCCTTTCCGTGTCAGCTGCTTGGCCATTGATAGGATGCTCTTAATATGAATCCACGTTTCAGATGTGGATATGATGGGGATGGGGATGGGTGGTGGACAAGATTTCTGGGTTCGTGAGGGGGAGGGGGAGGAGAGTGGTAATGATGATGGGTGATATAAATTACAAAGAAATATCAATGACGCAATAATAGAAGTCTTACACCTTAGGAAAGGTGATACGTTGATACGAATTTATATGCCAGGCTGATCAGCTGCACGACCATCCCCTGAAACCTGGCCGATAAGAAGCTTCTGACTTAACCTCATTATTGTCAACCTGACTGGTTACATAGCACTTAGAAAATAAAAATTTCAAGAATACAAAGAAATAAAAAAGATCTTCCCAATGGCTGATGCTAGTTTGTGAGAGAGACAAAAATGGTCTCCGCAGACGAGCAGGAAGCTGAGTGTAACTACTGATCTGATCTATTCAGCATCCTCATCGCTATCATCGGAACTGCCTGAAAGCGCCGGCTGTGTTTCTTCGCGATCGAGATGATCAACATCAAGACCCCAAAGCTTGAGCTTCCAACAAATATCCTCATCGATATCCTCGAAACTGCCTGGAGGCGGCTTGTTCTGTTCGTGGCGGGGATCATGAACATCAAGACCCCAATGTTTGAGCTTCCAATAGTTCTTCCAAGGCACACCACAACGGGACTCCTCATGTTTTGTTTTCAGTGGCTCGCCTAGCATCCCCTGCTTCTTGAAGTCTAGATAGAGGCGACCCAAACCCTTATTGATCCTAGCTCGTGCCTCCTCCTCAGATGCCTCCTTGCTGCCTTCACCCTGCTGGATCCAATTACACAAAGCCTTCTTGATTACAGAATGCTCCTGCACTTTCTGAGGCGCCATCTCGTTTCCTCTGTACAGTTGAATCCACTCATAAACATTGGGTGGCAGGTCCATTCCGGTATGCTGAAGGCACCAATGGTGTCCCCAACAGCCGTACATGCCGTTTTGATTTCTGAGGTTGCATTTGAACACAAAGGTCATAAGCACCTCGAACTGGTAAAGCCTTGGCGTATAGATCACAGTTACCAGGAATTCCGAAATCTTGGACTGGTGAGGGGACATGCACACCAATACAGTACCAGACCTCGGCTTGCAGAGCATAATTGCAATGGGTGCCGTCTTCCCGCAGACGAAGTTCCAGACGTATATTTGACCAGGCTTGATCCCGTGGTCAAAGGCAAACTGGATGCAGTAGTTTCCCAGCACGGCTTTGGCGCACTTATTGCAACTGCGAGAAATACTGTGAGACTGAGTCCGAGAGGGGACCCGGAGAAAATGTTCTCCTGGAGGTACCTGTGCTGGGAATTCTACTGCTGCTGGGACTGAGGATTGAGGTAGTAGTCAACCGCGTGGAAGAGACAATTGGCCCATGGCTAAAAGAGGCGAGTGATTATCTAGAAGTAGAGGCACGAGGATCTTCGAACTTGGCAAGAAACTTCCTTGTCGCCCATATGGGTGTCAACGGGCTCGGGCATACTCGACAGATGAGATTTCCTCGGGGCGCTTTCGTGATGGGAGTTCTTTCTCCCCTTCCGGGCAGGCAAAATTCGCAGTCGACGTCCAGTCCGTATAAGATGTGGGGTTCGAATGGGTTGGGTCCTCTGGCAGTTTGAGGGAGCCAGACAAATTCTGGACATGCAGAATCAGTGGCAATTGTGTGTTCAGTCTAGTCTTACGTACAGTACTTCATAGCTTCTGCTCAAATGAAATGCTTTCCTCGATTTCGCTGGCAACATCATAACCCATAACAATCTCCCTTCTTTGCAAACATTCCAGCAACAGCTAGCAGTACATTCTGTGAGTCTGCGGTACATCAGTTCATCAAGCCAACATGACAATCATTTCGGGTCAAGATGCTTCAACATGCGCAGAGTTCCTCCTCCAGAGATAACATCGCCTATCTTCTCGCCACCAACGGCATCGTAGCACAACGCCACACCTCAAATACATCGACATCTCCATCTTTGTGCAGGTATCCTCGCTGCTCTAGGCAGTACGCATTATATTCATTGAGGACCCTCTTCTCTGCTTGAAGAAATAGTACCCCGGGTGCATTGAGAAAATCCGGTCGGTCTATGATAACAAGGAGAATGTGATAATACTGCCGAAACAGATTTGCGCCCTCGGCCTCTTCTCTGTCATTGGGAAAGACACGCATGGTTTGCGGGGCTGTATCAAGTCTCAGACAAACTGTCTGCATAGCGCCGATTCCGTGGTCAGATCGCGGGTCGACAAGCGCACGGTGTGCATCCACAAGAGAACCTAGCGAGGCCAATCCAGCGTTGGGCGACCGACGAAATTCTAGATGAACAGACTTTTGCTCGGGTAAATTCTCTACCAGTGCGCTGGTAAATGCTTGCGCCACTCGGGCGAGGTCCAGCCCATCGTGAGGAACGGTAATGTAAATGATGTGTTGTAGGTCTGGTATTGAGCCTGCAGGAATGTTTGTCATAACAATCACAGTTTCGTCGTGCCCAGTGATGGTGAGGTAGCGATCCGGTGAGGGGGAACCCGCTTTCTGGTCCAGCACAGCGAGCGTTTCAGGTGAGATATATTGATCTGCTGAAGATGGTTAGCCTTCGTTTTCGTCTAGCCTATAGTCGCACCCATCATCATCAATGCAGGTATACTTAAGTTCATGGCTCATGACCTCAAAGTCACCACACTTCTTCACAGCGATCTCATTTCACTCTGGATACCAGGCCGATCTGGCTTGTGGATCCCGAACGTGATTGACTGGCGCTTATTGGGAAACGTTTCGGTTGAATGCCACCCAGAGCGACCCTGCGGCTCTTCGTCAGGTTGTTTTATTGCAGATTTGCGAAAGACGTCTGAGGTTACGACGAGAAGAAGGCCTTCCCTGTCAGCCGACTTGGCGTTCGCCTTCGCAATCCCTGGGAAAAGCCCCTCAGCAGGTTCGATGGTTTTGTGATGAGCGATCTCGCGCCGTTAATGCTTCACCACCGTAAAAGCATCCGCCTGGGGCGTAGCGTGAATCTCGAACGAAGCGCCGGCCAGAAATCGATTTGACCGTTGAGATAATCACACTGAAGAACCAAGTTCTCGGAGTCCAAAGGAATGGTAGTGTAGACCTGGAAGGCGAACTTCGGTATCCCGATATTAGGGTCGTCATCTTCATGTGGCTCGGGATTGAGGAGAATACGCTTCAGCGTCATCAGTGTTACTGTTTGGCCTTCGTGGTCCATGAAATGGCGCGATCTCCATCTTAATGCAACTCGTTTTCCTGTGCACCACGAGGGACGAGCCATGGTGCCTGGTGATAGAAGAGATTCTTGCTAAAGATAGAGATGAACAGATCAGAGCGAAGATAGTTAGGAATGCTTGGAGGTGTAGGGTAGAGAAATGTGGATGAGGTTGAGTCAAGTTGGGAGGTTTAAATGGTGAAGTGACACCGAGGAGGCAAACCAGGCAAACAACCAACATTCATTCACTCTAGATTAACGGGTAAGGGTATAATCACATGGCATCATCCTCCATTCTACACGTTCATCTCATTACCTCAGCTAACATGGCCTTCCTGCACACAGTCATAGCAAACGAAAACCTCCCACCCCCTTCAGTATGCAATCCCCTACAACAGGGCTGCCGCCGCCGCTGCGGCGACCATGGGGGCTGCGGTAATCATCGCGTCCACGGCGCCATTGCGAACAGCAGCTCCGGCCGTCTTGGTGGCGGCGGGTTCGGTCAGCGACTTGACTCCGCCGGTGACCACCAGCTTATAGAATGTCTTAGTCGGGCCGTATGACGAATGGGTTGAGGTGGACGAGGAAATTGACCCGCCGTCGACACTACCTGTCATGGCCGCGAGCATGTTGCAGCTGGCCGCCTCAGTCCAGGACTTGAGGGAACACTCGTAGGAGCGAGTGACTGTGAGGTCGTAGCTCGTGCTCTCGTCCGAGATTGACGCAATGTATTCGGCGGTCAGACTGATGGTCGAGGGACCCTGGATGATGGTCCACGAGTTCTCGATGTTGCAGTCGGTCTTGGGAGCATCCTTGATACAGCCAACCTTGTAGGTGGTGGCCGCGTCGTTGATGCCGGCCACACTGGCACCGGTGCTGGTCCATCCGCCGTACATTTGGTATTTCACATCCCAGTCCGGGCTATAGATTCCCACCGTGGTGGTTTTGTCATCGGCCTGGACTGTCAGAGCCGACAAGGCTGCAGCAAGGAAGAAGGAGGCACGCATCTTGACAAGGCTGAATTATGTGCAGCAGAACTGTTAAAGCGTGGGAGGAGAGACAAGAGAGGGATCTTGCAGGACAACTTGAAGGGACGAGGGCAGTGGAAGAGCAACAAGCCAGCGCCGCTGGCCTTAAGTATGGGGAAACGGGGGGACAGAGTCCCTTGAGCAGATGCGGAGGGTCAGTCCGAAGATGCAGGGCAGGCTAAAGCCAGGCACCCTACAGGTGCCTCCGGATGAATGGCGCAGCGTCCACCAACCAGACGCCGATTGAGAGCTGAACTTAGGCGCCATGGCCAAATGGCTCATCAACGGCTCCAATAGTTCATCTAGCGGGAGTTTTAAGCGTTAGGCCAAAGGTTCCATCGCGCCGTTCCACCCGCCATCCACACAGTGTGTGACCTCTGCTGGAGTACCACAATGCTGAGGGGTGATTTGATATGACGACACAAAGAGGTTGCACCCGGTAAGATAGAGCAATGAACATTTTCACCCAAAAGGAGCATTGCACCGAGGCTGTTGGGGGATGTTCAATCTGACATGCATACACCGGAAATTGCATGTGGGCTCACAGCGGCCAGGGTAAACATTGTTCCGCTACAGCAATCAAAAGACAGTTAGTGAACTCCGGATCTCTCCGATCTCGTTGAGTTCATCAGACAAGCTTCTCATGTCTCGGGGGACTGAAGGCGTCGCGGATGGCTCTGGTTGCAGACTTGCAACTCGGCTAGATCAGCTGTGGCCGGAGTGGTCCACGGCCAAGAATCAGCATTCCCACCCTTTGGATCAAAGGAACCAAACATCACTAACTATTGAATGATTTTAAATGCGAGTCAGTCTCGCCTCCACTAAGCCAGATTGGGGTCGAAACCAGGGGTCTGGCCTTTCAATTGGTCTGCAAAGAGTTTGCCAAGCAGGGGTCAAAGATAACCTTGTGCATCTCTCCTCTTTCGTGAAACCTGGCTGCTCGTCCTGCTCGTCCTGCTCGTCCTGCTCGTCCTGCTCGTCCTGCTCGTCCTGCTCGTCTTTTCTACAATTGCCACCCCATAATTGTCTTCACGTCGCGTGCTGTGACAAGTGTGTCCCCCGAATTGGCAAGATGATGCCCTTTAAGTTAGTTCTGGCTCTGGCTGCCACTACACTCGTCTCCGGCGAGAGCGTGGTCACCACCCTGTTTATGCCCGACACCGACTCTCAAACCTTGGTGGCCTCGGTCATGGGAGTCGTAAGTGCATTGTCCATGTCTGAGATGCGACGCACAAGCCACTAACTGCACACCAGGCTGCGACGGCCACGACCTACTACCTAACTTGTCCAGCCGCCGATAGCGATGAGTGCGGCATGGGCCCCGGGATGACGGTCATTGCTGGCCCTCAGACCACTACCTATCTGATTGAGGAGCCCGACGAGGACGTGTAGGTCCTCGCTGCGAACCCGTCGCTGTTGGAATTGACTTGCTGACCCATACGCCGGCCCCAGGTATATGTCTATGGCCTGTTCCGTGCAAGGGACTACGTCCGGGGTCTGTATCGAGATGATTTCGGGCACGGGCGCAGACTTCCCCGGGACTTACACGCGCCATATGGGCACCGATGACCTTTGCTGCTTCATGCCAGTCACCATCACCGCCGGAGCTGCCAGCGTTGCGAGTGCCACCTCGCCAGCGACCGCAGCGACTGCATCCGCTACCGCCACTGCTATCGGGGCGTCGACAACCGCCTCCTCCGAATCTGCCAGCGACAGGTTGGCTGCCAACTCCGCCGCAACGTCCGCTGCTTCAACAGCTTCCCAGAATGGCACCGCCCCGAGCAGCACTGGGGCTGGTGCTTTTATCACTAACGATGCCGCTTTCGTTATGGGCGGTGCGGCCGTCGCTGGTCTCGTCGCTGCGTTCCTGTAGATAGCCAGGCCTCGAGATGTTTCGGGTGTATTAAATATTATCGATGTTTTTGATCAATGTCTAAGTCAGTCATGTATAAAGTCCAAAGACACTCCTTTCACCCCATTCCCGAGACTCGGTCACCTCTTTCGTTTCGGGCTCGGTTCTTCCTCCTTCGCTCCATCCAAGCCATGCGTGTTGTCACCGTCAAGCTCCTCATCACCGCCCGATCGCTTCCGGATCCCACCCGTCAGTTGCTTCGCGTCTTGGCCCGTGGTCTCGTCGACAACCTTGCCTCCCTCATCATGAAAGTCGAACACTTCCTTCCACGACCCATCCATGACTTTGGCATCATCCCCGTAAAAATTCACCTCATACGCATGCTTGATCTGACTGATGCAGAAGTCCCTCCGCTCATCAAAATTGAACATCGGTTTGGGATAGGCGGGCAGGCCACTGGCCTCATCTCGGCTGGCTGAACCGTCGCCCGTGACCCTGCACTGCCATTTTTTCTGGTCGGCGATGGGCGCCTTCCACGGCTCGTAGATGTACTTCTTGTCGAACTGCGCCAGCTCTGGGCAGTAGCGGCGGACAAAGTGGCCTTCCGGGTCCCATTTCTTGCCGAACGCGACCGGGGAATAACAGCGGTAGTACTGGGAAAAGAACGCAGTGCAGGAGAGCCACATCCAGTTTCCGACGTTGGAAGCAGTCTCGTCTAGTCTTTGTCAGTACGGTGCTCATGGATATTCAAGTTTGCAGGCGCGGAGAACGTACGGTCAACCAACCATTCCTCGAAGACTTCTGCTCCTCGCTCCCAGCTCACGTAGCAGCCACCCCGCGTCAAGAAGCATGCTACACTGTGTCGTCCGAGGTGATGTATCCAGCCTTCCTGTTTCAGCTGACGCATGAGTGCGTCGATCCACGGGAATCCTGTTCGACCGTGTTTCCACCGTCGGAACCAAGTCTCTGCTTCGGGTTTGTCGATCGTGTACGTTCCGTCCAGAAGATGTTCCCCTCGTGGCACTTCGGAGTAATTGGACTGGAGATGCCATGGCACAAAGCGTGCAATTCTGTTCCCTTGGGTCTGCGCATAGGCGTACCCCAGCGCAGCTTGAGCAGCAAAGTACATGTCACGAAAGAGCAGTTGGCCCGGCAGATTAGTAGGGAGTTGGGCGACCGGCCTTTTCTCGGTCTTCCTCTTCTTGAGCACTGCATCGACGTCCCACCAAAACTTGCGGACCGACAATGATCCAAAATGCAGATGCGGCGACAGCAACGTGGTAGCCTGAGGCTCGAAGGCGGCGGGAGAAGTCTTGGGCTTCTCAAATGTCCCGACATATTCCTCATCGCGGATGCAGTCACCCAAGATCCCGAGCGCCACCGACTCGCCCCCTCGATGCGGTGTCGTGGCCTGCGCCGGGTCAATCCCCAGTTCCTTCAGTGTGGGAACGGCAAAATCCCGCTTCGGACCCATTATGTTCTGGTACTGTGTTTCACTTTTCTTCGTGCGGTGCTCGGAGTTGACATCTGGTTCTGCCTCGGGGATGTCCTGGATCAATCTACTCAAATCCATGCGATTCTCATCCCAGGGGTCCGGGACGCTGGACGGCGGATCCAGTGGTCGGTCCGGAACTCCGCCGTTGAGCTTCTCGGCGGCTTTCTCCAGCTGCGTGATGCTCATCGTTGGCTTGCGATCGTGGACTCGGACGATCTCATCGGAGTCGAACAATGTCCGCCCACTCCTGATCACCACGGTCACGCCCGCCTTCTCCGCCAGTCTTACCACCTCATTGTCGCGATCCCGCGCGTAAGCGTCCGTGTCCTTCTCGAATACCAGATGTGTCACGCCCCAGGTCTTCCACAGCTTCGGGAAGACCGTCTGTGGGGCTTCGCGCACGAGCCAGAGCTTCTGTTTCGGGTTCAGCTTGGTGTAGGCGGCGGATAGATCTTGTTGGCACTCGAGCAGGAAGCGCCAGCGGTTTGGTCCGACTCGGGCGCGATAGACGTAGTGAGGATCCCAGGTCCAAACGGGGATGAACACGGAGGGCTTGAGCTCCAATGCAGCGGTGAGCGCGGGGGCATCGTGGAGACGGAGGTCGGTTCGGTGCCAGAGGAGAACGACAGGGCCACTGGGTTTAGGCAGTTTAGCAGGCATGCTCCACGACGATTGTGCGCGCGTAGACGCAATTGATAGCAGGGAACGCTGCCTGGGTCAACAAGCAGTCGCCTTGGGACGTGCGAAGAGAAAGTTGAATTAAGCTATATCGCAGCCGCGGTGGTCAATCTCTCCATCAGGCGCGGTGCAGATCCTCGAATCGCATTCCGATGCATCGGTGGCTGAAGCATCCGATGATGTCATTTCTTCGATCTCTTCTGGGGAAGTTTGTTCTGTCTGCTCGGTTTGCTCGATTTGCTCAGTTTGATTCGATGTGCTTTGACAGTTCTGCTGGCATTCGCCGCCTGCCAAATACAAACATCTCGCTTTCTCTATCTGCTTTTGCTTACATTCCACCCTCAACTTCTCATGACCGGATCAAATGCGGCGTCAATCACCCGATTTCCGTTGACTGAAAAAGCATATATGAAGTCCTTGCAGAATTTCCACTCATCGACAAGCTTAGGGACGAGCTCTCTTCTCGGCTCCGTAGCTGAACATGACGCGCACGGGTCCACCGACCACTAAGAGAAGGCCATACTTAAATCCAACTGTTAGTGATAAAGAACGAGAGCACGAAGCAGGAGCGCAATTCCTCCTGCGTAGAGCTTTTTGCGAAAATCATGTCTGGGTTGTCGCATACGAACAACCGGCACCACAGATCAAGCACATGTTATCGCTCGCTTAACTTTTATTCACGCTCACTGTGAAAAGCTATTCCGGAGACCAAAGATGTCGCCAAGAACGTCAAGAAGGCTTCATTGATGACTCAGGGTTTTGTAATCCCCAGAGAAGCTCCCAAGATTTGCGAATTGCCAGTTCACTTTCACCTGCAGGTTGTCGCCATTGTTCGCCTCGACCCAACTTGCCTCGGCATCAGTCATCATGATCAATACTATTCCAGCATGGATAGGACTGCCGTATCGTCAACAGTAATTCACGGCCAAATGAGCTAACTGACGAGCTGCAGCCTGAAGGTTTCCAAGGCAATGAGTCAAGTTCCGCAGCCTGGCATTCTATTCCACAGCTTAGATGGGCCTAAAAGGCGAAGATGCCAGGGGGGAGCGCCTCATGCACAGCAAACTATTTGTAGTAGCCACGCAAACCATGAGTTGTATAACGTCTACAACGTCATTACCAAGCACAGTCAGCGTCCACCAGTCGTACAGCGGGCTGCGTGATGATATATCGATCGAGCGGTTGCTTGGTAGCAGGCGCTCCGCTAATATGCCGTATTATACAAGTTGTTCTCCTTGCTTTCCAAGTTGCCGCGACTGAGCGGCCTGAGAGGGAAAGTCTCCGTCACCATGCTCCGTTACAGGGCTAATATCCTCAAAGGTGCATGGCAGCGCAGCCTACCGATTCATGTCAAACACAACTTGTCCCCGAAACTCCCATATGCCAACTTGATACATTAACCATCTGGGTCCTTGTGCTTATCGCGTAGGCCTGAATCAGCTTCAAGGTGCCATCACCGACACAATTATTGTCAATCATCATTTGCCTTTAGTCGATGAAGTCTCCTATACCTTGTCCACATCTGTTTTGATCAAAGGGTTTGCGCATTTAAGAGCATCGCCCGGCTGCGTTGGACGGCTTGTCCGATGCTGTCAGCGGTGTCTAACCATATCAACGGCGATAAGCGACGAGATCTATCCTGGGAAAGCGCCGCAAACTCATCCATCGTACCTCTGCTTGGAGGCAATAAGCCGTGTTCATTGTTGTAGGGCACCATTTTGGCATTGGAAGGACGAGGAAATGCGAGGAACTGAAGAGATGGGTCTCGAATAATTAATTAGTCAGATAGTGATGCTGACAATTCACTAACTATGTCAGAATAAGAGATACGTCAGCAGCAGACACTAGACAGTCTTTCCCAGGCGCTTGCAGGCAACGCTAACGGCTTCTGCTTTAGTTGACGCGGGCTAAATTGCACCTCGTATTTGAAGTCAAGATGTGGTGCTGCCGGGAATGACTTCCGCGCTAAACTAGACAAGTAAGCCAGCCCTCAAAATTGGTGATTAATAATGTATGCTTTGAAATCATACCATGCTGCCTGCCAGTACATAAAAACATTCCATTCCGGCTTCAATGAGATCATTATACAGCATCATCAAACTTTTCAATCGCCCTTTGCTTCCTCTTCCTGACTGCTAGATTTACCTCGTGTTTCTCGTTGACCGACAATGTCTTCATATCTAATCACTGGAGCCTCGCGGGGCCTGGGTGTGAGTGCCAACTATTTCCAGTCATCCTCAGGCTGCTAAATCCAGAGTTCCAGTGGGAGTTCGTCCGCCAGTTATCGAGCGATCCCAAAAATACCGTCATCGGACTCGTTCGCGACAAGCCTGCCACCGAGAAGAGAGTCACACAGGAGCTGGAATCACGTCCCAACATTCACATCTTGCAGGCCGACATCACAGATTACAGTGCACTTCAAGTGAGCTACCATGCAAGAATGGTGGCATTCCTTCCTGCTGACGACTGCGAAACCAGGCTGCTGTGGAGCAAACAGCTACTATCACCGATGGTGCTCTGGACTATCTCATTGCCAATGCTGGCTACGTGTCCAAGTTCGACGCATACGATGCAATTGGCGTTCTGTCAGTAGCCTCCCTTTACCAATCGAACACCTCTAACATCGCAGTTATTAGGGGTCAACAACCCGAAGCCCTGGAAGAGGACTTGTTGCGCGCCGTTAGAGTAAACGTCGCGGGAAATATCCATCTGTTCAACCTTTTCCTACCTTTGATCCTCAAGGGACAAGCCAAGAAGGTCGTTGCCATTTCCACCGGCATGGCCGACGCGGACTTCGTCGCCAAGTTCAAAATTGAAGTCGGATCGCTCTACTCCATCAGCAAGGCGGCTCTGAACACGGCGGTGGCCAAGTTCAGCGCGCAGTATGCTAAGGATGGTGTGCTGTTTTTCAGTATCTCGCCTGGCTTGGTGGACACCGGTAATCTTGGAGGGGGTAAGTTTGTCGACGACTTGCGCGTGTTGAGTGTCCTGTGTCTAATGTCTACTGCAGCTACGCCGGAGCAGATGAGCGGCCTGGCCCGCATGCTCGAGGGTTTCAAGGAATATGCCGCCCACTTCACTGGGCCCATCACCCCAGAAGTCTCGGTCGAACATGTGCTTTCCGTCATCTACAAGGCAAGCGTTGAGAACGGAGATGGTGGATCTTTTGTTTCACATTTTGGGAATAAGCAGTGGCTCTGAGGGTTGACCTCAGTCAGTTTGGATCACTTTCTGCTTCCAAGAGCCGCAATCAATTGGAACGAACATCATGGCTTCATCAAGTGTCATTATTGAACATCGCTATGAACTCCATTGTGAATTATCGCCTTGTGAGACAGCTCATCACATTGCCTTCTTCTCCTCATAATACTCGGGATATGACACCTTATATCCCAATACCCATTGCCCCCACATTGCAGTGGCCGCTGTGTAGACCCAACTCACGACGATACCCAACCCATGCCATGGCAAAGGCAAGGCGAGAGGGATGTCAGCATGATACAAAAACACCATCAACTGAAACAGACTGGGCGCCTGATTGGCATTCTTGCAATCGTCCAGATACCCGAAGAAGTTGCGGAAGAATCGCTCTTCTACCTCGTAATCCACGGGCGAAAGTCGGACGTCGAAGATGAGCTCGTCCGTGGAAGACGCATTCTGTAGACGGTGGTAGGTCTTGGGCGGGACCGTGGCGGTTGGCTGCTTTCCATCCGCTGTGACGGCCAGCTGTTTCCATGGTTTCGGGTCGACACCTTTGTACAGGCTCATGGTGCCCTTGACCATGCGGAAGGTTTCGGTTTGGTGGATGTGGTAGTGGCACGGAGGCTCCATAATGGATATGCCGCTGGCGTCGCGAGGAGGCAGGGTGGTGCGAAACACATATTCTTCGTCTGAGGCGTAGAAGGACACGGCGGAGCGTCCGTTCTCGTAGAGAATCGGATTTTGCGATGCCCGATTGACCCGGACAGGCGATGGTGAGCAGAAAAACGCTAGCATGACGGACGGCTGGGGATCAGTATGCTCTACAACTGTGAATCAGAGGAGAGGTATGGGCTTAATTATACCAGCTTGACGGCTGCTTATGAGGCCAGCCTGTCCCGGAAGAGAGACTCTTTCATGGCTGTGAACAGGTCATAGTGGATCGTGATTCTCGTATTTGGTACAATATGACCAATCAGGCGGTGGGAAGCTCGTGATCACTAACTTGGAATCATCAGACAACATTCGTCTCTGGGTTTTTTTGAGCCGAGATTATTGATAAAGCATGAAGACTGAACATGGTTGTATGGTAGGAAAAGACCGACAATTAGGGCTGGCGTTTAACTGCCATCATGCGAGGGAAAGTAACACCTGGCTGCCCCAGGCATCCGCAGTTCATCGGCCGCCATTGCTGGTTGGGATACTGCTACAGTCTGGAACATGTTACTTAATGCCATATGAGATTAGAATGCACAGTAGTGGCTAAGAGCAACTTACATGTTGAGATAGTCACAAAAGAGGTGGAGGAGAGATCGCAGAATATATTGTTGTCTGAGGCTGTCACCCCAGGAGTCGCGTTCATCATTTATCATCTATTGTATTTACTACTAGCCACGCCTCATATAGGCCACCTTCTACGGACAGGAGGTATATTTATTAGTGTCTACCTCAGCAAGAAGACAGATCAATAATGTCAAACCCACGCCATACTCGTCATATCCAGACAGGACGTAGATGGCCTAGTCCTAGGACTAGGCCAAAGTCAAATGGATTTAGGCGCACATTGAGATCTAGGACACGAATAAGACATATCCTGGAGGATGAAGTTCTGATGGAGATTTTTAGTCTGCCTTTAAAACACTGCTTTTGACAGATGTAAAGCTGTGTGATCAGGCTATGATCACATTTGCCCGGGTATGTATATTCTACCCTGGTCATAGAAATTGATTAAGTACGTTATAAGAAAAGTAGCAAGGTTTGAGTTGAGCTGTAACTGAACGATCTACCCACTACTACCTGATCTGATCTTCTAGTAGAATATGACTTCAGACTAGAAGATATTTATATAGGATGTAATTAACGACGTTCACATAGATCTATGAAGCCTATCAGCGCCCGAGTAATCTGGCCACGTGACTTGGGCCTATAAGCGATTTTCCTCCATACAGAGAAGTGAGTTAGACACCAAACACCAGCCTGGAGGGAAACAACGTATCGCGTTCCGAAGCACCTCCTGGGTAGCCTCAATTCCCGTTGACAAAGCCAATGGAGCTTGAATTCCAATGAACCACTTGCCGATCGAAATCAGATCCACGGACGACGTCGTTGGTGGAGACAAGACCTGACTTGCCAAGGCCTTAATTGTTACTCCTAAGGTTTAAGATTTCACTAGTTCACGGTCTCTGAACGCGACATAACCTGCGACGGGTGGAAATTGACCCCTTCGAAGCGATCCTTTGCTTCGGGAATGAGCAAAATTCCTATCCCCGTCATGTTCTTAAGCCTAAAACATACGAAATCTTATCCGCTAGCCATAAGTGGCTGTATTCAATCCCGGACGTAGACGAGGAAGCAAGGGTCGCGACCCCCTTGCCTCAACCGTGCAGCATGAATACTAAGAGATACGTCTCCTGCATAACAGCGGCTTGGCGTGCGGAAGGGAGCACAGGCCCCTGTGCAGGGGCTTAGGCCCGCACGTGTGCGGTACATAGCCAGAGGTCCTCTCTCGCCCTTATTGTGAACGGACCTCAATCTTCTTCAATGCACGGTCCAAATTGACACTGCCCACTGGAAACCCGTCCCATCCACGCTAATAAGCGGAGTGTATGTACTGTACAACCATGCATCCGCAAAGCCTTCTCGTGTGGCTCGCCACCTTGACTCTATCGATGCCCGCTACAGCCTCCCTCCCGGCCACCTGTACCTCAATGCAGGATGTGGTCCCCAGTCACCTGGACACATTTCCCACTCTTTTTCAGAACCACATCTGCAGTCAAGGCTGCAAGCCCACGATGACCGATTTCAAGCAATTCCTCAGCCAGGGGATCATTACCCAGATCATCACGGCAGCGATTCAACAGATGGGACTGCAGCAGTTTAGTTCCCTGGCGGACCCGATTGCGGAAGATGCCACGTCCAAGATTGAGCAGAAATGTATGAGTGGGAATACGACGGGCAAGAACCTATGTGATGATGGCAAAAGTCTGGCAGCTCTCGTTGATTGCTTGAAAACGAATATGATGCCGCAGATTCTGGCAGATGTCGACCAGTTCTCCATATTCGTGACGGATGATATGTGTAGGAAGGTGAAGGAGTTTGTACAGGGGCCGGAGTTATGGGAAATCACGATACCGGGGGCGATGGATGACTATGCTGCTACATGTAAGAAGTGATTAGTGCGGTATAGGAGTTGGGCTGTAGCTTGACGGCCCTGAAAATATGAACTGGTGCCAAGCCATGAGTGTCTCGATATCCAGATAGAATAGCTGTCACCAGGGCCGGTCATCGCCGGAGAGGGTGTATCCTGTGCCCCTGACTGATTGGCTAAGCGAACTTGTATGCACTGGCTATTGTCTCCTGTTGATTTGTCCACACTCATGTTCAGACTAATGCACCAATGAAAATGTCCCAGCGCTGAAATGAGCATTTAATAAATGCAGACCATTGGCTGGCGACTGCATTCCGGAGGAGACAGTTGAATAAGCATGGCGATGACATACCGTAAGATTTTTTAACGTGAGGAATGCGAAGGGGCACAGAGACTACGTTTTCATTGCACCCCAAGCAATGGCATGACCAAGGGACTACCTGACTCGGTGGCATATAAAACTCATCCGGGCGCCCATAATTGACACACCAGCTTCCCAGTTGCCGATTTTCAAGAAGAGGAAGAAGAACGACAAAATTGCCGACATGTACTTCCCCAGCCTCACTACCATCACCGTCGCGGTCAGCTTAGCCACTTCGGCACTCGGTGCAGCCAACGCCAAACAGGCTGTCGACGAGATGAGCAGCCTCCAGAACAGCATCAACGCGGCGCACAGCAGCCTGCAAGGATGGGGTGGGGGCGTCCTCGGCGCCATTCCTGTGGCAAGCCAAATCCAGGGGGTCCAGGGCACCTCGTCCAACGCGCGCAGAACTCTCAGTGACGCGGGCTCCATCGAGGGAGACGACCAAGAGGCCGTCCTGGGTGCGTATTCGCGACTGGCCACCCCGTTGATTGATACGCTGCACACTGCTCGTGATAGGGTAAGTGTCATTTGTCGAGTGCCAAATAGGCACAGATTGCTGATATAGAGTGTTGTTAGGCCCCCGAGTTCAAGAGTGCAGGAGTTGGGTTTGTCGCGCGCGCCATGCTCAACGATCTGAAGACCGAAAAGGACAACTGGATGTCTACTATGAAACGAATGGTTCCCGAGGATGATTTCCGCAAGACCAACCCGCAGGCTGACGATGTTGATAATGCGTTCAACGAGGCTATCCAGGCCTTTGCTGCTTAATTGGTATCTAGCAGCTGCTGTGCCCTGGCGTTTGGGCAGCGAAAGGAGCATTATGTGGTCTTAGAGACCACGTATTGATGCACCTTTATCAGTGTTGATTTGAAAGTGCCATTTTGTACTTTTATCTCACCTCTATGATAATCTCAAACACTTTTCATAGGTGGTATCCAGAAGCCTATGGTAGTTTGTCAGCTTCCTCCCCCGAAATTTATTGGATTGTGTGTCCGAGAATAGCCTTTGTATCTTTTGTTCTATATGTGGGATCTTACTCCTTTCACACCAATGCACCTGAATTTCTCAATCTTACTCCCTTACCACGCCGGCGACACAGGTGATTGGTTGGATAAAAATGCCGTCTGCGGCTGAGTCGAGCGCAAGGAAAGCTGTTTTAAGGCAGCTATGTGTGTGCAATGTAAGCAACAAAGAATCAAAGCTTACTATCAAGACTGACACGGGTAATTCCGTTTCCAAAAAGTAACATTGTGAGTTTTCATTTTACCAGCATGCAACCGCCGCCTAACTGAGTCCAAAATGAAATGTAAAAAAGAAGATTGGACATCACATCGAAGGGTAAGACCATATCGAGTAGAAGCATTACGTGAGCTTTTGTTCCTGGGGAGCCCAGATAGGGAAGTAGGTCTTCATCAGTTCAGGCATACTCGGAACAGCGAGCAACTCGGGAGATTCCTTCAATGCTTCTTGAAGATTATGAGTCTCGATGTAGGCAAGAGCACCCGTGCCGACTGTCCAAAACCTCATATACTCCTTCATCGCGTCTGCTACCATTGAGGAACTGCTCTTCAGTCGCGAATCGGCATGTCTTCCAAACTCTTCCACCCATTCTGAAGGCGGTAGACAGCGAAGTGGGGACAAACATAGCTGGCTGAGCAAAGTGAAGGTCTCCTCAAATGTAACGGTTTGATTCTGGTCTGGTCGCACGAGATTGTAGGCATGTCCAAGGCTAGCAGGGGACAAGGCCAAGCGCAGGAGGGCGGAACAGCAGAAGTCCACAGGGGCAAATTGGTTGCGAAGTCTGGGTGCGGCTGGATAGGCTCTGATGCGAATGCAGGTACTCATCAGGTAATTCATCATGTCGGAGGCTTTGGTACGTCCCGTCACACTATGTCCGGTGACATAGCCAGGGCGGTAGATCGAGATAGGAAGACCGTTAGAAATGGCATTCCAAATCACCTGTTCCGCAACGGCCTTGCTTCTAGTATAGCCGATATGCTGGTCTTGTTCGTCTGGGTCAAATGAAGGCCGCGCATCTTCCGGGACCAGCTCGCCTGATATGTGGCAGGCCGCGCCCCAAGCACTGATCGTGGAAGTGTAATGCAATGCCTTGAGGCGACCTGTATTGGCAAATTGCAGCATATGATACAGCCCTAAGATGTTGGCCTCTCGATGGAACGAATAAGGCAAGGTGTAATCGACTGCTGCAGCAAGATGAAACACCACACTCGCCCATTCAGCCAGTTCCTTGTATTGCTTGGTTCCCAGACCCAGCTGAGGATTGGCAAGGTCTCCGGGAATCGCCTTTACCTTCGCTTCATAATCCAGCGGTAGACCGTAGTCTTGCAGTGTTCGTTTGATTCTATCAAGACCCACTTGTTCGTTGGGTGCTCTCACTAGACAGGCCACCTGTTTGACGTGTGGTAGACTCGCCAGCATGCAAAGAAGGTAAGCTCCGAGAAAGCCGGTCGCACCAGTAAAGAAGACATGACCTTCAGTGGGAATATGCCATTCCGGAGCTGCCGTCGCTATAGGGTGGATGTCTCGCCCCAATTCACAATCTTGACGACATAAAGCGACTTCATCGATCTGGACATGACTGGCATCAAGCATAGCAACGGCGTCACCCGGCTTCAGCTCCTCAGATGCGTACTTGGTTTTCAAAATCTTCACCGTCGTTTTGCTGAGGCCCCCGACAGTTCCCGCGTTGGCGATTTCGAGGAGAGAGATTTCGATTTTCACATGTCGGCGGAACCAGCTTCGAATCTCGATAGCCATCAGCGAGTCTATTGAGATCTTGGCCAATTCTTCTAAGGACATGTCTCCCGAGTAAGACATATGAGACGCAATCATCTTGCCCAACTCGAAGGTAAGCCGATCGTGGGTCGCTGGATCGTCGAGAATGGATGGGTCTTCGTCGACTTCAGCAAGGAAGCGACGCAGCTCATCTTCTTGCCCACCATCAGAAACTGGTCCACCGGTAGTGGAGAGATGGTTCCAGGCTGCGAACCGTGCATCCCGGGCCCACCATGGTTTTGCGCTTGCTTCTGAAGATGATGCTGTCGTGCTAAGCCCGAGAGCAATTTGGGAAGGCCCACCAAGAATCGCCAGCTCCAATACTTGCAGAAGATCCCTCTCACTCAAGACCTGCATACGGAGGCTTCGATTCAGCTCCAACGTGCGCTGTGACTTCTCTGGAATATACCCGATGTCCCCCATGAACCCAAGGTCAAGTACATGAGCTGGAAGGTTTTGAGCACGGCGGAAGTGAACAAAAGCATCAAGGTAGGTGTTCGCAGCGGCGTAGTTCGCTTGGCCCGTCATACCACATAGCCCGCTAATGGAACTGAACAGAATGAAGAAGTCAAGTGGTAAGTCTTTGGTGACTTGGTGAAGATTCCAGGTTCCGTCCACTTTCGGTGCGAGCGCCGTAGTCCATTCCGTGTGAGTCATTTGATTGAATTGTTGATCCTGTATAAGTTCCGTTGCCGGGCGTTCATCAGTAAGTCACGTCAGGAATACTTATGCTAGGGGTGAGTGGGAAAGAGCGAATCTCACCTGCAGAACCATTGACAACTGAATCACGCCACCTATGGGTCGAGATGCGCACTTCACGGCGCGCTGAACGTCTTCCAAATTGGCAACGCTCCCTTGGATGATCATGACTTCACATTCGGCTTGCGCTTCGAGGTCCTTAATGAAGACCTTGGCTTTGGGAGTATCTGAGCCTGACCGAGACACGAAGACAAAGTGGCGAGCTCCTCTTTCGACCATCCAAGTGGCGACTGCGCGGCCGATGCCCCCCAAGCCTCCAACCAGCAGATATGCAACGTCTGATCGAAACAGAGCGCTACTGGCATGGGCACCAGTTACTTGCAGTACTGAAGGGTCGTCGGGCATGCGAATGACGATCTTCCCGATATGCTGTCCGGTTTGCATATATCGAAAGGCTTTCACAATGTCTGTTGCATCGAACAGGTTTAGCGATCGAATAGGGTGTAACTTGCCCTCTTGAAGTAGCTTCATCTGCTTGGAGACCGTCTCGCGAACAATCTCCGGGCGTTCCATGCCGAGTTTAAAGAGATCAACTCCAAAGAAGGCGCGATTACCGCCGAACATATCCATTTCCAGCTTGCCGTGGCCGAGAAAGTCGCGCTTCCCTAGTTCAACCATTTTTCCATACTCAGCAACGCACCTCCAGGAGGCATGCAACAGCTCGCCTGCGAGTGAGTTCAGCACAACATCGACACCTCGGTTGTTGGTGCGCTTCATGATGCCCGACACGAATGACATGCTGCGCGAATCAAACATGTTTTCTTCGGGGATGCCATAATTGTCCATCAGGTACTGTTTCTTCTCGGGACTTCCTGCAGTGACATAGATCTCGGCCCCCAGCATTTGACAGATTTGAATAGCAGCAAGGCCCACGCCACCGCAAGCGCTGTGAATCAGAACTGACTGGCCTCGCTGTACATTGGCCATGGTGATCAGCGAGTAGATTGCGGTGAGGAAGATACAGGGCGTGGCAGCAGCCTCGGCCAAGCTCATATTTCCTGGTAGAGGATAGCAGGAGTCAGCGGGCAGGATTTTGCGAGTACACATAAGCCCCATTCCTGACAAAACCACTTCTTGGCCTACTTGGAGCGTGGTCACACTTGATCCCACTTTGCGCACAATTCCGCTGCCCTCTATGCCAACTTGGTCGGTGGCTCCCATCAGGCCCATTGAGATCATTACATCCTAGAAAAGTCATAAGGTGAGTCTAAAGGTTTCGTAGCCTGTGAAAAGCACAAACGGGTGGATTAACACTCACTCTAAAGTTCAACCCAACATACTTGACTTCGACTTCAACTTCATGTGCCGCAAGCTTCCGAGACCGATCGGTGAATTGCCAGGTGATTGAGTCCAAGATGCCAAAGCACTTCACGTCCATGGCCCTAGGTAGGCAGCTCTGTATTGAGCTCACAGTATTTTCTGTGGAGTGCCACCCAAACCGTGGAACGTGTAACAAGCCATCATGTAGCGCGAACTCAGAGTCTGCCTCATGTAGCGAATCTTCTTTGTGAGCTTTGGCCGAACTGAGTACGTCTAAAACAGCCCGGAGTGCATCCATGTCGCACTGGTTCAACTCAATTGTTATGGCCTTGATCTCGATGTCCTGGCAAAGGACCCTCATCAATCCCAATGTCAGCGCATATCGCGGGTCAGGCGTCTGACCGTACAGCGCGTGAGTGGGCTTCGTTAACCACAGAAGATGTCCTCGAAGAGAGATAATCGACTTTTGGAAAGCTTCAAAGTCCTCGCGGGCAATGTTGTGCAAAAAGGGATCATCCAAGTCCAGCAGTGAGATGACATCAGTCGATTCCGCTGGTTTGTCACCTAAAGCAAGCCATCGAACATCCCAACCCCTGGAAAGAAGCTGAGACTCAAGTTGGCGAGCCCACTCGGGAATCTTGCCATTGTAAAGGAGACTGATTATTCCAGCGCAATTCTCTTCCGGTGCTGGGACGCTCGACAAAATATTTGCATTTACATGATAGGGGGCCTCGTTATCCAGACGCACAACGTCAGTACCTGTAAAGCCAGTTTCAAGCAAGGCTTTGTGCCATTCCTCGGGACTTAGATATGGCCTTTCCCGGCCGTCGTCCGCAAGCCACCAACCAGGAAGAATCCCCATTATATAGTCAAACAATGGGACGTCGTGACTCAGCTCCTGAAGCAAAAAGCGCCCCTCTGGTGCCAAAAGCTTTCTGATATTTCGTAAGGAGCTGGTAATGTTAGGTGTCGCGTGCAGCACATTCGATGCAATCACCAAGTCATAGCTCCCGCTCTCGAATCCCTGCTCCACAGGATCTTTCGATATGTCTAGTGTAGCGTAATGCATCCCAAAATATTGTTTAAACTTTTCTCGTGCTGGAGCTATGAAACCGGCTGAAATATCGGTGAATGTATAACTCGTATACATTCTTCCCTTTCCAGGCCCAGATGTAGAACAAAGACCAGCGAGTGCGAGTGAGGTAGTGCCACCAGTGCCTCCACCAACTTCCAGGATTCGCAGGGCTGGTTTCGAAAATGCCAGGGCCGCGAGATACTTCTCCCACTCAGTTATGGAAGGCATGTGTCCATACAGCCGTTGAAGTCCGTCATCCTTCATCAGTAGATCCAGAGGATTCACCTTGTCTTCCAAGAGATCGTTGATAGATGAGAGGATTCTCTCGCCCAATTCAAACGGGGCTGCTAACAAAGGGTGATGCGGATTGCTCAGGGTTGCCTCGAGGTATGGGAGTCGGGCTGTCGGATTGTGGACGAATTTGTCCCTCATCTCTGGAACCAGGGTTGCTTTGTCATCGCAGATCTGGAAGTAGGTCTTTTCAATCCACGAGAGGTATTTCTTAAGGTGATCTTGTTTTGGAGAAGCTGAGCGGGTTCTGTGATAGGTCTCAACGATAAATAATCCGACAAGTTCCGCCATCACTTTTCCTGGGAATAGGCCCTTCTCGATAGGAGGGAGTAGAATGTCAACCGGCGTAAAGTTGACGTGTGGTTTCCATTCTACGGTGGACAACAAGGGAGCCTGTGTATCTTCAAGAGCAGACTCCGATATACCGAAAAACGTCGCGCGCTGCATAGATAGGACCACACGGTTCTGACAAGTCAACAAAGCCTCCCCGGTCATCATTCCGCCTGTCATATCACATGAAACATCCAGTTGCATGGTATCACGAGCGTGGGCAACATAGAGGTCCTGAATCGCAGTTGGGATACACAGTCGAGTCATGCGACGACTGACACCTTGAGTGGCGGCCACACTCAGCAGCTGTAGGCATTGGTCAATAAGAATGGGGTGAAGCGCATAGTCGCTTACATAGTAAGCTTCAGTGTCCCGTAGCTCCGCAGCTGCATGGCTGCTTGAGGGGCTTGCAGTGATTTTCCGAAGACCACGGAAATGATCTCCGTACTCTAGGCCGTGGGCATGCAACGCAGCATACCATTTTTCGGGTGATACCTCTCGTAGGTAGGGATGAATAGAGGATTCTGGATGCTCGCGAAGAGATCCGGGACGGACTTGTCCGACACAGTGTTTGGTCCATGTCTCATTCTGATAGGAACTAATCGTGAATTCATAGCAGTGGGAATCGACGTTGTCTGCCAACTTCAGAGGGCGAAGACAGGTGATCAGTTCTATACCACTGAACTCGGTACTGGAAAGAATCAGGGCGGTCCTGATAAAGAGGTTCCTAATGGTATAGTCATCTCTGTCTGATATCTGACGAGTGGCTTCCCCCACCATTGCGACATAACCGGCGCAAGGAAACACGACTTCACCAGATATTCTATGGTCCAGAAGCCACAGAGCATTGTCTAATTGTAGCAGGTTTCTCCATATCGGCTCCAAATTTGTGGAGTCGAGGGTGCGCGAGCCTAGAAGTTCGTGGTGACGTGATCGCCGCAACCGCCAATCCTGGGCCATTCGGGTTTCGCTCCAAAAGCGTTCATCATGCGTCCATTGGTATGGGGGAAGATTGGTCAGGGTCTTGGCTCGAGGAATCACTCCAGTCAAGTCAACAGGGATACCGGTTATGTACAGATGACCGACTGTCCTCAGAAGGCATGTCCAAGGTTCCTTTGCTCTGACCAAGGTCGGGGTATACTCGGGTCTCTTTTTCTCGTCCACTTGGGCAAATATGTGGCGCAAAGGTGCCTCGAGCACTGAGTGAGGACCAATCTCAACAATCGTATGAGTCCCAGAGGAAGCCTTTAGCAAATCCTGAACTGCAGTGCTGAAAAGAACCGGGGATTCCAGGTTCTGTCGCCAGTATGCAGCAGTTAATTGATCAGGTTTTGTGATTATTTCACCTATGACTGTCGAATAGAGGGGGATCATGGTGGCATTGAACTCCATGTTGGGCAACATCTGCTCAAAGGTTTCACCAATTGCTTTCATGTGGTGGGAGTGATAAGCAACGTTGACAGCCAAACGACGGCAGAATATCTCCTCGACTTCAAGCTCACAAATAATATCTTCCAGGATTTCCTTGTCACCGGAAAGCGTGACACTTCTCGGGCTATTCTCACATGCGACGACCACACCTTCTCTGATGAAGGGCTTAGCTTCCTCAGCGCCCAGTCCAACGGCCGCCATGGCACCTGGAGTTCTGACGGCATCAACAGCTTGGCCACGGTTATACGCAATCGCTATTGCTGTTTCTGCCGAGATCGCGCCTGATGCGTAAGCAGCAGCTATCTCTCCGCTCGAATGGCCCACTACCAGTGATGGTGTAACGCCCCATTCCCGAAGAAGGTTCACAAGAGCAACTTGGATTGCTGTACACAGCGGCTGGGATAATCTCGCTTCGCTCATTCGGCTTGCATGATCGCACTTGAGTAATTCATCTAGTTCACGTGAGCAGACATGATTAGTTTTCAGATTACGGGTTTTGCATACTTTCAATGGTCCAGGAAGGAGAGTTTGTGAGTCGCTGTAAGTGCTTATCAAGGTCGCGAATGTCATCTCGGAACCGAACTGATTTATAGATTAGCTCTCTTCCCATTCCAGGCCACTGGGCTCCCTGGCCGCTGAAGACATAGACGATGTTAGGATTTGTGGCTCGGGCCCGAGCACATGTCTGAAGAGCTCCATCCGTGCCAATTATAGAAAAAGCACGGTGGGTAAGCTGTTCCCTGCGAAAGGCGAGGGTGTAGGCGAGATCGCTATCGGCCGCCTCGTGAGCTTTGTGATAAACATCGATCGTTTGTATGTTCGCCTCCAAGGATGTAGGAGTCTTGGCTGAGTGAATTAACAGGTGAGCCATTTCACGCGTCGGGCTTGGTTCAATCTCATCTTCAGACTGGTTTCCGAGCACGGAAGCGGCCGATTCCATGATCAACTACTCCAGTAAGTATATTCAGTTACGAGCGGAGAAGACAGGCTAGAAGAGACTGACATGCGCATTGGTACCCCCGATTCCAAACGAGTTGACGCTAACTCTTTCGTGTCGGTCGCTTGGCCATGGCGTTGCCTCAGTTGGCACCTGAAGCTTCGCTTGTTCAAAAGGGACTGTCGCTTTTCAGCAACATGCAATATGTGGGAGAGTACGATATAGAGTACAGACTCACTCTTAGCATTGGGCTGTTCAAAGTACACATTAGGGGGTATCGTCTTATTTTCCAAAGCCAGAACACATTTGATCACACTCGTGATACCCGAGGCTCCTTCTGAGTGACCGACATTTGGTTTGACCTAAAGGGGTCAATCGATGTCAGTTGATGCGTCTATATCCATCGAGACGGGGCGAGTCTACTTACCGCACCCATGTAGATGCCATCGTTGCCAAAGATCTTGGCAACCACCGAGGTTTCCGCCGTGTCTCCAACTATGGTTCCTGTCCCGTGGCATTCAAAGAACGCGGTTTTACCGATATCCTCAACGCCCGCTTTCCGATACGCGTTGCGGATTAACCGCTCCTGCGCCTGGGAGCCAGGGGTGGTGATGCTGGAAGTCTTGCCATCGCAGTTCACCGAGGTGGATCGAATCACGGCACGAATGGCATCTCCGTCTCTCAAGGCTGCATCCAGGGGTTTAATCAAAATCGCGTTGATGGCCTCTCCTCGGCCGTAGCCGTCCGCAGCGTCATCGAATGTTTTGCAGATCCCGCTGGGGGACAGGACCATGTTGTCGGACATGGTAGTTGTCATCGTCGGGGTCATGATGAGATTCGTTCCTGCCACCAAGGCTGAGGAGCATTCGCCAGAATAGAGAGCCTGACATGCCTCATGGAGAGCGACCATGGAAGACGAACAACCGGTCCGGAAGACGACGCTGGGGCCCCGGAGGTCATATTGGTACGAGACGTTGTTGGCCAGCGCAAAATCCCCCGCACTCATGACGCGGTAGCGATCAATGGCTAACGTGTCTTTACTGGCCAGGTCGAGCCAGTCTTCGCCGAAACTGCCCACGTAACAGCCCACGTTAGTCCCCCGCCAGTCTCTCTGTCCAGCGTTTTCCATGCACTCCCAGACGACTTCCAGCAACAACCTCTGCTGTGGATCCAGCTTGGAAGCCTCCACCTTAGTCATGCCGAAGAAACTGATGTCGACCTGCGAGATATCTTGCTGCAGGAAGTACCCATGCTCCGTTCGGATGGTGCCCGGAAGACCGTCTTTGTGATAAAATGCATCAATGTTGTAACGATCCGCCGGCACCCGGCAATGGCCATCTCTTTTGTTGACGAGGAAGTCCCAGAATTCTGCCTCGTTGGTCACTCCCCCCGGGAGTCGCATGGCCATGCCGATGATGGCGATGGGAAACGGAACGGCAGCCGGGCTACCATCGTCTTCATTCTCCGAGGATGGGGTCTCGATCTGTGGCTGAATAGCGGGAACGTCGACCAAGAACTCGGTAGCAGCACAAACTGACCGCCCAAAAGGGATTGCACCGTCGTGTTCTAGGGAGGATTGAAGCATGTCTGCGTGTCACGAAAGCAGAGAGAACTATGGGATTGGGTCCAGGTGTAGACGGTCGGGCCCGCAGCGCTCTTTATTCCCGGCCGTCGGCGTCCCTTACAGACGGAGACACGGGGGGGGAAATGACTCGGAGGAGTCTCACATGTCGATGATCTGACCGATCCAGTGGGTGATACAGCTAAGTACTGTACAGCAGAGGTGACGGACGATCGTGCATTGCGTCAAGCTTGGCCATCATGCCCAGCAGAGCATACCCCCGAGGGAGGGTCTAGTATAGGTCTCATTTCATCGACCGAAGACTGGGAAAGTATGGGTCAAGTCCTGCGCTGCGCTGCAGCTACCGACTGGAATAGTCTCATGCCTTGCAGAAGTATTGCATACCGGGTAGTCGGACCCACCACCATCGAGCTAGGAAAGTTTGAGGCCCCTTTTCGGGGTAATTGGGGGTGGAGGAACCAATTGAATAAATGTCATGCAGCGCAGGAAGTGAGTAGAGTATGATGATGTATTATGGGCTCTTGTTTTTGTTGTTATTGTTGTGTTGTTGATGAAAAGACCCGCCGCGTGGGACAAATTGAGGGAAGGCGAAACGGAAGAGAAGAGTGTGAGTCTGCGCTAGTCCCACCTAGGACTAGACCCAGATCATGACCGCGCTATGCCTAATTCACATTTCAGTTGGCATTCCAATGAAACTAAAGTCATGTGACTACGCCTCTGTGTCATCTGGCGGTCGGAGTGAGCAGAATGGAAAAACAAACACCCGGCGTGATTGCTATACCGCTGGACTGCTGCCGGACAACCTGGTTGATATGTAAACCACGGTAGGCCTCATAACTACTCAGTACTAGGTACTCTACTCAATTCTCTCACCTCAACTTCTACCCTTTTTCCTCCGTTTGCATAGCATATCACCGCTTCAATGACATACTCCAACCCTCTATGTGGCCGGGCCATAAGGCTCGATCTCCCATTGTTGGAGCCACGAGTCCAGTCTCCTGCAGAAACGGTTTTCGCAGCTCGTTGAGACTGCACCCTCGGTTATAAATGCTGCCCTCGACTCCAACTCGTCGGTTGCATGGGCGCAATCGCTGCCATCGGCATTGAGCACAGCTCCATATCCCCTCCGTGCACCTTCCACCGTCATGAGTTGGCGATGCACTTCCAAGGCAACCTTGTCAGCTAGCCTAGTCAAAGAATCGCCCAATCCACTGCGTTCTGGGGGCATCAATAGAGAACCTTGCCTGCCCTTTGTCTCGGCTTGACGCCCTTGAGACCCCATGGCTTGGTGAACCGTCGATCATCATGCAAGCTAATTTACCCCCGGACAAGGAATTGATACAGCATTTGCTGCGTATCCCCCTCCCGGTGGAAACCCGGTCCCCCGCTGTCTGCTCCGCTCTCGTTTGCATAGATTCGAAGGGGAGTAGTTCAATTCGATGCTCTTGGTCGGAATCGACTTGATGGCGCGAAACAGACAATGACAGTCTGAACCATCGCCGGCGACTCGAGCCGGATCACCCCCGAACCATTTGGTACAGTTGGTACCATTCGCCGTTGTGACAAAATCTGCAATCGAAATCGAAAAAAATGAGGCGAATCACTGAATTTAGCTGCCGCCACGTTGACCTCGTTCTTCTGTCCGGTCAGCGCTGGGATTACGTCCATCGTTCGTCCCAGAAAATGACTGCAACACTGCCTTCCGGAATGCGTACTTCGAGCAGATCGTGGAAGCCGTCCTTGATGACGGTCCCGGGAGCGGCGGCGGCGATAAGGTAGAGCGGAAGATCGAAATTCCCGATCCAAGCTCTTCTCGAACCACTTTGACGACTATCTCCTCGTGCGCTGCGTTACTATGCGAATTGAGTAGCGAAAACGCGACTGTTTCCGGCTTCTCCTGAGCCAGATTCTGCAGATTTACCCTCGGTGCTGCCTCATCGACGGGGGAGACCGGATCACCATGAATAGATATCCGTTCCGCACATCGAACCTCTTGTTCCAGAGAAGCGGGGAGATCAGGGTGGGTGTAGTAAAGCCAAGCACCGAGCTCTCCGGGAATCTGTGAGCGACGAACTGCCAGGATATCGTTGTGACTACTAGTCACCACCAGAGCCGTCCGCGCCCCCTTGCCCTCTAGGACGGCATTGGCCGCTGTTGTTATGCCATCGTGAATGAACAGGAATTTTCCGTTTCAATTGTATTTTTCTGTGAGTGTTCGTCGCACGTTTGCGATGTCTTGTTGGACTCCGACATTCTGTCGTGGAACAGTTGTCGGGTTTTTGGCACGCGCTGCCTCTCCGTAGGGCGTGAACACACAAATATCGGTGAAGGTGCCGCCGACATCTACTCCCAGGCAAAGACCTTGGTTCAATAGCTTTTATATCATGGCGGTAAAGTTCTCAGTCTTCCTCATGCATTGTAGTACCGCAAGGTAAATTTCATTGAGAGCTGCAGGTGGCTGCAGCGAGGCAGCATTTATCTTGGCAGCCAAGGGTGGGAATGCGCTCGATCAATGGTTGGCAGGTGATATATTGGCGGCGGGGGAGGGGGCGGACCCTCGAGGCAGCAGATTATATTTCTATGCATGATATGATAGGAAACCTTCCACTGGAGGAGGCTCGACGTTGTATCACAACGTGGCTTAGAGGAGACTCGATTCTTTGCTAGGCAAGGCAGGGCATCAGCCATTGCCCTATCTCTCTATCTCTCACCCGCCAGTTACATCGACTTTCATCGAACGTGAGCGAATACGTGAAGGCTTCCCAGAGGTGGTGTTCCTGTATTCATAATTCAAGGAGATAATGAGACCGGTGTCTCTCTCCGACAACACCAAAGCCTGTAGAATAACTAGTTATCTAAAGTCTCTAATTTAGTTGTGCCCTAGAAGCTGGTTTATTTGAGTATACCAGTGGTTCAGTATTTTCAAAGGGTCATTCTTGTCTTAACTATAGAGCTATGTAGAGAGCCTAAAGAAAGCTTTTATTTCTATGTAGGAAAGAAGTAGAATACGTTTCAGTTAGTAAAGAGATGAATAAGGAACTCCGCAGGTTTCACCATGGCTGTAAATTTTACGCTCCTCTATCCTAGTCTGTACCGTTTCATGTTCAGAAGTAGCCTTTCACTCCTCCTCCTCCTCCTCCTCCACCTCCATGAAGTCCTCATCCTGGTCCTGCTCGAGCATGCGGTGTATGGCCGCACATATATCGAGAGCAGGTCGTGGGGTATCAATCGCCACCTCCAAGGCTTCATTGATAGCCGCACAAACGGCAAGGTCAATCAGACCCCGAACGCTACGGTCAACCTCTCTCCTCTCCGCCGAAGAACTTCTACTGGCATTTCGGGAATGCCTTGCGGACTTTGGAGCGATTTCCAGATGAGCCCTACCTACTGGCCTTTGGGCAGGTGGCCTGCCTTCCGCCGCGCCGCCTTCGGTAGTGGGAGCGGTGATGGGCTCAGGCTCGCGTGTCGGTATATCAGTAGGGGTACGCTCACCATCAATATCCGTGACGTTGCGCATGTAGTTGACCACGACATTTCCAAATCTCACATGGCGCGATTCCTCTTCCTCCTTCTTTGCCTCTTCGACGAGTGGGGTGGTGGGGGACATCTTCGGATCGAACGAATATGGTTGGGCGATTTGTGAGAGTCCAACCCAGCAGTGTACCTATCCAGCTTTTTATATTGCAATCTACGAGTGTTCGTCATGGTGAAGAAAGAGGCTTTCGTGGATCCTTTGTCTTACTCAAGCGAAACACTCCTGAGCAGAAGGCATATACCCAGCATCGTTCTTTGAAAGGAATTGCCGATGTTTTGATAAGCTCCCCTTCATCAAGATGTCAAAAAGAAACCTTCTTTTTGACGCTTTCGCTAGCTATGAGACATACGCCGATCTTTGACTTTGCCTCTTTATCTCGACGGGTGACTTCCAATTAATGCGACCAATGCAAGCAGGCACATCGTCGTGACCATACATTAGTAAAATTTTCAACTCATGAGCTACATCTCACATCTCAGTTAGTTCAATGCGAGCATGTTATCAGTAAACCTTTCGCAGTAACTATACAACAGACTCAATTTCTTCTGGGTAGCGCATTTCATTCTGCTCACGAACTTGATCGAACACGTTCATCATCAACGAAGTGTCCGCCCAGGGCATGATGGTCGATTCGCGCTTTTTAGCGCGCAAGCAATGCGCGCACTCATCCGCCTCCCAGAATAGTCCATGGCCAACTAGGATCGGAAATGGGACTGTTGAAGCTTCGATGGTTGATCCACACACAGTCACCTTGATCCTGTCTGGGCGTGCCGCGGGACCTAATACTTCGATTTTTCCCTTGGTCTCAAAGATGCGTACGTCTAGGTCCCGGGAGTCTGTCGTTACACGTAAACTATCAGTCGCTACCCCCTCCATCTTGGTCTCCGGGGATGTGAGGACGACTAACACTGTCTCGTCCACTCCCATGCCTTCGTACTTGATGACGGACCCAGACACGCGCAGGGCAACTGAAGCCCAAGGTCGATCGGGGCTGAGAAAGAGAAAAACCCAGGTCAGAGGATAAACGGCCACTGCGTCAATGTCAAGTCAGCATCCGACATCAAGACTGTTGCCAGGGAAGCTTACAATCCAACAATGCGCCGCGAGCCAAGGCCGGGTTCACCAGCCGATGTTCCGTGCCATACAGATCCTCCACATTCCGACCTAGGTTTCGATCTGCCACGATCCACTGCACTGTTCCAATAGCACTCTCACGAACAAGATGCTGCACATGCCGAGTGAGAGGAAAGAATCGGGTCCAGAGGGCCTCCAACAGGAAGAGCCAACGCTCTCTCGCCAGGTTTACGAGCACCTGAGGTTGTGCAGCATTGACGGGGAATGCCTTCTTAACCGGAACGTGTTTATTGGCCATCAAGGCCAGACGAGTGTGCGTAAAATGGTGTGAGTGAGGCGAGGCAACATAAACAGTCTCGACCTCGAGGTCCGTGACTAGAGCCTCGTAGGAACCGTACGCACGCGCTGCTGAGGGGTGCATTGATTGTTGAGAGGAGATTCTGCGCTTTTTCTATAGCGCTAGACGAAGCGACCGCGGTAAGTTCGTGAGAGACATTGTGCACATCACGAGTACGCGGATTAATGAGGAGATCTTTAGCAAATTCTATGCCAGGCTTAGTATATAGTCTGCATTGAAGGTAGATCCTGGCGATGGCCGACTTACTGGTGGCATTGTCCCCGGTTCCTGCTCAGCTTGGCATTAGCAATGCAATATTGGAGGATTCGTGAAACTAAGCGCACCTAAGATCCCCCATCGAACCATCCTTGCGGCCGGATGAGTTTTTCCTTGGATCTTTGGATTCTGCTGGAGTCGAAAAGATCTTTGTATCTGCAATCAGACGCTAAGATCGAATGCCATTTATCCCGCACATCACGTCATTATCGGTCGGTCAGTTTTCACGAATGGGGCGTAAGTAACAGCTTGCATCGATATCGTACACAAGTGAGGTAAATCAAAATGAATTGCTAGATTAGACTGATCACCGTTGCTTCACACCACAGCCGACGACATAACTACCTCTCGCGAATACCTCTCCCAGAAAGGTTTTCCAATAGCAACATACGCTCCATTGTCACAATTGATTTGATCCAAGCGGGACTCAACTTTCCTTCTCTTAGCGAGGAAATCAGAAGAACAGCAGTCTGAAGCGGCGACTGGCCCCAGAGGTCGAAGTCGTGGTGGTGACAGCACCTCCTGTGGCGGTCTCGCTGACCGAAGAAGTGGCAATGGTGGAGTTGGCAGTAACACTGGCCGACATTGACACTGCAGTGGTCGCGATCGCTGACGGAGTAGTAGTCGCGAAAGCAGTGGATGTGCTGTTCCAATTATAGAAATCCTCTCCGTCCTCGTTCTCGTCGTCATTCGACGTACCATCGGCATTGTCATAGTAGTCGTCCGAGTCACCACCATCACTGTCATTGTAACTGTCATAGTCATCGTTATCATCGTCGTTGTCGCCATAGCCATCTAAACTCCGCAAGTAATTCTGGGAGACCCAGAAAGAATAGACCCCATCGCCACCACCTATCGATACAGTCAGATCAGCAGCGTGGACAGTATCACCAAATAAAAGGGCACCCACACGTATCGCGGGCATAGCCAGGGCATGGCACATTGCAGGCATCATCGCCGTAAGCAAAAGCAATATCCTGAATATCGAGCGATGCCGAGCCGCAGTAGCAGCTCTCCCCTTGCATGGCGGCGAAAACGGCATCTGGAGTTTCGCATTGCACCAAGCAGTGATCGACTGATTGAAACTGAAAAGTCCCCATGTTTTCCATGTTGCCAATGGAGCTGACGCAGCCGACCGGTTGCCAATAATCGGCATGGGTGGAGAGGACGAAAGGGAGCAGGGCGCCCACCGAGTAAGCAAATGTCTTCATTGTCGCTTGATTCGATGGGTAATGTTGGTCGCATGGGAAAGATCTCGAGGTGACACGATTGGTAGTGATTTAAATGGCATAAAAGCAGGGATTCAGGAACAGGCAGTCATCAGCCGGGTGGTCCCTGCTGCTTTGCTCTATACGCTTAGCTCGTGGTTTTACTTACAAGATTGATTAGGGGGAGGGGCTCGATTCCAAGCTCCTCGTATCAGATTAGCGCGAGGCTCGAGTAGACAAACTGCAAGGCCTGGGCCCCACTTCGCGCAGCCATTATTGAAGTTTCAGTAAATGAGTTGGCCCTTTCTCAGGGTGCAGAGACTTCGCTTAGGATATCGGTGTCAATTGAGTGATCTGTGGGTTTTCCTAGTTGGACAATGCTTAGGACTGTTGGGAAGTGTAAGCGACGTGCTGATACCTAAATAGGTAGACTGATAATTTGCCAGTGAGTGAAGCTATTCCCACTCAGGCCGAGACATAATTATATCAGCCGGGACTATGTGCATAAGCGTACTGATAGCATACACACAAACAGCACAAACAGGCCAAACCACGCAAACACTGCCCTCTCTCTGCCTCACTCTTTCGAGCGCATTCCAACTTCTCCTTCATTTCCTACAATGTGACTTCACCACCTGATAGCAATCCACATCTTCTTGAAGGCTAGTTGGCGTGGACCCTTCCTCCCGGAAAATCTTCTCTCGCCTTGGTGCGCGCCCAATATCTGGTCTTGCTATGCTGATTTCGATTGCTTCTAGAATCCTGTTGATTCCTGTCTTTCAGCCTCCCTGAGCCTTCACAATGGCCGGCCGATGACTCGCATCCATGGAACGACGGTTCAGCCAAGGATATCGCACTACCAAAATCACTGGCACGACCAGACGCCACGGCCGGCTGAATGCCTCAAAGGGGTCAGCTCGGACAAACCAATGCCCGACTAGGTCATGGGCCGTGTGGCGGTGCCCTCGCGTTTCCGGCACTTCGCTTATCGATGCATTCTGGCCGCAGCCCCGGCTCTTCACAAAGTCTAGCTGTGACGACTCTCGCCCGTCCCTTTCTACAGAGATCTCCTTCGGCTCCTGTATGATGAGAGAAGAAGTTGCCGTCAACCACACAAAGTTGAATCCAGGAGTGAAGATGTATGGTACACAGCTGAAGGCAATGTGGTAGCCGGTCAAAGAGCCCGTCATGCTAGAAGAAACTTTAAACGGCCACGTCAGGGAGTGATTAAACACGAGAGGAGCAGGCATGAAGGCCAATCGCCTCGACTTGCCTCCACATTCCGCAACAATGCTCAATGCTTATCGCCCTACGGCCGCTGCAAGGGGTGCTTGTCAGAAATGCCACCAATGATTGCAGCCGACGGTTAGGGCTTCTTTCGGCTGGTCCCCGACGCCACGTGCTTGGCAGCTGCTCGGCAGCGACAAACAATCTATTAGTCTTCATATCCTTCGTGATCGGGTCTGAGCAGCTCGGATTATAAGTCCATCTTCGAGACTAGCGTCCTGATTCACCCTCCGGTATCACCGGTTCCTGGAATAGAACGCCATGAAAAAGAAAGGAGGCTCGGCTATGATTGCCTCCTACCTGCCGTCCACGTCGCTGGAGCGTACAGGCTCAGGGCCGTTACTTGAATCCAGCATTGGGGTATAAATACCTTTTGCATGGCAACGAAGTGTGATTCCTCTCTGTACATACCACCACCTTCCGACTGGTTCCGCGATTCTCGTGGTCCAGAACCGGACATCCAAGCAAAGCCACCATGCAATTCTGGTCTGTGTTAGGCGTCGCCGGCCTGGCTTTGGCCCAGAGCTGTCCTGCTGTCAATCCCTCCTCTTCAGCCATCGCTCAGGCTGTCATCCCTACTGCGACTGCAACCTCCCTAGGTAGTACGCAGAGTACCGTGACTGCTACAACCGCAGTGCCTACTACATCTTCCACCGCTGTTGTAGTTGCCACGGATGCCTCCGGTCAATTCACTGCCATCGGCGATGCCATCTCCTATGCTCAGTCCAAGGGCATCCCCACGGTCACCGTCAAGGCCGGCACATACACTCAAGCCGTGACCATCTCGGCCACAGCAACCGTGACTGTCATCGGTGAATCATCCAGTCTCCGAGACTATAGTCAAAACAAAGTCACCATCTCCGCTCCTAGTCCGCTGACCATCACCTCCAACGTCCTCGAGATTACCTTCCGCAATGTCAACTTTGTGAACACGGCGACTGGAAGCTATGCGGCTGCGACCATCCGCGGCTTCAAGAATGCATTTTACGGCTGTCAATTTATCTCATCCGGCAGTCTGGGTATCAATGCCAATCTGGGCCTTGCCATCATTGCCGACAGTTATATCGAAGCGTTGGACAAGGTTATCTACGGGTATCCTGGTCTGTATATTTACAACACCACGGTCGTACCCATCAACTCCAATGCATTGCTTGTGTACAACAAGGGTGCTACCGCCAACTCAGTCCTTTACAACTCCACCGTCGTCTTTGATTCCTGCTCGGTGCAGCAGAAATCGGGCACCAGCACAAAGAATGTCTATCTCGGAGCGGCCAATAATGGGTACGGGTCAGTGGTCATTTACCGGAACTCAGCTCTTGGCAGCTTGATCACAGCGTCGGGGGCCTACACTGACAGCTATGCTCTGGACCCTCGCAACTTCTATGGTGAATATGGAGACTCTGGCGTAGGCTCCTATGAAAATAACCAAGCTGTGCGGTCGCAATATGTTCACCTGCTGAGTGCATCCGATCTCGCCCGGTTCTCTCCAGCCCAGGTTTTCGCCAGTGTCTACTATCAGTTCGCAGCAACTAACACCGATTGGGTCGATTCTGACATTTTGGGCGCTATTCAAAGCGCCGATGTTCTTCAGTCATCAACATCCAGTGCCAGCACGATGACCTCCTCTAGTACTAGTGTCTTTTCGACCTCCGCTTCTCAGGTCACAGCCACCTCGGCTACTCCGACCTCAATTCGCTCAGGCGCCACTGCGATGACTGCTGTTTCGTCCGCTGCAGCCCAAGTATCTGCTTCCTCTTCCGCAATTCTTTCTGTCGCTACATCGTCTTCGACCGGTTGCTCTTTGCCCTCCGTGGTGCCTTCCAGTGCTCTAGTGGTTGGTCCATCAGGCAGTTGTGCCCAGTACACCAGCATTGCATCGGCTGTCGCTGCCCTGCCATCTGATTCAACGACTCGATACATTTATATTCTATCTGGTACCTACGAGGAAGCCATCACCATCAGTCGTGAGGGTGCTACTGTATTCCGCGGTGAGACTAAAAACGCGCTAGACCAGTCGAGCAATACAGTCACCATTATTCAAAGTGCCGGGGTTTTGTCTAGTAACGGTGGATCTTCTTCGACCGCAACGTTCCAAGCGTCTCAATACTATGCTAAGGGGATATCGTTCTACAATATCAACTTCGAGAATGACTTTACCCCCACGAATAACAACATTGCAGTCGCTGTCGCTGCCAAGGCTCAAGTGTTAGGTTTCTATGGCTGTGGCATCAAGTCTTCTCAGGGAAGTTTGCTGATCAACTACGGCGCCTTCTATTTCTCCGACTGTCGAATCGAGGGCACCACGGACTTTATCTGGGGTTACGGTGGCATTTACGTGTACAACTCTCGCATCATTTCGGATGGAACGACAAGTGGTCAGACCATCGCTGCGCAATCCTACCAGAGCAACTACGGGCCGTCCCAGTTTGTCTTTGATACCTGCGCGTTCGTACCGAGCGATAGTTCTGTCCCCAAGGGCAGTACCTACTTGGGCAGAGATTACTCTAAGTCTGCTCGTGTGGCCGTCCTCAATTCATATCTTGATGCCCATATCGCGCCTCTGGGCTGGTTGATATCATCTTCCAGTAGCAGTGTGACTTTCGCAGAGTATAATAACACTGGTCCAGGCGCCTCCAGCAGCTCCCGGAGCAGTGTCGTCAACATTCTGTCGGATGACAGCGCATACGCTCTGGCAGATGTATTGGGAAGTACCAGCTGGATTGACACGTCAGCCGTCGCTCCCTTTTCCGGCTTCCCGGACTCTGTCTACAACTCCTCGGCTTCCACTTCTGTCAGTGCCTCCCTCATTGCCACAGCAAGTTCGTCGGTTCTTGCTTCAGCAACGAGCGCGGCCGCTACGAGTACCTCGACGTTTGTGGTCTCACGAAATGCCACTACTGGGCAGTACCGTAATGTCACTGCGGCTATCGCTGCTCTGCCCAGTGATGGCAAGGATTACACCATTTACATCTTAGCGGGTACCTACACCGAACAGATCTCGATCACGCGGTCTGGGAAGGTTACTTTGCGCGGCGAGACTCTGTTTGAGAATGACTACACGCAGAATCTTGTCACCATTGAATTTAGCAATGGGGAGCTCACTAGTGCGGGCAAAGACGAGAGCACACCCGTCATCTACGCGAAGAAAACTGACGGCTCTGGCTTAGCCCTGTATAATATTAACTTCCAGAACACCTATCCTCAGACCAGCAACACAGCCGCATTGGCTGCGGACTTCTATGGCACCAATATGGCGGCTTACGGCTGTTCGTTTATTGGATTCCAGGACACCTTGCTCACTAACAAGGGCACTCAAGTCTTTTCCAACTGCTACATCGAAGGATCTATTGATTTCATTTGGGGGTTCTCGACCGCCTATTTCCACCAATGCTACATCGCTACAAACACCCCTGGAGCCTGTATTGCAGCGCAGAGTCGTTCCTCGTCCACTGCGTCGGGCGGTTATGTCTTCGATACCTGTTACGTCACCTATACCAGCAGCTACGGCTCGACCTACGGTAAATCATATCTCGGTCGGCCATATTCGGAGTATAGCATCGCAGTATATCTGAACTCCTACTTGGACAAGCACATCAATGCTGCCGGCTGGCAACAGTGGTCGACCAGTTCGCCAAACACCGAGTTTGTCACTTTTGGCGAATTCAACAATACTGGTCCGGGAGCATGGTCGTCAAGCCGCGTCTCTTATGCTACCAACCTGACGGCAACGCAGGCGGCCTCCTATACCTTGTCGTCGTGGGTAGGCGACACTTCTTGGCTGGACATGACTGCTTACCACTATGTGCCTTCGTACAGTCTGACCGGAGCATCGAGCACGACCAGTACTAACACTTCAACGTCGGCTGCCACCGCCACTTGGGCGCACCCAACTAGCGGCACTGTGCCTCCCTCGGGTGCAGTGCTTGTCTCGCCCGGATGTGCTGTGAATGGGTCGTACAGTAACTTGACTGATGCACTGGCGTCTCTGCCTGATGATTCCTCCACCCAAATTATCTTCTTATATGCGGGCTCGTATGAGGAGCAGGTGCCGTCAGTGAACCGTGATGGGCCAGTTATGATTATCGGCTACCAGAGTGGAAGCCCCGGTGCCACATATCAGAACAATCAAGTTACCATCACCTTCTCGCGAGGCTTGTCGGTCAGCCCGTTGCCGACTGGTCATTCTGATGCCGAAACGGCTACATTCGCAACCGCCAGCAATCAGATCGCCCTGTACAACATCAACATCATCAATACCGCCAATCTTGATGGCTCCCAGTCATCGTATGTGACTCTGGCTGGTTCTATTTACGGATCCGAGATTGGCTTCTACGGTTGTAGCCTTGTTGGTTGGCAAGATACCCTTTTGACCGGCAGCACGACTGGCTACCAGTACTACGAATCATCTTACATTGAGGGTGCCATTGATTTCATTTGGGGCTATTCCAAGGCCTACTTCAAAGGATGCACTATCGGTGCCAAGCGGCAGAAGTCTGCCATCACTGCCCAAAGCCGTGCTTCGTCGACTGCGATTGGCGGCTATATCTTTGACCAGTGCCTGTTTGAGGCCGCCAACGATGCTACGGTCGATCTGACCGAGCTCGTGTACTTGGGCCGGCCGTACTCAAAATATGCTCTTGTTGTTGTGAAGAACTCTTATCTTTCGGACATAATTCACCCCTCCGGCTGGAAGATCTGGAGCACATCTGATCCTCGCACCGACTATGTCACCTTTGCTGAGTACAACAACTCTGGGCCTGGCAACTGGGAAAATAATGCTGCGTCTCGAGAAGCCTTCGGCTACTGTTCACTGTTAACCTCGGACACATACACGCTGGACAACGTCATGGGATCAACTGATTGGATTGATATGACTTACTGGGATTCGATCGTCACCCCTCAGCCCGCATCGACGACGACTATTACCACTGGTACAAACTCAACCACGGTGTACGATGGAACTACTCCTCCGGCTGGAGCTTACATTGTCTCAAAAACCGCCATCGCCAATGTGACAACCTACGACACGATTCAAAGTGCACTCAATGCCCTGCCAACCTCCAGTAAAGTGACACCCACTGTCTTCATCTACCCTGGTACGTACGAGGAGCAATTAGTTGTCAATCGTTCTGGTACCACGATCTTCATTGGATACTCGGACGATCATCTCGACTACTCTAGAAACCAGGTGACGATTCAATATAATCACGGGGTGGACACGCAGGCCGATCAGTCCAATTCGGACAGCGCCACTGTTTACGCCACGGGTAACTACTTCCAGGCTGTGAATATCAACTTCGTGAATAACTTTGGAACCACTAAGAATTACGCCTCGCTTGGTTTTGCGGTGAAGTCCAGCAAGTACGCCTCACTTTACGGTTGCCAGGTGACAGGCAATCAGGATGCGCTGTTGATCAACGGCTATTTTTTCGCCAGCAACAGCTATATCGAAGGCAACATTGATATGATCTGGGGTTCTGGCTCTGGTTACTTTCTCAACTCAACGATTTCGCCTAACGAGGACGGGGTAAACTTGACAGCTGACAAGCGCTCCACCAGCACCAGCGTCGGTGGCTTTGTCTTTGATCAGTGCACCGTCACTCCGGCCTCCGGAGCAGGCAGCATGTCTGAGATCTCATTGGGTCGTCCGTGGAATAGCTATGCTCGGGTGGCATATGTGGAATCCTACCTCGACTCCTGCGTGGAAGCGGCTGGGTGGGAGCAATGGTCTTCAAGCAGCCCCCAAACCGACGGGGTGCTGTTCGGTGAGTATCAGAACCATGGCCCTGGCTCGTCAACCGCCAATCGGGCGTCATTCGCAACGATACTGAATGCCAGTACGGTTGCCCAGTTCGAGCTCACCAATTTTTTTGCCTCGACTTCCTGGATTAATCTTACTCTCGTTGACGGCACTCCTTTCGTACCAGGGAGCTCGACGATCCTGCCTGTTACCAGCGCCAGCGCCATCCCCACCACTTCGGCGCTGGTTGCAGCTACTCCAACCGCGACTGTCACTACCGTTGTAACTATCACCGACAAGGAGACTGCGTTTACGACGCTCACTCCTGCCGATCGTACCTCGACTATTAAGTTGACGATCACGGAGGACATTGGCACCACCGTGACTCTGGCTGAGTCTTTCAAGACTACCGTGAAAAAGACCACAATTTCGAGCACCACGACTATTGTGGAGCCGACAGTGACGAGCATCAAATCGGCTGTAATCACCAGCTCAGCTATCGAGACTGTCACTGCTTCTGCTAGCACCAGAACCACCACGGTCAAGGACACGACAACAGTCACCGCGACTGTCACCGAGGGTGATGTCACTACCAGGGTCAAGAGCACGGTAACAGCCATGCGCACGATCACTTCGTCTGCCAAGGCTAAGACGGTTACCTCAATTGTGGCCAGTACGACAACTAGTCTCAAGACATCCACTCCAGGCACCGTCAAGCTCACTTCGTACACGACCATCACCAAGGGTAGCGGTGGCACGACCACCAAGAGCACGAAGGCCACCACCACCACCGTGGATGTGACCTCTACCAAGACTCGCACAAAGACTGTCACGACCACGCTGAACTGTATCCCGGCAGCCAATGTCAAACGCGATCTGATCTTGCCCCGGGCCACGGTGAACGTGGCTACCGTCACTCAATACACCACTCTGACGGCCTATGTTCAGACCTCGACCGACAAGCTAGCCTCGCCCACGGCGTATGTCACATCCACAACAACTAAGACCATTGGCAAGACATCTACGGTTAAGGCCTCGACCAGCACAATCACTAGCGTCTCCGCGACAACCAAGATAGCCACCGAGACCGTCAAAGCCGTCACGGTGATTTTGACGGAGAGTAGCACTACAGTCGTCGCGAAGACCACTACTCTCAAGCCTAGTACAATCACCAGCACTATCACTTCCGCGGCCACCAAGACCTCGACCGTGTCTGTTCCGGGTGCGACGGTGACAGTGACTAGTCTGAAAACGACGACCATTAAGTCGACGATCACCTTGCCGCAGACTACCGTCACCAAGACTAAGGCAACGGTGAGCACGATCAAGGAGACCGTCACGCTGGCAACGCCCACAACCACCATCCTTAAGACGACTACGGTTAGCCTCAAGCCATCAGTAACGATCACCGAGCGAGCGACCAGCACTCGTACGGCTACTGTTAAGGAGACGGTCACTGAGATCACCACAGTGACCAAGACGTCCAAGAGCGCCAAGGCTTGCGCTACCTAAAGGAGAATATCCTCGAGTCCACATCTTCTGTTCTTGTGTTGATAATTGCAAGACCTACATATGCTAGCAGTGTCATTTAATATAATCTATGCTTTTTATTCGGGGGAAAGAGTTAAGATCTTTATAAACTGGTTTCTGTAGGCCAAAAAGACTTAGATGTGTTTTGGGTCAACACGAGGTCGATTTTGGCTCACCCGAAGGTTATATATATATTTCAAATGGTGTCCCTGTTCACTCCACAAGTTACGGAAAGGCCTTGCCGATATTGAGCATGAATTGAGTAGTCCAGGCTTGACGAACAAGCTTTTATTTTGACCGAATAGATATTCGCAAGAAAAAAGAAAAGTTGGTTTAGATATGCAATGTAAACCACAAGCGAGGAAAATGATGTCGGTGCTGCGACATTTTTCTGGGCAGAAACTTTATTTTGGTCTATAAATATATTTTTGGAGCACTTTTCCAACAGCTGGCCTGCTGGCCCAATGGTAAGGCGCTTGACTACGAATCAAGAGATTGCAGGTTCGAGCCCTGCGTAGGTCATTCTTTTTTGGCCGTAGAAATTCTAATTCATACTGCTCTGGGGATTATCACACTACTTTTCCTATTACAGTTTCGCTTGACGAGCCTGCTTCTCTCGGTCGCGCAGCAAGCGTCGCAGAATCTTGCCACTCGGGCTCTTCGGGATAACCTCAATAAATTCTACGCCACCCTTCAGCCACTTGTGGCGGGCTTTGGCGTCCTGCACATGTGCCACAATAGCCTGGATGGTGGCCGCATCATCCGGACCGGCCTTTGGCGACTTGACGACGAAGGCCTTGGGTAGTTCGCCTGCATCGGCATCGGGAATGGGGATGACAGCGCAATCGGCCACTGCGGGGTGGGTTAACAGATGGGCTTCCAATTCCGCGGGAGCCACCTGTAATCCCTTGACCTTGATCAGTTCCTTGATGCGGTCGATAATAAACAAGTGCTCATTGCCCGTGGGGCTCAGGCGCATCACGCCGACGTCGCCGGTGTGATACCACCCGCCGCGATAGGATTCTGCAGTGGCCTTAGGGTTGTTGAGATAGCCCATGGTGATGTGCGGGCCGGAGACGAGGACCTCGCCTGGCGTATCGTACGCAGTCACCTCGTTACCATCCTCGTCAAGAATCTTCCACTGCGAGCCAGGCATGGGACAGCCCACGGAGCCTGTCCACTGATCGAGCACGGGCGTCAATCCGATCACGGTGGTACCCTCAGTGATACCGTAACCCTGTCCAACATTCACGCTGGGGTATTGTTGGCGCACCGCTGCTTCAATCTCCTCGCCCAGCGGAGCCGCCCCGGTGTAGAGTCCCACCACGGTGCTGAGGTCGTACCGCCGGCACAGCTCGTGACTTTGCACGAGGCGTAAGACAATGGGGGGCACAAGGCAGTAAATGCTGATCTTGAATCGCTGGGTCGCCTCAAGAAGAGCCCCCAACTGGAACTTGGCGAACACCACCGTCTGATCGCCGCGGTAGGCGGCGTAGTTACATACGTAGTTGAGCCCATAGACGTGACTCATGGGCAGCACACAGCTCGTCACTTCGGGCTTGCCCTTGATGCGCATGCCGGACGACTCATCGTACTGCTTGAATTGCAGGATGTTGGCAATGAAGTTGTAGTGCGAGATCATCACACCTTTCTGTACGACTCGCGGTTAGTGCTGCTTGGGAAACGGGTCCGTTTTTGCTTTGTTGATCCGCAACGTACCGGCAACCCTGAAGTGCCACTGGAATAGCATAAGTAAGCCGGTTGCCGACGACCCTGTCCAGCTTCCCATTGCAATGGCGCCACTGGGGGCAACTTCTGGCCTTCTGCGATCAATTGCGACACCGTCTTGAAATCTGATGATCCATCCGGTAGCGACTGGCCTGGCTCTGTAGGCGTCTCCAGCAAGAACACTCGCTGACGAGGAATCCCAACCTTGGCTGCAGCCTCCAGAGCGGTGGATAGCAGAGGCAGACAGGTAAAGAGCACCGTCGCCTTGGAATCCGTGAGCTGATAAACTAATTCTGCGGCGGAAAAGCCTGCGTTGGCTGGGGAGACAATGCCCGACAGCCGATGCACAGCCCATGCCAGGGGCATTGTGTCGATCTTAACCCTCTGTTAGTATCTTGATTTGAGCCTACACGGAGATTCGAAGGGCTCACCGCGTTCACACTGAAAATACCGATCACTTTATCTTCTGCTGCCCCGGTGTTGGGCTCCCAGTCCAGTTCCTGAGACAGAGTGCGGGCCAAATAGTCCACACGGTCAACAATCTCGGCCGGCGAATATCCTTTGCCCGTGACATTGCAGATGAATGGGGCAGGAGACTGATGTAGGGGAGCCCGACCGTACTTTTCGTCTAACATGAAGTCGCAGAGAGGTAAAGTGTCAGGGATGGGAGGCAATTCGCCTGCCCACTTGGGCGGATAGAAGACCATGGTGGAGGAGAATGTGGGGGAGTGGACGACCTGGGATGGAGCAAAGCAGCAGTGGGAACGAGAAGCCCTTTTAAAGAGCTGTCAAATTTTGGCTGACCTGAGGTTGATCCCTGCTTTGACCCCTAGCTAATGCTAGACAGGATCAGTAGTGTTTTCGTCTCACTCTTACTGCATGCTTAGCGCCGAGCGAAAGAAAATTAGAGCAGCTGGCTTCGACAGCCTCATTGGGTGTCACGACGATCAGCCAGCCCTAGTCTGGCTCCAGTACAGCTTCAAATAAGCCGAGGTACCCGAACCAGCCTATATTCGTCCACCATCTGGCTGTCTGGCTCCACCGCTGGTTTCAACGGCCGTCGTTGACGCTGATCAGGCCACCTTGGCAGCTTTGGGATTTGCAAAACGTGTCGTCGAGGCGTGAGGCGGGGAAGGTTAAGTGAAATAGAAGTGGCGTCTGTCTTGATGTCAATCTGACTGAGTATTTGAGTATGATCTACCAGGAGGTGAGCCACAACAGCGTCCATCATCCGCGAACTCGACATTCTACCACCACATGGCTGTGTTCAAACAAGCATACCCCTTGATCTTTGTAGACCCAGCACCTGAGGATAGTGTTTTGCCCCAAAGGCGAAACCACTAACGGTCAAAGGGATGTCGTGACATGCGGCTGCATCTATCGGGTTGACCCAGGATAATACCTCTCGGTCGCATTTTGGCTGCAAAGGAGAACGCTCTTGCCGAGGACATGGATTTGAGTTCTATGACCGTGGCCTATGGCTTGCTGTCAGCACTTTGGTCGTAGAGACAATTCGTGGCTATAGACACATGTTGAACTTGGTGGAAGGTCGGGGGTCAGAAGCGCGGAATGACAAGGCGATAGATGTGTCCATACCAGCCTTGAACTACTCAAACAACTCCAAGCAAAGACATGTTAGTTATCCAAAGCGACAAGTACCAGGTATTTATGGGTCTCCCATGCCATAGAATCGAGACAGTTCTCCGCAATTCTGCTAAGCATAAACCCCCGGCCCTACTCAGGCGCATGTGGTGCAACGGGCTATTGTCGGGCGAGAGATCCGATTGAAGATCACAGTCTTGGTGCTGCATGGAACAGAGTGCTGACTGCAGAGGAAGAAATTCCAAGTAAGAATACTGGCCAGGAACTGTACTCGAATCCATGGCGAATTTTTCAATTCCTTGGTACACCCATCTTTGATAGCTAGCTAGCTTTCTATCTCTGATTATCCCTTTGATCCTTCAAACCCAATAGAACATCACTTCAATGAGAGGATTTCTGAGCCCAACCACGGCTTTTTATGCAACCTGAGAAAGAAAAGTGGACTGGACTGTACCTGCAAATCACTGCCACCTGATCTCCGGACTTGACCGTGACTTTCAGGGGCAAAATCCACAGATGGTCGGCATCAATTGCTGCAGAAATCACTGGCGTTAACTGCATGTCGTTAGCCCCAACCCGCCATCGCTTAAACTCGCCTTCTTTTCACAATCTATTGAATCCGACCCAGAGTCACTCCTCTGTAGTGCCCAAAAAAAGAATACGGACCCGGCATCGAGAAGTTCAGGATGCTTGGCTGGGTGTGGATCGGCCCCGGTTATATGTTCATCTTGACTTCCCTCTTCCCAGCATGGGTAGCGACAGGCACTTGATTCACCATGGCTTTTCTGCGCTCTTTGCTCTTCGGAGCAGGCTTAATGCCTCTCATTCGGCAGGCTATGGCTTGCACGAGCACCGATGTCATCAAGGGAGGCTCGTCATCTTATGCCTCTTACTGGAGTATGAGTGCTGGCCCTAATCTGGTGACTTTCCCAACGATCAGTACCGGGGGTCCTGATGGCGGCGCCTACCTGTGAGTATGACTGTCATGCGGTGTGGAATGTCAAGGGCAACAAAAGGATTAACAGTTGTTGTCTAGTGAGATCGACGATTTCAGCTATAGCTACGTGATTGTCCGTCAGAACATTGCTTCGGTGGAGGTGGGCACGCAGTACCGTGTCTCATTAGACTGGTCGATTGCTACAAATAACTCGACCGGGGCTTCCTGTACATTGAGTGTCGCCGTTGAAGGCAGTTCATTTACTGCTGCTTCTGCGGCGATAGTGGCTGGTCGGTCTAGTGGTTGGGGAACTGTGACTGGCTTTTATACTCCCACCTCCTCGACTGGCATTCCTTTTGTGATCTCCATCGGCTGCTCTCAGGGAGTCTCAGATGGCAATCCCATCATCGGTCTGGCCGACATCTCCATGATTAGGTCTTGTACCGGTACAACATCGGTTACCAATGATGCGAGCTCGTACACCACCTTCACCCCTTCCGCTACTGACAGCAGGTCGAGCGCGGCGAGTACTATCAGCAGCAATGGTTCGCTTGGTCTCTTGACCAATGCTTTAAGCACGATGACTGCATCTACCCCCACAGTCTTATCCACTGCCAGCAGCTCTTCCACCGCCACCTGGTCGACCTCTTCGGGCGGTGAGGCCGTGACTAAAGAGGATGGGACCACGCTCACGGCTGACACCACATCTGGAATTACCTTGGAGGCATCGCAGTCCGTGGATAGCTCTGATGCTTCCTCTGTTTCGGGTATGGTAGCGGTGGGTTCTATTCCCAAGCGCAAGCGTAGTGGTGTCTCTTGCACGTTGAGCATCTATCAGGGGCGCAATCTCCTCGATGGTATCACCATTTCAACGGGCTCCTCGGCTCCCTTTTCAATCTGCTTGGATGGTTCATCCTCTGGCAGCTTTGCCCTCACCATTAAAGTGGTGTGTGATGGAACTGGCGCGGTGGTGCAGATATCTGGTCTGGTTGTGGATACCAGCGTTGCGGCCGCTGAGGAATGCGCTGCTGCTGCTGCCACTACAACATCTGCAATCACATCAAGCTCGGCTCCTGCTCTTCAGCGCTCATCCGCTGTTACTCCTGGTTCCTCGTCTCCTGTGTTAACCCGTGTTCCCATTCGAAGCTTGAATCCCAGTTCTCGGGTCAGCTCCAGTGGAGCTTTGATCGTCACTCCTGCCAGCCCATCAATAACCCCAAGCCTTAGGCCCGACTTCGGATCTAGCTCAGACTCGGGCTTCTCGGGCACCTTTGGATTGTCAGTCCCTTCTGGCCCTGACTCCGGTTCCAAGGCTGGCTTTTCTGGTTCCTCTGCTTTTCCTGGCTCGGTGGTGAATATATCAGGGTTCAAGACCCATTCCAGCGCCAGGTTCAGCACTTCGATATCCGGCTCGTCCGGCACCGACATCTCTGGCTCCAACCCCGGTGCCTTTACCACGTCAACCGTATCCCACACTGAGGTGCATACTGTCACCGCATGCCCATCGACTGTCAAAACTTGCCCCGCCTCCGCGAAAACTACTTACGTGACTACTGAGACTGTGATTGACTACACTACCATCTGTCCTGCTACTGCTACCCAGACACCGACTCCTGCCACCGCTGTCAGGGTAGTTGGTGCTTCTGAAGTTGAGGGATACACTACCTCCACTGTTTATAAAATGTTTGTGCATGCGGTGACTGCTTGCCCAACTTCAGTCAAGGATTGCCCGGCCTCAAAGCAGACAACCTTTCTCACCACCGAGACTATTGTGGACTACACCACCATCTGTCCTATAACAGCCACCGGGACTGGTTTTGCAGCCACGAGAACTGCTAGTCCTCTTTCCCGATTCACTGAGTATGCCACCAGGACGGTGTACACTACTTCAGTTCATACGGTGACTGCCTGTCCATCGATTGTTAAGGACTGTCCCGCGTCGGCCAAATCGACTTTTGTGACAACTGAGACTATGCCTGCTTATGTGACGACATATACCGTGTTACCCACTGAGCCCTCCCATGCGAATGTTGCGTCTGCCGATGAGGAGATCTATTCGACCTCCACTATCTATGAAACAGCTGTCCACACGATGAGACTTGTTCCTACAGGGTCCTCCGACCACACTGCAACTCAAGGGAGTATTTCTGTGTACACTAGCCTGGTTCCAGTGGGTACTATTATCTACTCGAGTGCCAAATCTGCTGGTTCTACAACCACCGTATCTGTGGCCGGTAGCACAGGCGCCAACAAGCCGGAGGACGTTAATGCCGTTTATGCTGGCCAGTCCACTACCGACACGGCCTTCATTGCCCTTACCCCAAGCACTGGCGCTCCGCCCAGCTCGTTGATCTCTTCTGCGAGAGCTTCATCTGTGGCGACTATTTCTGCAGTGACCATCTCTTCAGCTGGTGCCGAGTCTGTATCTTCCACCAAGACGGCGGCGGGCGCTGTCTTCACTGGAGCTGCCTCATCCGTCGCCTCCTCCTCTGTCTTCGTTTGGGCGATTGGACGGCTTCTTGCTGTTTTCTTGTAACTAATCATAGAATAATAATTTAGTGTGGTCCATGGGATCAATGGCCCTCGTGGAGCACTTCATAAGTTCAGGATTCAAGCCCATCTGTTCACAGCACAAAGCTGATTATACCTTTAATGTAGACGGGACAAGTCTAAGAGAACATTGTAATAATATTCGAGACTTTTTCGTGGGTATCAAGGAAATTTCTACAATCCTCGCTACGAGAACATTGCTCACGTGCTACCCAGTGAGCTCCTGCATCGCCCTCCAAGCAGGCGGACCAGGAACCATCGAATCGGTTCGTAGGAATAAATTAAGGATGCTGCCAGGCACGGAGACGAGTGGGGACGCGATAAGCAGGATTAGATGGAGCGCCACCCCCACGTGGGCGCATGGAGAGAGCATTCTGGAATGAAGGAACTGGGCAAAGACGCTAACGAAATTAACCCTCATTTAGCGTGCAGCACATGGTCGTTTCATAGGCAAGCAGGATCCCTGGCTGAGCACTCTTGGACGTCGTCCCACTTGATTAAAGACAGTCGAACCTCGCTTGACAGCTGCTCATGACGCAGCTACGCATGCATGCCCGGAGACTGGGGATTCGGCCATCCTCCGTCCCTCGGTCGTCCAGGATGCTAGATCTATATAATGACCCCTCCAACCCCTCCAAGAAGCTGCACTTTTGACTTGAGCAGTTCACATCCTACGACCAATCCAACATGGCCGCTTTCGCTGCTGTCGCTGCTCTGCTCGGAGTTGCCAATGCTGGCCCGATTCTTGCTCCAGCCCAGGATATTGTCTTTCCCTCGACTTCGCACTCCTCCAATCCTTTGATCTATTCGGGTGCCAACACGCCCTACTTCTCTGGTGGGTGCAATCGATTATTTTTTCCAGCGGTGTCTATGCTGATAAATTACCAGGTCCCAATGTCCACCGCATCTCCAACGAGGTCCCTGCGCAGTGCACTGTCCAGCAGGCCGCCTATGTTGTGAGACACGGCAGCAGGTAAGAGATTCCCTCATTGTGACAAGAAGGACAGTGGCTGACAGCCTTCAGATTCCCCGATACCGGCTCTTACAACGCATGGGTGGATCTAGAGAAGAAGATCCAAGCCGCCGTACAAAGCGAAGGCTTCGAGGCCCGCGGCGCTCTGTCGTTCATCGCCGACTGGAAGACGGTCCTGACCAACACCACGCTGCAAATGTCGCAGGAGTCGATGACGGGTCGCAAGGAAGCAGTAGACCTTGGCTACACTTTGCGCGCTCGCTGTAAGTTCCTTGAGCTGGTCACCAGTCCAGTGATGCATGCAGGCTAACAATGAGCGACAGACCCCGACTTCTACGAGGATGGCCATCCGTTCTACGTCTGGGCCAACCAGTACGCCAACCCCATCAGCAGCTCGCGTGTAGTGCAGACCGCGCAGGCTTTCCTCCTGGGATACATGTACGAGTTCGCCGACACGTATGGCAAGGTCGTCAGTGTCAACTCCACCGGCTCCGTCAATGCCATCGGCAACTCGCTGGGACCCTCGGACGCCTGTCCCTTGTATGTCAACAATCATTATAACAATGTGACGGACTGTAAGTGCTTCCGGACAATGGATGCAGAGAGCCAACCTCCCCCGCGACTGACTATCGAGTAGTTGATGCCACCTGGATGCCCAAAGCAATCAAGCGCATCAACGCGCTGGTCAGCGGTAACCTGACCTTCACCGAGACGGACCTGACCTTCTTCCCTTACCTGTGCGCCTACGAGAGCCAGATCCAGGGTCGTCTCAGCGACTGGTGCAACGTCTTCACTCAGGATGAGTTGACCAAGTACGCCTATTCCCAGGACCTGGCCTACTGGTACGGCGTCGGGCCTGGATCGTCGGGGCCCACCAAGCTCCTCTTCCTGCCCTTCCTCGAGAGCTTTTTGGACCTGCTGGCCCAGGGCCCCGGTCAGAACGGCACTGGACCGGACGGCGCTCCCTTCACCGTGCCCAAGCTCATCATGGCCTTCCTGAACGACAACCAGATCGCCGAGTTGACTGCCGGCATGGATCTCTTCAAGAACGAGAAACCCCTGCCGAATGATCGCATCCCCTCCGACCACCTGTACAATGTCGCCAATTTCATCACTATGCGAGGCACGGTCGGATTCGAGGTACTTGACTGCGAAGCGAACGAGAAGAAGAAGACCAGCGCGGGCACCTACCTCCGCATTCTGCTCAACGATGCTGTCTATCCCCTGCCTATGTGCAAGAGTGGACCTGGTAGCAGCTGTCTCTTGTCCGATTATGTGACCTACATCAAGAAGAAGAACGCAGAGGCGGGCAACTTCATCGACTACTGCAACGTGACGCAAGCCGGTCATCCTGAGACGGTCGCCGGGGCCAGCTTCTTCACCGATTTGAGCCAGGATTTCATGACCATGGTCTCGCCTTGAGCATGATGCCGGGAGAGCCCAGGAGCGACATACTTATTCTACCGTGTAATCCTTTTGCGTTCCTTTCGAGGATCTATGCATCCTAATGTGTATAGTACGTATTGGCGGCGGTGGCGAGAATCAAGATTCAATGCTTCTCTGATTGTCATTTGCAAAATCAATCAATTGTCATTTTCCATGCTTCGTATTGCGAATAGTATTAAGTATTTCAAACAGAACCTCCAGGGCGCAGCAAGGGCTCCTCTTGTCCCCTGCGGACTTGAGCATTCCCCGTCACCAGGCGACGACGAACGACAGGAAAGAGGGCCAACGACAGCCAACACAGCGTACTCAGCGCCAGCGCCGCGGCAAAGACCACGACAAAGGAGGGCGACCAACTTTGGGTTTCGGGGGAAGGAGGGAAGAGAAGGGCTTGAGGATCGTCGGGCTGAGGCCAGTCCGCGCCGGGGGCCCAGTAACTGGGCGGACTGCTGCGCACGACCGGCGAGATGCCCAAGCTGGCTTGGCCTCGATCGAGGGCCTCAGCGGACACCCAATCCATGTATCCGCGGGCGATGAAGCTGGTCTCGAAACCGGTCTTGGGCACGGTGGCGATGAGGACGTTCTCGCCGTCTGCTGCGGCCCGAGCCCAAAACCGCCAGAACTTCACCTCGGTCGCGCCGTTCCAACTCACATGGAATTCACTCAACAACTCGGACCCGTTGATCCCTACCACCGAGGCGACCATCGTCGGGGGTTCTGCGGGCTGAGCCGACCAGGGGTATTTGTAGGCGCGGTAGTTGCCGAACCGGTCGCTGGCGAAGCGGGCCTCCGTCAACAGGCGGCCATCGTGGTCAAACTCGCTGATATAGCCATAGTCACTCCACGAGACAAATACATTGTTGTTGGGCAGGAGCTGTGTGCTGCCGCGACGTCGCGTTAGATCGCCATCCGGTCGGAAGTACTGGTTCAGCAGTTTTGCTTCGTAATTGACCAGGTCCAGTTCGACGATCATGGCCGAGGAGATGGGCTTGTCGTTGGTCAACTCGTCCGCCGCATTGTCCAAGAAGGACATCACCATGCGCTCCGGTGTTTGGAGGATGATGCGGGCATCGTGCTGCCACGAGAACTCGAAGACGACCTGAAAATTGTTCCCCTTGCCCCCCAATCGCCAGAGTATGCTGCCATCCCGTCCGGAGATGAGGTAGATGGTGCTCGAGTGGCGACACGACATCAGATAATTTCCATCTTTCGTCTTCTCGACCGCATTGCAGTGGATGTAATCGGCGCCGTGAGGAGGATTTCCGACCGTGATGTCGATGCGGGACTCGTGCAGCGGGATCTGGCCCTCGGAGTTCCATTCGAAGAAGACATGGCCAGTCGTGTAGTCGACATCACGGAAGCCTTGGAATTTGATCTCGCGCGAGATACCGGGAAGGCCGAAGTCGGCCAGATCGACGACCTTGGGCCACTGGTGGATGGCCAGGGCTTTGTGGGGGGCGTAGACGTAGAACTCGTGCTTGTCAAAGACGGGGGTACTGGCCAGCTCGCGGTACTGGTGGTCAAGGACAGTACCGTTGGCGTGCTCGAGGTCGACGCCCAGACCGGTCTGCACCATCAGCGAGAGCTGAGGCTTGCCTGGGACATTGGCTACCACGCGCAAGTCGAAGGCGTTCTGGTTGTCAGTGTACTCGGCTCCGGTCCACACCAATTCACCATCCTGGTCGAAGATGTAGGGACCGATCTGATACGGCATCCATCGGGTGGTGTAGGGTTCTCCTACCGTCACCCAGTAGGGGGCCACAAACCAGTAACCGGGGGCAGTGGCATCACGATGATAATGAGTGCAGTTCCATTTGGGGATGCGATGTTGTGGTAACTGACGAGGGAATTTAGTAGATGAGTCAGATCTTAGTCATCCACACTCCTTTTCCCTCACCGTTCGATAAACCCGCAAATCCGAATCATCCGCCGCCTCAAATTCGCGGCACACGCTCAGCACAAGGAATAACAGAGTGAGGGGGAATGCCAGAAACGAGCGTGGGAGCATGATAGCAACTCAGTGAACGAGTGAAGGTAGTTGGAGTGCAGGTTGGCTCGAAGCACCACCCGAACTCAATGAGCGGAGACAAGGTGCTTTATCCATTGCGCCTCGCTTGGATTTACCCCAGATGCACCGCGATACGATCCGGTGGACGTGTTCTCGTTCATTCCCTCGATTATTCGCCATGGTACAGTACAAAGTAGGAGTAGATAGGCAGTGCGAAATAGGGACTGGCCGACCCACCAACCGAGCCCAGTCAGGGAGGGTTAGTGCAGTGGCAAACAGAATCAGACCCAGCAGATCTTATCGACCAACTTCGGCCCCAGGCTACAAACTATATCCGTCTGCTATTTGATTGTTTGTACGGACTACAATCTCATCAGTTACACCCAACTTCAAGCCCATAGCCTAGTACTAACCCTTCGAACTAGAGAAAGATTTCATCCAGTTCTTGCCGCAGTCAAAGCTCAGGACTATTAAGTACGATTCTCTAGACTGACGGACAGGAGAGCATAGCTCCCCTCGCATTGCGATCAAGCTCTTCAGCACTTTCAAGATCTAGATGTATAACAGCCCCTGTTGACTCTCCATGCACACCCTATGGACGCGCCTCCCGTGTAGTGCGGGTGCGAATCCACTTGTCCAGAGGAACCGTGTGGAGTGCATCCGAACCGATCCAAGAATGACCACGCCTCGGTATGCTGAATCGGCAAAAGATGGCGGAATCCCACCGCGACTGGAAGGTCGGCATTGGTTTCGGCTCCACTGCATTGGGATGGATTATTCAGGGATCTCGATCTCTACATCCGCATCTCCGCAATTCCGGTTCTTCCCCATAGTCTGGTCTATCCATCTTCCCCCAAGTTCCCCAGTTTCTCGAATGGCCACAAAATCTTCTCATCCCTGGCCATTCCCGTAACTATAGCTCATCTCATCTATCTTGAGGAGCAACCACCTCTCACCACCATGGACTCACTGCCTATCGTACCACTCATCATTGATGGCCAAGACATCCTGTTATCCCCCGCCGAGAGACAAGGCACAGTGGCCAATCGATACGCAGGGGGGCCCGTTCTCTATCAAGGCGCGACCAGAGACCTGGCACTCCGAGCTGCGCAATCAAGCGCCCAAGCCTTCACAACATGGTCAAAAACCACCCCCATAGAGCGTCGGACTCTACTTTTCAAGCTGGCTCTGGTATGTTGGTCTGAGCTAGAGAACCACATATCCTCGCTGACCACACGTACAGATCCTGAGAGACAGAGCCGATGAGATCAAACGGGTGTGCTGTAAGGAAATTCACTGCGGAGCACTGTGGGCGGACATCATCACCAACGACAGCATCGGCCTGATCGAAGAGTATGCCGCCCTTACCACCAGCGTGGCCACCGGCTCCATTCCCCACACACAGCAAGGCTATGGGCTGGTCATGAAAGAACCTCTTGGCGTCGTCCTCGGAATCGCGCCCTGGAATGCGCCCATCATTCTGGGTCTCCGGTCCGTGGTGGCGCCCATAGCCGCAGGCAATGTGGCTATCCTCAAGGTATGATTTCCCGGCAGTTGTGTGGAACGGTACCATTTGCTAACGATTCCAACCTTAGGGCTCCGAACTCAGTCCGCAGACACACTACCTTCTCGCCTCGATGTTTCGCGATGCTGGGTTTCCACCAGGTGTTTTAAATTTTCTTCTGCATCGACCCGAGGACGCACCCGAGATCTTCGACGTGCTCATCAACCATCCAGCAATCAAGAAATGCAACTTCACTGGGTCGACGCAGGTGGGTCGCATCATCGCTTCCCAGGCCGCAATGGCACTCAAACCTGTCTTGTTGGAGCTCGGGGGCAAGAACTTCACAGTTGTCCTGGATGATGCTGATCTGGATCTTGCTGCCCGTGAGATCACGAAAGGCGCTTTTCTCAATGTGGGTCACCAATACATCCCGATACCCTCGACGAAAGAACAGAACTGACCCAGACATAGAATGGTCAGATCTGCATGTCCACGGATATGGTTCTGGTTACCACGGCGGTGGCTTCAGCTCTCGAGGCCCGCATTCTGGCCATCTTGCGAGAGATTGACACGGCACCGATGGTCATCTCTCCGGCTGCCAAAGCGAAACTCGAGATGCTGGTTTCCGACGCGCGGGCCAAGGGCGCAGAGATCCACATTGCCCCGCAGGCCCTGGGCTCGACGGCGCAGAGCTTCCCTCCCACAGTGGTTACAGGGCTCACGGCAGACATGAAACTGTACGAGATCGAGTCGTTTGGCCCGGTAGTTGGCATAGTGTCAGTGCAGACCGAGGACCAGATCGTTGCAATCATTCAGGAGGCCAAATACGGATTATCTAGTTCCATTATCTCCAGAAATCACTATCGCGCACTCGAGCTGGCCGGGTCCATCAAGGCCGGGGCAGTACATATCAATTCGATGACTGTACATGACGAGCCAACTCTGCCGCATGGGGGATACGGGGATAGCGGATGGGGTCGATTCGGAGCCCGGTGGGGACTGGAGGAGTTTGTCCAGACTAAAGTCGTCACTTTGCATCCATAGACACCGCTAAGGTAGAGAACAACATTGAGCTTTAGCTAGATAACAGATCCGGCGGTGTGCTACAGATGTCTTCCTGGCCTGCATTTGCTTAGAAGGCTAACACGCTTGAAGATCACAGTAGGCGGCACGATACGAGTGAAGATGGGCTTCTTGGTAGAGGATGCCCCCGTGCTTATCCTGCTAGCGCTCAGAACGCTGGACAATTGCTCTCTGACGGATAAGTATATTTCCGACAGGAGGAAGATATGGGAGGGTTAACCAAGGTTGCGCGCATCAGTCTTGCCAAGAATACAATACAAGTAGTTAGAGCTTGTCTCCAACTAGAATAGTGGGCGCAATTTGCAAGTTAGCGCTTGTTCTGGATAACCTCATCTGCCCGTCGGACGCTCCCAGAAGCCAGCAGCGAGACTCGTAGACAATACGAGCAGGAATGCTTGGCTGGAGGTCACGGAGTAGATTGCCTCGTTAGGAAAATGGATCTGATAAGATCTCGCTTAAACGAGCGGTGAAAAGCCATCGGTTCGGCCTTGGCACTCGGGGTTACGCGACACTTATATTTATTCAGGTACCGAGACAGGAGAACATTGTATTGCTTATCAGATCTATATTGCCTTGCACAAGGACTATAAGAAAGCACTCCCCCCTGCCCCTAACCAGCAATACAGCATTTTACGTGTTTCTCCATTGACCATCATCCAACATCCCCGAGCCGAGCGCACCGTTTGGTCATCATCATGCAGTTCAAGGTTGGTGGCATACCATAACCCTAAGTTCTCCAATTAACGAGTACAGATCCTCGCCCTCATTCCCATCCTGCTGGCCAGTGCTGCTGCTACCCTCGACATCGCCTTCAGTGGCTACTACTTGGCCGACTGTGTTTCCCCGAGCATCGAGTCGGCCAACGTTATCTCCGGTGGTTGCGGGCCGGCCCAGGGTCTTCCTTTGAAGTCCTTCTCCGCGCGTGTCTACTCCGGTACCTGTGATGACAGTGCCACTTCGCCGGTGCTGAAAGTATATACCGCCACTGGATGCACCGATGAGTCTTTGTACGGCGAGTACGAGGTCACCAGCACTACCCAGTGCTTTGCAGTTGACGCTACGTTCCTGAGTAGCGAGGTTGTGTGCGAGTGAGCATAGAGCATACTCTGACCTTGTCATTCCTGAAGGGTGTGGTTATTCTGTATTTTCTTTTACATGTATAATATATGAATCGCTGCGATAGCGATATAGCCACCTGCCTAGATTTGGCATAGTCGCCAAGCATCCTCATGTGATGTGCTGACGCATCTCTCCAATCTTCAGCCCCTTTCTGCATATTACCGACTACTACAACTACTCTGCTACAGTTTTGTCTCGAACTCTCCACTTTCCCTGGCTGGTTATCGATGATTGTTTTTAACTCTCTCTATTCGTGCTATGTCCCCGAAACCGACCTCCCCTTCTCACGGGAACCCCGTCCTGCCCCTGAGATCTAGGCTAGGATGCAAAACTTGCAAGTGGGCTTGACTTTCTTCCTATTGCCTGCCAAAAGTCAAAAGTTAAGCGTGTAGTAGAATTCGACGCGTCAAATGTGGTCAAGAAAAGCCCAACTGTGTGCGATGCAGTAGTACGGGTCGCAAGTGCGAGTATGTCAAGGCAACCGCGGGCACATTTTCGTCCGCTTCGCCTCCGTCTACCACTGCTCTCGATCATCCCCTGTCATCTGCTCCCAACACCGTCTGGCGTGAACGGCGTGCCTTTGCATACTACTTTGAGCGGGTGGCCCTGTTTGTGGGTGGTGATCTGGATGTGGATTTTTGGAGCAGCTTCGTGCCCCAGCTGTGCCATGGGGAGCCGGCAGTGTGGGACGCCATCATCTCCATCAGTGCCCTCTTCGAGACACATGATCAACCATCAAATCTCGTCTCCATACAGCTGCTCAACCAGTCCCCCGTAACCCACTCACAAGGGGATGCTTTAGCCTGGTATTCGCGCTCCGTGTCTGCGATGCGTCAACGGATCGAGCGTGGTCAGGTCGACCTCTTTGTCGGGCTGATGACCTGTGTTCTCTTCATCTGCGTCGAGACTCTGCAGGGGCGTGAGAAGGAGGCCTTGCAGTTGTTCAGTCAGGGTCTGCAGCTGATCCATGCCTTACGCGCCCAGATTGCGTCCGGGATGGTGCCGGCCGCTAGAGCAATCTTATTTGAAGATGCCATTGTCCCCATCTTCATTCGACTCGCGGTGGTTTCCTTTAATGAAGCAGCCCCTCAGCTAGACAACCTCTTAAGGACTCGTGCACATATCTCGTCGTTCGATTTTACCAACCTGCGGTACGCGCGTGAAGCTCTGACCGTCCTGGGTGCTGAGACGATGCTCTTTGAACGCCGGTGTGTGGAGCAATTGGCGCAATCGAACGCAGTATATGTGACTCAGGAACTCTTTGAGCAGCAAGCCAGTTTCTTTCAGAGACTGCAAGCTTGGGACATAACTTTCAAGAAACTTCTGGATTCCCTGTTCGCGCGCGGCCCATTGTCGCAGCAACAGGTCATTAACAGCGCCCTGCTTATTGCCCACCACAAGACCACCGTCATTCTCACCACTATTTGCGTCTCGTCGTTACAAAGCATATCAGACCAATGTCTGGAAGAGTTTCAGGCCATTATAGACCAGTGCACTCTGGCTCTTAATGCGTCCAGACGACCGGACGGGACCCAGCCACCGTTCACATTCGACATCGGGGTTGGAGTCCCCCTCTGGGTTACCAGCCTTCGATGCCGAGAGCCACGCATCCGCCGCGCTGCGGTCGACTTGCTCCGTCGCGCTCCTCCGCTGATGGGCTTCTACCGCTCCACCTCGGCTGTCAGCTTTGCGGAGCACATTATGATGCTGGAAGAAGCAAATGCCATGGCGTTGAGACGGACTCGGAGGGAGAATTTGGTAGAGGCGGCGGCTGGTGGTAAGTCAGATAAGCAAGGCAGCTACTACGATACACCACAGCTCGAAATGGACGGTGCCGTGATGGCATTGGCGGAGATTCCCGAAGAGGCACGAATTGGACCTATCAATGTGGTTCGTCAAGACGAAGGCTCACCGACCACGATGATGGAGGAGCGTGTAGCAAGTTGTAACTCCAGCCGTGAAGTGACGGGGATGCGCTTTTCTCGCAACCAGCGGGACCCGGCGAATAATACGTGGACTCGCGTCCACGAATATCTTCCTCTTGAACCCCCAAGGGCTGAAAGATAGAGTAATGGTGACGAGTAGACTTTGTTCTATACTGTCTAGTCTACATCGGATATCTGCGCTCGTTCCCTTCATCGCCCACCCACTTGTTTCCTGGATCCCTTGTAGCTTTCTAAAGTCTCCTAAGATGGAATCAGTTTAGATCTTGAGATATAGAAAATCCCTTATGTAATATGTAAAAAGTCAGCTGACATAATCACTGGGGCAATGGCGCATCTGGGAGCGCGTCAGACTGAAGATCTGGAGGTGGCCGGTTCAAGCCCGGCTTGCCCCATCCCTTTTTCTTTTTCCAACTTGATGAATCCTTTCATTTTACTACGACTTCTTTCTCTCCACCTACTACATTCATTTGTTTTATTCCATTAACGCTCATGAAAACTGACTTGATCTCAGTTTCGGTTATCTCTCTGAGTGGCTCTGTGCTCTCACCTGTACTCAAAGTCCTGACCTACTCTAGTCACTGTTCCTGCAGCTAACATATGTTTCTACCTTGTCAACTTGCAATTAAACCTCTAATTCCGAAATACTCGGGGACCACTGAACTTTTTTTTATTAATAATTTAGTATTATATTTAATAAAACGAATCTTTACTATTCTATAATATAATAATACCTGGATATTTAAAATAATAGATTATCTTTAAATTATTCATATCATAAGTTTATTGTGATAAAGATATTAGTATTCCGCTATAGTAATAGCTGGGCTGCACAGGGTATCCATGACAATAGATAATAGGATGTCAGTCTGCCTGATTGAGCATGCGACTGGACTACAGCCAATTTAGACTGGCCTTTTCTATATTAAGCGAATAGTGGGATGTTTAGTGGGGTTACTGTCATTATCAAGTATTATCACTCACTTCGTGTACCACTAGGTCTGGCTCGGTGACCTCTGCAATGCTCCTACCGTCCAGAATGATTTTCCAGTGAGTTATATGGGATGTTGCTGATTAGAGACATGTTCCCTCCCATTCTACGAAAGAGAGAAATACTCATTTTGACTGTGATTGGTAATGGGTAGGACGGAGGTAACCCGGTTCGTTGGCCATGGTGAGCAGCCTGGTAATCTCGAGGAGCTGCTGTTTTTCCCGGGCTGCCAATGAAAGCTTGAGATTACTTGCCTTGGCGGTGTTGAAAAATACAGGTTGTACTTGGTTCCATGCTTATCGGTTCCAGCAGGGGCGGCCGGAATGCTCAATTTACTGGGTCCCAGTTACAAACTTAAGAAATCTCCCAACGAATGTACTTTGAATCAATAGGCTCCAAACCCCACTATAGCAACGAGGCTTAGTTACCGGCTGGCGTGGTCAGCATTCACAGAATAAAATAGCTGACAGGACAGTGCTAGCAGAAGGATCAGCAACAGTATAAGTCCTCATTACAGTACGCTGTGAGGGCGCTAGGCAGTGGATCTGCTTGGGAAAGTGTGGTTAGGATGCAGCCAGCGTAGGGTAAAGGTTGAATCTTTGGCAAGTTGAGAGATTACCGAAACCGATTCAGCGCCTACGTTATGTTATGCCCAGGAAAATTCCCGTCTGTGGTTGAATGAGGTAAGTCTTTTACGAGCTCCGTATAATACATGAGCCGATGACGCCGTACACATATGCGTTGTACTATTAAGGACGAAAGCAGCGAAACCTAGCACCGGATTTTATAAACTTTGAATCTAAGTGGAACTTGTCCAAATGCGGCTATGACAGGCATTGACAGCTGTTCACGGCCCCACCAGGATCTTTTGGAAACTAGATCGGGAATATCTATGAATCATCTCTTTTGCTCTAGCTATAGACAATTTAAGTTTATCATCCTCTTTTAAGATTAAGGAAGGCAGCAACTAGCGTACCAAAGACATTTGGAGACAAGTGATAGTCATGCGCCCCAACTTATGTAATTCCTCTACGTTCAATTTTCGATAGGGAGGAGGCGAAAGAGCACCTTACCTAACCTTAGGTATACCTGCCTGGTGCCATCCCAAGTAATTCCCAATATACAAGCAATTATACCATAATAACCACTCTCTTTGCTAGCCACAGACATATCCAACAACCTTGAGATTGGGAATAAGGTCTGTAATTTGAGCCTAAAGTTATCAAATATAATAGATCTCTGTAAGTCCCCGAACAGGATAGTCACATAACTTGATAAATTGTTTAGGGAGCAAAACGAGTGTATATAATGGGTCAATGTTGCATATGACTAAAACATAGTATGTTACGTTGATATTAATTTTAGTTCTAGGACACTGTCATGACATCACAGGACAGTAATCTGAATGATGAAACCTATACCATTCTTGTGAGCTTTGGCCTTTTTAAGTCCTTCCAATTCCATGCACGGAATTATCTTATCCAGTCTTGAGCACATTCGGTAATCTAGCAAGTATCTATTTTCGGCCTGAAATTATCACCCGGTACGAATCCCTTCCGAAGCTATGGATCAAAACGAATCTACACTCAGCCCTCGCATCTTGCCTGGCGCTACTGACGTCCAAGAGAAATTGCCGAGAGACCCTGAAAAGCTTCTTGCCAACGACATTGACACTGCCGTACTCATCACTGAACTAGCGAATTGTGAATATTTGCCCTGGAAACTTGAATTCTCTAGTGATGACGAGAAAAAGGCATTCGAGGAAAACCCCGAGAATCTACATCAGAAAGTTTATGAACATGGGCCGCCTCCGTTTGAGGAAGGAACATATCGTGGGACTCAGCTGGCACTTACCAAGATCTATGATCTTATAGAAAAACGGTACTTATATCGGAACTTTTTCGCTTACATGAGATGGCTAATATGCTCGACAGTTTTACATCTTTCATGGATGTAGCCAATTTCGAGCCTTTGGTTCCCTCGCCTCTTACCAGGGATGCGAAGCAGAAATTTTTTGCCTTCACAAACGGCTCGGACGGTTACCCACCGCATCTTAACCTTGCTGGTAATGCGTCAGTAGCCAAGGATGACAAAAGCAATCAGAGATCGACGCTTTCGCCATCTAATCTTTTCGATAAAATGCGCCTGCTTCAGCTAAGCTCGCTCATACCTAGTGTTGTGCCAAATAAGTTCAAAAGAGCTGCTGCCCAAGCATCCTCAACAGCCTTTTTTGGTCGTATGGGCAGACCTGATGCCGGGGAAAAGCTTGAAGATGTGGAAACGTACAACAAGAAGTCTCGCGCAGCTAAATACTTCAAAGATATATTTGACCGTTCCAACATAGGCGATTTGACAGATTGGTACAGCGATGCCCGATTTGCCCAGCAACAGTTTACAGGGACGAACCCTACAACGATTGAATACGCTTCAGATCGTTGGCTACAGCACTTTCTTCAAGCTGCAGAAGCACCAGAGAATGAAGTGGCCAAGAGAACCATCATTGATCTCAGTGACAGCTGCCGAAAGTCTTTGTACATGCAAGATTACAGCTACTTTCGCGAGGCTGCTGGGCTGGACTCGACTGCCATCATCAAAAGTGAGTTTGTCGATCCAGCGAAGAAGGACAGGGGTAAGAGCTATCGATATGGTTGCGCATCGGTGTGTCTTTTCTATCTTGGTGATAATGGCCAGCTTTACCCGCTAGCTATCGTCATAGACTGGCGGGGCAGTGCGGAGAAATCTGTGACAATTTACAACCGGGAATTGATCAAGCGGAAGGATATCCGGTCAGGAAGCGAGAAGCAGGACCAAAAGGAGAAGATAATTGATGAGGCTGATGACTGGCCTTGGAGATATGGTACCTCTTCCCACCGGTCGAGTCCTATACAGTTTGAGCGCTGACTTGTCGTGTTTGGTATAGCGAAGACCTGCGTGCAATGTAGCGACTGGCTTCGTCATGAAGTCACCGTGCACCTTACGAATACTCATCTAGTTGAAGAGGCCATCATCGTCGCATCTCATCGACAGCTCGACCCGAATCACCCTGTGATGAACCTGCTGTACCCGCACTGGCAGAAGACCCTGGCACTCAATGCTGCTGCCCGAAACACTCTCGTTCCACATGTCATTCTTGACCTAATCGGGTTGGAGAAAGAGCAAGCCCAATCGTTTATCAAGCACGCTTACAAGAATTTTGACTTCAAAAACCGCTACGTACCAACCGATCTCATCCATCGTGGGTTCCCTCCAGAGCAACTCAACAGTCCGAAGTTTCACAACTACGCCTACGCCAGATGTATTCACAGCATGTGGGACAAGATCAGAACTTATGTGCAAGACATGCTTGCTATAGATTATCCGGGGGATAACGCCGACAAGGCTATCCTGGATGACGAACGCATTCAGGCCTGGTCGGCAGAGATGCGCCATCCGGATGGCGCAGATTTGCCGCTCTTCCCGTCCATCAGCACGTTTGAAGAGCTGGTTGATTGTGTGACCATGTGTATTCACATTGCATCCCCCCAGCATACGGCTGTCAATTATCTACAAAACTACTACCAGTCATTTGTCGTCAACAAACCACCCTGCCTCTACACTGAGCCTCCATCTACTCTAAAAGATCTGCTCGGTTACACCGAGAAAGAGCTTGTCGAGGCGCTCCCTATGAATCGCACTCGGGACTGGTTGCTTGCTTCGCACATACCATACCTGCTCAGCTTCAAACCAGAAAATAAAGAAAGCCTGATTACCTACGCTGCTTCCAAGTTTCAGGTGTATTATAACAAGGGCACAGAGAAGGACCAGGCCATCGCACGGGCAACTGGAGACTTCTATACTGCGCTGTTTGATAGTGAACTGGAGTTCAGGGGTTACGAACAAGTGATGGATGATTACGGAACCATTCCCTACCAGGTGTTGAACCCAGAGTGGAATGCTGTGTCAATTTTGATTTAGCCTGATTGACTCGACTCGAGTTCAGAATTATCATCTTGGAAGGACGGCAGGATAGTTATCCAGGGTGCAGTCGAGGGGACATGTCAGCAGGCTTGGTACTCAGGATAGTTGGGTGATTATTTTAGGGCCTTGTGCGGCAGACCCTGGGGAGAAAACTGAAATAACTAAATGATTGACTACCAGTTAAATAAAGGATGAATTTGAATTGATGCCTAACGATAGCGATACTCTAGCTCCGCAAATCACAACTCATGGCACTGCAGCCGAGGGACTACTTGTACATACATGCCAGAGGGCCCAACGCCTGCCTACCATGTTCTCAGGCCAAGGTGAAATGCAGTGGTAGCAATGAATGTGGCCGGTGCCAGAGCAAGGATCGCAATGGAAGTGTGGTTTCATTTGATGAGAGTGATTATTATTGGCGTTGATGCTGAGCTGAGGTCTGGATTAGCTTAGACGGGGTGGGAATTTCTTGTTCCATTGCTTCTACATATTTGATCAAGTAAGAAGTGTTTCGTTGCTAGACTATTTTACTTGATCGGAGAGTGCTTGATTCGAGGATTCTTTCACTGGACTGTGTCCAGCTCACGAGCACTCGATAGTATGATGATTTAGACGTGTCTGCTATTAGTAATATGCTCTCTGCTTTTTACATCATCAAACCACAATATTAAGTAACTGTCAGTCATATACCTTATTCCCTTGACTATTAGCATCTCCAACATCATAACCCCCCCTTGATCAACGGCATCACCTCCTCCGCCGCGCCCAGCCCCGCCACGCGCGACCCATCCTTCGTCCGCATCTCCCCGAACATCACCTTCAACTCCCTCAGTTCGTCAGGTACGTTCTCCCGGCCCCCCAGGCACCCCCGCATAGCCAGATCGTCCAGACGCTCACTCCCGCGCGTGGTGCACAGCGTCTGGAACAGGCCCGTTGTGCTGGCTGAGATGCCGTTCCGCACGAGCGCGTGGCCGCCCCACCCCAAGAACGTCAGGGCCATGGCCAGCGCGACGAAGTAAGGGGTGATCAGGCGCGCCGGGTGAGGGAAACGGTAGACATTGACGGTGATGGTTTTGGTGACGGTGGTCGTGGTCGTGGTCTGGTTGAGGGTGAGCAGCGAGAGGGTGATGTTCTGGAGCATGGACTGCAGGGAGGCCGGGGTGAGGGTGAAGACCGGCTGCTTGGCGGGGCCGCTGTAGAGGCTCGTCAGGGCGATCAGCGTGTTGGCGGTCGGTTGGGAGTGTAGCACTATGATCCCGTGGTCCCCCAAGTCAGTCATCGTACCGCACCGCAGACTATCCAAAATAGAACTCGAATTCAAGTAGGGAATCGCACCGAAGATGTCAATATACCCCCGCAACCCCAGTACCAGCGTATCCTGCACAGCCGCCAGGTTTGCCCGCCGATTCAGCTCCGTCACATTCTGGCCCGTCGTGCCCGTCGTCGTGGCGTTGATCACGGAAACACGGTCGTACGACGCCGGCACGATGGCGAAATCATCGTAGAGCCCCGAGCTGTTCAGCGCGCCGCCATCCGTGGTCACTGCCGTTACCGTCGCCTGCTGCACTCCCCCCGTGTAGTTCAGGTGCACCGTGTAGACGGCCTCGTGCGCGCGACACGTCAAATTCTGGTACTCTTCCCCTGTCGTGGAGTCCTTCCAGCGCAGGGCGAAGTCGAACGTGTACTGGGTGCTGTTCGTGCGCGCACTGGAGTCAGGTGAGGCGAGGTAGAGGTAGGCGTTTGCCCACGTTGGGCTCTGCGGGTAGGTTTTGTTGACCCAAGCGTAGAGGTCGGGGGCGTCGGTGTTGGTGCATGCGAAGCGGGGGCTGGGGATTTCGATCGTGTACGAGCAGTTCTCTGAGCATGGGGAACTGCTGGGTAGGTAGTCGCCTGCCATCACCGACTGTCGCGCGACGCGCGTGAGGCGATTCGTCGGACCACTGGATTTGGGGGTTAGGATATCATTCGAGTCCAAACAACGGGCGAGGTTCAATTTCGGAGATGTCAAAAAGGCAAAGACAGAGACATAAAATGAAGGAAAGGAAAACAAACGGTCCAAGCGGGTTGGGTATACCTGTATGCGTCGAAATCATCCGGCTGCCACAACGCCTCATCCATCATGCTCACGAAGCTGCCGTTGCCCATGTAGCTCGGGTCAAAGGTCGGGACGGACTGGTTGGCGAGCACGCGCTGGAGCTTCGCCTCCACCGTCAGAGCGCCCGGCGGGAATATCATGGCGATGGGGATGCACCATGCCAGGAGGGCACAGAGGAACGGGAGCGGGGCTGCGCCGAGAAGACGGAGGCGACCGAGATACAGCGGGTTTGTCAGGACCGACAAAAAGGAGTCAAGATCCCCGATGCGCATCGGTCGCACGCGCAGGTCCTTCCACAGGATCTGGATGAAGGACATGCTCAGCGCCGCGGCCAGCAAGGTGCGAAAGCCGTTCACGAACACAACCGACAGCGCCGTCACGTAGGGTTGCTTAATTGTCTGGGCGACTTCGCGTCGGTCGAGCCAGCGGAATAGCCCCAGATGCGCGGAGGCTAGACAGACTGCTATTAAGGTACAACGAGTTTGTCAGGACGGACTAGGCAAATCTTCAAAATCAGAAGTCGTAGACATACCCAGTAGGTAACAGGTGATTATGGCGCTGGGGGTCATCCATCCGATGGTCCACTGGGATGCGATCATTGAGGACTGGCCTTTCTCCATGTCCAACTCTATCTCTGACCGAGCTTCTTCTGGCGGGTCGTCGATAGTCACATCGCTGGGCGAAGACGGCTCGTGTTGTTCAGTCAAGGTATATTGCTGGGGTGCCATGTTGAAGGCTGTGTTTTCCTCGGAGGATGACTGACCACCAGGTGAAGTGAGGTGGAGTGAGTGCCTGGACGCGAGCGGGGAAATGATCGCATTATAACCTGGCTAATTTTAGCGGCAAGCAGGGGTATAGGATGAAAGCTGGTTAAGCGACTCAGTGAATGGTCGACGTTGTGACTAGCCCGGTCGAGATAGTCGCATAGACTAAATGTAATAGCGAGTCGATATCTCAACACTAATGTTTTAGCTGCCTTAGAGTTTGGCCAAAGCCAATGAAGCACCATTCCGGACGCCAGCACAGATCATTCACTAATAGTCCCTTCATTCCGATTTATCTTCTTTGTATCGGAAACCCGCCAATCATTCGACCCTGGCCCGTCGGCACCTACCATGATATCCCACCATCGCGGTCTACACTCTGCCCCGGCCTATCACCCCAAACTCATACATAGTAGCAGTCGCTGCATTAGTACTATGTACATACACATGCTTCCAGAAATAGAAATAGGATTTCGAGCACTGCACGTGCACGTGCACGTGATTCGGTTCGGCTCGGCCCGCAAATCGAGTTCCGCACCCGCACCATGAGTTCATATTTACAGCGGGTGCCTGTGAGTTCATTTCTTGCTCCCGACCAGACGTCTTTCAGGGCATACAAGAGGCTTCGGACGACCTGTCCGTTGGTTGTATGTAAGTCATTGCATATGTATCAAAGATTCTGATGTGTAGGCGTGGTTAGGTAAACTCAATTGCCGGTAGCGACACCGACACCCGACGAAGGAGACAAGCCCTAACTAGCAATTCTTTTATCTCCAAGTCTAGAATCAATCAAAACACAAGATACCATGGAGAATTTCCAGTGACTATGTAGCCTTTACGGGTGATATTTGGATGGAGACAGCACGAATTCAATCGGGACTGACCATATGCTGTTGAAGATTGCTCAGATATACCCACAAATTCACAGAACTTTACAATTGTACAAGGTACAGTTGATGTGATCTTGTTATTTGTTTATAAGCTTGAAAATGTTCTATATAACAAGAAGACTTTGTTGTTATAGCACATACAACCAAAGGGTGTGGAAATTGGGCTTCCCGTCCGCTAAACCCTACTCAAGCCATACGCTGGGAGGTTATTTGTTACGTGGGTGACCACCAGCGAAACCCTTCTGTTGTATATATTATTTTTTCACCAACATTTTTCTCTATTGCATGGTTCGTCTTGATCTAATGACGACGAAGCTTTGGTATCAGAGCAACACATGTCATATTTCTCCTCTGTGCTGTGTATTTACTTAGTCGGATGCCATTGAGCAGTTCCGGCGGCAAATACGTCGCCGCTTACACCTAGCTACACTGGTCGTGCTGCTGTCAGCCCTCATTTTCCCCTGCCCTGTTTTCTCTTGACTATTCATACTAACAATGATACAACAAATGCAGCTCAAACCCTTGCAAGTATAGTCCCGCGACCCACCTCCATGAGTACGGTGAGAAACCACAGGCCCCATTCCCAGTACTACATGAATCCACACCCATCGCCGCAACGAGTGGAACGAGGGTTGTTGGGAATACCTATAACCAACCGGATTGAACCTTGCTCGACCAAAAAAGACATTCTTCCCCACCTCTAGTACTAGAATGCATAGTAATAGCAGTATATAAAAATTATTTATATAAAAAGATTAAAAAGGCTATCTTATAGAGATTTACTTTCTGATTTTAAATTAGTTTTTTTTAAATTATATATCAAGATATAGCTAAGTTCTACTAATTTAAAAGATATTATAAAGATACCAGATTAAAAAGTTTTTGATTTCAAAAGATATAAAAAAAATAAAACAAGTTATAAGATTTAGTTTCTAGTTTTAAAATTATTTCTTTTAAAATTTATAAAATAAGATATAGCTAAGTTCTACTAGTTTAAAAAAATATTATAAAAATTCTAGATTAAGAATTTTATTATTTTAAAAGATATAGAAAAATATAGATAGAGTAATTAAGTAGATTAGGCAAGTTTTAGATAATTATATAATAACTTATTTAAACTTTAAGTTTTAGTTAACCAGAATTTAATTTAGTTTAAAACTTAAGATTAAATAATTCAGTTTACTTAATAAATTCTATTAAATTTTTAGAATAAATAAATCTTTTTAATTAGACTTAACTCTAATTAAAAATAATTAATTTAATACTTTTTTATTTTTTTTATATTTAACTTAATATTAATAAGTACCCCTTTAATTAAATATATATTTTTAATTCTAATTTAACTTAAGTTAATAACTAGTCTAATTAAAAAGCTAAAAAATAGAAAAAAATATTATTAAATATATATTTTAATACTCAATCTAAATTTTTAATTAATTTTTAATTATATTAATAATTAATAGACTTATTAAGAAATATTTATTTTAATTTAATATATTATATAAATTTAACATATAGATTTAATATTCTATATAATAGCTATATATTATAATAAAATAGAAATATATTCAATTCATTAAGTTAAGAATATTAAACTAAATAAATTAAAAATTAACTAAAACTTCTTTATAAGTCTTATATAATCAAGTTTAGCCTTTTTAAGACTGAGCCAAGCTGAGTAAGCCTTAAGCTTTCAAGCTAACCCTGCCATGTCTAGAAAAATAAGAATATGATTTTATAAGGATTTATTTACAAGTCCGCAGGGGTGATGGTACTATTATAAAGGTATTATTAATGTTAATTTAAGGTAGGGCTAATCTAGCTATCTGATTATTACTATACTATTAAGAAAATAAAATAGTACTATTAAAAGAACTAGTAGAATCTTATTCTAAAATTAAGTCTAGTTAATCTTAGATTTAGTTTACTTATAAAGATATAATTAAATTATAAATATCCCAGCTTACAGTAGAATCAGGGTAGATTTAGATATATAATAATAAAAAAAATTAAATAACTTTTTATAATAGAACAGTATTTAACTGTAATTATTATTAAGAATTAGATTAATTATATTATTATTAATTTAAATATTCTAAATATAAATATTATTAGAGTGGCTTAACCTAATTATTATATCTTAACCTTAACTTAACTATAACCTGGTAATTAGGTTAAGATATAAAAAGTAATTTAATTATATAGTTAAAGTTAGATTAAGATATAATTATTATTTTAATTATTTATATCTACTAGTTAGAAAGATTAGATATAATAGATAAATTATTAATTATAAGTTAATTAATAATATATATATCTTTTTTATATAAAGAATATATAAAGTATAATATATTTTTAATTATAATATAATTATATTTTTTATATTTAATTTATTTATTTTTTTTATTTTATTTATTTTATTTTTTTTATTTATTTTATCTATTTCTTCTCAGAAATATACTATATTTTAGAAAAGATTTTTATAAAACTTAGTATAAAAAATAATATTTAATATAAAATATATATACTAATTAGTTTTTATATTATTTAGAATAATAATTATAATAATATAGAAATTATAAGAAATAAATCTCTATCTAAGCATATATAATACTTATAAACTTAAATAAAGTTATTTTATTTATTTTTAATAATAATTTATTCTTTAGATTATTTTCTAGATTATCTATATTTTTATTTTTATTAATATAAAAGATAATAATTATCTTATTCTTTTTTTAATTCTTAAGTATAAAAATAATTAAATTTAGATTAAGGTTTTTAATAATATTCTAGTACTTCTTATTTATAATAAAATAATTAATATATATTTAAAATAAAATTATTTTAATTATATTAAGCTAGAGGTAATTTTAGTAATAATAATAAATATTTTAAAAATTATTAAATAAATATTTAATACTAATATTATTAATTATAATTATTATGGGACCAAGGCCCTGATATAGAGCTCGGCTTCAGGTACTAGTTGGCACCTGAGGCCTTACACACTATATATTAAACTAGTACTAGCTTAATATATATATAAAAGAATTTTATATAAACAGATAAAATAGTTTCCTAGTTATTTCTTCTTATTTAAAGATATATATTAATTAATATAATCTATTTATCCTGTAATATTAGAAATAGCTTATTAAAAAGTTCTAGATAGAGCCTGACTAGGTATATAAATAGAATAGAATAGAATTAAAAGAAATATTAAAATAATAAAATAAATAAACTAGAAAGAACTATAACTGACTATAGTATCTATAGTTATATATAATAATATATAACTTTTTTTATAAAAGCTAATCAGCCTCTATACAGAAATAGTAAAACAGAAATTAGCTTTTAAAAAGTAGATAAATAAATTATAGAGTTATAATATAACTATTATTATTAATAATAAACTAGAGGAAAATCCTCTATAGTAACTGTATAAGCTAAACTACAGATCTTATTCTTAATATCCTAATATAAAACTATTTAATAGAAAAGATAAGTATAACTATAAATTATTTAAACTAAATATATATATAAAACTTATAATTAATAAAAATTACTACTCTACTAGGCCGGAATAAGTCTTTTATATCTATAGTTAACTATATAAATAGATAGTATAATAGATACTTCCTTAGATTAAATCTTAAAATACTAAGATAATATAATTAAAGGATATATTTATAGTAATAAATAAAATATTTAGGGATCCTAATATATAATAAAAAACTCTAAACTAGGTTAATACTATAAAATAAGGAAGAACAGAATTAAAGAAATTTTTAAATAACTTTAATAAAGCTCTGCTACAGGCAGAAGAGTATAATTAGTTAAATAAATAGAAAAAGACTATACTAGATACTATAATAAGTAGAGACTTATTAAAGAATTAGTTAGAATTTCCTAAGAGTTTATATATAAAGATTATTATAACTAACTATATTATATAAATTATAATCTTGATAAAATATCTTTCTTTTTTAAAAAAAATTATATTAAGATTATACCAGTATAATATAAACTAAGCCCTAAACTAATAAAATAGAAATCTACTTAAATAATTATTATATAATAAGAAAAATATTACTTCTATATA